CTTTCTTCTATTTATTTATTCTTATATTCTCCTTTCTACTTCTTCTCTCTACTCACTCTTTCTTATTCCTTCTTTTCTAACTACTCTTCTTATTTTTCTTCCTTTTCACTTCTCATCCTAACCACTCTTTCACTTTAACTACTTCTTCTCTTTTCTAAATATTCTTTTCTTCTTTTTTTACTTCTCTTTTATTTCTTTTTTATTTATCTTTTCTTTTCTCTCTTTCTTTTATTCCTCTTATTTCTCTTTTCTTTTCTTCTCCTCCTCTAACTATTCTTTTTCTACTTTACTTAACTCCCCTAACCACTCTCTATTCTTATTTTATTTTTATTATATATCTATCTTGTTTGTTTTTTATATCTAATTCTTTATTTTATCTTTTTTTTTTTTTTTTTTTACTTCTTCTTTTCTTCTTTTTACTTATTTCTCTCTTCTCTTTATCTACTTTCTCTCTCTTTTTATATTTTCTCTTTTTCTCTCTCTTCTTTTCTTTTTTTTTCTCTTACTTTCTATCTCCTCCTTTCTCTATTTCTCTTTCCCCTAATCACTACCTTCTGTCTTTTATCTTTTACCTATCTTTCTTCTTTTTATCTACTTTATTATCTATTCATTTATATACCCTCTTAATATATATCTCTATATATATATCATACTATATTAACTATCCCAACTTTTATCTTCTTTTCTTTATTATACTCCTTTCTATTACTCTTTCTTCTCTTTTATATATCTTATATCTCTTCTATTCATCTACTCTTATACTCCTTCTATACTCTCTCTTTCCTTATTTCTTCTTTTTAATATCTTCTTATCACCTCTTCCTTCTTTTTAATTCTTTTTTTCTTATTTCTCTTTTTTTTCTTCTTCTTTTTCCCCTTCTTATCCCCTAACCACTCTTCTACTTCTCCTCCTTACCTTTTTACTTTTCTTCTTTTTACTTCTCCTTCTACTTCTCCTCTCTAACCACTCTTCTCCCTCTACTTCTCTTCTTCTTCTGTTTAAAATAAAAATGAAAAAATAAAGTACAAAGATAAGGAACCTTAAGACCTTATATTCTCTCTCTTCTTATCCTTATCCACCTCTTCTCTTTTAATTGTACTCTTTTTCAGTTGCTATTCTTTCCTTTATTCTTTCTCTTTTATTTTTATTTCTTTTTATATCTCTTTCTCTTCTTTTCTTCTTTTCCTTCTTATCATCCACTTATTTCTCTTTTTCTACTTCTTCTTCTTTTTCCATATATTCTTTTCTTCTTTTTTATTTTCCTTACTTTACTTATTCTCTTCTTCTTTCTTTTTTTTTTTATTTATCCTTTTCTTTCTCTCTCCTCCTTTTATTTCTCTTATTTCTTTTTTTTTTTTCTTACTTCTCCTCTTTCCTACTTACTCTTTCTCTTTTTTTTTTTTTTTCTTCCTTTTTTATATCTCTATCCACTCAATCTTTCTTCTACTTCCCTTTCTCTCTTTCTTTTTTTCTATTTCTTATCCACTTGTCCTTCTTCCACTTCTCCTTATCTCTCTATCCACTCTCTATTCTTCTTTTTTCTTTTTTTTATCTATTTCTCTTTCTCTTTTTTTTCTCTCCCTCTCTCTTCTATTTTTCTTTTCTTTTCTCTCTTTAACCACTCTTTCTCTCTATTTATTCTTTATTTTCTCTTTTTTCATTTCTCTCTTCTCCCTAACCACTCTCTCTCTTTTCCACTTCTCTTTCCTTTAACTATTCTATCTCTTTTTATCTATTTCTTCCTTCTCTTTTTTAATCTTTTTTTCTTACTGCTTCTCCTTCCTAACCCACTTAATCCTTTTTACTTCTTCTCCCTTTTTATTCACTTTTCCCTCTTCTACTACTTCTCATCTCTAACCACCTCTTTCTTTTTAATTCCTCTTTCTCTCTCTCTTCTTTTCTATTTCTCATTTCTTATTTTATATCCCTATCTACTCAATCTTTCTTCCACTTCTCTTCCTTCTACCTATTTCTTTTCTTTTTTCTATTTCTTCTACTTCTTTTTCATCTCCCTTTTTCTTTTATTCATTCTTTCTTCCTTATTTTACTACTAATCCCTTATTCTTTAATTTCTTTTTCATCTTTCATCTTCTATTTATCCACTCTTATATTATACTCTTATACTCACTTCTATATACACACACACATATATATATATCCCACTATATATACTAATCATCTTAACTTTAATTATACTCAATTCTTTTTAACCAAAATTAACTTTTTTATTAAATTTATTCTTATTGCTCGCTCTCTTTTATTATTTTATATTTATTTTAATTATTTTTTTATTTATTCTCTTCTTTAATTACTCTCTTTTTTTCTTTTTTTTTTTATCTTCTCTTTAATCACTCTACTTTTTCTTTTTCTACTCCTCCTCCTAACCACTTTTCTTACTTTTCCCCTCTTTTTTAACTATTTTTACTTCTCTTTTTCTAATCTTACTTTAAAATTTATTTTTTAAATTCTTAATATTATCTCTTATTTTCTTTATTCTTACTTATTTTAATCACTTTCTTTTTCCATTCTATTATTCTCTTTTTTTTTTCTAAAATTCTTCCTCTTTTTTATTTCTTATTTTAATTCCTCCCTTTTTATTCTTTTTTATTTTATTTTTCTTACTCTTTCCTCTATTTTCTACTTCCAACTTTACCTCTTTTTTTTTTTCTATTTCTTATCTTTAATTTATTTTTTATTCATTAATTATTTTAGCCCTAACCACTTTTTTATTATTTATCTCTTACTATTTTTATATTTTGATTTCTATTTTCTCATTATACTACTTCTCTATCCTATATCTCTTTTATTCTCTTATTTCTATATATATCTCTGTCTCTCTTACCATATAATAATTTCCTTTATTTTAATCTTTTTTATTATTCTTATCCCTAACCACTCTCTTTTTAATATAATAATTCTCTTTTTATTTATTTTTCTTTTAAAAATCCTATAATTTCTATCTTTAATACCCCTTCTCTCTCTATTCTCCTATTATTTTTCTTCATTTTTAATTATTTTATTCTTATACACATCTTCTCTAATATCACTTAATATTATTATCCCTAACCACTTCCTTCTTTAATTATAAAAATCATCTTTTTTATATTTTATTTCTCATATATATCCTATTCTTAACCCTAACCATTTTATCTCTCTCTCATATTATTTCTTTAATCTTTCTTAATCATTCCTAATTTTCTTTCTTTTTTATTATACTTAATTCCTATACTATCTCACTCTATATTATATTTATATATATATATACACTACTATTTTATTCTTAGCCTTTTTTATTATTTAAAATAACTTAATTTCTTTTTATTTTTATTATTTTTATTATTTTTATCTTATATACTGATTTTTTTAAATTATTTTTATTTAAATTTCTTTTTACTATCTTTCTATTTAAGCTTACTTTCTATTCTCTCTAAACACTATATATCTATTATCTTCTCTATATACTCTTCATCTTATTCCCCCTTAGCTGTTTTAGCTGATCTATCTTACCTATATATACTTCTCATCTTATTTCCCCTTAGCTATGCTAGCCTATCTCTTTTCTATTAGCTATCTATATCTATATACTATATATCCACTATCTTTATATTTATATTTCTACATACTTCTTCTTTATATATATATGCTTTTTACCTTATTCTCTCTTAGCTGTTCTAGCGTATCCTACTATTTTACTGTTATATATACATACTCTATTAATCTCACTGATCTATACTAGCCATCTTACTAATATATATATACCATATTATAAATATATGCCTTTATAGACTATATGTTACAATAATACCAAACCTTAGACTTCTCCATACCTTATATATATATATCTATCTCACCGATATATTAGCTATCTCTGTAATATATATCCACCATCTTACATATATATGCCTTCATCAACTGGATATATAATAATGTTACCTAATATGTTTATATATTACTAGATACTATAGATATAGCCCAGTAAATATGACTTAAAAAGGGGAAGAAATTTAATCAGATAGAGTGATAGAGCAGAGTATCTAAGATAGAAAAATAAAAACTAAAAAAGAAAATTCAAATTAAATACAGAATTTACTTAAGGCAAATTAATCATCCTATGACACCATTTATAAAATAAGACCACCCCCTTAAATACCTCAGTCCCAAATGTGTCCCTTTCAGCTTTGAGAAGCTGATTCCCAAGCTCTAATGATGATGATTGAGAGGTGCCTATGTTCATGAGAGAGCACAGAATCTTACCCATATCAGTAGTAATATGATAGCCAAACCAAATAAGAAGAAGCCCTGGCGGAAACAGGCATTCCTCCCTATTTCCAGATCGGTTTGGACAGATCCTGGTGGGAAGAAGGCAATGAAAACAGCCACCATGGGTTTCCGATTGAAGCTGATCCCGAAGCTGGTTGAATGCAATGATCAGATGCTGGGCTCTTGGGCATTGAAGGTAGGAATGGTGGGAATCAATCTCCTGGGCATAGGCAGATTTATCATCTGCATAGTCAAATCAGTTAGTAGATAGATAGTAGATAGATAGAAAGATAGTAGATAGATACTCACAGCATGAATCAAGCTCACACCCAAGGCAGATATTTCCTTTGAGGAAAAATTCCACATAGGCAGTCAGCTTTCGCCTAAGGCCGTCACCCTCCCTGAGGACTGCCCTAGCCTGGGTAGCAACTGCCTGGAGCTCTCCCTGCCGGGCCTGGCACAGGTCACATGCCTTCTCATGCGCCAAACACCCCTGGGTAGCCCGACCATTGAATTCCCTATTGATTAGGGACCGCCGGCAGACCTGTGCCTGCAGATACTCATGGAAAAACTGTTCTTCCAGATCCGCCGGCGCTGGGAATGGCTGAGAGAGGGGGGGGATGATGGCATATGACCAGCCAATCTCCCCAGCACCCCGCGCCGCACGCCCTGTAGCTTGAAGGAACTGGCTGATGCCCCACCTGGTCCCCCAGTGAATGACCATGGCAGTATGAGCAAAGTCATATCCTTCCCCCGATGGCAGCTGTCCCAAGGAGCACGAGCTTCTGCCCTTGGTCAAAGCTCTCCACCTGCCTTGTCTTGTCTTCCTCTGGCATGCTGGCATGGAAATAGGCTGTCTCCTGGGGATAGGCCTGATGGAACTCCTCTACCATGCCCTTATAGGGAAGGTAGATGATCACCTGACCCCTAGGGGGGATCTGCCCGGCCTGGCGTGCATCACGGATCAGGTTCAAAAGATATTGGAAGCGGCGGGCGCCAGAGAGCCTAGGGGGGTGTGCTTGGACCAGATAGTGAATGTCAGGGCGGTTGATATCACCACGGACCACCAGGGGAAGGTGGGCTGGCAGGAGGAATTGGTGGCGGAGCTGGTCCAGGGCAGGCTGGGTCATGGTGGCCGAGGCAAAGACTTTGGGGACTGGGATCTGGCTCAGGCGGTTTACATCATTCATCACCCCCCGATAGCTGCGGGCCAGGGGGATGAGATGGGCCTCATCAAAAATAATGCGGTCCAGGGCGTTTTGGTGGTAGAGCTGCATGGCCCAGTTAATGAAGACCTGGCTGACAGCAGACTCAATGGATACTAGCACTAGCCGGGTAGGAGGGGTCTCCTCATGCCTATATAGAGCATTAGTAAATATATAAAGATAGATAGATAGATAGATAGATAGTACTTACTGATCCTCCCAATTCACCCATGGCAGACCTAGGTTTTGAAGCTTAGATTGCAGGTTCAGCTTCAATGAAACAAGGGGAACCACCAGGACAGTAGTATGCGCCCAGGCAAGGCTTGCAGCAAGCAGAAACAGGGTGGTCTTGCCTCCAGCAGTTGGTAATGCCATGAGAAGGAATGGGGTTGGCTTCAGCAGATGGTAGAGGCACTCACGCTGTTCTGCGCTTCGAAATTCAGCCTGAGGCGTTCCCATGAATTCTTGAAAGAGCCCAAGCAGGAGGTCTGGTGCTTGAAGGCCCCTAGGGGTTTGAGGGAATGGCTGGTGTGCAAGCAGTCGCAGTCGCTGGCCTGGTTCCAGCTCGGCCAGGCGCGGGTCACCATCGGGAATGCCTTCAGTGACATTGGGGTCGATTGGAGTGAATGTGGGGGTTGTGGAGCCCATGAATGCATTGAACTGACCAATAGGGATCTTAGGGGATGGTGAAGAGGCAGATCTCTGCCACCAGAAGCGCAGGCAGGGCTGGTTGAGAGGAAAGGAGCTGGTAGATAGGCCCTGGGGGGTCTTGGCTGTGGCCTGGGGGGCCTGAGGCAGCGGTCTCCCTTGATAGAGAAAGCTCAAAAAGTCGAAATCAGGCCCCATGCCGATATAGGAATGCCACCGCTGGCTGAAGTCAATGTAGGCGGCCTGCTGGTTGATGGGGAGGTTGCCAAATTGAACCTGTGGCCGGCCATAGACCAGCATGGCCGTGCGGACGCTGTGGTGTGCTTGGCCGGCTGCTAGAGCTTCATTCTCAAGCTCACTCAGCTCTGGCGCTTCAATGGAGTCCCCCTCCATCCGTTCCCCCATGCCATATCGAATGAAGCCTTGGGCGAGATGGCGCCATGAATGGATCTGAATGCCCTGGCCGATCAGGGCGCTGGTCCGATGGCGGAGCGTGTCACTGACCTGGCGGCTGGTAGGGAGGTCGCCCTGAATTGAAAAAAAGAAGACTGCGGCGGTTTCGGAGCTTCAATGCCTGATGGAGATAGTGAATGAATGGCTCCACAACCACCAGATAGACCAGTAGTATATGGGATGGAGCTCTGGGGATGGCTCGGACAGCATTCCGCTCCATGCCAGTGGTCGCCAGCACCTTACTATACCGCAGCCGAATGAGGAAGAGCTTCGATTTCGGGTCCAGAAAGAGGTTTCGGCGGTTGATGATGGAATTGGATGCCAGGAGTGGAATAATCTCAGTGCCTCGGGCAGGGGCGCCACTGGTCATGTGCACCAGAACAAGCAGATGGAGCAGGAACTTCTTGGCCATAAATAAATATCGCTCTGCTGGTAGGGGAATGAGATGGAGCCGATTTCCAGCCTATATGATATTTTATATATATATATATTAGTATGTGAATGCCATTCAGCCAGATAGATGATATACGGGAGATACTGACTGGCTTGAACCATTCTTTGGCTCGCGTAGGGTCATCCAGGATTTTTTTCACGAGATAGGGCTGGTAGTGGTGTTGGTAGTCCTCATTCAATGTTAGGAAATTGAATCCATTCCCCTCCATGGCAAAATCCTCAAATCGAGCTGCCTCCCCCAGCTGGATCTGGTTGAAAAGCTGGGCATCCTCCCAGATCAGCAGCGAGCCTACTAGGGAGTGTGCCAGGTCCAAGGTAGACTTCTGGAAAAATTCCTGGAGCTGCAGACGGCTGACACTAAGATGGTGGAATCTTAGGTGGTGGGGTGCTTGTTCAATCACCTGGTTGCCTTGCACGCTGGAGATCGTGTTGTAGTAGAGAGCATAGGCTCTGAAGGACAGAAGATCTCCAAGGGGGTAAGGAGACTGGTGCTTGAAGTAGGTCTGCAGCCAGGGGCCGAAGACAGCATGAAATGGGGCCGCATTAGCCAGCGCTTGGTCCTGCCCATCCTCTTTCGCTTCAAGGATCCTCCGGATCCATGGGGTCCAATGGTGGTTGATGGCGACCAGCTGCATGGCGTAGATAACGGCAGAGTAGGACTGGCTGATGCGGTCAATTCGCTTGAAGGTCACCTCCTGGTAGTGAATACTGAAACAGGCCAGGAACGCGTAGATAGGGCCCTTCATGTCATATGACTCATGCCTGGTGACCAGGTCAATGAGGAGCTTTTCAATGAGAGCCACCCCTTCGTGCACTGCCGCCTGAGTGAATTGAAAACCACTGGTGGCCTGCCAGGCCTGCCGCTCGAGCTTCTCGAGAACACCAGAGTCCTCAAGATCTTCCTCACCATCATCCCCCTAGGTCCAGGGCCAGATCGATCTCATCCTCTTCATCATTCTCACCATCAAGGTCATCACCAATATAGGCACGGGCACTGCCTGCCTGCAAGGGGCCTGAGGCCTTTGGTGCCTCCTCATCCTCTTCCGCTAGGGTGGGGGATAGTAGCAGGTCCTTGAGCTCCTGAATCCCCGCCTTGACCATGTGATCTATAGCATAGAGTCGATTCAGGTCCCTATCCCTAGGCCCCCTAGTGACCTGGTAGGGATAGCTCTCCAACAGAAAAACGAGAAAGCTGTGAAGCACGCGGGCATATTTCTGGGCACTGGCTGCCTCCTGGAGGGGTTTGAAAGGGCGCAGAGTCACATGCTCAATGTCAAACCTATTGAGAAGGCATCGAACATGGCGAGAAAGGAGAGGGATGATCTTCTGGCCTTTGGCGAATATATAGGTGGTGCAGGCAGTCAGGAAATCATGGATTCGATCTAGAAAAATATGAAAAAAATTAGTGCATGCCATATATATATATATATATATCAATAGGTAGATAGATATAGATATAAGCTCTAAATACTCTTGAACATCAAACACAAGGATACATGCATTGTTAGGGTTGTTCATTTCCCCATACAAAATATATGGCAAAAGAAACATGGGTTAGAGTGGTAGAGGTATCCCTCAGAGAAAAGAAATTAAACTCACCAGAATGCTCTAGGGATAGAGAGAAGAGATTTCTTAGCTTTGGGAGGGAGCGTTGCTGCAGGAACTCTGGATACCTGGTGTGGAGCTGAAATCCATTGAGCTCATCCCTAGACCCAGAGAGATAGATCTTGGCTTGCTCTGGCTGGGGCTTCTGGATTTCCTGGTACTGACGGAGCAGGGAATCCACCAGATCTGGGGTGATGCCAGAGTCAGGCTGCGACGAAGAACCAGGCCTAGAAATACATATTAGTGAAGGCGTAGAGGATACATATCTACATAAATATATAGACCACACCTGGTAGGAAGACTGGCAGAGGGTCCAAAGGCAGAAGGGGCTCTCAGAGAGGTATTGACATCCCTATACAGTGAGAATCAGCAAGATATATATTCAAAATGAGCAGTGGGAATGCTTACCTGGCAGAGACCATCTCAATGTCAGAGTCACTAGACTCAACCACCCTAGGAAATAGTCAGTGAGTGCATATTGCACCTGATACATATTTTCTTACCTAGCGTGGTGGGCATAGTGTGGCTGAGATGGGCCAGGGGTTGGTGAAGGACTAGAGGTGCCTGCCCTAGTAGGAGCATGGTCCCCTAGAGGGTGAGATGGAAGCCGCACTTTGAAAAAGTAACGATTTGGCTGCAATGCCTGGGCCAGAGTATCTATAATGGTAGGATACTGAGCATGACCTCTCTGGTGCTGATGGGCCTTGGTAATATGGCGATTAGCTTTGTCCATGGATTGAAAGAGCTCACCACAAGCACTACATTCCCTAGCTTGAAAAGAGCTCAATCCCTTAATGGGAGCAATTGGCTGGTCATTCTGAATTTGGTGAAGAGACCTAGTAAGAGGGAAGATATCAAGCCTCTCAATGATAGCCTGATAGCCAAGGTTAATAACTTGATGTTGAGTCATCAAATGGTCTTTCCTAAGGTGTTCCACAGCCTTATTCTTAGGAAGAGCAGTATGGCATTCCTTACAAATAAGGATATGGAAGGTAGGGTAGTAAATAAAAAAATCAGGAAGCTCAGTGGCCATAGTGAATAGTAAATCAAAAAGGAAAATAAGTAGAGGGTTTAGAAAGTTGAAGACAGTATAGCAATGGAGATATAGGTAATATGAAAAGAAATATTGCCAATATTACTTAGCTAGAGGACCAACCTCAAGGGATGTCAACCACCTATTTATATTATAATATGAAGAGCTTGAGACATTCCATGTTGTAAATTTAATTTCTTTCAGTTTCAAAAGATGATATCATACTTGTGGTGGTGTCATTTTGGGATCCTCAGGATCCTCTGGGAGGTGGTATTCCTGAAGTCCAGCTGAGCGATCCCCCACTCTGTGCCGTCCCCCCACTCTATGCCGTGTCCCCTATCTAGCTGCGCCACCATAGCAATTGCAGATCTTAAAAAATCCCTCATCTTATTAATCCTGCCATTTATTGATTTCAAATCATCTTATTCTAGGCTGATACCCCTGCCTAGTTGTTTAGGTTTCTTTCTAATATATCGATATATATATATATGTTATCTCATGTATATAATACCTCTACCACCATGTCTAAACTATAGTAATATTATTAGTGTATTAATAAGAGACCTTTTCTACTTCACTGCAATAGAATTTCTAACTCTAAACCTCCATATATCCTTCTCTAAACCACCTTAGAATGCAAGACCTTATTTATTATAATACTCTTATTAGTTGCTATTGTCTTAGCTACTATATTATTAAATGACTACCTTCCTAATTGGGAACTCAAGGTCACATAACCCTGTCACGGAACTCAACTAGACAATAAATAGGATGCTATTCAACTATCTAGGCAGTTATTGACAAGAACTTCAAGCATGGAGAGGAGGGAAAAGGGAAGAGATCTACGTGAAGCTGGACGACGTATTCCTATCCACGCGCCACGCTAATCCAAATAAGGAAACTCACGTTCTCATCCTGGTCTACATGGCAAGGGCCCTGACAAACCCCTCTGTGAGCATTGAATGGGCTACAGACCCCTAGAGAATATTTCTATATAGCCTGTAGTGGCTACATATTAGGCTAGAAAATATATCTACTAATCATTTGTTATCCCTTTTACCATATAATATATGTATATATATGCAATATCAATATATACGCAGTAATTATACCTTATAGATTAGGATTCTATTGTATCACTACTAAAATAGGCCTAACATCCTGACAAATTTAGAGTAAGAGTATAAGAATAGTAGTATAGTCATTTTCTATCTTGCTATGATAGAAGTCCTATCGTCAAACCGTGATATCTCCTTATATAGACCACTTCAGGGAGTGCGACTATGTTCATTGTAATCCTGTCATAAAATGCCTGAGAATGAGCTATAGATCAACCACCTTCCTAATTAGGCAGTTTAGGTCACGTGACTTTTTTGGCTCCTGATTCGTTTGATGAATAGTACAAGTCAGAATATACACCTTCCTAATTGGGAAATAAAAGTCCCCTGACCCCTCTAGACCCCAATGACATCAGCATATTCAATTCTGAGTTCAATTGGCCTACTAGATAGCCTATAGCAGTGCTATCTACATATTACCCTATCTGGCTTAGGGTTAATTTAAACCTGCTTATGTCATCAATCGAACTATACTAGCAGAAACTAGACCTGATTAGGATCACTATGATACTAGTCTGACTTCCTAATATGGCCTAGTTCTTGAGATAAAGATGGGTCAAAATAATTTCTGACCCATCTTTTTTAGGGTCACTACCCATTCTAATTTCCCACCAGACCCAAGTTGGGTCATTGTACAGAATATGACTTAGGCCCGAAGACTAAGAGTGAGGTATTAATTGAAGCCGATGGAGTCAGCTTGTTGTTTGTAACAGACCGATTAGTGCATATTCTGGACTAGGACACTTTCTGTATCAGACCCTTTAGTCGTCGATGCTTGCATGATGGCAGTTTTTAGTCTCCACCGAGAACAATGGTGATGTGAACAGGGTTGAGTCCACTCATTCGGAATGGAAACTTACCCATTGTAGGCCAACAGGAGAAAGCGACTGATCGTCTTGCAGCTACGAGAGGCGGCACCGCAGTCAGGCAGAAGCATTAACGAAAGTTGCAGCATGTGCTTTTCGTGAACGATAACAACTCCCATAGGGCATCCTGAAGCCGAGAGTACGAGAACCCGGATAACGCCTACATCCCAAGCGCCCGAGGCAGTTTCTCAAGCGGGGGATGGGATGGAAGACCCTGAACAGTTTCGATGAAGCTGAATGGCCTCAATGACCGCGAGATGCCTGTTCGAAGTGACCAGCGCATGCCAGGAGAAGGAAGACATAAATCTGGCGGGACCAACCAGCGGATCCCTTGCCCACTGATCTGCAAGGCCGGTGGATGATACTCCGCAGAGTTTGAATTCTCTTTCACATGCTGAAGTGGACTTGCCGTTCCGAAATGGCGGCCGCAGGAGGGATATAAACCCCATCGGTGGGCGGCCTGGATGCCTCTAGGTATTTCCAAAAATAGTCATTCACCACATCTTCCATGACAGTGACCATGAACAAGCCGCGAAACACCAAGGATTCGATGAAGTCCACCTGGCGCACCCTCGATCGCAGCCAATGGACCGGGTTCCATTGGTTTTACGAGATCCTCGGCATCCATCCCGTCGACCTGGACCAAGAGGTGCCGGTGTGGTCGAAGGAGGACAAAGTGCCCTGGGTGCCTGAATGGCACTTGCATCGCTGGGTGCTGTTCCACGCATTCATCCCCATCGCTGTTCATCAGCTCTACGTATCCTTGACCGGTCACAATCTGAGTCCTCTTGTAGCCGTGTTCTTCTACCACGTCGCCTTCACGCTCACCGGGGTTCACGAGCTTCACGTCCTCCGTCGAATGGGCCATAAGCTTGGCTTTCTAGACGGCGATCAGCATGCCCGGGACGGTGTTCCAGATGTCGGCGTGGCCAAGGTCGTGCATTCCCTCGTGTCCACGGCGGCCTTTCGACCCATGTTCACCATCTTCCTGAGCTACCGCACCAGTCTTCCACCGTCGTCCATGAACTGGGCCATCCTGCCCCTGGAAGCCGGCCTCTACGGCATCGTCCTGGACTTCTGGTACTACTGGTACCACCGTCTGATGCACGAGGTGGACAGTCTCTGGAAATACCACCGTACCCACCATCTCACCAAACACCCCAACCCGCTGCTGACCCTGTACGCCGATATCGAGCAGGAGTTCTTCGACATCGCCGGCATCCCACTCCTGACCTACTTCACCCTGAGGCTGATGGGCTTCCCCATGGGGTTCTACGAGTGGTGGGTTGGTCACCAGTACGTCGTGTTTGCCGAGCTGGCTGGCCACAGCGGACTGCGTCTCCATGCCGTGCCCCCGAACACGCTGTCTTGGTTGCTGAGACGTGTCAACGGGGAGCTGATCATCGAAGATCACGATCTGCATCACCGGAGGGGCTGGAGGCGCAGCTACAACTACGGCAAACAGACTCGCCTCTGGGATCGAGTCTTCGGCACCTGCGGCCCTCGCGTCGAATGCTACGAGGAGAACATTGACATTGACAAGAAGGTCTCGATGCCGCTGCTGTGATTGAGATTTGATGGGACCATGTTAGTTGGGTGAATGCGGCATCGGGACAAAAGGAAACGGTGTTGAGAGGGTCATTGCGTGTTTCAGGATTGATGAACGATATTTAACGAGACTTATGGTAGTATATAATAGGGGGATATGGAGGATCTGTCATTACTATTAGGTGCTGGTTCCATGGTTGCGAGGGTGTGCGTGAGTGCGTGAGTGAAGCCTTGGGCATCTGCGCATCCAACTCACATTGACATTCATTCATGTATACTCTGGACATGGTTTAGATGAACGTGGGAATTAGGAGAATGTGATTCATGGTCTAAGACTCTTCCGCCAGGACGACTGGAGACACATTGTTTCTGCTTGCAGTCCCAATGTCTGCAAAGCGGCCTTGGCCGCCCGTAGAGACGCGGAGGGCGTAAGCAGTGACTCGTTGTTTACATTTAAGCGAAATAAACGCACCATTGACCATCCAGCCTACACCACACCAGCATTGGCAATTCTTCAACTGGTTGACAGCAATACAACAAAACGAATGGCCAACACCAGTCGTCCACCAGGAGCGCTCGTCGCGGATCCGAGTCGAGCAGCGCGATTGTCACGTATCACACTCCAAGGCCGCACGGTCTCTTCGCAGCCAATCCGGGAATCCGACGCAGACTCCCTGTTCACTCATATCGGCGGAACCGACAAGTCCTGGCGGTGGGATTATATGCCCGAGAGTCCCTGCGCACCGTTCCATCGAGATTGGCCATGTCACGTACCTGCCTACCTGCAGCGGACAACAGCCGTCGCGCTACGCCTTTCGTGATCTGGGATACCGTCGCCTAGAGGGGAAAGGCAATGATTTAAACGACGCCTCGAAGAAAGCAGCGACGCGCTATGGGTTCACCTTTGAAGGCTTGTCTCTCCGGCATTATCATTATATCATCACGGATGCAACAGGGGTACAGCGTGGTTCTCGATACCGGATTCCAAATGGGAGGGAGGGAACGCGTCTGCCTTTGAACAGTGCTTGGATCCGCGCAATTGCGACTCAGAGCGAAGACAGAAAAGGATAATGGAATAATTCGGCTAGTTGACAGCCTGAAAGCCAAGGCCTGTGTTTATTTAATCTGCATCGAGTGGATTCCGCATGTCCCAGGTCCACAGGGTCCAAACCCAGAATCCTTCGATCTCTCCAGAACCAATCCCTCCGTATTGACATCATCGTCGCACTGTCAAGCCATGCAAGGCCGACATTTACAATACAATATCCCGGCGGGAAGGGCGTCATTATGTCCACAACGAAGCAGATCATTGCACAGACAGAGACCTTCGACTATCAGCAAGCGACCCTTGCTGTTCAGGTAATCAATCCGCCTCACCGACGCTATCAGAGTTCCGGTCCGAAATCTTGTGCCTGTACAGCCCGACTGTTTTCGGATATGAGACGCATTGGCAGTCTGCTGGCAGGAATCCACCGATAACCCATACCCTTCTCAGATTAAACAATCCATCCGCGTCATCCGCGCCATCCGAATCCGAGTTTTCATCGGTTTCCATCGTGTTTTCTGGGAGAGCACGCGGCCCGCCGAGCGCAACCGAGTGCAGCCGCGCCTAGCCGCGCCGCCGAAGCCCTGAAGAAAGCCGTACAGTATGGAGAATATTGGACTGCTGAGGATTCTTGTTGCTGTTGTCTCCGAATCGCCATTTCGCAGAGATAACAGAGTGGACTGAGGCGATGGGTCGTTTCGGATTGCCCACAACGTGCCACTGTCGGTGGGAATTACAGTGGCTCTATAAATACTGCCGCAGGGCAGACGGAAAGGGTGTACAGAGGCTTCATTGACCTGTTTCACGCCCTCGAACTCAAGACACAGCATTTCCTGCCTACTCTTCTGCCCCATCTGTTCTCATTGCCATCCTGGCGCTTATCCTCAATGGGGTCCCATGTTGATACGGTTGACTTGGTTGAGTACCTCTTTGCGAGGCTCCATCAACTGGGCATACGATCCATCCACGGAGTACCGGGTAGGATAACCAGTCCTCTGGCTATTTGGCTCGGGGGAGTTGCTGATTGATCTCGCAGGAGACTTCAACCTGACGGCGCTGGACTACCTCGACGCTGCTGGCCTTCGTTGGGTTGGCAACTGCAATGAACTCAATGCGGGTTCGCATCTTTCCACCCCTACCCCAGAACGGACGGATTGCTAATCTCGGATCTCTAGCGTACGCCGCCGATGCCTACGCTCGCATAAATGGCGTATCTGCCCTGGTCACAACATACGGTGTTGGAGAGCTGTCTGCAATCAACGCCATTGCAGGAGCCTATGCGGAGCACATTCCTATCGTCCATATTGTAGGACAGCCCAGCACGCCATCACAGCAAGCTAAACTTCTTCTCCACCACACACTAGGCGATGGGGATTACGATATATTTGCCGACATGAGCGCCAAGGTCTCTTGTGCCGTAGCAAGGATCACCGATGCCTCGCGGGCTGCTAGTCAAATTGACTCCGTACTCGAGGAATGCTGGAAGCAGAGTCGCCCTGTATACATTGGTCTTCCGACTGATCTGGTCAAGGCACAGTTAGACGCCTCCAGACTTAGCAAGACTCTAGACCTCACATTACCCGAGAACGATCAGGAAACGGAGGCTGCCATGGTCGATTCGGTGCTGGAGTCACTTCGCCGGGCCAAAGACCCTGTCGTCCTCGTTGATGGATGTGTTTTCCGCTACCGCGCCCTCGATGAAGTCCATGATGTCATTTCTGCTCTCCAGATTCCTGTCTACGTCGCTCCAATGGGAAAGGGAGCGGTCGACGAGGCATTACCTATCTTCGGAGGTGTATACTCTGGAATGACGGCTGACGAGGCCGTGCGCAGTCGAATCGAGTCCTCAGACCTCGTCCTCGTCTTTGGCCCTATCAAGTCCGATCTGAACACATCCGGTTTCTCCACGAGACTCCGCCGCGAGAACTGCATCGAATTTCACAAGGACTCCGTACAGGTGCGGCACTCTGTCTTCCCAGAGTTGCGGTTGAAGAACGCATTGAAAGCCCTTCACGTCGCCCTGAGTCAACACCAGGATCTCATCCAAACCTCCAGGCCTGTTGCAAAGCGACCCGAGTATCCTTCGTCCAAAGGAACAGCCATCACCCACGACTGGGTGTGGGCTCGCCTGTCCAGCTGGTTCCAGAATGGTGATGTTATTATCGGCGAGACAGGCACATCGACCTTTGGTGTCTGGGAGATGAGACTACCCAAAGCGGCGACTGTCGTATGCCAGGCACTCTGGTGCAGTATCGGCTACTCTGTGGGCGCCTGTCAGGGGGCCGCTCTCGCCGTGAAAGATTCCAAGCTGAACACCCGCCGTACCGTTCTCTTTGTCGGGGACGGAAGCTTCCAAGTGACCGCTCAGGAAGTGAGCACTATGATTAGGCACAACCTGCATCCCATCATGTATGTCATGCTGGTATACTGGGCGCATTTCAGTGCTGACAAGTGACAGATTCGTTGTCTGCAACGACGGCTACACCATCGAAAGATTTGTCCACGGACCGGAAGCGTCGTACAATGACATCCAGCCCTGGAGATACAAGGAAATCATGACTCTGGTCGGCGCAGAGCCGGATCAGTACCAGGTGCATTCAGTACAGACCAGAGACCAGCTCGAGGCGCTTATTGCAGACAGTGACTTCTCACACCCTACCCGTCTACAGGTGAGTCTTAATGCACTCCGTCTCTTGTTGCCAGCACTAACAGGCACACAGTTTGTTGAATTGCATATGCCCAGAGATGATGCCCCGGTCGCACTGCAGGCCATGGCCAAGGCTGCTGCTTCACGAAACGCTTAATGACCCCGTTCTTATATAGATATTAATAGAGCTCAACAGAAATAGATATTATTCAGCTCGAGTCGACTTCAATGAACGCGTATATGTAGATTCCTGTCGAGACAGGTCTTATGTAGGCATCTTCTCTATATATCCCATCAATAAGCATCTACATTGTTCATGCCAACCAACCCCACAGCTGTGCTCACGCTACCTGCTCAGAATAAGACAGCAATGACTTCGTCGACTACGACTTGGCCTGAGGCTGCGGAGCCGGCACCTGGACCAGTCCCTTCTTCTCCAGTTCACGGAGCTTGACAAAATCCTTCGAGGCCACCCCGCGGACAAATTCCTGCATCCACGTCGGCAACGCACGGAGGAAGGCGAGGGGAACATGTGACAGCGGAAGAATAACTTGTCCACTGGTCTGGGTGACGACCTGCTTGACAACGGCGGAAGAGACCATCTCGGGGGTCAAGAGGCGCTGCTTGAAATGGCCGCCTGCGCCGGTGAGGATGGAGATCATCGGCGTGCGCACCCAGAGCGGATGAATGATGCTGTGTCAGTGTGAGTAGCGGAAGAGAAACACCTATCGTCGTGTTGCAAGCATACCTGGTGCGGACTTTGCCCACTTTGTGCCAATGCTTGAGTTCCTGCGTCAGACCCTCGTGGAAAGCCAGCGCGGCGGCCTTGGTACAGCTGTAGTCGACAATCTCCCCTGGAGCGATGAAACTGGCCAGACTAGCGATGGTGATGATGTGGCCGTGGTTCTTCTGGATCATGTCCGGCACGAATTCCTTGACGGTCCAGAAGTGGGAGATGGTGTTGACTTCAAAGGTGCGACGGATGTCGGATTCGGACTCGTCCAGAATCGTCCCTCCACGCCCGAACCCGGCATTGTTGATGAGAATGGTCGGATGGCCATGTTTCTGGCGGATCGCAGCGGCAACCTCCTTGAGATTTGCTGTGGAGGTGATGTCGCATTGGTAGAAGGACGCAGTGGAAGCTGAGCAGCGACTGTTAGCACAACCTTCACGCACAGGATCCATCCTTCGCGGGCAACGAACGCAGCTCAAAAGTCGGCGCCTGCACGTCTAGCACGACGACTTTGATGTTCACCTTGGACAGATCCTCCAAGATCTGCTTTCCGATGCCACTGGAGCCTCCGGTCAAGAGGACCAGCTCGTTCTTGGGATTCCAGGGATCCGACCTCTGGCAGTTGACAGACCAGCGCGACAGGATCTTATTAAGAGCATAAAGAGCAGCCAGCGCAAAGATGGCACCGGCGGCCAATTGAGTCGACTGTTGCTGCAGCAGAGCGCGGTGGACGTTCTCGGGGAGCCGGTCGATGGCAGTCTGCCACCACTGCGACACGGTGGCCACGGTTAACGTGTCCATGATGTATCTATCTGCCGGGGTAAAGAAGGCAGACGGGGTTGATTGACGACTGGGGTAGATGGCGATCTTTTGAAGGCGCCGAAGGCATCTAGAGCACTTGAAAAAAACACCAAACCTCGGCCCCGGCGGAGGCAAATTGGCGTTGATCCACGATTTCGCCTGCGGGGGATCTTCTTCCAATCACGACCAGCCGCCGGCGTTCATAATTATCGTCCGTGGATGCGCATGGGTTGTGCCTATTATTATTCGAGGTATTTCTCGGTTCCGGCCAGACTTCGTTTGTCGTTGCAGCTGGCATGTGCTCGAGTCATTGCCTCGATCGAGCAACGCCTGCGAGGCTAGAGAACCGTCTTATGCTTAGTCGGTGGAGCATGCTAGCTTGGAGCTGCATCCTATTACGGAGGAAATTAATTAACGAGATAACGTCGTACAACGACGTTTGGCGCATGTGGAGGCCTCGGCGCTGAGACAACCAGGGTTTCGCCACTTCTGTCACCGGTCCAGTTGAGCCGGGGGAAGCTTTTTCTGGAACATTTCGTGCTCCGGACGACATGGGCTTGCTCGACAATTTGGTGGTATCTGCAGTGGCCGCGGTGGTTGAGGCATATGCCGTGCGAGCCCTGCTGCCGCAACACGACTTGCGGTCAATCCTATACATTGCATTCGGAGTGAACTCCAGCCTGTGCCTTGCATGGGCGTCATTCATCTATCCCGTTTTCGTCAATCCGCTGCGGCATCTTCCCCGGGTTGGGGTACGTCCAGAGCATGGAAACAAGGTTCATCGTCATCCTGGAATCCCCGCGAGGGAAAACACCGCTGAAATGGATGCGCACCACTCCCAATGACGGTCTCATACGACTTCGCAGCCTGTTCAACAGGGATGTGCTCCTCGCGACGAACCACCAGGCGCTGCTGGATGTCATGAGCACCAACACATATATGACGTTGAGAAGCCCTGGAAAGTTCGCAATTTCCTGGCCCGCGTCATCGGCTTTGGGTTGATCTTGTCCGAGGGACCGCAGCACCAGAGACAGCGGAAGGCGATCACTCCGTCCTTCAACATCAAGATCATCCGCGCCGCGTGTCGGCTCATGTGGGAGAAGACGGGGATCCTACTAGAAGAGGTTGGGAGGATATCCTGGCCCGTCCTGTCGAGGGCACCAACCCCAGCGATGGCATGGGAAACGTTGAGGTGAGTGAATGGGCAAGGTCGATCGAGATCTACAAATGATGTACTATCCATAGCCGCTTTTGCTAACTTGATCGAACGCTCGTCCTAAGTCGCCTTACGCTTGATGTGATCGGAGCTGCTGCCATGGGCCGGGACTTCCAATCCCTCACGCACGACAGGAACCAGGTCTCCGACAGCTTCCAGGTCATCCTAGAGCCAAGCTAGGGACAAGATCGTTTTCCTGGCGCTGAATTTGATCCTGCCCCAATGGATCTCCAGGAGACTCCCGCTGAAACTGAGCGGCGTACTTGACACCGAAACCGGGTTCTTGCGTCGAGTATGCGGCGAGATCGTACAGGAAAAGCGGTTCGCCATGTCGCGCAAGAACGCCGAACAGGAGCCGGAAGCTGATATCCTAGGCTCCATGCTTCAGAACAGCGGCTTCACGAACAGCGAATTGATGATCAGGTGCTGACGTTTCTGGCTGCTGGTGTAGGCCAGCCCTCGACCATGTTGGACATGCGGAATCTGACATTGGCGCAGCATGAAACCGCTGCCAGTGCCCTAACCTGGGCATGCTACCTCTTCCGCCTCCACCAGGACGTCCAGCGACGCCTGCGCGAGGAAATCCGGTCGAGAATCCCGTCCGCCGCTTCTTCCGTCACCTGGAACGCGCTCGAGTCTCTTCCGCTCCTGAACGGCGTCTGTCAGGAGGCGTTACGCCTCTATCCCACGGTTCCGACGACGATCCGTGAAGCCGTGCGCGACACCACTGTCGCCGGCACTCGTATCCCGAAGGGAACGCACATTGTCCTCTGTCCGTACGCCATCAACCGCTGTCCGTTGCTCTGGGGCGCGACCGGCGAGCCATTCATGCCGGAACGCTGGATCGATTACGGGAAGAACGGCGAACCGACCGTCAATGGTCACGGCGGAGCGTCGACAAATTATGCACAGATTACCTTTCTACATGGGCAGCGTTCGTGTATTGGTGGAGGAGTGGTAGGTGGTAGGTCATTTTGGGGGTGTTGGATGTATTCAGGGTTTATGGCATGTGTATAAATGATAATATCCCAGACTTTGATTCTCGTTATGTGCATCCCAACCGATCCCTCTTTGCAATTACTTTTATCAGGCCATCTCACAGCAAGTCGATGAGCCAGGAGTAGAGCTTCAGACCCTGAGTCGTCTCCGTCTTATCTCCAAGATACAGGTTATACACCGGTGCAACGTGGCACTCGCGATCGCCAACAAAGAGCTCTGCATCGGGGAATGTTTTCTGCAACAGCAAGAATGTCAATCAGCAGGGCTCGCCTAACCTCTAGCCACACCGTAAGCCAAGGATACTAACCGTAAGCTTCGCCATAAACTCCTCGATAACCGGCATTAAAATCTCATTGCCGCCCGCCAGCACCAAGAGTTTTTCCACCTGGAAATCCTTGTACCAGTCTTCCGGAGCGAGCACCACGTCCGTATAGTTGTCTCTCGGCCTCCCACCTAGGTAAGCCGGGGCCCAGACCTTAGCCACCGAGTCTGCGATCAGATCACCCGTCGGGTCAATTTGCCGGTCGCCAAAGTCCGTTTCGAGGTAGACCCACGGCGAGAGAGCGATCGCGCCGGCCAGTTTGACGGATTGCAGCCCCAATGGCTCGATTTCCGGGTGTGGGTGCGAGATGTGCGACAGGACGCCGAAAAGGAGGTTTCCTCCGGCGGAGTCGCCCGCAAGGCAGATATTCGAGGGACTGCGGTGGGGGGAGGCACTGAGGACGTAGCGCAGACATTCGACGGCTTGTCGCAGCTGAGTCGGATAGGAGGCCTGCGGCGCAAGCGTGTACGTCAGGCTGAAGACGGCCAGGGATTTACCGGCCTTGGTCGCCTGCTTCACGACGTTGTGGTAGAAACGGAAGTATCCGATGTTGGCCGGGAGGGCGAATCCTCCTCCTGTCGAGAGCAGTGTCAGTTGGAGCAGCAGAAAGACGAGGCAGTCGACACACCATGATACCAGACCAGGACATTCTTCGCATTCTTGTCGCCGATCCAGTGTCCCAGAGCGCCGTGGCCAAGCTGGACGGTCTCCGGAGTCTGGCGAACGCGGCGAGCGAACCGCGCATATGTCTTGCTGCTCGATGGGGAGAACGCCCTGCAGCCGGTCAGTGCTGGCTATCCAGCCGATCCAGGGACAAGAGAGCACTCACTGCAACTGCGCCGTGGACAGTCTCTGCGTCGACTTTCTCAGAATCGCATATCCGACGTGCAGGAAGAGACTCTTCGCCTGTCCCGGCCCCCGTGAGAACCCGGTCAGCGCAGCGTGGAGAGCAGCCAGGACCAGGCGGAAAAAGGCCGGTACAAAGTCGAGGAATTCCTTCAGGGACAGTCGGGCCTTCTTGGGCACAGAGACAGCATCGGCCTTGACAACCATCTTGACGGCGCTACGGCATAATGCACCGCATGTCGAGGGCAAACCGGGCGCGTCGCCATTGTTTATTGCTAGCGGCGATAGTATTGTTTAGTGCGCGGTGGGCTTCCTGGGCGATATTATCATATGAAGATTCGCCGGCCGAGGCTCATGCTGCATTATCGCTGGCATCTGAACAGCGAACGACATCAGAAATGCCGATCTCGAAATTCCCCACGCTGCCTGGACCGCGGACCTGGCAGCCTCTGGCCTGTGAATCTGCATAAATGCCCTTCCCCAACGGCGGAAGGATTCGGATTGTCGGGAAGCTGATGGGCTGACATCGCTGCAAATAATACGCTGCTGTTCCCCAGATTCGCAGGCAAGCAATCGAGATGAGTTCTGGCACCCGAAAGCTTAGTATTCTGTGTTGTTAGCCTGCCGTCCAGGAGGGCAAGACAGGAGAGAGAAGACTTTCTGGTCAAGCCGGCTAACCGAACGGCGAACTTCACTTTCGCACAAATCACCCCCAATATCACGATGAACGGCACCGCGGCGGACAACACGTTCGATGTCGTCGTCGTCGGCGCGGGCATCTCCGGCATCAATGCTGCGTATCGAGTCCAGAGCCAGCTGCCGGGATACTCGTACGCCGTCCTGGAAGCGCGCGACTCCGTCGGGGGCACCTGGGATCTCTTTCGCTATCCCGGAATCCGCTCCGACTCGGATCTCTTTACGTTTGGCTTCCCTTGGAATCCATGGAATCAGCCGGAGGCCATCGCGGCCGGCGGCGCCATTGTCCAGTACATCAAGGACAGCGCGGCCAAGTACGGCATCGACAAGCATATTCTCTTCCAGCATCGCCTGACGCTGGCCTCTTGGTCGACTGAGGAACAGGCCTGGACGCTCTCGGTTCAGTCGAATGGCGAGACGCTTCAATACACCACGCGCTTCTTGATCTGGGGCACCGGCTACTACAACTACGACACGCCGCTGCCAGCAATCATCCCCGGGCTGAAGAGCTTCGAGGGACAGGTTGTCCACCCGCAGTTCTGGCCCGAAGACCTGGATTACACCGGTAAGAACATCGTCATCATCGGCAGCGGTGCCACGGCCGTGACACTGTTGCCCAACTTGGCCGGCAAGGCTGCGAAGGTCACAATGTTGCAGCGGAGCCCTAGCTATATCCTGTCACTCCCTAATCCCACCAGACGATCGTGGTACAGCTGGTTCATGCCGGAATCATTGTATCTCCGGATCAAGCGTCTCTCGTGGATGCTCTCTGCGCGTCTCCTTTTCCTCTTCTGCCAGACATTCCCCACGATCTCAAAGCTGGTGCTTCGGTGTTTGACTACCCTGCAACTTCCCAAGGACATTCCCTTTGACCCGCACTTCAAACCATCCTACAACCCCTGGGATCAGCGTCTCTGTCTCTGCCCGGGAGGCGACTTCTTCAAGAGTCTGCGGAGCGGCAAGGCAGATGTCAAAACCGACACGATCTCCAGGGTTGTCTCTGACGGTATCATGCTGAACTCGGGCGAAAAGCTGCCTGCCGACATCATCGTCACTGCCACCGGTCTGAAGGTCGAGATTGCGGGTCAAGCGCGGGTGGAGGTAGACGGGAAGAAGGTTCGTATCGCGGATCACTTTGTCTGGAAGGGCATGATGGTGCAGGATATTCCCAACACGGCGTTCATCATCGGCTACACCAACGCGTCCTGGACTTTGGGCGCTGATGCCACTTCGCGCTTCATCTGCCGCTTGCTCAAATACCTGGAGCGCAACAAGTTTACATCCGCCGTACCCCGTCTGGACAGCAGCAACCCGGTCAAACCCGTCCGGCTGCTGAACCTGAAGTCGACGTACGTGGAACGCGCGGAGAAGGACCTCCCCAAGGCTGGTGATAGCGGCCCATGGCGGCCACGGGATAATTATATCGTGGACTCGCTATTCGCCGACTACGGTGACATCACAGATGGTATGGAGTTTACGAAGGGCACGGGCTTGAGACTGCACCCGAAGTCGCTATGATTGAAACGGCCGTTGGTCTGGACGAGTTGCACAGGTCTGCTTCTTTTGATATTTCAGTATGTAGTGGGTTTTATTATGGTATATAGCTCTGCGCGGATCCGGGGCTTTCTTCGTGTCAGTAACATTCAATGAAATAGTGAAATAGCCGTATTCTATGGTGTTTCTTTTCAAGCATCCTGAATAACCAACTTCCGGGCTGCTCATACGGCCACAATTTTGTGAACAGCCCTCTCTCCATCACCCTTGGCTAGTGCAATGAAGATGTTCTGCGACTGTTCCATGGGCCACTTCATAGTGTTTTGGTTCGGCCATGCCGTCCACCGGGAGTGCCTGTTCTACGGACTGAATAATCATCACCTAGCGGGTCGCATAGGAAAGATGGCATACGGTACCGAGAACCTTTGCGAAGATCAACGAGCATCTGGACACGCTGGACACGCTGCTGCAGGTTAACCTTCACATAGCTCTTGGAAAGCTCAGCCTCTTTGTTGAAACCCGAGTGGTGTCAGTGTAAGCCGTAGTCTCCATGTCAGACCTCCGCTGCTTGTCTTCCAGGTACTAGGGGAAGCTGTGCCTTCGGAAAGACTCTCTCATCACACCAGGCACATACCAGGAGACAGGGCAAGGCCCGGGCTGAGCTACCCAGAGGCAACGCGCAGCTCGATACTCCAAAGTGGAGAAAGGAACAGCGGCGAACTAGTCATGTATGATACAGCGAGGGCAGAATCTAGACCGGCCAGAATGGAGAGCTTTGTCTGTTCATCATGTGAGGATGGATGCCGTCGCATTACCCACCGCTTTCCTAGGAAATGCATGGACCGCTGGAGGAGCTAGTAAGAAAACACCCAACATAACAGCCCCTATCACTTTCCTTATGGTAAAGGAAGTGTTGCTTCCGCGAACAGATATGAACGACTAGTTTCTTAATATTGTGACATCGGCTTCATATTCAGGGCCATCATCAGATTCAGATACCTCTCCGTCACTAGAGTCATTCAGAAGTTCTGAACTTGAGTTAGCCTTAGGACAAGGTCGGATAAGGTTCTCTGGTATTCCTTGCCGATCGAAAAAAGCTCATAAGAGAAAGTAGTTTTACTGCAGACGGCTTTATATGGCGAATATAGTTGAATAATAGTAGCCAAGTCACTGAGATTGAGTTCACTGCCTCCCAATCCTGGCAAAGACAGCCCTCTTCCTTTCTAAGCAGCTTTGTCGCTTCAGGATCACTTCCTTGGAAGTCTGCTAGATATTGCGATACCGAATACAAGGCACCCGATTCACAATATAACTAGCCGCCTGGACGATCACAAGTAGCATAAATTCGAGCTCTTCGACTAATTGTCGGCTCTTGGGGCTCTCTGCTTGTTCAAGCTTTTCCTGGAGAAGCTCTAGTGCCACAGGCTTTTCCATCGGTTGCACTTCAATCAGATCCCTTTGATTGACCCTCTTTACCGCAACCTCTTTGCTTCGACTTGTAATAATAATAGATCCATTCAGGCTTTTGGGAATGTATTCTGGTATTGGCTTTGTCAAGATGTTTGTTCGCTTTTTCGTTGGAGCTCTCTTCCTGCCGCCGGGTGCGAATAAAGGAACTCAACATCAGCAGCATTATCAAGGATTCAAATCCATTTCCCACTCTTCTCACCCCGCAGCCAGTTCTTGACCAGTTTGAATATGTTCACCTTGTGATCCTGATGACCCTGGTGTTGACTTAGTAGACACGTGACCTCCATTAGCTAGTTAGGGACCGACTCCGCCGACCCCCTTATCAATATAACCACGTCCAAGCCGTCACCTGGATCTTAACCTGGTTTGCGATGTCCTGGAAAATTTGCTCGAATCGGGCTTTGTTACTCGCATGAACTGAGAAAGCCCAGGTTTCCGTATTCGGATCGGACCTGATAGGAGTATTCGATGGTCAGTTGCGATTTCCTTCAAGTTGTGAGCAAAGGGAGGCCCGCCAGGCGAGGGGTGGTTGTGGTTGTGGTTGCAGATGGACTACATTTTATGATGACTAATATGAGCTAGTCCTAACTAGGAAGGAACTGAACCATGGGAACCACCAACAAAAAGTAATATGCTAGCACCTGTCCCTTCGACGACATATAGATGCAAGTCCCCAAGGGAACAAGGACTTTACTTTTCATTGGTTTCTATGAACATTTCAGGCAGTTGAAATCAGCAGCATCCAGGGCAAAAGAACCTTTATTTTCCGACTGATTGCGCTCAAAGGAGACATGCTGCGAAGGAATAAGGTCAACTTGCCTAAGAAAGTGCCCCGGTTAATAATGATAATTTGCATACCTCGGCAATGCAGAATTTATCCTATTATCCTATTTAACGTCATAAACATATCCGGGAATTCTCCGATAGCAGCCCATCATCCTGTCAGCTGTGAAGCATTACGAAATACATCCCAAAGCACAATGACAAGGTGGCGGAAATGCGGTTTCATTTCAGATGATTGCTGTATCCTCGAACTGGAGCATACACGATCTGCATTCGTCGGCAAGAGTACGATCCATCCACCTACTACGCACGCCGATCGATATATACAGTCATCGTTACCGGCGTTTGTTACCCTCTGCGTTTAGAATCCGCATGCTATGAGACTTCATTCTAATCACCGTTAGAAAGAGATGACAGAACTGTATCGACTACTGTCCGGTACTCGCGCTGTCGGCTGCACTGATCGAGGAAAACACGGTACTTGGTGGCGAGAAGAGTCCTCTCACGAGAGTCCTTGGTCGGATAGAAAAGTCGTCCTGGCTTACTCATTCTGTCCATGATGTCCACCAGGTCTGCTGTCTTCCCTGCCGCGTCCACACTCGCCGCTTTGGCACCCAGCATCGCCGCTCCATGGCACACGGCTGCGGTGATGTAGCAAGGCACCACGACGGGCATATCGCAGACGGAGGCAATCAGGCCGACCAAGATATCATTCTGGCACTGAGACCCGGACATGAAGATGGAAGTGATCCTGTGGCCGGACTGGTTCATGGCTTCAACTATCTGCCGGGTTTGTAGGGCAATGAACTCCAGTGTGCCGTAGTACAGCAGAGCCAAGTTATTGACTGACACATCGCTGGTGAGACCGATAATTGAACCTGTCATGCTAGGATCAGCCAGGGGAGAGCGGTTGCCGAAGAAGTCGCCGTAGAAGAATAAATGGCGTGCGATGTATGGGATACATGGGGCTTTCTGTTCTTTCGCCATGTCTTTCAACCGGTCATTGAGGAACGTAAAGATGTTCTTATTATGCAGGCCGGCGAGTTTCTCTGCCTGCTTGAACGCCGGATGGTTATCCAGGATGTGCTGGAGCAGCTGGCCGGTTGCAGACTGCCCTCCCTCTGCCATCCAGCAGCCGGCCAGGATTGTATCCCGGTAAGGACCCCAGACTCCAGGCACAAACACCGGATTCGGGGACATTACAAGATGGCATGTTGAGGTACCGGCCACTGCAGCTAGACGAGTAAAGAAGGCTTCACGTACGTCCGTCGAAGCCGCCAGCGGATTCCCTTCGATCTTGGAACCGACTGTTCCAATCCATCCGGCGTAAGCATCAATCACGCCGCTGCCGATGGGGATACCTGCAGGCAAGCCCAGCTCAGCAGCGGCCTTCTCGGACAGGTTCCCCACGGGTTCACCAGCATGAAGATGGCGACCGTTCTGTTATCGATCAGCATCTGCACCGTTCAGGATTGATCTCCAGAATCTACTCACCTCTCCGTGGATTCCGCCAAGCCTGCGGAAATCTTCGTCGCAGAAATCCTGGAGTCCAATCTCATGGAGAAAGTCCTTCTGCCATCCTGGCTCGGAACCTTCAATTCCATTTGGCAAGTATCCCTGCTTGCAAACAAGACTGCATAGACTGCGGGTTTCACCGCCGGTTGCCAGATGCGTCAGCGCGTCTACCAGATCGTAGAACTTGCATTTCGCGAAGATAGCAGCCGGCATGTTGTTTTTCAACCAGACAATTTTCGGTATCTCCATCTCAACAGACATCTTGCCCCCAACGTACTGCAGGACCTTGTGGCCCGTTGCATTGATCTTCTCTGTTTCCTTGACTGCCCGGTGATCCAGCCATAAGATCACATTCCGGTCACTGTCAAATGTGGAAGCAGTTACAGACACCGGGCCGTCAGTATCAGTAGAGAAGACTGCCAGGGAACAGGTTGCATCGAACCCGATTCCCCGGATCATTGATGACGGGATGTTCCTTTCCCTGAGGGCACGCCGGACAGCTGCGCAGATGCAGCGCCAGATGTCAGAGGTTGATTGCTCCTACCGAGCCGACGTAGGTCAGTACGTTGCACGATTAGAATATCGGAATTAATTAACAGGAGCCCATCCTACATAGTGTCCTTCTGGAGATTGCCACAGACTGATATTCTCTGAGGCCAGCCCGACAATGTCGCCGGTTTCATCGATGACGCAGGCACGGGCACTGCCAGTGCCGACATCGATGCCGATATAGTAATCTGTTTCCGGCTTCATTTGGTTTAGGATTTATTATTGTGGTACGGATACTTGGTAAAGACTATCGTGGTAGTTATATTGAAGTGGAATTGAACTGAGGAAGAGCAGCCCTCGACGAGAGACACTCCCGGCTTAAGACGGCATCGGCGAGTCCAGATGATCCTGCAAATTTTACGATTATCAATGAGAGGGGAGCAGCAATGCTCAGCAAGGTCTGGAGGAAGGAAGGATCAGAACGTTCCATCTCCACGAAAGGCATCACTTGACGCCTGAAGACGGGCATCTCTCCGAACTCCCCGAGACAAACTTGAAACCGGCCATCAGCTCAAATCCACCGGTCCCGGCGAGAAGTGTCCAGTCCCGACTTTCTCCCGTGCCTGACTGCAGACGGTCAAGAACAGGGCCGAAATGGTGGCTTGCCGAGATGCTGAGGACGGTGAACACGGCGTCACGATGCGGGTTCATAAGGACTGCTCCATTTTCTCCATTTTCTCACAGCAACACCGCTTCCTGCTTACTGGTATATAAAGATTCCGGATTGCAAGGTTCCGATGCCATGAAAATCCTATCCAAGCGAGGTATTGCGTCCCTGTTTAGACCGACGTCGAAAACCTTGATCAGATACGAGTGAACCTAATTTAAAAATGGGAGACCTGCAGGTACGTCCATCCATTCCTGTGAACCGATGGCCCTCCTTGTCTCACGGAAGCCGTAGAATCCATCGTTAGTGCTCAAGGACATTCTCCAGTTCGAGTTTGAGGACCGTCCGGTTCCGAAGCTGCAGGATGAACATGATGTTCTCATCAGAGTGAAATTCACCGGCATCTGTGGCAGCGATGTAAGTTTTATCCCCTGTGCGTGCAGGGTATCTGTTTTTGACCAGGAAATTGAGACAGGTCCATTACTGGCAACGTGGCCGCATCGGCCAATTTGTCCTGGAAAGTCCCATGGTTCTTGGTCACGAATCGTCGGGCATTGTAGAAAAGGTCGGCTCCAAGGTGGCCTCTCTCAAAGTGGGAGACCATGTTGCCCTCGAACCAGGCGTGCCCTGTCGGCGATGCAATTTCTGCAAAGGGGGCAAATACAATCTCTGCAGCGATATGGCCTTCGCCGCGACGCCCCCTTACGACGGCACATTGGCCAAGTACTATTCCCTACCGGAGGACCTTTGCTACAAGCTCCCACACAATGTATCCCTAGAAGAAGGAGCTGTCGTGGAGCCGCTCAGTGTCGCTGTTCATCTCGTTCGGCAGGCGGAAGTCCAACCGGGCAACTCGGTGGTCGTTTTCGGGGCTGGCCCCATCGGGTTATTATGCTGCGCCGTTGCGAAGGCATTTGGCGCTGCCAAGGTTATTTCAGTGGATATCCAGCAGAACAGATTGGAATTTGCCCGGAAGTATGCAGCGACATCCACTTTCCTGCCCGGCAAGGTATCCGCTGCTGGGAATGCCGCACGCCTCAGGGAGGAGAACGCACTCGGCGAAGGCGCAGACATCGTCATTGACGCGTCTGGGGCCGAGCCTTCTATTCAGGCTGGAATCCATGTTCTACGGGCCGGCGGAACATTTGTACAAGGGGGCATGGGGAAAGAGGAGATCAACTTCCCCATCACGGCGGCATGCACGAAGGAGTTGCATGTTAAAGGAAGTTTCCGATACGCGACCGGAGACTACAAGCTTGCTATTGGGCTTATTGCATCCGGAAAGGTCGATGTGAAGCAACTGATCTCGGAGACAGTACAGTTTCAAGACGCAAAGCGGGCCTTCGAGACGGTGGCTGCTGGAAGCAGTATCAAAATGCTCATTGCCGGGGTGCAGGCTAACTTGACAGAACAAGTATCCACGATATAAATCATGTACATAGAAGAAAGAACAGACGTTCGCGATAATAGACATGATCTGACTCATGAACCTCTTACGTCCCGAACCACCTCCTCCAAAATCTCTCGGTATCTTAGCAGGTCCGGCGCTTCTGCCGCCCAAAAGCTAAACTGGGCCAGGACCTTGGCAATCTTCCCCCCTATAGGCACAGGCAAATCTGCCCAGTACGACGCCCCGGGATTGCTCCCCCAGAGAGCCTCAGCACCACCGGGGATCCAAGCGGCATTCCCACTTTTGACCACAGCAAGCAGGGTCAGAGAGGAGCACATGATGCTTCGGAGATCATACCATAGACCGTGATGGCGATGACCGATTGACCGAACCTCCAGCGTCTTCAGATTACATTCTATGCCGGACGCAATCAGAGAGCGAAGTACTGCGAGATCCTCGTTGTCCAGGGGGGAGCCCCCATCCGCCACAGCCGCATCGTCGGGAAGTCCGAGAACGTGCGAACCGGCCGCAGGGTGTGCCGCGGGGAGAAAGGGATTCAACAGATTACTGAGACGGCCATCGCGAGTTCGTTGGTCGGGAATGGCTGTCGCATGGTACGGGTAGCTGCCCGACGTCGTCGACGGAAGACCAAGTCCCACATGGACCAGATAATACAGAAAGGGCTGATACAGCCAGGTCTGCATCTCCAGAAGCCGGTTATCCACTGCCCAGCTGAGTTCCCGGGAGACGTGGCCGCCCGCGCCCTGACTGTGGGAGTTGAGATGCGGTGCCCGGATGATCGACGTGGTTTCATAATGCTGCATTGCTGGCGGGAGATGTGCTGACCATGATGATACCTGAGCCTCGAACTCCTGTGCCATTCGAAGGAGAGGCTTGATGTTGAGCCAGGACGAGCGATCCTGACGGAAAAAGGTGTTGATGATACGATTGCCTATGCGGCGGAGAGCAATCTCCGTGAGATAATAATACCAGCTTTCTTCCTCGTTGCACAGGTTCTTCGCATGTTGCCGCAGTTCCTGCTCTTCGTCTGTAATGTGTGCCTGGGCATCGAAGTGGCCGAGGGGAGTCAACGAAGCCTGCCTGCCACCAACCGAACTCCTGTCGAGCAGGTTGGAGGTCGGGATGCTGGCAACATCTGTCTCATGCGGTGATGGGGGGGAGGGAAACAGATTGGGACACTCTCCGGCGCTGATTTCAGATTGAGGAAAAGGGAGCTCGACGCGAAACTCGCACTCGGATTTGAAGCACGACCAGTAGAGACTTTGCTCCAGCCGTCTGGTCTTGCGCTCTGCAGCCGTCAAAGGCTGCGAGGGAACACGCGTATGGCTCTCTGGGATACCGTGGGTGGTCTTGCGGTATAGCTGGTAGAGAACCGACGCATGGATGAAGTATTGCCAGGATAGAATCGGCCGCAGCGTGTACATGAGGTAGACTATGACCATGTGTTACAAATGCCGGTGCCTTCGAACGTTTGGGAATCAGACATACCACCGGCAAAGAAATAACACTGGGCTCCCAGCAATGTATGCTTCAGCGAGCCCAGACGACGGCAAGCGAGCGCAAAACACGACTCGGCCTGCTGCAGCTCTTTGGCGTACACATGAGCAGAACAACTCGCCGAGCTTGGTGCCAGGTCAACAGTTCCTCGCGGCAAGACTGGTTGTTGAGTGATAGACGTGCCGAAAGGCTTTGCAACAGTGCCCAGAGCGCATGCTAACAGCACCAGGCAGGAGAGTGCATCCCAGCCAACGCCATGCTCTGCACACCGACGGCCGTGTTTCACCAGTAATTCTGCATCGAGAAGGGGGTTTTTCGTGTGGACATTCTGCAGGAAGCTATCGATGAGGGATGGGATCTTCTCGTCATCCAGGGGGTGCAATCCGGTGCCTGTCATGACTCCATCCACGATGCTCGCCGGCGAAGACACATTCTCCTCCCTTGGCTGAAAGAGACCACCGATCAACGCGTCGCCGGGATACTTCCCGCGGAAGATCTCCCACTCCAGGACTGCATCGGCGCTGGCTCTGTGCGGAGGGATCTGGAGGAAGTCCCTTGACGATTCGATCGTAGACGCAGTCTGCATGATTCGACCAGCGGCATGGGGACTGGCTCGCATCCATGTATCGGGCTCTGTCTCTCTCGGAGCTTCATCTATGTGGAAATTGGATCAGTGAGCGTCTTCCATGCCTTGAATGCAGTGGTATTACCTCGTCCACAGACAGCTCGCTTTAAAATGTCAATATCCCGCTGAAGGTGATCCAGTTTCCCCAGCAGGGTCTCGGTAGCTCCTTCGAGGCTGTACTTTACTCGTCAGCGAGAGTTATGCCAATGGATATGTGTTCCTTTACGTCAAACTGTCCGAGGACTTTTCCTGGTACTCGCATGGAGACCCGCTGGACCTGCAGAACCCACAGCAGGGTTTCTGTTTGTCACACTTGATCTTGCGCAGGCGACATGGCTGACAGGCGGCCTGGCGGCGCCGTGGAACCTGGTGCTATGCTAATTAGCATCAGATCTGGGACATAGCCTGGTGCTTGCGTATCCCGGCAATGGCACGCCCGGAGATCCAGCATGGATTGCTCCAACAAGGGCATGGCAGCCACGTTCACCCAGATGCAGAGATGCAACTTACCCCGGAAGCATGCGACTCCCCGTTAATTCCCCGATGCCTCTTCGGCGGACGTTCCCCGAGGCCGTCGCTTGTCGTCGTGGGGATCGGCCTCACCTCGTTCTGGGGCGTTGACTCCGGGGTTGATGGCGAGGCCATGGCCGCACACGCATGGACAAATTCTGGATTACGCCCGCCTGACGGCCAAAACCATTCATTTAGATCCTCTGGGGCCCGGGGAGATCGGCCAATTTAACCGGCCAGGGAAGAACAGAGTTTGTGTTCGGCAAACGTCCGGATCTCCACACGCACGAAACGCCTCTTTTTTTCCCCGTGGAGTGCTCGTCCCCAGGTGCCCCTTCCCCGGCTCGGGTTGACTGATGGACTGATTATCTGGAGAAAAATCTAGCTTCCGTCTCTCCGGCTGTTTGCCGGGTTGGTCGCTGCGGAGGAGAATATGGGGGTGTTTAAAAGCACCGCTGACTCCCGTTTATTGTCGGTTTTTGCTTTTGGTACACAGCTATGCAACTCGGCCGGGGTAACGGGATTGCCTTCATCTTTATCATTTGGCCTCAGCAATTGATATACTTTCCTCATTTTCCTTGCCCGAGATAGCGCGGCTCTACGGAGTACATCTGCCGCCCACAATGGTTCAGGGCAGCCCCTTGTCCAGGTTCAATGTGGCCAACAGGCTATACAAACAATCCCTTCTCAATGCGGTCTGTCTAGTGGCCGGCGTCTCCATTTTCTTCTTTGGTTACGACCAAGGTATGATGGGTGGCGTGAACACGAATCGCCACTATGCTGAGTTGATGGGCTTCGGGCATTGGGACGAGCTGAAGAAAGACGTTGTGATAACCAGCACTATACGTCAGGGAAGCATTGTAGGTGTCCCATGCTTCCATGTTGATCACCTCTTGCGTGTATTGACTATTTTTGCTTCCTAGGTTGCCGTTTATTACCTGCCCGGTACGCTTTTTGGCTGCTTTCTCGGTGGTTGGCTTGGTGACCAATATGGCCGCATTCCCACAATCGGACTGGGTGCCGTCTGGTCCATCTTCGGTGCTTGCTTGCAGTGTTCGGCTCAGAATGTGAATTGGATGTACTGCGGTTAGTTTTCCCTGGGTATCTCGCTAGAACTTTTTATCATACTAACGACAGTGTGCAGCGCGTGTCATCAATGGAATCGGCACTGGCATTCTGAACGCAATCACCCCCGTCTGGGCTACTGAGACCTCATCTCACACATCCCGCGGCATGTTCATCGGCATGGAATTCACCCTCAATATCTTCGGAGTCGTCATCGCATATTGGATTGAATTGTAAGCTGTTCCGCATCCGTTGTCCCCCCTGAATACTGCTCTAACAGGAGGCAGTGGGACCTCCAAGTACTATATCCCTACGTCGTCCTTCATCTGGAGATTCCCCATTGCCTTCCAGATCGTGCCGCTTTTGCTTCTCTTTCTCTTGATCTGGTTCATGCCCGAGTCTCCCCGGTGGCTTGTCAAGGTTGGCCGAGAGGAAGAAGGCCGCTACATCCTAGGTCGTTTGCGAGGCACAGAAGGCGAAGACGCGGCAACGACCGATGCTGAATTCCACGACATCGTCAAGATTAAGCAGATGGAAGAGGAAACCTCTCATAAGACAAGTTACTTCCACATGTTCTTCGGAATCGGATCCGGGAAACTTCACATCGGTCGCCGTGTGCAACTGGTGATCTGGCTTCAGATCCTGCAAGAATGGATTGGAATTGCCGGTATCACCATCTACGGCCCGACGATCTTTGAGATTGCTGGTATCTCTGCAGAGGACCGTCTCTGGGTGACGGGTCTCAACGATATCACATATATGGTATGCCCCCCCAACCCTTGTTCTCGGCCAACTTACCCCTGCTAACCACACCAACCTAGTTTGCAACATTGATCTGCGTGTTCACTGTAGATCGTATCGGCCGACGCTGGACCTTATATTGGGGTGCTATCGGCCAGGGTATTTGCATGTTCGTCGCAGGTGGACTTGCCCGCGCTACGATGAATGCCAGCGCTGGTTCTCGCGAGCACGTCGGAGGTGCAGCCACCTTCTTCGTCTTCCTGTATACCATCATTTTCGGCGCGACTTGGCTTATCGTCCCCTGGCTGTATCCTGCCGAGATCTTCCCATTGCAGGTCCGTGCTCGTGGTAATTCGTGGGGTGTCGTGGGGTGGTCGATTGGCAACGGTTGGACGGTAAGCTCCCATTCTATCAGACGAATACGGTACATGAAGAGGCCGCTAACGACTACATGAACAGGTGCTGCTCCTACCGACGATCTTCAAGAAGCTTAATGAGAAAACCCTCTACATCTTCGGCGGCGTCAACTTCGCCTGCATCGTCATCGTATGGGCGCTCTATCCCGAATCCAACCAGCGGACATTGGAAGAGATGGACCTTGTCTTTTCCAGCGACAGCATCTGGAACTGGGAGGCGGAAAAGAACTTCGCCAGGCTCAGGGCAGAGAATCCGGATCTCATCCAGACCACCAACCACGGGACCGGTGTCCTGGACCCTGAGAAGGCCATCCTCAGCACAAGCCATGGTAAAGCGTCGACAGAGCAATATGAACAGTCTCCGGGTGTGCACAAGTAGCGGCCTCGAGTATCAACCGGATCCGGATTGTTGATCGTGTAATTTGTTCTCGGCCGGCGGCCCTCCCGGAAGCTGGTGTCTGTGCTGTACTTGTTGATCTACCCTTGTTAATCAGCTGATGTATATATACGGAGAGTCATGAAATGATGTTTATCACACGCACCAGCCGATGTAGTGATCCATGCACTGAACTAGCTGGATTAGGGCCTGGTCACCGTCTCGACCGGCCAGCTAGGGCATGGAATGACCCGGTGCATAAGGCCACAGACGTCACACATATACCGAATAAACTTGGAGAAAGCGAGCGATCTGCAGCTGGAGATCGGCAGTTAATATCCAACGGTCTTCACTATTGAGAGCTGCTGTTGGGAGACTTTTGGCCGTGATCCAGTCACACAAGACACCGGTATATCCGGGCTATCCTTTCTCGTCTGAACCGGGGTCCTGCAGAAATAGGATCTCATGACATATCCCCCGATGTCTATGAGCATGAGCTGTGAATTGATAGTTGATCCATGACGATGGCTGTTTCGGAGAATTGGGAGACAAGGAGACTCCGAGAAGCATATAAATGCCTGTATCTGCCCGTCCCCCCTGGACGTAGAGGACCATCCGGATTTCAGGCTGTCTGCTATATAGCCAGCGTCGATTCATCTTTTCTGCAAGTGCCTGCTTCACTCAAGCACCATCATCATGGGAGGCAACCAGGCAACCCGCGTGAACCCGTTCGTCGTCAACGACAGACATGTCGCCATCCACATCACGACCCGTGGTTCGGATTGGTACTGGACGGTGATGTCAATCATGGGCTGCACCACTCTCACGGTCATCTGCCTGTCGTTCTTCCGTCCTCCCAGCAAGCGGATCTTCCACTACCTCCTGGCCGCGGTGGCGTTCATTGCCACGATCGAACACTACAGCATGGCATCCAATCTTGGTTGGGTTCCCATCGACGTCGAATGGAGACGAAGTGACGATGAGGTTGCTGGCATCAACCGCCAGATCTGGTGGGTTCGTTACATCGGCTGGTAAGACTGTCCTCGTGCAGAAGCAGAGAATACCGCCGGCAAGACTGCTGACGAGATAAAGGTTCCTGACCTGGCCGTTGCTTTCGTTGTCTGTCCTCCTCACCACTGCAGCTCCCACCGTCCATATCGTATGGTCCTTATTCCTAAGCGCAGCGATGGCGGTGCTGGCCCTCGTCGGTGCTCTGGTTCGCAGTGACTATAAATGGGGTCAGTATAGCTACCGGACGCCGAACTCTCCCTGCTTCATGCTGACCCGTCCCCCTTTCTGGCAGGTTACTACGCCTTCTGGCTCTGGGTGTGGATTATGGCTGTATACGCCCTCGTCTGGACCCCACGAAAGTACGCCAGAGCATTGGGCCGGGACGTCCAACGTGTCCATTTCACCATCTCCGGCTGGGTCAGCTTCCTTTGGATGATCTATCCCATCTGCTGGGGTATCAGTGAAGGTGGAAATGTCATTCCTCCGGACTCCGAATTCATCTTCTACGGTATCCTCGACTGCCTTCTGATTCCGATTACAAGCGCAGCGTTCTTGTTCCTGCATCGGCCCATTGACCCCAGCCATCTGGGTCTGTACATTCGCAGTTACGATGATCCCATTCCCGGATACAGAGACGCTGTTGCCAGCGGCGGTCTTCCCAAGGATCCGGAGAAAGACGTCCCTAACGGTCATGATGGTCCAGCTGAGACCAGTCCGGCACCTGCCGCCGGTACTGAAACCGTCTAGACGCTGACGAACGCCCCGGTGTAGGATCATGGAGGAGAGGCAGGGGATGCGCCTGATGTGTCAGTTTGGAGGTTATGTTTTGAAATGATGGCCACACGCTCTAATGTCTAATCGGATATGGTGAGGAGGCTTACGACCGGGGGAATACAGCGATGTTGCGTCACGACTGATGAGGAGATGAGATGGCCTTGTACTTTACTACGCAGCTTCCATGTCATGCTATACATGCTATACCCTATGAACTAATGCATTCGCTACGCACTTGGAGAATGTTGTCTACGCTCTGTTGAAGCGTTGGATAATAAGCTAGTAGTCAACCGCCACCAGCCGTTCTTGGGCAGTCACGGTATGGAAGTAATCCTGGTAAATATTCAATTGAACCCATTTATACCATGTGTACGCTGGCGTCCGGGAATAGTCTGGTCATTCAACAGCGGCGGCTCCTGTTCCAGGGACATGAAGTATACATGTCGACGCAGGCAACGGTTGGTATGCACTATGGATACCGAAGCCAGCAAGGGCAGTCCAACAAACCCGCATAGAATGCTGCCGCACCGCTGTCCCAGTCCCCGCCTAGTCTCGTTTAAGTCTGGAGCGATGCGGAGGATCGTTTGAACGGCCGGTAGTCTCCAAGACGTCTTGTCTGGCCCTGCCATGCGTTCCCGGGTTATCGGCACGAATCTGTTCGTAGAGTTTTCCCTTTGAGACATGACTCTGGAAGAGACGGTCAGCACTACGCGGCGCAGGGACATGGTGAACGAGGGGAGACTCACGTCGCCAGAGGCCTGCGGCTCGGAGCGCGTTACTTCAGGGACATCTCCCGAGTGCTGCTCCACGCGCGTTCCGGTGACACTCATCTTGTAGCAATCTGTCGTACTTGGACGGGCAAACCGAGAATGGGCTATCGATAGACGACGGCGATAGACAACGGGGAGGGATTCGTTCGGGCCATGCCAGCAGAGAGGCAGCGTATTTAAGGGTTCATGCCATTCCAGCGAAAGCGTGGCAACCCTATGACGGCACGATGATTTCTGTACGTGCACCGCATCCGACACTGGACATTGCCTATTCGAGTGGCCGATTTATTCTACTACTGCACGCTGATTCTACTGCTGCACCGATTCCACTGCTGCACCCGATGGTCGAGCACCGGCAGAGTGCGTTACATATCCGCCAGACTCCGGGAAACAAACCCGCAAGTCCGGACGGAAAAGGAGCACAAGGTTTGTCCTGGAGCGTCTCCGTAACCTTGCCGGCGATGCTGTTTACTATCCGTGGCATTCCCGGCAGGTTCTGTGGTCTGTGTCTAGCTCTCAGATCTTCTCGACATCGGTCATGACGTAGTGTCTAAGAATAGCCGGACGCAGCAGGTTTCTGTTCAGAAACATCGCACTATAAAAGCGCCAGGACGCCAATTCATCCCCTCGAGACGGGCATCCGTTCAATCACGAAATCCGCCATTCTCTATCTACCCTTCAGCCTCCTTCCGAAGTGTACCGCCATGCCGGTGAGGAGGAATCCCCCCCTCCCCCCGACCATCGACGGCATAGCTAACAGCTACCCCATGGCAGAAAGTGACGGTCCGCTTCACGGATGAGCCTTCTTCGGGATTGATGGACTCGGTTGTAAAGTGGGTGCCACCCCTCTCCCCACGGCTGCTGCAGACCCGAGGACATGGGATCCTAATCGCGAGACAGGATCCTTGAAGGGCCGGGGGGACCACCGCCGATTGGGCTACGAACATGGCCTCCGATCTACTTGTCGTGAGTTCCCTGGATCCTCCTATCTGCGACATCCGGCTCACTATTCCGCTCGCTATTCCGCCGTAGGGCGCGCGACATGAGTGATGAGGAAATCGGCGAGCTGCAGAAACTCCGCGGCGTCGATGTCGTCCGCCACGAGGAGGCATGAGTTGGTCGGCGGGCACTGTCGCTTGGAACTGGTTCGGTCGTGTGTACATACTTTCTAGCTAGATATATCGAATTGCTCTGGTGGCCAGTCCCTCCCAGTATTGACTGGCGATCATGGATGTGTCCAGTCCAGCCGCATAGAAAACCAGAACACCCCAGGGCATAAGACAAGAACAACGAGCACGACGAGCACAACAAGGACGCAACACCCCAACAGCCACAATCCAGGCACAGCGCGATCTTCCGATGACATCACGGGAGGAGAGATGCAGCCGGAACGCGCGGGCCGTGTCCAAAGAGAAATGACTGTGTCTCATCGGAAATCTCGATCTCTGCCGGCGCTGGCCCACAGAGGCAAATCTTTTCAGGCGCGAGAGCCACCACAATGAAAGCCACGTAACAACTCGCCCCGGAAGCTTCGCAATGCAGGAGAAAAAGAGGACATGACGAGCCCATCGAGCCCATCGAGCCCATCGAGCCTATCGAGCCAGCCCGACGCTTCAAATGCTTCAGCTGCTGCTGCCGCTGCCAAGCCGTCCCTCTGGCGGAGGATTCGCAGCCAGTTCAATCCGCGCCCCCCCGACGACAATGAGCCGCAGGACTGGTGGTTCGCGTCGACGGCCATCCCGCTGATCGCAGCGACTACCAGTCCCTTTGCGAATGTCATGTCGGTTGTTGCGCTGGCCATGTCCTGGACGGGGCAGCCGCGTCACGGCGAAACGAGCAGCACGGGCATTCCCGCCCAGACTCCAGTCAAAGATCCCGGATGGTGAGAACCAACAAGCTCTGCGCAGTGCGGTAGTGATGATCGCGTAGTAATTATCGTCATGGATATGCTAGGTGTATTGCGCTCAATGCCACCTCGCTCGCCTGCGGGCTGGTGGGCAATCTCTTCATGCTGTTCAACTTCACCAGGACCATGCGCTACATCGTCGCTCTGCCGGCCACCATCATTCTGTGGTTGCTGGCCACAGGAATTGTAAGCCTGGCTGGGCCCATCTACGTTGGACGCGTCGCCTAACATGTTGCAGTTGATCGGCATAACCAGCGCGATGCATCTCTACACCAGACACACAGCGCCGCAGCAGGCCTTCTCCCAGGCATATTGGTATGCCGTTATTGCGGCCGTCCATTACTTTCTTCTTACCGTGATCCTGATGGTCAACATGCTGGGCTACTTCCTCGGGCATTACCCGCAGTACTTCGCGCTGACCGACGGCCAGCGCACCCTGATCCTCCAGACCATCGCACTGGGCGTCTGGCTGATCATCGGTGCTGCGGTCTTCCAGCGAGTCATGCATTTGTCGTTTGCGGACGGGCTTTATTTCTCCGATATTACCATCCTCACGCTGGGGTTTGGCGATGTCACACCCCAAACCGCGGTGGGCAAGGGTCTTGTCTTCCCTTACGCGGTCGTAGGGATCATCATTCTCGGTCTTGTCGTCGGAAGTATCCACGACATCTTGAAGGAGCTGCAGTATGTGGTCATCGTGCAGAAACACATCGAGCAAAGCCGCGAAGCAACCGCAAAACATTCCGTCATGGCCGAAACCGAGGAGGAAGAGACCAAGCTGCAGCAGACCGATTCTCTCCGGCTGACCGAGACGACGGAGAACATCCACCGGCGAGAGTATGCAAGGAAGCTGATCCGATACGCCAACCTGACAGCCCTTTTTCGAGGACACCGACCGTCGGCACAGAAGGTCCTGGTGATCAAGAACGAAAAGGACCGATTCGACGCCATGCGTGCCATTCAGCACGAGGCCATGCTTTTTCATCGCTGGTACCGTCTGATTTGGAGCTTGATTGCATTCGGGATTGTCTGGACATGCGGCGCCGCCGTCTTCTGGGCTCTGGAGGAGCGTTTCACATACTTCACGGCGTTGTATTTTTCCTTCTGCTCTCTTTTAACCATCGGGTACGGCGACATCACCCCAACCACCAACGCTTCGCGGCCTTTCTTCGTCGCGTGGTCGCTTATTGCCATTCCGACCATGACCACGCTGATCTCCGAGATGAGCAACACCGTGGTCGCGCTGTTTAAGCGCAGCGTCAGCATCGTTGCGGACTGGACTCTCCTCCCACAGACGGGCAAATACACGGCCTTTCTCCGGAAGATAGTGCCGTTCCTCTCTTACATCCGACAGCCCCAGGGGCACGCACAATCCGCACAGAGTCTCGACGTGGAAAGGGATCGTGGCGGCACGTCATCAGTAAACGGACAGAGCCGATCCACCGAAGAGCCGGAAAACGGACAAGGCAACGCCAGTTTCCAGCTTGCCCTCAAACTGGCCTCTACGATACAGGAGGTGTCCCGGGATGTCCTCGAGGGGCGCAAGAAACAATATCCCTACGAGGAATGGGCCAAATTTGCGCGTTTGATTCGGTTTACGGGCTCCACGCCCGATGGTGTCCTTCTCAACGAAGATGAGTACGGGATCATCAGCCGGGATTGGATTGGAGATAGCAGTCCCATGTTGGCATCTCAGTCAGAGCCGGAATGGGTCCTCAGTCGGCTTTGCGAGAGTTTGATCCGGTATATTTCTGTGCAGGGGCAGCAGAGGGATCGATAGCGGATCATGGTCCAGTTGTGGCCATTTGCGTCTTGGTTAATACTATGATAATATATGATACCACGGAAATAACTTGAGTGTGCTAGTGCTAGTTTAATTTTATGCTTGGATATACCGGCGTTATCTCAAGTGCAGGAGAAATGAAGCTGTAGATATGTTGTTTCATCCGAGACCATGCTATATCCCATAAGGACGAACGAAAAGGAACGGAGAACAACAAGAAGAAAAAAAGGTCTTTCTGAACCATCATTCCAGAGGAAACAATGCTCCTTACTATTCAGGAGATATAGAAGAAAGTCGAAACTTCTCGCACCGACCCAGGAACGACATCCGCGCATGGACATGGATACGCCGACTACTGCGGTTGAACGACCCCCCTTGCACTGTTATTATACTGCTACTTGTTTATGATTGTCCGCATTCGGCATTCTTGATGACAGGAATGGATGAAGGACAAGAAGATGATATGGATCACAGAGCAACCGTCGAGAAAGTGAATGCAGTCAGGCAGCGGGCAGCAGGCATCTTCCTAGGGCATGTAGTTCCGTCAACAATCCACGCTTTTCTATCCTCTACTCAAACATAAGTCCATCCTGACGCCAGCTTCCCCCGAATTATGCCATGACCGTTTCTTGTTTCATTGCAACGTTGCCGAATCCCCTTGGCGGCCAGTTGTGCACAGCGCAGAATCTCCTTCTCCTTCTCGCGGCCTCCGTGGACGAGTACTCCGTCCTTCACGAGGATTTCCCCATCGACAACCGTCATGTCTACATCGCGTCCGGTACAGCTGTGCACCACTGCTGTCACTGGCGTGACACCGTCACAGTCCTCCCAGTCCCAAGGCGCAGCTCCGATGCCACCCCGACGATACGGGTCGAGGACTACAAAGTCAGCCTTTTTGCCGACCTCCAAGCTTCCAATGTCATCCTCCAAGCCCAACGCCCGTGCCCCATTAATGGTAGCCATTTCGAGGGCGGTTTCCGCCGGGATGAGTGTCGCATCGTGGTGGACACCCTTGTGCAGGATGGCTGCGAGGTGCATCTCCTGAAACATGTCATAGTGGTTCGCACATGGCGCACCGTCCGTCCCCAGGGACACATTGATCTCGTATTTGTCGGACAGCATCGCGGGCACAGGCGCGACGCCTGATGCCAGTTTGAGGTTGGAGGTCGGATTGTGTGCCACCGTGACCTGCGTGGAAGAGAGGATGGGGAGGTCAACGTCGTTGTCCAGATTCACCATATGGGCGAGGACAAGCTTGTGAGAATGACTATTGCGCGAATGGCTACGATGCTTTTGTATTGCCTGGCCACACATCTTTGTCTCCTGGATGAATTGCATCGGACTGCAGTGGTAGGTATCCTGGTAGATCGTCAAGTCTCTCGGAGCCTCCGCGCAGTGCATGGTGATTGATATGCCATGTGAAGCGCAAGCCTCTCCTAGCTCCAGATAGGAAGCCTTTGGAGCGCCCCGAGGTGTCCCTGCTGCAGCCCAGACATGTAGACGGCCGTTGTAGGCGTGGTGATAGTCCCGATGTGCGGCAACGAGGGAAGAGATTGACATGGATATAAGGTCTCGATCTCGCGGATCCGTGATGGAAAGCTGCCTGTTGGTCTCGGTGAACTTGATCAATTTCCCCTGCATTCCGTCAGATTCACGGCTTCGCCAATATGAGCAGAGAACAGGCCAAGGAAATCTCACCAGCGAAGCTCGGATGCCCATCTCACCCACTGCATCGCACACGCTCTCAAATCCAGCCCGATATGTCAACATCGGCTCGAGGAAGCATGTTGTCCCCGTCTTCAGCATCTCTGCCATGGTCAACCGAGCGGCACTGTAGCCATCGTTATCCGCATATACGGCTTCCAGCGGCCAGATCGCATCGCACATCCAATTGTGCAGCGGTAGATCCTCAGCCAGCCCTCGCAGCAGAGATTGGACGAGATGCGCATGCGTGTTGATCAGCCCCGGAATGATGATCTTGCCCGTACAGTCGATCGACACTGTCTGTGATAGCAAAGAGTCCGGGGCTGGGCACTTCCCAACGGCAGCAATGCGATTGCCCACGACGTGGAGGTATCCGCCGCAGATGATCTCGCGTTTTGAATTGACCGTGATGATGGTGGCATTGCAGAACAGCTTGGATGCATTCCCGTCGTGCTCCATTGCTCGTTTCCGGACGTTGTCGCCGGTCTATGTTCCAACGCATATGGAATAGGACAGGGACGATGGGCAAATCCTTTTAAGTGCTTTTCTCTTGAACCCATAGCTGGAGCATTGACGCTGTCATCGTCGCCCGAATGCCGGGAAATGACACGGAAATCATCCTTATCAGAATCCTCGGCCGAGCTCCTCTACTCTCCATCGCTTATCGTGTTATTCACATAGGGTTCTTTGGCGTATCTTGATAGGAATGTTTTATCAGGGCATTGTGTAGGTCGGCGGCCATCGCCGAACTCTCTGACGGGTCGATTTGCACCATATATATAGGCATATCAAATCGGTCCAATATGACACACATCTACTCACTGGCTTCATATCCTTTCTGCCATGGATGCCGAAACTCATCCCCCGGAGAAGAGCCAGCTGCCGGTTTCGGAAAGCGAGAGAACGGCTGCGGAGACGGCTGTCGGTGATATCATCTCCCCGGCGCGCTCTCGATGGCAGCATCTGAAGCATTATTTCACGAGCTGGGAGGGTTGGGTTGGGGACTACGTATGTGAACTGACAGGCCGGATCACCGCTCTGAAGCTGATGAGATTTGGTCCAGGATTACATGTACTTGATCACCCCGAATCTCTGGCCGCTGAATAAGAAATACAAAGGCTTCGAAACGCCATTCTACGGCCGCAACGATGAGGTCCCTATCTTCTTGACCCTGATCCTAGGCTTGCAGCATGCCTTGACTATGATCGGGTCGATCGTTTCCCCTCCGCTCGCAATCGCCAGTGGTGCCTTCTACCTTTCCTCGGACCAAATGCAGTATCTCGTCTCGGCCGCATTTATTACATCGGGAATAGCCACGGCTATGCAAGTCACCCGTATCCACATCCCTAAAACCCCATTGTATATCGGGACGGGGCTATTATCCGTCGTTGCTCCAACGTTCGATGTTCTCGCCATCGCATTCAACTATACCGGCATGCGGTACGCAAACGGGACATGCCCCGTTGATTCTCACGGCTCCAAATTGCCCTGTCCGGAGGCTTGGGGTGCAATGCTAGGGACCATTCTGTGCACGGTCTGGGTGCAGATCCTCATGTCCCTTGTTCCCCCGAAGGTTTTGAATCGGATCTTTCCCAAAGTGGTCACGGGGAGTCTGCTCGTGCTGGTAGGGGTATATCTGATCTCGAACGGCATGCAGAACTGGGGAGGCAGTTCCAATTGCAACGGCGGCTCGGGATATTATGCTCTGTGTCCGAGTGTTGCGGCTCCAAAACCATTGCCATGGTAAGTCACATTCATCCTCTATGAATATATGGCTCACAGGACTAATATGCTTTTCATGCTACAATAGGGGCGATCCTAAACTTATCGGCCTGGGATTTAGTGTGTTCGTCGCCATCATCATCGTGGAGATGTTCGGGTCCCCCCTCATGAGATCTGCGTCCGTCATCCTGGGACTGGCGGTTGGCTGTGCCATCTCCGGAGCGACCGGATATTGGTCTCGCGAGAATATCGATGCAGCTCCTGTTGGGACATTTCTGTGGGTTCATACCTTCAAGCTGTCTGTGGACAGAGCCCTGGTGCTCCCGCTTCTGATCATGTTTGTCTGTGAAGCTGTTAGCTGCATGCCCGATATTCTGGCCACAGCAGAGATCTCCGGCGTGGAAATAGAGGGCACGGAATTCAACAGCCGTATTCAGGGGGGGATCCTATGCGACGGGCTAGGGAGTCTGTTCAGCGCCCTGGGTACCGGGTTACCCATGGTGAGCCAGGCGGGAAATAATGGTGTCATCTCGCTGACTGGCTGCGCGGTAAGACGTTGCTGTTCTTCTACTTCGAATGGCTCATAGGTCGCTGACTTTCAATGTGATATAGAGCCGAAGGGCTGGATGGTGCGCTTCCGCGTTTCTCGTTCTCATGGGAATTTTCGGTAAATTCGGCGCGGTGTTCGGTTCCATGCCCCCGTCGGTTCTCGGTGGCATGCAAGTATTTCTATACAGCACCATTGCTGTTGCTGGAATACGAGTTCTAGGCCTGGTGCAATTCACGAGACGCAACCGGTTTATCTTGACGGCAGCCCTGGGCATCGGCTTCATCAATATCGTCTCCCCGACCTGGTTCAGCAAGGTGCTTGATTACAGCGGATCCAACGTGTCGCTGGAGGGCTTCGAGCAGGGAATAAACCTCATCGTGGAGACCCCTTTCATCATCGCAGCCGTGGTCGGAGTCTTTCTCAATCTCGTGCTGCCGGACGAAGAGGGTAGGAAGAACGGCGGAACTAACAACCAAGAGGGACTATTAGTTTATTCACGAGCAGCCGGTTGAGTAGATTGATGATGTTCTAGAACCGATAAATGCTGGCAACCTGTATAATAAGAGTTATCTGGCTTTCTTTCTTGGTAAATGCCGAAGTTTATACACCCGCCGCCTGGCCTGCAGTCGAAAACCCTAAACCGCCCACGCTCTCGTTTCCCACCGGACGAGTCCGTCGACCAGACAATTCGCCATGGGCTTTCCTTCCGGAGGCAAGATATGCTTGATTTATCAGCCTCAGCGCGAAACTGAGGTCGCATACATCCTTCTTACGTCACTGGCGACAGTAATCTTGCCTCCCGATCGTCGATGTTCCTTTCGTCATACATCCAGCTGGAAGTTCTGCCGATTAATGTCGGTCTGATATACACCTCAGGAACTTCCAATACCATCGAATAGAACGGATGTTCCCACTGTGGATGTACTTGTCGATCTCCTTGGTGGCTGATATATCATAGTATGGAGATGGAGAGAACCCCGGACGAGTGTGATGTCAGATAATATCCTTATAGATTAGCCTGGGAAAAGCCGATATATTCGATGAACGATAAACGATATAGATCAATGGCTTTTCCTGTCTCTGCATTGACCGACTTATAATTCTGCGCTGCAGCCATGGCCTCTCTGCTGCGAGACTCGTGCTACGGGAACATCATCCGCGTTCTCACCAGCGGCCGCTTTTTCAGATACGACGATGAAATCCATCCCGAGCTCTGGCATCGGTATATCAACATTGACAAGTCCGCGAGCATGGCTCGTGGCTCAGACGAGAGCCCAGGCTCTGACGTTGACATCGACGCGCGCGTTAGGAATGTACCGTCCAGACCATGGGAGGAAAACGGACAGAGATTCCAGGGGTTGACCGGGGAAAAGGTCGATCCCGAGAAAGGCACCGATATCATGATGGTGGACTGGTGGGATGACAAGGACCAGGATGTGAGTCTGCAATTGCGCCAATACCTCCATGGTCTTCGTGCTCATACCGTTCTTCGTGATTATCACTGAGTCATAGAACCCCCGGAATTGGCATTCGGCAAAGAAGGCGTTCGTCACCTTCGAAATATGCCTTCTTACCTTCGGCATCTACATCGGGAGTTCCATATACTCTGCTGGCGAGCAGGATATCATGCGCAAGTTTCATGTCAGCCAGGTGGTCGCGACTCTAGGGCTATCGCTGTTTGTTGCCGGCTATGGAATTGGGCCATTCTTATGGTCTCCTATGAGCGAGATCCCGGTCATTGGACGCAACCCCGTGTATATCCTGACGCTGGTTGTCTTCGTTGCGCTCCAGGTCCCGGTGGCTCTGGCGGCTAATCTGGGAATGCTGCTCGCGTTCCGGTTTCTGACGGGATTCTTCGGGTCTCCAGTATTGGCAACGGTCAGTTCTCATGCATTATCCACCGTCCGGCAGCCAAACTAATTGATGGCAGGGCGGTGCCTCTATTGGCGACATGTACAGCCCGTCCAAGCGCGCGTATGCCATGGGAATCTACGGCATCAGCGCCGTGTGCGGCCCCAGTCTAGGACCGCTTATCGGTGGCTTTGCAGCGCAGGCAGAGGGATGGAAGTGGCCCATCTGGGAGCTCCTGTGGATGTCCGGCTTTGCGTTGTTGGTTCTGTTCTTCCTGTTACCAGAGACGTCTTCAGCAAACATCCTCTACCGACGAACTCGCCGGCTGCGCAAGGCTACAGGGATCCAGAGCCTGCGTTGTCAATCCGAACTTGACGCGCGCAGTATCACGTTCGGAGACATGGCAATGACGATTTTGGTGAGACCGTTTGTTCTGAACTTCACAGAGCCCATGGTCTTCCTGCTCAACCTCTACCTTGCTCTCATATACGGCCTGCTGTATGTCTGGTTCGAGTCCTTCGCCATCGTGTTCGTCCGCATCTACGGCTTCAACATCGGCCAGGAGGGGCTTTCATTCCTAGGGCTGCTGGTGGGAGCGATTGTGGTGATTCCCCCCTTCTACTGGTGGATGCGCAAGTACCTCGAACCGAGATTCGACGAGAACGGCAACGTAGCACCCGAAGTACGACTTCCAGCAGCCTGTGTCGGCGCCTTTGCGATTCCCATCTGCCTGTTCTGGTTCGGCTGGACCGCCAGACCAAGTATCCATTGGATCGTCCCGATCGTCGGTTCCGGGTTCTTCTCCGTCGGTGCGTTTCTCCTCTTCATCTCTATTTTCAACTATCTAGCCGACGCGTATCCGTTATACGCCGCTTCTGTTCTGGCAGGGAACAACCTCTTCCGTGCTTTGTTCGGGACCGGGTTCCCGCTCTTTGCGTCGGCGATGTATAAGAACCTTGGTGTGGGTTGGGCAAGCTCTACTTTGGGTTTCATATCTGTCGTGTTCATTCCGATACCGTTCGCGCTGTACGGGGTGAGTGCTGTCTGCACGCAGATATCTGCTATTACTTGTTGCTGACCAGAGGTCCAGTTCGGCAAGACGCTTAGGACCAAATATAGCATGCATGCTCGTAAAGATATATAGATATAGACACTCGGTAGCTTTTAGTTGCACAATCCATACAAATTTAAACCCATGGCGCGAAACTATGGACAGGAGACTAGAGAAAAGTAGGCAGTTCAACGCGCTTCGGTCTATTATAGCCCTCCTACTGCTTCTTCTCCGGCGTTGGCTCATTCTCTGCTGCGGCCGGTGGGACAGCAACCCCCTGCACAACGAGACCCCGTACCTCGGAAGGACCAGTGAACCGCTTGCGAGCAGTGGTAAACCATGTCGCCATGGCCAGGAGACCAATAATGCCGATGGCTGCACTGGTGTAGTTCATGCTCTCTTCGTTGACCGGGGACTCCTCGGGGAAGTTGAAGGTGATGAAAGCGAAGGACAGGAAGAGGAAACCGAACGCGTTGAGCGAAAGGGAAACGGGCAACGAGAAGGAGAAGGGACCGGTGAATGAGACGGCATCCCCCCCGAAAAAGTATCCCAGCAGGCGTGCCAGGAGGGTCAGACCGTACGAGGCATCTATGGGACACCTGTCAGTGATAGTCGATCAAGGGGGGAGAGAGCCACCACACTCACAGAATCCAGTGCTTGCTGTTGTTATGATTGTATTGAACCCGGTTTCGGTGCCGAAATAGATCGAGTTAAAGGCCATCTGCACCAGGACGGTCACGATGATGGAATAGATGGGGATCTTCCGACGCTTCTCCACGCGCGACAGGACATGGGAGAAGGGAAGCCCGTTGTCTCGGGCAAAGGCGAAGAGGGACCGGGATCCCTCTGCAACCAGGCTCACGGAGCACACGAGCACGATGATGCTGATCATGCTGGCCATGATGCAGGTGCCGGCCTTGCTGTTGGTCGAGTCGTAGAAGATCTGAATGACAGGGACACCCGTGGAGGACTTGGCCGTGGTGTCAATATCGCCAATGCAGAAGCAGAGGGTAATCAAGAAGACGAATCCCGTTACCGCTCCCAGTCCAACCGCCATGACGATGGCACGGGGCGCATCTCGCGAAGGACGCTTCATCTCCTCCGTCATGTGGGCTGGAGTATCATAGCAGCACATGCCGAAGAAGCTCTGGACAATCCCGATGATGGCGGCCATGCCGGAACCAAAGCCCGACGAGTTCTGGAATTCTCGAAACACGAACGCGCCGCTCTGCTTGTGATCGTTCGTCGCCAGCAAGACAATGGTGATGACGATGAATGAGAGCAGATTCCACAGCAGAATGGCGCGGGAAAGGTGGCTGAGCAGATGAGGAGCGCCGAGATTGACAGCCGTGCCCCAGAACGCAACCAGGTACTCGACCAGCACGGCCTGCCAGCGCTGAATCGTGTATTCCGGGAAGACCAGATTGGCCTGGCCGAGGATGAACTGCGCTGCGATGGAGTTGTTGACCGCGCCCATGGCCAGAATACCCATCAGCATGAACCAGCCGGTGACATACGACATGAGCCGGGCGATTCTGCCCGGCGCCAGCAGCGCAACCCATGAATATTGGCCGCCAGCGACCGGCCAGCGCGAGCACATCTCTGCCATGGCCAGCGCTACCGTTGCGGTGCAGACGCAGACCCCAATCCACCCGAAGATCATGACCGGGGGCCCGCCAGACGTGACGCCGATGATCAGGACGCCGCTCAGCGCGGTCCAGCTGGTCTTTGTCAGGGATACTCCTTTGGCTGCAGGAACAGCTTGGCTCACCAGGTGACAATGCTGAAGCTGAATCCGACCATATCCAGGAAGCTGAACGACCGCTTGAACTCTGCCGGAAACACCGCGTCAGTCTGTTTTATCGACAGAGGAAAGGACTCGCCATACCCGGCTGGTATCCCAGATGCTCTAGCGTGAGATCCTCCTCGGCCGCATCGCCGAAGACATGGCCGGCCGCTTTGGACTCCGTGCGGGTGGGATCCATGGTGTTGCTATTCACGGCGATATGCAGTCACCAAGGAAGCCCACGGCGGCGACATCTCCCCGTCTTATGACTCTCGCACGAAGATACATCCCGTCTCGAAGCTCAAGCCATGCGGACTTATCTCCGGCCCAAGCACCTCGCCGTCCACAGCCAGAATGGTGATAGACGCCTTTATCTACTGCCGACGGGCGCTGGCAAATCACGAAACCCTGAGCCCTGCTTATCGGCAGACAATTGCTAATAAACACTGCGTAGACCGAGGATAAGATAGATATATCTTTCTCTCTATCTCTCGCGGCCGCTGAGCTGCTGATCTGGCAGCGCAGGCTGCGTTGGTTCGGAGCATCCGATCATCCTCTTCACGGCAGAGCACGCCGAGTGCCGCTATTCATAGTGCTGCACAACGCATCGCATCGTCTGACGCTCAGTCTCTTCGAGGATACCCAAAATGAGGGCTGCGACAGAGACGTTACATTGGCTCACGGCCAACCCCGTGCCTTCGGCAGTTGTCTTGCTGGTCGGAGCTCTCCTGGCCGGGTGTATATATCGACTATATATCCATCCGTTGTCTGTCGTCCCTGGGCCCAGGATCGCCGCCTGCACATCGCTGTGGCTGGCGTACCATACGTACGTCGGGGATGAGAGCTCTGCGATATTTGACCTGCACGAGAAATACGGCCGCGTTCTCCGGGTTGCTCCCAATGATGTTGACATCGATGATGGAGACGCCGTTGAGCCCATTTACATCGCGCGCGGTGGATTTCCCAAGACGGCAGCATACTCGAAATTTGACATTGACGGGCATACGACGATCTTTTCCACTCTGACGCTTCCGGAGCGTGCGAGCAGGGCGAAAGCAGTAGCGCCCCTGTTTTCGACAGCTTCCATTCGCAATGCCCATTCGACCATCGGCTGCGTCTTCGATGACTTCGTGGAGAGATTGAGAGCCGAAGCCCGCACGGGCAAGCCGGTCGACGTGCTGAATATCTCACGGTCGATGGCCATCGATGTTGTGAGCACGTATCTGTTCCAGCAACGATACGGCGCAATCTCGGAGCAGTCCGAGATGATGTCTGCGTCCCCGTTTGTGGATTCCTACGTCGGCGTCGGAGCCTACTTCAATTTGATGATGGGCAAGATAGGAGACCTGGTCATGACGATTGTCGAGTGGTGCATTGCCAATGCGAAGACTGAAGCGGCCTTTGGGATCATGGATAGATACAGCGCTCAACTCGTCAAGGGCGCAGTTCCTAAGAGCGGTAGCTACCAGAGCCGTCTTCTGGAGAAGGTGTCTGTCCAGCAGTCTCAGATTGAGGTCAAGGATGTGTGCTTCGCGGGCACCGATTCCACAGGTATGAATATGGCCTCGATTCTGTGGTATTTGGCCAAAACTCCGGATGCGTATGTGACCTGTCCTTTCTTCTATTGTTTCTGGGATACGGAGCCCGCTAATGCAAAGTAGCTATGCCCGTCTGCGAGACGAAGTCCACAATTGCCTCTCCAAGGGCCAGGATCCAGCGAACGGTGCCTATCTGCGCGGTGTCGTCCGTGAAGGCCTCCGACTATCCTGGGCCAATCCAACCCGGCTTCCCCGCTGCGTCCCGAAGGAAGGATGGCGGTTCAAGGGCTACTATCTCCCTGGCGGCACCAGCGTTGGCGTTGCAGCGTTCCAGTTGCACCAGGATGAGGCTGTCTTCCCTCAGCCCCAGCGATTCATGCCGGAACGATGGCTCGACGCAACGGACGCCATGTTGACCAATTTCTTCGCATTCGGCAAAGGCACAAGGACTTGTATCGCGCAGAATCTTGCTATGACAGAGCTTACGCAGGCTACGTTGCGAGTGGCCCGGGCGGATCTACTGCGAGGAGCCAGGGCTGTCCAGGACCGGATCGAGATTAAGGAATGGTTTAATTCCAGGGTTAAGGGGGAGAAGATCTTGATACAATTCGCTCCGACTGGGAAGTAGACGGCGGCCATAGACATCGTCACATAGTCCATGAACGATTCAACCCAGCATCCGTCTTTTGCATTCGTAAATCTGGACGTCGAGCTTCGGTTAAGCCGACTGGGATAGATAGTCGGGTGTCCCGATTGCATATCCGTGTCTCTGGAGCTGTTATAAGAATCTCGTTCATAGAAGTATGAGCATCAAGTGCATCCCTTTAATTCCCTCTAGACACTATCGGCTGGCTTCGCACTCGGTACTTCATAAAAATGTCACAGAACGGCGAAGGCTTCCTTCTCGATCCCCAAACAGCCCCGGGCCTCACTCGCTATGCACACGCCCGCGTGGTCCAGCCCTCAACCTACCATACCATCTACGTCTCCGGAATCGCTGCCGTCAGCCCGGACGGGACCTACGAAGGAGTCACCGACAACGCAGACGGCACATATACGCTCGACGTGCGAGCGCAAACCGCCGCCGTTCTCCGCCGGATTGACAGTATCATCTCCGGCGCGTCGCAGGGAAAGGCGACCATCCACAATGTCGTCGAGGCTACGGTATATATCGTGGATATGAAGACGCAATATGCCGGTATGAACGAGGAGTGGAATAAGATCTGGCCGGACCGAGCGAGTGCGCCTGCGCGGGCGACGATAGGAGTGAAGGAGTTGCCGGATCCGCGGTTTTTGGTGGAGGTCAAGGCGACGGCCGTTTTTGAATAGTTAGATGGAGAATTGAGGTTATTCAGCAGAAGATCTGGGGTGGGGGTTGCTCACCCTGCGTCGGTATGGCCGATTGCAACATTTTGATATGGAAGCATGAGATCACATGCGGCTTGGCCGCTAGCCCAACCCCTGAGGGATTGACCCCTCAAAGAGAGAGAGGGAGAGGGAGAAGGAGAGAGAGAAAGAGAGAGAGAAAAGTCTATTGAATTGAGAACCTTTGGCCATAGAGGCATCCGCTCCTTCGTAGGCCACCTGGACCACGTGTGTAGCTGATATATGTAGCGATATAGCTTCATCTAGCCCTTCTTCCCCTGGATATCCCAACCCATCTATATATCTAGAAATATTCCCCGGAGAATCAATTGTACATACAACTTTAATTAAACAATTCCCAGGTATGACTGGGATTTTGTACTATCAATTCAAGGACTTCAAGTTCCACGACGGTACGGTCCTCCCCACCGTCCGGCTGGCATACCGCGAATTTAACCCAACAGCGCAAAAGACTGCTTTGATTCCTACGTGTTTCCGAGGAAGAATTGATACTACAACCAACTTCACCGATGGAGCCCTTCGCGACCACCGGGTCATCGTGGTGGCCCTTTTGGGTAACGGGGAATCCTCCAGTCCATCCAACACGGCCAATTTCCCGCGGACTCTGGAGTACAGCGACTGCGTGCGGGCACAATATCAGTTGATCACAGAGCATCTCCATATCCCGTGCTTGGACGTCGTTGTCGGCTTCTCCATGGGCGGCCAATGTACCTACCACTGGACGGCGATGTACCCCGAGATGGTTCGCAACGCGGTCATCATCTGCTCATCGGCCAAAACGAGTCTACACAACTACCAGTTTCTGGAAGGGCCGAAGGCAGCCCTGGTTAATTCGATTGATTACGAGGACGGTGGTTTTCGGACAAAGGACGTAACGCCACTGCGAGGTCTGCACGCGTTTGGACGCGCCTATTCCGCATGGCTGACCAGCGCGCCATGGTTCGAAGGGCGTCTGTTCGAGAAACTGGGCTATCGGGGCCTTGACGAGTGGACTGAGGGTGCAATGGAGGGGTACAACGACTGGGATCCCGATGATCTCCTGGTTATGCTTGGGATGTGGCAGCGGTCGGACATTGCTGCATCGGTAGATTCTGGGACGGAGAAGCGTTCTCTGACCGGCATTCTAGGAAGCCTCACGGCTCGCATCCTCCTCATGCCGTGCCTGACAGATCAGTACTTTACCTGGGAGGCTAGCCAGAGGGAAGCATCGTATCTCAAGGACGCGCAACTGGCGGTGATTCCATCGGTTTGGGGTCATGTAGCCGGGGGAGGAATGAACCCTGAGGATCACGAATGGGTGGACCTTCGAATTGCCAGTTTTCTGTCCTCTGAGGGACATCATTGAATACGGAGTAATCATGTCTACATCCTAGCGCATGCACCATGAGTCTAGGAATATAAGATGGGCTACTTGGCAATGTGAAACGCACGTCCTTCACATATTCCATCAGTCGGTGTCCACTTCAACGGTAGACAGATTTTGAGTCGTGGGGAAACATGGTGTTCTGGCGGGCGACAGAAACCCGTTGTAGAGTTGTAGACACATGGCCCAAGCCCAGTTGCAACAATAATTTTGACGGTGTTTTGCGCAGTAAGTAGGTTTTCCTCGGCCCCCACTACCCGTGCCATATCCTTGTCTAGAGCTTTGTGCTTTTTATGACTCGTGCTTTCTGGTCGTATATAATGAATCCGTTGCTTCTTTCGAGGTTATTCCTGTCGTGGAAGGTAGCCTGATCCCATCGTCAAGGTCGAAACAAATTGCATAGCCTCCCAGGTTAAGACGCGTTTTTGCTTCCAATACCTTGACACGGACTTGGGAATATGAGTATAATATGACTAGCCTCGGCATCATCTCAGCCGCTCCCTGAATCCAAGCTTAACTTGGTCTCTGGCTGCTGTCCAACGATTGAATTTCATGCAGGTATGGCTGTAGAAGAACCTATTGCTTTGCGAAACTCGCAATGGCACGTTGGACAGGGTGGGATGGCGTTCAGAGCTGATGTCAATGGGGCGTTTATCAGGCCAAGTTCATACCAGACGCTGACCTGAGTTTGTTGTCAAGCTGTTAGATATTACATGCTTAGAAAGTCAGGATTTCATATCATACCTGCTCACCATCATTAGCAAAAACATGAGATCTGTGCACGTCTGTCGGCACACATGTAGCACGTGTCACCAGCCGGCTGCATAACTCGTAATTTCATGCGATTCACACATCTGACGCAATGACAGACTCTTCACTGGACGATGCAACAATCGACCTGATGAAATGGGCTGGTTGTCAAGAAGGAACGTGGTGGTGCCTAGAGTTGAAATATCATATCAGCTGACATGGCGCGGATGTCGACGCGACCAACTTCATTTCTTGCTTTATCCTGACAGACATTCTTGAGGATACTGCCATGACAAGGGTAAGCTTTGCTATCTTCGGATCAACACCGCGATCTGCAGCTAATTATAGTCGACTAATAACTAACTTCCGTCGGCAGTTCTTATTAATTGAAAGATTATTATCTCCTGCTTATCTTCCCCTCACTCGGCCATGACGTCTCCGTCGTCTGCATCTTGAGCTTGAGAGCACCGTCGAGGGTCTGCCCATGGCGTCCACAGCAACTGCAAGGGCCGAAAACTCCTGTCAGCGATGCCACCGTCGGAAGAAGCGCTGCGACAGGACACTGCCCCAGTGCGATGCCTGTCGTCATGCCAAGGTGCCGTGTAGCTTTCGAGATGATCATACACAGGAGGCGTCTTTTTCCATAGCGTACGTACGCGGTCTGGAATTCCGTGTGAAGGAACTGGAGCAGCAACTGGCAGCAACTGTAGTATCTCGACAGGCGCCATACGGCCCATCGTCGCCTCACTGGGACTCAGTCGTCGATTTCGGGACGCGGAGTCCCACAAGCCCAGAGAATTTGTCTCTCAATGGGTCCACCATACAACCGGCTGGAAATGCTGCAGCGTCTCCCCCATCGATGACGAGGATGACCAGGCCACGAACCGACTCACTGGCTGAGGAGCTCAAGCTGCTGTCCCTCGAAGCCACGGCAGAGCGACATCTCGGTCCGTCCTCTGGTATCTCCTTCGCAAAGCTGACCCAGGCAGTACTGCGACGCTTGTCCCCGGACAAGGAGGCCTTTATTTTTGAAAGCGAGGTGGACAACCTGCAGCAGACCGACACAGAGCAGGTGTCCATGTCTGAATTGCTGCCCAATCTTGGCTCGTCTCCAGTCAATTTCGGTTCCTGTCCAGCATCCCCTCTTCCATTGCACGCCTTCTCGGTTAACGAGGTCCTCGGCACTTTCGCAGATCCAATTGATCTCTCCTCGCTGGACGCGGCACGCATAAGCCATTTACTGGATTTCTATTTTGCCCACTCGCACACCCTATATCCCGTCGTCCGGCAGAATGAATTCACCACGGTGTTATGGAGAGTGTATGCGAATCCATTGGATTCGTTAGTGCAGTCGCCCTTATGGCAGTTTCGCATCTGGATGGTCCTTGCGATTGGTTCGACTGCTTATTGTTCCGTGTCCCTGGTCGACGAGACGGAGTCAGTGCGCTTCTTTAACAAGGCTATGACTTATTTCGAGTCGGTGATGGGATACGGGGATCTGGTACGTGAGTATTGCTGTCGTAGCTGGTCTAGGGTCTAACCATCGCCACAGGCCGCATTGGAAGCGCTAATGCTCCAGGTGTCGTTCTCTTTTTTCAACAAGATTGGCCCTAGTATGCCACTTTTATTTTCTATGAGTTCGCGCGGAATGGCCTTGCTAACAACAGCAGATACATGGTTCTTGGTGGGCGTTGCAGCTCGCATGGCCATCGGTATGGGCCTCCACGCCTCCGATACCTACAAGTCTCTGGCCGTGGATGTTGCAGAATATCAAAAACGCCTGTTTTTCTCTCTATATATGATGGACCGGTACGTTTGCAGCCACTTCCACCGCTGGTGATAGGCGAGATACTCACAGTGCCCGTCCGGAAGGGTTGTGTCTGTCGCCTTGGGCCGGCCGTTTGCGATTCATGACGATGATATAGACGTCGAGGTTGGTAAATCAGTATCCCAGATGTGTACTGAATCCTACTAACCTTGATTACAAGCCCTTTGCAGATGCGGATGATGAACAGATCAAGCCGGACGGTATTATCCCCCGTGGCACGCTGGAACCATCCAGTATGGCTGTCCCTCTACACATTCTAGCCCTACGAAGGATCGCCAGCGATACGCGCAGTCTGGTTCATTCTATCAAAAGTAGTCAAGAACAGAACCAGGCCGTGAAGGACCAGACCATCCAGGCCCTCCACAAACGACTAATTGAATGGCGACGTAGCATGCCGTTCCCTCTACCTGACCTTCAGTCCAACGTGCCTCACCTTAGCACAAGCTGGTTTGATCTAAACTACTATACCCACGTCATAATGCTGTACCGACCCTCACCTCTATGCCCAACCCTGAATCTCCCCAAGGTCACCATCCTGGCCGAAGCATCCGCCATGGCCATCCGACAGGCGATCAACATGCATCGGCAGCGGCGATTCTCATATAATTGGCTGAATCTCTTCTCCGTCTTCAACTCGACGCTTTCTCTCATGTATGCTACGACGGCGCAGCCGGACAGTTTGTCCTTGGTTCTGGAACGCACCAAGGCTATCAATGACTTGGAGCTGGCGCTGGAATTGCTGGAGGTGTTCGGGAAGAAGTTTCCTTCTGCTAAGAAGATACAGGGCATGGTGCAGGAGGTTTTAGCGAAAATGAGATTGCATACGACACCTTGAGCAAGGGGTATAGAGATTGTAATTGTCCTATATTTAACTAGAAAGACGTCATGATACCCAACTACGGTCTATCATGTTACTGAAGCCAACACCTGTACTCCCGATTATCTTTCCAATTCCCCAGAATAATCCCCTCGGAGTCTCCAAAATCCAATTCAATAGGATCGCTCGGATCCGAACGCTTATCTCACGCGGGTGATGCGCCTTCGTCGTTGGTCGGACAGTCCGACCCTCCAGACTGAGCGTCCTTTATCTCATCATTCTGACATTCATTTCCTTTAAAAGGACATGGAAGAAATGGTTAGCAAGGTGTGTTTGACCAGAAATCTTCATGACAGAGCCCGTCAAGATGATTGACACTGCAAAGTTACAGGATATCCTGCCGCTATCCTTGGACGTCGTTCCGCGGAGCTATGGAGTGGTTTTCCTGCTGGTGTTGGTTTTATATTTCCTTTATAGGGTATGTCAAATCTTGAAACGGGCTGGTCATGGCGACTTACTGATGGGATGTCTACATGTAGGGCACACTAGGCACGGATATTCCCTACATCAAAGGCATACCAGAGATCCCAGGCGCAATTCCGGTCTTTGGTCATCTACTCCAACTCGGCGACGATCATGCAAGTGTCTGCGAGCGCTGGTGGCGGCAATACGGCCATTCAGTCTTCCAGATCAAACTCGGAAACACGCGCGCCGTGGTGGTAAACTCCTTCCAGGACTGCCGAAAGATGCTCCTCAGCCACCAGAACGCCATCATCGACCGTCCGAAGTTGTATACCTTCCACGGCGTCATCAGCAGCACTCAGGGCTTTACCATCGGGTCCTCTCCCTGGGACGATTCATGCAAGAAAAAGCGCAAGGCAGCCGGAACGGCACTGGGCAGACCAGCCCTGCGCAATTATCATCCCATGTTCGATCTGGAGAGTTACTGCATTGTGAGAGATCTACGCCGTGACAGCAAGAACGGCGAGATCGAGCTGAATGTCCGTCCCTATATCCAGCGGTATGCTCTCAATACCACCTTGACCCTCTGCTATGGAATCCGCATGGATGCTGTTTACGATGAACTCCTTCGCGAGATCCTCTACGTCGGTTCGGCCATTTCCCTCCTGCGAAGCGCATCTGAGAATCTGCAGGATTATGTCCCGTTCCTGCGCTACATGCCCAACAACAAGAAGGTTGCACGCTCAAAGGAGCTCAGACAGCGTCGAGACAACTACTTGAATCTCCTGCTTGATAAGGTTCGCGACATGATCAAGAAGGGCACCGATAAGCCCTGCATTTCCGCGGCCATCTTGAAGGACGAGGAGACCAAGCTCACGGGCGTGGAAGTGTCGTCCATCTGTTTGTCACTGGTATCCGGCGGTTTCGAGACAATCCCTGGCACAATGACCTCTGCCATCGGCTCACTATCCACACCGGAGGGTCAGATCTGGCAGGATCGCGCGTACGAGGATATCAAAAGACAATACCCTGATCTCCGCGAGGCCTGGACCAACTGCTACAAGGAGGAGAAGGTACCCTATTTGAACGCGATTATCAAGGAAGCCGGTCGTTACTACACCGTCAGCTCGATGAGCCTTCCCCGGAAAACAATGACAGAAGTGAACTGGAACGGAGCCATCATTCCTCCCAAGACTATGATCCTCATCAATGCTCAGGCTGGCAATCATGGTGAGTTCTTCAACCCTAAACATAGACAGAGGTCCCCTACTAACCACGAACCCCGATAGACGTGGACCACTTCGGCCCTGACGCCGGAAAATTCGACCCAGAGCGCTGGCTCAAAACCCTCGATCCTCCCACTGAAAAGGAAACAACGGGATTGCAGCATTTGAGTTTCGGTGCAGGATCTCGCGCATGCTCGGGACAGTTCATCGCTTCTCGTCTCCTCTACGCCGCGCTTCTTCGTCTCCTCTCCTGCTACAAGATCGTGGCGAGTGAAGAACACCCGCCAAATACCGACTACGTAGACTACAACCAGTTCAAGAGTGCGTTGGTCGCGATCCCCAGGGATTTCAAGGTTAAGCTCGTTCCAAGAGATGCGACGTTGACTAGTGAGCTGTTGGAGGAGGCTGAGCTGAGGACGAAGGAGCACTACATGGAGTAGATGACTCTGAAGGGCAGTGATCGTTGAATGCATTAAAACTATCATGATTTATGCATAGCATTGGTATAGTTCGTGTCTTGAATTTATTGTCTTTCGGGTTCATGGACTTTCTCTTCTTGACACACGTAGGAATATAGCAGACGTAACTATAATAAACTGCATACCCATGTCACTATTCCTTCTCTGTACCCATGCCTAGTGAAAATAAGCACTTTCGGCCACTCCGACCAGGATTCTGATAAGCGGGGTGTGTCTGCCGGAAGCGCAAGCTATAAGCACAAGCCCATATTGTCTGCATCACAAACCCGGCAGTGCAAAGGGCCATTCGAATCAACATCGACAATGTCATCGCTAAGTGCTGCAGACCTATTCTCCGTCAAAGGGCGTGTTGCCGTGGTCACCGGCGGAAGCAGTGGGTTAGGGTTGATGATATCAAAGGTAAGCCGCTTTAGCAACAGATATAGCTGGATTGTCATCCAACAAGGAGCTGCAGGGCCTCGTTACCAACGGAGCCAAAGTCTACGTGGTTGCACTACCATGCGATCCCATCGCGGAGACAGTGAGCCAACTGAACGATCTTGGGCGTGAAACCGGCGGAAGCGCAGAAGGGTATAAATGAATTCCTCTTACGGCGGCGTGTACTTACATTATATAGACTAGCCTGTGACGTTTCCTCCAAAGAGGCCATCCAAGAACTGGCTCAAACCATATCTCAAAAGGAAGCAAAGCTAGACATACTCATCTCAAACGCCGGCATCCGTCGAGATCCCCCGGTGCAATGCAACGTGCTCACAGCATCCCTGGAGGAGCTCCAAGAGTCAATGTGGTCATCCCGGCAGTCAGACTGGACTGCCACATTCCAGGTGAATACAACGGCCCATTACTTCCTCAGTCTTGCTTTTCTGCCCCTCCTAGCTGCAGCGGCGAATGCATCCCTGGGAAACAGGTTAAAGGGCCAAGACGAGGGTCGGGGCGCAATCATCATCACCAGTTCGTGTGCGAGTATGCATAATGCCACCAACGTGGATTTGACAAGCTATGCCACGAGCAAGGCTGCCACGGACCACCTGGTGAAGTTGTTGGCTGCAAAATACAATAGGTTTTATGTACGGGTGCTGGGAATCAATCCGGGATGTAAGCATAGAGCCAAGTGTCGTTCCCTTTTCTCTATATGCGCTGACTGGATTCTTTCTAGTCGTACCGAGCAACATGAACCCTGTCGGCGAGGAGGGAAACATTTTCAGCTCGCTGTTCGACAAAGTGCCTGCGAAGAGAGCAGCCAAAGCCGAAGATATTGCAGGTGCCGTTCTGTATCTTTCCAGCAAGGCCGGGGTGAGTATCGAATTGCTGAAGTTCTTGATTGAATTCTCCAATGCGCCGACTGGACTAGTCGTATGTCGATGGGGTGTCTCTCTGTGTTGACGGCGGGAGAATCCTCCTGGCAAATGGACAGGAATGAGGATAGGCTGGCTTAGTATAGGGGGCAAAAGAAGATATAACTAGAGCAAAATAAAACTTGCTTATTGATCAAATAACAGTCTTTCCCTGGCTGCTGTCGGAATTAGTCCCATGAACAGGTATCGGGGCACAGACACGACACGCACTCGCATACAGCGTACGTAGATTGAAGGAGAGCATAGCACTGTGAGGAACCCGGAGTGGGTTTGAGGTCTCGTACTCATTGGAGCTGGACGTCCAATCGCCAAAATCCCGCTGCGAAAAAGAGAACGCACAGCCTTGCTGCTAAGACACGGACAGACGGCATCGCAGCTGCGGCGGATATGGCTGCCGTATCAAACTTCTCTCGACAGGGAAAAGTCCCACCAGAGGCGAGGGAGAGTGTTAGACAGGCGGTATGGAGCTGGAATACAGCCGAATTGGCGCACCGACGCTGCTGCTTGCTGGAAGTGGTGATGTGATTTCTCCTCCGGAAAGGTGCCTAGAGCTGAGGGAGCTCATCATTGGGGATAATGCCTGAGTGGAGGTGATCGATAGAGTTGAGCATCAGATTCTCCTGCAGGATGCTAAGGGATCTGTCGAGGCAATCAATGGTCTTCTTGAGACGGTAGATAAATAGCAGTACAACCCTGAGGTTATAGCTGCTCCTTTAATTACGCTTCTACTGCAATACAAGGGCATATCAGATCAGCCCAAGAAAGTAGAAGAGCGCATTGTATTCAACTAAACTGACAACTCATCCCATCAGGCGAGCGCGAGCATCCCCGGGGACAAGGATAAGTCGGATCATACTGCCACAGAAAGTATGGATCCGTCTCGTTGGCAAGAACACCACCCATCAATCTTGTCCGAGAAGGCAAGTCAAACGACGCCCGAAACACGTCAACAGAGGCAATACGGATTTGTCCCCATCCCTTGCAAATAAGCGTATCAATCGACGTGCCGTAGACGTATTCGCGGAACCCAGCCCATCGGATGGCAGAGGCGCACTTGTTCTCTATCAGCATCACCACACACACGAGAGAAATATGATAAACATACCATTGGACAACTCTCTGCATTCGTGTACAGGGTTAAATCCGCAAAAGCGGCCTGTGCCTCTGACGGCGTGAGACGGAACCGGCCCTTCGGATCAGTCAAGATGGCAGTGCAGTTCGCAATAGCTGCAATTTCGCCTAAAGCACATGCCCATCAGTCTGCAGAGGAGAAGGAAAGATGAATTCATTTGATAAACCTCATACCATGCAGTGAGGGGTTGCCCGTTTGGCCATTCTGGTTGGCTCCGATGCATATCAAGTCCCCCAGTCCTTGGGCGTATGTGTGGTTGACGATAGCAGTTCCGAATGCAGCGAATGGACAGAGAGAGCGAGTCACGTCCTGCAAGGCCTTGTTTGCCCGGCGCATCCAGTATGATCGGGTCGAATAGGGAATGCCGTTGATAAACAGGGCTGGGTCAGCAGTGGTGATGCATAGTGCTGGAGGGAAGAAAGAGCCGAGGAGTAGAATACACAGAGCGCAGGGATTCATCTTGTAGCTTTGGTACAATGCAATGAATGACGGATGATAACGGAATTCGTCCCTGATGAGATTCTCCCGTTTTTAAACTTTGTACCGACTCCGATCATACATATAGATCTAGTCCTTAGCCGAGCGGATGCTCAATCTAAACATTCATCGAGCCCTGAGCACAGGCAGAAAAGACGAAGCTCTTATGTACTGGCATACATGGGGTAAGAATACCGATCTGCATCTATCATGATGGGTATCCCAATCGTAGACGAGGTCCTCCTTCAAGGTGACCGTACTGGAGCGCCAGCCGGAAGAGAAATACAACGTGAGCATTCCTAGTTTGATCGAAGTAATGGACGCTAATATGATATACTTCGGAGCAGTTGTTACTAGGATTGATCTGAACCATATATCCAGTGCGTCTTCTGATTATGCCCGGCGTCCGTCACTAACAGATCACAGTCGATGACGTGGACCGGCCCAAGGCAGCCATATGACGGTACAAGGTCGTCGTAGTAAATGGTCAACACGATCTCAATCCCAGGAAACAATGGGAACTTGTGAAGAGACTCGATCCCAAAGCTACCGACGGCCACAGTCACGGGCTATGAAGGATTTCCGCCAGGCAGACTCATAGTAAGTATTCCATCAGGTGCTCTGCATATCTTGTCTAACGTGCAAACAACAAGAGACGTCCAGGGAATACCATGAGCAGAGAACGTCCGCTTAATCGGCAAAGGATGCCAGAGCAAAGACCACTTTGGAATCAGAACCATACCGTCAAGGCGGGACTGAGCAATGATTTCCACGCCGTGCCTCCGTCTCCGGATGATTTTGATAAAGGCATAACGCGCTTCCAGCGATGGTGTATCGACGCACCGCTGTACGAAAAGGATCCGGCATAGTCCACGACCTTATGATGCGTCAAGGAACCAAAAGGCTGATGATCTGGTCTGAGTATGAAATTGCCACCTAGACGGACGGCCGTCTTCAGTACGTCACAGCTATACCGTCTGCTGGAACCAGAGGAAAAGAAATTTGTTGATAACAGCTGGGTCGAGCATGCTCCATACCCGTACAAGTGGAGGAACTGGGGGAATATGACCCGGCGTCCGTGAAGGTATTGGTATGTCTTCGTATCTTCCCAACTGGCGATATACCGTCCAACTTAAGATAGTACTCCATGGTCTGGGTAAACCCCCTAACCGGCAAGAAAGAATTCCAGGGCCACGGGATCTGTGTAAGGAAACTCTACCTGCGCAGTTCTCCGGATGAGAAACCGCGCGTGGTAGAGGACATTGGAGAGATCTGCAAGTTCATCTTGGGCATCCAGAATCGGATTTTGAGACCGGAGTACATCCCGCTGGCTCCGGCAGAAGGCGACGTGGTCATCTTGGATAACTACAGGCTGTTCCATTCCGCCGTTGACCATCTGCTGGAGCTGGGGTCTCGATCTATGCATCAGGCAAGTATTGGAGACAGTGTTGGTCCGAAGGGGCCAGTGCTGATTGACGTGTCTACTTAGGATTGATCATTGTGTCCTGCACTGAACAGTAGACGTATCTTCAGCTAGAAGAAAGTGATAGACCGAACTGTAAATCCATCATTCATGTCATATCTATGCCATTTTACCTGCTGATTTCCCAGACTCCTTCTCCTGCTTCCATTTCTCTCGCGCCTCGGCTGCCTCGGCCTTCCAGGACCCAGAGTAGTGATGCGAGACAAATTTCTCCCCCTGGTCATCGGGATATCCGTTCTGCGCGGCGGCAAATGCATTTCCAGGAAGAATGAGCACGTCGCCAATCAGGCGTGGCTCCTTGATGTGCGAGAAATTACGGTCATCCACGGCCTTCTCCAGCCGAAGACTGAGACTCTTCAAAAGACCGATAGTCATGATCTTGGGCCCCGTCACATCAACCACTTCCTGCCGCAGCATCTCCAGGGTGAGTCCGTCGATCCCGACCCCATTTTCATGCGCGATGAGCCGCAGTTTATCAGCGATCATATCGACGATGTACTCGAGATGATGGGACGACGGACGCGCAGCGAAGACCCAGTTGGTGAACTGCGACGCGACCTGGGACCCTTCCCCGCGCCAGTCCAGGTCAAACTCCAGTCCCACGATCATATCCACGACAGGCTCATTGCTGGCAGCGAGAACCTTCGAAATATTCCACCGACTCACTTCCAGCTCGCACGTCACGTCGAGATCGCTCCAGATGCCCCCCTCTGCAAGCAGGATCAGATACCGCAGTAGATCGGCACGGAGGATAGCCACACGCAGGGAATTATATAGCTCGACGATATCAGGCCGTGTTTTCTCGAACCGGTTCCGCACAAATGTCTCGCTTGACTTATCCGTCAACAGCTCCTGACGGAACGACGGATTCTTCTCCGTCCAGCTGCGCGTCCACTGGAGTTGGTCACCGCTCAGCACGGTATCCTTCGCGGACTGCCAGACCTTATCAGGAATGCCGGGAATGGTGGTCGCGAATTCGGCGTCTAGCAACGGCACGGATGGTGCTGTCGGGCGCGATAATGGTGTTGTTTCGGGGATATTCTTCAGCGGTAATGGCTTCGCTTCCGACTCGGGCGGCGGTGGTGACAGGGGGATTTGTGCTGGGATAGACTGGGATATCGGGGTCCAGCCCAGAATCAGGAGATAGATGACAAGAAGAAGCAGAGGAGAAAGCAGGAAAATGCGCCAGAAGCGCTGAGATTTCGGGATGGGGATCGGCATGGAGAGCCAGGAATGATGACGGACAAAGGGGAGCAGGGGCCGGGAGGATGAGACATTTATACGGGACGGTGTATTTATATTATTTATACGCCGTAGTGTTCGATTGCTATCAGGAATAATCACACTCGATAGAAACTGACAAGGAATAGTATCTGTGGCTGGGATACACCGGAGATAAGTCAAACAAGGCCAAGCAGAGCTGGAAACGGACGCACGACACCCTAATAATAGCTTGGCTCGTAGCTTATGGGGATGTGGTGTATTATTTATGGAGACTTGTTCAATAGCGCTATAATTAACGCCATAATTAACGCCATAATTAACGCTTTATGATTAATGCTTGATTATATTACTGCCTAGCCGCTGATATCATTATTCCTATGGTAACTCATTATAGCTAAGTGAATGGTGTTAGTGAATGGTGTTAGTGAATGCTCCATATACTGGTGTGCCGTTTTGACATCCTTCTAACCAGCATCCCCGCCCCTCCCTGGGCCTCCCTACTAACCAACCTAACCAACCGACTGAGCGAGTTTCACCCTCCAACGGAGACTGTTCTATTTGACTTCCAGTAAGCAGGCAGAGTCAACAGTTCCCGGCTAATGACCTAAGAATAGATGTCCATCATACCTAGAGACGAGGCTGGTGACAAAATAGGTGAGGCTATGATTGAGCCTGTTATGAAGAAAACTAATTTTGGTAGACAGTCAGCTACGGAGATCTCTGCGAAAGCTCATTTCTTGCAACCAAGGTCGGCTGAGAGGGTCAGTGAGGCACTTATTTCAATGGCAGGTGGGAACCCACGACCGTCCCACTTTCAGTCTCCGTTTCTCGACCTCCTACTGAGAAGCAACGTTAAATTCATGAACAGCGTGAGGCCTATGACTTTGATTGCCCAGCAACGCAATTGCGAAATGATCATGAATTCAGGGTCTTTGGTTATCTGCAGGAAGAGTTTACCCATTCTCCAAGCGTGTTAATCAGGAACAATGTCACTTCCCGGCGAACGGAGATATTCCCACTCTTCTGGGAGCTTGACCTAAGCCCAGGGCGCCCATCTTTGTGTCTCACAGACGAGTCGGTCTTGCAAGCAGTAGCACTGCCATGCCACACCATCACCGGCCATCCGATCGCTTGCCGACTGCGTTGATGGCGAGTCGCAGTCTTGGTGTAGCTGCAGGCCCAGCGGGTATAAAGAGGCACCTGCCCCCGGGCCTTTAATTCACTTCTTCCTCTTTTCAATTTTTGCCACGGTCTCCCAGTTCTCGCTTTCCTATCTTTCTCAGCGTCATGGATGATACTATGGAATTTACCAATGTATGTTTGTTGTGATGATCATTACAAGTTATAAAGCCCGCTGCTAATGAGCTCTTAGAGCTGGGCAGATTTTGCTCGCTCGGACTCTACCGAAGTTGCGACAGAGCCAGAGGATCAGAATCAGCTTGGTGGCCGCGCGAGCGCTGCAGAAGTAATCCACATTGAGGACGACCGGACACCAGGCCGGAGGGGATCTCCCGAACATGACGGGAGTCGTCCTGTTACATCGTCTCGTCCGCAACTTCGAGGGACACGCAAGCGAGATTTTCAGCTACCAAGAATACGAAACTATGATGCGCAATGCCACACAAGAACCTCTGCCAAAGCGACAGAAACGTGTGACTCGGAGAGTTGCTGACCATACGATCTCACATACATCCTCTATTATGGTAAGAATTTCCGGACAGCCGCTGTTTTGAGTCTCTAACCAGAGATAGGATGTCATCAATCGGGGCCTGCCTGCCTGGGAAGACCGGGCTCAAGCCAAAATCGACCGGCTTCAAGCTGAACTGGATAAACAACGTACCGAAACAAACCAACTTCAATCTGACAAGAATGCATTGCAGCAAGAAAATCTGGAACTTATGAAAGTTCGCGTTATGAAGTGCAAAGTATGTAATGGTCAGCCAGATCGCTGGAGGAAGTTTCTATGTGGGCACATGTTTTGTGAAGACTGCAAGATGTATCATGTCTCTCCACTCCGCATCCTGCGCCATTTGCGGACAGGCTATTACTGGATACAGTATTGTCTATCCCTTTGCCGGATGAGTGAGTGGTCTCCTGTTTATGTGGCTGTCTTGAATAATAACGGTTTCATATACCGTAAAAGCTGAATAAAGAGTGTCCATAGTCGCTAGAAGATCTTATGCACAAAGCTTTTTAACATCCCGGATGGCCTCGATGCGGCAAACTCTATACGATTACTTCAATGAGAGTCATGCTTACCCTCAAACAGTACAATAATTAACTAGCTGCCTCCATTTAACTCTGAACAAGTTGATGTAGCTAGAACAGCCCCAAATTCATTGACCCTTTCGCCTCAATTGTTCACATTTGGTCTTGGTACGGCCAAAGCTTTGTATATAACTCCTTCTCAGCTTCATTCTTGGCCGACCCAACAAATATGTCCTTGAATTTGCGGCTATTCTCGCTCGCAATTTCGTAATCTTCAGGCTCCACCATCCCGTCGATTGGTAGTACACCTTGGTCTCGAAACAATGCGAGTATGTGTCCAATTCCGTCAATATTATCTTCCTCCTTAGAGTGAAGCTCTATTTCTTGATCGGTAAATTCAATCAGACAAGGCAATTGGTTCCTTGCAAAAATCTCATGCCAATGGGTAGCAAGGGAGAGGAGTGACTGGCGCAGAAAGAAGAGATCTCGATTTTGCCACACACCACTTACCAGCCAGACAGGCTTCCTCACTGTGGGAATAGTCGATTTGCGAAGTACAGCCCAGTGGAAAGGTGCCCGTTTGCAAACCTGAGCTTCGTAATACTTATGCATGGCCTCACTTTCCAAATCACTATCAATCATCTTTTTCTCATCTTCAGTGAGGGTGTCAAAATTCTCAGGCCGTTCTGGTATAACCCATCCTTCTCGAACAGGCTGATAATGTCGGAACATTCTGGGAACGCCTGACTGGTAAAAGAGAGGAGCAACACATGCAGACTGCCAATCCACAATGCAGGTGATTTCATGCGTAGTGGGATCAACAAAAACGTTATCCAGATAAAGATCAGGGTGCCAGATCACTTTGGACATCGCAGGTTCATTGGTTGACGGAGGAATCAAATAAGGTGCCACATCCATGTACTTGGCAAGAAGACGAAGGCCGTCATCAGGGAGTTCATATTCTTGACTCGACCTATAGTAGTTCATTCGAGGATGAGCATGCGATCTGATCCACGCGATTTCATTTTGTCCTAACGCTCTTGTGTAGTCTTGCGGATCACGCCCTGCCAGACATTGGTTAGTAACTTCATGCAGGCACCAAAGATAGGATTACTCACAAGGGCCACGATCTAATTTCATGTCTTTCCTACCATTATCCCACAATTCAGCAAATGTTAGGGGGCCAATGGAAAAACGATCGAGGGACTGAGGAGTGGAAGACTCAACGTAGATGTTTTCCGCTTCACCAGCTAATAATTGAAGGTCATCTTTGAAATAGATACAGCCATGCCTAGGAAAGGATATAGTAGTCAACGTGTTTTCCATGTCAACAACTTGTCTAATCAAGCTCAATTTTGCTTCTCGTGTCCATTGACTCCATACAGAGCCAAGTTTGATTCCTGGCGCCTTCTCTGCAATGATATACTCCGCCTCAACAGGGCTATCCGCTGCATCGAAAGACCATGCAAGAATTCGGGGGACAGGAATCTTAAAAACGTCACGTAGCTGCCGTCTTCATCAGTCCATTTTCAAAAAAGTTAAATAGCCATTCTTACCAACTCGTGCGTGGCAACCTCAGAGGCGGTTGTGTACTGAGTCGGTCCAGCATTCGGATTTGGGAGTTTTGCGAAAACTTCACTTCCATTGTCCATTGTCAAAATAAACGCTTTGTTGTGTAGGCCCTCTGAGCATTTAAGGATCTTGGTGCCTATAATTGATATAAGCAAAAATGCTTTGTAACACGAGTACCAAGACATACAATATCGAGCTCCTTCACTGGCTTTCACGGCAGCATCGACAAGCGCCTGCACGTTGAGCCTCACGTAGCGCTTAGAGAGTTCTTCGTTCTCATGGAATCTGAACAGACATTGATGAGATGTGGGCTCGATGTGAAGCAGTCGGATTACTTACAACCATCGGTGTCTTGTGTACTTAAATAAGTCTTCCTCGGTGATATTCTCGCCTTGGGCACGAGTTAGTCTAATCGGCTGTCAGAAAAGGCATCGAGGCAAGGCACAGATACAGGTTCTGTTGGGTCCTTCTACGCATAATTCTGGTCGGCAAGATCCCGGTTTCTCCGTTAATGAACGCAACAAAGAGAGAAAACTCATATTTCGCGTCTGGCAATAGGGAAGCCTGCTTTGGCAAAGCTTCAAAAGAATTTGCTTCCAGGGGGTTCTGCACATAGTGTTTTGCGAGTTAATCAGCTAACAGCTGTTAACATTCATTTGGGTGGGAGTGGGTTTTCGGACGCCGGATTTATTTATATGCCGTCCCAGCCAATCAATATCCATATCTGGCGCCCCCTGGAGACAGAGATCGTGCCTAAGCCTAATTAGTCCTCTGTATCATTTAAGCTTATCCCTAGCGCTAACAAAACCCTAGGTTATAAAGACCCTATTTGCTTAAAATCTAGCGGGGAAAATTTCGAAGCGCCTTACTTGGACGTTATATGTGTTATTTTTGCAGGCGGTTGCAACCCAAGCATCCTAAAACTCTATCCAATCGTTGATGTGACCTACCCAGAGTCTGAAACGCGTCCACGAGAAGTCGAATTACGAAAGACCAACCTAACCGCCTGGGCTGGCTTCTGAAACGTCCTAAAATCAGGAAAGACAAGAAATACCACTGAGTTGTAGACGCTGAGATGATTCAACATTTGCCTACGCGCCCTCACTTGCAGCACGACGTAACAATATAGAATCTACATTGATGGTATCCTGTTGCAGGACTATCTCATAAATGCTTCCCTCCTGCGTTCAGAATCAGTTTACTTTGAGCACCAGAAGGAAGATGTCAATATGCAACCAATTCAACATGTTACCGGCTGTGAATGTAGAATTGATTTATAGGGGTGTTATTCGCGTATTCCAGTCATTATTGATTTAGTAGCACACATTAGGTATTCTTGTGATTAACAGCAGCGCTCATCTAGAATGGCAGCACAGACATTCGATACGTACTTGCTGTGACGGGGTCATATATCCATGTCCCTGCTGGTTACGTTGTGGGGATCAGAACGTGGTATCATGATCCCTGCAAAGTTGAGGGAATGATTAAAGGTGTTTTAGAAATAGATAAGAATAAGATCAGCCTGAGATAATTCACTTTGCTAATCTCCCTGCAAAGGATACACGCAGGAGTCGTGCATTCAAGTGTATTCGTGACTGCTGTGACTACCTTCAATTCTAACATACGCATCTGCCATTCATATATATCCAAGATCAATGTGCAAACCGGAAATCTAGCCGGTGGCTCCCCTCGTCCGTGGTCGTCGAAATATAGTGGAGTTTTTCCTCCTGCGACAACGCCTGCCACTTCTTCTCCCGGCTCGCATTGCGCCACGCATAGTACGCCTTGGTGAGAAGATAGAGGACGATGTTGGTCGAGACCAGTCCCACGAGAACACGGTTTCCTCGCTTGTACCGAGGCGCGTCATCTACGGAGTACTCTGTCAGACGCGGGCTGGAAAGGTGGAAGGGACAACAGCAACCATACCTGATCTGTAGATATTGGATGCGATAATCCCCGATGCTTGGACACACATGTTGTACATTGCTGCCGAGACAGTTCGAGAGCGGACGGTGTTGGAATTGCGTGAGTTCCAACCGACCTGGATCGGGTGTGCTGGTAGAATCAGTATCGGATGCAGAAACAGTCCCGAAGAAGAACTCACCCGATGGATACGCCAGAAACAAGGTCATGATCACCCACGCCGTCCAGTGGTTGATACTGTCGATATCCTTCACGTACAGGTATATCACGAACGGGAGGGCCCAGATCTGACCAAACATCGACACCAAAGTGAGCTCTCCAACAACCTCCGCGACGTATGTCAGCGCCAACATCAGTATGATTGAAAGCACCTTGGTCGGAATGGTCAGGAGATTCGTGACGAACGTATTGAACCCCATGCCTCGCAGGGTCAACGTCAAATACTGAGACGGGGTGGTCATGGGCGTCTGGAACATGAGCCCGAGGATGTACAGCGGCCAGAGGTCAAAGTCACACAGACTCTTGAACAGGAGCTTCGGGGTGATCGGTTGGCGGTTGTGCATGGATCCCTTGCTTGGATCATCGCGGATGACACGGTTGACGATGATTGTCTCCTCACTGTGTGCAACGGCATTAGACGGGCGCACAGCGTATATAGTCTCAGAAGACTCACCGTGGAGTGAACCAGCCTTTCTTTCCTCGGACCAGCCCTGCCGTCTGGCAGGGACCAGGGGGCATTAGAAAGAAGGCCAGGAGACCAACGACCAAGGTTATGAGGCCCTTTTCGTCCGTCAGCAACAACAATGAAGAGTATAACAGGCAGCATTCTCACCTCGAGAAGGAATAACCATCTCCATCCGGCTCTGCCGTTTACACCGCGCAGGTGCAGGAATCCAAAAGCCAAAAAGCTTGCCAGGATATCGGCAATATTCATAGCCGTCCAGAAGAAGCCCAGCCGCAGTGACAGTTCGTGGTGCTTGTAGAAGTAGGAGAGGTACAATATTACGTCCGGGATAAACCCACCCTGAAGAATACCAAGAAGGGCGCGAGTCGCAAGGAAGGAAGATTTCCCATTCAATGCAAACTGGCCCATGGCAACCCCAGACCACAGTGTCATCTGCATGGGAATCCACCTGTCCGGGCCCATCCATTTACTGACCAGCTGCGAAGGTAGTTCAGCGCAGAGGAAAGCCAGCTTGAAGACGGTGTTTCCCAGGTTATAGTCTATCCACATTAGCCGTTGCAAACAGCAGACGAAACCACGGCAGACATACCGTCGGTGGTAAGATGCAAGTCCTTCAGCATATTATCCGTCAATGCCTGGGCAAGATTCGACCGGTCCAGCTCCAGCGCCATGAACATGATGCAGGCCAGGATCAAGATGCGCACGTCAATCTTGCGGATCAACCTGTGCTCCTCACCCCAGGTCCATCTCGCCAAGGGATCAAACCGGCCCAGGTTCTCCCAGTCCGCCCGGGGTTGGTATTCCTTCGCGGTGTCGGGGTTATCGTAGACAGACGGCTGCGTTGCAATGGCACCGGGATTGTATTTCTTGCCTCGTTGGAACCAGAACCTGCGCTCGCTGGCTGGTTCCCCGAGCGGCGGGATATCCTCGTCGACGAAATGGCCCTGGCTATCGGACAGGTCTGATACTCGTTCATCGGGTGTTTTCTTCTGCTCGGATAGGTAAACGGTAGCCATGTCTGCAAAGCCGGTGGCACAACGGGGTTTCTTAGAGCGCTATCTCAGGCACAGCCATGATATACAATGGATATTAAGCAGCTTTATATCCAGATGGGCCTGATAAGACTTTATTTTCCTGCTTTGCCCCCCTAGCCGACGACTATTGTCCCGTCTGCTTGGCGATCGCTCGCATCATCCAGCCAAGGATTGGGCAACCGCGTCGCTGCCAGCGTCGCGGAAGCACAGGGGAAGGGAGATAAACAGCGGCCAATAACACCTGCGAGGAATGACAATGCTTCAATGCAGAATAACACCTTCAGCGCATCGTGACATCCGCGCGGCAGATGATGCCATCACGGTGCACTTCCCCACGCGCTGTGAACCTGTGTTTCTCAGTGGACGAGATGCATTGGCATCGCTCTGCCTCGGGAAATGGCCAGCAATGCGCGCTGAGACGTCTGAAGAGAAGTCTGCTATACGCTTGGCGGAGAATTATCCCGGATGTCATGCGACGATCGGTGGATAATCCATATCAAACAGGTGAGGAGAAGCATTATTTGTGGATTCCGGCTGATAATGCATGAACCAGAGTTTCAAGAAGAATGCAGAAACGTATGAGTCTGTCATAACATGGATACCCAATGGCACCATTTGACCTGCTTTTCAAAGGGTTCTCTTCATCATCCTGGAATGGCCAGTTCTCATCCAGATCATTCTTCTCCTGCTCCATCTCCGCTACCTGAAGCGTGAAAGCCTTCATGTCGTCAATTGTCTTCTCCACCTGCTCGTATCGTTCACTAGAAACACAGCTATCAATTGAATGGTCCTGAAATTTCTGCATCTGTGCGTCCGAGTCCCTCTGCTCAGCGTCGAGGGCGAGACGCGACTCTTTCTTCGCTTCAGTGGACTTCATGGGAAATCTTCCGGTTTCATGCTATTAGGAGAGATTACAATCCCAGTCCAATTTATGGATAGATCCATCAGCTATGTTTTGAGCGACACATTATCACCTTCCCACGACCGGCTGCCATCGCCCGGAAAGGAGCTTTCTTCATAGAACTGGTAAAACTGAGATAGTCACACTTGGAAGAAGAGACCTGGAATGTATCCGAGACCCCATCGCCCAGGTTCTGGAAATGTGGCGGGACTTGAGCCTGGATGAACATCGGAAGCACAGCCTGGCTATCTGCTACGCAGGGGTGGCGCCTAATCCGTGATATCCAGCCAAGGAGACTGGCAGAGTTTGGTGCATCTAGAATGTCGAATAGAATCAAAAAGATATATTGGCTCACATATTCACCTGAGACATCCTGTCCTTGCATGCATCTTCAATGCTCACACAGATTGAAATCATACATCATGAAATGCTCATTCTGTTCCCCCTCCACCATACGTCGCTCCGTGATATTCTCGATATCATAGTAGTATACAGCGGATGCGCAGATATGCTCGTTCTAGAGACATCAGTGGTTGCTGAGCAGTATCGATATCAATTCAACTCACAAGTTGCCCTTCAACATGCCAGGATCCCCCGTCATACTCGGGTTTCTCAGGTGTCAGCTCGATATTAGCAAGCTTGACGATAACCTGCAACCCCGTCTCGGCAAACCTTTCGCGCAGATTGATCTTCTTGCATGGAGTGACTTGGGATGGCTCGAACTCGTCCGGTTCGGGAATTTCTATGGGCCTCCTGCTTTCCCGCTCACTGTAACGCTCCCAGTAGTCATCGCCGTCATCCTGGACTGGTTCAGGTTCAGGGTGGTCGAGATAGTTGACCTGGTAGTACTCGATTCGCTTGTACTCGTTTTCCACGTGGGTCAAGACGACGTCCCAGAGCGGGATGGTTTGCGCAAGAATTCTTTCAATGACTCCGTAGAGACCACGGTTCTTCTGGGGATGGAGGTTGTTGATGTACGAAGCAATCCGACACCCGCCCTCCTCAGTGAACTTGACATCACACGGCATCCACTGGAACTTGCCGCTGAAGGGGTCACAGCTCGAGTACCGGTCTTGATACGTATCCTGCAGCCCCCTTTCCTCGAGCGGTGGTTCTTTGAGTACCTCGCCCTGCCCGATGTAGCCGAAACAGTCATCACGTCCGATGAGTCCATCCGAAAGGATACGGGAGCGGCCATAGATGACAGGGAAGAGCGACGGATGCACCAAGTCAAGAACCTGGTTGTCCGAATTGGGATGATAGTCCTTCTGTTCTTCCGGCACATCCTCCAACGGCTGAGCAGCTTCTTTCAGTGCCTGCTGCACGTCCTTCGGAACCGCTGTATCCGACTTGACGACTCCAGGCTCAAACGCAACGACGATTCCAGTCTTGTGGAGAACGCCTGCTTTCCACTGGAGCTCCGTGGTGATCCAATCCATCATCTTTTGCGTTACATCTTCGCCGCTCCTGGAGATTTCCTCGCGCCACTTGGCCATGATTTCTTTGTCGAATACCTAAAAGGATTAGTGACGACGTCTAACATGGTTGAAACGAGATGATACGAGGGAAACGCACCTTTCGGTCCCATTCAGGCTTGTCTGTGATGGAGTTCATCACCCGCAACATGACCAGCTCTCGATGGACGGTGATTCGGCTATACTGTGTTAACTAACTCAAGGATACGTGAACGCCGTGGATCCATTAAGCTCGAACTTCGCGTCCCCCCTCTCGATGTCCATGTAGTCCAGCGCATGGGAAAATAAGCTATGATCTTCGGGAAATAAGCTATCATCTTCCCCATTGAACGGCTTATGGTTCAAAGGCAGCGTCCAGCCGGGCAGGCGGAGGCGTGTCGGTTCTGACGACATGGCGATGTAGATATGCCGGTGATTGCCAGTGGCTGACCCTCGCCGGCGGGGATACGTGATATAAATGCCTGGGCGTTCATGCTGCCTGTTGCCTGGATTCTTGTATTACCCGCATTCAATTACGGAGTATCGGAGCCTAATTTCAGCCGATTCGTGTGTTCCGTGCAGCGTCTTCATAAAAAAGAAAAAAAGAAAAACCGTCTCCGGGTTAATTTATGCTATATACATTTCTCTTGCGGCTCTTCCGTCTCGAACTTCACAATACCGAAATGGGAACTGTTTCTAACAGGCAACCTGATGGAGAAATTCCTAGCTAATGCTCGTCCATAACTGATATGGAAAGGCCACGTGGTATGGCAGCTTGGCTCCCTCTCCAACCCCTGAGAATGCGAGCCCCTGATTGTATGTAGAGAGAGCAAGAGATAGAGACAAGAACTGAATGGCATCCGTTCCGTAGTAGGCTACGTTCGTGTGGCAGATACAGCTTCATTCTGCCCTTCTTCCCTGAGTTACATGCATATTCCACAACACCCCGAAACTTGGGGATCATGAAATTCAATTATTAGACAGCAGCCACCGACCAAGTTAGGCTTAGATTCAGGGAGCAGCTGAAATAATGCCGAGGCTAGTTATATTATATTCATGTTGCTAAGTCCGTGTCAGTGTTCCATGGAGCAGTTGCCCAGGGAGAATCTTTCTCAATTCAACAACATAAAACCCAGTAGGGGTCGTTTCTCGCTTGATCTTTAGGGTTTTCCATGAACTATCGTGTATCTCCGAGGGCCCAGAAATGTCGGAGGAGAGGAGTAGGAAATTGTGGACTTGCTAAGCTTGTAAGACATTATGACCAGTAGTACACTCCAGCCTGGTCTTGAACCATAGGTTCGCCCAGGATCAACACAAACATGCAAACATCGTCTTTTCTTGTTTCAATCGTTCTTCTAGGCTGCTATTATTATACCAGAGCTTCCGACCTTCGCCACTGATAGTCCAGTACATCAGCGGCCCTTTCCGCGCATGCATATCCACACAGGAGCTCAATCACATAAAGAGACACATCAAATCCGCTGGTGATCCCACCGGACGTAATGACACGCGTTCCAGTTTCCAAAAAGCCGCCATCAACGTATCGCTTTCGGGAGATTTCCGTCTGACCATGCTTATCACAAAGTTCCTGCAACTGAGACAGGAGACCGTAATGCGTCGTCGCCCGGCGACCAGCCAAAACACCCACCGACGCTAGCATAAATGCGCCGCTACAGACCGACACGAGGAGCCGCGGATGCCGTCTTGTATCCTCAGACGGAAGAAGGCGGAACTGCTGTATGAGGTTTTTGATAGGATGGTTCTCTGTATCGCAGATGTCTTTCGTATCTTTATAGTCCGAGCCGGGAATGATCAAGACGTCGAAGCGAGAGAGGTCGGCAGCGGCCGCTTCAAGGCTGATGTTGGTCTTGACCACTGGTCCTTGAATCGTCTTGATCTCATCGGTTTCTCCGGCGATAGTCACGGCGAAGCACTTCTCGCCGTTGTCGACTGCATGCAGAAGGGTCTCGACTGGAGAAAAGAAATCAATGAGATCTATCGAGGGGAAGGCAACGACACATGCCTGGATGACAGAGGACATTTTGACTGAGAATTGGCAGGGACCTGCAAATTGGAATTGTTAAGGTGAATGGGATGGGATTCCTCGATCTTCAGAATACCCTGGGAGGCCAGGTGAGATCCTGCGAATTTATACCTCATGCTGCTTACTCTACGCCGTCTCGACTAGGCATAGGTGCTGTCGGGTACACTGAATTCAGCCATGGCTACGAAGGTTCCTCTGCAACCAAAGCGCGGTCCGATATGCCCAATCCGGTAATCCGGAATAGCGCCAAGATTTGGCTTACGCAGAATTAAGAGAATCTTACGGTACGGCGGATTATGGCTCCCGGCTTGTGGTATTGCCCAGGCGATGATAGTGTTGATTTGAACAATATACTAGACATACTTGGGTGTCATGATAACGGGATCTTTTTGGGTCAATACGTAGATGAAGCGTCGGGAACCATCAGGTACGTGTGGCTATCAAAGCACTTCAGCCCTAGTTTGAATACTGCTATGCTCCAGATTATGTTCCAAAAATAAATCCTCCGATGCTGACATTCTCCGTGTTTCTTCGATCCCCGGCAGAGCAGCCTATCCCTCGATGTTACCAGGCATCGACGCCGACAACTTGATGCGCAGATCCAGTATCACTCCTGTCATCTATCATCCGACAAGAAAGCACCCGGCTCAGCAGCTTAGGACCCTGCCGATCTCGATATAGGAAAACCACACCAGCAGCAAGCCCTCCTCCCGCGGACGGTCCGCTGATCGGAATCCACGCCGGGTCGGGAACGTGGGTTTGGCAGGGAGTCCGCGAAGGAGCTTATGCAACTCGGGATCGAGTGGAGGCGTCTTCACGGTCATTGTGGAAAGAAGGTTATTTCTCACGAAAGGACATATGTACGTACATCTTTAGGCTGTATGAACCCCCCGGGATGTTTGGGTCCACCGCAAACGGAATTGAAGTCGATGTAGCTCCGCTATACGGGCTATCTTCCAAGTTGAGGAGAGTAACGGCAGTCGATATTTCATTAATGCAGGTAGACTGTCTATAGATGTATACAAATCTAATGAAAGCCGCAATACTGAAGCTACCCCGGATCCTTCATGGAGAGTGCTCCCTTATCATGCTCCGTAGAGACTCCATTATTGACATGTTCCTGAAGAAACCCACAAACAAATATAGTGAACAAGCACAATCATATATCCTTCACAAAGCCTACCTCAACCAGCCGATCTACCCGGACATTCAGACTCTGCACCTTCGTCCGAGTCTGGTCGCGAATCCACAAGAAGACCATCAGCGCGAGTCGGCGGAAGATATTCGTGCCCTTCTTGATACGTAGCTGTTCCTTGCCGACGATGTAAACAACCCGCTGGCTATACGCATCCTCCAGCGTTTGGAGCTCTGAAGCAAGTTGTCCGGACCGTTCAAACGGACGCACTCCAATAGACCTCTGCTGCTCCACCAAAAATTTCCGGATCTGGTCGAACACGAGCAGACCCAGATTAGGCGTGATAACTTCATCCGTGTAGCCATGGCGCACCACCAACCGGTAGCAATTGGGGATGGCCCTTTTTTTTCTCTCGGAACCGTGAGCGTAGCAGCGCATAACGGTGAACCTGTCCGCGGGATCAACACTCGGCAATGAAAGAGGACGCAGATGAAAGAACACAGTGACATCCTGCATCGCTTGGAACTTTTGGACAAAATGCAGAAACACGGCCGGAGTATACGACGGGTTGCCGGTTTTGTCAAAGAAGATACCGAAGCCCTGGGTTCGCGACAGGACATTCCCGCCATATGCAGATTGGAGTCGGAGGGTTGAAGTGTCGCCGTCGCTCTCCACCTGCACTGTCTGCGAGAGAGGAATATCGTCGGTGGCTTCTGACCTCCACTGCTGCTCCTTGCCGTAGCGCCAGAGGATGAAGATGGCACTGAGCGCAGCGGCAATCATCAGCGTAACCCATGCTCCGTGGGGAACCTTGGTGAGGGCTGCGGACAGGAACATCCCATCCCACAGGGCAAAGATACTGAAGACAGGTAATACCACGTAAAAGGGAAGTCGCCAGACGATCAAGGCGACAACGGCGACCATACAGGTGGTAAGGAACGTCACCAGAATCACGCAGGAGCCATAGGCTTCTCCCAGAGCGGTTGTCTGTAATACGCATCAGTCACCCGAGTCCGAAATATAGAGAACAGTAGCAGACAAGGACCGGAATCCCACATTGTTAAAAACAGCAGCCACGATAACCGTACCAATCATCATAATCCAGTTAGCCAGGGGAATATATATCTGGCCGTAGAATTTCTTAGATGTATGCACCAATTCGATCTGGGGGAAGTACGAGAGTTTCATGATTTGCGCCAGCAGCTAAAACCCATTTTGCCATCGTCAATCAAACCCACTCCGAGATCGACTTATAATTATATGGCTGTAGGAGGAACATACCTGGAAAGCACCCGTGATGGTCGCCTGGCTAGCAACAATGCAGGCAAGTATTGCCACAACGAGACTGGGATAGAGCATGCCCGGGGGAACTGTCAGGTAAAAGGGATTGGCATATGCACTCGGTACAACACTGATATGAGCAGCTTGGCCGATATACTACGGGCAGTGAGAAAAGGGCAATACATGAGTCAAGGACCGTAGAAGACGCACGCTGAAGAGAAGGCACGGATAGGCAAAGCACAGCCATGATATTTGAACGGCTCTATGACGATGGTGTCAGCGAGATATATCTGTGCTGAAGAAGAAGCTCAAACACACCGTCTGCTGAAGGCACCCACGTCGGCGAATAGTGTTTCTACACCAGTAAAGGCAAGAATAATTCCACCGAGCTGCAGCCATCCAGACCGGCCGTTGGCTTCTAGGAAGTGGCCGGCAAAGTAGGGCGAGAAAGCCTTGAAGACTGATGCATCGTAGGTGGCGATATTCTGGAGCCACTGTCAGTTTGAGGGAAGCACATTCATGCTATGTTGGCCAGACCTACGTAGATGCCAAAGGTGAGATTGAACAACAGCCAGAGAATGACAATGGGGGCGTACGTGCTGGCGATCTTCGTAATCCCTAGCGGTTGGACCAGGAAGACAACAACCAGGATGGCACAGGTGACCCCTATGACAGTGGACGTGTGGATATTGGAATTGACCACGGTGATCCTAGCCATTGTCAGCTTTGTAACAGGATTGATCGACGGAGGGGGTCATTCCAACCCTTGGATGGCACCGAGAATAGATTGAGCAGGGGTTAGCACACCATCTGTTAACCCAAAGTCAGAAAATAAACGCATCAGACACGGCCAATGGACATCACAAACCAGCAAGAAGTAACGCTACTCCCAGAACTCCGATTACTTTAAAAACCCATTGCAGGATTTTGCTTCTCTCCATCACTCGACGGACAGTGCAGTTGACAGAGCCCAGGTCGCCTGTTTTATGGCGCTCTATCTTGACCATTCTCTCCTCGCGCGGATCCCGACTGACGATGTTTGCCTGTTGGCTGTGAGCAGGCCAGACGAGGTGCTAGATACGCTAGGACAGGACACACATAGCGAGAGATGAGTGAATAGAGAGCAAACGTTCCTCCTTCACCCTCGTCATCCGCGTACAAAACGATGAGGATATACTTGATGGTGACCATAATCGTAAGGGACCAGATGATGAGCGAGCAGGCTCCGAGGATATCCTCGCGGGAGGGATCACTGCTGAACGTAGACGAATAGGTGTAAAGGGGACTCGTTCCGATGTCACCATATATGACACCGACCGACTGGTAGGACAGCCTGGGCGAGATGTAGTCAGGAGGAAAGGATGCCCTAAGAACAACGGTAGGTCTGCTCACCATGCAAGCGTCCAGCCACGAAATACCTGTCTCTTCCTCACATCGCGCTCATCCGGCAAGACTTTCTCGTCGATGGAGCATTCCTCCACGTCGACACTGGCGGCCTTGGAGTTGATGCTCTGCGGTTTCGCCCTGGTTGTGTAGACGCCGCCTCCCTTGGAGTCAGCAGGTTGGAGTCCATCCGGATGGGATTCAATGCTATCGGTGTCATCCATCTTCAAAGGGGATACCCCGGCACGAGAGAATAAGCTCAGAGACAGATGTGGGAAGCAACGGAAGAAAAAGATGTCGAGTTGGAAGCCCTACGCTGCTCGCCATGGTCCTGCAGACGCCGTTCTTATGAATGCCAGAAATCTCTTTTCAACAGACAACAGCAGCAGATAAGAAGACAAAATTACCTCATGGAAACTTGACCAGTTTGACAAGATAACGAAGAGATATGGTCGTATGAATGCAGCTAGAAAGCTCTTGTTCGAAGAAGCAGGTTGGCTGCCGTAAATGCCGCATCGGCAGGGTTACTTCATGGGTTGCTTCATGTACATGCTTATCACCCACTAAACGGCCGACTACGAAAATAGCCTAATTTTCTTTATTTCAACAAAGTCCCGGACGTCCTTGTTGAATAGGACTCGATGGTGAAAGGGTGGTGGCCACTCCACCTGCTGTACCCCGGCGGAGGGTTATGTCTTAGGGCAAACCCCGTCTCCTGTGTTCGTACGAGGATGATGGATGATGTCCGCACAGACAGACGGTAGACAGACGGTAGACAGACGCCCAAAAACTACCTACTACTACTATGCATAGGCTATTTACAGCTGCGATCTAGGCGACAATGTTAGCACGTGTAGATCGAACATGTACGATAGGCTCCGCTGGCCATTCCTTTCCTCGCTGTCAACAATACCGTGCAGGGGGGTCTGATAAGAAGAGAACAAGATCCAGTTAAATAAAGCAGCCCAGCTTAGCAGCGCTCAGATCCCAAGAATGCCAAGCTCTACTCCGTGCGGGAATTTTCTCCGCCACAGGTTTGGATTCTAGGCGTACCAGCGGGTTGCCGGTGATGCAGCTGATGTTGCAATTTCCCGGAATGCGCCTTTTCAAATCATTAACTGGGGTGGACAGTGATAGCGGTGGTCTTTCTTGTTTGAATGTGCAATCGTTCAATCGTCAAGCTGTCGTCGATATGCATTCTGAAGACAAACTATGTACAACCCCTCCAAGCCGGCTAAAAGACAGCATTGTGTGCCGTACTACTCCAACACCCATCCCTTCTGCTGCTTCATATCTGCATACCACGTCTTCACATACTCCAGGCCAACATGAGGACCGTACAAGTCAGCTTCCCACGGTGGCAAAGGGGCAGCCAGCCCGGTTTCGTCCAAACACGATGCCCTCAACTCTTCAAGGCTCCCACCGCGGTCATACGTAGGCAGATCGCCCAGATTAGCCCGTCTCGAGCGCATCCGGGATCGCAGCCGTTCGGTTTCGATTTCATTAACCGTAAAGTCATCGTTCACCACAACACCGTACCCGTCCCGAGCACCGTCGACCGTGACGAGTTTCCGGTGGACTTCCAGCGCAACCTTTTCCGCAGGACGCGTCAAGGGATCGCCCAGTCCGCCGCCTCCCCATGTCACCCATTCCAAAAGATCACCCGGATCGACTCGGATATGGTCACATTTCGAAGGCAGGTTCTCGGTCGGTGGATTCTCCGCCGACTTCGAGTACCGATATAACACCTTGCGGGAGCGTTTTCCTGGCTGGCCCCCCTTCATACCCCACGGTTTCGTGAACCACCGGTCGTCATGGAGACTGAACTCGCCCCTGGCCAGGAATCTATACAGCGTGCGCTGGGCGTTGCCACCACGGTAGTACCCGGGACCACCGCTATCGGCGACGCTTTCGTTGGCCTCGATACGCAGGGGAAAGTTAAGCTCGATGGCCTCCGTGGGGATGGACTTGATGGCAGGAAAGAGACAGTGGCAGTCTGGCCCATCGCCAGCCTGGCGGGCAGGAATGCCTCCGAATCCAATCTGGTATAGCTGGTACCATTCGCCGTTGGGTTTGTAGCCGGAGTAGAAGAAGTGAGGGGAGTCACTGAACCCAGCCGCCGCCTGGTAGGCGGCGTCCTTCTGCCCGATCAGGGCCTGCATGACGTCCAGCGTCCGGCCCATGAGATGCGTGCGACAGGAGATGGGTGCCGGTCGGACGGGCTTCAGCACCGTGCCTTCGGGAATGCACACGTCGATCAGGTCGTGGAAGCCGTCGTTGATCACCGTGCCGGGGGCTGCCGCCGCGATGAGGTAGAATCCGATAAACATCTTGAACATTGTCTCCGAGAGGTAGAAGTTGATGCTGTGCTGGCTCTGGGGGGAGGTTCCGCTCCAATCGAAGCGCAGTCGGTGTCCGTCAATCTTCTTCATCGTGCAGGTAAGAGCCCAGGGCCCGATGCCGTGGCCGTCGTCGTCGACGAAATCCGTGAATGTGCTTACTTTATCGTCGAACTGCCGCTCCACGATTTTGGCAAGGCCTATTCTGTTGCGATATAGCAGCTCGTCGCAGGCGGCTTGGTACACCTCGCAGCCAAAGCGGGTCACCAGCTCGCAGACTCGTGTGGCTGCCATGGTGCACGCAGCGACGATTGCAGTGAGATCGGAGCGGTACCATGCCGGCTGGCGGGAGTTTCTGTACAGAAGCTCAACGAGGCCCGAGTTCATGACGCCCTGGGAATACAGCTTGACACACGGGATCTGGACACCATCGTCGAACACGGAGGTTGCGTTAATGGACATGCTGCCGGGCACGATGCCTCCCACGTCAGTCAAGTGACCGAACTGCGAAGCCCAGCCGATGAGACGATGGTCATAGAAGATGGGCAGCAGGATGATGACGTCGTTCAAGTGGCTGATTGCTCCCTGAACTTGGTAGACGTCGTTGGTGATGAAGACATCGCCCTCCTCGATGGTGCCCTTCCACGCCTGCAAGAACTGGGTGATGAAGCTGCCGAATTGGCCCACAAGCATCTTTCCTTCGGCATTGGTAATGACGTTAAACTCGTCCTGCTGCTCGCGGATTGCCGGAGACATGCTGCACCGTAGCATCATCTTGTCCATCTCGCCTCGGATCGAGCCGAGAGCGGCGGATATCAACGTTGGGATGAGCGGAGTGGACTTGACAAGCTCCTTGGCCGATTCGGGCGTGTGAGTCTTTGAGACGGCCGGCTCTTTATCCAGAGGGTTGATCAGGATGTTGCCAATACTGTCGATCTCACCGTAGTATCCAGGAAGGATCAGCGTATTGCTGTCCATCTCCGTGATGATACACGGGCCATTCACCCGGATTCCCTCCTTGCTGATCGTCTGTCGGTCCCAGAGAGTTGCCGGAAGCTCCTGGCCCTGCACGATAATGGTCTGTTCTCCAATCCGGGCCTCAGCGGGAGGCTCGCTCGATGCAACCTTGCCGACTCGGGGAATATCGATGCCGGGTGAGGCATCTTCCAAAACAACCCCAAGTCTCATCAGCTCCAACTCGAAGTCAGGCAGGGTGTAGGTAAAAAGCTGTTTATGCTGCCTATCAAATTTCTCCCGCAACAGGCCACGCCACCTGTCCGTGCCAGCAGCCAGCTCGTCTGCCTCGAGGTCGACTGTGATCGTCAGCGCTTGACCCTTGTACCGGAGATCCGCCTGATATTTGACATTCCAGGTCATTGGCCACGACTGTCCGGACGCTTTCTGGAGGGTGCTGCGACACAGCTCCTCCAGCGTGGAATACCGGTCTCGCGCTTCTCCTGCCGTGGTTTCAGAGAGCATCCGAATGAAAGTGGCCGACTGCTCATGGCTCAGCTTGGTTGTCACATCGCCCTGCGCGCACAAAATACCCGGTGATGGCGGAATGATAACAGGCCATGCCCCAAGCAGCTGGCCGACAGCGTTAGCATGCAGAGGACCAGCACCGCCGAATGCCACCAGGGCAAACTCCCGCGGATCGTACCCCTGCTCGACGGAGACAAGGCGCAGGGCCCCATACATGGTCTCGTTGATGATATTGATGATATCCTCCGCCGTCTGCGTGACCGGGAGCTTCATCTGTTTCGCGATGTCTTCCACGGCCGCGATGGCCGCGTTGACGTCCAGCGCAAAGTCACCTCCCAGCAGCGTCCTGGGCAGATATCCCAGCACCAGATTCGCATCTGTAACCGTCGCCTGACGTCCGCCCTTCCCGTAGCATGCTGGGCCAGGAGAGGCGCCTGCGCTCTCCGGTCCCACGCGCAGGGTCTCCGTGAGCTCCATGTAAGTCGTGATGGAGCCGCCTCCCGCACCAACGGTCTTGATATCGACTGCCGGTGACCGAACAGACAGGTTATCCACGACCGTCTCCCGCCGCAGCTGCGGTTGGCCATTGTAGATCAGAGCGCAGTCTGTCGATGTACCGCCCATGTCCAGCGTGATCAGGTTCTTGTACGGAGTGCTTCGCGCGACGACATCCGCCACACCCCTTGCGCCGCCGGCAGGCCCAGACATGAGGATATTCACCGGCAATTCTCCGGCGAGGGTCAAGCTGGTCAGGCGTCCATCGCTCTTGAGGACACGAATAGTCTCGCTTTCCGTGGCGAGCGTATCGGCCAGATTTCGCAGATAGGTCTGTACAACGGGCTTGACCAGTGCATTTGTGCAGGTTGTCACTGTTCGCTCGTACTCGCCTACCTCTCGTAGTACATCCGCGGAGCAGATGATGGGAATGTCTTCTCCGAGCTCTTCGCGAACGGTACGTTCGACCACGCGCTCGTGCTCATCGTTGGCGTGTGAGTTGAGGAGAGACACAGCCACGGCCTCCGGGTTTTCACGCTTCAGCTCCTGCAGACCCCGTCGCAGATCCTCGACGTCGACAGTCGTGACGGGCTCGCCGTGCACAGACATGCGCTCCTTGCATTGCACGACACGCTCCAGCGGCACAATGGGCTCTGGCGGCGTCCAGTGCAGCCAGGCACCTAAGCCACCGGGTATCTGAGACCGGCGCAGGGCGAGGATATCCTTGTGGCCTGCGGTGACTACGAGAGCAGTGCGAGCTCCCTTCCCTTCGAGGACGGCATTGGTAGCAGTAGTGGTTCCATGGTGGATGAACTGGAAACTGCCGGCCCACCCGAATTGGTCCTGCAGAATCTGACGGGCTTTTGCGATGCCGTTCTGAATCCCAATACTTTGGTCTGGGATAGTCGTCGGGACTTTTGCCCTGACCGTCTGACCGTGTGGGGTGAAGACGTAGACGTCCGTGAAGGTGCCGCCGACGTCAACACCGAGCTGATATCCCTTGTTCGCCCGATCTGCTTGCATGACCGTCTGGGGTGATAAATGCTATGTTGGGCTATGCTGTTCTGCATAGAAGGAACGAGGAGGATACGACAATCCTGAATGAGATGCAGCCTTGCTTTCCAGCTGCGCACCCTGCATGAGGGGCCATGTTATTACTCGACGAATATTTAATCTGCAACCGACTCCAGCAACGGGTATAATGAAATCATGTTATTGATCCATTCCGTCCCGCCAAGTGTGGAACAACCAGCTGTCGGATGAGCGTTCCTGACAGGTTCTATTGGCAATGCAACGGTCGGCCCACGCGAGCACGGAAACCGTTGAACTCAGACGCGAAACGCGATCGGCAATGGAGGAGGAACTGCAACAGAATCCTCCAGGACTTTCCGCAAGTGGTGATTGCAAGTCAGGACTGCATGGGTTTCCCCGAACTGCAATACACTGTACTGTAGCTTCACTATGAATGCCAGAATGGGATAATTCCCACGGTAGATCGGCAACCTTCCATGAAACCTTATCATTACTAGTTCTGCAGAAGGCCGGAAGAGGAAATATCCCCACTACTGAATGAGCTTGCACCGGCTTGTGGCATTGGGGTGGCATTGGGTGGCATCGGGGTGGCATCGGGGTGGGATAGTGTCAGATAGTGCGACGAGTTACCATCATTGAGCCTTCGGTGCCACCATCATCAGCTCCGGTTCCGATTGTACGGTAAGGCTTCTGCACGTACAGGGTTGTATGCGCATCAGAACAAGCAGAGAACGCCATACATCCCCGAGTAGGGATCATTGATATCCACCGCGCAATGCGGTGGAAGGTTCAGACTGCACGCCGTAAACCCTAACAGCGCATCATGCTCGAACATCGCGAGCAAGACATCCACAGCATTGGCTTATTACATCGAATTACAAGCTGTAATCCGCATTATCGCTAGCAAAGTTAGTCCTGCGCGAACCGCTAATCCATGCCCGCTTCGGCAGCAGCTTGATACAGGCGACTCCGTGCATAGCTGCTCGGGACAGGGCCGTTGTTGCATCGACGAGATGGCAGGACGATGGCATGCAACGAGAATCTTTCGACGCCACGGCAATCGGTGGATAGACCAACTGAATATTGAGTCGGGAATGCTCCAGAATGGTCAGACACGCAATTGACTCCATTATGGAGCTCCTCCTGCAGCGTCTTATCTTGTCCTGGGCATCCTAAACAGTGAACAGAACACAGCTTGCTTCCCCCACTGCAGAGCCCCAGTGCACGTGGCTGGCTGTATCCAGGGCATTCTTGTCCTTTTCTCGCTCTGGATGCCCCTCCGTTGGATCCTTTGCTCAAGCGACCCCGGCCACCATGCTGGACAAAGAACAGGTAGAAACGCGTACGGCGACGTATGACTCCGAGCGAACCAGTCCGCTGGGAAACTCGCTGGAGGAACAGGAGGTCTTCCAGAAGACAGACAGCGGCGTCAACTTCCGCAATGTCGGCTGGTTCAAGGCGTGCGTTATCTTCGTCAAGATCCTCTTCGCGACGGGCGTGCTGTCGCTGCCCTCGGCACTGTACTCGCTCGGAGCCGTGGGAGGATCGATCAGCATCGTCGCCTGGGGTGCCTTCAACACCTACTGTTTCGTGATCATGGGCAACTTCCGCTCCAGACACCCTCACTGCCACTCCGTCGCCGACATGGCGGAAGTGGTGGGTGGTGTCATTGCCAAGGAAATCACCGGTCTCCTGTTCATCATCGCCTATGTCCTGGTGACGGGGAGCGGGATCATCGGCGTCTCGACCGCGCTGAATGCCCTGTCGCACCACGCCGCTTGCACCGTCTGGTGGTCCTTCATCGCTGCCGTGGTGACCATCGCCACTGCGTCCATCCGGAAACTGCAGCATGTGGGCTGGCTCACGTACGCCGGCTTTATTTCCATCTATGCCGCCGTGTTCATTGTGGTCATCGGTGTCACGACGCGGGACCGCCCCGCGGCAGCGCCCCAGACGGGGCCATACGACCTAGGTTTTGTGGCAATCAATAACCCCGGATTTGCGGCCGGTATGGTGGCATCGTGCACTATTTTTGTCTCCTCGGCTGGCACCAGCGCTTTCTTGCCTGTCATGTCGGAGATGCGCAACCCCAATGACTACAAGAAATCGTTGTTCCTGTGCATGAGCCTGGTGACCGCGTCGTATCTGGCCTTCAGCCTGGTCGTTTACCGCTGGTGTGGGAAATGGGTTGCCAGTCCGTCGTTGGGGGTGCGTGTGCGAATGTCCATTGCAGGAGCATAATGGCTAACGGCTTGTATAGAGTGCAGGACAAACCATCAAGATGGTCTCGTACGGTGTTGCATTGCTGGGGTTGATCGTGAGCTCGACCATCTACTTACATGTAGGTCTGGTAGTATTTCCGTTCGATTCGGTGTATTCATGCTGATGTATGCATTAGGTGGCTGCGAAGTATGTCTTCGTCCGTATCCTGGGTAAGACGCGGCACCTGCAAGCCAGCACCATGATTCATTGGGGCACCTGGTTCGGCAGCACCATCTTCCTGGGCGCTCTAGCATTCATCCTTGCCGAGGCCATTCCGATCTTCAACTACCTGATCGCCCTGGTGGGTTCGGTATGCTTTGCGCCGCTAGCCATGAGTCTCCCCGGTTGGCTATGGCTTCATGACCATGGGAACTGGAAGAGGGGATCCCTTGTGCAGAAGCTCGTATACCTTTTTCACTGGGGCTTGGTGTTCTTGGGACTCTTCTTCCTCGTGGGTGCAACATACGGTGTTTCCATTGAGATCAGGGACGCGTATAGAACGGGCATCATTGGTATGTCATCACTGCTTTCCGTGTTGCTCAAAGAACAGAATTGACTGATTCTGCCAGGTTCGGCATTCACCTGTCAGGACAACTCGAACTCGTAGACTCACAAAATGCTTCAACTGGACTGGATGAAATGATATCTGCCTCTTGGAGGGTAGACATGACTCTTGATGGAATAGTATGATTAATTGAGAATTCCCTTTGTCGGATAACGTGTACAAGTGCATGTATTGCTGTAACGGCTCTTTATGAATGAATGGAATGCATTGTACACATCATATCTAGCAATGCTGCACTCCTTACGACCTCATTTCAATTATGACCTGTCTTCCCGCCAGACGCCATGATAAGCCCCTGCCCATGCTAGAAATAGTGAATACTGGGCAAATTCTACGGCCTGTGCAAGATTTAAATGTTGTGAAGACTTGACGCTGATCACGACCTTCCGGCTCACCTACCAGTGTATAGGCAGTATAAATGGGGAAAGCCGCAATAAGCAGCAATTCCTCGATGCATTGTACATATCTCACCGCTATTTCAAAGTTACGACATAAAACACCGCTAGACCAGTTTCCCGGAATGGAAGTTGCCCCGATCTGGCAACAGCGACCCCTATCAGTGGCTCATCGTTCTGCAATGGCCCGGGACGGTGGGACAGATCGGCGGCGCTAGTAATGGGGTTCAATTCCTGGTTGGGTAATGGTGGATCCAGTGGTTCGGGCCGTGTGGGGTCGATGGAGCAATGGGAACCCCGTGTCACTCTGTTCTTCATATATATTTCACGCAACGGATTGTGTAGTTCAGATGACCTTATAGGGAGTGGGCAGTATCTCCATGATCCCGTGTGTAGGCTGTAAATCTTGCTGAAGGAATCTGCAGATTGTGCAGCCGTTTCTTTTCATAACCTCTCCGCCCGAGTAAAATCCTAGCTCAGACCCTAGTGCCGTACTAGATAGGGGATTGACGATCCCTGCAGAATTCGTCTGCTCAGCGGCATTAGATCAGTTGATAGGGGAATTTTGAATAAGCGCCAGGGGTAGCTGAAGCTTTTTAAGACTCAGGCACTATTACTAATAACTATGCTCGGTGACAGTATTCGGTGGGCTTAGCAAAGCTAGGCATATTTCAATTGATAATAAAGCTTTCTGTAGAATTGGTAGTAGTACGGAGTATGTGCCGCATTATCGCTCGACGATTGCGGTTAAACATCGGATTCGATCTTCCAGTGAGATGAGTTGATGACTGGCCAGTGGCTATGTTGATCATCATCCTGGAGTTCCGGGAACCCTCCCGGCCTGTCTTGTTTACTTAACAATTTAATATTAATTAATGAGAATAATGAGAATAATGAGAATAATGAGAATAATGAGAATAATGAGAATAATGAGAATAATGAGAATAATGAGATACATACGTCCGACGTAGCGGGAAGATCTAGTTTTGGCAGACGTATGGTCCGGTGTCTGCCGTCTTCAGTCATTCTTTATGCCCCCGTCAGGTCGACGCTCCTTGCATGAACCTCGTCGTATGCAGTCAACTTCTATGTGATATACTTCTGTTCTCCTCTAGTGGCTACCATCTTGCCGTGAACCCTTCTGCGAGGGCTCGATTGAATCCTTCTATCTTGATCTGCGAGGGTCCCTTCATGTTTCTTAAACCCATCATTGACCGCGACTATCTCTCTCCTCCCCTGGCTCCCCTGAACCTTACAGACACTCGCTTAAAGAGCAATTAACAGCCTTATATATACAAGCAATTACATATGTCACTGCAGCCTATTATCCCCCCGCCACCAGGGAAGATCTCTAATTTCGAGCATCCCCAAGATGCACTCCACACAGTAAACCTGGTGACGCAGGTACTGTCTCTGATAATTGTCACTCTCTTCATAATTCTGCGCCTGTTTATCAAAGTCCGAATCCACAAAAACATCAGTTTTGAAGACTGTGAGTGATTCATTCCCCTGGGCTCAAGTATCATGCGCTGTTCAGGTGTTGAATAGTATATTGACTGGTTTTTCTTCTTGGGCAATAGACTTGACCGTCTTTGGATGGGTAATGCTCCGTTCCATATTAATTGGCCTTGGCCCCTGACATGCTGACCCCATTCAAGATATTGTTCGTCGCTTTTTGCTCTTGCATGCTTGTCCGTATGTATCGTATGTCGGACCTGCACTCTGGAGGAATCTAACATGATATTGTACAGTCAACTCGCATGGAGGCGGATATCATGCCTGGGATGTTCCAATGGACAATTTTGTGAGCTTCCAAAAGGTACGGAACCCATATATATACTGGTGCAGAAAACATTTCGAAAGACAGACATCTAATGAAGGAATTCCAAAGGCCTCCTACGCAACAACACTCCTCTACGTCCCCACAGTCTTCGTCGTGAAATTAGCCCTTCTTGCTATAATGCTACGCATTTTTGCCCCAGATCCTACCAAGGCCACTGTGATCTACATCAGCGTCGCCGTCCTGGTCTGTTACTACATCCCGATGTGGTTCATCAAGATCTTCTTCTGCAGGCCCATTTCTGCATATTGGAATGGTCCGCTAGACAAGTGCATCAACCAGCAGAAGGTCATTATTGCCGACTCGGTCCTTAGCATCGTCAGCGACCTATGGATTCTCATCCTCCCAGTACCGATGCTGTGGTCCCTGCAGATTACGCGGGTCAAGAAAATACGTGTTTCCGGTATCCTGGGTGCGGGAGGACTGGCCACGGCATTCAGCATCTGGCGTCTAGTGATCATGGTGGAGGAGGGCAAAACAACGGATACGACATATTTCTGGATTCATGCCGTGTTAACTGCGTAGGGACACTCTTTGCACTCTATATTTTCGCTTGTTGTTAGACTCATGCTGACTGCAGCAGAAATGCCGAAGCAGGAATCGGTCTCATCTGTGCGTGCCTGCCTATGCTGAATGTCCTCTTTGCCACTGTCAAGAACAAGAGCAGCGAGGCCTCCCACAGAAAATACCCAGGCAGCCGCGAGCTCGAAACTTGGCAGAAGACCGCGTCGAGGAAGAGCCGCTCCGTCTTCTTCACGGGCCATCATAACGACGAGGCGCAGCTCATATCGACGATCCAGGGACCAGAGCCGCACGAGGGATCGTGGTCCAGTCTATCGTCGCATCCGACGACTGCAGATCAACAGGTGATTCACAAGGATGTGACCGTGTCGCAGAGTTATGAGATTGTAAAATAGCCGATTTTTCGTTTGTTGAAGCTACCCACTACTATGTTGAACTTCACCATACTATATACCTGGTTATGACTTGGGTACTCTAGAGCTAATATAGAAATTAATATATACAAATTAATGCTATGGTTCAGGCGCCGAGCGTCACGGTTCGCTCAAAATGGGGGTTATGGGCGGTGGTGTGCATTCGATATAACTATGATGAGAGATATATAGAAGTTCCACGGTGTGCCATTGCGAGACTACCGACTAACGTGTGCTATCTGCACTTGGTTTCCTAGACCTTCAACAACCTTCCCTTACAATTTGGTATTTACGCTTCTCCCGACTCCCAAATTCGCTCGTTTCGCAGCGATCTGTACCGGCTGGTTGGAAGGTGGCAGTTAAAAGTTAAAGAAGGTCGCGCGAGCCCTTGTGGCTTACTAATGATAGTGACAGTCACGTGCTTGGGGTAGGCCGACTGCGAGGGCGGACCTAAGCGGCAGAATATAACGTGATCTAACAGCTGAGAAGCCAAAAGAGGGAGATGATTCTCTGTCTAGAGGCAGGCTGAGGCTCGCGAGGAAAAAAGGGGCAAGCGAGGGTGGACAGAACCGGGAGAGCCTCACGAGATCTAACAGAAGTTCAGTGAGCTCACGCGAGCTTTGTACACGGTTGGAGCGCAAGGGAGCTCAACTGGCTTAGAACGAGGGTCTTTGCCGTGGCTTGCGCAAAATCCACCCCACATCATCATGAATTTCATCTAGACGGCGGCTGCTATTTTTATTCTTGTGCACCTATGCGACGTGGAGCTATTACTAAGGCTTCTTGGCAACCTCGTTTGAGCAAGAATTGAGGATATAAAATTGCCCTCGGACACCGGCAACCTGTTCCATCTCCGTCCTTCACATCCACATTGCGCACGTCGAGGATCATGATCGCCCTCGGTCGCCTTCTCCTGCTCGGAGTGCTCGGTATTCTGGCGTACGCCATCTGGCTACGCCGGAAACCCGATCCTCGTGAGCCGCCAGCCGTGGAGAGCAAAATACCCATCGTCGGCCACTTGATCGGGATGCTGCGACATGGGGTTGCATACTCCAATATCCAAGCGTCCGTTCTGTTCCCTCTGCTTTGATCAAGAAGAACCGGTGTAATTGACATTGACACAGCCAGAAACATCCTCAGTATCCAATCTTCTCGCTGGACATGATCTTCGGCAAGATCTACGTGATCACCTCTCCAGCTCTCCTTCAAGCAGTCCAGCGCCATGCAAAGACTTTAACTTTTGACCCCCTCTTGAACGGCTTCGCGTCGCGCATCGCTGGCATCCGCAGTGAAACGCTCAAACTGATGGACGAGCCACGCTACGACGGCCTGAGTCTGAATCAAGTCGTGATCCACGCCATGCAGCCGACGCTGATCGGGGAGTCGCTGGATCGGATGAACGAGAGAATGGCCCGGCTGTTACGGCCATTGATCGATGAACTGGCTTACCGTGAGACCGTCGATCTGTACGAGTGGTGTTTCTCTACACTCATGGCGGCTAGTACGGATGCCTCCTATGGGCCGCTGAATCCGTACAAGGATAGCAAGGTTCAGAAGGCTTTCTTGTAGGAAATTTGTCTATAGATCTCTTTTCCTCTGTGCGTACGGATTCTCTCTAACTACCGACAGGGACTTCGAGTCAAATCTAGGTCCATTAATCCCCAATGTTCTTCCTTGGCTCACGGCGCGTAAGGCCTGGAGGGGGCGCGAAATACTCGTTGCCGCAATCCAAAATTACTATGAGCATGGAGGACAGGAAAACGGGTCCGAGTTAACCTACGTACGGTGGAAGAGGACACACGACAGCGGCATCTCTACGGAAAATATCGCACGAGCAGAGGCGGCAATGTCAATCGGACTACTGTCCAACACCATCCCCGCAAGCTTCTGGATCCTGTACGACCTCTACTCCAGACCCGCACTACTCGAAGAGATCCGTGAAGAGATCAAACAGAATGCCCTCCGTATCACCGAGGAAAATGTCCATGTCATCGACCTATCCGCTATCAGGGACAACTGTCCACTGTTATTATCCGCTTTCCAAGAAATTCTGCGCACAAGAACAACCACCGCACCACTGCGTTACGTAACGCAAGACGTTCTCCTCGCCGACCAATACCTCCTCAAAAAAGGAGGAATCATCAACATCCCTGGTGGCTCAATCGGCCGCGACAAAGCTGTCTGGGGTTCTACAGCAGATGAATTCAACCCTCGTCGATTCCTGGTCCAGAGCTCCAACGAGGAAAACAAGAACAAGAAGGAGCCCAGGCGAACCGGCGGATTCATGACGTTCGGTGTTTCGCCGATGATCTGTCCTGGGAGACATTTCGCCAGCGCGGAGATCCTGAGCATGGTCGTTATGCTTGTGCTGAGGCTGGATCTCAGTCCTCTTGATGGGATCTGGAAGGCGCCGCCAAAAAATCCCGGGGCTGTTGCTTCAATCATGTATCCTGTTAAGGGCTGTTTCCATGTCAAGCTAGCCCCAAGAGAGGAATATGATGGTGCGAAGTGGGACTTTGAGGTGAAGCCAGGAAAAGGGAAATACAATTTGATGATTGGGTAGACGTCGCTTACAACCGAATTGCGTACTTGGAATTCCCATTAGTCTCTTCTCAGACCACACTTTTACATGTTTAAAAGCGGGATGGAATAAAATTATAGCAAATAGTCAGATATGGAAGTGGATGGACATGAACATCATGACTCTATCTTGCCAATTAACAACATCTTGAATACTGCCAAGATGTCTAGTCATGGCTAACCGTGGGATCCCAGCAGACATTCTCATATACTCCCAGGTTCAGTAATTCCATGTCTTCATCTGTCAACTCGAAATCGAATATGTCGGCATTTTCCTCGATCCGTTCAGGCGTCACCGACTTCGGAAGCGGAACGAATCCCTGTCATAGTCAGGAGCAGATTCATCAGAAACAAGAATGATGAAGAGAGACGCACCTTTTGCAAGCTCCATCTGAGAAGGATCTGAGCAGGAGTCTTATCGTGCTTCTTCGACAGACTCTGCAATTTGGGATCGTCCATTTTCTTCGCACGAACGACAGGAGAATACGCCTCAATGACAATGTTCCTCTTGCTGAGCCAGTCGACAATATCCGGACGCGGAAGCCACGGATGCAGCTCATACTGGCCAACATCGATTTTACCGCCGATGGTCTTGTTGTAGTCCTCCAGTTCGTCGAGATGATGGACCCCGTAATTGGAGACTCCGATCGAGCGGACCTTTCCGGCTTTCTGCGCTTCCACGAGCGCGCGCCAGGTGCCTTCACGAGCTTCTCGTCCGCCGTACGGGGCATGAATCAATATGCTATCGAATATTAGAATATTATCTCCTTCCGCTTGATCCACTTCGATGGGTGACATAGCAAAACCCACAGGTCAATATAATCCAGGTTAGCTTGCTCTAGGCTGTACTCGATTGACGCTTTGGCTTTCTCGTATCCCATTTCCTTCACGGGGATCTTGGTCGTATAGAAGATGTCAGATCGCTTGAGACCAGACGACCGTATTGCGGCGCCGCTCTCTGCTTCATTATGATAGGCTCTTGCGGAGTCAACCTGTCCTCACGCATTCATCACGTCAGAGAGGATTGCCTGCGGAATGAAAGACAATCTTTTTAAGATTGTTCATGGTATGCATACATGACGGTATCCGACTTCAAATGCTTTGAGAATCGACTTCTCCGTGATCTCGGCAGGACTATATCGGATTCACTATTAGAGCCATACCCTTCTAAGTTGCGTATTTTGAAAACTGACGTTTGATAAACCTGGCATAAGTTAGAGCTCCCATTACTGGAATACAGTTGAGGTGCGGTCCATTCAACTTACTCCGTATCCAACCACGGGGATCTCGTATCCCGAATTCAGCTTGTAAATTGACTGCAGCGACGTGGGTGTCATGGCTATTTTATTCTGTCAAGAGGGAAATATGCAGGATGAATGATGGAAGCAAGAAAGCGGCCCCTCATCGTCTTCCTGCGTTCATAGCTCGAATGATTAGTAAGCTGCATAACTAATTATGTCATAGACACCACCAAGCGGGAAGAAATGGGAATCAGGTTTTAACTATTCACTTCAACATCGAATCATAGGAAGAAAGCGGAAGAAAGCCACCTTGGTGGGATGAACTTTTATGAGACTCGAGCGGCTATGGGTCATGTCGTGTCCACATCATGATCCCTTTCCTTCTCCTGCATGGCGGCAGAAGAGCATTTATATCACACTTTTCACCAATAAGAGATATCTACCTTCCAGGTTCTAGGCTTTTTTAAGCGCTGTTGCTCTGGTCAGCTAGGAACAAACGAATGACAAACGGAAAAGCGGCTAGAAGAACAGCAGGAGCTACTGGCTGAAAAAAAAAAAAAAAGAAAAAAAAAAAAAAAAAAAAAGCGCGCCATGGAGGCCAGAAACCGACGAAAATCAAGCTAAAATACAGGGGGGAAACTAACATGCAAGCCATGGTCTTTCAGTGTTCAGCAAATATGGCACTTTACCAGAGCAGCCTGAATAATCCCAGCAATGTTCACTACTTTCGTCAAGGCTAAACGCTTGTTCAATATCAACTACTCCATATACACGATGACCCTGCGCACTAGAGAACCCTTTCCAAACGCGCCCCACGACATGCACAAGTCAGCCTAGCTGTTGAGCGAGGAAGATGTCTTGACACCAAAGTAAGTGGCGTCTGACGTGTTACTCAGGTCGACACTAGCCTGTCAGCGGGCCAAGAGCCTTGCTGCTGGCTTGCGGTGGCCTATGCTAGGCACATAGGCGCGAGCTGGTGAGCCTTAGCCGCTGATCTGTTAACAGCGTCTTTTTCAATTCAGAGGGGAACATCATCTCCTGCCTACGCAGCACCTCCGGAGTCATTGTCATCAGGCGCAAAACGGGCGAAGGACTCTGGCATCCTCCCGCACCCACAGTTGCCCAGCAGCACTGCGTACATGAGCTCCCTTAGGCGATATTCTAACCCTTGTTAATGGTGTCTTCTGTGCAGGTATCTCCGCCCCCTTCTCCCGAGCGATCATCATCGCTCGCGCAACTAAGAAGGTCATTTGGGAATCCAAAGACAGGGCTACCGGTGGACTCGGATTCTTTACACCGTTCATGGGCTCAGCACAGAAGCTCCAGACCGTTACGGCATCGTATTAATCGAGGCGGCAATGGGACGAATCTTTGAGGTCACAGAAAAGAATGATGTCGTTTGGGAATTTGTAGTCTCTCAGTTGAGTGATTACGAAGGGCTCATAGACACAGGACCTGAAAGAGCTGGAACAGATGGGGTTCAGGTACGACGGTAATGCCATCTTTAGAGCGTACAAGTATACGCAGATGAAGTGCCCTAGTTGGCTGGTTGTAGTCCGTGTGAAGCATCAAGCCTGTGTGATGTATCTTCTTAAGGAAAAACTGCAGAGAAATAAAACGATATATACACTGAGGTCATTACTCATAACAACAACATAAGACATGAGAGACACATATCCTGCTAGTACCATCTTGTCATTCCATCATCTGACGCTGTCGGCTCAGCAGCAGAGACAGTAACATGCACCTTCTTCATAATCCCCATCGACACACCAGCACCGGCAACATCCTCATCCGCCTGACGAGACCGCGTACAACCTACCTGCCCAGTCTCAAGAATATTCTCCGTACTCCCCGAACTCTTCTGCTTATGCATCCTGTAGTGCCCCGAACCGCGCATGCGGCTAGCGCTCAAGCCGGAACTCCATTCCATCGTCGTCTTCCTTGGCGAGCTGAGCTCAAACGGATCCGAGACGGAGCGACTCATGACCTTTTTGACGCAGCTCACGATTAGCGAACGGATACACGGGATGGAAGCAGCGATGGTAGCGAGGTAACCCTCTATATACGACCAGCGGACGATGTTGATCTGGGCTGTCTGCTTGGAGGAGGGGTGGGTGAGGTCGCGGAGGGCGAGGGTTTTGAGAAGGGATGCGACGGCAACGCTGGATTTTAGGTTAGCTATTCAATTCAATTCCTTGAAGAGGGTTCAACCGTATTTGGGACTTACAATAACCCCAATGCTAGAAGGCCAGTGATGCTGATCTTGACTTTGAGCTTGACGCGGAGAGTCCAGAAGATGACACTCGGGAAGACGGCGAGGAATAGATCAACGAAGGTATTGAAGGCTGCGGTTATTCCAGGGCTATTATTAGCAATCTTCTCTTGCAAGGCATCTTTCTAAGAGGAGGTTCAAAGGAATCCCTACCACCCGTGAAATAAGAATACTTCTCCTGCACCAAAACACTCCAACAGTCCGCCTCAACAAGCCAATAATTCGCCCCCTTCTTCGGACAACGAAGGAATATAAAGACAATATTCATCGCATTCATAACAATCTCCAACCCCAGCATCGCCCAGAACGTAACCGTGTACAGCCTCCGCAAACTAAGCGGCGGGATGAGGAAGAGGATAAACGCGCACCGGGCAAGCGAGACACCGGCAATGCAGAACGCAGTGGAAAGACTATAGTACATCACCAGCGCGGGCCAGCGGTGCGTCGGGAGCGTGTCGAGGTCGCGGCCGAAGCCATCGTGGATACCGACGGTTACGAGTGCAGAGCCGGTCATGATGAGGGCCTACACTCCATATTTATTTTTGTTAATTCGAACAATAGATTAATTGCTCTGTAACAAATTGATTAGAGACGAACCAGCGCAAGTATCATGACAATATCGTCTAGCTTGAATTGTCGCAGGCGCAATTTAGCAATGACCCGCAGCAGGACGAAGAGGACGGCGACGCCAGCTTCGGCCCAGATTCCTCGTAGTAATTGGGGACCGGCGTTGAAACGGGGATCCGGAGCCATCATGCAGACTTTCTAGAAATATTATAGGATTGATATCACATTGACTCGTGAGGATTCAAGAGCATGCAGGGTGCTCTGTACTGCACACCGCAGCCAGGACGACAGCCAGCGCCAGAAGCAGAAGCAGAACCCAGTGTTAACAATAACCCCTGAGGCAATGGGAAGGGAAGCGGGACACTAAGTAATGCGAATGCACAGCTCTTATCCATGGCGATATCAATCTAATATGGCCGAGAGTAGTAAAACATGGCCGTTGCACCCTTAGGTGGGAATTACACTTTTAACTATAAGTGCACCGGTCCAACGAGACGGCATTATTTCTGCACAAGAACACGATAAGAGCAGAGAGCCTCGTATATCTAACCTAAGTGCTGTCGATCTCGCCTAACGCGGTAGCTCGACTCGGCCGGCGCTGCTAGAGCTCTTATCATGATGGCGAGGTTGTATATTAAAGATAACCCGGCGTCATGGATGTGACGTGCTCCCTGATGAAGCATTCACGGGAGATCTTGGTGCTAAGCAGATACTTCTATAGGAGACTCGCGATTCAGGAACCCCGTGGGGATGGACCGTGGTGCTGGGAAGGCGAGTCAATTAGCATTAATGAAGGGTCAACTGTATAGACGAAACAAAGGAGCAATAAGACATACGAGGGATCTGCAGATTTACAGATCTACAGCTCAAGCCTTGTTGACCATGTGCATCATCCATTATTCACTTGGCTAAAACACTGCAGAACATACGAATATTATCCTAGGGATGTCAATCAACCATGCTCAATTGATTTAGTAAATCCGCAACTCCAATGATTCCAATGGACCTCCAATTTACCTCCGTAACTCCGAGACAAGCAAGCCAATCCATGCTCCAAAATCCACCACCCACCACCGGGTACCGTATTCAATCCAAGTCAATGAGCTGCTTCTCGTTCTCGGCATCCGCCTCGAAAGGAACCGGCTCGATAGGCTGCATCTTATTGAAAACGTTGTTCGGGTCATACTTGGCCTTGAGACCCTGCAGCTTGCGAAGGTTGATGCCGTAGATGTTGGGAACGGCAGAGTTGCCAGCTGTAAATGGTTAGCATGTCACAATGTCAACGAGGGTACGGGGGACAGGGGGACTCACGTTCAGCGTAGTTCAAGTACTGAGGGACTTCATTGTCCTCGTCCATCTTCTCGTCCATCTTCTCATCGACCTTCTCCTTCTCACCATTCTGCTTGTGCAGCTGAGCGGTCCAACGAGCCTGAAGCTCGTCGCCCCACGCCTTGTGCTCGGCGTCCTTCCGGGCATTTTTCCAGCGCAGATATAGAATACCATTGCGGATAGTGTTGCGGCTAGCGAAAGCCGTAGCGGTCTGGGGAACTTCGCAAACCTTGCGCATATCGTGGAATTCAAGGATGACAGCCGACTCGTCCAGGTCGGGGTCGCGGGCAATTTTGCAAGCGAACTCATCGTAGATGGTCCGAGCGAAATGGGTGTCGAGTGGGGGCTGGTAGAACACGCCCTTGAAGGTCTTGCGGTCGCCGTAGGTCGACATGGGGTTCTGAAGGGTGTTCATTTTCTTGTAGGGGACCATTCCCACGCTGTCGCCGGTCGGGTGGAGGTTGAGGAGATCACGGAAGTGGCCCACGGCTTCGTCGTAGGGGCCGTTGAAGAATGGAATAACATGGATAACAGGCCAGGGCTTGTCGGTGGGTTTCAAGAAGATGACCATGGCCGCGGCACGAGAATCTGGTTTGGCATTGTTCAGAGCCTCAACGACACACTCGAGATAGAGGGGCTCGAAGGCGAGAATGCCGGAAAAGACGGGCTCATTCTGCTCATAAGCACGGAAAGTAAAATCGAGAGCGACGCCAAAATTGTGACCGGCGCCACGCAAGGCCCAGAAGAGGTCTTCATTTTCAGTAGCAGACGCAGTGACGACGCGGCCATCGGCAAGAACAACAGTGACGGAGAGAAGATTGTCGATGGCCAGGCCGTACTGTCCACTCAGCCAGCCATATCCACCACCCAGAGTCAAGCCACCAACACCCGTGTGGTTGACAGTACCGCCAACAGCAGCCAGACCGTGAGCATGGGCTTCAAGGTCGACTTCTTCCCAGATAGCACCGCCCTGGGCAGTGATGGTTTTGTTTTCCACGTCAACAGTAACTTTCCTCATACGGCATAGATCGATAACCAAACCGCCATCGCTGGAGCTGGTTCCGGCAGCGGAATGACCGCCACCCTTGACAGCAACATCGATGCCGTGTTCCTGCGCCCAAAGAAGAGCGGTGCTAACGTCGGCAGCCTCGCTGGGCATCACAACAGCTCCCTGTGACAGGTCAGCATACTCCAATTCGCATTTTATAGGGGGAGGGGGATACTTACAGCTTGCTTGATCGCGGTGTCTGACCAACGGCGAAGGACACGGTCAAAGCCATGCATGCCAGGCGTGTAGAGTCCGGCGGTTTTAAGGCACACGCGAAGGCCATCGAGGGCAAGAGGATCAATGGTTTTGGCGGGCTTAGAGAAGGTGGAAGCCATTTGGACTTGATGGTGTTGGTTGTAGTCGAGGTTGTAATCAACGCTGCAATCGAGGTCAAGGAGGAGCGACAGTGATGAAACAGGGATAAAGAAGTGATTCAAGAGTACGAGGATGGTTTGAGAGGTATCCAGAGGATGATGAAAGGCAAAGGGAATAGAGGAAGTGTGAGGATTTATATATGCCAGTTGAAGGCATCAGTGAATGTGAAAAGGTGAATGCCATTGCCACCAGTGAGTGTACTGGAGAGTACCAGGAAAACACCAGGAGGACTCCTCCTTGTGAACTTGCTCTTCCCTGCTTCTCCATGGGGTTTCGCATGTTCTCCTAGGCACTCACAGGGAATCACCGCTCACTGGATGTCTCCAGAAGCACATGGTAATATCCAGGAGTGAACAGGCAAGCTCCTTCTGTTCAAAACAGCAGCATTCAGATGGGACAGTCCCAGGAATCAATGGAGACAGTGGAATCTTCTCTGCAGTCCAGTGGTTGCAAGCATACGGACACAATTGAATCTGCCGAAATCAGCAACTTAGGGCAGGGCATACTCGGCATTGATGGTCCAGGGATTGCATCGATATTAAGGCATGGAGAACTTGTCATTGAGCAATATCAAATGCGCATTTCTCAGCTGCTGGAGACATCACTGTGTACGATCACAATAAAAAGCACGTTCATTTCAACACCTGCCTCGAGTACTTCTCATACAATTCCGGATACCATCTCCGTCCAACGTCCGGATGGCTCAAGATGCGATTCCGCAGATACGCTTCGCCAAACTAGTATATCGTCAGCTCGGATTCATTGCCATATCATGGATGTCCACTCACGCAGGAATACAACGGCGACAGGAACTCGCTCGGGACATCCACGGCCCTCTTCTTCCTGTCGTCGGACGCCGGGATCTGCTTGACAATATGCGCCGCAGACTCCTTGAGTCGGTCCAGCGTCAGATCGAGTCTGACGCCTTGGAAGAAGGGGATGCTATATCTCGTGCGGTTTGTAGGGGACTGCCGTTCTGTTGTCAGGGCTCGTCAGGAAGATTTCAGGTGGAAATGACTTACAATAACCCTATGCGTCGTCGCAGGACAAACGCCACCAGTGATAGCCTCGAATCCCTGCTGAATATTCACCACCAGACTACCTGGGATGGGCGGCGCGTCGATCCACTCCCCGTTCTTGTTGAGCACCTGCAGTCCGCCCGCGTCGTCCTGCGACAGGAACGTGAAGAGACCGGTGGAATCCTTGTGAGGGCCGACTCCCTGCGAGTCGGGAGGGGAGGCAGGGTATTTGACGAATTTCAACCGATCCATGCCGCCCTTGAACGAGTCGAAGGTGGTCGGGCGGAGGGAGAGCGATTCGGCGACGTAGTGGACGAATTCGACGGCCAACCGGGACAACTGGGATATGTACTCGTCGACCGTTTGCTTGATGTCGGGATGGCGCGGATACTGTACTTAGGGCAGAGGGGAATTCCGTCAATCGACACACACTCGGAATGAATCCCTCGCATGAACGAGCCAGAGTCAATACACACCTGCCCGTCGCCCTCGAGTCGCTGCCAGAACGGGTCGCCCTCCTTCCACGACTTCATTCCCGGCGTCCCGAAATCGAATTGCTGAGAGAGTCAGACGAGAGGACAACAACGCTTTCTACAGACTCCGGTGGTTTGGATGCTACGGACCTCGCGCAAATCGGTCCGGGCCGCGGTCGTCTCAGCGCCCAACCGCGTATAACCCAGGAAGCAGGGCGAATTGATCATATTGCATTCTTCCTTGAGCTCATCGGACAAGGCGAAATACCCCGGAAGCTTCTCATGCGTGTCACGGATGAGATTCTGCCTGCTGTCAGTGCTGCCTGGCGTAATCATTGTGCGCAGTGAACCGACCTCCAAGCCGGTATTCGTCAAATACAAAAACCCAACGACGAAGATGGCCTGTCGCAGCTCCGCCAGGGCCTCATCTTTGGTCTCCGGGTTCTGGAGCCGACTGAAGTCGACGACGGGGATGGAGGAGAAGGAGAAAACGTCCGCCATGATGATTGCCAGTCTACCGTGGATTGAAGTTACTCTCTTACTTTACTTGCCCGGAGACGTGGGGAACGGAGGGTTTCCGAACCGTGAATTTCAATGGAGGCATAGATATATCGGTCGGCTACCAGCTAGATAGGCCGACGTGGTGGAAAGGGTCAGCGAGGGCGGACCTATGCGGCAGAATACCACGTAATGTAACAGAATTCCATCGTCTCCGAAGGAGCTCGTATGCATTCCTAGTCCAGACGGAAAGACAGTTGTTTCCATGGCGCGACGGTGAAGAATGCCATCTGGCCACATGGCATTATATTAAATAATAACCGAACTGATCCTCCGGAGAAAACGCGCTGTCATACTGCTTAACTCCGGCTCTGGAAGATCGCATCGTATGATGCGCCTGCAGCACCCTCCGCAGAGTTGAGCGCTCCACGCCCGTGATTGTTATTCATGATCTACCAGGCACTAATACAAGCCGTGCAGATCCGAGTTTATTTGGCCTCCGGAAGGGAAGCTTCTCGCGCGGGCGACGAAGTCTGCTAATAATACATCATCTGCACGCTGCACGTCCCAAGATTCTCATTATGACCGGATCCTCCGTGACAACAACAATGGGAATAATGATAATAACAACAAGAATAGAAATGTAACTCCGCCCAAACCCGCGTGTATGTCTTGATACATGTATCATCACCGCCGCCGTTGAAACCGAACAATGAACTTGCCACAATACCGCCGTGTATGACGCTGTAACTCCGATGAAAGAAAAGATAAGAAAGGGAACAGGTCCGAAAGAGAGCACGTAGGAAAGGGAACATGTAGAAGGGAAACATAGAGGAAAGGAAACGTACTAAAGAGAGTATAGGGTAAAGGAAAAAGAGAAGAGAAGAAAGAATGACAAGGGGCTATGGGTTGATCTCTTTCGTCCACGACTATAGCGAAAACTCCTCCTCGCTCGACGACGGCGTCGGAATGCTAGCCTGCGCGGCATCAAACACCCAGGCCGTCTCACGCTCGTATCGATGGTTCCGGAGGAATAACGGCATGATCCACTCCTTCAGCCGGCCCTCCAGGAGACCCATGTCGCGGTTGCGTTCCCACATGCGCCGCGAGATTTTGAAGGCGCGGTCGACGGTGTCACGCCGGAATCCTTCGTAGGTCTTGAACACCTCGGGTAACGGCTCGAAGCGGTACCGGGCCATGATTCGCGAGAATAAGATTGCGTCGTCGAGTGCGTACGCCGCCGACTCGTCCCGCGGCGGCATCTGGCACCCTGTTAGTCGAAGGATCAGGAAAGGCAGGATGAAACAGAGAAACATGCCGCGTGTGCTGCGTCCCCAAGTAGTATTATTCGATTGGTAGACCATCGCCCCCCCGGCCGGACCTGATACACCGGGTACAACATCCAATCCTCGCCCTTGGTCATCAGCTCCCGGATGCACGGGATGCCTGCCCGTCCGAATCGTCTCCGGGCCTCCTGCTGCAGTGCGGTCTTGATGCGATACTGGGTCTTCCAGTCCTGGCCTGGCTCGATGCGGTGCTGCAGGACGGCCGGCTCATCGAACTGCACGATGGCGGCGACGAAGATCTGCTCGCACTCGCGGTCGCAGTAGCTCGTCAACAACGACCCGTGCCGCGAGATGTTCATGGCCGTCGTGCGGAAGTGGATGGGGGCGGTGATCTGGTCTGCGCGGATGGTGGTCTGGAGGAATGAGATGCCCGTGTACTCCGACGTGCGCCCTGGATCAACGATCTTGCTGCGCGTCGCCGAATGCACCCCGTCGCAGCCCACCACCAAGTCGCCCGTGGCGGTCGTGCCGTCGTCAAAGCGCAGCGTCACCTCGTCCTCGGTCTCGTCGCCGCCGACCAGCTTCTTGCCGAACACCATGTTGATGTTTTTCGTCCGCTCGACCACGGCCAGCATGGCCACGGACAGGACAATGCGCATCACACGGCGCCCCTTGAAGCCGCCGAATCCATTCCCGTGGCTATCGGTGAAGTCCACGGCGCCGATCTGTCTCCCGGTGCGCGAGGAGAACATTTCAATCGCGTCGACGTCCACGCCGGCCTCGGTCCCCATCTTATCCAATTCCTCCAGCACGCGTAGTTGGGAGAGATGTCTCTGGGCAACGGGCGTGAGATTGATCGCCCCGCCGGACGTGGAAAGGATATCGTGTCGTTCGAAGACGGTGATCTGGAGATCGGGGACAAACGGGGTCAGTTCCCTGGACAGCGCCAGGGCACAGGAAATCCCGGCAATGCCCGCACCCACAATCAGGATCCGCCGTGGTGGCATGGGATATTCGGGGTTTGCAGAGATCATGATGGGAGGGAGAACGAGAGAGAACAAAATGGGGGAGAGAAATGGAGGACCAACGCACTCTCCGCCGGATGTCGGAAGAGTGGCGGATTAGCTAACAAGTCTGGGGATTGTCAGAGCCAGTCGGAGCAGCTGCGAGCAAGGACGGTTCAAGTGTATAGATATTCTGGAGGGACGTACTCGTGGTGTAGCAATTGAAGCCAACGCTGGAGAGTCTCGACACTGGAGGAGAAAAAGACAGCCAGCGCGGGGACAACGATGGAAATAATAACCATCGGGGTCTTTCGACAAGGGAAAAGCCAAGACTGTTTTTTTTTTTTTTTTTTTTTAATTTCTTTTTTATTCCCTTCTCTCTCCTCGAGTTATTTGTGACATCAGAATTTAATTAATTTACTGCTCGGTCCAGCGGCCAACACCCACTCTCAACGGTTGATATTACCGCCGGAAACACCACAGTCCCAACACTGCCCTCAACAGTGGGCATGGCGCGGACGTTGAATCGCCCACTGTCACCGGTATGGTATCTGCGGCCCCAACCAGTGGCCTTCTTGTTCTCGGGCGTGAATAGACCCACAGGGAACTGCTTCACCGTGAGATCCGGCCGATTGAGATATCCATTTTTGCCGACACCGGCGCCACCGATAACATGGCGGCGCTCTCAATCTACCTCCGGCCCAAGGGAAATGAGGTATAAATAGGTTTCTTATTCTCCTCAATCGAGTCATTCTCTCCTCTCCGATGAAGAGTGTTGTATTGTGCCGTGCGTCCAGTTGAGTGTATGTATGTCAGACGCGTAGGGTGTCGGTTTATAGATGCAGGAGCCACATTGTTCAGGGGAAGCATGATCATATTGACGGTATAGCTAGAGCATCGATAATGCCCCATGAAGCTATATATGATGCTGTATATCTTGTCCTATAGATGTTCGTGAACCCCTAATTCAGTAGGTCCTCCACCGGAGAGGGTTATCTTTTGTCCAGACCACGTGACCTCCCTCGCTAGGTGTTGGATCACGTGGGATTCTGCCGCATAGGTCCGCCCTCGCCGACCCTTTGTTAGAGGTCACGTGTATTCTGCCATATTAGACCGCCCTCGCTTGGCCTGACACTAAAATAGCTAGACCAACCTAGATAGATACAATACAAGCAAGTTGATCCAACACCCTTTTCACCACGTAGTAGTTGTAATATATTAGGACATACTCGGGTCCCATGCCCTCGTCAATAGATCTAGCCTCTTTTTCAATGGAAAAGATGCTTGTCTCGCGGTGTTGAAAAGCATCCAGTTTAGAATGATGGAATTCGTGGAACTCGGAGGCCACTCGGCGGTGGTTACGTTGCCTAGGAAGGAGCTGAACCATGGACACCACCACCAACAGCTGATGCCTGTGTATAACCTTGATACGCGGTATCCTGTGACGACTGGGAGGAAGGGAATCCTCATCGGAAGAAAAAGTATAAAGGAGGGACGATGACCACCCGGTACGTCGTTCATCGATCAATCCTCTTGTCCATGAGAGATGATGAAAGAGAAACTCAAAGCCTAACAGGGAACTTTTCACGCAGCCATCGCCCATGCCGGTAGAGCCAGAATGGCACAGGAATAAACGCCATGGCAATAAAGGCCAGCACACTATTTCCCCAGCCCATGTGCAGATTGGTGTAGAGACGCGGGGCAGCAAGAGGTAGAAAAGCACCGAGCAGATTGCGCAGCAGATTGATACCGGCCATGGCAGATGCAGCAGCCCGGGGTCCAAAGATATCGATCGTGTACGTTTGCGACGAAGAGATGAGAACCACGACGCCCGGCCCACCGATCGCCGTGCCGACGATAGGCACGATCCAGTGCACCTTGGACTCCGTCGTCCAGGCGTAGAGGAACAAGCCGATCGGGAGCAAGGGAGAGACGTACATCATCAGAATCAACCGACGTTCCGGATTGTACGGGCCCCCGTTACCACGCAGCATGCGATCGCTGAACTTGCCAAAGATGAAGATACCGATGGCGCAGCCAACGCCGATACCGATGTAGGCCAGACCGGAAATGCCCACGCTCCAGCCGTAGGTATCCTCGAAGACGGTCGGGAAGGTGGCGAAGAGGAGCATGGTCACGCCGAAGTTGAAGGCGACGTGGAGGGCGATTAGGCAGAGGATGGGCGACACGAGCAGGAACCTGACGGGGCGGCTGATGGTGTGAAGAACGAGGTGGGGGATCGGGGTCTGCCTGTCACCTGCAGCACGCAGGTTCGGATTGCCTGTTCTCTTCGAGAGACGAGTGGCCTTGCGTCGGAGGATGGTGACGGCGCTCGTTTCGCGCATGAAGATGAACGAGGCGATGGTGACGGCGCCGGCCTGGCACAGCATGTCAGCTGCGGGTGGTCTACACAGAGAAGAGAAGACACAGGCCGACCATCATTAGGATGAGATAAAAGGACCATCTCCAGCTCAGGTTCTCCGTGACGAATCCGCCGATGATAGGGCCAAGAACCTAGCACGTCTGTCAGCCTGTGTGTCGTTCTTCGACAGTCCCCAGCAAGGAGACACGGACATACAGGACCAAAGAGCGGCCCAGCGGTAAACAGGGCCATTGCAACTCCTCTCTCTTCCTTGGGCAGGAGATCAGCAACGGTCCCACCACCCGTCGATATATACGACGCAGCAGCGAGGCCGGTGCACAAGCGGAAGACCAGAAACTCGGCGACATGGGTGCTGCGCGAGCATCCAGCAGTAAAAGCCAGGTAGAAGACGGAGCTCGCACGGTAGACAGGCACACGGCCGAAGACCTCGGACAGCGAGGGGACGAACAGCTGGCCCAGGGCAAACCCCAGAGACGCCATGGTGATGGTGAGGACCTCGACGGCACTGCTCTTGAAGCCGAACTCGCGCTGCATGACGTTGGCACCGGGGGCGAACACGGTCGTGGCCAGGTTGGTGTACAGCACGGCCAGGCTGACCAGCACCACGTTGCTCAGCTTGTACGCCTTGGACCAGTTGCGAGGATTGGCAGGGTCGTCAGGGCCGTCCCAGTCGACGATGTTCGGGTCTGCTGGAGCGCCCTTTTCCACGTCCTTCGGCACGGCGGCGTCGACATCGACCATGGTGCTTGGTTCTTGATCGTCGCCGGTGGGCATTCTCGGTCTGCATGTAGCAGTGTAGCAGTATATGCTGGGCTGGCATTCAGCCCTGCTGGGAAAGGCGAATCCCCCTTTTGTTATATGCCATTTTGGCTGCTGGGGTGGATTCATGCCTGGTTTTCGGTCTCCTTGCAAGTATCGGCAACGCTTGTTCTTCCTTCTGAACGAGCCATGCCCCTAAACCAAAGTCTCCATCGATGAATCCCCCGTTCTCGAAGCAGCCGCTGTCCGAGACCGCGCTGGATCCGCCTCCCCCGGACCTGTCGCAGCTGCGAGATCGCCGGCGGGAGAAGCCGTTGCTGCCATGCACCTTTTGCAGGAGTCGCAAGTAGGGACTGCTTTGGTTTCCGTTTTCCTCCTCGTTGCTAATGACTGGCAGAGTGCGATGTGATCGCCAGCTTCCGTGCAAAACCTGCACCAGCAGGGGAATCGGCCATTCCTGCACCTACTGGTCAGGGCCGCGCAGGGGCAAGGTCAGCGTCGGTGATCGTATCCAGCAGCTGGAGACACTCGTGCGCTCCCTGCTCCAGCAGCAGCAGCAGCAGACGTCGCAAACGCCCGCTCTGCATCCCGAGGGCCTCGTCCCGGATGCAGCACAGTCCTTCCAGGGCACTCCTGGCGCATCACCGCAGGGCACATGTGTATCGGCGACCCCACTGGCGTCGGTGGATGAGGGCACGCTCATTCCGAGCCTCAGGCGCGCGTCGTTGTCCCACAGCAGGGACCATGCAGTGTCCCCCGCGCCCTCGGACACCGGCAGCATCCATTTACACTCGCATGGCGCCAACTACGTCGGGAGCGTCCACTGGGCCGCCGTCCTCGACAGCATCTCAGAGCTCCGGGACCACTACGAACAAGAAGAGGAGGCCCGCATGCGGGCCACCAGCGACAATGCGCTACGCCACAGCCGCCATCCTCGTCTGCTGTACGAGCCCGTACAGGCCACGAAGGCCGATCTGCTTTCATCCATCCCAGCGCGGCCCGTGGTGGACCGTATGCTCGCACGGTACTTCAATGCACAGGGTCTCGTACCGGAGATCCTTCATCGTGGCCATTTTCTCCGAGAGGTACGGCGCCGACTGTGTGTTTCTGCCCTCCCCATGCCGCCCGGATCTCCGTCGTCTGGCTGACTTTGCACCTGCATTCACAGTATGAGAGGTTCTGGCAGGAGCCGAACGAGGCGCCGTTTGTCTGGATTGGCGTCTTGTTCAGCATCATGTGCCTTTCGACGCAGTACCAGCAGTTCATCGAAGACCCGGCAGATCCAGAAACTGCAGTACGCGTGCATCTGTACCGGGAACGGACCGTCCACTGTCTCGTCCTAGGCCAGTACACCAGGGGCGGCGACTACGTGCTGGAAACGTTAATCAACTACCTCGCCAGTGAGATGTTTCTGTCCAAGGACACCGAGATTGGCGTCTGGCTGGTGCAAGGCATGCTCGTGCAGCTCGCGCTGGGTCGGGGATACCATCGGGACCCCCAGAACTTCTCGAACATCTCGCCGTTTGCCGGCGAGATGCGGCGGCGCGTATGGGCCATCATCCTGCAGATGGACCTGCGTCTTTCGAGCCAGATGGCGCTGCCACGCTTGCTCAAGCGGCAGCAGTACGACACGCTTGAGCCTCGCAACCTGCTGGACACAGATTTCGACGAGGATACCGTCGAGCTCCCCCCTTCGCGTCCTCAGACGGAGGTAACTCCCGTCCTCTACAGCCTCGCCAGGACTAGGATAGATAAGATGAATGGACTCGTCAGTGATCTCGTCAACGACACCCAGGAGCACCCGTACACGGAGATCATGGAGCTAGACCGGAAGGTACAAGAGGCAGAGGCCTCACTGCCGCCCATCTTCCGGTGGCAGCCTCTCAGTCAGTCGTTCATGGTACTCCCGCAGATCGTCATGCACCGCGTGTTGCTCCAACTGGCCGTCCAGCGGCTTACTATCTGGCTGCACCGGAAGTATCTCTCTCCAACCTATGCTCACACACACTACAAGTACTCCCGAAACGCCTGCGTCCAGGCTGCCATCAAGATTCTCGAATTCCAACAAACAGTCGACGAGGAGACGCGGCGCGACGGGCTTCTGTATCCCGTGCGATGGATGTTCATGTCGTCGCGGCTGCAGGCTGTCTTCCTCCTGGGCATCAGCATTCTCTGCTACTACGTGCAACTGGTCAAGACCCGGCCCGACGTATCCCTGGACCAGGACACGGGCGCTCGGATTCACAACCTGCTGAGCAATACGTATCCTCTATGGGTGCGCCTAAGCACTGTGTCCCGTGAGGCCCGACGAGCAGTCGAGCATCTGAGTCTCTTCCTGGGACTGCGCAAGGAACAAGAGTCCGGCACATCGCTCGCTGCTACGACCACTACGGCGGCTACCTCTTTTCCCGCTACCATGCCCCTGGAAGCGTTCGTGCCGCCGGACCAATTCACTTGGGAAGCTTACGAAGATAGTCAGTTCCATTCCCCCTTGCACCCTGGGAAAACACCGTACCTGTATGAAGCGCATTGGAGACTGACCTTCTCAGATTTTATGGCCGATATCCCCGCAACAGGAGCATTCGCTGCGGAATTCATGCTCCCGGACACACCGGGGTCGTCTTCGGCGATGAGCACGTCCATGGCGGATGTGCTGCTGGCTAACACGGCCGATTTGGACGAAGCGGGCAGTCTGAGATGATGTCTTGACTCCACGAGTATGACCTGGTGTTTACCATCAAAACACTATTGATTTTACCTTCGTGAGCCCACGTGGATATTTTATTGTGTACAGTTTCTAAAAAAATGGAGAGATGGGTGCTAGTTCAGTTCAATGCAACTTAGTTACTCTTCTGATTGCAGTCTAGAATTTCAGTGTTCATCGAGCCCTGATGGCCTGGCTTTCGGGATATGTATCTAGTGACACTGTGTAACAACATAGCTTAAAGATGATAGGAGATCCCGGTCTGTGAATGGAGACCTGGAGTTCGTATGTTAATTCGCAAAGGATAATTCGCAATAGAGACCCTAGTAGAGCCTTGTTTATTTCTTGATGATTCTGGGAGCCTGTTCTGTTAGACGGATACAGAAGCCCTAGTTATATATGTAACTATGTTGTCCGTTATAGGGTTTGCTACTGTGATATATATCGTACATCAAAAAAATACCCATTCATCCCAACCATCTCTACTGAACATCTCTTTCTCCGATTGAATATGGCGATCCTTAAGCTTCCACGCCGATGGAAAAGGAATAACGACATCATTCCGAGAATGAACCTCGGACGGGGAACAGCGGGGTATTTTCAATCCTCTCTATATAGATTGACAGAGGACGGAACGAGATGTATAATCAATGCTTCTGAAGAGAGTAGCACATTTCCTGTTGTGTAAAAGGCCGAGGAACAACGAGTTCTGCTCAATGTTCCTAACTCCGCCAGCACCGGTCAGGCCTGTTGCGTGCGTGTTGGACGAGATGAACAAAGACCCGCATAGCAAAATATGTGTATAGACCATAGACACCGTTTGAATGACAGCTCTAATAGTCTACCTAGTTGTCTTGCTGTTGAACCCGAGAATCAAGACGAGCGTACGGCTCATCATGTCCATGGAGGCCGCTCTATATCACGGTCCTGACAAGGGAATCACTGTCGGCACTACTCCTAAACCCACGCCCTGGAAAGGAGAACCCTTGGTCAAAATCGAAGCCGCCGGTGATGTGCAAATTTGTATTAGCGGGCAGGTGTAGGATATTCAAGAAGATTTCATAGCCACGATGGAACATCATAGAGCAGAGGCGATGTATAGTGCAAGACTATCTGTAGACCTTAAGAAAACCGATGGCAGCCTTCAGATCTACTGATTGCCTCCATTTGCCGTCAAGAAATCAAAATCAGCACCCTCGTGAGCCTGGTTCACACTCTGTTCATACAGTTTCCGATACCCTCTTCCTGCTCTTCCTGGCTGGGGCCGTTTACGAGCCTGCTCGACAGGAGTACCCAGTTTCTCCGTCCATCTCCTCTTGATCTCCTCCTGGCTGACATCCAGTGTCAACAATCGCTTCTCTGCATCACAGGTAATCGTGTCTCCGTTCTGCACAACTCCCAGGGCACTGCCAACCTGAGCTGACTCAGGCGATATGTGAAGAACGATAGTGCCGCCCGCGGTACCACTCATGCGTCCATCGCTGATTCTTAGCATATCTTTTACTCCTTGACTCCCTAGCTTGCGGGGGATCGGAATCAGTCCCGCTTCAGGCATGCCGGGATTACCAATCGGTCCCACGTTTTTTAAGACCATAACAGAAGTCGGAGTCACTTCGAGATCTGGTGAATCAATCCGAATAGCCATGTCCTCTGTGTTTTCGAAAACCACTGCGGGGCCAGAGTGTGACAAGAGACTCCGATCCTTGGACGCGGAGGCTTTCAGAACGGCCCCGTCTGGCGCGAGATTTCCTCGGAGAACGACAAGGCTGGAGCTGGGATGGAGCGGGTTGGACAATGGCCGAATAATCTGCGTGGAAAATGGGAACGGTTTGAACCTGCTCGTGTCGAGAACCTCACCGAGTGTCTGGCCGGTAATTGTTAACGCAGATAAATGAAGTAGGGGACGAAGAGTAAGAAGAAGAGCCTCCATGCCGCCAGCCTTGTGGAAATCAGTCATGTAATTGTCACCGCTTGGTTTGAGGTCGATGAGCATGGGTGTTGCGCGGCCGATTCTGTCGAAGTCATCTAAGGTGATCTTTCCCTGGAGGTCTGGGTGACGGTTTATGATGGCCAGGAGGTGCACCACGCCATTAGTGCTACCTCCTATTGCTTGCAGGACAGTGATGGCGTTATAGACAGACTCCTTGCTGATGATGCTCTGCGGCGTTCTTCTGGCCTTTGCTGTGGCTACTGCATTACGACCGGTCAACTCTGCGATGCGCAAACGTGCTGAAGACACTGCCGGGGCGCTGGCGCCTTTCAATGGAATCAAACCAAGAGCAGCAGTAAGACAGGCCATGGTACTGGCTGTTCCCATAACGCCGCATGTGCCGCCCTGTTGCTTCGTTTGTTAGCGAAACTGTGGCTCTGGTCTCGCAGGGATAGAATTCACAGACTGTAGGCGCCAACTCCTCATTGATGGCAGAGATCTCCTCTACGTCCACTTTGCCAGCTCTGAAAGCTGCCCAGTTATTTCTGCAGTCTGTACATGCACCGATCCTCTCGCCTCTATGACTACCCGGCATCATTGGACCAGTAATGAGAGGCAGAACAGGCTTGTTTGCGGATAAACCACCCATGATTTGAGCGGGAACAGTCTTGTCGCAACCTACCAGGTGTCAATGTCTCTGTTATGAAGTGTACAGCTTTAGAGACACACCTCCGATCATGATGCAGGCGTCAACAGGCTGCGCCCTAATCACCTCCTCGGTATCCATACTCATGAGGTTCCTGAGGAACATGCTCGTCGGCGACGAAAACGACTCATGAATGCTGATTGTGGGGAAATCAATAGCTAGCCCGCCCGCAAGCTGTATGCCTCTTTTTGCAGCATCGATGAGCTGGGGCACATTTGCATGGCATGGATTAAACCCCGAGTAGGTATTGATGATCCCAATGACCGGGAGTGACAGCGCATCTTCACTGTAACCCAGCGCTTTAATGAAGACCTTGCGCAGGAAGAGCGAGAAATGCGGGTCACCGTATGCTGTCAAGCCTTGTCGGATCCCCGATGACGCATTAATGGGGGTTTCCAGATTATAATCCGCATTTAGCGGGGTAGAATCGCTGGTATCCATGTTATTCTAATAACTTAATGACTTCATGACTTAAGAGTAACTATTAAGTAGTTAGTTGAGCGCAGGTCAGGGGTATAGTAACTAGTTGACTATTTGAGACAGGCGGATTATCTAATAAACCAGCCTGGGGATCTGGAATATATATGTTCCGGGAGGTGAGGTGCCGAATCCCGCATACGGGCTTCAAGCATCGAGCATGTCGATTAAGAGCTTCACGATGTACTAGAGACGGCAGTATATTGATATAGAGCGTTCACCATGAATCCTACGAATCCTACGGTTTCCTTTAAGTATTTGATATCCGGACGCCGCACCCCCTGATCCACTTCACTAAGCGTACTAGGAGCACGTGACCTCTAGGTCAACGTATTCTTATTCTTGCGAGTCTTGGCCGGGATGGAAGCCGCAGGGAGATAGCAGGATTAGGATCTCTTGAACAGAAAAGGCAAAAGAAAGCCGGAGGGGAGAGATCCATGATTCATCTCGGAATGACGTCCGTTGTCTGGCAACAGTCATCACCGCGCTGATTCGGCCGTTGCTATCTGGCTTTCGGGAGGCTTACCGTCACTCGCTGCTTTTAATCGAACTCTCCGCACTGTAGATTGAAGGGCATCAATTGCCTTGTTTATGCGAGTAGCATGCACTGCAATAGCTACCAGACCGGTATGTCCGTCAACAAAGTGCCACCAGAGACATTCTACGTCTTGCCAACCGCACATTCCCCGAACTCGCGACTCCCCGTCGTCGTATATCGAAATGCACTGAACAACCCAAGCTTCGAAAGCATCTGCGCCGCCATGCAAACGAAAGACTGGGTGGAAGGAGGGCATTGGACCATTGCCAAAGTCGAGGGTGCAGCAGTTCCGCACTTCCACTCAAATGCCCATGAATGCTACGGGGTCATCAGAGGAACCGGCCATTATCTCCTCGGGAAGTCTCCGATCGATCCAGACGTCGATAGCAATGGCCAGCCGGTGGGAGTGAAATTCACCGCGAACGCTGGCGACGTTTTCATATACCCTGTTCGATGATCCGGAAAAAGCATAGGGTGATTAAATGAGATGGGGCGCTAACCGTTGTCCAGGCCGGTGTTACGCATTTTGTGACGCAAACGGAAGGAGATTATGAGATTGTCGGGTTGTATTCAAGGGGAAGTCTAAGAGGATCAACTTTCTTCTCTGTGGTTCAAGAACTAATGGACTGTACAGAGCGAGTTCAACTCCGACGAGCATCCATGGGACTTGAACGATGCCGATAAATCGGTGGAAGGGACCAACGAGGACCGCAAGAGATGTGAAAGAGTGCCCATTCCCGAGAGGGATCCGTTGTATGGACCTGGGGGGCCTCTTCCAGAGCTGTGGAAAGCCATAACCGCATCCTGGTCCTGAAGGACAGGGAGTATGATTTACTTCGCAACGACTTTCATGTTATCTAGCCTATGACAAGACCATTTAATGTCGATGAGATCGACCACATTCCTATTTGTCTAAATGGACATGTTCTATTTTGCATCTCCTATCATCTAGCGCAATGCCCTAAGACTGGACGAAACAACTCTGACCCAGACAGCTGGGATGTCCCTGATCTGCCACTCCATGCGATCGGATGTTAGACGGTGATCATGCTGCAAGCATCAAGGGTCCATCTCCGGAGACTTGGGCAACGGTCGAGTCGGACACATCATGCCACGAACTGCAGGGCTACATGCTCGAGAACCCGTGGATGTTGGTTGTGCGCGATCAACCCCATTACCCACAGCGTTCCTTCGTAGCCACGTCCACTACGCCGCTGTGCGGTAGAAAGAACCAGGCAGATGCCTGATAGAGCAATACGAATATGCCTGGAGGATGGAGCGGCAAATTAAATGATCAACAGCGTGTACATTATTAAACCGGAGCCATCCTTGGGAGAAAAACAAGGGGAAATGAAACATGGGAGAAGCTCTCGGCCAATCTCCATAACGAGGCCTGCAGGACCTCTCGGTGGTTCTGGCCTTTGTCCACGCTCTGCACCTGTCCAATTGCCAACCGGATTATTGGTGCTTGGCAGCGTCCAGCCAGAAGATCTGCCATCCGACGCATCATCTCAACCCCGCATTCAGGGAGGGATTGCTCGCCCCGTGGCTTATAAACCGAAGGCCTGAGTCAGTCCTCACTGACTCGGGTTCAGGGGATGTAACCGCCCTCGAGACAGACTCCGCAAACCAGCGAAACAAGCGTGCTTGGGAGATCTCCAAAGGAAGATGGCGCTTGCAGGACAGTGACCCAGAAGAAGAGCGCAGTGGCATTCATAGCAATGAGGATGTAGTAGTCTGATCTCCAGCCTCCAGATGTATGATCAACAAAGGACACGGCGATGGCAGGCGAGAACATGCTTCCGGGGATGGTGTAGGCATACATGAGGCCATTTCCAGCAAAGCGGTATTTCATCGGCACCAACTCAACCATGGTGTAGAAATAGGAGACCTGTGTGCTGCAGCACCGATGAAGACCATCCCACTGATCAAAATATCGATGCTGTGCGCCGTGGCCGAGACGATGCTCCCAGTGACGCCCAACATGACGCCCGCGATCAGCACATACCGCCGGCCAAAAGCATCCGTTACACGTCCGATGATGGTGAGTCCAACGGCAATGATCAACGTGTATACGAGGGATAGCCAGAAGATATTCGGATTCAGCCCGACGTCGTTGATGACGGTGAGTATGGGTGCGATATATGCGAAACCTGCTAGGGCAGACATGAGACCGAAGCTGATGGCCGTTACGGGCCCCAGAAATAGGGGTCTGCGGTAGTATCCCTGTGGAAAATTCTGTTCATGATGCGGTTGCGGTGGGATCGCATAATTGCGAAACTCGTCGTGCTCGTTAACAAGACCTGCCTGCTTTTCGGTCAGATTGGACGCCATGGCTGGCCCGGTATTTCGAGAAATGGGGGAGGAATGATATTATTTGTGCGACCCCATGGGGAAGCACCTGCTCATATACTTTTTGTTATCCATGCTTATTGTGCCTGGATTAATGTTTAAGGGCGTGCGGAATTAGGGCTGTGCACTTGAACTTCCGAACTTCCGTCAAGCTTTATGTCTCGTATAATATGGCTCGACGAATCGTAATATACGTACAGACTCGCGATAAAGAGCAATCAAGCCCAATAGACATCTTAAAGCAAAGAAGAATAATCATGATGCTTTGGTATGTACGGCGCTGATTCGATCATGTCTAAGAAGATAGCTATTTTCACTGCAAAAATACGAGAGCGCAAGCGAGCTCCTAGATCGTGGAGAACGCATTGTCAATGGGGATAACAGCCCCATTAATCTGACTAGCCATATCAGAAGACAAGAATGCAATTAAATTCGCCGCATCTGAGGGCGGCGCTACTGGTTTCATCTCGGGACGTGGAGCGCCTGCACTAGTCTGTACAGTGTACATAATGACGATTCAACTGCTGAGAGCAAGAATACACTTCGAACTTCCATAGAACAAACTCACCTGATGAGTTCCATGGCCTTTTGGTCGAACTCGCTTGGATCAAGGGAACGGGTCATTCCTGTGACGAATCCTGCATGTCTGTTAGATGAGCTGCACCCAAGAAATCCATCAGTAAGAATCAGTAATAACCTCCCGTTGCATCTGATGTTCGTTCGGTGTACGCATTCATCCAGAAGAATCAAAGGAAGAGAGAAACAACAAACCATTTTCTGAAATAAATAGAAGACAGGAGTTCCAGGCCAGGAAGATCAGCCAACATTACATTCTGGTATCAGACAGGAATTCAGATACGTCCTTTCATGGAATCTTACGCTTCTCCCTGTGCTTCCATAGCAAATGAGTGGTCATATCCGCATAGTCTTACCGGAGTACCAGGTCATCTGTGGGATGGGAGTATTGGGTGGGAACTTGATATCATAGGACATCAGGGTTTAGACCATCAGGACTTTGATTTCATTTGCAGCGAAGAATTGGCCGGGGCAAGCATGTTTGACGTGTCTATACACATTCCCTGTTAGTGTTTTGTTCAAATTGGATGGAAGGTCTTAGACATACCCAAAGTATGTGAATTTTGGAGAGGTTTGGACGAGCTGATGCTCCTACCTGCAGTGAACGGGTGGAAATGTGCACTCTCCTTGACGAAGCTGTCCAACTTCACCGACTCGGTCATTGTCTGTTTTCGCATTGGCCGTTCTCTGATGCAAAAACATCACGGATTTCCTTGCGGAGCTCCTCAATGACCTCCGGGTGAAGAGCCAGGTCGTACAAAGTGTTCAGCCAGGTGACGCTGCTCATATGGACTGCTGAAACTAGAATATGAGGCAACCGAAGCACAAGCATGTCGACATCAAGGCTTTCCCGGGGTGCAATATCCAAGACCCATTGAACTAGCAGGCCTGAGCTTCCAGATTTACTCCTTCGATCCAATTAGCGATCAGCTATTAAATGCCATATGAATAGTACGGACAAAGCTGGTCAGTGTGGAGGATGGAATGGGGTATTGACGAATATACGCTGTAGGTTGTACATCGACAACGATCGTATACCCTAGTCTCCATTAAACCCTTAACACCGTCTTCGCGACAATTCCATGGAATCCAGCAATGCTCAAATTTTGATGAATGGTACAGCCCAGGAATATCATATCATGAATACTGTGTATGATACTCCTCGGTCCTGTACGCCAACATGACTTCTGGGAAACCCCGCCTGGTCAGCCACGAGGGAAGTTACTAATTGAGACACTGGGACTTGAGCTGTTTTGAACGTACAATAAAGTTATCGTTGTCGGTTGTATTCGATACTGTGTTAACCTGGGTAATAACACTGAAGACCACTAAGGTGCCATGGCGGATATCCCAACATGCATTGGTAGTGGGTGCCGTTCTTATAAAACATAGTCGTGGAAGCCTTTCATTTTTTGTGATAGCCCTATTCAAGTCCTGGGTATCAGAAAAACTCATTTACCACTCGTAACGGTCTATATGCAATGCAAATTTCGAATCCTCCTTCCAGGCCTTCTGTGTTCAGCGATAGACCGGAACCGTTGTTCAGCTGCTAGGCGTAGCATAGATGCAAAAACATGTCCTAAAAATCACGTTTAGGTAATCTTGGAATCTTGGATAGTGTTTACCTAGCCATTTCTGGGCTCATGAAGCATTTTCAAATCGGTTAGTGAGAACAATGCTGATGCAGTATCTTCGTTGTCTCTCGCTGCTCATTGATGTCTCCCTTGTTTCTTATCGCTTCCCATACTGGTTCATTCATTGTTTGATGTTGACAATTCTGACATTTTCCCTAGAACTATTTTATCTTCAGAATATTTCTTCAGTTTCATTCCATCATGATTGCACGCTGGCTTCCTACTTGCCTTGCAGCACAACAAGGAAAATCAAGTTTCCCATATTTGAAGCACTGCTAAAGATGATAAGCTGCAAGAGTCCACGCTGTTCAGTAGCTTGATAGGCAAGAACATTGGGAATGAAGAGTGAGGATAACTGAGAGATGAGTGAATGAAGCAGTACTGCCCAGAGCATATATAAACCTCAACTGTCCAAACTCCCTCTCCCATTTTCCCAACGTCTCATCGAGCTATCAACATCTGTATCATCTCAATATTCCAGCTGCGTTCACTCCCAGAGCCTGCCCGAGGCGGAAGGACAACTACCATTGACAATAATGCACCGCTACATCTCATCGGCCAGTTGACCCAGATAACCGTCAAAAGCCTGAGGAGCCTGTGCTGCCAGTTCCTTGCAACAAACGGTTGCGAATGTCAGAAATGGGATCAGTCTGCCAGTCCAGACAGGTCTCTATGACAGGCCCTATGCTGTTCCAAAAGAGACAGGAGATAGTTTCAGAGATTCCTGGTAAAGTCAATCCTGAATATGGTTAAAACTGCTGATGATTAACACCTGGGAAGTATGCCAAGGTCTCAGCTTTGGGCAACTAATGAGACTTCAGGGCCTGCCTGCGCGCAACCACTATGAATTGCCAATCAGGGAAGGGATTCAGTCAGAACCCATACCGCATGCGGTCCGAGTTGATAGGCCAGGACAAGACGGCGACGGCGGAGAAGATGCGGTTGCTGTTGAGACGGCCAGGCTGGAGGAAACAGTGGGACGGTATGGAGAGAATGTGTGCAGAGTTATTCCATATCAAAAAGGGAAGTGGATAGTGGTTTTCACTTCCAGCCAGGCCTGGCGCTAGTGCATAGGAAGAATATTGCAGTGTCAGTCTGTCGTCTGCTTCTTGTTTCCAGAATCCATATGATAGATGGCCTAGTAATTCTTGATGAGGATATAGTAATTAACTATTTCGGACAGGCGGATTATCTAATGTTCCAGCCTCGGGATCTGGAATATGTATGTTCCGGGAGGAGAGGTTCCTACGCCTGAGTTCCCCGAATCCCGCATATATAGAGCTGGAAGCTAGAGGAAGCATGTCAATTAAGAGCTTCACAATGTACTAGAGACGGCGTATACTTATATAGAGCGTTCACCACGAATCCTACAAATCCTACAGTTTCCTTTTAGTACTTGATATCCGGACGCCGCATGATCCACTTCAAATCTCTTACTAATCACACGTGATCTAAATGAAGCTATGACGCTGATGATGCTCCGTGGACACTCCCAGTCAAGGAATCCATGTAACACCAACAGACATGTCTTTTCATCCAGATCTGTTCACAGCCACGAGGGGTCAGACATTCACTTACCTCTTTGCTGTCTGTCCATTTTCCATAGCCTTTCTGGTGTTTATCAATTCCTCCATTTCATTCGTCGTCACCGATCTCATCGGGCTCCATGATGGCGAGGGAGACGCGGTCGGGACGTTAGGATTTGCCGATGAATTGCTCGCGTTGGCTGCATGTCCCATATGGGGATTGCTCTCTGATCGCATTGGGGTTCGCTATGTAAGCTATCGCCTTCACATCAACTACTAACCAGGCATTGACTGGTCGCGATAATAGGTCTGCACGGTTGGCTATGCCATTGTAGCTCTCTCACTGGCCCTATTTGTCCAAGCCAAGAATGTCTACCCCCAGCTTCTTTTGGGGAGGCTGCTCTTCAGTCTTGGAGGTGCTGCCGTATCAACCATGGTTACTGCAGTGTTACCGGCAGTCACAGATAGAACAGTTAGTGCGAGAACCCCCAGGACATCCAATTTATCCACCTCCCCCCATCGCGACAATGTGTCCAGCCAGGAGGAGTCCAGGGAAACTACCCGCTCTCCTTCTTCGCGACTAGCCGGGTTTGTAGGCACCTGTGCTGGATTCGGTGCCTTGATATCGCTGGCTCTTTTCCTTCCTCTTCCCGCCCGGTTTGAAAAAGCAGGGATATCTCCATCCAAGGCCATCCAGCTCAGCTATTATTTTGTGGGAGGTGTTGCTCTTTTAATCAGTGTTTGGTGTTTTTTCGGTCTTCGCAACCTCCCTGGGGAGGAGAGAAAGGGATGGAGATCGCTTTTGCCAAATTCTGAATCTCAGTTGCCTGACACTGTCCGCGACAATCAGTCCTGGCCCGTTGGCAAAACGGCACACCTGCCTTACTGGAAGCAATTTAGCACCGCCGTGACATTAGGGTTTCAAAACCGTAATATTGGCCTAGGCTATGTCGGGGGTTTCGTCGCCCGAGCTTCGTCAGTTGGTATTTCATTATTCATTCCGCTCTTTGTCAACCACTTCTATCGAGCATCGGGTCTGTGCAACAATGATCCTGGCAGTGCGCCTGGCTCAGGTCTAGGTGACATCAAACGCTCCTGTCCCAAGGCATATATTTTAGCTTCTATCCTCACGGGCGTGTCTCAGCTTGTTGCCTTGTTCACGGCCCCAGCGTTCGGTTTCCTGTCGGTTAAGTCTCGACGGTACCACCTACCTCTGCTGTCGGCGGCACTGGCGGGTGTTTTTGGCTATACGGGGTTCGCGCTGCTACCGGATCCTCGGTTTAATGGTGCTGACGGCAACCCCGGTGTGTTCGTCGTGATGGCTTTGATCGGCGTTAGCCAGATCGGTGCCATTGTTTGCAGCCTGGCTGTACTGAGCAATGGTATCTTAACTGTCGGTTTAACCGGGGCAAGTTTAAAGGGCAATTGTCGCTCCGAGTCCAATGGCCAGGGAAACCCGGTAGGAGAATACCCCAGACCCAGTGGGGATAGAGAATCTGGGGAGCAACAGCCTCTCCTAGGAGCCAGTGCCGGCTACAAGCAACAGCAACTGTCACATCTGAAGGGGGCTATTGCGGGCGTCTACTCCTTGTACGGGGGAGCTGGTATCCTCGTACTTACAAAATTAGGTGGCTTTTTGTTCGACATGGTGACCCCGGACGTTCCATTTTATATTATGGCTGGTTTTAACGGCATTCTACTTTTGGCAGGCATCGTCTGTGGGCTCGTTGGCCGGTCCAACCTTGTTCCAAATTGATTCTACCAATCATACGACTTTTTTATCTTGGAAAATGTGCTTGTGCATATTCCAGGTTCATTTTTATTTGAGGTCGGTGTGCTCCATAGTAATCTCCGACCTACCTAAGCCATCCGCCGAAGTTGACGCTTGTGCACTGTGGACGGACTTGGCAGTGGCCAAAAAAATCTCGGGACAAACGAAAAAGAAAGACACAAGATGATGTACAAGGACAGTTCTCCTTTCAGCTCAATTCAATGTAACATGGCACCATGCAGCGATCGATGAGCATGCAAAAACTTCTACTCCAACACCGTTCTATTTCTGACCGACAGGGAACCGATCTCCAAATCTTAAGCTAATCTAATTTCCTTTTCCAAACTGCTGTCAGCCCAATCAGTGCCTCTGGTGCCAAATTCTATTTCTTCGTATACTGAAACGAGGCCAATAACCGCAACAGGCTCATCGTACGTTACATTTGCGGCTTTCGTGTCATGACAAAGACCGCAGTCGAAGTGTCTAGGCCTTGTTGCCTGAAGTTTGTTCATATTTAACTGCAGAGTGACAGCCTGTGTTGGTATGCTTTCCTGCTGTTACTCCGTACTTTTTGTCTATCCTACTTTGTCAATCGTTTAGACAAGTCTGATATCGGACTATCCATTCATTTGATTTGACACGCTCACTTTCGTCGCTTGCTTGACATTATTACCGTTCTCCGGCAGTTACTCGGATTCTCTGCATTGAGAGAATTTTTTTTAAAAAAAAAAAATTAATAAATAAATAATAATCGGCATCAGGCATCAGTATGCGTTTTATCTTGATTTTGTCCGCCCTGGTCGGGGCAGTTACTGCCCAGACGGTCATACAGCTCGCTGTCCCCATGATCGACATGGATGGCATTTCCGTTTCCGTGGTTGGGAAAGTGAGTACAGTACAACTGATGTCTAATGTAAAAGGACACTGCCCATGTGGATAATTGCTGACCGGTCTAGGACTCTTATCATACGACCTACGCTATCAATTGCGTCCAGGGCAGCGACGAGGACAACGACGACAATGGCGAAGACTATCCCCTGGAGGACGATGACCATGACGGTTGTCCTATTTCAGCCGGTGCGACATTAATCGTGGGTGGCTCCTCGGTAGATGTTCTTTACAGTGATTCTATGGAGTAAGCCTCTTTTTCCCTCCCTTTGAAATATCTCATACGAAGGTACATGTTGTATTGTATCCTCGATATGTGCAGAGTATAGTGCATCCGTACCATATACCCTGTCCACTGACCGTTGTCCTTTCTATCATCAGGGTTGTCAGTGTCGGCTGCAACTCCAACTACGTCTGTAATGCATATGCAAGCGCATACGGCACCGTCGAATCATTTACTACTGCTCTTGATTCATCATATGTGTTCACTTACCCCGTTACCATGACGGGTGACGCCGGCCAGGCTACCATTGCCGCTGCACCAACGCTCGCTACGGCTGGCGCTACGGGTGCGGCGATCTCGACCCCCATCGGCGCTGCTGAATCCAGGACTTTGTCACCTGCTTCCTCCTCTGCTGCTGTTGCTACTTCTACTTCCACGTCCAGTGGTGCTAGTTCCATTGAAACGGGCTCCTCATCCACTGCTAGCTCCGGTTCTTCCAGCCCCACGGCATCCCATAATGCCGGTGTTGCGCAGGCCACGGGGTCTCACTGGGCACTTGGTGGTGCGGCGGTGATGGCTCTGGCTCTACTATAACTTGATAGCTGAGATGGTTCTGTAAAGGGGTCTAGGGAGATAATTCACTAATTCATATTTTTGTCCTAAAATGGCCGTTTTATTTTCATTCCATATAGAGAAACCCAGTACTCCTACCATAATCTCATTCGTCAAAGTGAAGCCGCATATGTATCATCAGCTTCAAATCACGATTTCTTCCCCCAGTTAGTTGGCCTAATCGGCAGCCCAGCAGCCGTATACAAAGAATCAATAACCTCCATCTGGATAATGCTCTCCTCCGAAGTAACCCAGTAAGGCGGCTTCTTCCCACGAACAGCATCCACAAAAGCCTCCAGTTGCCAGCGATACGTACTCCAACTCGACTGACCTCCTTTCCCCCCTGTCGTCTCGACATCCCCCCAAATAGGACCCCCGGAATACTTCTTGACGTACGAGGTCTTCCCAGTTCGCTTCTCCGTAATCGCGATATAATGGTATAAATGCGGCATCATGGCGTTGTAGAAATAGATGATTGCCTCCTCGGTCTCGACTTCGATGGATGGCCATTCCCAGAACCGCGGGATTATCCCACAGAGCAAGGGACGGGCCATGTCGACGTAGATTTTGCTGGGGATGAGCTGGGAGTCTGGGCCGCGGAAGATCATGTTCGCATACATGGCCTCGTCGACGCGGGGGTCTGATTTTGAAGGTCTGCAGGCGACGCTCGCGATCTCCTCGGGGTGTTTGGCGTGGAGGGCCTGGCGGGTGAAGCTAAGCGCATAGGTCATGTCCATTGCACTCCCACCTTGATGGTATTGTCTTAGTTTGTATAGTTCTCCTTTCGTTCAAGAGAGAATGGGTTAAACATACCTGCTAAATCGAACTTCCACCGAATATCCTCCCCCGGTACTGAGGGACCAGTGGTCATTCGGGCATTCGTACCTATTATCTTGCCATATTTCTTGGAATCGAGAATCTCATGCCATACATGTGCCGCGGGGTGGAATTGCCAGTGAAACTGTTGATACTGAGTCAGAACAAATCATACTAAAAGGGGTTCGGTAATACACACAGCCTCCTCAAGCACAACTCCCTTCTGAGCAGCTAGCTTAACCAACCGTCTCGCTTCGTCGCCATTCGAAGTGAAAGGCTTCTCGCAGAGAACATGCTTCCCCTTCTCGATCGCCTTGGCCGACCACTCGAAGTGCAAGCTGTTAGGCGTAGAGACATACACTATGTCCACTTGCGGATCATCAAGCAGGTCCTGGTAAGAGCCATATGCTTTAGTGAAATGGTAATTTCTGGCTGCCGCGCGAGCAACTTCGGGCTCACGCGATGCAATGGCATAGAGGATGACATCTGGATGGGTTTCGACGGGCCGTATTACTGTTTTCGGTGTTAATCACTGATCTTCCTTGTTTGATCTCTTTGGGTAGAGCAAGGTTAAAAGTCTCACATACCAGCAGCGGCATTAATTGCGGCCGATGAAATCACACCTAATCTCAGTGCACCGGGATTCTTGTTAGGTATTGGGTGCAATAAGGAAGCCTTGTACTCGTGGAGGAAGGTTAGTGCCTGGACGACAAGCGCCATGTTGGACGGTTGATATGGTGCAGGTAGCGCGCTACAACGTCCGGGGTATCAAGGATAAATATATTAAGATAAAATCACGGCTGAATCCATGGATGGCTATATGTAGAGTATAAATATATATACTGGAGAGTTGGTCGCTTTGGCGGCTCACTTGACGTATTGATTACGCTCTGTTGAGCGACCTCTTAGATACAACTCTGTAGTCGCGCGTGAAGTCATGCTCTGGTTTCGGTAAATGAAAATAATCGATATAATAAATATTCGCCCTTTAATAATTCAAGAATGGCAGTCCGTATATGTCATAGAATTCTGTTGAGTCGCTGCAAGCATGTGCAGAGTTAGGGTTTGAGCCACGCTGCTCTGAATTGAAGACTCCAAGGCATAGTTCCTTCTCACTGCTATCATACCCTTTCTAGAGTCCTCCTAAATCTTGGCTTTTACTGCACTGTCCAACCACTGGCCCTCATCATCCTGCTCCGCTACCTCCAGCACGGGGAACTGTGCTGGCATGATCCGTCGCGGGACGCTTCCCGGGACGACAGAGTACTTTGAGAAATCCGATACACCACACTGCCTACGAAGGAAGTCCTCATCTGTGTCCAGAAGCCCATTCACACTTTGTGCAGGCGCTCCAAGTACTGCAAGAACGGCGTCGGCAAAAATAGTCTATATCTGTCAGCAATTCCTATCAATCCGCCCAGGGCAACTCACCGGTTTCCTTAGGTCCTTCCTATCAGACTGGCTAAGGGCTTTGTTATGCTCTGTTGCGGCAGATTCAATGGCCTAGGAAACCCTGTCAGTATAGTACAGTCGGCTCTCTGCACTCTTGAGAACATACCGCTGCGGGCCAAATACTTGTAATAGCCATCTCTTTTCGTCCCTGCCGGACAAAATCCATTGCGAGACCTTTCGTCAAGACACTCATTCCCACCTTTCCTGCGCATAGCGTCAGATGGGAACTGCGCAAATCAATGCCAACAATCGAGGCCCTTACCCATAGCATAGGCCGTCTTCCCACGGAAAAACCTCGAGTAAATAGGCGGCGACACAACGACAATCCTTCCCCTCCAGCCATTCTTTTCAAAGCAAGGCAGCACAGCCTGTACACTAGCGTATAATCCATCTGGATTAACTTTCTGCATCAACTGAAACCGTTTCAGCGGCGTCTTCTCCACAGATGACCACCAGATAGCACCCGAGTTGTAGACAAGAACATCCAGGCGCCCATGGAGGCGCATTGTTTCCGAGACCACATGGTCAATCTGCTCAGGGTATCGTACATCCACCGCCAGAGCAGTGGCTATACCTCCTGCTTCCCGGATTTCGCGCTCAGCCGTGTTAATCGTCGACTGGGGGAGTTTGGGTTTGGGGGAAGGGTACAGTTGTCGTGGCGTCGGAGGTTGATCTGGCTGCCAGGACGACTGAAAGTCATAAGCTTTTTTGTTCCCAGCTTTTAACTGTGCAGGGGGAAATAATGTATACTGGGATGGCATTTTAGTATGCTACGTACCTGCATACCCATGTTTGACAAGGTCAATAGCGACCTGCCTACCTATTCCGCGAGATGCGCCGATTACGAGTGCAACACGCTGTGCATGGCCCATTGCTATGTAGATGAAGTTGGAGGTAACTACATGTATTAGTCTCGCATTACTTCCAACGTCTTTTCTTCTTTTCTTGCAAGGTTAGTACGAAGGAGCTAAGATTGGAGTCTTGCAGGCATGGCAGTATGAAGAGGAGGCAATGCGTCTTCTAAAGTAGATAGAATGGAGAAGCCGGAGCAACCAGTATATTTCATTCTGGCTCTCATTAAAGAACCATGATCCTTTGCCATATGAACGCTAATTTCCATAAGAGTAATCGGCAGGCCGAGAACCTCGGCTTATCTCGGTGGCGCAAATAATGCAGACGCTGCATACAGAACAAATAGTGCAACGAAGGCAAACATAGTTAACTATCATATGCACAAATTATGTCATCAAATTCTCAGGCGGTACACAAGGCGGTCAGTCTAGTGATCACCAAGCCTCAAACAGTACGCTGTATATCAGAACTGCCTCGAAGCCGGTCTTTCAGCCTCGTTCTGTTTCCAGTCAACATTAGCGTTCCAATATCAGGTCTAATAATAATACATACTCTTCTGCTCAGGAATATCGGTGGTTGGTATCTATTGAGAACCAGACGCAACCTACGCATCGCTCTACACCCACTTGGAACGTCTCCTGTTACCTACGTGACCAAATAGCCCATTGGATACCACGAGGACGTTGCGACCTACCGGTCAAATTAACGCAGATTAGATACTCATTACAAACATACTTGTGGAATTCTATGCCAGTCACCATCTCGGTCGCAGCACTATCCAAGATATAAGGCCCAACGTGCGGGGTGACTTTCGCACGCGAACAGAGTGACGACGGGATGAACGTGTCGGATACAGCCATGGCGCCACAGCAGGGAGCATATGCGGACATGAATGATGCAGAGGGGAATATTTCTGCTCCACCAAAGCCGTTTGTCAAGGTGGATGGTAGGTCTTCTTCGGATGCGTCTCACGAGAACGAGAACTCCTACGATTGCTAACAGTCTTTGTACGCTGTTAGATCCACCTAAATTTGACTTAGAGTCTTACATAGCGAATTACACTGGTATATATGGCATGTCCTGGTGTTTTGGTACATCGCTGATGAATGGATCCTTGCAGGCAGAACCAGATTCAGTAGACTATACCTCATAGGCACTTGCTCGACACACCTTTCCACGGAAGCCCTGAAGCTTGCTGTTGCGGAGGCCAAATCTGGTAAAGACGTCGGTCGCTACGAACGTGCGGTCCGAGCTCTAGCAGAAGTTGTCCCGAATGACAATGAAGCGACTTTGGATACAAAATGGGTGGAGAATATGCGAAAGGTAGTCTCGGCTGAAACTGACCGCTTGGAGCATGAGCTACGGGGATACAAGAATAATCTGATTAAAGAGAGCATAAGGGTACGTTTGACTTTTCAAAGAACGACTGTCAGAACCACCGGCTTATTTCATGAAGATGGGCAATGAAGATCTCGGACTGCATTATCACCAAATTGGACAATTAGCGCCGGCATCCAAAGCCTATTCCCACATGAGGGAATTCTGTACGACTCCGGGACATGTAGCGTCCATGTTGTTCAAGATCATCAACGTTGCAATTGAACGTGGGGATTGGCTAAGCGTCCAATCGAATGTGAATCGGTTGCGCAATTTGCAGTCCAAACCGGAAGAGCAAGCGAGACATCAGCCCAAGATTTCTGCGGCGTTAGGCCTGTCCCAATTACATTCGGAATTATATTTGGAAGCGGCGAACAGCTTCTTGTCTGTCGACCCTAGCTTGGCATATACATACAATGAAGTACTCACACCCAACGACGTGGCCGTATATGGCGGGCTCTGCGCCCTCGCATCGATGGACCGGAGTGAACTTCAGCGTCATGTGCTGGAAAACAACTCGTTCCGCAATTTCCTCGAGTTGGAACCACATATCCGACGCGCTATTTCGTTCTTCTGCAATTCAAAATTCCGCCCCTGTTTGGATATCCTCGACGCCTACCGGGCAGACTACCTTCTCGACCTGCATCTCCAGCGACACTTTGAAGCCCTCTACTCCCAAATCCGCACCAAGTCCATCCAACAATATCTTGTCCCTTTCAGTCTTGTTAGCCTCGATTCTATGGCCAAAATCTTCGCTCCTACTGTGATGGGAGGACAGGCACAGCCGCTAGATTCCCAATCACCCTTGGTGCAGGAGTTGATTGAGCTCATCAGGGATGGCACTTTGGAAATGCGGATCGACCTGGAAAAGGGAGTGCTGGTATCGAATCAAACTGATCTACGCACGGACGTGCAGCAGGCTGCCCTGGATAGCGTGCAGGAGTATATTCGCGAGGCCCATATCCGATTACTCCGAACCAATATTCTACATGCGGGATTGGAAGTGCGGCCGATCCGGGACGACAGGAGGGGTGGACTCGAAGAGCGGCTTGGTAGCAGGGGATTGGCTGCGTTAGAAGGAAAGTTGGGTCGTGGATCCGGCATGTCAGGGTAAGCAACAACGGCTATGAATGAATGGCAATTGAAATTGATGACATCCGGGGGTAATGGAGACCTACTCCACAGTGTGGGTTTGATCTGCTCCAATTTTAAGAAGGGGCTAGACAAACATCGAATACCCAGCCCACAAAAAAAGGTCTGCCTCATACTGGCGGAGACATCTCAATTCCAGTCATAGAAGAATTAATGTTCGGATTTGAATCAAGCATCGAGTCAGTAGCATGTATGTCTAGTTCCTTTTGGTCCGGTTACGATCAAAAGTATGTCATGGAGCAAGACTGATAACGTTCGTTAAAGTAGTCAACGGTACGAACCGGTTTCATCACTTCCTCGGGCTTGCTCCCTCATGGTTCTTTCGTAACTATTTATCTAACTAGCAGGGAAAAGAGTGAATTTGGAATTCGAATTGCTATTCATGGGTCGTTTTGTGTAGAAGATATATACAGCGGTTGGAGTTGAAGGGTGAATTGTTTCCAACGATGAAAGTAGAGACAAGCTTGCAAATCTCTATCAATAAATGCCGCTCAAACTACGGCTAGAATTGACAAGAGAATGAATTAATGAATGCGTATTATACTCCACGATCGCTCTACATACGCTATTATTTGCTAAGACAAGCGTCAACAAACCAACGCCGGTCGATAATCATACCCTTCAAATTAAATTGGAAAATAGACATTAGAACGGAGATAGTAATTAGAAGATGTATCCGTCTGAGAGAAAGGTCGCAAAAGAAAAGTTCAAGACAAGCTCATGCTCAACTTAGATCAGAGTCAGAAAGCCAGCAAGGAAACCACCGACAACAACGAAGAGCCCATAGACTTGGCCGAGATCAATGGCAAATGCCCTGGGCGACATGCCCTTCTGGGAAGTGGTGGTTGCCGTAGCGGTTCCAAAGCCCTGATAGACGACATCGGTGTTGGTGCTGGCGGCGGTGCTCGCTGCTGCAGTCGGGGTCGCAGTGGTGGCATTGATATGCGGCGGATCCTGGGCACCGCAGGGGTGATCTTCACGGCAAGCTGACTGGCACGATGAGACGCCGTTACAGTTATTGACGCATTGGTTGTTTGTTTCTGTGCAGATGAAGTAGGGCAGGGTCTCAGTGTATTCGGAGGCGTTGGGGGTAATGCCGTTGCTGCACACACAACTATACGAAAGAGATTTCTATTTCCGTGTAGGAGATCCCGGTCAGCAGAGGTTCAAAGAATGGGATATTCCACTAGAGGTCGATTGTGTCTCCTTACCGGGTCACATGAGTTGGATTCGGGGGAACCTGAAGCTCCCTTTATATCAAGACAGATGAGCGGGCAGGTGGAGGTTTGGTACTGGCACCAACTCTCTAGGGAAACAACGTCAGATAATCTTCAACTAAACCCATGGAAATGCTGTCAAAGACATGACTGACGCCTAGTTGAAAGAGGAACGCTGTTAGGGTCAATCTGGCCGGCAACGATCCCAGCCAGGGAAGTTAGAGCGAGTAGCGCTTGATACAGCATTGTATTTCGTGATGTTTTGTTGTTTAGGGAAGAGCCACAGGCGAGAGATAAAGTCGATGGTATCTTCTGAATGACCTGTCCTCTCTTCTACTAGGTAGAGAGAGAGCAGCAAGCTAGTTCAGGGGGCAACTAAGCTGTAGCACTATATCAAAGCTAAGAGCCGATCTGCAGATCTCTGGAGAAAGCTCAGAGTATGGATAGCGGAAACGACAGTAAAAGGGTGGCTTCAGGAGATGAAGGGGTTCAGAAATTAGAATAACAATAATAATGAGGAACAGGGGGATTTATTGAGAAGAGACAGCGACCTAATCCCCGAAAAACAGAAACTAACGAGCTCCATCTGTCTGGCCTGCTATCTAGACAGATAGATAAATATACCCTCTATCAACCACTTCATTGAAGCGAAAGTACCCATTCTGCATGCAACTAACCTGTCGTAGCGCGAGAAACAAAAGGCCTGAGCCGAGACATAAACACCAGTTGAGCCATTATCACCGAATAGAAGCTACCCTTACCCCCTATTTTTGGGGTCATCATACAGGGACTCCGTAGTAAGCTCAGCGCCGGGCAACCCCCGTCGATATCGTCTAAACCTCATAGGTTCTCTTTGAAACTTCGTCCCACTTGACTCTTGAAGAATTCAGTCGACTGCATGCAAAGACTGAGACGTGGCTGCGGACAGAGCTGTCGAAAATGCGAGAGGTCTCACATTTCAAGGAAGATTTTGGAAATGTCACCGGCAGAGGCCAATAACAAGCTGATTCCAATATTATTCGAGTAGCGATTGGGCCGTGGTGCTCTTGGCTTCAAATATAGTTTCCGTTAGTGCAACAATCATGTTGTGACCAAGAACCGTTGGGAGTAATAGTTGAGGGAGGCGTTCATTCTCGAATACGACTTGGCATGTGAGGGCCGAATGAGAGTGAAAGTTGTGAAGAACGGATGTTCTCTGCCGTGAAAAAGGAGTTCTAGTCACATCAGGTGATCCTGGTCACTTGCCTGGGCACTCACGACTTGCCCAAATAGGCAAGCACTGGTGTTACCGCGGTAACTAACTTAAACAATACATATGACTAATGTATAAGTCACGAGACCGCCCTTATCGTCTTGGCGTCCCGTGACCGGCAGGCGTCAGCCGCACCGCCATCCATCAGGGGAGAAGACATCAAGGACACTGGATTTCCGTCTCTCGCCTGTTCGGAACGGCTGGGAACTCGCCTGGTTGTTCTCATCGTCTTCTCGAAGACTCTCTCGATCCCCATCTACTTTGCTGTAGTGCAGGACTCCTAATTCTACAGGAAACGTTCCAAGTTTGAACCCGGAAGGTTTCCCTGGCGGTGCGGTCTGTACAAGCCACTACCTTGCTTCTTTGCATATGACATATATTGCATTGCTCCAACTCATGCCTCTATAAATAGTCATCAATACTACTATCAACGCCACCCATCTTATTCGTCGACAGGAAAAGGAAAGAGCGAAGAAAAAAACAAAATATCTGATGGATGGAGCCTGCGACTGAGGAGGCTGCACCCTTGCCGCAAACACTCCCTGCCAATCCAAGCCCGGATGCTGTTGAGGCTGCATCATTATCCACAAGCGGTCCCAGTGCCAGCAAGGGCCACGATGACCATAATGGCACGGTCCACCCTTTACACAAGGAACGTCCTATATCTGGTGTAGTCCCTCCATACTGGAGTCACTATCGCAATGCATCCCGTTCATCTCAAGCGTCCCTCGACCAATCCGGGGCCATCACCTTGGAAGACCATACGGAAGATCCCAATTCAGACACCAGTCGGGGTCTCTGGGCCAAAAGCGTCATCGTTGACGATTATGTGATCGTCCAAGGGAAATCTAGCGTAGGGGCTGGAGCGTATGTGGTGTGGAACTGCAGGATTCAGACTTTAGAAGTGTGTAACTCTGCCTCCCATCCATATATATGCCCTCCTTTGACCGTCATATTCCTAACAATGTCGCAGGGCGGTTCGATGGTCATTCGGATGAGGTATCATACGGGACAAATTAACCCATAAGTTTGGAACCTCATGCTGAATTTTCGCTACATTCAGATATTCCGAATTCGACGACCTGCGGCAACGATTGCTCGCTGCCTTCCCCCATGCGCAAAGTGCGCTGCCCGCTCTCCCACCGAAGAGTGTGCTTTGTATGCAATTCCCAATTGCCATGTATTCTAGCTCTGGCAACATCAGCTAATAGATACACACAGTCAAGTTCCGCCCATCGTTCCTCGAAACTAGACGGATTGGACTGGAATACTTTCTGAAGTTAGTGTTAATATCGCTCCAACGTTAGACGTCGTCTCCGTCTGACACGCCTTCACCAGCTGCGTCTTATTGAACCCTGAGTTCTCTGGATCCCCGATCGTCAAGGATTTTCTCTTCGGCCGGTCGTGCTGATGCCGCCCATGGAATCCCGCCTCAATCTCTGATACTGCCGAGTTGTGACTTCCCAGCCGTCCCTCGGAACCGAATTCATGACCGCTTTATTGCATGGTAAAGGATTTAGTGTTTTTTTTTTTTGGAATAGGGAGATTGCATAGTGAACAATTATTCCAGGATACGCCCACAATCGCCTATATAACGACCATTATTATATATTACAGTACATGTCTTTGTACAACGCTTGATGCTCCAAACTCCTAATCCCTTTCAGCATAATGATGACTGTTCAATTCGCGAGGACACAAGAATGCAAAAAATTTTACTTATGAATGGCATACTCCGAGCTAATTGTCAGGGAACCCGATCAAGAATTTTCGGATGGTTTCTCTTCCTCTGATTGCTGCTTCTGTTGTCCACTGACATTCTTCGCAGAAGATTTCCGATCTGAAAAGATGAGTTTCCAGATGCTGATGTTTGCCATGTGGATCGTAGCCACCATCTCGCGCGGGTTGTACACGCCTGATGGAAAGACCAAGAACAACCCTGATTCCTGTTGTTCGTCGGGTCTGAATTTGTTGTGATACGCCTTCTTGCCTCCGATGGGTAGGCGTGGATAGGCATGGAGGTATATGGCTCGTGTGAGCTTGTCCAGAAGCGGCGGCATTCCCGTGATCTCGCCTAGCTCATCCAGCGGCTCAAAACCCAAACTAAGATATGATACGCCAGCACGGTTGAGAAGTGACATGGCAGCAAAGACCAGCAAGTCGCTAATCCCTTTCGGCGCGCCGGGAGCGGCAATGCAAGGATCGATGTGGTAGCCCTGGTTAGCACCGATTTTCCGCAGAGCCGCAAAACCATTGGGGGTGCCATCGGGTCCACGCGTGTAGATGTAAGTCATGAGGCCCGGGAGAGAAAAAGGATCATAAACGGTGATGAAAGCCTGCGTTGAAGCAGTCCGATTTCTTTCCAGCCGCCACGAGTCGTATATGGCGAAGAGCTGATCCTGCAGCGCAAGGTCTTCCTCCACGGAGGGCACATACAAACCCAAAGTTATGGCACCTTTCGATGGGTTCAAAAGCTGCCTGTTCTGCACAATTATACGCTTCCCACATTTTTCTAGCAGGACCTCATTGGTCAGGGAGTTGAGCACACGTTCCGTACCAAATTGCATGGTCATCCACTTCCGTTCCCGGGCATAGTTCACCAAGTTACTGCTGGCCCCCATGAAAACTATCCCCCAGTGGAAGCGCTTGCGGTACTCCTCGAACTCGGCGAGAACACTGGGGAATAATGTCGGGTCGCACAGAGGATCGCCACCGACGATGGCAACTTTGTTGCGGACCTTGAACGAAAGCGCGGCGGTGCGAGCCTTGTTGACAAAGAAGGTGTAGCTCGGATCAAGAATGCCCATGTGTGATACGCGCCCATATTCCGCGGCCAACCTCTCCACAGCCTCTCGATTGGCAATATCGTTCAGGCTGAAAACGCTAGGATGCTTCTCCAGGTGTGACCGAGACAGTGCCCGAACGGGGCGTTCCAGCCTCGGCTTCAGGGAATCAAGACTCAAATGCGGGGTTGAGAGGGAGGTATTGTGTGCGCCGAGGAACTTGTATGCCAGCGAGGTGTTGGACTCGAGCAGGGTGCGGCTGCTGTGGCTGCTGTTTCTGCGACTGCGGCTACTACTCGTCTTTGGGGAGTTGTCGGATCCACCAGATATTGTTGAGGGAGTGAGGACGCTGTGAAGCTGATCGGTCACCGACAGGCTGGAATCACAACACGGACAGGATGCGGAGGTTTTGGGGCGTGGGTAGAGTTGGGCGACGAGGGCTTCACCGATTTCGTCGACGAGCAGCTGCTTCTTTGCCTGTTTTGCCTGTTTGGGTTGTTTGGGTTGTTTCGATTGTTTCTGTTGTTTATTGCGCTTGGGGCGTTTTGACTTGGATTCTGCTGGTGGTGTCGTCTCTGCTATCTCCGCCGTGGTTGTCGGAAGGGGAGATGGTCGTCGCGTTGGTGGCGGCGGCGGAGGTCGTGATGGAGGTGCTATGAGGACCGGGACTTCGGACCCGGGGCACATTGGGTCCTTGGACCCAACAGCTTCCATTGTAGCGGTCACGATGAAGGTGTGCAACAACGGGTAAGGATTTGTGGTCAAACACCGCAAGTCTATCGAGATGAGGTATGGTCAGGGGTTCCGGCGACTCCCATCATTTGAGAGGCTACCAGACAGATAAGACGGATGGAACAGAGAGGGGAAGAAAGGGGAGAGAGGAGATGAAAGAAAAGAGAAGGGAGTAGCAGGGGCAAAAGGGCCACAGGACGTGGGGAGGCGTCCTACCAGTAACTAGCCAGCATGGGTGCAGGCAGTAATAATAATACACAGGAATGCTTATAATAATATCACTCTATAATAAGCAAGGCAGATCGTGTGTTATATTTGACATTATTATTTCCTTCGTTCTCGCTCCAGTAATTCGGTCGCGCGTCCAGCTATGGCTAGTCTCAGGCAGCACAGTAAGAATCAATCATTCCAACCATCCATTGCTACTAAATATTACAATCAATTTACATTTACCACGCTCGAAACGCCTCGCATGGTCAAGCCTGTCAAATCCCAGACAAGCATTTTCGCTCAGATCACTCTTGGCGTTGCCCCAGATATTTTTTCCTCTGACGGTATCATTGCGTGGTGTACTGCCACTCGCTGGGTTTGCTCCTGCTTGCTCTCCTGTCCTCCCCTCGCATCATCTTCTTCCGACTCGTCTTGACTCTTGACTGACTCTACTAACTCGTTTCTTTTCTCCTTCCTCCTGCCCAGTCGAGGCACATCCTGCGATCGTTGTATGTCTCTCGTGTCCTTCCGCGCCCTCCCGCGTACTACTGTATCCGCTTGTCATCACACTACGGCGATCCTTCTGTAAGCCCAGCCTTGCGACCAGTCGACAATGGAAGGTAAAAATGGCGCACGAACACGCCATTCATTTATTACAGGTCTTTCTATGGGCACAGATCTAGCACGGGACACGCAAGGCAGACAGAATTTTCTTTTCTTTTTTCTCTGGTTGACTTTCTAGCCGAACTCAAAAAAAAAAAAAAAAAAAACAATATACAGCAATCCCCACTCCCCTGCTCGCTCTTGTCGCAGGATATCTCCTGATAGGGCATTGCCAAGCCAGAACGGATTGGGATGTGATCATGGTGGAGAACTGCTTTACATATCCTCCAGACACGATGCTTGTCATTCCATGGATGCCTAGTCCTTCCGACGGGCACCGCGGGCCCCCCGTGGGCCTTCCCTAAGGACCAGAAGGATATATTATGCGAATCCAATGTGGTTGGGTTGACCTGCTGAAGCTAGTTACCGAACCAAAATGATTTCCTTATTGTTTTTTCTGTGTGCGTGTGTGTGGCAGCATCATCGCATGGACCTTCAGACCTGATCTTTCTGCTTTTTGTCAATCGTCGCATGGACCAACTCGATCGGCATCTCTCTGCAGCGCGCGTGTGTACAGCGTGCGAATATCCGTCTCGTCCAACCATTAATAGTAGCTCACACCAGTCGCTCGTTTACATTCTGGTGCGTGGACCAGAATCGTATTTAACCATCGTTGATTCTCCTGAATTAGAACCAGTCATACGACGTAGTCTGAGCTGTGACTGGCCTTTCCGTCCCCAGCGCCCCGTCAAAAATAGTTCCTTTCCACTGTCAGCCGATAATTATTACTGGGCAGGATTCCGATGCTCCTAATAATATAAAGTATCTCTGTAATCTCCCAAGAAGACAGCCAGGGGGAGGCTGCTACACGACGACCGGTTTCAGAACGCGCCCTTCCTGGCCTGTCGTCGCCACTCACCTGGCGCTGCGTTGCCCCCGGTTGGCACTTCGCCCCGTGAAGAGACAAATAAGCTACTTACCAAGCCTTTCTGGCTGGTATTGGGCTTTCTTGGCTTCTGCCCTGTCCCGTAGTCTGTTGGCCCGTGCCGTTGGTTTTGTTTGCTTTATTTGCCTAGTTTGGTTTATTTGCCATATGGTCATGTGACTTACTTCGGTGAACTTTCGGTCGCGTCTGCACCTTCAGTTCTTCCCTCACTCTCCCATCATCCCCATCCTCATCCATTTTCCTACACTACGGCTGTGCTACTTGATCATAGCATCTTGATGACCTCAATACAGACGTCCCCAAAAATCGACCCGAGATCTCCGTTGAAGGCGATTTCTCCGGGTCTCCCGGAGTACACCGCAAAATATCCTGTTCGTATTGCTCCACCGGTTTCTGATAACTATCGTCCTTCTCCACCTACGTATTCAGAAGTCGCCTGAATCAACCCAGACTTTTCCATTATTGTGTCATTACCACGTCCATTGGGAAAGGATTACCAAAGATCTGCGAGTACTGCAGACGATAAGACGAGAGGGCGCTTATTCCAAACACGTGGCGCGCGGTTGAAAATCCATGAATATCTGCTATCTGCCTTGATTTGATTAGGTTTCACATACTGAAAAATATGCATAACTTGCTGCATACCTACAACCGCCAAGGCAGAACTGAGGGTGGCTATGAAAAGCATCGAGGACTCTCAGCATATGGTTTTTCCATAAGGAACATACGCATTTGCGGTGCAGACTCCCTGCGCTATTTTCCTGAACTAAGGTCAAGATATTGAATATAGTAACTATTGGCATCCAGCTCTGCCATGACAAGATACAAAACTAGCAGTTTACCTTGCTGGATACACAGCATATCTCTCCCAGCGTCTACTAATCCTTCCTAGCACGTCTACAGTGCAATATTTCTACTCACGGCACTTCCAGCGTCCGACATGGCTATGCACAAAGTTCTAAGCCGTAGGTATCATCTGGGCGTGAATGAATCACAAGAGGACTAATAAACCCTGAGACGAAGCTTCTCAGCTGATGGGGAATTTGTCATGAAGTTTCTATCTCGTCATCCCGATGCGACTTAAGTGCGCTCTTTATCGAGTAACCAAACAGGCTATGTTACATTCCACTGGCAGTTTTAGCGTCATTTTCGTTCATAGTTTGATAGGGCATCATTCTATTAATGCTGGCGCGCACTCGCAAAATGATTTCTGCAATAGTCATGCTGACCTTCGACTCTTTCGAGCCGCATCTAGAACTGACCAGAGTACACCTAAGTGGATGTGTATAAACATGGGCCGGATATTTACCTAAGAATCTCACAGAAACAGCACGAAAAGTGAAAACTATTCGTTAACTATGTCTAAATTCTGTTATGGGAACATGGTTGTCCTAAACGCAAATTGATATCCTTATACAAGAATGTTTACAACCTTCCTCAGATGCAGATGCACAGAATCTCCGTGTATCCTTCCACCATCATCTGGACATGGTAAACCCCGCATCACCGTCCTACCAGCAGCAGCCAGACGGATAATTTTCAATCAGCTAAGCTGCGGAATATCAAACTCCCTCTCACAAGCTGCTGCATCTATCCACATGGGGTACCAATTTTTCTGGCCTGCAAGGGAATCATTCCTCTGAACAAGGGAGAGCCGTTCAGTGAAAGAAGTTGTTCTATACTCTGCACTCTATTAGCCATTTGTTTTAATTTAAGATATTTAAAAGGATGATATAGATAATATATCATGAGGTTGCGATATTTCCGAGTCGATCACCGTCTCTTTTTCAACAAATAGTAGTAAGGTAAGCCCCAAAAGTTCTACCAAGTAATTTATTTCTCAAGATCCATTGAAAATGTAGGTAGATGTATTTCCTTCCGTTCTTGTATGACAGTAGCTGCGGAATGTGTTGAGATTAAATTCCTTGGTTATTGACATAGTGGCTGGTTGTTGCTTTATTATATATCAAGATGACCGAACCGATACCAGCAACAACAGCAATCACAATAAACTCAAAATTAACCAGAGGACAATGTCACGTAGGTTTATGTAGTATTATAGTAGTAGACCAGTAGGTAATAAGCCAATAACAATAACAATAAATACAACCCTAAGACAGACAGAAGCAGGCCCAATTGTAATAACCCCCATTGTTCATAAAAAATATACCTTCATCCAACCCATATGATACACTAGGATATTTGCAATGTGCAATTTCCGACTTCCTCTCAGTCCAAGGAAGTCTCCCTAAACTCAAGCTTTATTCTCACCAGTCTCAACTACCGTGACATGAGCGCCATTCTGCTCTTCCTCTCTGACTCGTCGCATGTTCGCCGTGTACCGCTTACCGGCGATAACCCACCAGATCATGGCGATGACCAGGAATCCGCCGACGCAGACACAAGTGTAGTTCATGTTTTGTGCTGGAAGTTTTGTCAATTTATATTGGGCTGCATATGCTCGGGGAAGGAGGGGGGATATAACTCACGTGTTACAGGCATGTAGTAAGGGAAGGAGAAGAAGACGATAGCAAAGATTAGCCAGGCGACGGCGATGATGTTGACAACCATGCCGGTGATATCGCCCATGTAGAATTGGCCGCGGTGCATGGTTCTGCGACCGAGGAGGACGTTGGTGAGGATTGGGACGAGGTAAGCGACGTTGTTGATTGTCCTGTTTTTTCTTATCAGTCAGGCTGTTATATCAAGAGGCAGATTCCTGTCAATAGGGAAGAAAGACAACGTACACTGCAGAGCTCATCATGGCGTTGAAAGCAGTGCTGGATCCAAGATAGATCAGGCCAAGAAGGGCAACAATTGTGGATACGCAGAGCTGTGCGTTAAGCGGAGACTCCAGTCGAGTGTTCACCTTGGCCCAACTACGCGGTCTGTTAGCGACGAAAAGCACGATAGGAAGTAGTGGGACAGGAAATTGCATTACAGTTTGGATAATGGGAGGCCTTCATCTCTCGAGAAAGCCCAGAACACTCTTCCCGTGCTCAGCTGAGATCCAATCATGCATGGGAAAAGGGCAATCCAGAGAATGAATATGAGAGCAAAGGCTCCGCCGGTGCTTTGCGTAGCCTGACGGAAGATTTCTGCCAGCGGGAGACCGGTAGAAGTGTTTGCCAGCGTTGAGTAGTCCTGGACGGAGAACATAAGGCTGAGCAGGTATGTGAACCCAGTAACGAAGGCAATAATAAGTGTGCAGCCTGTTTTTTTTAAAAAAAAATCTGTTAGGAATATATCATCCATAATGTGCCGAAACTGAGAAGATCAATCCTACCTAGGGCAATCGGCGCGTTTTTCCCCGGCTAGTTCATAAAAGATCAGAGGGGAAGATGTGATAAAAATTGATTGACCAGTCTCAACTTACGTTAGGAATTTCCTCCGTGACATGCTGAAAAAGCTTGATTAACATTAGGCCATTTGTAACGGGCAGACTTGGACCTTACCGTAACCCCATCCAAGCCACTGACGGCGTATAGCGAGTTGACCAAGCCAGTGATGAAACAAATAACATTGTTATCCCAACCAGTCTGGTTCATCCACGTCCTGAAAACGAACTTGCTATCCTGATGCTTTGGGGCACATGCAGCAACAGTAACCATGATCACAAACCAACCCAGCTGCAGATAGACCACTGAAGTGTTGGGGTCGGTCAGTCCATCGTATTCATGAATTACTACTCATCGGATGGCACAGTGATCTCACAGGAAAACTTATTGATAAGGGGAATAAAGCGGTTTCCAAACATGACGACAGAGGCGGTTATCAGATTGAGCACTTCGTAGGCGACGAAGGTCATCCAGGGCTGAAGCACGATGTGCGTCTTGTACAGGCAAATCAAGGCCATGAAGTTCGAGGCGTAAAGAAGGTTGGTCGATGCGGTGGTAAAGATCCCTGGTTTCATTAGGGGGGAGTGCTGAGGAGGTGATTGTCGCACTTACAGCCGACCACCGTGCTCCATCCCGTGGCAAAACTCAAGAAGGCATTGTAGCGTTTGGGAGCGATTGCTGCAATCCAGTGGTACATTCCTCCATTGGTCGGGTATGCAGAGACGAATTCTGCCAGCGACGCGCCAAGGAAACACTGGAGGATGAAGATGAGGATGAAGCCGTAGATGACTGCCGTTGTCAGTATCAGCTTCGAGGGTACATCCAAGGCAGGAAGGAAGGCCCCTTACGAGCGCCAGGGCCACCGGCATTAATGGCAGTGATAAGACCGAGTCCCAGACCTGAAAAGCAACAAGACACAATCAGAATTAAACAGTCATTCCGGAGGATAATGTCTCTTGCTGTTGTCGAGTCTCACCCGTCCACGAAATAGTGCAGTTGGCAGCGACGCCGATGAGACTCCATATGGAAAAGTGACGTTTCAACTCTTGTTTATGACCTGTCCAAGAGAGAAGTCAGTCTATATCCTAGCTGCTAATATATAAACGATTCACACGCACCCATCTGCGCCAGACGCAGCTCATCCGCGCTCTGAGCCTGGATGGCCTCCTTGCCATTGCTATTGACAGGGGTGATGATGTCTGAAGAAGTTCCCATTGTGCCTGTATGCGTCCCAGAGAGAAGAAACAACAAGAACCGATGACATGGCGAAAAATAGAGCCGGCGTTGTTGATCATAAGTAGTGAGTTATAACCCCGTACGGCGTGCCTTCTTGCCTCCGCGGGCTCTTATCAGAGCGCAGGGTTCTCCGATCCGGCCATCTTGCAGAATCGCCGGTCCACCGGCCAGTATCTCCGGAGGAGAAGCTGCGTAAAGCCACGAATGGCGATGTGCTTGGTCGCTGGGACCCATGGAACGGACAGAGACCGTCGCATTTCTTTATCGGCGGCGTTGTCTGACCGGTGCTTGGCGTGCAGAATATCGGGGTAACTCCATGATACGTTCGGGTGGTATCGTCGCATTAAGCTCCATCGCTAACAGCAATTTGTAACAGCAAGATTCTAGGGCTTATATAATATTGAATGTTCTGAATGCACTCTATTCCCAGTTCAATTTCTAATTAACGTGACATGAATATGTATTATAAAGTATGATCACATGGCGAGACGCTTCATCTGGTGAACCGTCGGCGAGTCATGGTCCAGGTGCATAACCCAGTCCTGGAGATAAGGAGTTGAATGGCGTTATTACATAGTCGATAGAGTTGGAAGACACACCGTATGAAGTATATGACGGAAAAAATATTTATGTGCAGTCGGGACTCCCCTCGGCTCCCTTCATCCAGTATCACTCGCGCAGCGAAGAACCCGGCAAGTCGCACCCCATTTTAAATTCGTTTTATACAATCTGTTCACTGCTCTCAACAACAATAATATGCGTGCATATACCCGCAGTATTCGACGAGGAGAGTCCGATGATAACGGGAAGTCGTCCGTCACCAGACAGGGGCGAAGAACTTAGTTACCGTATCCTATCCGAGCGGAGGGACATTAGATCTTTAGAACGACACGAAGTCAGTGGCTTTTGACTCCCCCCTTGACTGTACCTGGAGTATCGAGTCGGGTGGCAGACCCACCAAGCAGGCCCTCTCCAAATTCACGATAGGCTCTATCTCGAGCCATTGATTTATCTTCACGAATTGTAAGGCAGTTGATCCCCAAGAAGGTTGTGATCCGGTTGATCACCAGAAAAGCCCAATGCATGTATACAACAAAGGCGAAGAGGAGATACGCCCTCAAATACCATAATTCCAGCCAGGCGCTGACTTTGGTGAGACCGAGAAGTGGTAGGTTCCCGAGCACAGCGCCCCCGATTAGTGGTGTGAGGAGTACAGTCCAGCCAGGGAACGGCTGCCTGGTCAGATGGGCAAGGATGATCTTGGTAGTCATCCGACCAAAGACAAAAGAGATAGTCCAGCAATATAGCACCAGGTGATTTTGAACCAGCAGTGTTGAGTATGGAGAAAGGAGCCAGGCAAGGTTACATCCCGTGAACACAAGCATGGGCATCCATTCCTTGAACAAGGGGGTGATTGGGAGGTTCTGCCGTCTCCGAGCAACAATAACGTTATAGATCGTGGCCGGCAAATGTCCCACGAAGAAGGATGCGACAAGGAACGGAACCCACAGATCCCGTACTGAGTATGTCCCGAATATTTGCGGGTAGTTCAACAGATTCGTGATCGGCTGCCCCCATATTTGGGGGCCATAAATGCCGGATGCAATCATGAACGCGATGGCGATGAGGAGACCCTCAGTGGGGCCATTCACATAGCCTAGGTAAAGAGTATGCGTGTGATACGTTTCCCAGGTTGAGGCGTACATGGCCAAGCATGGAATCAGAGCAGTATACGCTCCGAGTTTCGTCGAACCCAAGCCCATTGCTGCCGTCTCGAGCAGACTCGCAAGAGTGCAGTTCAGAGAGTCGATCCCATGGCTACCCGACGTCAGTCAACGGCTATTACCAATTTCATTCATCTTCTTTTCTTTGTGTATAGTTGTCTGGGGAATGGGCACAAACTCAAAAAGCTCTCCCAAGGGACTAGAAGTACCCGTCCTCCTAGCCTGTTTACCGTCAACGTTGTCCAGTGTCGAGTACCTTCAAATGAAAAGAAGACAATCAGTCATGTTTCCAATATATACACAAGCTAATAATGCGAGGTCCCACTGTGTAACTTACATCCATAGACCAAAGGCAAAGCTGTAATATAGCCAGGATGGACCCTAATTCGAGACGACCGTCAGAGTTGAAAGTGGAATAAAAAAAGGCTTAGATAAACTAACCGGTCCTATGAGATCTGGAATGAAAAGCTCAATGAAAAACACATTGACCACAATGAAGATAAACCCCAACAGCGTGACCATGTTCGGCGCCAACCACATAGGTAGAAGTTCGACGAATGCATTCCACTTAAAGGGAGTATCCTGATCAGCCGCAAGACACGCGGGGGGATTTTGGACCGTTCAGATAAAGACATACGTAATGCTTCAAAATATACCGTGAGATGAACGACTTGTCCACACTCTGGTATTTGTAGTCTTTCAGGGGTTTCAAAATATCGTCCGAAAGCGAATCTTGGGTCGCTGTATAATGCGCAAGAACGGGTCAGCCTCTGTATTTCAAGAGCAAGAAATTTTGGGAATATCCTTCTCACAGACCTTGGACCTTGCGAAAGATCCTACTCATCGCGACTGCAGTTCAGTTGCCTAGACTATAAGATCCGATTTGGACGTAGGCTCCCGCGGGCCAGGGAGGAACAGAAAGTGAACTCGACACAAGAAGGCAGCCGAGCGCTCGCAATGCCGAGTGACGCTAGCTATTTTATCGATTCAACACAGCGAGGGAAGAATGGAGAAGCGCAAGAAGAAAGGGAAAAGAAATGGGCAGGAGGTCCCTCGGTGTCACTCGAAGAATCTCCACGTGACATGGGCCCGCATTTGCGAACTCCGCAAAACGACGCGACATGAGCGGACAGTGAAGTGAATGCGCCCATTCCTCAACCATCCGTCAGTCCTCCATCTACTCATGAGCTTCCTAAGGCGGGATTGCATCTCCAGCTGACATTTCTCTTTATCTGACTTGTTTGCGCACGCTGTGTTCCTTTCGTACTCCTTTGTTGAGCTTCTCAAGAGCCTTCCTACCACCATTCAAAAGCCCGATCCTTCGCATCACAATCGGCTCACCTTTACGGCACTTGATGCCTTCGATTCTCTGCATGCACTGATTTGAGAATCGTCTATCTTGCCCAGCGAGCTTGGACATGACGGTGGATGGTCCGCGCAGCGCTCTCGGCGCAGTCTACGACTGAATATCTCCATCGATGCCGGGCGTTGTCGAAACACCGGGCGGGCCTACGCCCTCAGGCCCAGGATATTCGGTTGCGCATCAGAAGGTCGAGCTGGAGATTGATTTTGCGACTAAGAGCCTGAAAGGGAAAACGGAGATAACCATTCATCCTCATCACAGAGATCTCAGGGCCATTTGCTTGAATTTTCGGCAAGGAGATATTAAACGATTGACTGTGAGCGGGAAACCTTCGACACTAAAACATAAGGACCCATATGAGTCGCTGCAGCTTTATGGACCCCAATACCATCAGCGGCTATTCTCCAAGATCGACAGTGCCACGAAGTATCCACCGGAACCTGACCTCCTTGTTGCGATACCGAAAGGCGTCCGAATCGATGAACTTGACCCGTTTTCGATAGAAATGCAGAGTCAAATGACATTGCGTGCTACGGGTTCTGCTGAGGAGGCTGACGGGTCGTTCAGTGCTAGACTTGTGGAGTCGGCCCTGCCGCGGTTCACAGCGATAACAGTGGGCATCGAATTCACAATCGACCATATACGGGATGGATTGCAATTTGTTGGGATCGAGAATGGCGATTTGCGTTATCCACATGCCTACACGACAAACTCTCCGGGATACAGCGCCGGATGCCCTCTGTTTCCCTGCATTGACGATCCTTCTTCGCGGTGTACTTGGGAATTCTCAATCAGATGCCCATGCACTCTGGGTGACATGTTTGATCGCAAGTCTTGGGATTCGTCGAAGCCGAACTCCACAAGAGGACATTACATATCTTCTGACGATGAGACATTAGACGTATCGGTGGTTTGCTCAGGAGAAATGACGGACGAAATCGTCGATCCGCACGACAATACGAGGAAAACAGTGTCATTTGCATGCACGTCGCCCCTCTCAGCGCAGCAGCTTGGGTTTGCTGTGGGCCCCTTTGAATGTGTTAACCTATCGGAATTTCGGGAAAGTGATCAGGACGAACAGTTGGGCCAAAATGCTATTCCCATACATGGCTTTTGTCTGCCTGGAAGAGCGGATGAAGTGAGAAACACTTGCTTTCCGATGGCAAGGGCAATTGATTTCTTATCCCTGACCTACGGCTCGTATCCATTCGCGAGTTACAAGATTTGCTTCGTAGATGATATCCCAGAAGATATCGTCCCGTCCGCCTGGCTGTCGATCTGCAGCAACCACCTACTTTTCCCCGAAGAAATAATTGACTTGATGTACGACTCAACACGAGCCCTGGTCCATGCTTTGGCTTGCCAATGGATTGGGGTCAATATTATTCCCAAGGAGCCTACGGACACTTGGGTCACCGTAGGTGTTTCGTGGTATATCACAGATACGTTCATGAGGAAGCTTTGCGGAAACAATGAATATCGATTTCGCCTCAAACAGATGTCAGATAGGGTTTGTGAACTTGATTATGAACGGCCTTCGATACATGATATGGGGAACATTTTGAAACTGGATCCCTCCGAAATCGACTTCATTGCCCTCAAGGCTCCTTTGGTCCTGTTCATTCTTGACCGGCGACTTACGAAGGCTAGTGGAAAAGCAACGATGTCTCGCATTGTTTCACGGCTTTTCTTGAATGCGCGAACGGGCGACTTGCTTAACGGAGCTGTTACCAGTTCTCTGTTCCAGAAGACGTGTGAGCGTCTTGGGCACGCAAAACTCGATTCCTTCTTCCAGCAATGGGTGTATGGAGCTGGATGTCCCCGCTTTCAAGCTACGCAGAGGTTCAACAAAAAGAAGCTGGTTGTTGAAATGATGATCAGGCAGGTTCAATCTGAACAGCATAGCAACCGTGATCTAGAACAGAATTCATTCATGCGTGATGTGAAGGAGGAAATTCGAGGAATCTATGCTGGTACTGTTCAGCCGGTCTTTACGGGGTCGATGACCATTCGAATCCACGAAGCCGATGGAACGCCTTACGAACACATTGTGGAAATCAAAGAAGGCGTGACGAAGTTTGACATACCATATAATACAAAATATAAGCGGTTGAAGCGGAATAAAAGGCAGAAAGAACGTGCGGCTGCTACTGTGGGAGCTGATCCGAACACAGAAACCCAGGAGGACGTTCTCCTCTACTGTCTTGGAGATGTTTTACAGACAGAGGAAGAGTTACATGAGTGGAGACTTGCGGACTGGAGCAAGGAGGATGAGGACCGCATGGGGCAGGAGTCCTATGAGTGGATTCGCATGGATGCTGACTTCGAGTGGATCTGCAAGCTTTCTCTGGTGATGCCCGGATATATGTATCTCTCCCAGCTGCAACAAGATCGGGATGTTGTGGCTCAGTATGAAGTCAGTCGACTGTTATGCCTTACTACTCCTTTGTCTTCCGAGGTATACTGACAAGCTCCTAGTCCATTCAGTATATGGCAGCTCAGCGAGAACATCCATTAATATCGACGATATTCGTTCGAACTTTAATGGACCGCAGATACTTTTACGGAATCCGTGCGGCTGCTGCGCAGGCGCTGGTCAAGCATGCTAAAGAAGAAATCGATTGGCTAGGGCTGTTTCATCTCGAAAAGGCCTTCCAAGCTCTCTTTTGTCTACCGGGTTCACCGATGACCCGTTCAAATGACTTTTCTGATCGAGCTGCTTACATTCTTCAGAAAGTCATACCGGAGTCTATCTCGAAAGTGCGCGACAACAATGGGAAGACTCCAATGAGAGTAAAACGGTTTCTCTACGACAAGTTAAAATTCAATGATAACTCCAACAATGAGGTAAACATCTGTAAAGCATCAACTCTAAGAAATTCCATTCTGACGTTTCCACAGTACTCGGACAACTTCTACGTGGCTAGTCTGATGGAGTCACTTTGCAATACTCTGCTTGGAAAGGTCGAGACCAGGACGGAGGATATCAGTGATTTTGACATGCAGCGGGTCCTTGATGCCCAGGCAGAGGAAGATCTAGAGAAAGACTCCATAGCCGAGATTGACAGGTATCGGAGAATGGATGAATGGTCAAGTTCCTTCCAGAACGTCTACACGCGAGCTGCCCTGCGATGTCAAATGCGACTGATGCAGGCGAATATTTTGGATCTTGACCCGATGCAATTCCTTTCGTATACCCGGGCTGGAACCTATGACCTCCTACGAGCGGATGCTTTCGAGTGTCTTGTCGAACTTGGCATATTCAATAACCCAGAAATTTTGAAGTGGCTCATCTATTCCATGTCAAGTGATAACTCTCAATGGTTTAGACGACGGCTACACACTATGTTCGGTAGAGCTCTCGCTTCCATAGCCTTCTTCGGCACAGGTCGCAAAGAAGAGCCATCCGCCCAAATAGATGGCCTTGTCATCGAGCAGGAAGGGTCAACTGAGGTACGCCAGGCAGATCTCGCACGAAGGAAGACCATTACAGGAGCGTTAGAGGCGCTCAAGAGAGAAGTGTCGGGAAATGTCGCCTTGAAGGATTCTCTATGGGCTGCGTCCAATTCTCCGTCCATTGGGGTGCTTGAGCTCTCTAATTTCGTTGATCTATGCAAAGTTCTATATGACCCCGTCAGTTCCTGTGTGATTGCATTGAAGTATCCACGGTACTGGAGGGTGCAGCATCTTGGCAAGGTAAGTATATGCAGGTTATGTTCAAAACACGCATGCTGCCGATTGTGTATTTGCTCATATTCTCTAGGGACGAATGCGTTTCTTCAAATCGAACCGTATTCGAACAAAATTTGTCAAAGACCACACTTCAACCCCAGCAAAACGCAAGAGAGACGAACAGGGAACGCCGCTGCCAGGCCCTAAGATCACTTTCAAGCAATCCAAGCATGCCGTGGGCACTCCCTCCGGGCGACCCATCACCAAGCTACGTATCACCAATCTTCCTCCTCCGCCTCCAGCTCCTCCAGCTACTCCAACCCCAGCAACAACTCCTGGTGGTGGGCTGAAGCTGAAGCTGAAGCTTGGACAAACCCCAAGGTAATTTGATATCTGAGCAATATATCCTCCTTTTTATGTTTTCTGTACCTATACACTTTTCTTTTCCGGCTGCAAGTTTTGCAACAAGGGAGTGGATTCAGGCTAGGGTTCAGGTGCATGCATGGTTTCTCACTGGCTCCTTCTTCCTCTTCTGGGCAATTTTCCTGTTGCTTTCGCATGGCGTTTCTATTTCTTCAAATCTGTGGGGGTGGCGGTACCGCACTTTATGCTACTGTGGATGATGAATCATGTTCGCCCATCAATCATCGGCCTGTCGCTGAGGCAGAAGGCAACTAATTAGCTTCTATTTGTTCTTACACTACGATAAAACACATTTCGGGAACAACCCCCGCATGTTGCAAAGAGGGCACAGGAAGTTATTCTGGTTTGTTTTCATGCTTTTTTTTCATCATTAAAAGACGTACAAGCAATAAGAAAGTATGGATTGTATCCGTCGAGCCATTAACTCCCTAATAGACCAAAGATAGTTGAACCTCTCCGGGTAGAATAGTAAAGGGGTCTTAATTCCGTTCCCTTATCTCGTTAAAACACTCCGCGTTCTCTTCGAAGTACCGTTCGTTCATTTATCGCTTATCCGCTCCAGAGCCTGTGAAGAACGCGCATTTCAGCCATTTGATCTTTGTTTGGTTGTTTTCTCTCCGAAAACTGGTATGTAAAAGAGCAAAATAATAAGGGGAATTTGCGAACCTCGAGCATGACGACCGAATTGCCTCGAATAACCTATGCAAGAGGAAAAAAACGTCAGCTTCGTGACGGAACAAATAGCTCCTGCAATGCACCGGTTGATCGTTGCTTACCACCATGCCTATTGCGACTTTTTCACCACCCGGCTTCTCCTCGAAGGCCTCGTCTAGGACAATGTTCATGAAGACCTATAACGAATGGAAGATGTCAGAATTGTTTCCCTCTGGGCGTATCGTAACATTGATCTGAAATAGTCGCACGCGGAAATAGCGATACGTAACACGCGGCGGACAATATAACAAGGCTGGAAAGGATCGCAATGAAGAGAACTCCCAATCCTCTTCTTAAAACGTACATCGTAGCCTCGTAATACTCCAATAACTTTGCGGTTGCCGTTCAGTTGGCAGAATATACGCTTTTCCATATACTGGAACAGAAGTTAGCCTGCGCATTCTGAAAGGGAGACATCAAATGCCTCCCCCAGAAAGTCTCGGAGTTAGTTACCTTCTTTAATTCTGGCTGCGCTTGAGGCATCTTGGCGACTGTGTTCTTGGAATGCGATGTCTCCGCTGCGTTCGAGGAGCTTTTGCTGAGACGTTGCGGGCGGGAATAATAGCTGTGCCGGAGAAAGTGTTGTTCCGCAAAAGCCCCCGAGCGATGCGTGACGAAGTTTTGAACAAAGAAGCTCAGTCAAAACGTTTTCGCTGCTCGCCTGTCTTTTGTGGCTATTTTTGCGGCTGGTTGCATTTACAGAACCATGAGCTCTCCTTTTGCAAATAGAAGAAAACCCCGCAAGATCATACAGGATGAAGATGAAGGTGAAGATGATCGGAGCGCGGAGCAATGTCTGTATCCCCACCACAAGAGTTAAGTTGGTGACAGGAAAGTGGCAAAGGCTAACTGATTCTTAGACTCCGAGCCGGTTGTCAAGAGACCTGTTAGGCCGAAGCAGAAGTCAAAATTGCGCCTTTCCTTCGGGCCTGGTGAGACGTCGATGACGGATGATGTACAGGAAGAAGGTGAAACTATGACGCCGAAACGCTACGGTCTAGGCAGACGGGCTCTGGAGAAAAGCGCACTTCAAAGATCTTCTGAGCATATTACTCTCAGGGTTGGACAGGACCAAGGTAGACCTACTTACAGCGAGGACTACCTAAAAGAACTCCGAGATTCTACCCCTTCAACTCCAAAGACTACAACGCCGGACGAAGAAAACGACAAGGTTATAGATGTGGCCGCTAAATTTGGAGAGCTCGCAACGATATCCGCGCCATCTACTATCCCAAGTGAGACCGAGATTAGGGAGAAGAAGGCTAGGAGAGCACGGCTAGCCATGCAACATCAACAAGATTACATTTCCCTTGACGACACAGCCAATGACGACTACTTGGGACTTGAGACAGGAGAAAAGTCCGTAGACACGAGACTTGTTAGGGATGATGAAGACTTTGCAGAAGGCTTTGATGAATATGTAGAGGATGGCCGGATTTCGCTGGGGAGGAAAGCAGAACGCGAACAGAAGCGGAGACAACGGGAAGAGATGCGAGACCTCATCAATGACGCTGAGGCTCTCTCCGAGGAGGATTCAGACCTCGAAGAGAAAGCTGCTTATGAGGCTGCTCAGACGCGTGCTGCAATGGGCAATGGTGGAACGAGCAAATCTGGTCGATCGAAAACTCCACCGAGAGTGACCTCACTTCCGCGCCTTTCTAATTGCCTGGACCGTTTACGCACTACTCTAATCACCATGCAGAATTCCAGGTCCGCGATGGTTGGCAGGATGGAAGAATTAAGGAAGGAAAAGGCTGATATCGCAGTTCGAGAAGTAGAAATACAAGCCTTGATCAAGGAAGCTGGGGAAAAGTACGAAAAGCTGAAAAGAGAAGCTGGCGTTACTCCTGGATCTGATGCGGAAAGCTCGTCAACAGGCGATATTCAACGTTCTCGGGGACTGGAAAACATCGGTGCCTCTATGGTGACGTCTCGGGCTTCCACCGATTCTGACGATGGGACATAAACAGGAGCGCTTTTTTGTCCTCGCGCAATGCGGTTTCCCTGATTACTGCCAACTGGGCCTGGGGTTTGTGCCTTCCTGTTTACTCCTGGTCTCGTCTACGGCGACACACTCGTGCGGATTCGAATGGACTCATCCAGAATTCACTTCTGGTTCTCTCAATGCTCTACTCGGCTCAAGTTTATGATACCCAGGGAATTGACTATCTAGTATACTCCCATCAGAGGACTTTTCTAATATGGTCTGGCCGCGGTTTTTCTCAATTTTTGTTCAACCTTCACGTAGGAATGTATCTGCCGACGGACATGCACAGTGAGTGGAACCATTTTGGCTTCTCCATACGAAGTGTATGAACTCAAATGAATGTTTTGAAAGCCAGCGTGATGTCCTTCCTTGGATCGAAACCCCGATCGATGAAAGAGATGGAGATCCTCCACACCTATACCGGCATTCCGACGCGACGCCAATAGAGCTATTCTTCGACCTCTTTTTTGTCGCGAACTTATCGACTTTCACCGCTACGCATGAAATAAACAATTTAGAAGGTGCGCATATTGGCCGATGTTACCGATTATCTGGGCCGGGGTCTAACATACTGGCCAGCATTGGGCTCCTACATCAGTTTTCTGGGAGTTATATGGTTCACCTGGCTTCAAGTAACTCTATTCGATATTCGATTTGCCCGAGACTCGGTATTTGAACGGGTCTGCAAAGCCGTTCAATTAGCTGTTATGGTCGGATTTGCCTCCGCTGGAAGTCGAATCAGCACACGCGTCCGTGATGAGAACGTCTGGGCGTTTCAGTCGCTGAGCGTCTTTCTTGGTGTTAGCAGGATTCTATTGGGGATCCAGTATACTGTCAATATTGGACTTACTCATAAGAAGATGAGATCTTCTATGAAGGGGCTGTTTACCATAGCAGGAACGCTCTTGCTCCTGGGTATCATTCATCTCAGTGTACGTGTCTTTGCATTATATAATATATGCTACAGGTGTGTCGGAATCTGATACTCCTTGCCAGATGTACTTTGTGTTCCGGCTGGAGAACCGGACACACTTACACATATGGACTGCATGGTTCGTTCTATTTGGGTTCGAGACGTGGATAGTCATGGCTGTGTCTTGTGTAACTCCGGGGATAGGATTCGAAGAGACCCACCTGAACGTGCGGATGGGCCTTCTCACCCTGATCATCATCGGGGAAGGTGTCATATCAGTTACGCGGATCGTTAACAAAACTGTTGGACCCGGTGGCTGGACTAAGTGGTCGTTTGTCCATATTCTAGGCGTCACCACCAATGTGGTATGCATTCCCGTTATCGGACCATTATGAGCTCGCTGAGTCTTACGAAAATAGTACCTTGTGTGGCAAGCATACTACGATGTTTCTCCAAGAGGAATACTTGGCAAATTGCGCCAGCAGCTATGGGCCCAGTTGCATTTCTCGTTTCATGTGGTGCTTATTCTTCTTCTTGAGGGATCGCAGATACTCGCATTAACGTTGGATGTCACGTTGAAGCTGACGTACCTAGCGGAGACGATTCTGTTCGTATGCGAAGAACCACGGCCGCGTCCCGCGGATGGTATCCGACTTCTGGAAAGTACCATTGACGATATGGAGATCGACTATAAACGTGGAGGCATAGATGAAAAGCGCGCTATCTCTCAGATCCTAGATGATTTGTCAAGCGGGCCGTTATGTCCTGTCGACGAGACGAGTCCCTACACTCTAGACAGTGACCGAGCTGATAGTCTTATGGGAAACGTAACTGCTGCCTTATTTCAGAGTATGGGAATAGCACCCTCAGAGAGAAGGGATATCGGTCAATTGAGCAATGATCAGCTTTTGAGGCTATATATGAAAATGATGGAATTTGTTTACGTTTACTATTTCATCGTGGCGGCGCTCGCGATGTTCCATTTTGCTGCTTTCATGCTGCTAGCGCGGCGCCATAAGAGGAGGCTGTACATGAGCATAGGGGTTGGTGTCCGCGTGGCTCTCGCGATTTTTTCAGCCAGTTTGATTTCATTTACGGATCACTTCGCCCTTGCATCTTCTTTTATGACATCCCCGACGATCCTCTACGCGTTTACATTTATATTACTTCCAGGTATAGTTTCTTTTCGTCCCGTTGTATTCACACTTGTCTAATTGGACCATAGGTCTTTTAGTGGACCGGGTATTGGATCAGCTTGGACTTTGGAGAGAGGCAGGATTTGGTCAGGATCAGAAAAGCGAGACAGAACTAAAGCCTCTAGCTGGAGTACAACCTGCGGATGCCGAGTCGTCCGGCGGCATTGATACCGGAGATGATTTCCAGGCTTGACGATGCAGGAAGAACGACGGTGTACGGTGGCGCTAGCTGGAGCTCAGTGGCGATATATGATTGGACTTGTGTCTGAAATTGGGGTTAGGATTGATTTTCTATGCGTACCCACTGGCTGGCGGCTCTGAGCTGGATTTACATTTGGCGTGGATCCTTCGTATATGAGCCGCAGATTGCTTCGAAGAGTAATTGGGAAGGCGATATATGCGCGACGATAGTGGACGCGGGTTTATTTTGATTCCTGTAGACTCATCGGGGAAATAATTGGGACCAGCATGATCCTTTTCGCTTCCCGTGTTGCTGTTATTGTCTTGGATGGATCAGAACGAGAAACGTAAGTGAAGGGGAACATCGAAGGGGCCTAGATGCCTCGTAGATTCGACGCCGGTATCCCCGGCTGGCCCACATGGAGTCTATGTTTATTTTTAATGATTTCGGCGTATACGATGTACAACCTTCGGGCTATTCTTCTGATCAAGCCGGTGCAGACGGGCGGGAAGACGGGAGGGGCGGCTCATATCCGACAGTCAGACATATGGCGGGTCTAGGCAGCGGCAGAGAAGTAGATAGATATGATTTTCGGCCGTTTTCCAAAAAGTACGGAGTACATGAGAAGCGGTGAGACTGAGATTCTGCACGACGGCCGATTTGGCAGTAATGGAGAAAACGATGCATATCCCCTTCGGGCCAGGTACATATGCAGGAGGTTGTACACGTAGGTGGTGTAATATGTGTCTTATTCATGAATTGCTCTCCGACTTCAATTAAGATACTGTACATCGGACACAGCAAATCGCCAATCCCAAGCAAAGTCTACGACTTACATTGAAATAAGAATAGATGCGATGCAGTATGCAGCAGCTGGAAGAGTTTAAAAACGGCCATCGAAAAAAAGAAAATAAAACCCCGTCCAAACTGGCGGATCCCAGGTCAATGGACCCCCTGTCCGCTGGATCCAGTAATATTACCGCCTTGGACCCACTCTACACGATTCTATTTGCGGGGACGCGAATCAAACAGCGCTATTTTAGACGCGAAACGATTAGCGCGGCCAACTTAAGTTGGAAACTGAGGCTCGGTTTTCGTTCTAGTATTGAAGCCTTATGGCAAACGTCCTGCAGAGCTGTGTCATACCTGTCAATGCTGTAGCTACTGGCAACAATTGTACTGTCAGATCGATCTACATAATGACATATGGCTTACAGAGACGGGCTTCAGCCACCCATCCACCCAGTCACCGTACCCGCCCATCTTTTTCGACCCTATCTCTGTTCGCTTTCTCAGACATGTAGGACATCCCATCTTTGTATACGTCTAGATTTGGTTACCGTAGCTGTCCGATTTCAGCTGTATCTCACATATGTACGTATATGCAAGATGTAACTTTTGCCTTTTCTTCTGGGCGCCTATTCTTCCTTTGTTTCTTTCTCTATTGCATGCATAGAAAGTACTGACTAATTGAAGACTGCACAATCAAGCTGATCTACCTTGCATCGAGTGCGATTCTGGGGAAAGAAGGGGAGAAGAGAATGAGATCCACGATGCTCAGCTTCTCAACTGGGCAAGCACCTGTATGCTATTGGTGCAATGACTAATGATGTACATGGATTATATTTAGCCATTCTGATATGGAGCCGCGTTTAGAGGACATCCAAAAAGTGTCTGTATAGATAGAGCCTCCTCCGATCTTTCTTTGTTCTGTGACAGCTGTCCACGTAACCAGAGCTTATATTTGATTTACTTTAATTACTTCGTGCATGTTGTTGTTTTGTCTAGTAGACATAGAGTAGATACAACGAACTCATGGAACAGTGTGCAATAATACTTACTGCGACACATTCGTAGACAGAAGGCGTACTTAGCAATCCGCCGGCTCTAACTATACAGCCCCTACTACATATATCTCTACAATGCTATAAACAGATAAATGTCCTAACCGAGGAGGGACTTTTTCATACCGTAAACCGTTGCCGAGGGCTAAAAATCAAAACAAGAAAAAACAAAAGTACCGGCGCCACAGGATGCATCCCCGTGTCCATTTCCGTTGGCTACAGGCTACTTGGCGCATATACAAAATGATAGACGTTACACAGGTTGCAGCCACAGGAAATAAACGAGCTTGCAGAAGCAAGCGGTAAATCAGGGTCGTCAGACAGCAGGGACAAGAACCCCGGCGTCTGTTTCCACGCAGTAGGGACTAGGACTAACATGCATGGATCAGGTTCCCGGGATAAAGGGACTCGCTCGCTAGGGGTTTCAGAATGGATCAGATCATCAGTTAGACACTAACATCATTGGCTTTCTCCAATCTCAGACGGTAAGTCTGCTAATAGTCGGTATGTAGGTATCCGGCATATGTATGTAAAACAATTTTAACTGATATGCCCACAGAAAGGAAGGGGGCGAGATTTCTGAAACAATAATGCCATCATCAAACGTCAGTTTGGTCAGATTCCTCTTCCCATGAGTATGAGAGATCTTCTAGATTCCCGATTCTAGTTTCTTGATCTGCTATTTCATAGGTCCTGGGTAAAGATCTTCCCCGGGAGACCTAAGTACCACGCATGAATGTGGATACGACCAGCTAGATAACAAGAACACGTATGATAGAACTACAGAATATAACGATAGAACAGGTGAAGTGGCTAATTCTAGTTAGATTTAGATTGCAAATATTATTTATAGGTTTTTTTTTTCTTTTTTTTTTTTTTTTTGGTTTATTGCCGCCGACATGCGCGCATGGGATGGTTAATGGAGAACCCCGAGCTTCAAACGAGCATGGCAGACGGAACGTGTCGAATTTTCCTTTCGAATTCTGTGTATATTTTCCTATTCGATGATACGGACAGACGGTGTGTTGGCTTGAACGCCACGCGCATCAACCTTACGTGGAAAACGGCATAGAATATCGCCTTTTTTCTATTCTTCATTTATTCCATATGCCCCATATGCCCCATTTTTGTCATTATGTCTCCATACGACAGTGGATGTCCCTATTCTACTCACCAATCACAGTACCAGTTGCAGAAATAACAGAGTTCGTGGATGGTGGTCCCTTTCCCCGGTTCAACGGGCTTTCGTTAGTCTCGTCCGGAGTGCAGGGTTGACTCGGGGATCTGAGCGAAGATCCTATTCAAAAAAGAAGGTTAGCTGGTTCGGTCCTGCTAGTCTAGCCGGCTAGCCGACTAGCTGACAGGATGGCTTTCGCGCTCCAGGGATCTTGGTTCATGGGTGGCAAGGGAGAATGAGAGCAGCATTGAAACAAAATAATGATTCGAGTTGATGTATGCTGTATCTAAACCAGCGAATTTGGAAGACCCAAACTTTATTCAAGGGCATTCAGGAAAGGGCCAGGCCTCCAGTTGCTGGATGGGAATGGTATATAGAGCTGGAGCTGGAGCTGGGAGATGCCGTTGGACATTGCTAACCATTCTCTCTCGCCGTACTCCCCAGCTTCCTTTGTTTTCTGCTTTTGGCTTCTCTCCTTTGCTATCCTCGTTCATCATCATTTTTTATCTTTTCACTGCCGAAACTAGTCATCGTCAGTCATATCTAAATGTGTAATAACTAATCGGGAAGAACATCCGTCCGCATCATTGTCTCAATCCTTCAACCACATCGACCAGTCAGAGAAAGAGCTAGACATATCAGAACTGTTCCTTTTTACCTTTCTCCTTCCAACGGCAGCTTCTCTCAGACATTTGTCTCGGTTGTTCACTTACCTGGGGCTGGAATAGACAGGACACGGACCTCTCTTTTCCTCTCTGTATGCAATATCGTTGCATTCTCACGGGAAGAACTCAAGTAAGTGAAGCATGAGAAGAACAAGATACAGATGAAACAGAGACAGAGAACTGATTCAATGGATTGTCTTGCTTTAGGTCTCAGGTCACAGAGATCTTTCAGCATATCTGAAACATAACCCTAAGAGCAGCAATAGTTCATCAAAGCCAGGTAAATCATAATTGGAACCTCACCAAATGGAGCATAGGATCAGTCGGGATCATTCTAACATCTCCATCATGGCATGCAGGTTCCCCAATAAGGTCTTATCCTTCTTTGACAAAAGCTGCATCCGCAGTGCAGTATCAACCACACACCCACACATACATCACCACTGTCAACAGCAGTGGTGAAGTCAGATCTTCGGCCTATTCTTCAGAATAGACACGCTGGATCAGAGTCAGCTTGAAATCAGCAGGATCACTTGCCTCTGTCCCCCACATCTCACCCTCCTTAAAACCATGTTTTGTAACCTCATCGACTCAGGCATTCCCAAGACGTGTCTATCCTTCGGGAAGAATATCCATTCCATTCCATCCAACCCTCGCGGTGACGGTCCTCGGACAGATTCAGCTGTATCAGTCCCCGTCTCCATTCCACACGTGTCATATCCATACCTGCACCCTTACGCGGATACAGATCTAGAGGCTAACGACGCGTACGGTAACCACGAAGGATACTGGGTGAGACCGTTTACGTGTGAGTGCCAGTGCCTGCTGAACGCGAAGCTAAATCTGAATCCCATTGCGCGAAGCATCGCATCGCCGCTGTCTTTGTCGTCTTCATTGTCATCCACGGACTCATTGTCCGAGTCACTGTCCACATCATCAACATTTCAGGAGCCGAAGCAGGAACAGATGCCGACACAGATTCAGAACCAGAACTGCCTGGATTGGTCCCATGCAGCTATCTCTGTCGACCCTCGCCATCATCAGAGCATGCAGAGGATGATATTGCCGCTGTCTTCCGGGCTTTATGACCCGTCCTTGACAGGACATGTCCACGGTGGTCATCTTTATCAACACCATGGTCTTCCCATTGAGCCGGGGAAAAGAAACCAAAGCCCTAGCCTTGGCGCTCCTAACGCCGAACAAACGGAAACAGCCATAACATCCCCCTTCGACGAGAAGGATACGAAGTTCGAAGCCTTCGCCTCGCCGTACGACTTGGAATTGGTGCATCATCATCATCATCATCATCATCATCATTCCAGACCCTCCAGCTTCTACCTTTCCACCACTGATACGGACGACGCTGTGTCTCTTTGTATTAAGACGGAGAATGAATTCAGCAGGTCTTCGTTCTGCGAGTCCAATTCTCCCGGTAGCAGTCTCGGCACTTGGCCGTCTGCATCTGCATGCGGGTTTAACAGCGAGTCGTTCTTCACGGCCGGCAGCGGAAGCAGCCCTGGAAGTCCTTCATCATCTTCTTTACTTCCTCCACTGACACACGACACCGGCGTGGCGGTGGGTGCGAGTATTAATGTCCAACAAGAGCGTCAGGGTTGTCTGTTAAGTCATGAGGACGCGAATATGAATGTAAACCTGAAAGCTTGCAGTTCAGCCAGCTTACCTTCCTGGCCTCTTTCGGAATCGACCTCGACATGCCCAAACACAGATGGCCAGTGGAACCTGCTGCTGCCTCCTCGAGACGGTCCAGCCAACGACATGAACTGGGTTAGCACATCTTTTCTCTCTGCAGGATGGCACGAACTCGATCCCAATGCCAATCCCAGCATCCCCTTGGTCCATCCAACCCACCTCATCAGCAACCCCATGGGTACTAGCAACGTCAACAGTCGTCCTTTTCTATCCCAGTCACCTCTCCCCTTGAGCACTCTCGCTCAGGATCCAGGCATGGACACAGACAGAGACAGCATCTCCATTTGCTTGAAAGCTGAGCAATTCACCCCAGACATAGATACCCCCATGAGCAAGGACGACATGGACATGGAACCCTACCTCCTTCATCCAAGCAACAGCTCAACCAAGGAAAAGATGGTAGCAGTCAACACGGCGACGGAAAACAATCACAAGAGAAGAGAATCGAAATCGCCCAGTCCGACGCAAGACCAATACCAAGACCATACAGCCGCAAAAACAAATACAGATATAAATACCCTCCAGCTCCAATTCCTCCGCCAAAAACTCTCCAGCACGACGAAACCAGACCTAAACAGACACAGTCCGAAAAACATCTTCCTGATCGAAGGCAAGCGGCGCGGTCTCTCATACAAGGATATCAAGCGACTAGGAGGGTTCAAGGAGGCCGAGTCGACGCTTCGTGGGCGGTTTAGGACGTTGACTAAATCGAAGGAGCAGAGGGTTAGGAGGCCCCAATGGCAGAATACAGATGTGAGTTTCTATCCTATCCCATCCATTCATATTCGAAAGGGAGTAAGCATACCGGATACTAATAGACTCATCCCAGATCCGTCTCCTCTGCGAAGCTGTTAATCTGTACTCCGCTTCAGAAGCATGCAGACACAGACACGCCATTTCTACCGGCTCTGAGTCTGATTCTTGCTCTTGTTCTTCCTTGCACTCATCCATGAATACCCATCACCAGAATGAAAAAGACACTGTGCCCAAGGTCTCCTGGAAGCAAGTGGGTGAGTATATCTGGCGCAACGGCGGTTCGTACCATTTCGGGAACGCAACGTGTAAGAAGAAGTGGTGTCAGATTCACGGGGTGGAAATATGAAATTAGCGTTATTCTGGTTAGTTTATCTCTACTTTGATTGAAATTGAAAGTCGAATATTTGTTTCTGGTGACGTATGAGGTATGGGTTTGGATTTGACTTGTCTGATCTGGTTATTTTTTTCGTCTCTTTCTTTTTTATTCGCTTAAAGAAGGATCTCGATTGGGATGGAGAGATCATGGCAAGGAAAGGATAGAAAAAGTTCCCAAATGCAGAACAAAAAGGACGGTTTGCTGCTTGCTGTTTTTTGTTCTCATTTTTGCCTTGCTTTGTCTTGTCATATGTGGAATTCTTGGAGTTTCGCTCGATTGTTCATCTGGGGGAAAAAGGAATCATGTAAAATAGTTCTATCAAAGTTTGTCATTATTCTTTCTCCCAGATCATGTATTTTAATAATAAAAAAGAGACCCATCAGCATCCTACCTATCTCATCAGCTCAAGCTTACAACGATGACCACTGCCGCGGATACCCAACCGTCACCAAAACATCCGTCAGAACCTGGGGGTCTTCCCTCAACAAGTCCCACTCCGACTCAGCCTTAACCATAAGCGTACCCGCAAGAACTGTCCCATTAACACTGACAACACCTGTCTCCGCACCCTGTCCCTCGACCTCACGAGCAACGGGGATAACAGCGCGATCACTCTTCCGCGGACAGATCAGCATTGTCGACACAGTCATGGCGAGATTGTATCCGATCGCAATGGGACCCTCCGTCGCGATAGTCGTGGTATCATAATTTTCCTCCTGATCGGTAGACGACGAGACGCTCTTGGTAACCGCCACCGCCGCTTTATATAGAGATAAGTAGATGGAATGTAACGTCTCCGCGGACGGGTTAGGAGGGAGTGGCAGCGCGAAATGTGCAAATGGTATATGAGGGATGTATTTGAAATCCGTCTTTGAAGGTGTAGACGTCGTTGTCATTGTCGACGAAGACGAACACGGCACACCATCAATAAGAGGCTCCCAAAACCCTGAAACATCTCCACCAACCCTCATATCCTCAACCGGCAAAAACTGCAAATGCCGATGGGGCTGACTCGCACCACTTTCCTTCCCGGAGTTGTAGAACGAGAAGAGCCGTTTCTTCGGTCGTGACTGCGACTGTGACTGATCATTCCCATCCTCCCACGCCTTCAAACAGGCATATGCCGCGCTCAAATCCTCCTTCTCCAGAAGATGATCCTGCGACCGCCATTCCTTCGTGGCGAGTATGAAATGGTTCCTGATCACGGGGTACTTGTTCAGAACGAGTGTATGCGTGGGGTTTGACGCGGGGATCTGAGCAATCAGGAGCTCCTCGGATGGGTTCGTGAATGGATCCGGTTTGGATGGCTTTTGTTTTTCTTGCTCTTGCTCTTGGTCTTTTCCGTCTATATCGGATATCTCTGCCGCTGTTCCTGGTTCTGTCGATGTCGATGACGATGCGGGGATAGGTTTCTTTGCGAGGGAGGGACAGTAGCGGAGTTGGTACTAGAAAAAAGGATATCCATCAATCAGCAAGCATGCCCGATATAGAAAAATTATAATTATATGAATCAAGCACGGTTTGATTTACCGGTATCCCCGACGCCTGGATAATGGCTAGTTGAGTCGACGAGAAGATGAGATGGCCCGCTTCTTTGGCGGCAGTGAAGCGTCTGGAGACTAGAGAAGAGAGATTCTCAGAGAGACCCAGTTGCATTTTGGGCGTTAAATTGGAATTGAATATTATATTTTATGGTATTGTATGTTGCAACTGAAACAGGGGGAAGATGTTGAGAGGTCAATTCACACATATGGAGTCGGAAATGCCGATAAGCTTGCGGGAGTCGCCCATCAACCAAAAAGACTATTTATGGGTAATTAAAGAGAAAAAAAAAAAAGACCATACAGATTCCAATCTCCATCTATCAATATATACAAAAGACCTCTCAAGCTGTAATTATAGTACACGGAATGCGGCAGCTCAATCAACGAACATCCACACATACATACTGTACAAGCTGTCTCTGCTCCCTCTCAAAGCTATCAACCAGAGACACCACGATTATACAATATAAGACGGGCAAATGCGAAAACGAAAATAAACAACAAATACTGAAAACACAGCAGGGAAAATACCAGTGCTCGCAAGAGGTATCACAACTCATACGCACGCACACAACGCAAAGCAATATAAAATGCAGCCAATGAAAAGTGATACCAGGACAAACAGTATATATAGCAAGGCTCCCATCTAATCCAAAAAAAAAAAAAAAAAAAAAAAACGAAAACCAGGAAACTTTTAGACCATAAACTCGTCCAAATTGACCTCGTCGTCCGCGTGCCGTTGGAAGTCCGACAATGGCACGGCAGAACGGCCGATGAGGCATGAGGGTTGGTTATCAATCCAGGGACCGCGCTCCTCATCAGAGGCACTGAGAACTCCATCAACGCGCTTCATGGTTTCCAGGTCCAAGTCCGTGATGTAGGCTTCGCGGTTCGTGCCGTCACCAGCGCCGCCCGGTAGCTTCAGTCGAACTTCGAATTGGCTGTCCAGCATCATCTCATCTTTCCACAGACGGCGACGGCCATCGAAGACGCAGAGAATGCGCTTCTTGGTCTTCATGCTGGAGCTGGGGCATCCCCACGATTGGGGATATAGGCGACGGTTACGTCGTCTCTTGGAGGCAGTTGAACACGCCTTGCCCACGGCGTTTCTGCCAGCGGCATGGGATGCAGAGTTAACACCGCTGCTCTTAGTCGACTTGATAGATCCACGACCAGAGGACCAGTTCGGAGTCGAGGATAGTTCATTAGAGTCATCATCATCATAATCATCGTTATCATCGTCAAAATGGTCCACGGTACCAGCCGTGTCAAGCAGCCTGTGCTTCTCCATTGTCTTCTTCACTTCTTCATCAGAGGCCACTTCCGCCAGACGCTGTTGATTGATGGCCTCGCTAGGCTCTTCCTGCTGCACCACACGCAGGACGCAGTCGTCCAGGTGCTCGTAGAAGTCCTGCGCATTGCAAAATGTGGCAGAGCACGTCGAGCACTTGCCCGTGGCATCACTGCAGTAGTCTGAGATCTTCTTGTTGGACGATGCCGTCGGCATCTTCTTGCGCGAGTTGGGCGGTGTCTGCTCGACACCGTGTACAGAGGTAAGGTGGCGTTTGAAAACGTCGGCTCGGTTGAAGCTCTTCTCGGCGGGCGACCCGGGGCCTGGGCAGAAGCCACACACCATGGTCCCCTTGTAGTGAGTCAAGGTGTGCCTGTTCTTGTCGTATTTGCGGGCGAAGCCCTTGACGTGGTATTCGCACGTCACAATGGGGCACTTCTCCGGTCGCTCGGACTGGTGCGTGAGCATGTGGGCCTTGAGGTCCTTGAAGGCTCGGCCGCAGTCTGGATGGGGGCAGCGGCCCTTCTCCTTGCCCTCCTTGCCCTCCTCGCCCTCCTCATCGGTCTCGGCCGCGCTATGCTGAGATCGGCGGGAATGGGTTGACGAAACAGAAGACCTCCGGCCGGAGATCGATACAGGACGCGAGTGGGGTTCGGACGACATCGCGACCGGACTCCGGTGCGGCTGCAATGGTTTCTCGGCTGGAAGGTATTCTCCAGCTGAAACGGGGGATGCGGATGGTGAGATGGGAGGGAAGCCGGGTTGCATTAGAGGATAAGTAGGCTGTTCCGGATATTGGAAACTCATCGGGGAGGCGTATGGCTGGCGTTGCATGGGGATTACGGAAGGATCTGCTGGAGTGTTAGCAGGAAGCTGGAGCGCAACACGCTGGCCGGAGAACGCACTGATAAAGATATCGGGAATCTTTTCATGGTAGAAAGCTGGGTCGGATTCCATAGCGTTGCCCATGTACTCATTGGGAAACAGGTCACCCATGACGGCAGCCGGCAGCCCGACCCCATGGGTCGTGTCCACCCAGTGCTCGTGCAAGGCTGGTGCGGTTCCCGAATATGGGGACCCGATGGTGGACGAGGTCGCACTTGGAATCGAAGGTGCCGAAGCAGTGGACACAGCGGATAGATATACGTCTGGAGGATGGGGGGTAGCGGTTGGGGAAGTGGCCGGCATGGAGGAAAAACCGGCAGAATGGGCTGCATCGGACGTGGATTCTGCATAAAGGGAGGACGTGTCCAAGTAGGACTGGGATAGCCTGAAGGCCTCTTGGTCCTGGGTGTAGGCGCCGAGGTGGTCGATGTGGAAGGCCATCGGGTCGATCAGGGTCGGATCCATGGTGAAGGGCTGCAGATAGGCAGCCTGGTGCTGGCGGGATGATTCCAGGGCCAGCATCTCGAAGGTGATGACAGAAATCGACAGGAAATAGATGGTCTGGATGGAGGCCGTTCAGCGTCAATATAAGCAAGCCACAAGCACGATTCACCCAGCACTGCCACGAATACACCGCCATCTCGGGGAGTTCCACATACCACACACGTAAAGAAATAAAGTTCACAGCACGGATAACGGGCCGCTGAAGTGGCAAAACAGAGGATCGTTGGTTCGAGGAAACCAGATCTATGGAATGAGAGGGAATAAGGTAGGATTGACGGAGATTCGATGGTTGGTACTGTAGTTGTTCTTCCCGATGGAAAATTTGGGGGCGGAGGGGGGGGATTTCAACAAGAGTCCGCGAGGCCCCGGTAGTGGAAATCAAGGGACCAGTGTCACGCCCCAACCACCAGCATCAAGGACTGTCACGAGGAGAAGAGGGAAGGGGGTATGATACGGGGGAAACAGAGGGTAATAATAAGAATGGCAGGAGAGCGTCCAGCGAAAAAAGAAAACAATGGACACCGAAGGTTGGCGGTCCAGGCAATAAACCCACCGGCGAGTCCAATTGACTGGTAAACCCGGCAGAGAAGGATCAAAAGGAGATCGCGGGACGCATAGGCTCGATCGATCACCCGGTATTGTCGTCGGGATGTCGAGAATCAAGCCACCGCAGTGTCTTTATAGCACGAAAGCAAGGTGGCTGAAAGAAACCGGAAGCGTGTGCAGGGGGTGCGGAGGAAACAGGGAGCAAGGCAGATATACTCCGTATAGCAATTGGGATGATGCTGCAGACAAAAAAGACAGAGAAGACAAGAATCCGGGGTGGGCGAAACGCACTGTTAAATGTCAAGGAATTTGACAATTGACTCTGGCCCCAGCGAAGAATAAATAACCTGTCTCCATAATGATAACCATCACAATTATGACCGGGGTGAGTTAAAAAAGAAAAATAATAATAATAATAATAATAATAATAATAGTAAATAAATATTAAATAAAAAGAGAGAAAAAAAAAAAAAAGAAAAGAAAAAGAAAAAAAAGAAAAAAGCAAGCCAGAATTATGAATAGCAGTCGTCACTCATACCCGGTAGGGAAGTGGATTCGAGGTGGGCAGTGCGCCGGTTGTAACCTGCAGCAGGGATGGTGGTTATGTCCGTATCTCCGGAAGCTCGAGATACACATTTAGGTCGCGCAACTGTAAATTATAATCAAATAGAAAATAAAAGCAAAGTCAAATAAATGAATGGACAAAAATACAAGCAAATCAGGTGCACTGGCATCGCAGTCGTTCCTCCAATGACTTCCCTTGCAGTAGGGAACTGCAATCGATGGTTCCTGCATCGCTCCATTGGGATCAAATGCTGACGTACGTGTACGCACATTATTATTGTGATGGAGTCCTTCGACACCTAGCTCGGCATTGAGGACTAATGGTGTCATTAGTAATACTCCGTAGGGAAGACCAAGATATCGGCAAGTGAAATGAAAAAAGAAAAAAAAAATATTATTGTTATTCAGTACTATTGCGTTTTGTCGGGACATGCAGTACAGGGTAGTGTGCATATAACGTGGCCTGTGAAGAAAGAGAGGAATTGCCGTGTTGGGATTAGAGAAATGAGGGCGACGATTTGATCCATTTCTCCCGTTACATTATTATGATATGATTATTATTATTATTCCCACAAGCCCGCGGGTGTCAATCCCTGTGGAAACTCTTGTAACTGTTTTCTGTGGATGGTGTGTGTATTAACCTTAGTTGGCATTCTGTCGATGACAGACAGAATAAGCGTGACATTTGTATAATCAGATCGACTCCGATAGCAGTGGTGACGAGGCGGGCGAGATGGGCAAGGAATCGCCCTGACTGGTAGACGAGGCAATCCGTCACTGTGGTTCGTATAAGCCGGGTGACTCTCGATGCAGCCATGTTGCAGACAACAGTTCACCAGAACCCCGGGCAAGCATGACTGGACAACAGGAAATGATCGAACACGCCGATCGGATGCACATCGACCCAATCAGCGCTGGGAAACAGCCACGCTCTGACAATTGTCCAAGGGGCTGCTGGGAATGCGCATCCGGTGGTTCCTAGTCTGGTAAGGTTGGCTTGTGGATTAGCGCATCGCCTACGGTTCGAGATGTCCCGGTAGGTAGCCCATCTGGCTGTCACCGTATCATTCATGAACACCACCACAGCCTTGTTGGGAAATAGAGTTGGCTGTCGCGAACGAATGCAGTGGGCTCTGGATGCATGCAGGAGAATCAGATGCATGTCCGGATTGCTCGTCCCTCGGGACGTACACAACTGATGTATAGGTACCAAACATCCTGACTTCCGCATTGGGAAGCCACCCCACCTCGCAGTGGGGCAAGCCACACATACCACACAGCCACAGATCTGTACAATGAGAGACGTACCGGGTAGACTTCGGGAATTTGTCAGCAGCGGGCCCTGTCTGTGGCTAGCCGCTACGTGGCTCAAGTGCGGCGCAGCAGTCCCTTTATCCTTTTTTGGACGGTCGATGATGCCATTTTCCACTTCCAGTGACGTCCCCTGCATAGTACATGCATACACGATGAGATCAGAGGCTTCCCGATCCAGAGCTTTTGGGGCTTTTCCTCGATCGAATGGACGCAGGCGAGTACGAGCACGGAAATAACTAACTCCTGTCATGTAAATGAAAGAAAACGGTACGAGGCGAAACCGTTTCAAAACGCCCGGCCAGACCATTGTTTTAATATTTAGGGGGTAATCCGTCTACTAAGGACTTGGGGGCCGGATTTAGGCCTGCAGATCGTACGGAAAATGGGCAGTGACTAAGGAATTATTAACCCTTACTACGTACAGGGCTGAGATTGAGTTGATGGGTATCTCGGTTGTCCAGTATGATGTCTAATGATGTCTAATGACTATGACAGTACTGACTCCTGAACTCCTGAATATACGGTTACGGTGGAGTCGAGAACTTTGGAACATTCTGCTTACGGGTATGCACGGTGATGCGGTTATCATACGATCGGGGGCATATGGTCCCTACAGTAATCTAATCCTACGGCGTACATGAGATCCGATGGACGAGACCAGCCCTACGCCTCGTGGAGACTGGGCGTGGACACGTATCCTGGCATACATGGTATATATATACTCTCCTAGGTACTATTTCATATTACAGTAATACTACGTACGGGGATATGACGCTAGTCGCTAGGGCTGACTTGGCTGGAATGGATCAGGGACCATTTCCAAGAAATGGGCTATGATCCATCAGTTTCAGCGTCCGCTAGTTCGTTCCTGGGGAAAACTCGGAAAATAAAAGACTATATTAGACTAATTAGGTTGTGCTCCGCCACAACGTTAGTGATACTTAATCTATGTAAATAATGCCTCATGTGTCCAATATTCCAGTGCGCCAGGACGATCAATGCAATACAACCCGTGACTTTATTCTACGTAAAATATCTACGGTGGCCTCATAACCTCCTAGGAAGCCTACAGCCCATGATTGGCGTGAGGTAAAATGAAGGCAGAAAAATTCGCACGTCAGCTGCCCTGTCACCCAACTCCAGTGGGCATTAAACAAAATAGCGAACCGATTTCATCCGACCGTTTCAAACCGGAATAGACACTTTCTACGGAATACACAATTAGAGTAGTCCTCGGCCTCGGGATCGTTTTAAGTCATTTGCAGCCCTATGTCTTTGTCCGTTGTAGTTGAAGGAGTATTCTGTCCAGCCTGACGGTACCTAGCTTGAACACAACACGGCATGACTCGCATCTGCAGGTATTTGCAGTGATGGCTTGTAGTGTACCAGCAGGATGGAACAGTTTCCGCATGGAGTATACATTGGACACTGTACACATATAAGCTTGGCTTTTGGACCCTAGTGTTCTCATTCTCTACATGGTACGGAGTATCTTTTATTTTCATTGGTTTATTTATGCCAAAGAGATCGGTAAGCGACCCGTCTGAATCAACACGGACTAAACAGAATTATTCCCATATGTACTACATGATTCATCCCTACATAATACGTACATAAAACCCATCACTCGCTTACCAACCACCCATTGTCCCCGGATCCCTTTGATCTTTGATCCTTTCCTAGTAAGTCAACTATTACAGCGTCCATCTCACCCCAGATCCCGAGAACAGAACACGCAAGGACCAGATATGTACCCACTACCTAACTACCAATGGTATCGACAAAGAACAGGGCAGGATGACAACTGTTATCGACAACAGCGAATAAAACCAGAAGATCCTTGCGAACAATCCTTAGGATCCTTCAGTCGTGGATAAGTGTTGCTCCGCTGTGTGCTGTATCTACGGTCTGTGCGGATCTATGCCGGAACAGTACCACGGGTACTACGTACGTGGACCGTGGATCATAATGCGATGATCCATGGGTCATACGAGTTACTGCTTACACTGTATCTGGGTATAACATAGTATAGCATGGATATCGTGCATGGATATCGTATCTGCATCATAGTAAGAAAGATAGAAATAACCGATTCCGCTGCTTACTAATTATCTTGATCGAATAACAATCCCGTGTCTCTATCTCTATCCTCGGTAAGTTGTAACCGTATATAGAGTGTAGTGTACATTGTCATGAAAACTGTAAAGATAACATGATAATAAGGGTTACAATGCAAGCACCACCTACCAAGGCAGTGGCACAGACAGAATAAGCCACACGGAGTAATAAACCCAATAAACTCCGTGCGGGGAGGGTCCGGTCTCGTCGCTAAATACTACCCAACCAGGTAGTCTGCACTGCACATCACATCACCTCCATTGCATGTGTCATGTAGTAGTGCATGGGTTACAGGCTTCAGGTAGTGTAGTACTATGTATGCTGTTTAGTCCGGCTAGTTTCAATGGAAACGAAACTCTGTTGAGCATTTTCCCTTTGCAGAAGGTAGCCCCGAGAATGATTTGGAATTCTTGCGTTGTATCACATTAGAATTATTACATTTTATTATATTTTGTCAAATGTTTGTTTTATAGAGATCTCCTTTCTTTTCTTTTTCTCGGCTAAATGTTAATCGAGATCTACATCTGTCGTTATTGCTTCCTGCTACGTGGTGTTTACTCGTCTTCTCCCTATTCCGTACTCCGTATAGCATATCCTAACCCATTAGATTACAACTAGATACCCATACATCCTACAAATCAAAAACAGCACTCTGGTTATAATAAAGATCGCACGCATGCGCATGCTGCAAACAATACTTCGGCACCAACGGCGCCGCCTGCACCCCATTCGCAACCAGATACTCCCTGAAATTGAGAATCCGCTGCGTCATCTCCGTTGTGCGTTTCCGGCCGCTCGCATTCCGATTCCCAGACCAGACCAGTTCGGCCAAGGCCGCGGCCCGCGGCCATATCTTGCCCGAGACGACGACGTCGTCGACCTGTTCCGACCACAAGGGCGCCGCGGCGCCTAGGATGTGTCGCGCCTGTGTCTCCGTCAGGTTGAGGGTGAAGTCGTAGTCGTAGATGCGTTGCCAGGTCTTGTACGGGGCGCACCAGGAGCCGCCGTTGCCCTGGTAGTTGAAGTTGGGGGTGCTGGTGTTGGCGTCGGGGTTTGTCATTACGTTGTAGCGAGGGTCATTGGTGACGAAGCCGCCGTAGCCACAATCGAGGTACATGAAGTCTGATGAGGAGACGATGATGTCGTAGCCGTTCGCGGTGAGGTTCTGGATGTTGGCCAGGCCGTTGTTCCACGTCTGGAGGACGATGTCCTTGGGAACGTTGGGCGCGCTAACCTCCGACAGGAAGATGTCTTCCCACATGATCAAACGCCGGTTGGGGCTGATGGACTTGAAGATGGGCACCGCGTGGTCGACCCAGTACTGCACCAGGTCGTCCCAGGTCCGGGACGGATCCTCTGCGAGCCAGCTCGTGATGCGCTGACTGAAGTTGTAGCAGCCGGTTTGAAGCTCGTCGCCGCCCACGTGAAACCAGTTGTCAGAGAAGAGGCCCGATAGCTCCGTGTAGACGTTGCGCACAACCTCGTACGTGCCGTTGTAGATGATGTCCAGCTGGCCTGGCACTGGCTCGACGGCCGTATGGTACTCGTAGACGTCGTTGGACCACCATGAATCCGCACACGCCACCATCTGCGGATCAACCTGTTTCCACCCTGCGGCCGAATGACCCGGCATGTCCACCTCGGGAACAACACGGATACCGCGTCCGCGCGCATACGCGACGACCTTCTGGATATCGGTGTGGGTGAAGGTCTCGCGCGGCGAATACGCATCCTTGGTCATCTGCGGATACGAGGACATGTGTACAGGCCAGGACTGCGAGTCGTCCAGATGCCAATGGAGGACATTCAGCTTGGACAAGGCCATGCCGTCCAATTGCTCGAGGATCTTCGAGAGCGAGATGAAGTTGCGGCCCGTGTCGACCATGATGCCGCGGTAAGGATACAGGGGAGCATCCTGGATGCTGACAGGTTGTTCGATCTGAAGACCGCCGTGGCCGTCGGAGATGACGATCTGCTGGAGGGTGGTGAAGGCGTGGAGAACGCCCCAGACGGTCTTTGCCGTTACTCTGATGGTGTTGGAGGTCCGCGGCACGTCGATGGTGTACGACTCATCCACGCCATGCTGCAGATCGGCATAGTAGTCGTCGATGTGGAGAGAGAGAACACTTAAAGGAGAGGACGAAGACGCGACATCGCGTTTCTGCGCAGCGGCTGTGGGGAAAGGAGCGTAAGACGAGATAGGCGCCTCCACGGCAGCAGGCACCCATTGCAGCGAAACGATGGAACTCCAGGCGCGATCCCAGGCATCCGCGACGATGAAGCTGTTGGGAGACGTGGTCTGGGAGTCGGAGCGCAGGATCAAATAGTTGGCAAGGCTTCTGGGACCGGAGATTCCCCAGGAAATGTTGCGGGGAGCCGGCAGCGGATTGACCTTCACGGCTGCAACAGTCGAAGCCACTGCCAGCAGCAGCAGCAGCAGCCGGTCGAGAAGATGCATTTCAAGGGACAATGGCAAGAAAGCCTTGATCAGGGGGGGTGTAAGAATAGCGGTGCAGGAGAGAACATTGTGCCAGAAGTAAATTAGATAAATAGGATCGATGCTTTGTTCTGCAGTCAGACAAAGAGCTTCAGCCAAGAGAAAGCAGTACTTACTCCTTACTACTGTGGTATCCCAAAATTATTGCTTGGATGTTTCAGTTGCAGCAGGGATGCAACCTGCCGATAGAATGGTGACAGCAATGGCACTGGCTATCTGTGTGAGCATCTGCAGCCCCGTGTGTATTGTGAATGGCAGTGATGTTGAGGATCCGAGAACTTGCAGCGTTCGAGCTGCAGTTCAACTGGATACTACAGCAGCCAGCAGAAGGTGATATTGTCTCTCCTGGATAGACAATTGATTAATTTCTCCAATAGAGACAGAGCCTAATATCGACGGTCTGATAGAGCGCTTTTAATAGCATCGGAGCGAGATGACAACTCTGTATGCAAGCACACCACTATATATATTGATATCAGAAGAGCTCAGGACGCTCCAGATAACGATCAATAAAACCCTCTAACACTAGCCACGTAGGGACCTTACAGGTGAATTCGTATTCTTCATGAAGTATATCGATGCCAACTACGCAGGTTGACCGCTGTCGATACTATAGACTGATGGAGGTATCATACAAACCCAACACCCAACACCAACAATGCTGGACAGACTACAGATAATATTAACCCGTCCGGCTCTCCCGCTTCATCCTCCGCCTCTTCCTTCGACAAGCCTGTATTGCCCCAGGCGTCAAAATGTCATCGGGTAATCTGAACTCGCGCTCCTCCATTTCCGGGATCGGATGGCCGAATGCGAGTCGCGTGCGTCCCTTCCGACGGCTCGACAGGGCTGCTTCGCGAAGGGAAGGCTTCGAATAAAATGAAACAAACGGCTTTTGCGGCTCCGGTGGTACGGGTATCGGGGGAGCAAGGGGAGGAGGCAATGGTTTCGGAGACTCATAATCATCTTTAGTAGGTTCCTGTCGTCGTCTATGGGAGTAAGTCGCTTTGGGTCGTTTCCCGACTGACGCGGTCGCCGTTTTGGCCTCCTGGTGGAGCTGTCTGGCAGCCCAAATATCTACGTCGCTGGCATCGGCGGACTCCCCGCGACTGCTCGCAGTATCTGGTAGGACAGGTCCGTCCAGGCTGGTATGCTTCTGTTCTGCTTCATGCGTCTCTGCCTCCAGCCGCGCTAATAGCATCTTTTCCTTTTCCAGCTTGCGGCGCTTCTCCTCTTCTTTCCAGACCTTGAACTTCTCCACCAACGCCGAGAGCTCCTTGATGAAGAAGTTCCGCTTCGGTTCGTAGAGTTTCTTCTCCCCGTCCGAGATACCGCTGATGCCCATGGTGCGCAGCCAGTCCTGGCCCCGGAGCTCGTCCAGAATCCGATCCAACTGGAGTTTCTCATGTTGCGCCCGTTCCCGCTCGATATTGCGCAGCTGTTTCTCCTGTCTCTCGAATCTCCTATGGGCACGGAAGTAGATTCCCTCGTTCAGGGGATCTTCCGCATCCCCTCCGTCATCTGCCTGCGGAGGATCAGGCAACTCGACCACCTCACATCCATGTATCTGCAGCAAGGGATTTCCGAATGGCGACTCAATCGCAGGAGAGGGAACACGTATGGGTTCGGCAAGGTCATCGATCAACTGGACAGTTGTGTCTCTGGCAAGGAATTCTTTTATGTAGAAAAGAGAAAGAATAAACAATAGTCAGGTCACTGTTGCACAAGCATCACACCAAACAACAACACAGCACACCCTTGCAGCCATCTTACCTGGCTCTGGAGACTCCAAGCTTAGAAGTTGCTCGTAGTTGGAGAAATACGAGGCCAGCTCACATTTCGATCTGGCACCGGCGTCATGAGATCGAAGGGACCGCCGCTCCGGAACGGCCGGACCCCCACCTGACGCCGACTGGGAAGGGGTCGGATCTCCCTTGGCAGCAGATGTGGATGTTGCTATAGCCCTTGACGATGTATTCTTTACACTGGCAGAGTCGCCCGTGTCTGCAGCGGGTGTCGTTGCCGGCGTTGTGGGATTCCTGCGGCCCCCATCCGGGCTGTCCCTCTCGCTATCCCTGTCATTGTCTGCACGCTGCGCGGAGCGGCGAGTAGAACGAGTTAAGGCGCTGACGGGGGACGAATGCAGATCGGAATCATGGTTCCGATCCTGATTCGCATGCGGCTTGGTCGTGGTCAGAGGAGAGATGGTGTCGAGGGGATCCGGGGACTCGCGTCCATTATGTAGATATATCGCGGAAGGCGTGGCATGAGTAGAGGCGCGGCGACGATCCAGATTCTGCAGATGGGCCCCCTTGTTTCGTGGGGTGCGGGAATCGGGGCGATGGAGGGAGGAAGAGGGAGAGCTGGTCGTTGCGATGTTGGCGATGGGAGTAGTAGAGAAGGGAGGATGAGCGCGTGGGTGGACGACGACGGGCGAGCTGGCGTGTCGCAGGGGAAGTTGGCGAGGTCTGTCGGAGGTGTCTTCGATTGTGACGTCCAGGAGATCAGGAGAGCTTTTGCGACGAGAGGAAGTGCGATGATGACCACTAGACTGAGGGTGATGCTGGTCACTGACAGACTGGGCTACGATGCGTTGTCTCTTCGCGGCTGCTGGAGGGGATTGTTCCCGTCGTCGCGCAGAGAGTCGCAGAGACGACCTAGAACTGACGGCCATCGTGAGATGCAGATCTCTTTTCCTCCCTGCCGGTCAACTGGAGCGGAAATCCTCTTCCATCCAGGCCGATGATGCTGACACTGCTGGATGTGGTCCTGTCTTGGCGTGTACCAAGCGAGCATCTTCGGATGAATCACAGATGAAATTTGGAGTCATGAAACATTCTGCATCGAGCTGCTTATACTACATAGCACATACACATGCAGTGAATGCCGCCTATCATAAGAAGAAAACTATTACAGCTTATTTTCCACCTCGACAGCCTCCTGCAGCTCCGTCTTCAGCCTCTCCAACTCCCCAGCACCCAGTCTCACACAAGGCCTCCTCGGCTCGCATCCTTTATACCCCCAGAATGCCTCCAGCGCCGCTTTGACTCCCACAAAGCCCGTTCGGATAGTCACCCAATCCGCCCTGGCCACGAGCGACTGCAATTTCTGCGCCTCCTCGACCTTCCCATCCTGATAGAGCTGCATAAGCTTCACGCAGGCGCGCGGGATAAGGTTCGCCACACCAGCAATGACTCCATCCCCGCCTGCCACGAGCGTCTGCAGAGTGAAATCTGCTGAACCGCCGAACGTGACGAACCTATGATTACTACTATTTCCGTTCTGGACGCCATTACTACTATCACTCTTCAAGTTGTTCCCGCTGGCCGCCACGGCAGACGCGATCCGCGCCAGTTTCCCCGTATTCCCACAGGTGAGTTTGATCCCGACAATATTGTCATGCTGCGCCAGCGCAATCACGTCATCCGAGTCCAGATCTATCCCAGCCACGGCACCGGGGTAATTGTAGATGAGCACCGGCAGGGGCGAGGCATCCGCGACGTCGCGGAAGAACTGGAGCAGGACGTCCCGCGCCATCATCGACTTGTAGTAGCATGGTGGGAGGACGAGGACGTAGTCGCCACCGGCCTCTGCGGCATCGTGACACAGCCGGATTGTCTCGCGCGTCGACTGCGCGCCGCAGCCGACGATGACGGGGACGCTGGTGAAGCCATTTTCGTCCAGGGCAGATCGGGTTGCTGCCGTGATGGAATTGCGCTCTTCACGGTCCAGATGGACGGCTTCGCCGTTGGAGCCCTGCACGGTGATACCGGCTACGCCGGCGGAGGCGAGGTGCACGGCGTGTTTCTTGGTGGTTGGGATATCAACCTCATCTGATTCTGTGAAGAAGGCCACTGTAGGGACGTAGATGCCTTGTTTCAGGAGGCGGGATGGACGCGTCATGATGTATAACAGCGTAGGATGTAGCAGTGTAATACAGAAGAATGCAATGAAAATGACAGAAAGTAAAGAAATGAAAACAAAAAGAGGAGTCACCTGTTATTTATTGCAGTCAGATCCATTGCGATGAATCCACAATGCCTTCTTCTCCCACTGTGATTGCAGCAGACATCGTGCTGTCTCCAACCGAGGAAACGCTTATCGAGAGAGTCTGGAGTGGGATTGTTCTATGGGGTCGGCCAACCCCCACGCGTTGCCAGACAATAACGAGAATAATCCGTGGGGGGACACATTAATGCAGCATGCTCATAATGGCAATAAATTATAATATACAGGTCCATGCGACATTAAGCAGAAGTAACCGGATCCGGCCGAAGGGAATATGAACAAATAAGAGACCACACACCAACGCCATACAGAGTATCCAAATCAAACACAGGCGAGGACGCTATACATGTTCTGACGCCAGTATGCTCTGCTCACTCAGAAAACCTCAACAAACTTGATTCATGATGCCGTCGCGCACGAGAAACTCGACCCGTTCTTGTCATCGTGGATGGCTTTCCCGGAGACGTAGAGACCAAGACCGCACTTGACATCTGTTAGTTGTTTCTCATTATATCCAGAGTCAGTTATCGAAACTTACCAGGCAGCAGCCTATTCCGATCGTCAAGATATTGAGGATCGTCAAACAGATCTTGCGGGGGCTGGAGAAGTAGACTCCCCAGTTCATGTGCAGCCAGAAAATACCAGGTAGGCCAAAGGTAAACCAGCTAGCGAACAAGGCCGTAATCAAACTCAGCAGATTGTTGAACACGGGAATGGCCTCGGCAATAACCCAGGCGATGATCCAGAGACTCGCAGCAATGGCGATCCAAGACCCCCGGGCAACCCAGTCATTCTTGTTCATACGATCCGTCCCGCGGAACAAGCGCACGTAGACGAATTTGAATGCGACGTGGCCGTTGATGACACCAGCGATGATGATAGTCGGCAGAGCAATACCAAATGCTACCCTCTTCACCACCGGTCCGGCAGAACCCAGAGCAGGCGATGTGACGTCGTGTCCGGTATAGCGGTAGATGACAACAGCTGCAACAAGATACAGAGAGATATCGATACCCTGCAGCAAGCAGATGGCCTTGGGGTAGTCACGGGGATCTTTCAACTCGGCAGCGAGTCCAAAGAAGGCGGCGTGTCCACCTGGAAGAGGTCAGTCTGAGGCAGCAGTGGAGGTACAACCGGAGATGGGCTTACAAAAAGCGAAGACAATGTTGCATACGGCAGAAAAACCATTAAGCAGGTTGGTATGGAGGATGGCCACGACTCCATGCCCTGCATCCATGACTCCAACGGTGACCATGGTGGTAATGACGGCCGAAAGAATGCTCACAAATGCTGCACATGCTGTTAGTATTGTGGAAGCCACTTCCCGAGACAATGGATTCTATCTTACAAACAATAGAGAGCCATGACATCTTCTCCAACGTCCTAGGCAAGGAGAGGATGAAAGAAATGACCATGCCGACAACACCCCAGACGATGGAGCAGGTGACATGCTTGGTGATGGCATTCATGGCCACGACGAAAGTCAAGATATGGCTGGCCATAATGAAGATAAGGAAGATAACCTGTGCCGTGCCGAAGATTTCACGACCCCATGGCCCCAAAAGCACCTCACCAGCGTCGCCCATGTTATGAATATGAGGGTGTCTCTGTCTGAACTGTCCAATGATGATACCAGTGTAGGTTGCGAGGAGCCCCAGGCCGACGAGGATGATGATGGAACTTCGTTGAGACGAGAGTCAGCAATCAGTCTACCAGACCAAATCTGCTGGAGAGGATGCGCGTACGGAACAAGACCCAAACCAGCAACCGCACCGGGGAGAGAGAGAACACCCAACGACACCGTCTCGGCGACCATGACTAGGAATTGTCAGTTTCGTTGTTTCCCACCCTCTTGCATTTATTCCCAGGGCTCGGGATATACGCACGCAAACCACATTGCCTTCAATTCGAGACTGTCATTAGCATGTGCAGGACCAAAGACCAGTAACACGAGCGCATGCTTACCACCACTTTAGAATCTTGTATTTGACCTCCGCATCTTCTTCGTTACCAAAGGGATCCTGGTATTGAGGAGCCGTGAAGTCGGGCTTTTCATCTGGCGCATACGATGAGAAGTCATCTTCATGCTTTTCCTTTTTCTGAGCAGATTCGAGGTCGGGATGAGCTATGGGGATGTCGGCGACCTGCGGATTCATGGCGGCGACGAAAGGCAAGTTTCCTTTTTTTTTTCCCTTCCTTCCTTGTTTTCCTTTCCAGGAATCCCAATTACAACGACGACACGACAATGACGGTAGAAAAAAGAAATAAGGGGAAAAGACAAATATTATAAACGAGAACCATGACTCAATTTCTAATAAACCTCCGAAAGAAGTCCGCATACATCTGGACGCGCGATCATGTTAGTTATTCCTTATTCATATTCACCATGAAGAACCGCCACCGCAAAAAAGCATGCTGCGGCGCCAAGCGGCACACCTGGTGGGCCATCCGGCGACAATCCTCTTCCTCCACCGCAAATCATCGGCAGCGACGTAATGGAAACGTCCCAGTCAGGCAACGGGGTGAGTGTCTTCGAATAATGAAGCGGCGCTGAATGGTCTGTCCCTGGCAAAGAATGAGGAAAAAATCATCACGATGAACAGAACCCTGCCCGATATCGGAGGTGCTCGAGATCCCTCGGAGGCCGCCGATGAAGCTTCATTTGTATAGAAGCTGTAAATATTCATCTGTAGACCCGGGGGATCAACGTTTTTCTGAAGAAGAGCAGCAGCATCCAGGGTACAGAACGCAGCTCGTCGGAGTCAGGCACCGAGAATCATTATTCGTTGGATGCAACGACAATCCCTAGCAGTGGTTGGAGCAGATGCATCTCGCAGAAGTTCCAACGAACCTTCCATTCTGCGCTTCCCGTGGCTTTAAACTCGAGATGACGTGGATAATCTGCCGATCGAGGGGATAGCGTGGCTCCATGCATTATCAAGCACAAACCTTTTTTGTTCCTCCCTCTTTTTGGGCACCGCACAAGGTTTATGCCCAATAAGGAAGGTGCTGCCGTGCGCCGAGGCCCGGGATAGGGCATAGGGCGGGGGGTTAGGGCTGTTACGAGTGTCTTTCCTCCCGTACCTACGTAGTATATGTCGCAAATATGTGCAATGAGCTGTATGCCCCTGGCAGACCGCTTTAGGACCCCTATTCTTCAACGAACTATTTGGCCGTGAAGGCTCAAAGTGAAGTTGCATCTAGCGCCTACTGGAAGCGAAGTATAATTGGACGTTAGCATCTACACCGGCGCGTAATTGTTGAGCAGACATTAATCTTACAGAATGGAGTCGACGGACCAAAGTAAAACCTCCTTCTAACAGTGGCCGAAAGGCGATTACGGAAGTGAAAGCCGTGCCGCTCTGACAGAACAGCTCATCACCATCACTGCCGCACGAGTCCGCTGCTAACAAGAGAGCAATACTAGCAGCAAGCTCCGATCCCCTTGGCGTGGGAGACGTGTATACTGTCTGACCGGCCAGGATCGGATACCCATCATGTGTATAATACCATGGGGTAAGGGTTCTTCGCTTTGGGTCGGGGTTTGCTGCTCCTGGAATGTAGATCTCTCTACGTTACTCCAACTCAAATCGTTAACTGAAACCGACGCATGCGCGGAAACCAGCTTGTGAGACCCGGTAGTTATTATCCTGCGAGTCCGTCGGCCGATTCTTACTCGGGAGGAGAGGTGGCACGACTACTGGGAGCAACTCGACAATAGGAGACGCGATTTCTCCGCATTTGCTCCGGATTGGGGATTGCATTTCTCATTCGTTCGAAAGTCTTAGCATTGTGATTATTATTGTTATTATTATTCATGTTCTGGAGTCTGGACCGATGGGGTGCGGGGTAGACACGGAGAGTGGATACTCCCGATGCCCGACAGACAACGGGGTTGGGATAATTGCCTCCTATCTGAACGCACGTCTGGTTCTGAAGTCATTACATTATGCCGCAGCTGGTAAGATCCCGGAGACATTCTGCGGGGTTTCCGGGGGTAAACCGTTGCCTACCGTAGTCTACCTAGGTATACCTCTTACGTTTAGTTTAGTAGATGGTTCCAGGTGCAATCGGTTCGGAGGAGGCATGGTGATATTCAAGGTGCTCGTGAGTGAGCGGCATGTATCATCCATTCCCAACTAGTATGTTTTGCAGGTTGACAGCAGACACAGGGACCGTCCTTCGTACACCAGGTTACAGTCAACATCAAGAGCATTCTGTGTGATCAAGCCATACGTTGACACATGGTAAGCTCGAGAGATTGTGGCACCGGTACCATCTGCCTAGACTGTATACAATGACCCTCGTCAAATTGCTGGCCCCTGGCAAGACACAGCTAGCGGAACCAGCAGAGACATGAAGACAGGAGGCATTAATGGTTCTTCATTTGGAGAGGACCTTCCTGTGAACCACCACATGAATCATTACGGAAAATGCATTATGTGTACTGTGGAAGAGCTATACAAGAATCGAGAGTGCCACGTTCCTCCCTCTGCTTGAAACCGGATCTCCCCTGGGGCGTCAGCATCTACTGCTGCAGTTACCCAGACGGCAAAGCCTGGGAGCGCATGGTCCGACTCATAGAAAAGCCAAGGGCTCTCTCAAGTACGGAAAAAGAACAGGCCTCCTACCATCACACCAATCACTCATATATAGAGACGCGGAGAGATCCAGCGGAGGAGGACGGAGGAGGACGAATGGAACGTCGGCTGGACGTATATGAGCGTCTCTATGTCGATTGGAGTGATTCGCTTAAGGAACCCTGGGCTTGGTATAATCCATATGTCAGGAGACCTTCTATGTTTGACTTGGAAAGCCCAGGTTTTTGGAGGAAAGGTAATAAATAGAAGAGCCATGCTACTAATCCATGGATGGCAAAAGCCCGGTTGACTATGCGGCAAATAGTCAATACCACTCAGCAATATCCGGAGTGGAATCTTTACCACGCAGACAGTATCAGTATCGCAACACCTACGACATGCTGTCAGTGCCTCAACCAACAAAACCTAACAACAAATACAAAACAAATGGTAAAGACCGCAACTCAGAGAGAAGATTAGGTCGTCCAAGCCTCACACATCCTCTAGGATGATGTGGCATTACGACTAAGGATGACTGAAAGGGTTTTCATCATCGCTGGGTAGATATGCAAAGAAGAGGATGCAGACACGACCTACCAGTCTGAGATCGGGACAGGGATATACCAAAGCTCAGTTGCCATTGGAGCAACGGAATTGCATTCCTGCATTTTGTTGCCCGGATGCTATACAGACATGCTATAGAAAGACGTAGCTTGCAAGCCATAATAGCAATATGTCTCAATCATCGTAAGACACAATCCTGCGCCCCATGACGTGAGCATGCAATGGGGAATCCTTCGGTGAATCACCCACAGATTCATCCTCACCGTAATCCAGAGCGCTAGATTGATGATTACCGGGTACGTTATTCGTAGAGTTTCCTCTGGAAGCTGCACCTCCTGGTCGCGAAGAGTGATCCAACTCCTGGTTGCTGGCCATCTCTTTCCGAGGCACTGTCTGGATGGTCTCCCGTTTCCCTTCCATATGAACATCAACATCTACATCTTCACCTTCATGTTCACCTCTAGACTCAGCGAGAGCCTCCTCTCTCAACCGCTTCTCACGCAGAAAGGAATGAATCTCGCTATGTCTGAAGATTTCGATCTGCTCATCCGTGAGGGTCCGCTTCACCCCATCAGGATAATATCCGAGGTCGTCGTTGTCATCTACTACTTCTTCGTCCACATTGTTCCAGCCAGAGGTGTAATCAAATGTAAGGGGGTTTTCATGTCCGGGGAAGTGCTTTGCTTGGAAGGCTTGGAGGTCTGCCTAGAGTACTATTAGGTTTTTTTCTTTCATTAATATTGAATTTGGCTGCGGGAAACTCACAATAGTCACAGTTGGAATTTGCAGGGTCATAGCGATGGATGTTCAGTTCTGGAGAGAGCATCAGGCAGAGGTTGAAGTTAAAATGACGCGGTTGTAGGCGCGTGTAGAGCGGGAAAATGTCTAACCCTAAATTGGACTAGCGTGCTTATGACAATACTTTGTAACGTTCGTATTAATTACGGAATGCTCCATGGGGAAAATGAGAGAACCTCGACGCTTCATCATACCTACACTCTACATGAAGCATGTCTATTAGATTATATCATATCTTCGTTCAGGAATATCCAGGTCCATCAAAGCCCACCAAATCCCTTTTCCTCAAACGTCCCCTGAGAAAGAGGCATACTCGAGATATTATTACCAATCTTGACCTTCACACTGTTGAAATGAACAGTTAGATCCCTCAACCCCTTGAGGTCAATACCTGCAGTCCTCTTCTCCATTTCCAGAGACGGCTTGTTTAAGCTCCACGCAATAGAAATATGGAAGCAATGCGAAAAATCTCCCGGATCAGACCCGTTGAGCCGGCTCTGCTGTTTCTGCACTGTTCCAGTTTCATACAGCGGTGGCTGCCGGAAAAGAGTAAGAGAACGATTCGACAATCTGAGCAAGGCATTCAGATTATCTCCATCGGGCCTCTTAACTCGTACAACGAGGAACCATCGTGTCTTCTCGTAATTGGAGACCCAGTTCAGACCGTCCGGTTCCACATTAAAACTGAATGATTAACCATCAGCGATGCCCTTCTTCTCCCTGGATACAATAAGACTCACGGTCGTATATGAGAATCCCGAAGAGCGGTCTGAAAAGCTTCCGTAAATGATGACCTCTGCTCAGTCTGCAAGACCACCGGTCTAGAAAGACTGATATGCAGTGGCAACTGAGCCCCCAGATCACTGTACAGAAGACTATGTATGCGTTCTCTATGTTCTCCCGACTCACCATCCCCGCATCGGGAGACGACAGATTGAAGGATATCAAGTTCCGTTCTTGACGGATGCCCTGTCAATGTTAGATAGAAGGAACAGCGAAATCAACATAGACTACTGTTTTACACGGCTGCGGCTTACACTCGAGGTATATGTGGGTGGGCCAATTCCCCTCGATATGGGGAATTACCCGTTTCCGACCGCCATGCAGACTGGGATCATCTCGTATGCTGACGCGAGTGCTGGAGGCGTAGAGATCGTGAAATGCCGTTGGCAAAGGGGGGAGAGGAGACGTGCTGCCTTCTCGACGGTTCTTTTTGATGGGTCTTGGAGGAGATGGCTGATAGTCGCTTGTGTCCGAGTCGGAATCAGAGTATTGGACCAGGGCCATTAAGACCGGATGGGTGTCAGATTCTTGATACCTGAAGACAAAGATGTGTGTGCAGTTGGTGTCGATGTCCAGAAAGATTCCGGAGGGTTCGCCTGTATGTAATTTTCATTGTGGCCTGAATATCAAGGCTGCCACAGTACTCTCTCTGTCTCTTGAGAGAAATACTTATTAAATCTTCATTCTCATAGCAGAATTAAAAATTATATTATGAATAATAACCTTACCCTCCCTATGGGGCATTAGGAGGAAGAAACACGGCAGTTGCTGTTCCTACAGCAAAGCATCCCCGCATACTCAAACTTTGTCTTTCGTATCCCCTCTTATTCACGAGTCCTTTATATCCCTTTCTTCACTGGAAATTTGCTGATCACTGAGAATAAATGCCGTGCTCCCTGCCGACACTTCAAAGCATGGAGTGGACTGTATGAAACCAGATATGATCTGTCATAATCCTGCCGGGTAACTATGTCAAATTGCATCCTAGGCGGACGTAAAGGCAATAGTAATAATAATAAACTCCGCATTTCATGAGAAGAACTAACGTGCCTAGATTCGTATCCGGTCCAATGATGTCGGCATTTGTCCCAGGAGGTTGGAACCCACTATATATAAATATGAACGAGGCAGCAAGCCACCATTCGGCGAAAAGGAAAAAAGAACAACCAAGACGGATAGCAGCTGCGGATTCTCCGAGCAAGCATTGCTTTTCAGAAACTCGCTTCAGCATATATACCACTGTTTCTGGCGTAATCTGACTGCCATGGCATCCCGAATTGATACCACAGTTAGTCAAGATCACCGCATGATGGACAAAAGAGCTGATAGAATTAATGATGAAAGGTATACCCGGGCAACATCATAAACAATGAGTTCGTCCCAACAGCTAGAACTCGCCACTCTATTAACCCTTCTACCGGCGAGCCTTTGTATGAAGTGCCGTATGCTACGAAGGAGAATGTGGATTCCGCCGTCCAGCATGCTCGGAGAGCGTTCAAGAGCTGGTCTAGGACCACCTTTGGCGAACGTGCACGTCTTCTTCTCAAATACGCAGACGCCATTGAGTCTAATCGCGAGCCGTTAGAAAGGCTACTTGTCTTGGAACAAGGAAAGCCACTCGGACTAGCGAAGACGGAGTTCAGCATGACGTTGGAGTGGCTACGAGCCTTCGCTACAATGGAGGTCAGGGATGAAATTCTCGACGATAACGACGAGCGGACGATCACGCAGACATTCCCGCCACTGGGCGTCTGCTGCGGCATTGTACCCTGGAATTGGCCCGTTTTGCTTGGACTAGGCAAAGTTGGTCCGGCACTTATCACGGGCAACACGATTATCATCAAGCCATCACCATTCACGCCGTACTGCGACCTGAAGCTCGGGGAGATAGGAATGGGGATCTTCCCACCTGGCGTGTTTCAGGTGCTCAGTGGAGGCGATGACCTGGGTCCAATGCTCACAGCACATCCGGGCATCGATAAGATTGCATTTACCGGATCAGTCGAAACGGGGAAGAAGGTGATGCAGAGTTGTGCCAAAACGCTGAAACGGGTCACACTTGAGCTCGGTGGAAATGACCCGGCAATCATCTGTGAGGACGTTGATATTGATGCCATCGTCCCGAAGATTACTACTCTCGCGTTCCTTAACTCTGGCCAGATTTGTATGCTGATCAAGCGATTGTACGTCCACGAGAAGATCTATGACCGGTTCCGTGATTCCATGGTCACCTTTGCCAAATCTATCAAGACGGGCGATGGGTTTGAGCCTGATGTTCTCGTCGGGCCGATCCAGAACAGCATGCAGTAAGTGAAGCCTGTGCGCTTACGGTATTTCGTGATCAATGCTTAAGAAAGTCCAATCTAGATACGGAAAAGTAAAAGACATGTATTCGGAAATGTCCAAATGCAACTGGACACAGGCACTCGAAGGCCAAGTGATCAAGAACTCAAAGGGCTACTTCATCAGCCCGGCAATCATCGACAATCCCCCTGAAGACTCACGAATTGTCACCGAGGAGCCATTCGGACCCATTGTGCCCATCCTCAAATGGTCTGACGAGGACGATGTCATTGAACGTGCCAATAACAGCAAAGCCGGCCTGGGCGCCTCCATCTGGAGCAAGGATCTCGACCGGGCTGAAAGAATGGCCAGGTGTCTTTCGGCAGGGAGTGTCTGGATAAACTCACACTTTGACGTTGCTCCCAACGTGCCGTTTGGAGGACACAAATGGAGCGGACTAGGAAGTGAATGGGGGATGACTGGATTGAAGGCATACTGCAATTCGAGGTCTCTTTGGAAGTGGAAGAGGGTGATGTAGAGGATAATGTCCCTGTTTACATAGACTGGTTATTTCAATGGATATGTCAATATTCAACCACTGTAAACCTAATGACCAGGCTCCTCCTCCCACCGTTCAACACCCTCCGGAATCTCCACAGCAGCCCCCTTAACACCAAATATGCACAGCCCTACCGGGGCGATGTCAAACAAATCACGGGAATGTAGCGGATATACCGCAGAGGGACAGGGATTGGTGTCCGCATTCCGTACAGTGGTAGATGTACATTTTCAGGAGGGGGTTGTGAATCGGATGCGGGTGCATTGGCAGCGGCCTTCATTTCCCTTCTTTTCTCTCTCCTGGTGGTTTGGGGTTGATGTTATCCTTTGGGGGTTGGATGTGCGAATGGACTGAATAGATTTGGCAATGAAATATTAACCAGCTTTATTGGGGTTGAGTTGGTTTGCGAGATTTCCCAGGGAAGATATGAACTCGACTGTTCATGCTCTACTCCGCCAGTGCTATTCCATTGAAGCAGAATTAATATTGGGAGGCGGTTCGAATTACTGGATTTTGCTATACCTTGGAACTCGAACATCCATGCATAAACACCTTCTAATGAGCAAACGTAACACCTGAAATATAAGATGCATAGAAACCATTCAATCAATACTTCTCAGAATGAGATCCCTGCATAAATAAACAGAGACATCAGCCTATCTAATAAGCATACCGCTTAACAGCAGCAATCCTAGCCCTCCTCCGATTCATAAACCCATAATACAACCTCAACGCCACACATCCCGCTGCCGTAAAAAACAGCAGCCCAGCATTCGTCCAGTGGCCTGTCGGATACCCTCTCTTAACCTCATTCGCCTTGTAGATCCAGACTCCCGCGATCTGACCGGGTGCACCGAAAGAAATGTTTAATGCGATGGCCAGGCCGACGCCGCCGGTTGAACGGAGGTTTGAGGAGAGCCAGCCTAGTAAGGGCGGGATGCAGCCGAATGAGCCGCATGCTGCGACAATAAGGCAGCCGTAGCGTTGCTATGGTGGTCAGAGTTGTTGCCATTCTTCTCACGATAACGGAGACTTACTGTGTATGACTCTGGTGGCAGTACGGCCGAAGCTAGGAAGCCTGCAGCGCCGATTAATGCGAGGGCTGCGGAATGAAGACCGCGACTGATTGTTTGATTAGAAAGATGCCTCAGTAGTAGCCATTGGGAAACATGGAACATACCTGTTGAAATAATCGGCGGACCAGGAGACTGCAATCGTCACCACGTAAGCTGCTACGTACGGCGGCACGGTCATCAGCTGTGCCTTGAGACCTTCGTACCCCAGGCCAGCCGTTATAGAAGGAGTGAAGAGCGATAGACTGGAAAACGGAGTCGAGATACTGAAATAGACCTAATACGGGTTAGCATGTCACAGAACAGACTGCATATGCACCTCGACTCGCAACATACAGCATAATGGACATAGAGCCGCCAATCCATCAAGACTCCCTTAGCATCGGCCCAAGTCAACGACTTATCCTGGCCGTGAGAACCCTCGAGCGCCAATCGTTCCCTCGCGAGGGCCTTTTCCTCCTCCGAAAGCCACGAAGCCGTTTCAGGAAAATCTGTTAAAAAGAACCAGAGCAGAATAGCAGATGCACAAGACGGCGCTCCCTCAATGATAAACAGCCACCGCCAACCGGCTAGGCCATGGGTACCGTTCATATGGCCCACGCCGTACGCAATTGCACCACCAAATGCTCCCGCTAGGGTAGCTGAAGCCAGAATGATGGCGACACGTAGGGATCGTTCGTCAGTCCGATACCAGAAGGTCAGGTAGTATACTAGACCTGGGAAGAGACCTGCTTCCATGACGCCCAGAAGGAATCGTACACCGGTTACTTGGGCGTAGTTTTGAGCTCCACCGAGTCCCATGGTTGCTGCCCCCCAGGAGAACATGAGGAATGCGATCCACCGCTGCGTTGTGTCAGAATGGGAATGCTTCTTCAGCAGGAAATGACATAATAAAAGAACGCACACTGGGCCTCAGCTTCTTCAGGAAATAATTAGATGGCACCTCGAAAACCCCGTAGGCAATCAGGAAGACCATGAGGGCAATTCTATCCGATTCAACTGTGAGTCCCCGCACCCCATACATTAGGCTGTGTATCGGCATACGTATATTGATAGGACGTCATATGCGTCTCCGAAAGCAAATCATTCTTCGTATCCGAATTGAGCGTTTTGGCATTTCCTATTGCATTGACAAAAACAGCCATAGTCAACGCCTGCCTTCTCCCGTCAGGAAAAGTGCAAGAATCACTCACCAATATTCGAACGGTCCAGATAGCAGAGCAAATAAATAAACGCCGCAAGGGGGATAAGACGCAGATCCTGTTTGCGCACCAGCTTCTTCTCATCCTCTATGGAGAATCGCTGGTGGTCGATACTGGATGCATTCTGCCACAAGGTCAGATTAACGCTCGGTGAATGGTCAGGGTAAGCAAGCATACCTGACTTGCCTCCAGATCCTCAGCTGTTGCAAAGTGACCTTTTACTTCATCCATTGCCGCCATTCCCACTCTCCCTCCAGGAACTGCGAATGCGGGGAGGGAAAGAAACGATCCATCACCGAAATGCTGGGGACAACTTTATATAGCGTCATTATTGAACACAGACATTCACCGAAGATTGGCAACATCTTAGCGTCGTTCGGCGCCCTTCCGGCCTGGAGAAGACGCCCCCATTAATTTAGATTTAACTAGCAATCTAGTCTGAGCCGATATTATTTATCCCCCGGTCTCTCCTTGTTTATCTTCCTTGGCAATGTTTTTTATTCGTTGGCGTGGGAGGAATTAGGGTTCCGGTTGTGAGCACTAGTATAGGAGGACGGGGGCCCGATCACCGTTAAGACGGGGCCTGATCAGGACGGAGGATTCTCTCGTTTTAACGCTTTCAGGACAGGCTGACTGTGACACTATGCAGGCCTGCTCCCGGTGTCGAAGACGCAAGTCAAGATGTGATGAGGCTCTACCATCGTTTCCCAACATCTCTATCTTGGCGTCGATATCCAACCCATTCACATAGAACGTTGCCTCGGCTTGAAATCCGCCAGGACCGGCAATCATAGCTTTGGTTGTTGCTGGGGAGGAGCACTCGTGGCTCCCGTTACCTGGACTCTGTCTGGTCCCAGTTGTTTGCTCCCGTCGCGTAGGGGCCGCACTCGAGCAGATCTGCCAGCTGTCAGTCTCAGCAACAGGAAGAAAGGACCGGTGAAAGCAGGGTACTTACGGCCAGCGAGAAAGACAGTCACGTCACAGCGCAATTCAACAAATCCCTGTCGTCTCTCGGGCGTCCAGCAGGATATTGCAGCTTCTGCTATCATGTTCAGTTGGAGATGAAATAAGAACTCGGTTATTCTTCCGCGGAGTGGTGGAGGGAAGCAAATATAATAATCCCACAACAGACTGGATTCGATAGACGAGACACGTGCTCGCAGTTAATAGACAGTCATAGACAGTCATAGACAGTCATAGACAGTCATAGACAGTCATAGACCACAGCAGCGTCTATCAATCGCTCCATCACCCGCTATTCTACACCGGAATACTAGAATACTAGCAGCATTTCCGCCCCAGATTATTTGGGAAGACAAATAAACGGAACAGCCTGGTTAATACGCGGTTAGACCTTTAGGAACTGGGGTACGGCACCCTGCTCCCCTTCATTCTCCCTTGCTTCCCCTTCTTGTCTCACTTAAGGTTGTGGGTTAACATGGTACCTGCATGGGATCTATGGACGCCGTGAGGCGCAGCGAGACAGGTTTTGACATCGCTCGAGGAATTTTCAAATCGATCCGTGGAACTTCTAAGGCAACCCCAGACCCGTGAGAAGATTGACTCACAGAAAGCTTCTCCCCGGACGCTTAAGAAGGGCTGGGATGCTTTATTTTTTATTTATTTATTTCCAGACCAGTAATAAAACGAGAGAGAGCTGCCGGGTTCTTCATGCAGAGCTCTGATGCTGCGGGGAATCGGTCTATACTGTTAAGCGTCAGACAGTTCACTAATAGTTCATGCAGTTCGAGCTTATCCTGGCAGCCCGCAGCTATTCTTACTGGCTTCTCCATAATATTTCCGCAAACTTTGCCGGCCGTTAAGCTGCGTGGCGATCTCTATCTTACGAACACGCGGGCGATGACGCATGCTAAAGTATGATCCATGCCGGAGACCGTGGAAGCAGCCTCAACCCCAGGCTGCAACCAGCGCCTTTTTGCTTCTGGAGCGGTCATAGACTCGACTCCCCCAGTCTCCCCAGGCCGAATCATTGCCAAACTTTTTCCCTCGCTCCTTTAGGGGTGAGTGGGAACTGCTGGACCCGATGGAGCATCATGCTACCGCATGCCCACACACGGCGATCACAACGACATCATCGTCCGGTCGAGGCATACGTGCCTAGAGTCGTCTGTATAAATCTCCCGACTGCAGTCGGTCTTCCTCTTCCTCATTCTTTCCTTTCTCCGTCCCCCTTCGTCTTCTACGTTGAACCCGCTGAGATCCGTTTGCTCCGCCAGATCCGCGGGTTTGTGACTGTATTCTCTCTAATATCCGGGCAGTCCGAAAGGTTCCCACTGTCTGATTAATTAAACTCTGTCTTTTTCCGTACGAGTTCGCTAAAGCTACGAGGCTCATGTTTAGCCTAATCTGCTTGTTTCACTCTCTTTCATGTACCTGACCCTCTGACTGCCTATCTTGGACAAGAACCGAAAAGAAAAAGAAGAGACAATGTCCTACTCCAGCGAGAACTGGTACGGGGACACTCTCCCACAGCGCTATAGCATGGGCATGGTTCAGCAGAGCTTCAAAAGCAACAACCCTTACAAGGGCTACCCAGTCCCCACCATGGACTTTGAAGACGACTACAGGCTCGAGCCCCTCGAGGACGAGCGCCCCAGCTCTCCGGCTCCTTCTGTTTTCTTCTCGGCCTCTCTTGAGCACCACCCGGTCAAACCCAGGAAGCGTCACACCTTTGACGCCTATGCCGACGCCACCATGCGCCGCGGCCGGAGCTGCAGACATTCCAGTATGGTCCTTCCGGATGTCATCGACCGTCTGGACAACGTGAGTGGCTATAGCTACCACCATGAGGGCCCCTACGATGCAGTCTACGCCGAACGTAACCGTGATAACAAGTTCAGCCCTGTCGCCGCCTTGAAGGAATCCAACGAAGAGGCCCTCAAGGCCACTCCTCCCGACAGAATCATAGACGCCATTAACAGTCATCGTCCTCTTGATGGCACTGCCTTCTTCGCCCCGGGAACTGCAGACGGCGAGGGCCGTGTCTACCAGTATGAAGAGGGTGCCAACATGATGAATGAGCATGGTAACTTTTCCCGTTGCCCTGGACAGGTATGTCTTTCTTTCCTTTCCGATATGATATGTACTGTTGATCTTTTTGAGCTGGATGCTAACACCGTCACAGAAGTTCACTGACGATGACTTCAAGAACGACCCATTCTACAACCGTCCTATTCCAAATAGGTTCACATCCTTCCGCAAGAAGTTGAACTTCCGCCACCGACTCCGCCGTATCAGCCTGAAGGCTTGAATGGCGGGTTCCCGAGCACGGTGTTCCACCGCTCCATGAACACCCTGTATTTGTAACGACTTCTGCGAAGAAAATGAACGATGCGGCGTTTGGTTAGAGAGAGATTGATTGGCTGTATGGGATAGATTGGTTTTCTTATAATGTTTTTATTTATTTCATTTAATGTTTTCACATATGTCTTTTATGGGAATGTTTCTATATTTCCGTTTCCTTTGTCAACCTACTTACATCTGAAATCATCTACGGATGGGATTTTGACTTGTATTATGTTTTGAATGTATTGATTTTACCAAAAAAAAAAAAAAAAAAAAAACCGAATTTCTTTTCCAATGTTGCGTGCTTGGGACACTTGTTAGAGAGTACAATAAATGCCTACTGCTTACTTCCAGACTTCACCGTCCAGAAGTAATAGAGAAGAGTAAGATCAAGGGGCACAATATCATAATCACCAAGTCAAGCGATGTGTGACATTCTCGGATATCTCACAGAATGCCCGTGCTCTTTCCAGCGGGATTTATAGAGATCTACCGTTTAAACACTGTGGCTGTTGTTACGCGTTTATAACACAACGCATAGAAACACCTGACCCTAATGTATTAGCAAGGAGATGCCACATAGGAGGAAGTGCAAGCATTCCCCAGGACGTTCAGAAAGCATTCAAAATAGCAGCTGGGCATGAGGGTCGAGGTGAGGCTTGTCGAATGGGAGGTCTTCCCTGCTTCGGGCGGTTCTTACCCGAGACTGTTGTGCCGTATTTCGTGGGGATGACTATTAGTTTTCTGCCTGGCATAATACTCCCTCCTAATCAGCGTGTTGTTCGGAGAGGTCACACAGACTTGGTGGATGTATATTCGGAGTCTAACAGTCTGCACCGCATACTGAGTATTTACTATGGATGGAGCGTAGCGTCGTACATCTCATACACAGTTTCCATATAAACCATTCACTTAAAATACCTAGTACATGCGACCACAGGGTGTGGAAAACAGGGCTTCCCGTCCGCTCAGCCGTACTTAAGCCACACGCCGGCCGGTTAGTAGTTGGGTGGGTGACCACCAGCGAATCCCGGCTGTTGCATGTTTCCTTTCTCTTTTTTTTTTCTGGTTTTTTACTACATTTTGCACATTTGCTTGCCCTTGGCACTAGTGGACCTGAGTAGCCTGGTTTGTTTAGCGGGCTTGTTCTATTCATGGTAGAGACACATTCTCCGACAATTGTCACAGTCAGAGTCCTTCGAGTTGATGGAAAGCCCCACAAGTGCCAGCTACTTGTCGTAGCCTGTCAACCGATTCTGTTCTTGGTCGCAGGTACTGGAAGGGCTCATTCATAAGCTAACTTGTTAATTCCCGTGACTAGTGCGTCTTCAAAGACCTTGGGATCCAAATCCCCCGCGACGGGATGCATCAAAGTTTTGGAATTCACGATGGAGGTTAGGAGGAATTACGTCCCCAATCCAAATATATGGGAGGCAGCTGGGTCCAGAAGCACTTGGCTCCCAGCACTTGACATTTGCTGTGACAGGGCCAACCCAATCTGCAGTCTGAGTTTGTTCAGAAATAGAATGATACATCCCTGCGTCTGAGCAGGTGTCCATTTTGTTGTCAGTCTCAATGGGCTCTTTGGCATGTAGTTGCTTGTCCGTTGTGTTGCTGAAATCTTTCAGGAGCAGAGCTACAGACTCTTTCCAAGAGGCACTCTTTTTCTGAGCATTAAGATATTTCCAATCTTCTTCCATGTTGACAAGAATGACAAGTCACACATTGCTGCCGCTATGCTGTAACCACTGACGCATATCAATTTTCAAGTCTTCGTACGATTCTGACCACGCGGTCTCAAAAATGACAGTAGGTATGTCAGCTCGAAGATTTTGAACAGAAGATGAAAGCGGCATCTGGGATCTTTGTCCATCTATGAGATTTTGTCCCATGACTCTCAACCGCGCCATGAAGCATCTCTTCACCAGGGGCATTAAAACGCAATGACGTTCTTCTGCCGCCGTGCCTTCGCAGTTCATCTCGGTCAGAATGGCTGTTGCGACGCGTAAAAGGCCCTGATGCACTGCTCTGACCTAACGACAACAAAAGTTTCGAGATCACAGTAATAAGCGACCCCGCCTTCTGGAATCTCTTGACCTTCTCATCATATCTCAAGTCATTAAGCGGATGATAGAATCGTCAGGCAGGTACAGGGCCAAGGAGTAGTTACCTGCCTACTAAGCACAGAGCGCCCCGCTTGCCGTCGTGTAGAATACTGTACTATTCAATGGCAAGTTTAAGAAGCCTTCAAACTAGAAGTGATGCGTTCCAGACTTCAGGCAATGGGTTGTAGGGTAATTTCATAGACGCTGGTGGGGATTGTTAGATAGTGGACTTGAAGGCTGATTTGGACGTGGTCTATTCCTTTGAAGGTATCTGGCCACATGCCATGCTCAAGGAACTCCGTAGGCGCTGCTGTACCCAAGTATTCCCTACCAGGTGGAAGGCAATAATAGTGGATGCAGCTATTCCTGTGAAAATCATTAGTTGTCAGGTGTGCGTCAATTACGTGAAGCGCTCCCCTCCTCCCCTCCTCCCTTCTCATCTCCTCCCGTTCTCACCACAGCCCACGTCAGCTGGGACCAACTGCTTCCGGTTTATGGTAGTAAATTATAGCACTCCAATGCTTTGTCAGCCTTCGCACCTTACTACCGACATGGATTTGCAATTTGGGACCTGAAACGATTAGTGGATTTGGGCTTTTTACGTGAAATGAACATGTCAGGTTGTACAGACCATGAAATTCAAATGACCTGGCACAGCATTCTCAGTGAAGAAGAACTTGCAGAGGGTGAAAGAGCACGAAAGGCCAAAGGCATACCTTGGCTCTTTCCTTGGTTCTTTCCTTGGTTCTAATTCAGTTGGCATATTGTAAAGGGGGGTACGTGTGTTGTTCCCTGCGACAGGAACGGGGTGGTGATCGAGGGATCTCAGGGGTGGATATAGGAGCCCGCGGCCCTACGGCGTTCTAAGATAGGAAATATGAGAGATCCGGGATTTCGCAGTGCCCCCGGCACAACAGAATAACAGAATGCTGTACTATCTAGCTTCTCCACCTTGTATAAGCTATTTCCAAAGCTCCATGAATACAGAACATTCCAAGCCATTGGAATCTAAGCTTGTTGGAATAGGATTTGCTCAATTGCTAGCATATTGTGTACCAATACTATATGTCACGGAACTCAACTAGACGATGAATAGGATGCTATTCAGCTATCTAGGCAGCTATCGACGAGAACTTCAAGCATGGAGAGGAAGGAAAAAGGGAAGAGATCTATGTGAAGCTGGACTCCTATCCACGCGCCACGCTAATCCAAGTAAGGAAACTCACGTGCTCGTCCTGGTCTACATGGCAAGGGCCCTGACAGCAGGCAATTGTTCCAGAGCAGCAGGCCATCCTTCAACTCCCATAGTCCATCTTGGTCAGTTTTTGCCTTTGTTCAGTATTCTTCTAGCTCAGGGGACTCTCAGTTTATTTGGAGGATCTGATTGACAATGTGAATCTGAGGATTGATGGGGGATAGGCTGACCTCTCTGTGAACCTGTCAGGGCCCTTGCCATGTAGACCAGGACGAGCACGTGAGTTTCCTTACTTGGATTAGCGTGGCGCGTGGATAGGAGTACGTCGTCCAGCTTCACGTAGATCTCTTCCCTTTTTCCTTCCTCTCCATGCTTGAAGTTCTCGTCGATAGCTGCCTAGATAGCCGAATAGCATCCTATTCATCGTCTAGTTGAGTTCCGTGACACTCTTAGAGTAATATGCCACTGGGTGCCACTGGTTATCATGCTTCTGTGATAGGACTCCTGCCACTATGCTATCTAAGGCATCTGTCTCTAATTTAGTTTCAAGGTCTGGATGGTAGTGGTGCAGAATAGGGGCGTTCAAAAGCTGTTCTTTTAGATCCTTGAAGGCATTTTCACAATTCTCATCCCAATCAAAGGGGACATCCCTTTTGGTGAGCCTGTGAAGGGGTTTAGATATCTGGCTATAGTCTTTTATGAACTTCCTACAGAAATTACAGAATCTTAGAAATGACTAGACCTCCTGTACTGTGCTGAGGGTCTTCTAACCCTAGATCACTGCTGTTTTCTCTAGGTCAACCTCTATGCCTTCTGTAGTCAGGATAAAGCTAAGATACTTTGTATGTATAATATGGAATTCACACTTCTTAATGCTCACCTGTAACCCAGCATTGCAAAGGCATTGGTAACCTTCGGGGTCGGTTATATCTTCAACGCAGCTGGATAGCACTATCCACGCCCTGCGCCCAGCTCCAGCAAAGAGTTAGCAGTATCAGAGACGGATTCTTTCAATGATCTGTACTTGATACCAAGAATCTCCTTCGATCTACTGTTATTGAACCCAACGGTACCCTCCAGTATATCATCCTTGGCATCCTTCGGTGGTAGTTTAGATTCCAGCTCGGGGTGGGCCTCGCGGATGATATCGGCGATCTTCTTATTAGAGAAAAAGCCCTCAAGGATAAAGAATCTCTTGCCGCCGGCTTCGGAGACTTCAATGGCCTTGACATGTGCCAGTGCAACATCACGAACATCGACCCAGAAGAACACATCTGGCGAAGGGAAGTGTTCCTTGTACTTCCCACGAATCATGTCCAAGATCCGCTGGTTTGAAGTGTTGATGGCCTCGAGCGAGTTCAGATAGTGAACAACAGGGCCTAGTACCAGGGGCGGGTTGATCGTAGCGATATCGAAGTTTGGCTTCTCTTTCTCCACAAACTCCCAAGCAGCCTTTTCGGCAAAAGTCTAACCAATGCCAGTGAGAAAAGGCACGAATAGCGATTCGACAAGAGCGATATTTCACTTACCTTACTACCTCTGTATACTCGAGAATGGTCCAAAGCCTGCTCCCAGGTAATCGGGTTCCACACCGTCTCGTCGTAGACCTTAGGGTGATTTCCACTGAAGTTTACAATCGCAGCGAAGGATGATGTAACGACCACGCGCTTTACGGAAGGAGCATAGGCCTTGATGGACTTCAAGATGCCGGTGGTGCCCTTGATTGCAGGATCAAGGAAATCCTTCACGGGATCTTGGACGTTGAAGTGGAAAGGCGATGCGGTATGAAGCACATAATCAAAAGGAGGGTCCGATTTCACAGCCTATGTTCGATATAGTCAGCCCAGTCATCCACCTTGTAATCGCCTGCTCATTTACCTCGTCGAATGCGCCGTCTTGAGCAACGTCCGCGACAATGAAAAAAGAAAGCTTCTCTTTGGGGGTATTCGGGTGAGCGTCGAGGATACGCTTGCCCTTCTCTTCAGATCGGACGGTCACTACGGTGTCGAAACTGAATTATCTTGATTAGCGACGTGCATGTCCACTCAATAGCCAAAGAGTATTTACCCATGCTCCAAAAGGATATCAATAATGTGGGCGGCGATGAAACCACTACCACCTAGAAATCAACCAATTGGTTATGTGCTATTGCCCAAATTTCTCGAAGTGGTTACCTGTGAGAAGGACTTTGACCATTTTGGCGAGAAGGGAAGGGAGAATCTATTTAGGACACTGTTCGCGAAGCCTGGGGTGATTGAAGTAGATTCGAGGAGATGGGAGTTTCCCCTCCCCTTTTATGCTCATACTCCTTAATCCCGTTAATCCCGCCATCGATCCACTGAGGGCCGATGGCCCTCTCATATACACGCACCGCAAACACCACGGCGATTACGAATTCACCATCGCCATGAAGGTTAGGTCAATCCATTCAGAGCTTAGCAGCATGGGAACTCAGCCCAATCAGCTTCCGAAATTATCCAATAGGTTGGTATTTGATGAGTGAAGGTGAAAAGGCGACCATTCCCTTTGCTACGGGGCCCTCGGAGATAGCGGGAAACGAACTACTGGTACAGTGGCACCTAATAAGTCTTTGCCCCCCCTATTACTAATTATTATTCTGCCGGTCAAACCCTCCGAAATCAATAAAATCAATCTTTAGTATACCATCCGTCAGCCTCAATGACAGCCTTTACACGGTTTGGCATTGTATCCGATAGCTTTACTAATATCTCCCTATCTAGAGCTTGCCAGGCCTCCTTGGCTGCTTTTATTAATTGCTCAAGAGTTTCCACAGTATTAGGGGCACATTTAAGTTCAGAGTAAAGCTCATAAATTTTTGCCTTCATCAATGCCCATAGATTCTCAATGGGATTGAGGTCTGGAGAATATGGCGGCCAATCCATTACCTCAATCCCTAGTTCCTCCAAAAGATCTTGTATCAGATAGGCCCGGTGTAAGGGAGAATTATCTTGCATAAATATATCTCCTGGGCGGACAAATTCAGGAAGAAAAGCACGATATAATGCCTCAATAACAAATCGGTCAACACCTCCATGAGGAGCTTCAGGATTGCCATCTAGAGGAACCAAACCAGTTCTTCTAGCTTCACCAAATCCAGCCCAAAACATCTTTTTCACACCTTTCCCATGTGGCCTCTCATGGATATCATGAACTTTAAGTTGTTGTGATGGCCGAATAAAGGTCCAAGTAGCTCTCGCTCCAACTCCACGCTCAATAGAGCATTCATCTGACCAACAAACTCTAGCCCATTCAAGTCGTTTTGCAGCATGGGTATGGCATAAAGCTGGCCGAGAAAGTTGACGCCATTTGCGGAGACCCATCTCATTCAGGAGGTTGCGTATTGACTCCTTTTTAACCTTATTATCAACCTCATCAATCAGATCTCGGTATTTTATATGTAGACTTGTAGAGATAACATCATACAAATGATCTCGATCCTCTTCAGTAAGCTTGCGTGGTCGACCAGAACGGGGTAGGGAGGCATTGTTGCAACGTTGGTGTTCCATTCTAATGGTATATTTGATAGTTGATAGTGGAATCTCAGGATGCACTGTATGAATACGTTTAGCACCCCAATGGCAGGTAGTATGAAGCTCACAGATGCGAGCACGATATGTAGGATCTAATTCTTTTCTTGGCGGCATGGTGTAGGGCATTAGATGGTAGTAAAAGGGGCGAGCATATGGAGTAGTAGGGGTATGCGGTGTGGTCTAGAGCAGGCGGTGTACTAGAGGCCCGTGCAACGAATCTGGTGGGTCCGCAAGTCCCGGCCCTAAACCATTCAGAGACCAGACATCTGCCCCACTAGCCACGTTTGGTCTAGTATGGCCCCTCCGCGCCGAGAAAGAAGTTCTAGCGTGGGTTCTAAGGCGGATTTATATTAAAATGCTCTCTTTTTCGAGGAGCCTTACTATTTCCACTAAGTACTGATACTCATGTGGCCCGCAAACCTATGTGAATAGAAGACTTATGTCGTGATACCACATATGTGAACGACTGAGTCCTTTAAATGAAAGAAGAATTCTCCGTATTCTGGATTTCGAGGAACCTGTGTGCTCATTACTTACCGCGTATGTACCTCATGTCGGTATTCAACACAAGTAGTCTGTTAAAGTAAGAAGATGCACGGACCTCTCACAGGCCTCTGAAAAAAAAACCCAACCCTAACCCAAAATCAAAACGTACAGCTGGTCGTTCAACTTAAATTTAAACTGTTCTGTTCATCAGTTTTGCGCATACTGCCCGCATCTTTCTTCCTATTGTATCTACCCGACGAACGCACAATGAAACGCGGAGGGTAAAGCACCCCGGCGTGTCTGGGCTCCTTGAAGTTCAGTAGCTCCCCATCCCCGCCCCCCTTTTTTTCTTTTGTTATCTCGTGCTGCGTCTTGTTTGTTACCTTGAGAAGCACAGTGAATAATATGGATTCAATTACGCAGGCACTACAAGATGACAGCGACCGGAATCAACTGGCGAAACGCTGGCAGTATTTACTAGTGAATATAGAGACAGAAACCAAAGGATTTGGAAAAGGTGCCGGAATAAGGCTAAAGATCCCAGGCAGTCATGGTTGCAAAGCTACCTTGTGTTACAGACCTAGCGTCAAACCGCTCGAACGATTACAGCCTACGGATAACGCCTACCATGCAAGCCGGAACTAGCGCATTTCATATCACGTGATCAGGATTGGCATTGGTATACAGTATACTTGACAACTGTCAGGGCCCTTGCCATGTAGACCAGGACGAGCACGTGAGTTTCCTTATTTGGATTAGCGTGGTGCGTGGATAGGAATACGTCGTCCAGCTTCACGTAGATCTCTTCCTTTTTTTTCCCTCCTCTCCATGCTTGAAGTTCTCGTCGATAGCTGCCTAGATAGTTGAATAGCATCCTATTCATCGTCTAGTTGAGTTCCGTGACACCAAGAACTGGTCACTGAGGACTTTGCTACCGCTGTGAGAAATCAGAACACTACTAGTGGAAGGTCCCAGAACAACAATCATGCTCAGTCCCATGGCAACCTACCCCCTCTTTCTCCAGCCACCCTCCATGTCAGTACCAACACAGAACAGAAGGATAAATACAGTGGTCCACTAGATGCTGAGATGAGGGCTTTGCTCCGTAAGGAAGGACAGTGCTTCCATTGCAGGCAGCAGGGTCATATATCAGCATCCTGCTCCCAGCGTACAGCCAAGATCTCTGAGCTACAATCTCTGGAACAGAATGGACCCATGTCGGAAAACGCCTAGCCCAGGCAGAAGACTCCAACCTGGGCAAGTTAGGTATCAAACTGCAAGAAGTTGACGTGGCAGAATTGCTTGGAGGCCAAGGTTTTGATGTATGATATTATGTGACGATCAGCTATAATAGGATGAGAAGAAGAAGGAAGCAACTCGCTATTTGGCTGTACTTGTCTAAGAATATCGTACATGAGGAGAAGAAGAAGGAGAGGAAAGAGGGTGAAGACATGGTGGGGAGGAAATAGGAGGCGAGGGCAGCTGCCTGCCCTCAGCCCTAGCCCTGTGCCCTACTTGCTCAATCTGCTCTGGTATGGTCATCACGTATGGTCATCACAGTGACTGTTGATAGTTTGCGAGATCTCAAAGGGAATAGCGAATTGTACGCTTCAGTGACCTAGAAGGCTCCAGGAAGGACTGTAGCTGGTTCAGTATTGAGCTCTGCTTGATGGTCCATAACTGTACCTGTAAATAATTGTAGCTTGACATCAGAAGGGAACCATAAACAGTGAAGAGAAACAGAAAGTAAGAGTAAGGATTTTTGCCATCTTATAAATTATGTATCAGGAAAGTACGCCGAGGGTCTTCGCTGAGGGTGGCTTCGCCGAGGCGATATCTTATGGCTCTCACTGACCTCAGCATTGCTCGGCGATGTTATCCCTCAGCGGAGCCATCATCAGCGATGGCCAGGGAGAGCATTTCAGCAGGACTAGCCTGCAGCAGCAACGGGCATCTAATGGGTTGAAGAGCAATAAATGGAATTGTGAGACTCAAGCCAGTAGACGAAATGTGGATTGTAGTCATAGGTAGAAACTCTGGTCTTCATCTGGATAGCCACAGTATTGCAGGCTCCAGCGTTTCATGTACATTTTATGTGTTTTTCAAGGGACGAGGCATCATTTTTAAAAGGGAATATACCCATTTGTATGTGACAGCTTGAGATAATGATAATTGGGTGGCTCTGTGTTTTAAGGAGCAGAGGGCAAAGAGGGCTAACATAAATTCCTGTGCCAAGCACCCCGCACTTCTGATTAGCTGCATTATCCATCAACCAGACATTATATAGCCTAAGGTCCATCCCTTTCTTCGTTGCTATCATATCTCTCATTTTTACCCGCCTCTAGGAACAATAGGGCATCATCGAAAGGTATGTATTATCATCATTTATATTCTATTAAAATGCAACACTGATAGTATTTATTAGTTACTGAAGCAATAAGCCTCACCCTCCATATACAATCCAATGTACGTCTTTATGCTAGTGCTGGGAAATACGCTGACTATGGTAGATGTGTACCAACGTGAGAGGTCAATTCAGATGTGGTCATCTAGCTATCGTATACATTGGGAGATGCAATGAAGCCATCCAGAATCAAGTGACCTGTCCTACGCATCTCCGAGAAGACGTTCATGACTGGCAAGAGGATGAGGAGGAGGAGGACTGTCCAGCATGCAGAGGACAGACACCACCTGAGACTCCTTGACTGAATGGGAAGTGTGCCAGATTAGGAATTCACTCTGTGCTTTCCACTATCATTTGGTTTCTCATCCTAGCTACGAACTTTTGCTCCTCTTTGCCGCCCCAAGTGAGCCGTAAAGCTCCCTTTTTTGCTTTCTGCACCCAAGATCCACGTTGAATGAATTCCCTGTTATATAATGTAAGACTATATCCAATAATATTGTGAATATCTTACCATGTATTGCCCCTGCGGCTAGCAAGATAAACCTGATGTGGAATCTGTGCAACATCCTCCTTACTGAGTTCCCCTGTGACATTCAAGTCGAAAACGAACCATCTCTCTTTGGGTTCAGCAGAATCGAATTCACCAGGAATATGAACATGGTCATAGCCAGTAGGTTGAGGTTGTGCGTGGAACTCCCGGCCAAGTACCTGCTTGCAGAATGCCTCCCCAAGGGTGTTGGAGCGCCGCTGCGGTTCGCCGTCAATATCGGTAACGCGGGCTTTGATAATCACTCGCTTAGAGTCAAAGTCCATAATGAAAACCATAAAGTGAAATGTTCCTCATCTGAGACAAAAGACAGTGTAATGTTTATTTGTGAACCCTTTCAGTTTCCACAACTCAACTGTGTGGTGGCAGGAATTTTTTATGTATGACAAAGTCTGTTGGGTTGAGGAACCTCTACTGCTCACTTCTAGTCATATGACATTGCGTATCATATAATGTTGGTGGCCCAGGAGGTTCAGCTCCTTTCCTCTTTAGGGTTAGGGCGGCTTAGTCAGATAGAGTAGATAACTAGCCAGTAGCAAGACGCACAACGCGTACTTGTGGTCAGGAACAACAAGCATATTCCCCTATCTAGGACCTCACCAACATATAATAATGGGGGTATTCCATACTACTCAGTTCTCTCTATTCTGTGTTAATTTCCCTGACCAAGCGTAGGTTTGCTACACATTCATCCAATGTGTCAATCACTATCAGCAAGGGTGAGAGCTGAGGGGTGGATTGATTCATGCCCAGTAGAGGTTCCAGAAGCAATTTTTCAAACTGATCTCTCAGCATTTTTGTTGCAATGTTGGGGTCTTCCTAGACTGCTTTCCGCACACTAGGCAGCAGCTCAGGCAGCCTGCGTACTAATTGTCTTTTGATTGTCAGAAAGCTTTGTGGCACTTCCCCACTCACCTTCACCCCTCTTGAAGAAGAAACTTGCCTCTAGTTGATTGCTCTCTTTGAGCAAGCTTGTCAATATGGCTGACTCCTAAGTGCATTTTCTGCCACACTAAGTCACTGTACGCATCCTGGAGCACTACAATAGGTGCATGAGCAGGATTTTGAGTGAACATAGGAGACAGATGCATTTTGGTATAATAGCTATTGGAAAATGCCTCTAGAACCAGATTGAGGAAGCACTTGAAGCCAGAATTATGAAGGCCAGAAATGAACATGGTATCCTGTTGTGGAATATGCATGTAACTCAGGGAAGAAGGGCAGAATGAAACTGTATCGACTACACGTACGTAGCCTACTGTCACGGAACTCAACTAGACAATGAATAGGATGCTATTCAGCTATCTAGGCAGCTATCGACGAGAACTTCAAGCATGGAGAGGAAGGAAAAAAGGAAGAGATCTACGTGAAGCTGGACGACGTACTCCTATCCACGCGCCACGCTAATCCAAGTAAGGAAGCTCACGTGCTCGTCCTGGTCTACATGGCAAGGGCCCTGACAGGAGATATCTGTCCTAGCCCTTGGCAAAGCCCATAGTAAGCTTTCTTAGGGCAAGGATAAATATGCAATATGCAATCTTGATAAAGCTATTGGCCTGCAAATTGTACAGTGAGATTGTAACATACTTTACCTTAAACCTCTTCATAAGCTTTCTAAAGACCTCCTAGGGTTCTGAACCATCATCACTAACCATTACCTCCATATAGCCCCCATCCGCATTCCTTGGTCTGGACAGACTACCACTAACAGATACGATGTACTTGACGAGAGAGACGAGAGACGAATACATGGCAGAATACAAATCACCAGACAGCCCCTTTAGAATAAAACCACGCCTTGGCCCTATCAATCCCCAAACTCGTACTGAGCATCATCTTCGCAAACGAATCCATATCACCTGGTTGTCCATGCTGCAGCAACTGCGAAAAGTCCACATTGTAAACCAGTAAATGCTCCTTTTCCGCCCACGCAACCGCAAAATCAAACGCGTTCTGCGCCCTCCACAAATGCGTCGACGAGTACCATGCCGACACCAGCCCTAACCGTCCATCACATTGTATAAGCCGGTCATTCTGGAGCAGATTGTATACCTGAATCAAGTAAAACGCGAACATGAACGTGCGACGGGCGGACTCCTGGAAAACCCGCAAACTCCAGAAATCCATGACCGGTTCCATCGTTGACAATATGCTGCCCTCGGACTCCATCGAGTCCGAATCGGGCATGTGGATGAAGTTGCGGAGATATAGCGCCGAACGCTCGAGAGCCGGTATGAGAGACTCGGCGGATGCGAGGGCGTGGATCGTCCCGTCGAAGACGTACATAATTTGATATAATATTAGGGCCTGCGTATGTGCTAGCGCCTCCAGAGGTGTTGTAGGTGGGAGCGGTGATAGGAGATCCTCTGTGCGTGTTTTAAACGTGGACAATATAACAGGTGCATTTACTTCGTTTCTTGCCATGTAAAGAGCACAAGATGAGACCGCGTCTACATATGTGAGCCCGGAAATGGACACCCTGTGGAGAATAATCGTGGCTCCTTACCCTGCATAGCCCGGGGCATACCATCCTTGTACAGTTGACTGTGAGACCACGGAGTCTGATTCTCCAGGACCGTTGTCCGGGGCGCTTCCTTGATCCTGTCAATGGCGAATTGAAGTCGAGTGGCTATGATGGTCGAAACGGGTCTAGAAGACCTCGTTCTTAGAATAGCCATGCAGTTATTCTGGTCCCGTACAGCCGGATGAAAAACGGGTGAAATTAGATGTACGAGTTCCGTATCGGATCCATCGAGCACCGGGTCCATTGTTGAAAAAGTCGGTGCACCGCTGCTAGCATTCCCAGTGCCTTGAGGCCCAACGTAGATCGATGATGATAGGCCATCCACTTGCTCCATGAGCAGGGATATGTCAGAACTTGGCTCCTGCGAAATAGCAGGCTGTTGCCCCGGATAGACGCACGGTAGGTTTCTGCGAGCACAGCGCAAACAAGCCGGGAGGGCGAAGTCGCATCGCCGCTTGGCCATCCAGCATGCGTCGCAAGATTTCCGCCGAGGGGGATTGATTCGCTCTGGGGACGAATTATACATCTGCATGGTGGTAGTTCTAAAAGAAAATGGCTTCCTGCTTCTCCTAGTCTGGGTAAGGTGTGGAATGACGGAATGAAGTTCACTGCAGCCTGGACGAGCGGAGCGGCGGTGATGCGCCACCTGCGGAGCCCTAATTGCGGAGTTCCGCCGCTCAGTTGGAGCTCACAGCATGCTCCAATCAACCTGGTAGATCAGGCTGGTAGATCGTTTAATGATGCTTTGGGCTATCAGTGGAGCTCCACTAGGCCTAATATGTCTTTCTTCTAAGAGTCGTCCATCGTTCGGTGGCCATCTTGCTGAGACTAGGGCTGGCATGGAAAAATATATAAATGGTAGGCACTCAGAACCATCTCAAGTATGCTCACAACCCAACTCAACATATCTACCAAGTAACCCAGCGAAACGTTTACACTTGATCACAGTCGATATGTCCTCACCCACTGTCTTTGTCTGCGGTGCCACAGGTGCCCAAGGAGGCGCCGTCTCCCACCACCTCGCAAAAGGCGCCAAAGTCCACACCGTAACCCGCAACGACACCTCCGAGGCGAGCCACAAACTACGAGCCGCTGGTGCCTCTATAATTCCGGGCAACTTCGACGACGAACAGTCCCTTCGTCAAAGAATACAAGGCTGCACAGCTCTATTCCTCAATCTGGTGCCTGACTTCCAAGATGAGAGCCACGAACTCAACCAGGCCCGCAGAATCATCGCCATCGCGAAAGAATCAGGCGTCCAACACATCGTATACTCCAGTGCATTCGCCATGAATGAACCACATCGCCTTCGACACTGGGACACCAACAATCTCCTAGGCAAGACCCTCATGTCAAAACAGGCTATTAAGAATGAAGTCTGCAGCGCTGGGTTCCCCTTCTACACTATTCTCTGCCCGGGGAGCTTCATGTCGAACTTCCTCCTTCCCCTCGTGAGGATGTATCCCGGTCTCGTAGACAAGGGCCAGTTCACCACGGCCTTGACGCCGGAAACGGAGGTTGCAATGGTTGATCCGAATGATATTGGCCGATTTTGCGCGGAGGCTGTGTTGGATTCCGTTCGGTTTCACAAGGCCAAAATCCCGCTTGCGTCAGAGCTGTTGACCGTCGAGGATATCTTGGGGGCTTTGTCGAGGGCTACGGGGAGACGGATCACGGCACATTTCCTGTCGTCCGAAGAGATTGAGGAGCAGAGTGTGATGAATCCTGTTATTTTGGGGGAGTTTGCTATGCGTGATATTGCGCAATTTGCTGATATTGAGGGCATGAGGGCTTGGGGGTTTCCTTTGGGTTCCTTTGAGTCGTTCCTAGAGCGTGAGATGGAAAGAGTCAAGCAGACGTATGGTTTTTGATTGTCCTTTATGTTCATAGCAGATTATTGCATCTCAGAATGGCAATCCTCTACATTTATGGTCTCTCGAGAAACTGAACATTGAATAATAAATCTGATCCTGTCAGATAAGACAATATTGGGTATCATGTATCCATCACCAGCGTAGGCTACAACATATGCATAGGCATAACAACTACTGCTCCTTAGGCTCGCCGTTCTCAGCATTGCCGGCTTTTGCCCCTCCACCTCCTTTATTCTTCGCTCCTCGTCACCTCTCGGCCCTCGAGATGATTTCCCTCCGGACGTGGCCTCGCTTCCACCACTCTTGCCTCCACACGAATTGCTACCGCTACTGTTCGCCGGTTGGGCTTCGCTACGACCCTTACCACGAGACCTTTCTGCGCCTGGGTTAGCCTTTCTCTCAAGTACGACCACTTGACTTTGGGCGACCGAGATCGGACTAGCCGCGATAGCCTTCTGTAAGCCTTCTGGTTCGGCAAAATCCATGTACCCAAATCCCTTCTTCTTGTCGATTTCAACCTTCAGGATCTTTCCAAAAGGCGCGAATGACGTTTCCAGTGTCTGCTCCATTACTCCTTGCGAGGGATTGGCGTGCTTAAGGAATGCTTGGGTAGCCGTCGGAGATATGGCCGGTGCAGGTGATGCAGATTGTTTTCCCTTCCCAGTTTTCGAAAGCACCGAAACGGAGAAAAAGAGGGAGCGCGGAAATGGCAGTGCTGCGGCGAAGATCTTGCAACGGGATTTGGGATTAGCTCCAAGCAGCGGACATCGTAGGGGCACCAAAAGCTCTTCTACAGAGGCGGATGCCAATGCGGAACAGCTGCCGCGTGAAGGATCTACCGCCTCGGAATCTAGCAAGAAGGAAAATCCATCTGCGAAGGCATCCAAGAGGTCGGATCCCACGCCAAATGTGGCCAAGACTCAAGGCAATGACCCTTCGCAGTCAGCAGATGCGGTGTCTGCAGAAGCTGGCGCAGCTGCGGGTAGCGCATCTCAGACACCCCCAGCACAACCGAAGCAGTGAGAAGGTGTGTCCTTCGACGCACTCTGCTGTCGTAACGCTGTTGCCTTTGCAGCTGTGGATTTCGAGGTTGACTTGGCAGACGCACTAGTGGCTTGCTTGTTGCAGCCTTTACGGCCTCCTTGGTCGCTTTCTCTGCTTTGAACTTCCTTTCTGTGGATTGAGACGGGGGAGACTCTTTATCGGCCCGCTGAAGAAGCTTCTTAGCCTGTACCTTTTACGGCTTGCCCTCTTTCTCTGTCTTGCCATGTTTCCCGGACTTCGAAGAGGCCAGTCCAGCAACAAAGGACAGCCAAAAGGGAGTGAAACCAATGCTCTTCCACAGAATCCAGTGAAGGAATAAAATATGCAATAGTTCACTGAATCATACAGAGCAGGGAAGCGAATCGATCTGTGTGCCATGTCTGATGTCCAATGTCCCTTGCAATGCCGGTCCATCCAATTTCATGAGTAGAGAAGGGGGCTGTGTCGCGGACGCAAGAGGTCAGCCGGCAGGAGGCCACGTCAGCCGACCTGGGAATTCTGCCTGGCATGTGATCGAAGAGAGATGGAAACCAAAGGTGGGAATGTGGGAAACAAGACAGAAGTGTTGTTAAGCGACGCACCGGGATTTATACAGATGATGGCAGTCGGGAGGCGGGCGGTGCCAGACGGCAGATCCCAGGACGGCTAGCGGAGGACGCCAAACCCGATCCGGAACCAGGTAAACCACAAATGGACGACGCTATACGGGAACGGGCGGCGCAACGGGCGGCGCCAAACTAGAAATGGAAGGAAGCCGAAAACGGCAGCGCCTCAGCAAATCGCAATTCTACCCGAGCTCTACACAGTAATTGTGGCACAGTTGGTTATCCAGATACAAAGATTAGGACGGTCTATTGATTTGCCGAATCACTGTGCCGGGAACACGGCCCCGGCAGGTAGAGACACTAATGCCAAATCTTAGATATAGATGTCGAGCAGTTCAGGCAAGGATTAGCCCAACATACTTCCAACATTACAGAGGCAGCATGAGTGGATGTAGGATAATGTCTCATACTTGGCGCTGAAATTCACTGCGGCACAGTTCTAGCTATCTGTATGTTTACACTGCCACGCCCACGATCCTTTACGTTGTCCTTAGCTGAACTGGTCAATGCCATATTACGTCCAGAAAAGGAATTGAGCATCCCGACTCCCAGTATCTCGACTCCCCGATTCCCCGAACCTGAGCTATTCGCTTCAAAACTCGCAGGTCTCGGTCCGACTATCTCCGCTTCAACCGGCCAGGAGAAACCCCATTCATCTTGATTGATAGCCAGCTTTAACTTGCACATCCGCCTTCATATAATAATCACCATCATGCCAATATTCGAGCGAATAATATCCCTTTTCATTCGAGCTCGGCTTTGGTTGGGCAAGAAGCGCTTTGGCTCCTTAGGACCGAGCGTAGTGAGAGTGAGCGAAACCCGAATAATCAAAGGCCCGTGTGAGCCCGCAGAGCTTGAAGGCCTGAAACACGTTGCACAGTACACTTCTATACCTGTTCCAAAAGTTCATCGAACCTACTGCGTTTCTGGACGCCTCTATATCGAAATGGAATACATCCAGGGGGTTACACTCCAAGCTATATGGGCTAGCCCCAATTTATCATCTACTGAAAAGCATGCTATTGTTAAACAAGTTGCTGCTTACATCGATCAACTCCGACTTCTTGAGCCGCCACAGAAAGGGATTGTTGCTTCAGCAGGACTAGGACAATGTCTTGACTACCGTGTGGGGTACAATGCTTTTGGCCCCTTTTTCAACAATGAAGAATTTCATTCTTTTCTCCGCGGACAAATCCCATTGGAGGATTGTACACAAGTGTATGGTGAATCTGTCACGCAGTGCCATTCTCGCCAATACCGGACCTGTTTCACCCATGGAGATGTTTGCCCACGTAATATCATTATACGCAACGGTGATATTGTTGCAATTGTTGATTGGCAATTCGCTGGGTGGTATCCGGAATACTGGGAATATACAAAAGCGCATTTTGGACTTTTCAACATGCCGGACTGGTATGCCGAGTTTCAGAATGCTGTGCCTAGATACGATGATGAATTGGCTGCGGAACGTGCTCTCTGGGAGCAATTTGATCAACCGGGAATGTTGCAATGAGAATTCGAGGTTATTGGAATTGGAGCAAAGGTAAATAGGCAAAAGTACCTATTGCTACGATGATTGTCCTTCGCATTCAACACTGATTTCCAGACAACAGAGCAATTGTTGACCACACTGTCGTTGAAGTGAAGAAGCAAAACGATCCATTGGACGCATCACTTGAACAGCTCGAAAATGCGCTCGAGAGCTTGAACTGAATTTGGACGTTGTTGGGCACTGCTGATTTAGGGCATCGACTTCATTTTTTATGAATATCATCAGCACCGATCCGTTAACACTCGTCTTCTTCCCTGGGGACCTCCTGATCAACCGAGACAAATTCGTGTCATGTGCGGCGTGATACAGAGATAATCGATTGGATGTTGCGACGCATGATACAGCAAGATACCCCACCCACCCGCGCTTGATGAGAAACGGAAAACTGGGAAACATTGGCATACACGTCTAAGTTGCTCAAGGAATATGTAATTAGTGGACAAATTTGGGACAGAATATATCTAAACAATTTCACCGGCCCCTAATCTAGTGTGGACCGTATTCATTCGACCAGTATCAAAGCCAGACGAGCACGGGCTGCTGTGCATTATAGCATAGAGTGTATTCTCAATGGAGCTTATGGCAACCAAGCAAAAGCACCGACAAATATGTGAATAGCAGGGTAGGACAATATGTCTTATTTCATTCAAGGCAGATTCTCAGCAATGGAACATGGTTCAATATCCTTTTTCAAACCAGTAAATTGTGACAACTATGCAAGCAATGAGATCATATGATGGGGGGGAATCCCTGCTCCAAGCAACCCATATGAAATGCGCTGTCTGGACAAGGATGTCAACGAGTCTTCTCATTTATTTATCCTTCAATATAAATATATATATAAATGAAAAGCCACCTTGCTCTCTTACCTCGGCCTTGACAACAGTACGGTGATATTCTGGGCCGTTAGAACCCCGGCTTGAAAATGTGACATCCAACATGCATGAGTTCCTTCATGGGCGAGTCTTCCTATTTCCAGTGAGTCGATGGTAAGAGGACTTGGTTTCTAGGGGCTGTCAGACGCTTTAGGACCAAAGAATAGAAGACTTGGTAAGAGACTTACATCATGGCAAAGGTATATCCCTGCCCCTTTCCAAGTAGCAACATTTGAGCAACCGCTCTTATAATCATTGAGAAAAGAATTTTTCTCAAGATAGTTTATTGGATGGAGAATTTCAAATTTTCGGACATTATTTTCACTTGACAGACATTTGATATCTGTCTTTTCTCGTGCCTTGATATTAGCCAAAAGTTTAGTTGTGAACCCGGGGGTTATTCACCGTCGTAAGGGCACCTAGCCTTATAATATCTGGTAAGACACTGACGGCCAAAGTAAGAATTTTCTGATGCATTGTCATTAGATGTTGTTTCGGTTGTTTTTCTGAATCTTGGTACAGGGTACGGACCTCCAATATATGAATACTGGGAATCCGTTAATTTTGAACATTCTTGCGACACCTTTTGGTGTTGCAGCTGGTACTTTTTGGATCGGCAAATGAATTTGTATCAGTTGTAGACGCTTATGTGGGTCTCTTATGATGCATTGTACAATTGAATTATGCTTCTTCGTTTCCTTTCTAGTTGAAAGTGTGTTTATGCGTTTCAGCCACTTCAAGCCCTCCACTGCTCTTTGGCCCGTTTGCACACAATGAATTTATTGGCCAACTGCATACCTGCTGAGGAAGTGGGCCCTTGCTGAGCAACCCGGCATACCAGCTGGTGGGAAGGTCCTTAGTGGTGCAAAAGCGTCCCATGCATAGGTGCTTCTCTAATTAACCATTCAGCCATGGATCCTGAAGTAGTTCCTTCGCTGTCTTCCTATCTTCAGGTCGCCACTGAAGCATCCCTCTTATGAAAGCTATAAACATCTCCTTATTCTTTCCCTCAAGGAACCTTCCGATAGCTCCAAACTGACCTCTGCCGGGATTTCTATGTCCTGCTTCCATTTCCCTGTAAGGTTGTCTTCGTAAGTCTTTGACAAGTGCACTGAGCGAGAAAATGATACTTACCGTCACTCGTAAAGAATTCATGGCTTCGTTTCCCACGCTGGAGCATATCTAAAGGAGGTGGCCCTAGAAAACCCATAACTTCTGCAAGGATGCGCCCGGGTCGAATACCCTTTGCCATCAGTGTCATTTCCATAGAAAAGGTGTCTCCCCTCAAACAGATCCCATACCTATTATTCCTCAGTGGTTAGTACATGACATGACGCTGAGCGTGGAGAATGAATAGGCGAAGCATACCAAGACACCAACATTCCATATATCAACCGGGTAGCTCCAATCCGTCTTCAGCATTACTTCAGGTGATCTATAAACATTTGGCTGTGCATCGTGATTCCTCCTCTCATCTCCTCGTACAGCAGAGCCAAAATCACTTAAAACTGCTCGGCCAAATGCCTCCGGTAAGTCGAAACGTCGCGAGGCGTATATCGGCAAACCATTGACAATTTTGCGGGGTGAAGGGCTCTTCAGCTCAGCCTGGGTAAAACTTTCGAGAATAGACTTGTCTTCTATTTCCTGGAGAATATTATCGCTTTTAATGTCTATAGAAATGCAGGTTAGGCTAACGTATTTTGACAAAGCCTTATGGATATGTATTACCTGTATGAACAAGCTTGCATTCAGTGTGTAGGTAGTCAAGCGCAAGAAATATTTGCGTAAGACCAGATTTGAGGAGATCTTCAGTAAATCGATGGTTGGGGTTACGACAAAGGAGGTCCCCGAAGCTCTCCCACATCGGGTTCTGAACAAGACACAGATGGTCACCACCCGAAGAGGAAATTGTGAAGATATCCAGTGCTTTCCTTATATGAGCATGGCCGGGGTGCCATGAACTCCCTTGGTTTAGTTGCTTATAGACCTGAAACTCTTCCTGGTTATCTTCGTTACGAGTGTAGATTTTGAGTGTCACATATCGATGACCTCTGATTGTTTCAGTGGGTCAGGGTTTAATTAAGATAAGTAGATCTGCCATGACTTACTCAAGATCACGGGCGAGCCATACGGTCGAAGTAGTCCCAAAACCAAGTTTGCCAATGATCTGGTATCTGGAAGTGAGCACGTCGCCGATATTAGCAGGATAATATTTTCCTGTTTGAATTGCTCGAACCGTTCCTCTTCAAGCACCTCTGAGGGACGCACGGTTTGGAGGCAGCTGGTGGGGAAAATAATGGGAGGGGAGTGAGACTTTCGAAGCGCCTTTGTGGCCCATCTCATGATATTAGCCATGTTGGGTATGTAGAAGGAGAAGAGGCTGGTTTTGGTTAAGGTGAGACAGGAAGAATGTAGAATAAAGTGATGTGAATTTAACTACTCATTTCAGACAATGCAATCAATCAATCAATCAAAATACTCAGTGAGAACTTCGCTGAGCGCCCTCATGAAAGCACGGGCATCCAGAAGGGGAAAGTCAATGTGGTTCTAGAGTTTCCATTTTATACAGTGGCATATATCATACCATTCTCGACTCAATCCAATCTCCTAGCCAGCTTCACGGGCAGGTATCAGCGCCACATGCCATGTCGCCTCAACCAGGCCATAATCGTCAGTGTGATCTCAAGCAGCCACTCAACCCAAGGAGTATATAAAATGGTAGACATACTTATAGCACTTATCGACTGTCTGAGCAATTGAATATCTGTACAGGGTATAACGAGAGCTATTGATGCTGAAGAAAGAAACAGCCACATATACTGCATTATCAAGAATAATATACAGAACATCCGCATTAACAGCTCCCCATCACCATCACTATCGCTACCACTACCTTTCTACCTTTAATAGTATTTCTGTTTCCGCAATGGCAGCCGTCCACCCCCGTCCTCTGCATAGTCTGGGACCTGTTCACCCACCACGCGTTGAGAAAAGTGCCGTCAAGCCATCCATAGCTAGACATGTTGATATTCGGGTCAGTGATCCGTTAGACCACGATGCGCCTGCTATCCTGCACGAGCCGAGAGATTACAGCGCCACAGAGTCGAAGGGGGCAGCTGTTGTCTTGATCAGTGGTGCGGGTGGAGGAGTCAGTGGGCCTGCTGGTATCTTCTATCCCTACGGAGTACCCGTCTATCCATACTATGGTTCACTTTATTTGAAAAGAAAGAGCTAACCAGCATAGGCATCTACCCATCCCTAGCAGATAAACTAGCCCTTCTCCTGGGTATCCCCACAGTCCGTCTAGACTACCGCCAACCCGCAAACTCGGAATACTGCTCCGCAGACGTAATAGCCTCGTTCGACTACCTAGCCAGGCAGTTCAACTCTACCCGCTTCGTGGTGGTCGGCTGGTCCTTCGGCGGCAGTCCCTGTTTCACCGTCGCGGCGAAAGAACCCAATCGACTCCGCGGCGTGGTGACGGTTGCATCGCAGACGGCGCAGACGAACGGAATCCGGAAGATGAGTCCACGGCCGTTACTCCTCCTCCACGGGACGGGGGATCAGGTGCTCTCTGCGTCGTGCTCGCAGGCCCTATTCGAGATGTATGGGACCGAGGGGCAGAGGAATCTGAAGTTGTTCGATGGGGATGATCATGGGTTGACACGGAATGCGCCCGAGGTGGAGAAGGTGATTTTCGAGTTTGTGGCCAGGACGTTGGGGTTTGAGAGTGTCTTGAGCGATGAGACGGTCAGGCAGGCCGGGATAGATTTGGTGGAGAGCGTTGGGGGAAGAGTGAAGGAGATGGAGGAGGGGAGGGATCTGGAGGGGGAGAGGCTGTCTTGATTTCTGCTTGTATCAGTTGGATGTCTGTTCTCCTATAATCTTCATAGACAGTTGATGACTATGGATCGGGAATATGAGTCTTGATAGATTGCAGCAAAGGAGCTATGCTTTTAGGGACCTGGGTAGAATGAAGATGAAGATCTAGATAAATGATGCTAAATAAGAGTAGATCGACACAGCCACGAATCATTCGATCATGCCGCCACCACCCAGACCAGTCCATATTTCTTGTTGACAGGTGTCGATATCAGCTCTATCCTTCCTCTCTCAATATTCCTGTTTCCAGTGCATCACCTGCACTCTTTTTCCAGCTCTATTTGTTTTGTCGGTTCATTGTTCCCTACAACATTCTGCGACCCTTCAGCTGCATTGCGTCGAGACTCTTTTTCTCGTCTGCGCCACTCGACCATTCCGCATACTTCAACACCATGAAATTTGGCTTGTACATCAATAATCGAGGTTGACTTCGATATCCGGTCTATACAGCCTATACATAATCAGAGACTGCGACATCCTCTTGCAGACCACCTGCGCTATCATCCAAACCTGCCGTTCCCCCGTTTCAAGTTCTTTCCCCTGGCAGGAAGTGCTGGAGAATCCATGCGCTCCGCAGCAAAACTATTCCACTTGGCCCTTTTTGCCTTTCTGGGGCTAGCCAAGGCCGATGGCACTGATGCGAAACGGGCGCAGCATGCGTCGGAGAACTGCGTATGATAGAATCTCTCCTATCCCCACTCTTCTTCCCAGACCTCTTCCCAGAACTGCAGCTAACTCTCATTTGTCGTCTCCAGTTTGACCCTGCGTCCGTCATTGATGATACCTGCGTTTCGTACTCGACGATTAATACCTTAAACCAGCGCATCTACCCATTACTCCAGGAGATAACACAAGAGACAGACTTCTTCTCTTACTACCGTCTCAATCTCTTCAACAAGGAATGTCCGTTCTGGTCCGACGCGAATAGCATGTGCGGCAATGTCGCCTGTGCCGTGAACACGATTGACTCCGAGGAGGATATCCCGCTCACCTGGCAGGCAGAGGAATTGAGCAAGCTCGAAGGACCGAAGGCGGGCCATCCTGGCCGAAAACAGCAGGAGGAGCGGCCCAAGGACCGTCCGCTGCAGGGTATGCTGGGTGAAGACGTCGGGGAGACTTGCATTGTCGAATATGATGATGAATGTGACCAACGGGACTACTGTGTTCCTGAGGATGAGGGATCCGCTGGTAAAGGGGACTACGTCAGCCTGGTGGATAATCCAGAGCGGTACACGGGGTATTCTGGTATGGGATCGAGACAGGTCTGGGACGCCATATACCGTGAAAATTGTTTCCTGAAGCCTGTTCCGGAGCTGGGTACGTCGCCCAATGTCCAAGGTCTGGGCCTCCAGGCTGCTCAGGACTTCCGCAATGTGCTTCAAGAGGTTAAGCGTGGGGACGTATTGACGTTGGATAACGAATGTCTCGAGAAGCGAGTCTTCCACAGACTCATCAGTGGCATGCACGCATCGATTTCGACCCATCTTTGCTGGGAGCATCTGAACCAGACCACGGGCCAGTGGCATCCCAATGTGCAGTGTTTCAAGAATCGACTGTATTCGCATCCCGAGTGGATTTCGAACATGTACTTCAACTACGCTCTCGTGTCGCGAGCCGTCGCGAAGCTTCAGAAGCACTTGCAGGGGTATAAGTACTGCATCAGCGATCCGAAGCAGGACTGCGGCACCCGAACGAAGGTTAACGAGTTGACCAGCATCCTTGCACGTCAGCCGCGGATATTCGATGAGCACCTCATGTTCCAAGACCCCAGCGCGGTAGGCCTGAAGGAGGAATTCCGCAACCACTTCAGGAATGTAAGCAGAGTTATGGACTGCGTCGGATGTGACAAGTGTCGACTATGGGGCAAACTGCAGACTCACGGCTACGGGACCGCCTTGAAGATCTTGTTCGAATACGACGAGACCAAGAACGGCGAGAACCCTCCTCTGAGGCGCACGGAACTGGTCGCACTGATGAACACCTTTGGCCGCATCTCCCACAGTGTGGCTGCCGCTCAGAGTTTCATTCAGGTCATTGAGAGGGGATGGGAGAATATGCTCACCCCCGCACCTGTGGACGTGACGGATGAAGATCCTGCCGTGAAGAAAGGGAGATTATTGTACAAGGACGGCGCGAACAACTACTATTTCAAAAACGACGACAGTGATTTCGAACGTCCGACTGCAAACGAACCGTGGGTGCGACGGCCCCTGGATGAGTCTGCGAGCGCGATGGACGAGTTCAAAGCCGAGCTGGCCGTGGTGTGGAACACTTTCGTATTTGTATTGAAGAGCTGGTTCAATATTCCCAAGACGCTGTAAGTAAACAGTGCATACTTCCCTCTTTAAAAATACGCTGCTAATAGTCTCTAGATTTGAGGTCCTTATCCTGGAGACCAGCCGTCTCTGGAACTACTGGCTGGGTCTCCCTGTGCCGCCACGCTCCTGGAGAATCCAAGTGCCCAAGGAGATGCGCCGTGATGAGCTATGACACTCTCTGTTTTATATTTTGCATAGTTGTTGTTGCATCCGTGTTCTTTTTACCTCTGTATAAATAGCAGACGGCTTGGTTGGATTGGCCGGCGTTTTGGAGGAGGGGACGAGGAGCATATCCATACTTCCCCTGGGATTAGGGACTATTTTTACAGCGCTGTATATCGACGTCCAAGACTCTAGACTCTTCTCAAGTATATTGAATTGGCGTTCATGGTGTTCTCTGGTTGCGTTGTGCGCAGCGTCGTACTGGAAAGGGGGTCGACAAATATAGAACGAGTCGACTGACAGTTCGCATCAGGCATATGATCTCTTCCCCGTACTCCATACACTGCACTCCATAATAATAGCATATGGCGAGACTCCAGGCACTGTCAACTTGTCCTAATCATAATACCACGGCAGTCGGCAAGCGGTGCTCGGCGACATCCTCGGCATCCGCTCTCATTTGCTCCCCACGCGGCAGTGAGCCACATGCCCCAAACTCTTCCGTCGCCTTCTTCCCTGCGCTCCTCCATCATCCCCGGCCAGCTCCCCCCTCTACCCCCTATTCCATCCATCAGGTAATTCTTCCCATCATCACTGCATTCTGCTCTTTCTTATCTTCTTCTAGTCCGCAGTTCCGACCTGCTTTTGGGCTGGTTTCCTCCATGCAAGGCTGTTGATATCACCGCATACGCCATGGCGACGGTATCGCCACCCAAACCCTGGGAGAGGGCAGGCGCTGGAGGTTGGTGTCCTTAGGCCTATGGTCTTTTATCTTTGCAGGAAAACTGATGGATATGTCAGGCGCTCCCTTAGCAGCATCATCCACCACCACCGCGGGGTCAGGGACAACAGCAACATCACCCGCTGCTAACGGGACAACCGCTTCTTCCTCTGCCGCTCCCGACTTACCTTCTCGACCAAACAGTCTCAATTCCGTCGTGAATCGGACCGCGACCAACTACTCGCCATACTCTGCCTCGCGCTTCGGCACCAGTCCCTACGGAAGCTACGGTGGATATGGCTCGTATTCCTCTCCTTACTCGCGCTTTGGTACCATGGGATCCATGTATGGTGGTTACGGAGGCTACGGGGGCATGTACGGTGGAATGGGGGGGATGTATGGTGGCATGCCCGGGATGTCTGGTGATCCCAACGATCCTAATAGCTTGACAAATTCTTTCAGTCAGAGCACACAGGCGACTTTTCAGATGCTCGAGAGTATTGTCGGTGCGTTTGGAGGGTTCGCGCAGATGCTTGAAAGTACTTATATGGCTACTCATAGCTCATTCTTTGGTATGTCTTCCTCCCCCTTCGACTTGGACCATGTACGTCGGACATAAATTAACAGACCTCTGCAGCAATGGTATCTGTCGCAGAGCAGTTCGGGAATCTTCGCAACACTCTCGGATCGGCTCTAGGTATTTTCACAATTATTCGATGGCTCAAGACGCTTTTCGCAAAGCTTACCGGTCGTCCACCGCCGGCTGATGCCACTGCTCTTACTCCTTCGGCCTTCGAGGCGTTTATGCATGGACGTTCGGTGTCAGGATCCCTTCCAGATGGCTCTCCTGTCCCGAAACCGTCGAAGAAGCCATTCTTGGTCTTCGTCCTTGCCGTCTTTGGCCTTCCTTACCTGATGGGCAAGCTGATCAAGGCACTTGCCCGTTCGCAGGAGGAGGAGATGAAGCGTCGACAGCAGCTCCTGGTGGGCGCGAACGGTGAGATGAGCCAGGCAGACCAACCCGCACCTTTGGATCCTTCTAAGCTTGACTTCTGCCGCGTGCTGTACGACTACACGCCGGAGTCGCAAGAGAGCAGTGGGATCGACCTGGCGGTGAAGAAGGGGGACATTGTGGCTGTGCTTAGCAAGTCCGACCCGATGGGCAACGCATCGGAATGGTGGCGGTGCAGAGCACGAGATGGCCGAGTTGGGTATCTCCCCGGCCCATACCTGGAGACGATCCAGCGACGGCCTGCGCAGCAAGCGATCACATCCGGCAGTACGGCAGGGAGCCGGAGCAGCACGATGAATGAAGCAACCGCGAAGATTGAAGAACTGCGTGCGCAGCAGCATGCGAAACAGGCAGTTGAGAAGAAGCCGGAACTGAAGGGGAAAATGGGAGACATCTCACCTGAGAGTTTTCAGAAAAGCGCGTTTTATTCTTGAAACCTGACAGACAGGACTGGACCAGAAGGATTGGTTGGGTTTGGATCCGGGGCTAAAGTTCTGGGAACAGCGCCAGATTCATCATTCCATGATACGCCATATTACTCATTTTATTGTTAATCTGCTGGTTGGGCCGGATGGTTCTAGACTTTGTTACGTTCTTGCGTGTTCTTGTTATAGTTATTGTGGACATTGTTTACATGGGGCAGTATGTACCGATTCCGTGGAGTTTCCACTGTGGAGCGGCAATTCATGTATTGATATCAAATCCCTTGGCATTTTTCACCCTGCTGTGTGGGTCTCCCGGGAAGTATGGAGTTACTCGGTAGTAGCTGGGGGATGTGCATCCTGATGATGCTGACGATCAATAATCACCAACGAGATTAACGACCAGGCCTATTTGGTTGCACGTGTTGTCTGCAGCCTGAGACTGACGATGAGAAAGCAATCTTACTGAAGAAAGTCGACAGAAAGTTTGATCTCAGCCAACCTCACTCTCCGTCTTGGGTAGTATTCAACTCGACTCAGCTCAGCTCAGCTCAACTTTATTCATAAGTGCCGTGCTTAGTACCTGGTAATTAGGTATTGTTTGACTTTCAGAGTGGATAAGACGGATTAGGTATTATGCATTCCACAGTTGTATGCAGAGTAACTGAACTAACAGTTATTAATTAAAACTGTTAGTACACACAGACTGAAGAAACATAATAGATGATCTACACTATATACAGTACAGAGTATTAAGCACAGCCCAGCATAAACAAGGCTTACCCTTCGTACATTGATCTGATCGAATTGGATCCGGTCAGACTGTCGATCGGGATTATATATTAGTACAAAGTAATAAATAAATAAATATCTACTTTATTTGCCCCGTATTGAGAGTACAGCTGTAGATATCTGATGTTAACAATCAATTATATTAATGCTCCGGACAGAGGGACTGAGCGCCGAAGCCAAAGTATAATATAGTATAGTATACAGAATCGGGTGATGCTTTCTCGGTAGATAGTTACGAAGTTCGACCCCGTATTCATCCATACTCCATCAAATCAAATGCATAGACGATCAGAGTCAGCAGATGAGGCAAGATCAGAAGCTAAGACAAACTAGGCGAGACGAGGTTATGTAGATAATGGTAACTTGTGATAGACATGCATGAACTTCCGAGGCTATCAGTATCAGATTATTGGAGGCCGAAAAATCATTATTATATTGCTGCAGTAGAATAGCATCCTGCAAAACGCAAGTCTTCAACCCAAACGGCCTGTCCCTGGCAGAAAGCGTCTGCAGTGAACCCTGCCGTCGATAGAATTCGTACTTTTTCACAATCCGACATGTCATGTTGAGCGGTACAGAGGGTTCAATAGAGTGCCTGTGGCTGATGGACTTGCATATCCCTTTCTTCAGCTTCACGAAATATAAGACTATTCAAAATTCAATCGTTCATGGATATGTAAAAATCCTGCAGAACAGATACATGGATATATAGCGAGTGTAAAAATAGAAGATAGACGAAAGTCCCATTCCCAATAGCGAAACTTTTAGTTATCGAAAAAAGCAAACTTCAGAATAATCTCGGCCTGTCGCCGTTCGAAAGATAGCCCACCGAATCATCATCGTACGGATCTATGTAGCGTCCCAGCGACTCCGAGAGCTGTTGTTGCATTATAGCCATTCGTTGTTGGTAATCACCTAGGTCTTGCCATGTGAGTACTGGTTGTTGTTGTTGTTGTTGTTGTTGTTGCTGCTGCTGTTGGATTTCCTCTTCTTCATTAACCTCCTGCATTGGCTGCTGTGGTTCCGATGGAGATGGGCTCCTTTGCACGTTGCTCGCAGGGACAGACGAGCGGGCATGTCCTCCACCGTTGACGCTGTTCTCGCTGTAGTCGTTGCTGCAGTCATTGTCTGCTTCTTGATCCAGTTCTGACCCTAGAAAATAATAATTCAATATCTGCTCTCTCTCTATAAACATCATGACTGGACTTACTATGGTACGTCGATGTTGCAGAGCTTTCTCTACCGGGTGTGGTATGCATGTCCTCTGGTTCGGGAGTGTAGCAACTCATATCGGAAGGGGTTTCTGTTGCACAGTGAGTTCCTGTTCCCATGTCTTCTCAACGTAATACGACTCACTTGGTTCCTGATCGTCTGAGTTGTCCAACTCATTCCACGAGGCACTGTATCTGTTTATAAACCGCGCTATCCGTTTCGAGTCCACCTTCTGTCCACCAACTCGGAATGCTGTATGATGTTTCCCCCGTGCGGCGCGCTTCTGTTGCTTGCGGATCATAAACTGGACTTCTCTCGCCTTGATATTCTTCCGAATCCCCCACGCTGCTAGGCGGTCTTTGTACTGTTTTTCTCTGGTTTCGCGTTAGGCACGATCTGTTAAGGGAGAGAGAAAAAAAGGATGTAGAATAATGAATTGTCCAGAAAACTAGGCTCAGTCCTTCCCTTCCCATGGAAATTGATTAATAACCATCAAAAAAAGCAAAGGACGAAACTAGCAACCCAGGCAGTTAATTACATAGATGGGGGCGGGTGAAAAGAAGACAACACCAAGGAAAGCGGAGGAAGTACGAGGCCACAAAGTTATAATGTTTCTCCATGTAGGCTTTGACGTCGCGCAGTTTCAGCTGGTCGTCGCGATAGAGTTTCTCGATAATTGAACGGAACTCCTGCCAGTCCTCAGATCTGCGGGGACGGAAGACGGCCGACGGCGACGCAGACGGAGGAGGCAGGGAAGCTTCCATCCTTTCAAAAGGAATCGCAGTGAATAGACAATCGACTCGATCGACCGGAAAGACTCCCATCTATTTGATCGTTATCACAAGTAGCTGTAGCAAGCCTTGGACTCGTCAGCAATTTCCTGATTATAATGAAGAACATAACCATAACAATAATAGCGGCCGAGATACTGCTCTTATAACATACTTGCCGGTATAAAATTAGAAGCAGAGGAAGTGTTCAGACGAACCTCACTGTTACCTTACCCGCGCCCATTCACGTCTCGCGCCTTCTCGTCCTCTTGCTGTTCCTTCGCTGACGGACTCCCTCACGGGCCCAGTCTGTGCATTATTTTCCTTCTGCGACTTGGATCAACCAAGAAGGGCAGGAGATCAGGCAACTGAGCTGCGTAACACACCTAGGATAATAGTCACGGCCCGGGGTTCGCGGATGCGTGAGAGAATTGAGCTGGGTTGTATGCAGCTAGTGATTAGTACCGTGCTTCATGGCTAATGGACCCCGCGCCCTTTGTTCCCCGCGCCTATCACCGTGGTCGAGGTGCGTTGGACAGCCGATGGTCGGTAGATGACGCGTCGTACTTTGTCCGTGGTATTTTCGGCCACGTCAAAGCTCCTCGACTAAGTACTTCCACCCGGTGGATAGCCCGCTTCCTTTTAATTAAATTTCGTTGCCTTGTTTTCTTTTCTTTTTTTTTTAATCATTTTTTTGCCCAGCAGATCTAGGGGCCCGGCCGCTTCTTTTCTTTTTTTTCTCTCCCCTTTCTTGACCCACCCATATAGCTTGAATGACGGGGCTGGACTGATTCTCCTGCTGACAAGTCCCAAATCTCAAGTTTTCGGTGCTTCTTTCGCCGAAGTTCTAGCCCTCTGACTGGGAGAAAAGGGTGGGGATTATGCATAATCGTGGCAGGATGTTGGGGGCCGACACGACTATTGCACCGCATATGCTGTAATAGTCTGCGCGCGAATCGTGAAACACCTGAAGATTGACTGGGTTTAAGGTCCGCTCCGTCGCGAACTCGTTTTTTCCCTTTTTTAAAAAAGGGCCTATGCAGTGTCCATCATCGCTTCGCGCGGTTCACGGAACTATCTAGGGGGTCCGGCCAACCCAGGGAATCAGTCCAGTTGCATGCGCTAGCTATGCTAGTGGCGGTAGCACTGCTATGTCAAAAGAACACAGACTCCCTCCCTCGAGGATCGTCAATACTAGCGTACGCTATGCCCCAGGCATACCATGCGCTGTGAGAATTACCGCTGAAATCAGAGCTGATCCACTGTGCTAACCCGTAAGGTTTGCCGGCCGTCGGTCAGTGCTGGTGAAGCCCCTTTGATTAATATGATTAGATGCGAGGCAAGGAGCCAGAAAGGGGGATTCTAACTCCAGGCCAAGAGAACCCGTCTTTCGTAGCGCCAACGGCCACAATCCAACCAAGCCAGGAAACTCGGGGCTTGCCAGCTTATATTGAGCAACAGCAGCCTCGCTTTATTGAGATGCACAAGACTGTCGTCAACGCTTCCTATTTGGTTCTGTCATCAGAACTAGTCACAGGTTAAGCAGGGGTCTTCCTAGCATGCTCTGGACAAGGCGAGTAAGAGCCGTGCATATATTCTGTGTTGAAAAGATCAACTTCCAAACTTTGCGTGGGGGTTTCTTGCAAGCGTGTGCGGTCCGAGCCCATTGTCTCTTGAAGGTCTCCGTCTAACCTTGTTACCCAGTGGTTGAATACATCCCATTGGTCTCCAGCATTGACGTTGGAAATAGGTGCTGTCTATGATGTCAAGCCAGCTGATTCGGGTCGTGGTGATATCAAGTTCATGCAGATATTTGTCACCTGTCAGGTCGGAAGCCTGAACAAACTATGACACCTCTTGGAGCAGACCAGGTGGTTGCCCGGGGTAAGAGCATATCCACCTGCATGAAACTATCGTGGGCAGAACCGGAGAACAGACGGGTATTCCTGACTTGAATGCTCCCACGCCCTGTTACTCAACACAAGCTCCCGATTACACATATGCAGCAGTCATTCTCAACTACGCCACGATAAGAAGGATTCCAATTCAACTTGCTGGCCGGGATTCCCCCTGCTCCTCAAGCCACTGCTCCTGATAGTGTTTAATCTGCTCATCAGTGAAACCAAGATCTTCGATCAGTTAGGGATCAAGTATGAGGTTCCTGGCGCTAGGTTGTTCCTCATACTCCCAGCGGAGGATCCTGCGAATAGAACGAAGGAATCCCTCTCTGTCTTTGTCGCTGCCTTGGATGTTCATGGTGAGTTTTTCGAGGGTGATGTCGGGCATGGGGACAAGGTTGGTCTACTTTCCTAAACAAGTGCATGCACCAGCAGGAGCTCATACTATTCCGACTACCTTTTTTCTTCATTACCGCTCACGTTCTTCATCCCGGAATAATGGAATATTTGCTCCTACGCATACATCCAGGTGATAGCGGGCCCATCACAGCGCCCATTCCGCAACATCATATCCGTCATGGTGTTCATAGGTTTTGGGGTCCAGACCACGGAAAAGAGTCTGTGGAGACCTAAGTTGCCAGCCCTAAAGAATTATAGATTAGTCAAGAAACACCTATAGTTACGAATATGACTTGGCTATTAGCTTACCACCATGGCAAAACTCTACATATCAACCTTTTTATTACATTTCATCTGCATGACAATTTCTGGAGCTAGATAGGACCAGGCGTAATAAGATCATCATGATCTTGAACAGCGAACCTCGCATCACCAAAATCATAGATGAGGAGTGACCCCTCAAGATTCTGTGACGTATCGCGTGCAATAAATGGTCCGATCCTCGTACATTTTCCAGGATGAGGGGTTATCAACTTCACCATTTTCGAACCCCCTGTAAAGTGCCGGTGTGCTCGCAGGGAGCAGTAGGTTTTTAGGCTGGAGATCTTGAAACACATGTCAGGCCCGCATTACCCAATATAAAAGATGAATGTGACCTACCTGTATGTATAATCCCTGCCTGTTCGTGAAGAAGGTCCAAACATATAAGCAGGTGCCGAAAAAAGGATTTCAGTGTCTATGGAGAATGAATTATTATTCGAGTAGGAGAAGAGACGGCCCATAGTAATTCCTAGGGTTTCTTGAACGATGCAAACGTACTTCCCACGAGAACCTTGCACCTGAAAGGATGCGATGAACTTGCGAATATGTCTGCATCCAGGAGGATTCATCTTCGCAGCAACCCAGTTTATGCGTTCATACATGGCCACCTCGTTGCCTCTGGTATCTCCGGCGACGTAGATCTCCAGCGCAACATACCTGGGGACATTGGGTTCTCTGACAGAAGACATGGTCAGCATTTTCGTCTCCCAGCTAAACCACCCAAAATGAAAGATATTAATTCCTTGCATCAGGTCGGGGCAAGCCATACCGTTGATGTAACGCATAACTGAGCTTGGCAACCACTGCGATGCAGCGCGTATATTGTCCCAAGGAATTCCTTTTTGACAGAATATCCCCCAATTATGTCGTTGATTAGAGAGAATGTGCTGCTACCATTTCCCCAAGGAGCAAGTGATAACCACAACTAACTAACGCAACCCCAGGATCCTCGTATTGTTCGTTCCAATGTCCCTAATGGTTTAACAAAAAACCTTAGGGGCATCAGATTTCTCCATATCGATCTGGAAGGGATGTTCAAATATTTCGCCTACTGCGAGGCAGTGGAGGAATAAGCAACAACCGTGATTGGAAAGCCTGGGAAGGGCAAGAAGCCAGCGAAGTGAATGGCCCGGATACTCAAAACAGTTTAGCTAGTATCATATCTCAGTGTGCTTTTGATGATCCTATTAGCAATGATAATTCCTTTTGTGTTGTTGTTGAATTTTTTTTTTTAAGGTGTAGTACTCCGTATTCACCGTGTCCTTCGACAACAATCCTGCGCGTTTAACAGAATCTTTGTAAATCCTCATTTACCTCTCGGACTGGAGGTAAGACGCCCGCATGAAACTCAAGACGCCCGCATGAAACTCTTAACATACAAGGCGTTCAACACGGGGTTAGGAAACTGCTAATGTTTGCCAAGCCGTGCCGGAACACCAACCAAGCTTCCCTAACATAGGCTCGAAAACTTGGGAGCTAGACACGGGCAGATGAAACACGAAACATGCATGCTTCGCGGAAGCCTAGTACAGGAAAACGGAATCAGAGGGCCCATGCATTAGACTCGCGGATGGAATATTGGACATCCCGCTAATGAATAGGATTCGATTCCAGAATCCGACGCAATGGACCGGGCCGACGTGGCTCAGCCGCATCTCAGTCGCCGTGGTATGTTTCATTCTGGTAATGGCGAAGGACGAATGCGGCCATGATTGCTGCGGATCCCCCAGAATTAGAAATTGCCGAATTGTTCCCACTTCCAGCCCTGGAGGGCGTCGGGCAACCCTGACTCCGCTTTCAAGCTTCGAAAGATGGCAGCGTAGCATCGCCACCGGAGTTGTCCCAAGGAGTTCCATTTCTAGTACCGAGGCGTCAAGAGGAACCACGTCGCAGAAACCGCAGCCGGCCCGGGCAATCAATAATGACAATTGTCTCACCAATTTTGTACGCCATTGTCGATCTAATAGTAGTCGCCTTGATCCTATTGATATTACCATCCCGTTATTCTAGAATTCTATATCTATCTCCTCGGAGTATCTGCGACCCTCGCTTGTTCATTGGGGGTTGAAATTGCAGAATTCGCTATATTACTGGAACCAGCGCCCGCTGCGTTGCTTGCGTGCGCCAACAGGTACTTGCAGCAGGTCAACGTGTATTTGCAGGCACGCGTCCATGTCTCGTCGTTCTGGTTAAAACCAAGTTTGATACTAGCATCGTGTATCTTGTCTCGCTTGATCTCATAAGGAAGTTTCAATCCACCGGTAGCCGTACCGGGATGACCTCGGCGTTGCTGTGATGGCACAGGGGTCGGTGTCGATGCCACAAATTCTCCCAGTTGACGTAAGCACTCGAGGAATGCTACCATACCGGCATCAAATCGGCGGTGGAGCCACGGAAGATTAAGCGGCAGGTCCCCGGAAGAGAATAGGTCAAGCGTGGTAATCTTAGGTACAGGGGCCTGTTTCGGACCATTGCCAGCTGTTGCTGATTCCGACAGTGACTGTTGAGGGTACTCAATTTTTTCAACCCTTGACATTGAGCCCATCGGTCTCACCCGATAGCCTTGAAATTCAAAGCCTAGTCTATCAGCAATAGTAGCGAGAAGCAATGCTGTCTGACCCCATGCAGCATTAATCTCGGGCCACTCCACTGACGGATTGGCTAGACGACCAAGCCGTAATCCATTAATTGTTCCAAAATAGCCATCATGCCCAATGCAAAACGCATCGTTATAGACGTTTGTTCTTTGAAGCCGTTCAAGCTGCTGCGAATCATGGTCATATCGCATGTTCAATGCATCACGCTCGTTCTGAAACTCCGCAAGTGTTAGAGCGAATGCATTGCGGTCACGCCAGAATTTCTCCTCCTCGAGATCCAGCTGCCGCGATTCCTCTTCCAAGGCAGCAATCTCTTGGTCTACCATCGCCTTCTCTTTCTCTAAGGCATCGAGTTCCGCTAGTGCAGCCTCTTCCTCTTCTAACGTCTCTTCCAAGGATTTCTGGGCCGCTTCAAGTTCCTCATCCGTCGGAATCGAACTATTAAGATCCTTCAAAAACGATACGTACGCATCCCGCTCCTTTGTGGCAGCGACAAGCCGCTTTTGCAGACCCTCTAGCAGCATGTCCGTACATTCAGTACAAATTGGGTGATCAATGTCGGAACGTGAGGAAATAATCTCGAATAACCGCGTTGTCCGCTCGACCTGATCTGAGAACTGCCCATCTTCCAGGTTTTGGGCATTGGCCGGACGGCTGCCCTTCGACGGAATGTCATCATTGACACCAGAGACAGCGTGCGGCGGGACAACTTGAGACTCGGTGAGCATGACAAATGACATATTCCCACTGTCTGCCCGCGGAACCCGGGGAGGCTTGGCCAAGTTGCCGCCGCCATGGAGAGGAGGAGGGATGATTCTTTTGTGTACTGGAGACGCAGAATGCCTGGAAGCTCGGTCATAGAGGTCGCGTCTGTCCTGCGGATAAGGGAGTTTAGTTGAACCTGGTTCAGGGAGCGTTCTACCTGTAGATCCTATGTCGGGTTGTAAGTAAAGGACCACGCGGCAAACAGTGGGCAACGGTGTAGACAGTGTGTGACCTTACCTGTGAGCAAGTCGAAAGCGGCGGGATTGAGGGCTTCAAGAGAGCCGTCCAATTTCAAAGGCGTGCGACATTTCTGGCAGTACATTTTGGATGAAACCTAGCTTCTTCTCATTCATTGTGGAGACTCAAAATAGACAGAGTGTGGCAGGGGAGAATGCAGGTATCCAGATCGTCTGAGCAGCTGTCGGGGAAGGACGTCATGTGGGCTCTCGTGATAACAAAGCTAAAATCGGCCTGGTAACCAACATCGCTGTTGACACCCTGCAGTCCGTCATAGCAACAGGCTGTCCTACTCGTGCCAACTGAGAAGGAAATAGCTGACAGTTGAATATGAAGCTGCCTAGTCTACCACTCACTTCTCCGCGAAATTCTACTTGCTGAGCTCGTTTGCATGCCATTGAACACCTGAATTTCCAATTGACCACCTCCACCAGCCAACACGAAGAGCCAGTTATTCTACGACTGCGCCCCCCTCGAAGAAATTTGTTATGCAGACTGAAATTGTCTGCTTCTGTTTTTCCTCTCCCTATCCTCTGATTTCAGATGCTATATCCGCCACCGGTGTTTCCCCCTGGTAAAAAATGAAGAGACCATGTAAACGGCCTCGTCTATCCCTCGCGGGCGATCCGGAAGACCCGCCAGACGACGCAGATCTGGAAAGAGCTCGTGCGCAGAACGATCTTCGGCTTAAGTCGATTTTCGAGGAGATTTTCGAGAAGTACGGGAAGGATTTCACGGATGTGGGAGATGAGATTGATCTTAGTACAGGGAAGATCGTTGTGGACAACGGACATATTTCGCATATGCGAGGGGAATATGATGCTGGCAACATAGCACTGTGGGATTTCAAAGCCGATATTCATCCGTCAGATGGCCGAAGGCCTAATGGTGTCTCGGTCGAAAACATCACTCAGGATACTAACGGTGGATCAGCAATTAATCTGCCAGATAATGCGGGAAATCAGGCAACATCTGGGTTTACATTGAATGCAGATTTTCAAGCTGCGGTATCAGGCCCTAATGCAAAAGAGATCCCGCGGGAGAGGCAAGGAGAGGGGACGCACGGTAATGCTGACGATGACGACAAAGCCAGCATCGATTCCTTGCTTGATACTGCCTTCAGCGTTTACCAGGACCCGCAACATGCTGCAGAGCATGTAATGGATGCCGACGATGGTTCCACCGCATTCAGGAAGACTCTCATTTCGGATCTTCCTCGATATATTGGCGAAAACGAACACGTGCCAGTGGACCCAATATGGCATGTCCCTGAAATCCCTGAACGGTTCTCAACGCCGGCTTCTGCGAAGCAGTCTAGTAAACCAGTTGATACACTGAACACAGCACGATCTGCATCCCCACCGGGAGTAGGCTCTCTGTGGGCACCTCCCTCAGAGCGTCGGGCGAACACAAACGTCTCAAAGAAACGCGGGAGGAAAAGTGCTCTTTCTGAGCAGCCACGACGCATACACTATTCAAGTCCTGTCGTGCAGGATTGGAAATTTGCTGAACCACCGGATGGGAGCGAATCTGACGATCCCTTACAAGAGGAGTATCATGCATCTCCGACTCCAAAGAGACCCCTTTATGTCGGAGGGAAACGCACCGCTCCTGCGGATCTATATTACTGCAGCTATTGCAGAATGTCTTTCTCTCGTCGCGAATACATATTACACCTTGAATCCGTTCTATCGTCTAACGATGAGAATGGCTCTCATGATCCTACAGGAGTCCAGGAGATGCTAGTCTTAATGAATAACACGGGTTCGGAGCACCGGTCTACGGCAATTGATCCTGCCGTTTCCGTGGCCAACAAAGCTGCATACGAATCAAATTACGGTCCCGCCAGGGATCAGTCTTCTGTCAAAAGTAACAAGCGGTTTAGGATGACACCGGATGAGGCACGGCTAATCATTAACATGAAACACATCCAGCAAAAGAAGTGGAAAGAGATTCTGTATTTTATGCCTGGAAAGTCTTTATCGGGTTTAATTGGCTGGAATAAACTACATTGGAATGACCGTCTGCTTAATCCACCTCGTCATTCAAAGCCATGGTCAGAAGCAGAACGGGAAAAGCTAAATAGCTTGAAGGACAAACAAGGTCTTACCTGGTCTACTGTAAGGAGTGAATTTCCAGGTCGCACACATGCGGAGCTTGAATTTGAGTTGCTGCGTCTCTGGGCGGGGGGTGAGATTGGGAGCTGCAACTAAAGAGACGAGAGTCTGCTATCCGTTGAACAGCGCACATGTACAGCTGTAGAAAGGGCCGGTGCATCAGAGGGGCTATCTCTTCAAGCCTGGAAGATGATGAACGGATTGCCGAATCCGAACCGCAGAACGAACAAGATGATTCCATGATAGTGCAAAAAGATTACACTGTGGACACCGACTGTTCATTCACCTTCCAGAAACCTAGCACGACGATTCAACGTCAGCATCCTCAAAGGAGACGCAAGCTACTTTACCATCGGCGACTGAAGGTGCGGAGTCTGGCGGTGATATGGTTGAAACGGAGGAAAATGTGCCTATAGTAGCAGTGATCGTAGCTAATTGACAACCCGCAAGCGTAGGATAATGCCACCACCACCGGGACCGTGTCTCAAGTTGAATCCGCAGGCTCTGACTGTCTGAAAGCAGACTCCTCGAACTCCCTTGTGGGTCTAGACTATATGTCCCTATTCGTTATCATTTGCATTCAAGACGTCTTCAAGTTTCGTGTCCGTCGCACCGCCGACATCACCGGCTTTAGCCCAGAATCTTGACAAATGCCGAGAACCAGAGTCAGACAAGATCGTAACGATCCTATGGCCTGGGCCGAGCTTCATTGCCGTCTTAACGGCCGCAAAGCCTGGATATAGTTAGTTAGCTGCTCATGCAAACTTGAAATTATAAGCCGACTTACAGTTCACTGCGCTGCTGCTGCCGATGAAAATACCATCTTTCTCGACTAGCCATCTAGCCATCGCCAAGGCCTGGGCATCCGTCACTCTGACTGCATCATCAACCAACTCCTTGCCAACATCGAAATTTGCAGTGACACGATTGATACCGATTCCTTCAACGATCGTGTCAATCTGTCTGCGCCTTCGCGTCCCTTCCTTTTCTTTCAAGTCAAACATGACACCGTATTTGACCCTGTTGTAGAGCCCGCTGCCCTGAGGGTCGGCCAGCACTACAGTCAGGTTCGGGATTCTAGGCTTCAAAAATAGAGCGATACCAGAGATCGTACCTCCAGTACCAGCTCCGGCGACGAAAGCGTCAAGTTTCCCATTGCACTGAGCGTAGATTTCGGGGCCTGTCCCATTGAAGTGTGCCTTCCAGTTGGATAGATTTTCAAATTGGTCAGCAAAGAAGCCTCTTCCACGCAGGGTCCGTGAATTTGACAATTCGAAATCGGTTGAAGGAGCCTGGGAGGAGGCCGTATGAGCTTGAGCAAGAGCTCGAGCGCGATTGACGAAGTTCTCCTTCTCCACGATCGGTGCAGGCGGAACGCGATCCACAATGGCACCGAGCTTGAGAAGCAGATTGGACTTTTCGATGGCCTGATCCGACGGCATGCAACTTATTATATCGTCAATAATGCGCGAAATGGAAATTTTGGGCAATGACGTGGGATACACACATGTGCGCTAGATATCCTTTCGCTCTCGCCAGGGTCGCTAAGGAGATACCTGTAGAGCCAGACGTGCCTTCATAGATCGTATCTCCTGAGCCGGGAGTCAAGATACCTTCTTGCTCAGCCTGAACGTTGAATTAGAATAGTCCCAAAAGGAGCACCAAACTGGTGCATGGTTCGAAGCAAGCCATACCATTTGGATCATACTCAAAGCTACTCGATCCTTGGAGCTTTGACCGGCACCATTCAGAAACTATATTAAATGTTAGAAAGTCACATCGCCGTCCATCATTAACCGAGTTGGGAGGAACATGCTTCAGCCTTGGCCAAGATTTCGCATCCTGTGGCCTCTGAGAGGGATTTAATCCTCAATAACGGGGTATTCCCTATGCAGCCTTCGATGCCATCGACAATTACCGGGGGTCCCGACCGGGCCATGAGAGCATCTGCTGCAGTAGCGGCTTCATCACTATCTTTCTTAGAACGAAGCGTCATATTTCGCGGCTTGCGGAAGAGCTCCTTCAGCTCTGGAAAAACATCCCTGAAGCCTAGAGTGAGGATAATGCCAGCCACAAAGGCAGCTCCTATGTACATACGCGCGTGGCTGTCCATGCTGGAATCTGCATTGCCGACGTGGGAAGAGAGAAGAGACAAGAATATGTGAGAGCATTTGAGAGCGGAAGCTCGGGCCCAGCTCCGCTCCCGTTAAAAACCCGAGTTACTCGACCTCCCCCGTCTGTTGCATCCCTGCTCTACTGCCATTCCCAGCGTCAATGGATTCTCCAGTCCTCAATCAGCTGTTTAGGCAGCTTTTCCGACATCCAGCTTGTCAGTCGCTTCCTTCAATCCGGTCACTGCCTCCTGGCAGACCGCAGTCCATCCGCCAGTCAGCCACTTCGCGGTCACAATGTCGCTCTTTTCTCACACGGCGGACGCCCGGTAAACGCAAGAGCGCCGACGATGGGATGATGTGGAACAGACGGGGAGATTATCCTAAGGATATAAGTGAGGAATTCAAGACATATCCTCTCGTAACAGCGAAAGACTTGCGCCATCGTCGAGAGCGACCGCGACAAGTCAAGATGATGACAAGGGAATTTATTGACGGTATGAATTGACTGTTATTTCGTGCTTCATTCTCCTCTTCTTTCTTTTCTGTTCGAGGATAATCGCAAGTATCGCTGACATACCTGTTTAGATAGTCTATATAACCCCCACTATGGCTATTTCTCCAAACACGCGACCATCTTCAGCCCGGGCGAACCGTTTGACTTCAACAACATAAGCGATGGCCCTGCCTTCCATCGATTGCTGGGGGAACGATACACAGAGTTTGAGGACCGGTTGGATGAGACACAACCTGACGAAGCGCGTCAATTGTGGCACACACCGACAGAACTCTTTCGACCTTACTACGGGGAGACGATTGCGCGGTACCTGGTGTCTAACTACAAGTTGACACTGTATCCTTACCACGATCTCATAATATATGAAATGGGAGCAGGAAACGGGACGATGATGCTTAATATCCTGGATTTCATACGGGACACCGATCATGAGGTGTATCAGCGGACAAAGTTCAAGATTATTGAGATTTCGCCTTCTCTAGCCAGCCTTCAGATGAAGAACCTGAGGGACTCTCTCAATGCTGGCGGGCACATCAACCATGTTGAGATCATCAATCGTTCGATCTTCGACTGGAATACCTACGTGCACTCGCCGTGCTTCTTCCTGGCACTGGAAGTCATCGATAATTTCTCCCACGATGCTATCCGGTACGACTACAAGACCGAGCTTCCCCAGCAGGGAGGCGTCCTCATCGATGCAGATGGCGAATTTCATGAATTCTACAGTACCCGCCTCGATCCACTGGCGTCTCGGTTCCTGCGAGTTCGTCAGGCCGCTGCTCAACGACCCTTTCCAAGTCCCTTGGGCCCGAAATTGCTGCGCGGACTGCGGAATGCCGCCCCGTTCCACCCCGAAGTCACTTTGCCCGAATACATCCCTACCCGACTCATGCAGTTCTTTGATATACTCGATAGCTACTTCCCAGGGCATCGGCTCATAGCCAGTGACTTCAATAAGCTACCCGATGCGGTCCCAGGCTTGAATGCTCCCGTTGTTCAGACACGGTATAAGAGACGGACAGTACCTGTGTCCACGCCTTTTGTATGTATTCAATATATAGTTTTGTTTGTTTGTACGAAAGCTCTTATTCTGACTGTATCTGCCCTCAGGTCCACCAAGGATATTTCGACATCTTCTTCCCCACGGATTTCAATGTCGTCGAAGACATTTACCGTGCCATCACGGGGAAGCTCACCCAGGTCATGAGCCATGAAGACTTTATGCGTCGGTGGGCGTATATCGAAGATACGGAGACCAGGAATGGCGAGAATCCGCTGCTGACCTGGTATAAGAATGCAAGCATGTTGATGACGGTGTGATTGGGATAATGTACAGCTCTCATGACATATGATTCTGTAATGTATACAATCCACTCGTTGCGCTGGACCGTGGATATACGAGATGCACGAGCCACTGTCGCTTGATGAAGAGCACTGTCCTCGGATATCGACTGCTATTGGCGATATTCTTACCTGTTGTATAGTCTCTTGCGGCCGACTCGGTTGCGCGCCGTGCCCGGATCCAGACAACTCTGCACTTCGGTCACAAATAGTGACTGCGGGAGTTTCTCTTCGATACTCTCACCACTGAAGTCTAATGCTTTACTCGAAATGCATGTTATTGCCCTGGCGGGTGTTAAATACTCTGTTCCCGAGACCATTCACTGTCAATTTTACCAGAGCCTTGTCCAGTTTCAATATAGCAGGCCGTACCGTAGCATAGCATTAAGGGCCTGTTTCAGGGGTCCGAATATGCAGCCCTAGCGAATCTCGCGGGCTTCCGCTGCAACCATGAAACGAGCCGTCTTCTGCGGTCTTGCGTGGTTAGGGACGCGTTGGATGCAACACAATATAATAACTGTCTGCCAACTGTGTCCATTGACGGCGGCGATCGACCGCACGTGCGGTTCCTGAAGCTCTGCCTGTTTCGAGCTTGCACGCGTAGATAAAGTAATGGCCGTTCAGCCTCTCCAGCTCCTAGAGGGCTGTTCCCTGGCCTGGTGCGCGTTATATTCTTCCTTTTTTCCTTCTCGAAGGCCCTGGGTAGGAGTCTCCGTCGCTCAAGTCGCCCTCGCGTGCGAGACTCGTATCGCAACATGACGCCGCACGCCGTCATTGTAGGTCTCTGTTTACTCCAGGCCTCTGTCCACGCAGCTTCGTCTCTCCCTGGAGCACCGTATTTTCAAGCTCCCCCGGGATTCCCAACGTCTGCATTCTCGTCAGTACACTTTGTTCCTCCATGGAGACTGATGGTTCGCTAATTTCCCTTTCAGATCCTACTACTATTCGCCCGCAAAGCCAACTCAAGAACCTCAACCGATCATTTATGATCCTGTTCTGAATATCACTTTTCCATATAACTTAACGAATCCAAATTCCATTCCCAATGAAAAGAATGACCGGGTCTACTTCCCGCAACCAGTCATTGATCTCACGGACAGTCAGAAACGCGCATTGGTCCAAACTGTCATAGCCAATGTCGTCAGCATCATCCAAGACAATAGCACACAAGATAGTTGTGCCAAATGCAAGGATGCGCTGGTCGCAGCTAAGCCTATCGCATTGAATGCCCCGAAGCTTGCCCCAGATGCAATGGTCTCCCTGTGCAAGGCATTCGAGTTCCATTCCAACACGACTTGCGAGGAAGATTTCGCCGTTGCGACGTTCGGGGCGATCTGGACACAGGTTCTGGCTTATGCGGACGTCGAAGGTCTTGATGGAGAATATATCTGCTGGTCCCTAAGCAAGTCCTTCTGTCACGAGCCCAAGACAAGGCCGCTGGACACAATGGATCTCTTCCCCAAGCCTAAGCCCAAGCATGTGCAAGTTCCCAAGGCCAGCGGAAAGCGAGTCAAGGTGCTGCATATGTCTGACTTTCATTTGGACGCGCGATACTCTGTGAGTTCGGAAGCGAATTGCTCCTCTTATCTGTGCTGCCGGTCCAACACCCACAACTCCGTCTCCCCGGCGCAGGTGCTTCTCCCTGCGCCTGCGTATGGGTCATTCTCGTGCGATACCCCATATGACTTGGGCTTGGCCGCCCTCCAAGCAGTCGGTCCTTTGACTGGGACAGGCAAGGGCAACGAGTCCCTAGCCTGGACAATCTACACGGGTGATCTCATTTCGCACGACCCTGAGTCGGAAATATCCCAGGCATACGCCGAGTACACGGAGACGAGTGTGTTTGGGATGCTCAAGTCGTACTTAACTGGCCCTGTATTTGCAGCGTTGGGCAATCACGATACCAGCCCGTCTAACATCGATTCACCTCATAACCTCCCTGGACGGTTGGGGGAGCAGCAGAGCTGGAACTACCGCCACCTCTCAGGACTCTGGTTGCACGAGGGTTGGATCTCGCCTCAGACAGCAGCGAAGGCACGCACGCATTACGGTGGTTACTCTGTCAAGACCCATTATGGCTTGCGCATTATAACATTCAACTCAGGTATGTGAGGCAAATCCATTGTGACTAGCAGTCACAGCTAACCGCCAGTCCAGACTTCTGGTACAAGAACAACTACCTCAACTTCATCAACACCGAGGAGCCCGACAACTCCGGTACCTTCTCATGGATGATATCCGAACTCCAGAGAGCCGAAGACGCAGGCGAACGAGTATGGATCGTCGCCCACGTCCCTAGCGGCTGGGACGGCACCAACGCCCTCCCCAACCCAAGCAACCTCTTCTACCAGATCATAGACCGCTACTCGCCCCATGTCATCGCCAACATCTTCTTCGGCCACACGCACGAGGACCAGTTCACGATCTACTACGCCAACAACGGCACGGTCCGCGACGCCTCCACCGCCCTAACAACAGGCTGGATCGGCCCCAGCATCACCCCACTAACGAACCTGAACAGCGGCTTCCGCCTCTACGAAGTCGACACGGGCGACTTCAACATCTACGAAGCGTATACGTTTTTCAGTAATGTGTCTGATTTCACATCCATAGATGTCGCTTCAGTCGGGCCGACGTACGAATTCGAATACTCTACCCGCGAGACGTACGGAGAAGCCGCGAACTGGGAGAAAGATGCGCCGTTGAACGCCACGTTCTGGCATAAGGTGACTGAAGCCATGGAGAAAGATATCAACCTCATCAGTTTGCAGAATACCTTCCAGGGGAGAATGAGTGTTATGAGTCCGAACTGTACGAACACCGAGTGTCAGAAGGCCAGGGTTTGTTACATGAGGAGTGGGAGTGTGGCCCTTGGGAGTGAGTGTATTCAAGGGTGAGTGTAGTGTCAACATGTTACTGGTAATGATGATGCTGACCTATTCCTATCATAGGTACGGATCTGTTCAAAGCGCATTTGACTGAGGGAGTGAGTTGTGGAGTATGGAGTAGAGTGATGCAGTCAAATCTCTTTATCAGAGTAGTAATGCTAATCTAGATAATCCCCAATCTTCTAAGAAGCCAATATGATATAAAGATACCTCTTAATGATACCCCTTAGAGAGGAAATCAAATGAGATCTCTAGCATTAATTATATCAGGCCAAGAGTCCTTTCATTAATGAACCCTACAGCATGAACAGTAGTAAAAAAAGAACCCATTGTGAAAACCAGATACCTATCCATTCTATGCCATCACTTGGTATCATTCTCATCGGAAACATCCCGTTGAAAAGGTTGAATATTAATTGGAACGTACCAAATACAGGAATTCTTTATCTGCGAAGTAAAGAACAACAATTAACAACCCCACCGCTTCATGATCCCTCCTTTCATCAGCTAGCTGCTTCCCCATATCCGAAAGAAAGAAAAGTATTAGATTAAGTCGAGATAATTACGGAAGTGTCGTCGTTGTAGATGAGAACGTGATGGCGTGATCCTTTCCTTTCTCATTTCTTTTCCATTTTCCACTGTCGAAGGAAATTTTTTTGGGTCTTTTGAATTCATTTTCATCTCCACTGGATATCGACACCCCATAATACCACTCTCACCGTGGATTGTCGAGTCCAAGTCCAAAACTAACAAGCATAAGTTAAACTTGAGCCATTCCAGGACGTCCACTGGCACGACGACCGCGTGACCGTAGATTGACACCGCGGAACTTGCTGGCAGTTATGATAGAGAAGACGAGAGACACCGTGTATCCGAACCAGCAGAACCAGAGGAATGCAACAGCGGCCTGTGCCTCACGGCAGCGCTGCGTCAAACGATGCTTGGCGCCGTTGGTGATCCCGTTATGGAGGAGGTAATGCTATGGGCATAATCGTTAGTCATAGCCCTTTCATGCATATATATCAATGCTTTAAAAAAAGTTGAGATATGCATACCCGATTGTTGCAGCTGTGACACTCCAGCCTGGCGGCCAAGGCGATACCCTCTGATAGGAAGAAGATTGCATTAAGAAGATCAAGGATGATCATGAGGATCGGGTGCAATGACCAGTCTGAGTTGATCGTTGCTGGAAACAGGTAGAAGAGCGATACCAGGGAGAACGCAGCACAGAACATGCCGTAGTTAACTGTTGCTGGGTTGCCGGAGTCGGCCATGGCGATGATGTTGCCAATCATGGCCATTACAAGGATTGACCATAGCAACTATAGAGGGTATGCTTAGCGCTGAGTTCTATTGCTTTTTTGTGGTTGGCTATGGGGAGGGGGAGGGGAGTATGACATACCTCCCAGACTCGAAATCCGATATCAAAGACTTTCCTCAACATGATTTCTGGTTGATCTCTTTGTGACTTTGGTTTTCTTTCCGATTTTGTCGTATGCGTGCGTATAACCCTGCCTAAGAGGTGAAGAGTATTGGAGTAATGGACCAGGTCCGCGCCGCACGCTCCTCGATGCAATCCCAACCTCACTGGCGATGGATGATAAGAGAGTCAAAACTGCACTCGTGCGAACGAAACGGTCGATGTAGATGAGTTGTCAAACAGCAAAGATCCTAACCACCGGAGATGCAATCCGATACTGCGTCTGGAGGGCGTACATGAGCTTTATGTGCGGGTTGGTCCGGGAGCACGATGATGACGATATGAGAAAACATCCTCTACGTCATAATCCATCCAGCTGTCTGGCCGGAATGTGACGATTAGAAGCTTCTCCTCCGTCTTGCGAGGAAAAAGAGACCCGGGGACAGGTGCATGCAGCGTGGTGCTGTGGTGTGACCGGAATTGGGACCGTGGATGACGGACAACCTTCTTCGCTCATCCCTGATAAGACAGCAGAGAAAGCAATTAACCTTCGACGACCTGCAAAGACAATGCGGCCGTGACCAATCCCGCAGAAGCGCGTCAGGAAGGGCGAGCGTGGTCGATAGATCCGAGGCTCTTTGTGGCCAATAATGGCTGCAACCCTTGCGCGTTGTGAGGAGAGCTTTTCTCCACGATCCCTGTTTTGCTAGCAGGTTTGGCATCATGAATCATTGGCTTCCAGATCTGCGTTCCGCAACCATCCGGCATGGAACCTTGATGCCATCAACGAGCTCTGTTGTCTCGCCTTGTGGCACGCTTGGCCGCCGGGTTGGAACTTTGTCCTGCTGGTCTGTGGTTGGGCTGATGGCCAAGACCTGGCTTCTGCAGTCGTCGTGAAGCTGAGGTTAGGAAGATCCCCGATGCTCCAAATCTGCTACAGTCGAAGATTGCATGTCGACGGCCAATTCGCAGCAGCCAGTCACTCATCCCACTCTGAATTCCCTCTCTCCCTAGCTCTCTTGTCGCCCTCTTTCGGTTCTCCTCTACTGGTACCTGGAGATAGACACGATAGTCGCCTCTTGCAGGATGCAGGCCCTGGTCTCCGCAATGCCCTACGCCACCCGTCCGATGCACAACATAGTCCCCTGGCCATTTCTTCAATGGCAGCACATATCCATGCATCGCAGGAGAGCTCTGGAGTGCAGGAGCACACCATTGCATCCTCCAACCCGGATAGTCTGTCCCTGATCCGTTCTTCGCTTGCAAAAGGAGATGCCCTGAGGCCTTTCTCGGGTTGTATTCATCCGTCTCAATCCATTCGGCGAATAAGCTGCCGCGGCTCCAGATATCTCCCATTTGGGTATACAGTCGCATTGTCGTCCAAAGCGGATATGGAAAGCTACCCATATCCTTCGTGGACTATGTCACTGCGAAGACTAATGGCAAAGACACAACATGAGTCTTATGCAGACCTCTTTTACTCCAGCCAATTTATGATGCTGCTTGTGCTACTTGTAATCCGTATTCACCTCCTGGGATATCGCAGGAAGTAGTCGTATTAATGTCTGACTCTTCAGGCATCGAAACGGGATACCTTTCTTAGCACGTGATCTGTGGATGTTGCCATCATCCAGGAAAATGCCAGATGATCTTAAAATCCTCAATTTGTTTTAATAGTAAAAAAAGAAGCTTCCATCGTCACTTTCTGGCTGTTTCCCGTGCGTATAGATCCCTTAGAGTGAAGCGTCAGTGGGGCCAGCCCCGTGCCGCATCAGTAATTTCTTCGGTCTACGCAGCATCCGTCGTGCCCTCCCACAAAACAATCCTTTCTTGCAACGACCCTCTCGGGCTCCAGACGATATCATGGCGATCAAGTGAGATTCTATAGTGTGTCTGCTATTTGGGAATTACAACTGACGTTCCTGTTCCAGCTACCTGATTCTGCTGTCGAGACAGGGGAAAGTGGTTCGTCTCGTCGCCCACCCAAACACTCTACAAGCCAGCTTGCTGATTCATGTACGATTCCTTCTTTCTAGCGCCTTGCAAAATGGTTTACGACGCTCTCCCCTAAGGAGAAGGCCAAAATCATCAAAGATGTGTCGCAGCTCGTTCTGTCTCGTCGTGCCCGCATGTGCAACTTTCTCGAATACAAAGGTAGCCTCTTCCCATTCCGGTCCCGCTTTCTGTCTCTTTCTTTCTCCGGTCTGAGTCCTAACGTCTTTTTCTCTATTAGACAGCAAGGTCGTCTACCGACGCTACGCCTCCCTCTTCTTTATCGCCGGTTGCGCTTCCACCGACAATGAACTGATCACCCTCGAAATCGTGCATCGCTTCGTGGAACAGATGGATAAGTACTATGGCAACGTCTGCGAGCTGGATATTATTTTCAACTTTCAAAAGGCGTACTTCATCCTAGACGAGCTGTTACTGGCTGGGGAAATGCAGGAGAGCAGTAGGAAGAATGTCCTCCGGTGCATTAGCCAACAGGACAGTTTGGAGGATATGGAGGTGAGTCTTATCCTCTGGTTCAACAGTAGCCATTACACAAGTAGACGAGAAGGGTCCTGTATCTGGGGGTGCCTTGCTATTGTTGGCAATGAAATAATCCACATCTCTTGCCATCTCAACTCTTTGTTCTCAGATACGCTTCTGGCCCTCTTTCCCCCTTGCCCACTTTACATCTCCTATTCAGCCTTGTGTTCCTCACCCAGTTCTTTGTCTGGCCAACTCTAGACATGTTCAATTATGCTGTTTGTCACAGGCTAACACTTATTCCTTTTCAGGTTGAGGAGGATGTGGTTACAAAGATCATGTAGCGAATTGCCAGTCAAGCTGGTTTCTTGTTTGGACATTCGCAAGTTTGCTTTGGACATAGGATACTCGGCGTTTGGGACATATATAGGCGCTTTTTATGATTGATTCCCATTAATTTCCTCCACATTGTTTACCCGCCTGACTGCCTTACCAACGAAGATGTGAATAGGTAACAGCTTATTAACCCGAACTCGGAGGATACCTGGACTATCGAATTTACTGAATGCATGCTTCCTGGTCTCGACTGATAATCCATAGACGGCCGTCCTTGGATCCGTGAAGACAGGGGGTGATATCACTGGCCATCGTCCAGCCACGTGATTGCCTCATCTCGGGTGCCGCAACGCGCAATTCCCAACATCGCCCGTGTCGTCGCTCTTCTGTCTCACTCCATTTCCATTCTGTTCTCTCCCTTCCCATCTCATCTGTCTGCATTCCCTGCCTTCAGTTCCTGCCTCTGCGCGAGGCCGGTTTCCCATGAGCCATCTATCACCCAGTCACCGCTTATCCGTTCTCCACCAGTGTTCTCCACCCGCTGTAATCACCGGTTCCGGTCACCCTTATCACCTACCGCTCCGCCAGTCGACGAGTCGGTTGAACAGCGAAGTCGCCTGCTGATATCAGGGGTTTCGTGTCTACCAAGTGTTTATACCTTGCGTATCGTTTTGCAATTCGCGTACTTTTCCTTCTTTCCTTTGGACGTTTCCGCCATCGGCTGGTCTGTTCAAAGTCATCTACATTACGTGCTGTACCCGGACTTTACCCGCCAGCTGTCGCCAAGATGAAGGTACGCTTTCCCTCAAGCTACTGCATTAACCCAACGCCCACTCGTTGAACCAACTTGGTCCGCTGATGAGTTCTCTTCTTTAGTTTCTCCCCCTCCCTGAACTCGAGGGTGTGACCTCCGCCCTGAACTTCGACACTGCCGATTGCCATATCGTTGGAGGATGCGACGTGTACACTACAAAGGCTGCTCGGTCCGATCGGAAACTGTACCGGAACATTGAACAGTCCCTCGAAGCCCAGTATGAATCCACCCTTCGTCTATCGGCCTCCCTGTCCCCGCCAAACGCCTCAGACGCTGCCGCAACGCTGAATCTGTCGCGTTCCAGTCCATTTGGCCCTCTCAGCGACCACTCGAGTCGACGCACTTTTGCGTATTTGATTGCGACACTCAACGCCAGTCATCCAGACTACGACTTCTCTCACGTCCTTCGACCCGCGGACTTTCACCGCGAACGAAATCTGAAGAAAGTAGTCAACACGGTGGATTCGACGCTTTTTAATCTTCGTCCACGCGAATCGCCAGTCGTGACCCCTCCGTCGTCTGTACCTTCATCTGTGACATACCCTACGGGCTCCTCTTCTGTGTGGAATCCGAGATTGTGGAGGTTAATCGACGACAAGATGTCACTGAAAGAGTGCTCGATCTACTCATACTCGCCAGACGAGGACCCGGCAGACGCGGATGATGGAGCGATCTGGAGCCTGCACTACTTCTTCTTCAACCGGCTCCGGAAACGCGTGTGCTATCTGTACATCCGGGCTATTCCCATTCTCAGCCATACACCACCTGATGGAGTTGTTACCCCTACGGCCAAGAGAACATTTGACGACGATGAAACACTCTCCGAGTTTGGCACAAGTAAACGGGCTCGGTACTGGTTCGGCGAGTTCGATGAGTATGATATGGCTAGTGATGAAGAAGTCGGCAAGCAATCCAACCATGTAGTGGATGAAAATGACAACTACCTGTTCAGCGACGAAGAGTTTCGGTCGAGGTCTGGAAGTAAAGGTACCATCCGAGCAATGAGTGAAGAGATAGTTGAGACTATGGAGGTCTAATCTAAACGGGACTCTCGAATGTCCTTGGTACCGTTCTGTTCTTGACCTTCGGAAGCATGCAAGCCGCTCTAGCGAGATTGATAAGCGGTATTCCTACTGGCGTTGGTTCATCTGCATTTCACTTTACGGGGCTGGGGTGTTCTGGTGGGAGTGGCACTCCTCTTGGCTGGTTATTCTTGTTGCTTTTAATATTTCTTCTAATGATTATGACACGTTCCCTATGGCCAACGATTGGCTACGCAGTTCCTTTCAGTTGCAGTTTATGGATTATGGGGTCTTTTTGTATATGATTTATTGCCTAAATGATACTTATCTATACTACTTTGCCTGTGTACTGTGATACCTCTCTCCAGAACAGAAGTTCCGTGACGAAAACAGATGGGTGCGAGCACCGATAATCGTGATGTCACTCGCAGGCAGAAGAGTCTGGATTGCTATGATCGCCCTTACCCACCAGTCCGATTTTAGCGTGAAATGATGAATACAATGAGTTTTCCCTAGGCATATCTGGATGACGAAATATTGATACAACAATGTCTCGTTGGCAGCAGCTTATCTACAAACAGCCAGAGGAACGGGACCCTTGCAAGCAACTCATCTCAATACCCAGCATGAAGACCCCATCATATATATATATATATATATTGATGATTCTGTGATTCTATTAAGCTACTATTATCAGAATACGTGTTTTCATAATCGTCTTTATATATTTGTTGTGATTGGTGTTGTATACTCTCTACGGACTAGACGATTGCGTTTTGTAAGGGACGGAGAATAAAGGCGATATACAACCACATACCTGCAGATCAGCTTTACCTTGACAACAGCACAATTTAATTAAATGCAATATACGCCATACCTACAATAATCAGCGGCTGGATAGAGAGTATACTGCTACCTGCCATCCTGGAGATGTACATTAATTACTGTATACGGAGATGCAAACAGACAGGACCAATCAGCGGTCCGCGCACTCTCCACCGAAACCGCCAAGCTTTGGCAAAATGTTTCAAGAAAAAGACCCGTACAAGAAGCACAACCCTCAACCACAATTGCTTTGCTTTTCCAGTCCGGCACAGGAAAGCGTAACGTTTATACTTGATTCAATCCCCCCTACCTACATCTCTACATCCAAAAAAAAAAAAGAAACACACCATGACCGGTCCGACAGCAACTCTTACCCCCCTCTCCCGCGCCGACGGCTCGGCATCCTACACCTGCCCATTCACCGGATCCAGCATCTTGAGCTCCGTGAACGCACCCGTCGAGCTCCCGGGACGTCGCGATGCCTTGAAACCGGAGGAGGCGACGGTCGAGGTTTTTGTGAAACCTGGCACGGTGCCGCCTAGCGTTGGAGAACGATATGCCGAGGGAGTTATCCGAAACATGCTAGGACAGTTGATACTAGGCCGGGAGAAAGGATTTCCTAGACGCGGCATTGTGCTTACGTTGGCTATTGTCGGTGGTGAGAGTGCTAAGAGAGGAGATTCGGTGAGTGTTTCCTTCAGTGGACGTGAAAGCCTATAGTATACATGTATGTCTTACTGACTACTGACTACCATGATCGTTGTTAGTATTTAACTCTGCTCCCTTCTCTGCTCCATGCATCCCTTCTGGCACTGTTGTCCGCTTCCGTTCCATTGTCCATGACGTTTACTTCTACCGTTCTTGCGGTAACTTTCTCGGGGGATATCATCCGTGAGCCGTCTGCGAAGGATGTCGCGGCCGCATCGTCGCTGCATGTGTTGGCATTCTCGTCAAAGGGCCATCTTCTCTTGAATGAGAGTGAGGGGGTTTTCGATTTTGATACATGGGACAAGGTTTACGAGCGTGCATTGACAAACTGTCATGGTGCGAAGACCAGCTCGTCGGATGGAGACGTCGCTATGGCTGAAGATATGGACGGTCGGCCTCTGGAGAGTTTCATTCGAGAGACGGTCGAAGACCAGATATACCATGACTATGCGTGGAGGGTTAACGCTGCTGATTAGAAGCGCTTTTTACGATGCGGCTTCAGGGTATCAATTATGCGGGGAGGATCAGGCTGTGAGCTCTCCGGCAAACATGCTCTCGCGTGGCGCCCTTGCTGTTTTCTCCGGGGTGTAGAGAGAATATTCCACCACCAGACAGCAATAGTGCCTTATCCAGCTCGAGGGCCTCGTCACCAGAGTTTCGGCGATCTCCCAAATCTACTGGAAAATGAAGAGCGCTCACCACATGTGTCGGACCATATAAGTTATTCTGCCGGAACCATGGCGGTTTCGGGCCTGGAACAAGTACGGCACCAAATACCGGAATGCCAATGGGCGAGCCGACCATTTGCAGAATGCCTGCAGTTGACCGTGCGCAGCGGTTGGCCTGTGTCTTTCGGCTGGATTGGCGAGATTTTAGTAATAGAGAGGAGTGCGGGATGAGAATGTCAGATCTTCCTATCATGGTAACAATTGCTGGTGCTTGGTCAGCGTCTGCGACCCTTAGGATTGTGATTATGGTTGCCGGTACGTAGACTTGTGGCGAATGATCCTAGAACGTTCCACTGCAACTTCCCCCACTCCAAGATACCGGAGATGACGGTTCAGCGTACATATCTTTTGGCCTGCTGCGCGCTCTTCCACCTGGACGTGCGTGGATGACGACTTGACTTCTCTTCTTCCTCAGTCGGCCCGTAACGTGTGGAGTAATCTTATCTGATTTTTCACCATTCTCGCATTTCCTCTTCGCAACCTGATTCTCGTTCCATTTTCCGGCTGTTCTGGCGCCTCGTGTTTGGTGGGAGACGGCGTGCTGTCCGATTTCGTCGGTTTGCCGTTCCTGCTTTGAACCTTCCCCCACTCTTCCCAGCACTGACGCGTATCAGAAGAAGCTCGCAGAAGAGAAAAGATCCTCTCGAGTTGAGGATCACCCAGAATACATCGGGTTTAACTCTGGATTTCCGCTTGCTCCGCCGAATCCCCGTTACATCCGACCGCGGAGGACGGCGGGTTGTCCATGTCTTCCTCACAATCAAGCCATGGCGCTGCGCTGTGCGACCACCCCAGTCACAGCCTTCCCAGCGTCGTGCAGAGAGATGATGACGGCATAAGAAGGATGCCCGGCCCTTCTTCCAGCTTTTCGACACCGACGCCTGCTTCCACTGCGGGCTCGTCGACCTCGCCCATCGCGTCGGCTTCTTTCACGCACCCTGCCCCTCCAAGAGACTCACCTCCGTCGTCTTCAGTCGGAGCGTCAATTCATCGCGACTATGCAAGTTATATAGACCTATCCCAGACCGACAGTGAAATACCCGCGACTGAGTTGGTCTCCAGACCGTCCGGAAGCAGCGCCCTCAATCAGGAGACCACCTTTCCTCTACCCTCCGCTACTTCTTCCGCATCCCCATCCACCGCCTCCTTCCTACAGTTTCGAGCATCAAAATCCGTTTCCCGTCGTCGCAAGACTGCCGTATCTATAGACTCAATTCCACGACAGACCATCATGAAAGCATTGGCCTCGCGGCCCTCTATAACCAACAACAACTCCAATATGCCGCTGGCGGCAGCATCTTTGTCGGGATTCGCCAACACTGTCAATCTCGACGAGAAAGATCGACGGAGCTTTAATTCATCGTCACCACAGAAGCTGTCGGCAGCTTTGTCCAACTTACAATTGAGCTCGTACCTGGAACGATCTCCGTCGACCGCCCAATTAGTCCTGCAGTCTCCTTGTTTCTTCCATCAACGATTCGACGATGCAGTCAATATAAAGAAAGTTCTGGAGGAGATTGCGGATGATGACTGGCTATCCCACTCGCGGTTGGTGCAGACAGCAACCGGGGTCAGGGAAGTTTCCAAGCAGCTCCAGCGGCGACCCGTCAAGCGTGCTGTGAGAAATGTTATGATTGTCACCAAAGCCCGCGATAATAGTGTAGTTTACTTGACCCGTGACCTAGCGGAATGGCTGATGGCGACTCCGCGCTACGGGAGCGACCTGGGTGTCAGTGTCTACGTTGACGCTAAACTACAAAACTCCAAGCGGTTTGATGCGGCCGGATTACTGGAGAAGAACCCACGCTTTGAGCATATGCTGAAATTCTGGACGCCGGAACTCTGCTGGACTTCCCCGGAGAAGTTTGATCTCGTTCTTACCTTGGGTGGTGACGGGACCGTCCTTTTCACATCCTGGCTCTTTCAGCGCGTCGTGCCTCCCGTGCTGAGCTTCAGCCTGGGTAGCCTGGGTTTCCTGACGAATTTTGATTTCCAAGGATACAAGACCCATCTCAATGCTGTTATGGGCGATGTTGGGATGCGCGTCAACCTGCGCATGCGATTTACATGCACGGTGTTCCGTCGAGATCGGAGAAAGGGAGCCGAGACCGGGGCGGTGGAGGAAGGCGAGCAGTTTGAAGTTCTGAACGAACTGGTGATTGACCGGGGGCCTTCGCCATATGTTTCGAACCTTGAACTGTACGCTGATGATGAGCTGTTGACTGTTGTCCAAGCGGACGGTTGCATCCTTGCAACGCCAACTGGTGAGTCTACCCATAAAGAATACCACAAGGGAATATGTCAGGAGCTAATTTTCAAACAGGCTCTACCGCTTACTCCCTTTCTGCGGGCGGCTCCTTGATTCACCCATCTATTCCTGGCATTCTCCTTACGCCCATCTGTCCGCATACTCTGTCATTCCGACCGATGGTCCTCTCCGATACGCTCTCGCTCCGCATTGCAGTCCCTGTGGCATCCCGCTCTACGGCATACTGCTCGTTCGACGGCAAGGGCCGCGTGGAGCTGCGTCAAGGCGATTACGTCACTGTAGAAGCCAGTCAGTATCCCTTCCCGACCGTCGTTTCCGGCAACGGGGAGTGGTTTTCGAGCGTACGACGCGCTCTACGGTGGAACACTCGCGGAGCCGTGCAGAAGGGATGGGACGGCGTGGCAGACGGCGACACGGAAGCCGATGCGGACGTGGACGAGGAAGAAGAGCACTGGGACATTGATACCGATGCCGGATTAACCAGCACCGACAGTGGATTGGGACCTAGCGAGGACGGCGATGCTGTCCCAACACCTGGTCTAATAATGAAACGACAAATGAGCATGTTGAACATGTAGGAATGGGATGCATTGGCATCCACATATTTCAACAGTGGCATTACGTATACGCATACGGCTTGTTGGAGGGAATTGGATTTTAGTTTTTGCTTCGTCTTTTGGCGCTCTTGCTTGGAACTAGGTATAATAAGATATAGACAGACCTGTTATATTGCGATAATTTCATCGGTTGGCGGTTGCTTTTCTTCGAGAGTCTCAAGTTTGAACATTGTAAGCCATATGCATAGGCTTGAAAAAATACGTTAATAAATTGGATATTATTATTATTTTATTGACGATATCCAATTAACTCCCGGATAGATGATCAAATTATCCACTGCGATCGAGAATTGCGTTTTCTCTTTCCTACGGAGTATCCGTAGGAAAATAGTCAAATTTCATCTCCACCTCTTTCTCCCGCGAAATCACAACAGTTTTCTTTCAGGACGTCCGAGATCCTCATAACCGCCGGCTTACAGTATTGGATACAATCAATCAAAATGGTACGGTACTGTACTCTTTGATTATACCCATACAGTGCCCTAAAGAGGACAATAGACGATTCTAACATGTGAATGATGAATAAATAAGCCTCACGCCGACTCCTCCTATTTCGCCCCAGGACTGTCCAAGAAGGAAGTATACGAGCAGGTCCTGGAGCAGACGAGGGGTCTTGTTGATGGGCAGCGGAATTGGGTATGTATATGCATCTATCTTAACAATGCCTGCAGTTTTTGTGGTGCTTGCTAATAGCTGGATAGGTTAGGTGAGTCTATTCAAGGATCACTTTTAATTGAGCTTGTGTCTTTTCAATGTTCAATGTGGATGTGCCATAAGTCTCATGATAAATCAATATAGCAACTTGGCAAACGTCTCTTCTCTCCTCTGGCACGCCTTCGCTGCTCTCCCATCACCCTCTTCATCGGTGAACTGGGCCGGATTCTACATTCGAGCGGACAAATTTCCAGGGAACTCTGCAGGTAGAGTCTTACACCCATGACAGCAAGGAGCAAGCAGAAACCAGATACTCAAGTAATGCATACTGATGACGACACAGACCAAAACAAGAACTTACTACTCCTAGGTCCCTTCCACGGCAAACCAGCCTGCCAACAGATCCTCTTCGGCAAAGGAGTGTGCGGGACAGCCGCCGCGAAGCGGGAGACGGTTGTCGTCGAAGACGTGCTGTCTTTTCCAGGGCATATTGCTTGCGATGCGGAGAGTAGGAGTGAGGTTGTTGTTCCTATTTTGGTGGGGGAAGAGGTATGTCCTTCCTCTTATTATTATGACTCCAGTCTTGTCTTTCTATCCCTGTCTCTCTCTCTTTCTGACGTGAAACTTATACTAGACGGTTGCTATTATCGACATAGACTGTACCGAGACCTCCGGGTTTGATGGGGAGGATAGACGGAATCTGGAGGCTCTTGCTGCTCTTTTGGCGGAGGCGTGTGATTGGTAATTTGTTTGATGTTGGTATACTTTTACTATGCCTAAAATCGATATTCAAGCGGTATATTCTATTAAAACTAATGTTATCTGGTCGAGGAGGTTGGATCCTTTCGAAACATCATACTGCGTGCTACTTAGGTGTCATGTCACCTCAATAGTTATGAGCCACATTCTGCATGGCCAGGACCGCCCGTATCGGCTTCTTCAACGTTACACTGCTTTTAGTTCCTCCATTTTCAGCATGCGTGTGGTTCTGAGCGTTCAGCAATGAGCTTGAGCTGTAGGATTGGCAATCGCGTCCTGATTACTTCTCATGTCTCCTACTTCCCATTCCACTCGAGATGATCATTCGGATATGAATTTCTTTACTCTGTGCCTTTCGTCACAGATCACTCGCGATGGGAGTGGCATTTTAGATCAGCCCTTTGTACCATGGTTTCAACCGCTCGTTGCCTCGTCTGTCTGGAGGTTCACAAGGTAGAGTTTTGTCCGCGAGCTGGCCAGGCCCCCAATTATTGTTCGACTGCTTATCATGATTCAACTCTAAAATTGGCTGTTAAAGTTGGCATCTCGGTCTAATCCGATTGAGACCGGTAGTTGTCAAACAAGTCCTAAACCAAAGCTCTAAAGGGTGCTTTCCCCCATTGCTAACTTGCGTTTGGCAGTCTGCAGTAAGGAAATATAACAGAAGATATAGGCATCTGCAGCTCTTATACATGTAGCTGATTGAGAGAGATATGTACCTTTTCATGCGTAGATCTCAACCTGCTGTACCCAGCAGGAGGGGAGAAGGCTCTTATTCTCTCGTTCTGCTAAGCTGTTGCGCTGTCAGTGTAGAGTCGAGAAATCCGATTGGCATATGCTTCCTGCTTTTGGTTTGCCATCCTATCGCGATATGATGCCGAAGACTATCCCTTACTGAGACACCAACAAAACCATTTTCCAGGGAGAGTTGACATATCGATGCTCTCGGCCCAAATGAGTTGCTGTGACTGTCGTATATCCCAGTACGCCTTATTTATACACCTTCCAACATAGGGAATGGGCAGACGGCAGGTTAATTCATCACTGTCAAATAACGCGGTTTGCTCCTTTGTCTTTCTTCGATGTGTGGAAATGACAAAAAGACCATCAACAAGGATCAAGAATGACCAGATTGTTCAGCGCAGCATTGGCAAATAACGGCCCTTCATGTTCACCTTATTGTATCGCGGCATTTTCGCATCATCTTTGTCTTGGATAAGTTATCCAGGTTTGTATGTCGGGGGAAACCAGAGGAATCTCGTCAAGTGAGCTTTGTTTGTCCTCTATCACTCTTCTTGACTTCGCCGCAAAAATCGACCGTTGCCATTACCGGCGTCATGAGTCTTGTCCTGTCGACCTCGACCGCTAGCCATGAATAGTATGAAAAATATTATCTTGATAGGTAAGAGTCAAAGGTCGTTATTGGGAGAGACCGGATTGAACTGTCCATGATGTATTGACCCATGAGCCCATAGAGTCAAAGTGCTCGACTGGTTTGTGTCGAATCGTATTTTCGGGAGACATCCTTGCTGTAGCACCTGGTTAGCTCTAGAATGAGACAGCAGGCTGACGCAAAGGGAGACAAGCTGATTGTCTCTTGGAAACCGCTGGGATACCAACATGACCGGTAACGCACCGATAATTATCCTGGTGAAGACTGTCGACAGTATCCGGGAGCTAAGAGACCATATCGAAGCTTTGATGTGGAAGGATAACTGCCAGCTGCCAGCTGCCTGTGCCCTAATGCCCCGTGCCCTGGACAGACAACATTCATGCACCAAAGAGGCAAATTATGTAATAACATATAACAGTAACCATAGATGTATCTCAGGGTTTGCATAACCAACTGATTGATTTATAGAATGGAACTGATAAAGCATTGCTATGAGGGGAGGAGTCGGAGTCCCCGCGATAGAAGACAAAGGAGAAGTCTATTGGGGATGGAGCACGCGAAGCCAGCTGGCGCTGTATAGCGCGCTCAGCGGCGGCAGCAATACACAGCGACAGTATGAATATCGACTTCACTGAAATTTCACCAACATGCGCCACTGCGGCTATGGTTACTTGATGAGGTCGATGGAAAAAGGGACAATGGATATGATTGTCACTCTTCTTTTTGAGGAGTCTTCATCACCGAAAAGAGCGCCGTCAACGAAACTCCACAAAGTATTCTGCTTTTCATTTGCTGATTCCTGGTCCAATTCTATAACATATGTGCTATGGTCGATGACTCCGTGACTGACATATATATGCAAATGGGAGCAGCAATGGTCGCTCATGTTGTGAGAACTATTCGATAGTTTCCAAGGGGGAAGCATCCTGGAGTTGGTATTTAATTACCAGTTGGAAGACCCCCAAGGGGTCTGCTCAGCAGTTCTAAATGGTGGGATACCTCTTATCCCATTCATAATGTGACTGATCTGGAGCTTGAATGCGCTCATGGGCCTTAGCCACCGAGGAAATAATGTGGTTGAACTGTCAAAGAAGATGACACCGTCCTCCCAAAGACGCTGCTGGTTCAAACTCGGGTTGAAAAGGGTTGTATAATGGTATGTTGCTTGATCAATCGTAAGCAAGAATGACGAGATTGATACTATACAGTTCTCGAGGGAAGTTCTTACCATAGGAGTAACAGCCGCCATTTCTTCCATTTTTTCGATCCGTAAAAGGCTTAAACTATGCTTTTGTGAACTCTGCTTGGAATTTGACCCGTTTCATTGTCCATTCACCGGACTAGTTGTTACGAGGCTCGCGGGTGATTGAAAGAATAATATTAAAGCAGTATTTATTTATTGTTGATTTGTTGTCCTTGTTGTCTTCCACATCTAGCAAGGAGTCCTGTGTTAGCAATAGGTTCAGAGCTTGCCCAAAGATACAACTCACCTTGCGCAGATGCATTCCCACACCCAAAATTCTTCGAGGATATTTTTCAGATTTTCAGGAGTCTCTCTATGAATCAGCATTTAGAATCCATGAAATATGATCTAAACCCCTGTGAAACAACAAACGTTCAATCGGTAGATCTAGCTGTTTCCGACTCCACCTCCGCAATGGTATTGAGCTCTCGATATAACCAAGCAAATATAGTCGAACACGAGCAGCCTAAGGGTGTTTCCCACACTAGAGAAATCATCACAGGCCAAAAAGGCAGAACAGCCGTGTGCACGTACATTAGATATGGACATAGACAACCGATCCCTCCAGGAGAGAATAAAAGAAATATCACACAGCTTGTCTGCACAAAGGTTTGAGAATCATGCCACCAGTGTTCAACGCGTGGCATTTAGACATTCTCTTGACCGAGCATCCTGCTTTCACCCGCATCCAGTCTTCTGACAGTACATACATGGATCTAAAGGACTGGCATAGTCTTGTGTTTAGCGCAGTGAATGCGGATAAACAGTCTAAAGATGGACTCAGAGTACCCAAGCCAAGTGATGAAGACTTCAAGTCTGTATGTAGACCGTTGGCATCCTCGACTAAGGGACGGAGAGTAAAATGCCAGCCTTCACATGTTTTTACACTCTTAACAGAAGCACTCGGCGTTATGAACATAGCAGAGTGGGTAAAGGAACCGGTAGACGCACATTCATCTCCGTCTTTTGATCTGCCTGCCACAAGACGATCCTTTAAGAGGCCGAATGTTCCAATGACAATGAAGGCAGAGACCAGGCGTCTCTGGGACACGGGAAGAATATACCCTGATCTTTTCTTGCAGGTTGGCAATCGTCCGTTCTAGTCGACTTGAAACCACAATAGTGACGCTGAGGCTTCTAAGACACATAGCGTTTCTTCATGCCACAAACTGGACAGAAGTATCAAACTCAGCCTTGCACGACTTACACTATGGTGAGATTGATAGATAGGTTGCTTCTTCTTGGAAGAAGAGGCTTTCCAAGAATGAGAGTGGAACTTGCAATGAAACATAATACCGAGCATTAAAAAGTGGCGATGATGGTATCGATATAGTGTGCCCTTTGGCTCTTCAAGTCCAGGGCACCACTTCCGTTGTATCTTGGTAGCTGTGTTGACTTTCTCCTAGGCATTAGTTTGGAAAGGCAATTGGGTATCTTGATGAACAAAGCTATCAGCCTTCTGCTTATTTCGTCAAAGCAGACCAAAATAAATAGAGCAGTCGGCGATGAAGTCCTTTCATTCCTTCCAGAATTCCACCTGACGGGGCAGAATAAAATAATGTGAAGGCACGGGATATTAGGCTGGGAGAGGATAGACCTAAGAAGATGTCATGATACCTAAGTAGTGTGCCAATTAGTCGGCAGTCTCACGAGATATCGATCTGTTGGACAGATTCGGACTAAAAGCGTAAAACTGCTCTTCAGTTACAGAGGATCCAGCCTTCAAGCGTTGCATTTGATTGATAGAGCTAGCCTTGGACCCTTTACTCGTATTTCACTGCCGGACTCCCTTGCTTGTATTCTCGTTAGAAACCATGGTTTCGTTTCCATTGAATGCATTAAGTGAAAGCGCGGCACAGCCTCTTAAGAAACTATTCTGTATTATGCTTTTTCCGATTCATTTGCGGCAGTTTCCTCAAGCGCTTGAAACTATGTGGCCTTGGAGCATCGGTTTGTGCAATAGGCTGCGTTGCTACTCCCTGCTCACGGCGGAAGAAGCACCGTCCTTCTTTTCGTGAGCAAAGCTCGAAGATTTCGATCAATGGCCCATTGTATTTATTATCGGCAGTTCTTGACACTGTAACATTGTTCCACTAACCGCATCTCTTTCGGGTCTTTGTCTCGATTAATGGCGATCATGCCATCTTCGGTATTCTTTTTTGTCAAAACTAGAGGCAGGGCTCCAAAGTAATACCTAAGACACCTTCTTAATTGTCAGAAGAGCTTTCTTTTCGTACTTTCTTTTTAATTCGATAGAAACCATTAGCTGAGCAAATGAACATACCGACGCATCATTGTCCTCTCGAGCAGTATTCGCGGGGAGCCCGGGACCCGTCTTCGGTAGAGTCCTAAGAATCAGTTAGTCTCATGCCAGAACTTTGGAAGGAGAGCTTACACTTGCAGCAGCGACTGAAGGGCATTTATCATGTGATCTTCATAGCCACAGTTGGTCGTAACCGCAGGGACTAGGATAACTGGAGGTATACGAAAAGGAGATTATCGTAGAGACATATAACTATAGAGAGTCGTGGGAACAGATATCTGCCCCTCATCAAGCTTGATAATTTAGCAATATAAAAGTCTGATATGATCTTGTCAAGAAGTGCAGGAACTGATGGAGATGTATGATGGTGGAAATTCTTGGTATAGCTTGAAAGTGCGGCTGACAAACAGGCTGCAAGTGAATGAATGCGTCTTTGCTTCACTGATGCCTATTTAATTGAAAATTGACCGAATCTTCCCTTGTTTCTGTATGATCTCTTTTCTAGAAGTGAATGCTGTTAGCGCTTTGACTAGCTAGCTGCATAGGCCAAGTGAATAGACATATGAATTCACCAGAATAAGATTAAATAACACTCCCAAGAGTTGAAAGCTTTGACTACCTGGGCCGCCCCCTCTTTCGCTTCTGTTTTCCTGTATTATATCAACGGTTGAGCCTGAGACAGGCACTCTGGGACACCTTTCTTTCGCTGGGCATCTTCTCCACGCCATTCTTATAATGAAAGACCCTGTTGATACGGCAGCAGTCTCTTTCTGAAGCCTTAGATCTCCGACTGGCTAAATTCCGCCAAAAGACATACTTCCACAAGGACAAACATGCTCAAATGCATAATGCATGTTTCCGCCATACCCGGAGTATTACATGCAAAGAGAGGTATCTGCCAAAGATCTTCCGTCTCACGATTATGCTAATATGCTGAAGCATACGGAATGCTGCGTACGCTTTGTTACATTCAAAAAGCCGGTTATATTGACTATTATCCTTGCTTTTATAATATTCCCAGGGCTATCTTCTCTCCCTCCTGCATCCTCCTGTTCGCTCCGATTTAGCCCCCATCTCACGATTGACCCTGAGGGAACACTATAGCCACAGAAGAATTCTTATGGTCTTCAGCTCAGAGAATCCTCTACATCTATTCGTTCGTATTTCTGTTTAGCAACCCACGTCACTTGGATGAAAAACAGCATGGTATGTACGCACTCGACCTGGCTCCCTTGATGGAATATTCTGAAAGACCGTTAGCCACTGATTATATGGTTAGTTGCCCATGAACCACAATTGGTATGGTAGCTGTTCAACGGTGGATTGACACTGGAATGTTCAGAAGACTGACAGAATGGAGACGAATGCTGAGCTAGACAATGCACCCGTGGGGGCCGAAGAGTACAAGCTGGCATAAGAATTTCTGTTATTGTCAATCTAGTTCGGTATTTTCAAAGCCGTATCTAGGAAACCAGAAAACCAACATTGGCTTCAACAACGAAGCCACCACTGATCGCTGGGTTCAGGTGGCTCTTGCATCGAGCGCGGAGGACCATGTCAAGCAGCTCGAAGCTGTGTCACGTTAAAGGGGGACGCCGATGTTAAAATTGTGGCTGCTTCGTCGCAAAGATCAAACCGAGAAACGAAACATCATCAAGAACTTCAACATAGTTCGCTATTTTATTTACGGCCATCATATTTCCATGTATGTATGGCTGCAAGCCTCCCCCCCCCTCCCTTCTATCAGGTAAGGATTGACTGATGTGGTTGCTCTGCAGAGACCGCGATCTCCGGCTCCTGAGGGGACGTGGTTCAACACGGTCAAGGATAGTCACAAATCATGGCACAGGTGAAATTGGAGTGTTTGAACTCGATGCAACCGGACAGCTTCATTGTCTCCAATGCCAGGTAGTATAGTTCACTTACGTATAGCTGATGTATATAGGCTGCTGTGGGATCACATCTCATTTCCACAAGAATGGGTGCCATTTCAATCTTTTCAACTCGACGGAGTTGACAACAATTTCTACACATCCAAATTCCAAATTATGGAGTGGGTTGCGAATAACACTATCATGAAAGTTGTATCAAGTATTCTACATGCTGATAGAACTGTAACCACGACGGTGTTTGATGAGGATATATATTTAATCCAGTTATCCTTTAAGAAGATGGTTACACCATCCTCAGAATTCGCAATACGGGTATTTATTCATCGATTTCCTGTTCGGCTGAATTTATCACCTCACAAAGAGACCAGCAGGAAGAAGGGAACAGGGAAGAAGACTTGGTCTCTTCAAGGAATTGTCCTATTTTTATTTGTGAATTATGTGCCCTAAGAAGCTCATGCCAACTTGCCAAGTCTGCTGAATACTTACACCTTAATTCAAGATGCAAACACTATCGATATCCATCTATCAACAACTACTCCTCGATTATCCTCAACTTCTCTTGGAAAACCATGAAAAATAAAATGTGATAAAATAAAGTAAAAAAAAAAGATACCTATTCTCACTGAGCTCAAGATATTACAAATGAACGGTCCACGATAAGAGTGGGACCCGTCTCTGGCGAAGTTCGTTTCGACCTTCCTCCGATCGTGCTGGAGCGTCGTTCCACCGAAGCTGTTGAAAGTCCCGGTGAACTGGATTGTTGGAGTCATGGATCACTGTATTTATACTTTGATGTGTCGCTCTATCTTGAGATAATTATCCTGCCAAAAAGCAACTGATGATACAGGCGACGAAGTTGTCGCTGTCACAAGCTCTTTCTTATCATCAATTGATACAAGCATTAATTATTTCTCCATACTATGGGGGATAATACTACCACCATGTCCAAAGATGCATCCATCCTAATCGTCGGTGCCGGTACATTCGGCCTCTCGACAACCCTTGAACTAGCAAGCAACGGATACAAAAACATTACCGTGCTAGAACGCGCCGCGGCCATCCCATCCCCATACTCGGCAGGCTGTGACCTGAACAAGGTCATCCGCGCCGAGTACGAAGACCCATTCTACACGGAGATTGCACTCGATGCGATCAAGGCCTGGAAGTCTCCCCTGTTCAGACCGTACTACGTCAATAATGGGCTGCTCATGGCCAATTCCCCCGCTGCAGACCAGCAGGAGTTTGACTCGACAGATCAGGAGTTTGCGTCGATTGAACACCACCCGGCGTATCCGCCAGGGACGTTGAAGAAGATCTATTCCAGTGCGGATGTACGGGCCGTTGTGCCGCAGCTTACAGGGCCGATGAGTGGGTGGACGGGCTACTTCAATAAAAATGGAGGCTATGTCCGTGCTGGGCGGGCTATGGCGAAAATGTACGAGATTTGTAAGGGGCTAGGCGTGCGATTTATCCTGGGTGAAGAGGAGGGCAATGCCGCGGAGCTTTTGTTCGAGGATGATTCTCGCAAGCGCTGTGTAGGTGTTAAGACGAAGGTCGGGAAGGAATACAAGGCTGCTCATACGATCGTCTGTCTCGGTGCCCACGTTACTCGACTTCTCCCTTCGATCGCACCGCAAATCACAGCCAAGGCATGGGCAGTCGCGCATATCCAGCTCACGCCAGAGCAAGCGCGCTCCATGACCGGCATCCCGGTGATCAACTGTGGCGACATGGGCTTTTTCTTCGAGCCCGATTCCGAGACGAATCTGATCAAGCTCTGCGCGCACAACGCGGGCCTTACCAACTACGAAGGAGGTGGACGTGTCTCCCGCCCCACGAGTAGTGGAAGCGAGGCCGGTTACGTCGTCGACCACGGACGTATCCCGCGAGACGATGAGGAGAAGATCAAGAAACTCATCGCGGAGACAATGCCACAGTTTTCGTCATTGCCGCTGATTCGCAAGTTCATCTGCTGGTGCGGTGACACGACGGATTCAAACTTCATTATCGACTATGCTCCCGGCACGACGGATAAGTCATTATTGATCTTTTCCGGGGATAGCGGACATGCGTTCAAGATGTTGCCCATTGCGGGACGATGGGCGCGCGACGTGCTGGAGCAGGGCAAGCAACGGCTTGATCGGTGGAAGTGGAAAGATGTTCCGGTGGGGGATGCGGATGATATCCATTGGCGGCCTGGAAGCTTGCGGGACGTAAAGGACATAAAGGATTGGGTGAAGGAGGGAGACAGATTGCGTTCGAAGCTATAGGCTAGAAGAGTGTACAGTGTAGTAGGATGAACGATTAATTAATGGTACAGCTAATACTCCAAATAACTCAACTGCCCATTCTCATTCCGAATCCGCTCCATCAGATTGATAGATGCCGACTGCTGACTCCCATGGCGATCGTTCAACTGCGCATGCAAGAAGGGTATTCCCTCGTTCCCTTCGAGGGAAAGATGGATCTGCGATGCCGACTCCGCGAAAGATGTACGTCCCCAGATGAATTTACCTTAATTGATTCTCAGTTTGATTCCTCGACAGCAGATATAGGACAAACACAATAGATAGAGGAATACAAACCATTATTATTTCCTAAACAATCATTCAAATCCAGCGTGGAACTGCACCATGTGCCGTCCGGCTTCCGGCACTGACAGGTTAAGAGGTGGCGATGTTGGAGGGTTATGTCGACGGTGGAGGTGTGGAGTGATGACATTCTTCTTCCAACTATGAGATATACTAGATGGTTACTTTCAGTTATGGTAGACAAATTGGTATCGGATAGAGCCGTGTCTATATAAGGATCGATGATGTCCGCTATGCATCGTCATGACCTCATGCAACTGTTCCATTCCCAATGACTCTTGACATATTTTTTTCTTTTCTTTCTCGTGGGCTTATTCAAGCGCATAGTACTCAATATGTCCATCAATCTTGAGACGATTAGGTGGTCTGTATTTCCCGAATGTATTTCGTAGTGACATCGGCCTATGCATAGTCTAGACTGCGTTTGCCTTGTCATATATCATCAGTCAGTCCATGAAGAATGACATAATGGAGATGGCATGGTATACTGAAAGTGAGTGGATGCTCAACTGGGTCTTCCGTGGACGTTCCATGGTTTATATATATCCTTTTACAAGGACTTGATTTTGAGAACGCGAGCACGGTTGAAGATACACCCCTTCTTAGAAGGCAATACTCGTAGATCCGACATAAGACTCCGGTCATAGCTGCTACCCCAGAGTCCATTCGCTCTAACGGGAACTAACACCACTAAGAAAGAGGACCTGCCGTAGTGGAAGTTAAGTACCGATGTCATGCCAGGCCGAACCTTGACGAGGCTGTGGCAAGCAAGGGAGAGAGACAGTGGACGGTTTGGCTTTCGTATTGACCCACTTGCAAGTGTTGAGCACGGGCGAAATCCTGTTTCCACTGCTCCGCTTTGTGTCTGGAGAGGGTGGGGAAGAAGAATGAACCTGAATGAAGTCTATGCATGTTAGAACTTAGAGATCGCTGCAGTGACCACACAACTATTCCACTAACTAGTAGTACATAGTAATAGTAATGGCAATGGTTCTCCACAGAAAGGAATAATAGTCACCTGATTACCCCAGAAAAAAACCCTCCTCTGCGCTCAGATCGCTGCCAAGGGCCGTTTTTGTATGCTGTACAATACGAGCGGCGGAGACGTTGCCGTTGCTTTTTTCTCTTTGATGTCACTCGAGTTCGCGTATGAAATGGGATACGAGTATGAAGGGCCTACTCCCATCGATAATGATGCCAATGGATCGAAGCTGCGCGAGAGGCTGAAGTGGCTGCCCATCATTGCCCGGTAGGTCTTTGATCAGGCTGTTCCTTCCTTGGGAGTAGTACGGGGCAGCATCTAAGGGTATATGCGTTCATATTCCATAGTACAGAATCCCATGAACCAGTGTATAAGGCAGAGAGTTGACAGGGGAGAGAGAGCAACCGTTCTGAAATTATTCCTGTTGAGTGCTGCGTAAGATCACTGTTTGTAACAATACGAGCGGGTCTGCGGAGCTGAAGCGTCTTTTTATTTTCTGGTCGGCCGCTCGGGCTTTCCGCGCCCGTACCGTAAGAAACAACTAGTCAATACCATACAGGCACGGTTACAGCCATGACACCATGCAGGACTGAGCAAACAATAGAATGAATAATAATAAAACAGAGTAAGAAGAATATAAAAGAATTGCTCTGGGAAGAAAGAGCCTGTGGGACAGTCTGCCATGTCACATGCAGATGATTAATCTGCCGCTTTGCTCTCATGTTATATCCTCCTCCATCTCAACTTCTCAAGACTCAACCTCTCCACACTCCGCAACTGCTACGCTACTATACTCTGTAACCCTCCTCCATATCCATCTGCCTCTATCCACGTCACTTATACTCCCCTATTTTTATTCTGCACGCTGTAAGTTACATATCTCCCAATACCCGTTGGCCCCATACCCTCGACAAAGACCTCGACAAAGTACCGAAGGGATCTTCTCATTCTCCACCAGTGTCACCCTGCGGTGTTTTTTCCTACTGGCCCTTCTCCGGACAGGTCACCGTCGGATGATTTGTCCCAGAATGTCCTGTATATGAATTGAGCCCTTCGCTAACCGTTAATCTCCTCAGATTCACGCCCCTTCCTTCTTGTAACAGCAACAGCAACAACCTCCATCCCCTCTCCATCTCTTTCGGCTCCTCGCAGGGATACTGAGACATCAGCTCCATATGAAGGTCAGCAGAACCAGCCAGCATACTACTGCCCACCACAAGCCATCCTCCATCATGAGGTCGGACCCTTCGAACCTCTATACTCCTGCCATGTCCCAGTCCAAGCAGCCTGCGGCCTCTCCCTCCTCCCGATCCCGACCCCAGAACCCTAGCAAAGCCACTCCGTCCTTCCCTCTTGGGAGCCTGCCACGGTTCCATCCTACCGTCTATCAGTCACCAAACGCCTCGCACAACTCCGGCTCCCAGCCCTCATCGTCGCAGCAGGCTCGAAACCATTCATACCGTCATTCATCCGGTTCTCGGGACGCCCTACGACAGTATCGAGAACTGGTGGAGAGCGTAGCTCTCTCTCGGACACCTTCCGGATCACTGTCACCGGGCCCGTCTGCCCCACGACTGGGCCCCCTTCGCAGTCCCGGACCCGTCACGCCCTTGACACTGGAGGAACCGAGCAGCTACCTAGCCGCCGCTGGTGCAGTCACCCAATCTGACCATTGGGCTTGCCAACAACACTACGGTCCGCCACAGGACCGAGTGATGGAGAAGTTGGTTGTCAGGGAAAGCGAACGAGCTCGACAAGACCGTAAGAGTTCTATGGGACTTTGAGCGAACCCTCCATCCGACATGTCACTGGTGGCTAGATGCCTGAATTCCATTGGCCTGCAGACGTGTCGGCTCACAGAGTCAGGCCTGCATGTAATCTTCAAGACCGCTTCCATTCTGGTGTTTCATTTACTTGTCTTCCCCTTTCCTATTTCACATTTGGTCTCTGGCGTTGTGTGCGCGATTGTTATTCATACCTGTATTTATACCCCACATAGTCTTACTGCGATTCATCTTCCATGGTCCCTGGTTATGCCGGCTATGGAACTGGCTGGACCCGAAATGGAAATTGCTCTTGTGCCGGGTGGACGCTCTCTTTTCTTTTCTTTTTCTAGGACTTTCGCAGATTGTCAGACCGGAATGAAAAGTTGTATTTGTTCTCTCGACTCAAATTATTGACCCATACGATTAACAGTAACCTCGTACTGGTGTAGGCTCATCCTTGTTTAGACGGCCGTGCCCGGAGATATGACTTTTCTCCCCGGTTGAGCACCCCGATCTGCGGGGCTCCCGTTGACTCTTGAGCCATCGCTCTTTCAATCTTTTTTATTTCCTCTCACTCTCTCAGTTTGCATTTAATACTGTATATTCGACAGCGGTTCCTCCTCTGCTTAAACCGACGCGATTGATGGGGAACATCTGAACTGAATCGCTTGATGATTGACTTGTTCGATTAACAGCCAGAGACGCATTCCTTATCCTCCTCCGACAACGGAGCTCCACCCGAGTGAACCAGAGACAGGCTTTGGGCGTAGCTGAGTTTTGAGCGCACTTGAACTCTTGCCCATTTGTCACATTACTGCCGCTGCTATCAGCCCTGGGGAGAATCCCCGTGGCCAGGAACAATGGCGTCCCTGTCAGAGCAACACCGACAGAAGGAGTCGCAACAAATGCCGTCAGCGCTGGAGAGACAGAGAGAGCCCAATGCCCAACAGAGTACTGGGTCGGGAAATGCGACGGTCACAGCGACAATAGCAACTGCAACTGCGGAGCCAAAGCGGAATTACAAGGGTTTCGTGGCTGGTGTGTTTTCGGGGATTGCGAAGTTGAGCGGTATGATTCCTTGTTACCTGTGTCAAGTTATTGTGGGCAATGATTACTGACATCTATCTTTTGGGACTGTTAGTTGGTCATCCGTAGGTGATTGCTTTCCCATTCCCCCTTCCTACGGAATGAACAATTCCATTGACTGTTGGAACTAGCTTCGATACTGTCAAGGTCCGGCTGCAGACAAGCAAGGATTCACATTTCAAGGGTCCCCTGGACTGTGTATTACAAACTGTGAGGAAGGAGGGCGTGAGTGGATTATATAAGGGTGCTACGCCGCCGTTGATCGGGTGGATGGTGATGGATTCTGTGTGAGTTTACCTATTTCATGATCTGCCAATACTATGATGACAGCAATGAATAAACAAAACTAATAATGCAGCATGCTTGGCTCCTTGACGCTTTATCGACGATTACTTCTTGAACATGTCTTCTCCAACCCTCGTATCCGTCCTGCCCTCCCGATTACTTCGACCGATCCTCACACCCTACCCAGTTTTGGACATGGAATTGCAGGCATAATGGCCGGTACAACGGTCAGCTTCATCGCAGCTCCTGTCGAGCATATCAAAGCTCGGCTGCAGGTCCAGTATGCCGCTGATAAGGCCCAGCGCATGTACAGCGGACCAATCGACTGTGTCTTGAAAGTCGTACGTATCCTAGTTCTAGGTAGCATGCAAGAAAGTACGCCGACTGACAGACCGCAGTATCGCGCACATGGTATTCCAGGCGTCTACCGTGGCCTCTGCGCCACGATGTTTTTCCGCTCCTTCTTTTTCTTCTGGTGGGGCTCGTACGATATTCTGAGCCGGTGGATGAGGGAGCAAACCAAGCTATCTACTCCGGCCATCAACTTCTGGGCGGGTGGTATTTCGGCCCAGGTCTTCTGGATTACTTCCTACCCGTCCGACGTGGTGAAGCAGCGCATCATGACGGATCCGTTAGGCGGTTCTCTTGGCGACGGGGAGAGAAGATTCCGGCACTGGAAGGATGCTGCTGTGACTGTTTATCGCGAACGGGGGTGGCAGGGATATTGGAGAGGCTTCCTGCCGTGCTTTTTGAGAGCGTTCCCGGCGAATGCTATGGCTTTGGTTGCATTTGAAGGCGTGATGCGATGGTTGCCGTGAAGAATATGAGTTTAGCCTACCTCGCGACTAGGACTCTACATGATATGAGTCCTCTGTAAAGTGTATATACATCATGGATAGTAAAGGCATTTCTTCAGCAGTTTTGATTTCTTGGCATCCAGTACGAAGCATGTGGCGTAGTTCAAATCGTGCAGAAAGCGCCAATTGGGAATAGTGACGCAATTGAAGAAAATAATTAACCGATGCTTGAATGCGTCTTGACTTGGTTCTCTTGATTATTCCGGGTTTATCTCAGACATATTTTCTAATTTGGATCTGACTGTGGCTCTGCTGGAGACCGTCGGGGATTGCGTGGCCTTTTGAAGCTGTCTCAACTCTCCCTTCATTTCACCTCATCTCGTCCTTTCCTGCTTCCCCATCTTTCCCCCCTTACCCTGTCCTGTCCCGTCATCCTTCTCAGCTATGCTCGATCCTCTGGCCATGACGATTCCTCTCGCTTAGCAAGTCATTTTCTGCACGTACGCTCCCTACAGTTTCTCCCTTCTTGTCTGTGACCGCAAATTCGCCGCCGTACCACGCAACCGAGCGGCCAAAGATAATGGCCATCGCACGTTCAATTCGGCGAACAAACCACATTACCCTCATCCTGGCCTCTATCCTGGCCATTGGATTTCTCTTCTTTCTCCTCTCCCCTTCCTCTTCCTCTGCATCCTCCGGCACCGCTGCCTCCTCACAACAACGACGCGACGATGCTGCCCAGAACCCTCTGAGTCCACCAACGAAGCCTTTCTGGAAGTTTCAACCTTTACGTCACGATGGGCAGAGGGCTCCTCCGCCCGTGGTGCACTATAATTTGAATAATCTCACGAGCACGGGCGAGGCTGTCGCGAACGGGGAGCGAGTTCTTATCCTCACACCGCTGAGCCGGTTTTACCAGGGGTACTGGGATAATATTGTCCGTCTCAACTACCCGCATGAGTTGATATCCGTCGGGTTCATTCTACCTCGGAACGCGGAGGGGGATAAGGCGCTGGCGGCGTTGGAAAAGGCCATCTCGAAGACACAAGCGGGGCCCATCGATAACCGGTTCGCCAGCATCTCGATCCTCCGTCAGGACTTCGATGCGCCGATCGTCTCGCAGGATGAGAAGGAGCGGCATAAGCTGGAGAATCAGAAAGCCCGTCGCGAGTCAATGGCGCGTGCCCGGAACAGTCTGCTCTTCACCACTCTGGGTCCCAGTACGTCCTGGGTGCTCTGGCTGGATGGTGATATCGTCGAGACACCCACCTCCTTGATCCAGGATCTCACATACCACGATCGTCCGGTGATCGTTCCCAATTGCTATCAGCGATTCTACAATACCGAAGCCAAGCAGATGGACGTACGGCCTTACGATTATAATTCGTGGGTCGACAGCGAGACGGCGGCTGGACTCGCGGAGGGCATGGGCCCGGATGAGATTCTCCTCGAGGGATACGCAGAGATTCCTACTTATCGATCCCTGATGGCTTACATGGCCGACAGGTCCAATCCGGATCCCAAGCGGGTCGTCCAGCTGGATGGCGTCGGCGGGACCGCCTTGATGGTCAAGGCTGAAGTGCATCGTGACGGTGCCATGTTTCCAGCTTTCCCGTTTTATCATCTTGTCGAGACAGAGGGATTTGCCAAGATGGCACGACGACTGGGGTATTCGATCTTTGGGTTACCGGATTATTTTGTATGTTTCTTATCTGCTGTCGTTGCTTATCATTTGCTAACATAGAAACAGGTATATCACTATAATGAGTGATGGCATATTACGAGTTACTTTGTAGACGGCTTTTTTGCCCGGTTTCTTTCTTGACATGTTTTATACTCTTTTCTCTGTTTTCTTGATTGAGTCCGATTTGGTGATTGGGTTTATGTTATGCATATCTGCGCTGTGCGCTTTCTCTTCTTTTCTCTTCTGGTCTTTTACCTCCTTTTTCTATATGATAGGTAGATAATACCTTTTTCGTTTCAGAGTTCAAGAAAGAAAGCTGGTTATTTCGCCTTGTTATTATGCGGGGTGTCTTTGTCTGATTGCATTAAGATGGGTTGTCTGTCTATTACAATCAATACATAGTAGAAAGAATCGACAGCTGGTAATGCTCTCTGCTTTCGAATTTGCTAGCAGGTCGTTCGAGGACCTGAACCACGTACTGACTAGATGGTCAATTAAATAGCACATGTTCAAGGCTATATATATGTTACTATATGTACTTTTTTTTATCATCACTGAGACTTTCCCTTTCGGGATGCCACTACTTTCATGAGGGTACTCAGGGGGACGCTCAGTGCGTATTTCTCATCACCACTGAGCTCACTGGCTCAAGTGATCGGTCACGTGCCACCATAAGCTGCTCCTCTATTTTGTGCAGATAGTTAGTTCAACAACGGTACCAAATTACCCCGACCCATTTGCCCATGAGAAAAATGACGCAAGCAGAATACCGTCCTTAAGGGGCAATCCTCAGGCTTTGTTCTGCCAGTACTGACCGCTTTAACACGTGACCAGTGAGAGAGATCCTAGTTAGGCTTAGCGCTACTTATTTAGATAGTTTCCCCCACTCTGGGCCAGCGACTTCGAGTGTCATTATCGCTCGTGGATGTTTATGGGTTCTGATGGGAAATACCTGCAAAATGTCAGTTTCTCTGCCATATTATCGAGAGCCACATCAGTTAACCTGGCATTCTGCCCGAGCATGATGAAATCGTTAAAGCAACAAACATTCTCCCGACCATTCGCAACGCAGATTATTGACGTCTTATGGTGATTAGGGACCTTTATGTGCCGCAGTTGAAGATGATCTACCACGGGGGCGCGTAGAAGCGGCTACTACTAGATGGATATCAACCCTATGCCCTATTATTGGGTCCAAGTTCATTTAGTGTGGTTGAGAATAAGCGCGAAGACTATGTTTCATTGCGCGGGGAAATAGGCAGAAGTATCTCTTGACCACAAGTCTACAATTGCTGACACGTTCACCAATAGGAAAATAGTTCGAGTATGAAACTCGAGAGCTAGTATGTATTTGTTCCGCATGGCTCGTGGCTACCATCAGGCGATGCACCCACAGCCAGGGAGTCAATTCGTTTCAGCTTTGATTATGATTTATATCAACTACATTCAAGACTCAATGAAATCTTCAATGATTAACGTAATGTAAAGCCTCCACGTCTCCAGGTGGAAAATGAACTTTTCAGGGTGTTGAGGGCCTTCATTAAGACAATGCCACGTATACTTGGCTCTAGTACCGATGGAGTGATGTGATATCACAAAAAATGCTCGATTAGGGGCATTTAATGACCTAGCATCCCATGGCCGTTGTATAGTAGTCCCATGGATCCCAAGTACTAGCGAACTGGTCCAAAATTATCGGCAGATAGGTCATTGACCATTCATCGCTCCTAACGGCAGTATATTGCGCCTTGCGAGATTCCCAGTACAAAGGTAAGCAGCCTGACTGCTCCCAGTCAACAACTGCCAGAATATGATATGGGGGAAAGGGTGTGATGAGGATGTTACTGCGATGGAGATCACCATGGGTGAACTTGATTGCACAGTTATCTGGAAGGTCTTGGCGAAATGGTTCCACTGGGACTGAGTATGGATTTTGCAGTGGTCTCCGGTAAAGGAATGTGAACCAGTTGTGAAAGTTGCAAACTGTAACAAATGGTCCTGCTTCATCCATATAGTTTACATGAAATGCTCTATCATAAAGAGGTTCCCGCGCAATGTTGCCTATGAAGAAAAGATTAGATAACAGCAAACCGTCTTCTGTAGGATATGGGGGATATTCTCACCTATGTATGTACCCTCTGGGTCCTGTTCGAACTGACGTAGGCGCCGATGAACTGTTCGGAGTTCGTGACAGATGCTAGTTTTATCATCATGTCCCATAATACCCCATACTTGCTCTAGGGTTTTCCCCTTTACATATTCCATATAAATATATTTCTCATTCCTGTCTGTGCGCCAACCATACACCTCGGGGACAGGAACATCGCCTTTGAGGAATCGACGGACAGCATACAGGCACTGAGCTTCGGATATTTGAACAGTGCTTCCCCACTTAACGAATAGGCCCATCTCTTTGAAAAGGACAGGTGATAGTCTCACATACGGGGCAGACATTGAATAAACTTTCCTTCGGTCTGGATTCACTCCAGCAAGATGTTGGGTTTTGGCTCGTGCCTGCACTTCTTTCGGTGGAGGTAATCGATTCCATTTCCCAAAGAATGACGAATCTTTAACATCGAAATCGAGAAAACTTGGAATCATCGATTGCACAAGGCGTACACCTTCTCCTTCACGGGTCATGCTGCGCAGAATACAGATGGTGTGGTCCCGAGCTGCTGCAGGTGGTACCGTAGGATTGATTGATAGATAGATGGTTCAGCTCCTTCCTAGTTAGGCCACACAAGATCACGTGTACTTAGCATTGGTTCTTAAGCAAGAAGGACCCTATGTTTCCTCTCTTACTGTCACATTAGCATTCTCCGTATATTGATTACCTCTTAACGCCGTCACCGCCATCCAGCCCTTACAGCTGTAGGCCATCTCACGCATAGCAGTGTGGCGGCTGACTTAGACTCATTTCTGATATGGCCAAAGGTGTTTGCCAACCATAGGGAAGAAGCTAGGGAACTCAAAAGAGCAACAAGTAGAGAAATAAAGCAGGTATTGAATCTGATGAGGTGGATGTCCACAAGGAGACCACAGACATCAGATTGATATTTTTTTGAGGAACGTTTCCCATTCCCTTTGTCTCGTAGAGAAGGTACTCCATTGGGAGAACAGGGACAATTTACCCTTCTTGCAATAGAGAACGGGCCACATTCCATAGCTGCAAGAGCTGAAAGAGTCCTCAAAATAGAAAGAAGAAGGGTCAGTTAGAAGTAAATAAACAGACTCATGGGTATTGTAGTATGTTACCTGAGATTCTAAGCTGTGCTGAGAATGCAGTTTCCCAGATCAGACTGGGGATATCACCGCCAGGTGAATCAGTTATGATAAAGAGGTAAGTGTTGCCTTCCAACAACCTGTGAGATATCTGACACTGTTTGTGATCTGAGGACTCTCATTATGGTGGGATATTATATGATTTTGGCTATCTCGTTCTACATTGTTGCCTCCAGTTGGGTAGTTATGTCAACTTCTCACCAGTGTTCCAGTCTTGCCCCAACCTGGGTGTTGTGACGGCGTGGAAAACAAGTACTATATAAGTGAGTGCAGTATCAGGTCTTACGACCTGATATCCTGGTCTTTTGCCGGTAGTGCAGCGGTTTAGTCCTTAGAATGCACTCTAGGAGCTAGGTCGTGACAGGTGTGGTGTAGATAATTTGTTGATATACCTTATTTGGCAATTAGGTCTGTAGCAGTCTACTGTCATATTCTTCCCACCAGTCTAGCCAGTTAGCTTCCCATATTTGATGGGTTGTTTTGCGTAGTAGACAACTTACCGGGGGTAGAACTGTAGTGCCTCAAGACTGAAGTACGGGAGAATCCCACCCTATATATTATCCAGGTCAAAAAAGGAGCTCCTTTCGGTGGATGTCACTTTGGGGGAGTACAAAGGATAGAGGACGAGAAGGAGGAATCAGGCTTCAGCCAGCTTAAATGTTTGAGGATGAGGGCAAAACCACAATCAGAATATGTGGCTGCTACCTAAAATTAGAAAAATTTGGTGATCTCAAGGGAATAGTAGCAGTCACTGAGCCAAAGCTGGAAGTGAGTGAGTTTCCTTTGGCAGAAAGAAATATATGCCACATATGGTACAACCCTCACACACTTCTGGAGCTGGAGAGCAGCCATTATTCACTAAGTGAGAAAAAGAAAAGGATCCTAAAAACTAAAATCTTGAGGAAAGGCATAGATATTTAGAAAACCAGGTTATTACTACTGGATACGCTGTAATAGTTACATGTCCAATGTGAGTAGACACTAAGTAGACACTAATCTTAAACATGATGACGGAAAGCAGACGGGATCTTCTCAAGAACAGCACTGACATTAATCCTCCTCTTGCTTTTCGTACCGGCCGTCCCCTCAGCGCGCTGGATGAGGAATTCCTGGTTCCACGGGTGCAACGTCGGTTTCCGCTGTGGAGGTTTCTGATGAGCCATACGCCAGATATCCGCCGTGACGCTCCTGCCTAGCGTTTCGACAAGGGGCGTCAATAATGGTAAGGAAGCAAAGATGGTGGAGTAGCAGCAGACGGCGACGATGAGGATGTTAGCCCAGTAAGGGAGGCCGAGGGCTGACAGTCGGACGCAAATAGTGGCGCCGAGACTCCAGAAGACGAAGCCGTGGATGAGGTAGATTGTAAAGATATGCGGGAAGATCATGACGAAGAGTCTGAAGGAGAGGATCTTCTGCATGACCGTGCTGAGTTCGACGAGGAGCTGAAAGCCGAAGGAGAAGACCAACCCGTGGAGCTTCGGGACGAAGTACTGAGGGTAGGAGTTTAGGGGTGTTTGGGCAATAGGGAGGCCTGTTGCTGGGTCTGGATGGATGCCGTATTCATATGTTGCGTAGTTGACGTTTGTCCATTGAGTGGCCAGGTCGATGCTGAGTCCTCCCACTCCAAGGGCAAACCCGAGACATACCAACGGATAGTGGACATAGAGGTGGGAGTTCAGCCATTTTCGATACTTGTATGTCAGGTCCAGGTCTGCTAGCATCAGACCCAGCCAGAAATAGCTGCCCCAGGACAGTGCGTACCAAGTGTTCAAGATGCAAAAGATATAGTACGCGAACCGCTTCCAGGGAGTTTTGATCTCCCTAACCACTATGACGCCCAGGATGACACCCCATGAGCCCTGCAGTTGCACGGGGACGGTCCAGAGAACACCAGTGCAGTAGTTGAAAGTGATCTGCGGGGCCGCATTGGGGATGAGATACATGAGTTCAATGATCTCGCTGATGAAATAGCCAAAGTTTCCATATTCGACGGCAAATGGCCAGGTCGACCAAGTGATCGAAGGGAGATATTCGAGCCATTTGGTTGCTCCCAGATCCATGAAGAAGTATTCCAGCAACGCGATGGCGAACACGGGGATTATCAGTCGTGGTGTGCGCCCAACTGTCTTCTCCGCCAGCCCCTTCATCTCGCCGCTTCGAAGGAAGCTGGCTACCAGAAAACGACTCGAGGTCATCAGAAATGGGCCAATCCAAATCAGATTCAACAAATACGGGGTTACCGTCTTCCGCGCCCATTCCTCGCTCTTGTAGTGCTCATACACTCCAGGGTTGATGGCGGCATTGGCAAATGTCAAGCAGAAATGAATTCCCGTAACAAGCAGCGAACTGACTGCTACAAGGCCTGCAAGATAGTCTACTCGCTTTTTAGGAGCAGGCAGCGCCGATGGACCTGGAATCACCGGTCGTGTAGTGGTAGTAGTTTCGATTTTCTCCGTAGTAGGTCGAGCATCCTTACGGACATCCGTTTCGGTAGTATTGTCAGCCGGCTCAATTTCCGCCAGGTTAGATCGCGAAGTGAATTGTCTTGGAGCTAGGCTTGACAGCCTATCGTTTAGAAAATCCGATGGAGTGACAGGTGGTCTGGTGAGTTCCAAGGGTGTGACAGTGCCAGATCCCCCTGTTGATCGCAGAGAGCTTCCCATCAGCACAGGCGGGAAAGCGAGATGCTCGGTCGACGAGAAGTTATATTCTTCTGCAATATGTGACATGGATGTGCTCGAAGTTGGCCTCTTGTGTATGGGCTTACTCCAGGGTTTTCTGCGCAGAATGGAATTGGAGACCAAGAAAGCGCTGATACCGCTGCATATAGACAAAACTACAACTGCTGGAATGCTTCCACCAGTGGATTCACTTGCTTGCTTCCACTTGGCAGTAGCGTTAGCTGAATACGACGTGAATCCACGGAGACTCATGTTATCAACCGAGCATGCCTGTGAAATGTGGCAAGTCGAGTCGAAACGCTTCCGAGCATGAGGATCCATGGATGTTGTATTGAAAAAAAAGCGTATCCAGCCGACATTGGCGGTCGTTTCGTTCCATGGCGGACCTTGCATAGAGAAGTAATTCCCCGTAGACCAGTGTTTGATGTGAATGGGACCGGGAACACTGGGTAACCCTTCATATTCCTTCTTCGACACGCTCCGCCATGTCTTATTGCCGAGATAATAATGGATGTATTTGTCGGTCCAATCGACTCGATACTCGACAAAGTTCCACGGATCGAAGGAACTTTGGTTCAAGGTGGTATAGTTGACCCCGTAGATGTAATCGGGAAATTCGCGATTCATGAGCATCGTAATACGTGAGTCGGTGGCATTCCCCGTACTGAGCAGGTTCAGGCTGAATGTTTCTGTCTCATTGAAGTATAATTCCATCGTCAAGGCGCTCCCTCCCGTCCACGGCAATGGTGATCTCATGTAAGTTCGAAACGTGCCATAATGGATATCGTGTCGCAGTGTTTGGATGGAGCCGCCCATGACGAGGTGATCGGGGGTCGGGACTGACAGGTTTATAGCCAGCGACTGCAGAAAGTTGGCAGAGAGCAGGGAATCATTGACGATGCGCAGGTGGGATAAGTCTGCGCCTTCACGGAATTGGTCGTTCCAACCCTTTTCATAAGCTTTCTTGTAAGTCTGACCCTGGAAGCCGGTAGACTCCAGTGATGTAGTTTCATTGAAGTACACAATGATGGAGTCCGTGTAGAGCTGTTGGGCCGAGGGATCATAGTAGCCGCATGAACAGTCGCTGTTATTCGTGCCTCTGAAAGTGATTGTCTGCTCGCTCCCAAATGCCAGGGTGAGAAGGGGCAGCAGAATAAGAAGAAACATGGCCGATATGCGAGTTACCATTTTCGAGAACCACACACAAACAGCCTCTGGGGTATCGACGGAACGAAAAAGGAAACAATATAATGACGACTGTATATAGGGCAGATTGCCGGAGGCAGCTTTCCTGGAAATGCCGAGCAGTCGATTGAGGCGTTCCTGGCATCCATGATATACATGCAGGGATGCGTTGCACCGGCAGGTAGTACCAGAGTCACACAGCAAGCAGAACATTGTGCATAGTTCACCAGGCGATCATTCATTTGGTGGGACAGCATCTGCATCGTCCTGCTATAGATAGAACGCTTGGTAATCATGAAGAACCCCCGGAGAGTCTGGTCAAGGTCGGCTCCACAGTGGCATGGACACGATAATAACAAGCGTGCAGGACCCCAACAAGTATGCACCAAGCCCGTCTAATAGGACAGGTTTCGTCGTAGTATTCGTCGCCATAAGGCTGTCTCCAGGGCATCATCGCCCCAAAAAGTCCCAGGGAAAAGATACCCGACATGATTGGCGTCCACAGACCCGAAAGACGGTGAAGAATGGCACCATGAGAGCGTATTCTCTTGATCTTTGGCTTTATTTTTAGGGGATTGGCTCTATTGCCATCGTACTAGGTCGTACTCTGTTCGCTCTTCCGCAGGCAGTGAGATTGCAGCCTGGCCGCGTCCGCGTGGCAACAAGTCCATCTGAAGCCATCTCGGCTATAATAGCTGCCTTTAGGGTTTTCTTCGTATCCGGCATGCTCTTGGCGTGGAAGGACTGGAGTAGGGAAGCCGATGGCTTGGGGAGAGTGGGAATCGGAGCAAGGTTGAAGTCGAAGCGAGTCGGCAGAGATAATCGGCGGCGGGAGTCATTGGCCGCTTCGAGCTCATCCACGACAACTGCACCTGCAGCTCCATTCCATCGCCCTTCTGGCCCAGCCTGGTTATTAACGCGAGCAGGATTCAAGGACAAATAAGCTCGGTCCCGGTAGTTGCTGTCTCTACCTGTCATTACAGCCAATGCAACCGTACCAACATCACCGCCGGGATGCCAGCGATAGCCAGCGGAGTATAATGACGCGAGAAACGAGGCTATGTTGCTCAATCCTTGTTTCATGACGGTTGATCACAGACTGTCTCTGATCGTCGCATCTGCACAGTCCAGATGTTGTCTCCGAAACATGGCCCATGAACACCCCAACCCGTCGGACACGACACCTCAGCATATCGGGAAGTTTGAAAAACGATATAAGAGTGCCAACATCCCACCGGTCCGAGGAGGGAGATGCATGCGGATGGTCTATTTTTGGGATGATATCGACCACCTCATGACGAGCACTATTGCCTGCTGCAGGTCAGGAAACTTCGCGTCAGCCGTACACGAAGCGGCTCTCTGTTATCTGTGGCCAGCATGCGAAGCAGTAAGCCTCCCGCGAGACGGGCATATTCCTGCTGGGCTACTCGACCGGGTGGTTGATCTCGTCCTGCTTGGTTTCCTGCATACGAGAAAGACCGGGGTAATTCTACATAAGAAAATAATTACACCGAATTTCAGCTGAGAGAAATTGCTCTGGCTCGAGTTTCTTTGGACAAAGTCGGTCTTCGCAATGTCTTCATTGCAAAAGGTTGCTGCTTTCGTTCAGGACTGGACACCGTTTCTCCTGGTACTTTCATATTTTGTCACTTCAACATGCATCTATATTGTGTGTACGGCGAAGCTCATTCAGATCTTCTGGTTTATCTGTCTATTTACAAACTTCTACATTGCCGGGAATTCAGTCTTGGAAGCATTCATGAGCATGTCACCTATCCATGACTCCCGAAAAGCGAGGGACAAGGTGGAAAGCAATAACTGGGTCTTCCCTACTCCAGACGATCAGCTGTTGCACCTCGACCTCATCATCGTTGCTTACCTTCCAAACGAAAAGGACATCATCATGGACCGGGTTCATTACGCTCTGGAGGAGATTCGATATCCCAAGGATAAGATCACAATCAACGTGGTCTACAACACTCCTCATCCCATCGAGCCTCTTGAGACTGAGCTGCGAGACCTGGAGGCTCAGAATTTCAACCTCCGCGTCGTCAATGTCCCCAACTCGTCGTCCAAGGCACACAACTTGAACTATTTCCTGTCCCTCGACACAGGGTCCGATGTCATTGCAATTTTCGATTGTGACCACTATATGCATCCCTATGGTCCACGTTGGGCTATTGAGAGATTCATGCAAGACAAAGACGTCGATATTGTTCAGGGTCGATGCGTGGTGTTCAACGCAGGCGTATCCATCATGACGGCGATGGTGTCTGTTGAATTCGATAAAATCTACGCCGTCTCCCACCCAGGACGATCGGCTCTCTGGGGTTTCGGCCTGTTCACCGGTTCCAATGGCTACTGGCGCGCGTCTTTGCTTCGTGAGCTGCGCATGGATAGTAGTATGCTCACGGAGGATATCGACTCGTCCCTCCGGGCTCTCTCCTGGGGAGCCAAGATTGTTCATGACTTGAACGTGGTCTCCTACGAACTCGCGCCGATTACGCTGCGCTCTCTCTGGAATCAACGATTGCGATGGGCACAGGGGTGGGCTCAGGCCAGTATGAAATACCTCGTCTTGGCCTGGAACAAGCCTTTGCAGGGGACGCGGGATAAGACCATGCGCTTTGGCTTGGTCTCGTTGCTCCTTATTCGTGAGATGAGCTACTACCTTGTTACGCAATATTGCTGTTTGGTTCTCAGCTTCATCATCGTGCACTTTCCCAAGACTCCCACTGCTTTTGCTCATCTGATCTACTTCCAATATCCGGTTTCCCAGTGGCTATTTATTATAAGGTTCGACTATTCCCTTCTCTTTGGAATTGAGCACCTGCTGACTGTATCTCCTAGTGTTGTCTGTTTGGTTGCGACTCTATGGATCACAAATCATGCCAAATCGGAATTCATCACATTCTGGATGATCGGCCTTTTCTCTGCCATTTATCCGGCTTACCTAGTGCTGACGGCGATTGTTGGACTGTACGGCCATGCCAGACAAGTTAGCAAATACACCAACTGGAACACCACGGCCCGCGGATAAGAAGAGGCATAGAAAGGAGCCAAAACGAAATGTCGATATCCGCATTGTTCTTGAGCTAGTCCAACTTTCAACTAAATTGTATAGATTTCTGCATGCTCGCTGTGTTAGACCAGGGTATCCCTGCAACATTATCCTATCCTGCTTTCTTCGTCAGTCCGGAATTAATAAATAACCTTTAAAGACGTGCTGCATTGGCAATCGGTCATTCGACCATTTGAAATAGCATCACTTCTGATATTTGTTCAATATAGCCAAGAAAAGGTTAATATGTTGGAACCTGAAAGATAGACCAGGGAGTCTACTTCAGCCACTGAAATAAATTAATGGCCGCTATTATTTTCTTTTTCTGTTCCTGTCGAAAAGACAACGGAATCAAGGAAACTTATCGAGGAGCTGAAAGATGCAGATGCGGCCTTCGTTACATCCAGCAGATTGCACGACACGATACTCCGTACAGCCAGCTATTATCGAATACGACCTGCAAGTGGCGTCAATATTTACGGCGTCTACAGTAAGCACTAGCAAGGATAACGCCTAGCCAAGCTTCACTGAAGGTCCGCGGGGAGGTTGTAAACTGAGGAAGTCCGAAAACACCACGGTTCAATTGTGCTCCAACCAAACTTTGGGGAAACGTGGGAATACAGAGTATATTAGCTGATAACATCGTATTCCAAGAGCTAAATATGCATGCAGCTTGGCATTGTGCTTATCTTTGGCATCGCTTTTACCCTTGGCAGTTGTCAAATGTGTAACCATTGACGAGGGTCCATATACTATTGATTATGCATCTTCTTACCCTGCACATCCTTGTCCTTTTCTTGCACCCCAGGGTTCTATTTTAGACTCGATATTAAGGAAGGTTTCTATACAGCTCTAGTGTCAAGAATGGAGTGCAGAGTGCAGTGATATTTGCAGATGTTGAGATGCCAACAAAACACATCACCAACCCACCCACCAGACGTTCACTGTCTTACTGGTTACAAATCTAACACAAGAACCGTTGATATCTTTAGTTCAACAGTTCTAGACGTATCTGTTCCAAAAAAGGCGATACTTGTAGAGTTCCTTTTGATTACCCTGTCTGGATCCCTTGGCGCGACGCCAGCCCTAATTTATTCTGACTTCCGGGCTTGTGGCTTTCGAGATGTCTATAGATTTCCCTGCTTGATACTTGGCAATAGTCCAACTATATAATATGATGTGAATCTATTGAACGAGATCTACACGGGATTGGGATATGATCTCCAGATTAAACGGAAGAAAATGAACGATCCTGGAGCGTGTTGATATTGGATAGTCCTGAGGGCAATGGCATCTTTGCTTTTTATTTATGCGATTATTATTAGAAATACGAGCTTACGTGACAGCCTGCAGGTCTAAAAGTTTTACCTGTCTACGCTATGGACTGCCACCGGCGAGACCTCCAATAGCAAAGACATCGCCATTTCAACCGCAGGATGATATTTGGGGAAATCTTCATACGAACTGGGCTGCCATTAGTCCGGGATCGCGTTCTTGGCCTTATTTTTTATTTATTTATTTTTATTTTATTTTATTTTTTCCCATTTGTGTTATCCACGGCTTTTTGAGACTGTAATGTCCGGACCACTCACACATAGTCTCCGATTCTGGTGGCTTCTGATGTCGTATATCATTCTTCGGGGAGGCTGTTGGCTGCATGGATTTCGCGTGAGCAAAGTCTAAGAATTGAGAGTCGGCCTCGAATCCACTTTGACATCCTTTCCTGAGATTTTCCGGACTCAGAGTGCTTCCTGAAAGAATATCACTCTGTCTGCGCAAGATGGACTTCCTTTCCAAGACGCTGCGTCTGCGCTATCCCGCCGTTCATGACAAGGACAGCTCATACCTCCTTGGGCTTCGAGGATGGTTTGTGGTTCAGTCCTTTTTCTGGGTTTTTATGCAGACATTTGTCCCTGCAGCAGTGAAAGCCTCTGATAATATCCAAGGATCTTCATATCAGCTCGGCCTCAGGAAATCCCTCTCTGTTCTCTTCTGGAACGACAACCTCATCTACTCATTCTTCATCCTGATATCCGCGCGAACAATATGTCTTCCTTTCCTCCACAATCCTACCAAGACAAACATCGCCAGCGCGGTCTTCCGATGAGGCCTCCGTCTCTGGTTCCCAGCAGCCGTAGCCCTGGCTATCACGAAGCTCATCTTCTCCCAGACCGGCACGGCGTACATCGACCACTTCAAGCAGGTTACGGGCAACATATCCATCTACACCCCCTACAACCTGCCAAACGCATTGACGTACTTCAATTCAGTCTTCAATCTGTTCTGGATCACGAGTAACTTCAGTGTTTCGGCGGGGAACTACGCATTCCCCTCGAAACTCATGTGGATCATCAACGTCATCTACATGCAGAGCTATACCGTGTACGCCTCGATGCTGATAATCCCCTACACTCGCAACTCGTGGCGCGTCAAGGGCTCCATCCTCTTCATCATAACGGCCTGGTGGGTCCAGTCGTGGGCGTGGTATACCATCTCCGGACTCATACTGGCCGACATGGTCATCAACATGGGCTTCAAAGCGAAAGCCCAACGCGGCATTCCCATTCCCATCTTGAAGAAGAAAAATGTTTACGTTCCTGTCTGGATCCCGTATATCATCCTCATGGCGGCGGGACTGTTTATGCAGCTCGTCTGGACAGGCTGGAAACCGCAGAAGGTATCCGCTGAGATCACCGTTCATGCTGGTTTATATTATACTGGCGGCTTGAATAATAAGTATGATCTCTCGGAGCCGCAGGCGAGAGACGATATTTATCTTATTCTCGTCGGTGTGTTTCTGGCCGTTGATACGTATGACTGGTTACAGTTGATTCTGCGGAATCCCGTGTTTGTTTACCTGGGGACTAGATCATTAAGTATTTCTCCATTCTCCTTATTTCTTTTTTCTTCCTATGTGTCTTCTGTCCATGAATTACTGCTGACACAAACAAGGCTGGTTCTTCGCGCAGGGAATCATCATCTACACAGCCGGAATCAAACTCTTTCTCCACCTTACAACGGACAAACAATGGAGCAAAGACTCCGCCACTGGACTTTCTCTGATCGTGTGTTTGTCTGCTGTTATTGTCTTAGCGGAAGTATTCTATCGGTTGGTCGACTATCCATGCCGGGCCATGTCGTATAGGGTTTTCGATTGGATTCGGGAGTGAGCCTGTTCTGCTCTGGTCCTTTGTCAGTTTGTCTCTGCTTGCATTATTGATTGGACTGTTTGATACGGTTGACTGTCTAGGTTGGCGATGGATGATGGCCGTTGGTATTATTTGATTTCATACCTATTTAGGTCTCCCTAATTCAATATAAAAATGTAAAGCATTTGGTGTGGCAGTTAGCCAGTTGCTATATATTCTATCGACCGTACAGTGTGGCCTTTCATTTCCCAGTTGAAATCAATGGTAAATATGAAGTCTTTCCATAGAAAGACAAATCATCCCGATGAGAGAGATATCCAGACGCTCGAACACTTTTCAGGATCATGACCATGAAATTCTGCCAACGAGTCAGCCTTGCATCAACAAAAAGGAATTGAAAACGTATAATAATAAAACAATACCTACCCAAGCATAATCCCTGCTCCAACGGCAACGGCCAAAAACTGAGTAATTGTCTTCCTAATCTCTTCGCCCTTATTTTTCCCCGTCTCCAAGAGTTCCGGGATAACAGAAACGGTACCAACATACAGAAATGTTCCCGCGGTAAAAGGGAGGAGCATATCTCCCCACGTCAAGCTCGTTCCTAACAGACCCCCAGCAGTACCAGCGGCTGCGTCTGTCTCGCTATTACCGCCAAGCTCCTGGACAGCTATGCCTATGAAGGTTCCGAGAAAAGCTCCGAGGGCTGTCACAAATTGTGCACCCATGGCTTTGCGTTTGGAGAAGCCGGACTGGATGAGAAGGGCAAAGTCGCCGACTTCATGTGGGATTTCGTGGAAGAACACAGCAACAGTGGTTGTCGCGCCAATGGTAGGGGAGGCATAAAAGGACGATGATAGGGCAAGGCCGTCAGTGATGTTATGGGTGAAGTCGGCGATCAAGTTGAGGTAACCCCCCAGTTTCACACTGGGGTTCACGTCCTTCCCCGGCTCAGTGCGCGAAGAAGGTGACTCAGCGGAGACTTTACGCTGCTTCAATTCGCCATCAAAACCAGAGCCCTCCTTTAGCTTAGACCCCGTTGTCACAGATGCTACTGCATTATCTGCTTGACTGTTTTCATGTGCGTGGCCATGTGAATGATCATGTCCTCCGTCGCCTCCCGTAACGATACGCAAGGTCTTATCCATTGCAACAAATGTGAAAAATCCAACCATGATACCCAAGCCCAGGAGCAGGTTCTTGTTGGGTTCAACCATCACAAATCGCACATGCACCGGGGAATCTTCTCCCAGGAAGATTTCGGGTAAAAGATGGAACAGGGTATCGCCCAGAAGGCCGCCAACGGCAAATGCCACCATGACAGACAGAGAAGATGGGTCAATATTAGGCGGACATAGCGCAAGAAGAAAGTCTGATGCAAGTTAATATGTGTACGTACATCTAAAATACAAGAAATACATTACGGGTCAGATCATCTATGGGAAAGAAACATACTGGGCGGTCCGGATATATACAAGGTCGCCAAAATCGCATTGACTGCTGGGCTTCCCGGAAACAAGACCGAGAAGATCCTGGATGTTAAGCTGGCCGTCTCCGAGGAGAAGGCCTGTTTATGCTCATTGAGAGATTCCACCAGGGGACAGTGCTATAGGATGTTAATTATTGTGGAAAAACCCAACAGCTCGCATGAACCGGAATTCAATTAGGCCGGCGAAGACTTTGCATACCTGCAATTCCTGCTCAATCTGTCCTACGGACAGTTCACTAACAGGGGTGTCGGCATGAGCCTCGGCGTTGACGGTATTAGCTACTGCAAATACCGAGTAGAATAACAGTCCAAGAGCGAGCGCACCGCCAACTTTGCGCATTAATGCAAGCCCTCTCGAGGCCATCTTGTAAATAAAAGAATGGCAATCGGGATGATTGCAAGAGGAATGAGTGAAGGGGGTGTCCCCGTCGAGGTGGCCGTGTTACTTTATATGCAAACACGCCAAGACCAGGTGCAAACAGCCACCAGATACTGCGGGCATCGATAAAGAATGATACTATTTTTTTTCTTCCCTCCACGTATTCCAAACTCACCCACAAGAAGCCAAAATAAAGATGGGCCGTGTCTTGCAGAAAAAAAAGAATCGCTCTTCGTTACCGAAGAGCAAGCCCAAGAACAAGCGACTAAAAAATGGCAACCGAAGGATCAATGTCCTGGGAAATGCTATTATCTCCGAGAATTGGTACGACACCATCTCCTCTCCTCTTGGAATTGCTATGTAGCAAGTCTAACGACCCGATCCAGGGACAAGAAAGCGACTCTCACTCAGAACTACCGTAGACTGGGCCTGATCCACCGCCTAAATGCCCCGACCGGAGGTGTCCAAAAGCATGCGACAGACGATGAACACGTCGACTCCCTACACATAAACGGCAGCGCCAGGGCCCTCACGAAACAGAGCCTGGGGGAAGTCAGGGTGGAACGCGATCCAGATACTGGCAAGATTATGCGCGTTGTGCGTGAGAATGACGATGAGATCGAGGTGGCAGGTCGCAAGCACCGACGGGCGAATCCTCTGAATGACCCCTTGAACGACCTATCCGACGAGGAGGACGAGCCATCTGCGCCGAATAATGCCAAATCCGGGTCGTCTGTTGTCCGGCAATTGGAGCTCCAGCTGGCGAAGGAGGAAGAGCTCGTCAAGAAGAAGAAGCCGCGACACCAGAGCCAGAGAGAAGGAGAGTGGATTTCAAGACTTGTTGAACGATATGGAGAGGATTACAGAGCCATGGCTGGAGATAGGAAGTTGAATCCCATGCAGCAGACCGAAGGTGACTTGCGGAGACGCATTCGAAAGTGGAAGCAGGATCATTCTTAATTTGCTTGGGGATTCGATGCATGGGTTTGGCGAATTCGGCGTTCTGAAACTGGCGTACGCATTTATTTATTGTCTTACCCCTTTGCTCTGTATTATGCAGGAAAAGTTTCTATTTTATGAATCTAGGGCATTACTCTGGACTTGGAGCAAGAGTTGATGCATATAGCCAACTCCTTTTGAAATAGATATGGCAGGCTGGTGTGGTTCAAAGGAAATCCGTCAAATATCCAGATATCGAACACTTGTCAATATCGTGGAATCCATCAATCCTTAGTGCAGTCCTGCTCAGCCAGTTCCTCCATGGATATCATCTCTCTGCATTACCTTCCTCTCGTTACTCTTCAGGCTGTCCTGTCAAGTCCAACACGTCTCTTTCGCAGCAAGCAATCACTCTCATGGATGATACTTCTCTAGAAATTTTGGAGTTTAAGTCGAGCCAATGTTCTGGGATAATTCATACGGAAAGTGATATTGGAATGGAATGTACAAATAGGTGACATAGCAATAAGTCAATGCGCATGATCGTTTGGCTTGCTCTTCTCCTTGAAAGACCGGACACTGATCCTGTGGACAACCCGCACCCATCGTCTTCTCCTCCACTCACCCATTCCGTCTGGTCCTACAACCTTCTCTTCCCAGTCGCGCGGTGAGGCTTTCGACTTCCCCCTTTCTCTTAACTTGCTGATGAACTTATAGTGGTGATGATGGCTATGATGATCGTCATGGTCTTCTTTCTTCGATTCCTTCAAATCACCATAGGCCAAAGTCGGCACGACTTCTTCATCTTCATCACGCGAAGGCGGACTAGGTGGTAGATCCCACACCCAGCCGGCGGGCAAATCGCTCGAGCCACTACTATCGGAAGAATTCCCGGAGGCTTCGAACCCAACACCAGTAATCATGCGCTCCACAACCCATTCTTCACAGTTAAGGTCCAGCTCCCAGGTCTTGCTTTTCCAGGCCCAGCCTGGGGGGGTTCGAACGTCCTCAAAGAACCGACAACCCCTTGGACGCTCTCCGGCAATACGAGCAGGTGAAAGTGGGTCATGAGGCAAAGGAGTAAATAAGAAATGCTCCCAGTGGGACTCTGAGTGTGGGGCCAGAGACCGATATTGGAGTTCGAATATCTCCACCTCCCGTTCTTCAGTGTAAGTGTCCAAGGAAATCTGAACTGCTGAATCCAGCAGAGACAGATCGGAAAATGGTGTTGACTCCAAGGGAGTTGCTGAACCATCAGGTGTTTTCTTTCCACCTGATGTTGTTGCAGGAGGTTTCTCATCCGCCGGTGCGCTTTTATTAGACTGGCTAAACAGAAGCCGGAAGCTTGGGTGAATTGAAAGGACGGCAGCATTGCCAGCAAAAAGAAAAATAAATCTCCACGGAAGCAAGTGCGCCGTAAGGAACAAAATTGCCGTGGCAAAGACACATAATAGAAATACAATCGACGAGATACTCTCATTGGAAAAGTCCGTCATAGGCCCGAAGACAGCGATTGTGGCGTCATGCAGATCAGAGAAATCCGCCATGGTATTCTGCAAATCTCGCATGTTGCGAAAGAAGTCTTTCGACGACTCAGGAGCCGGATTGATGACTTTTGGCGGAGCAAGTGCTGGGCCATGGTACGAATAATAAGGAACAGTACTGGAGGTAGATGTAGATGGAGGGGGAGGATGGCGTGCTAAGAATGAAGGAACCATGATAAGGATTAAAATTACAGCAAAGGGTATGGGAACAAGAAGATATGGATCAAGACAAACAAATGAATAAACGATCAAGAACGATAGGGTGTGTGTCGGCTTCGACCAACTTAGAAGCCGCTCGACTTGTCTCTGGAATTCGAAAACAATACCGATTCTATGCAAGGCTGTCAGCACCGCTACAGAGATGAGCAGGCAACACCTCTATCCCGGGATTAGACTGTACCTCGAATTGAAACGGCGAAAATTCGCAGTCATCAAAGGTAGACTGAAGGCAGGCTTCTCATGGAGCGGAGGCACACTCCTCAGGCCAAACAGGGCGGGCTCATCATCGAGGCTAGTATCCTCCTTTGGAACGACTTGCTCTAGAAGTCTTATCTCGACCGTAGAAGTCAGTCTAACAAGACCACTAGACACTGGGAAACAGGAGAACATACCTAGTGAGCAGCCGGTCTTCTAGGAAGTTTGCAACACCCCTAGATGCAAGTATTTTCCCTCTGAGGCTTACTGGGGACATGTGAGTAGAGTCGTCACGGTCAAGCGTGACCTTGTCTGTATATTCATCCATGGAGCTTCTGGTGTTTTTGCAAACGTCCACGGAGAGGAGTGGAAGGAGGAATGCATCGCCCCTGTTGGTGCTGAAGTTGAAGAGAGACAAGCGATGGCCATGAATCAGGAAGAGCGTAGACTTGTCTGGGAAGCACATGCATTTGAGCTCGGTCCACGCAGCGGGGAGCTGCCGAATGAGAATCACCCGCGTATTAGCATTACGTATATATAACAATAAATTACACATATCGGTAGTTATATCGTGGTAACGCCAGTAATACCATACCACTCCAGCAGTTCGTGTGGAAGAAATACCACTAGCCCAATTAGGCAATCTGCATACATGGGAGGAAGCGACCCCCTTGATGTTAATCATGTTCCATCATGACATGTAAGCGATAGACACCTTCAGAATCAATATACGAATAACTTCTTTTGCTTCAGTTGGGTATACCTGAGGTGGATGACTTGAGATCGGTATGATGCGTGCTAAATGCTGTTTATTAGGGGTTCTGACACACCGAAACTTCTACTTTAAATGGATCAGGTACAGGGTGGTTGAAACAGCGCTGAGGATATGCTGTCAGATCCCTGGATTCAAGAATCATGAGCGCCGGAAGAAGCGCAGCATATGGCCCAATATTTGTGATCGCATCCACATGAATGCCAAACTGGTGTTCTGAAGACAGTGGTGGCGCGCATGAACACCAACAAATGCAGGTCTCTAAGAGATTTGACAGAGAGGAGAAGACCATAGACACCTCGATCTCATTGTCCTTAGTCCCACAGCGCCACCGGAGTGAGCAATATAATATTCCTAGGACAGCAGAGGGAGTTTGGACCAACTTTTCAGAGTGCCGGATGCGGCAAGCACCGTACTGTTTGTCCTTTATTCCTTTTTTAACATGTATCTGGGATCGACCGTACAAGCGGTCAGCGCAGGTTCGCCCAGAGAACCCCCCCCTCCCTTTCCGACTTATATTTCAGCGTAATGAGATGCATACAAATGGCCGTAGATGTGTTTGTTGCCATTCGTTGCCATGGCGGAGGTACGGAGGAATCACAATAATAATGATTGTTAGCGGAAAGCCTATTTTGGACGGGGTTTAGTGGGAAGCTGGTAACTGCATGTTATATTATTGCCAACCTCGCTCCGACGACCCTTGAACGTGAGACACTCTACAGAGGGAATCCTGTGCAGGTTTCCACCTCGAAACCTGTCCCCAGAACCTAGTGTTCTTATCGAGCTATCCTACTTTTGTTGCATTCCACCATTAGTGTCCTCGACCGGAAAATTGCTGGTTCTTGTCACCCGCAATGGAACGCTAGCGAGCGTGTATGGGTCTCGCGACTGTGTTGGTCAAGGCTCCTTTTTCAATCAGATCCCAAATATTACTAGTTCTCCTTGATGCCATTGCCACCGGATTCCTTTTCCTCTTTGTTGTATCTCAGTGTTTGGTGCGCCCGTCCCTGGTTTGACCTCGCGCGTCCGTGACACCTCCCTACGCCGCGAAAGTCAGAGTTTGACTATGCCGGCCAAGGTGACGTCCCAGAAAACTCCTGGGGGCGGACCGTCATCGCGTAGGATTCCGTCGAAGACAACCAGTCCATCTCGAAATGACGAATCGAGCTCAGGTAGGTACCAGTTTTGCGCCAGTGACAAGCAATTTTGCTTCGGAAGGCTGCAGCTTGACGATAGCTAGCTAATGCGTCTCTATGGCCTTCAGCAGATGGTTCTACCCGCAGATGGTTGCAGAAGGCTGCCACAACCGATAATCGTTCGTACCAGGGAGCTTCAAGCATCCCTTCTCCTCACCATACAAACGGAATTCCGGGGTCAGGGACAAGCGCGGTGAACAAAAGAAGCCTATCGATTCGCGACCAGAAGGTGCCACAGGGTCCACGGCCACAGGAGCCCTCGCGAAGAAGGTATTCAGCGTTCTCTTCACTTCGTCCGTCTTCTTACTGTAGCGCCATTCTTATTCGTGACTATTGTCTCTAGGAACCCGTCCAGCACCTTCCTACACTCCGGAAATTCTTCCATCAGTTCCACAAATGACTCTATCCACAGCAACAGTTCGCGTTTCAGTTATCGATCTACCAATATGGGAAACCAGCAGAATGCCGACGATGACCGTGCTTCGTCGGGTAGTGCCGATTTTCTCGCGCCGATCAGTTTCGATGACTTTCACAACAGTATAATGGGCGATCCGGCATTAAATCAGTTTCCCGTTCCTGGTAATAGACAAACTGGGTCTGCTCTGCGTGTTACGGATTTCCACCCAACAAATCCTTGGACGCACTGGAGGAACGATGATGGCGCAGCTCGAAGGGCTCGAAGTGGCTCTTTTCGACAAAAAGACGAATTCGTTCGATTTCCTAGTCACAATCCCACGTCAGGTGCGATACCGTCTATTCCTGCAGCTGCATCTTCTACCACCAGACCCCGCCGTCAAAGTCTTGCCCGTGATTCTACAATGGACAGTTCACGGAAGTCCATTGGTCCGGGGTCTCTTCCGTTCTCAATCGCCTCTGCGAGGAGGGCTAGTTTGACAGCGCGGAAGGCCAGTGCGGACGCGACTCAGACTGAACAAACAACTGTGCACGTCCGTCCGAGGACGCAGCATCTTGAACCCAATGGAAGGCTAGAAAGCAAGTCTTTCGCCAGTCTCAGGAACCTCAAAGCCAAGTCATTCCAACCACCAGCGAAAGAACATCGGGAGAATTTCCTGGCAACGCCTCGTCCAGAGTATTCACGGTCTTCTTCCACCGATGCGCTTCAAACACCTGCCAGGGATGCATCTGGACAGACTCCAGCCTCTTCATCTTCCGGCAGAAGGTTTTCAATTGTCCCGCCACGTGCGACGGGGCTTGGTGCTCGTACGATCAGCCCAACTGATGCACGGCGCATGAAGCGTTTATCTATGGCGCCTCAGGCGCCTCCCATTCCCCGTACTCCTACTCGGACCGAGCCCATACTTCCTCGTCCCAGGTCGTGTGCCCAGTCACCATGCTATATTCCGCGAAAAAGTGCGACGCCGTCTTCAACTCGGGCAACGCCTGATCCGAACCGGAAGTCACATAATTCAGGCAGCTTATCATCAACGCCAGGACACAATGTGGTGCGGAGCGCCGTTCTCCAATCAAAATTGCCGCAAAACATTTCGGCTTCGCGGATTCCAACACCCAAACCTCGTGTGGAGAGTACCAGTGTGTCCGGTGAAGAAGAAGTTCCGCCTGTGCCTGCGATTCCAAAAGCCTACGGGTCTCCTAAGAGCGGAGTTGAGCCGTCACCTAACTCTACTTCTCATAAGGGAAGCTTACCTACAGACGTCGATCATGTGAAACCCAAGCTTGATTCAAATTTTGAAGCCTTAGACGAACCTCCAAACGTCACTATCAGACGGGGAATTAAAACCCCCACTTCCAGTACTGTTAACAAAAAGAATCTACAGCCGCTAAAACTACCCCCGTTGAATTTGTTGCCACTTAGCACGCCAATGGCAACCAAGATCGAGTCATTAAAAGAGCGACACACTGACGAACTGAGGTCATACACACCTACAACACAGCTGGTTGCGAAGACCCCCAGCACTCCTCTGACTGCTTCCAAGGCGAACTTTTTCGCAATCCATAATGACGACGAACTACCTGTCCCTCAAGCTAGGAGCAGTACCTCTCACTTCCTGCCGAACTCGGCCTCAACACCAGTACGAGCCCTCAGCAGCTCTAGCGGCCTTAGGTCCTCCGACTTGTCAAATACGGGAGCTGTTTCCCCTTATTCCTCTTCGTTGCCTAAGAAGCATAGTGGTGAATATAACAACCTCCATCCATACCCTAGTGGGGATCATTCGCAGAAGTCCTTGCAGCCGTCAAAGTTGGCTGGGTCCCGCCCTCAGACTCAAGCTTCAGCCCTTTCGCCTAGTGCCGAGAGGCTTAGTCAAATATCAACACCTTCTGAGACCGACACTAACAGTGTCTCCGGTGTCTCTTTACGGAACCAGATATCCTTGACTTGGACTCGCCGGAGTTCAAAAGCGCAAACTGCAGCAGAGGCAAATGTTAACCATGCTAAACATAGTCACGCTCCACCTAAAACCCCTTCGTCTGGTAATCTGGATCCTCTGTCAACAGTCAAACAAATCAGTCCTACTCCAAAGCTGGTCTACACTCGAAACAAGCCAGTCCTTTCCAGTTCAAAGAATCCAGCGGGCGAGGAATCTACATTTTTGAAAGAGCAAAACCTTTCCTTGCGGCGCACAGTTTCAAATGAACCCGCAGGGCTTGACCGAACTCCAGGTCGTTCTGCTTCGTCTATCCTATCTCCTGTCCACAGAATCATTAGCTCTGCAAAGTTATCTGCGGGAGTTAGTCCACGCTCGTCAACTCAGAACATAGAAGATGTCGATTTCCTGGCCGACGAGGAAATGAGGAGGCTGAACAGCAAACGGAAAGACTTTGAAGATAGCGCAAGAAAACTGGACGAATTACGCCGCAAAGCAGGACCAAAGGATCGAGTCAGTCCAGCACAGGCCCTAAAGATGGCAAATCTCAACATATTCGAACGTGGGGAAATTATTGACTTCAAGGACATCTACTTTTGTGGTACTCAGAGTGCTAAGAAACATGTCGGTGATCTTAATGCACAGTCGGCGAATTTTGGCTACGATGATGATAGAGGTGATTATAACATTGTGATCGGGGATCATCTAGCATACCGTTATGAAGTCCTTGAAGTTTTGGGCAAAGGAAGCTTTGGGCAAGTGGTGAAATGTGTCGATCATAAGACGGGCGGTTTGGTCGCTGTTAAGATCATCCGCAACAAAAAGAGATTCCACCAACAAGCTTTGGTGGAAGTCAACCTCCTCCAGAAACTGAAGGAATGGGTAAGCTCTCAGATGATCATTCTCCGCTTCTTGATATTCAACTAAATTCCTTCACTTAGGATCCACATAATCATCATAGCGTCGTCAATTTCACCCAGAGCTTTTACTTTAGGGGCCATCTCTGTATCTCGACGGAGCTTCTGGGGATAAATCTCTATGAATTCATCAAGGCTCATGACTTCAAGGGCTTCTCCTTGAATCTTATACGTCGTTTCACGAAGCAGATACTTAGCAGCTTGGTCCTCCTACGAAGTAAGAAGGTAATACACTGCGACTTGAAACCAGAGAACATTCTTCTGGTCCACCCGATGTCATCTGAAATCAAGGTGATCGATTTCGGGTCCAGTTGCTTTGAGAACGAGAAGGTTTACACGTATATCCAAAGTCGATTTTATCGTTCTCCCGAAGTCATCCTTGGCATGTCATACGGAATGCCGATTGATATGTGGAGTCTAGGCTGCATCTTGGCCGAGCTCTACACCGGCTATCCGATATTCCCTGGTGAGAATGAGCAAGAGCAGCTTGCCTGTATTATGGAGGTTTTTGGTCCTCCCGAAAAACATCTGATCGAGAAGAGCTCTCGGAAAAAGCTTTTCTTTGATTCATTGGGGAAGCCGAGAATTACAGTCTCGTCGAAGGGAAGACGACGCAGGCCAAGCTCCAAAGACCTCAAGCAGGCTCTGAAATGTGACAATGAACCCTTCTTAGACTTCATCAGCCGTTGCCTGAGATGGGACCCGGCCCGCCGATTGAATCCCATTGATGCCATGAACCATGAGTTTATTACGGGCATCAAAGCACCTCCCCGCCCAAGACATACATCAGTCAAGCGAATAAACACCATGTCGACCCCATCCCGCCCTCTACCAGAGCCACCTGGGACGAATCAAAAGAACAGCAACGTTGCAAGAGGCCGAGAAGTCTCAGGCAGCGCTAATACGAGGACACCCCATGCGAAGCGTCACTCGACGGTTAGTGGGTTGCCAACATCCACGCCTAACCAGCGATCAAACACCACCTCTAATTCCAGGACGGTCCTTCCGCGCGTTGCGGCGCGGAGCATCAGTGGAAAGCCTGACCTTGGGACCGCATCCACAACGACGAGTATGGTGGGTTAAGAACAACACCATCTTAGTTGAGAAACTCGAAAAGCCGGGAGAAGATGTGGTATCGCTGACTTGTCGACAGAAGACAAAATAATGCGTGCGACGTACCTCCTTTCTTTCCTTTTTATTCCTCTTACCGACTTGTAATATATTAATCTCGATTCTTCACGTTCCTTCGTTCTTATGTTTTTTGTCGCTTGTTATTATATTGCATAGACAGCTTGGGATATCTCATTTTTGCATCATGATCACTGAAACGAAACAGATTCGGGTGGGATAGAGAGGTCAATGACAAAGCAGGAGGATTCGTCTCTTTATACACCCCTTCTTTAACGCGTCGAGCTGCTTTCTCTTTGGGTGATTCTTTCTACATCCCGTGCCTCGTTATGACTTCGAGTTGATTGAATCCTTCTGTACTTGCGTCTTTCTCTCTTTCCATTCACGTCGTTTTTTGAATCATTACTGTATACTTAATGTCGGTTTTCATGCAGCGGGTATAAGGGTTATGTCAATAATCTGGATGCGCATTTATATACTCATTTTGCCGTCCTTCAGTTCCATTCTCTATATCGTCTTTCATTATCTTTTCTCCTCGTTTTCCTTCTATTTGTTCCTTGGGATTGTGGGAAGTGATATTTATGAACGGAACCGCCGGCGTTTCCTGGGGGGATGGGTTGGCAATTTCAAAATGAACATGCAGCGATCCGTCCGTGCAGGTATATAAGCTGCTCTCCTCTTTGTAATATTAATGAGTTCTTTTACCATTCCGTGTCTTTTCGGGTTTGTAGAGTTGAACGAAGGACAATAGGCGTGGTGGAATAGCCCAATCGGGCAATGAGCTTAATCATAGCGGAAGCGCATAGCTGGCCTCTCTCAGCTCCATTTCCAACGTCGTTCCACTTCCCCCTCCTCTACGTTCTTGACCTGGTATCTTTGTCGCTCGCTTTAAATTGGAATTGTTACCTCTTCCATTCACTCATTTCTCCCTTCCATTCATGTCTTAATTTTGCTGTGCTGAACCCGCTCAAGATCCTGATCCGTGATGAACGGGTTCGCTACTCATGAGCTCAATGAAGATGCATTTGGGCAGAAACCCGGGCTGTTGAAGACCTTTGACGCATTTCGTATGTCTCCTTGGTCTTAGTTCCTTGCAATTGACAGAGAAGATTGTTTTCGCGATTACGGCTTTATAAGCACGTAGACTTGCTACTAGAGGCTAACCATTCTCTCGTGGAAACGCTACAGCCAAAACCAAACCCTCATATACCGCACCCTCGCGACGAGGCGGCCAGTGGACCATCATTGTGCTAGCAATATGCACGCTCCTGTCCCTCTCTGAATTACGCACCTGGTTCCACGGTACGGAAAAGCACCACTTTAGTGTCGAGAAGGGCGTCTCGCATGAGCTGCAGCTGAATCTTGACATCGTCATTAAAATGCACTGTGATGAGGTACGCGTGAATATCCAGGATGCAGCTGGGGATCGAATCCTTGCTGGCGAGTCTCTCTCGCGTGAACCCACTAGCTGGAAGGTGTGGACGGAGAAGCGCAACTATCAACATTCTCGTAGCGGGGCGCGGGAATACCAGACGCTCAACCAGGAGGATAGTGCGCGGCTTGCTGCACAGGAGGAGGATGTGCACGCGCACCATGTCATGGGGGAGGTAAGGAGGAATCCCCGTCGGAAGTTTCCCAAGTCCCCTCGGGTGGGCAGGGGGGACGTAATTGATTCGTGCAGGATCTATGGGAGTCTCGAGGGGAATAAAGTGCATGGAGATTTCCAGATTACTGCCCGAGGACATGGATATCTAGAGACTGGAGCTCATTTGGATCATAATGGTACGTATTCCCGCATTAACCGAATATCATCAGTTCTCCATCTCTATCAAACCACCCAACTAACTCTTGGAATTTGTCTACAGCATTTAATTTCACCCATATGATCACCGAACTCTCCTTCGGCCCACATTACCCCAGTCTCCTCAACCCCCTCGACAAAACCATCGCTGTCGCTGAATCACACTACTACAAATACCAATACTTCCTCTCCATCGTCCCAACAATCTACTCCAGAGACTCCCGCACCCTAGACAAATACACTGCCTCCCCCTCCCTCGCCCAAAGAAACAAAAACAAAAAAATGGTCTTCACAAACCAATACGCCGCAACCAGCCAATCGGGCAGCATTCCCGAACACCCCATGTACGTACCCGGGATATTCTTCCGGTACGAGATCGAACCGATCCTGCTCCTCGTCTCGGAGGAGAGGAGCAGTTTCCTGGGCTTGTTGGTTAGGCTGATCAATACCGTCTCCGGGGTTCTTGTGACGGGGGGTTGGCTTTATCAGATTTCGGGGTGGTTTGGTGAGGTTTTCTGGAGGAAGAGAGGGGGGAGAGGGAAGACGGAGGGTGTTTTGGATGGGAGGCATCATGATTGATTGATTGATGTGTTTGTGTTGTTCGGCTATCATGGGAATGGAAATGGATTTTATTGTTTAGAAAATGGGCGTCTTTTCCTCTTCTGTTCAGTTTGTCGACTTATTTCAGGTCTTCTGTGTATACACTTACATTGCTCGGGTGTCTCGGTTATGTGTTGATATATATCAATATACTGATGAATATGTACTGTTTCGAAGAAAGCGTACCAGATAGAATAAGGATACCATCAATTCATATTACATGAATCCTAAAATACAACAACTCGCTTGAAAAGCAAAAACAAAGAAATTCACCGAATAGATTAAACCTCAAAAATCTCACCCATCCCCAAAACCACCCCCTCAGCTCCAGCACGACTGTCTACCAAATCCAGCCGCCAGCCCTTCCAATCCTTAAGCTTACTCTTAATTTCCCGAGCCCATTCGACACGCTTCCGGGCCTCCTCCTCTGCTTGCGCGCGTGCGAATTCGGCTTCGTCGAAGTCGTCGTCTAGATTCTCTTCGGAGAGGAGTTCGAGACTCCCTCTTGTTCCGGGCGAGGCTCTATTCGATGACGAGAGGGGACGGCTGCGGTGGCCGGTGAGACTGGAGCTGCCGGTGAAAGCGGCGAGACCGCTGGAGAGGACTGTAGATAGGGAGGAGTGCTGCTGGCGACGGGAGAGGCTGCGGCGGCGGGAATGGTCTGGGAGGCCTCCTACGAGATCAACGTCGTCGAATGTATTCGCTGCTGCTGTTGCCGATGACTCAGGAGGTATAGAGATGTCTTGTTCCCCCTGCTCGCCTGCGAGCTCTTGGCGCTCTTCCTTCCAGATTCCACGGCGGAGGTCGAAAATCTCGCCTTCGAGTTGGCGGATTCTGCGCTCTAGTCGGGCTCGTCCTTCGTCTTCGAGTTCATCGAGTGCTTCGTCGTCAGCACCACCCGTGCTGTCGCGCTTTCTCACCCGATCCCGCTCTTCGCGAAGGCGGAGGTTCTCGTTTTCAATACTCGCCAGTCTCTTCCGTAATACTGCTGCTTCTTTCTCCGTCTTTTCGTTCTCGCGGAGTCGGGCTTGGTGTCTGCTTTCGGATTCCCGGTGTAGATTTCCTAGGGCTTGGAGTTTCTTCTCTAATGTGTCGATCTTCTTTTCCGCTTCTGTCTTATCATGTTGCAGCTCCTCGATCTCCCGTTGTAATGTCTTAATTAGCGTTTCGGTGGAGGTCTTGTCGACTCCTTCCTTGACTGCCTTCTCAGAGGCTCGCGTAAGAGCATGCTTGGTATCTGCTAATTCCCGCTCTGTCTTCTCAAGAGTAGATTCGCTCTTGGTCAGTTTCTCTTCCAGGGCTGCGATCTGCGCTTGACGAGCACTGCTCGAAGAGGCCTGTGACGTCAGCTGGGCGCGTAGGTTAGATATTTCCAATTCCATCGCTTCAATCGTAGCGGACTTCGACTCCAATTGTTGCACAAGATCGGAGGGGGGTGATTCGGATGTGCCTGGCGCGGAAGCGCTCGGATGACGCTGGGCTTTTGTCTGGAGATGCGAATTCTGTCGTTGCAGGGATGCGATCTCCGCTTTCTGCAGATGGGCTGGTCAGTGATGATCTAATACAATAAGTACTTTCGTTGAGGCAATACGCCGGGGTCATCCACTCACCAAGGCCTCTATGTCGGCAGCCTTCTTCTCCGCCTGCTCCAACTTCTCCTTCAGCTCCGTGGTGTCCACATTAGCCTCCCGAAGCTCCTGCAGCTGGTCCTCTGTTTTCCTGCATATTGTATTCGCATCCTCCACTTCCCTTTCAAGCCTCTTGTTTTCCTTTTCAAGCTCCTCGATTCGCGCGGTATGTTTCCGGAAGACCTCATGGACGGAGTCTCCATCGGCGGTCAATGGAGGCAGTGGAGAGGCTTTACCTGCTGCAGACGGCGGCGAAGTAGCACCTTGGGAGGTATACGAGCTGCGGAAAGAAGACGATCGTAACTTAGACTGCACTGATAGGGATGGTTGGCGGCCATGTGTTCCTCGGGGGACGTCAGGTCTCGTGCCTTCGGGAACGGTTTCAGACGGTAAATCCGTAGGAGCCTCCGGCATGGGTTCAGCGGATGATTCTGTTGTCTGTTCGGGTTTCTCTGGACTTCCATGCTCCTCTTCAGCTGTCTCCGTCTTTGGTGTTGCTGGTTTCTCCTCCGCATCTCCTGCCGTAACCTCTTTCACCGGCACTGGTTCACTAGGCGGTTCCTCCGCGGGGGCATCTTGTTCAGGGGTAGCGGCTATATCTTTCGGGACTTCTGAAGTCGACCCCTTCTTGCCGGCCTTTTTCTTCTGTTTCTGAAGCTGTGCCACCTGTGGGGTTATAGGAAACAGCTATTAGCTACTACCACCCCCGCAATGTAGTAACAGTAGTAACCAGAGTTAGGAACTCTTACCCTCTTTTTGGCGGCAGCTAGCTTCTCAGCCTTGATGCGCTCTTCGTCATCTGCCATGATATGAGCTTAAATCAATGAAGCGTTATTTGAATTCAAACTATGCTGGGCGAGTTGTCTCGAGGACAGCTTTCTGTTTTGGGCGTGCTTTATGTAAGCAGCAGAAGCGGGTTAGTCAACTAACTAACTAACCACTAACTAGTTACATGTCCTGGTTATAGAGAACCCCCGTACATACTCCGTACCCAGGGATTAGTTGCAATGTGGCCGTCTAGCTAGTCAGCATAAGGCACGATTCCAAAAATGCGGAATTCATGGAAGACTCACGATTAAATGCCTAATCATCTGATACGTTGTTTTTGCACTTGTACGATTTATTCCAGCGACATAAGAAACTGGTCGAGACTTTCTTTTGAAGAGGCAGATCACATGACCTGTTGGCGCATCCGTCCTCCGCGATCTACTTGCCATATTCGGTAATGGGTAGGGCTATCTTGACATATGGGCTTGTCTATTTATGCTGGAAGAATGCTCTCCCCAGGAGAGCCTCTTATACCTGCATCTATCTTAAACTCTCTCCTGAAACCTGAAAAGCCCCTCGACCTCTGCAAAGCGACCATACGAACCAACCAAGTCAGGTGGGTTCGCCTAAAGTCTTTGAGAATGGAAATGAAATGGATGTACGGGTGGAACAGGAAGTCTAGATAATGACTCGAATAGCCTCTAGTCAACTCAGTCGCAAACCGTGCTGGGTATATCCTGGAAATTGTCTCTGGGAATGAGGTTTCGCAGGACTGGTCCAGCATTTGGACAAATAGCCCTGAGTATACGGAGGTTATAAGGGAGCTTGGTTGCCTGCAGGCCCCTGGTGAAACGTCAGATCGTGATTCTAATGCCGCCGACGACGATGACTTTGAGTCTGCAATTCCTTTGAGCAGCCAGCTCTACATGTGTCGCTCCGCATGTTCCAGCAGTACTTTCGCCAGCCGGAGTATGTACTGTCCAAGTATACTTTGGGTCTAGCTTCTGGTCTCTTCGTTGGGTTTTTCTTCTGGAAACCTAACAACACGCAGAAAAGGTTTCAAGATGTATTCTTCAGCATCTTCTTGCTGTGGACGGTATTCGGAACAATGATCAACCAGATAATGCCCAAGTTTGCCATGCAGCGTTCTTTTTATGAAGTACGTGAACGACCATCTAGAGTATACTCCTGGAAACTGTTTATTCTCTCGTAATTTAGCCAGGTGCTTCCACACGTTTTGCCGGACGGGGGATCGAAGACGCCAAGTTCAGCTGCATTGCACTCCACTCGACGACCGTGCAAAGCAGCGCTGCTGATTCAGTCAATGTAGTACGTAAAAGGCGAGACTCGATACATCAAAATCCAGAATCTCGGCAACTTGCCGGGTGGTTGCATAGCTCCATTGAATAGGGATGATAGACCGAACATCAGAGTCGCCAGCATGGCTGCCACGGCGGGTTCAGGAATCGCAGCGACAACAAATTGAGCCATGCTGCCTGCTTAGATGTAGAATTGGACGACGAATAGCAGAACTATGCCTCGTGCTTGCGGATCCATGCTGGTTTCAAACACGAAGTAGAAGGATGCCCAGACGCAGACCCCCAGAGCGAGTTGCCATGAAAGGCTGGCGGACAGCTTTACATCGAACATGCCACATCTGACTGCGAATATTGCTCCATGTCATCTGCCGGCGGTTACTTGGCTCGACGTGAGATTCACTATTCAGATCGCTGGCACAGCTATGGATCTTTGGTGCTATTTCATCTTCAACTCTTTGATACCGTCACATTATATTATCTGTTCCGGGTGTGCAAATCGAATCTCTCTGGCTGGCGAAGGAGGCCGGGAATGACTTGTTGCAGGTCTATTCTTTTCTTTTCTTTTCTTTTCTTTCTGCTTTTGGTCTCTCTTTATATCTTTCTTTTTTTTTATTTTGTGTACTAGCGGCGCCCGGTCTTCCTCCTTGAGGAGATTACCAACCTTTAGGTATGTGTTAACTTCCAGATAGATTTTTCTTGATTTCCTAGAGTAGATCCAATACATGGATACATGCACCGTTTGTTATATCGAGCAATCTATAGAATATGGAGTGCCTAGGGGCAGTATGGCATGGGCTCGATATTCTTTAACTGATAAAATGCACGAGCACGACCTGGTCTACCAAGAAAGCAAGCTACAAGCCTAAGTCTGTCCAGTTATATATTAAACCCTAATGGCATGTTCGATAATGTCCTACTGCAAACATTGTGGTAGCTTCAATCTGATGGAGCCAGATCTTGTCGAGAGGATCCCGAGAGCATTCTCGGACAATTTCCAGAGATTTCCCCTGCTGATAACAGGGCATAATCATGTTTTGCGTTCACCTGGATCTTGTTATGAAATTGACCTGGCCTGTTTGGAGTAAGCTTTGGGTGGATGAGACGGCAGTGGCATCTTCTGCAGCTACGGATCTCCCAAGGTCTTTTGCTATCTGTGGAATCATGCAGGTCGGTGAGTTTTCTTTTCTTTTCTTTTCTTTTCTCCTGCGTTCTAAAAATGGGTGTCGCGAGGCAGTCCGTCATGCATGTAACGTTTCCTCAACAATCCTGGTGGGGAGAAAAGCCAAGGAACTGACAGGTCAGACGGCGACCTGACATTACTTATTTCTCTGCCTTTGGAATAAGGCTGGAATTCAATTGTGATTGTTCGTCTTTCCCTCGCTTTTCCTTCGCACTCTATCCGAGTCTCACATCATCTTCCCGTGCCGTTGCCGTCCCAAAATCATTATGGCCGCCCGCAAAACGAGGATTCTCTGCCTTCACGGCATGGGCACCAGCGGCTCCATCTTCAACTCCCAGACATGTACGGTGGCCGTTCCATAGACTATTCGGAATTCATACATACTGACGATAAATGCTGTTCTCTGAAGCGTCATTCCGCCCTCTCCTCTCCGACCTTGACATCGAATTCAACTTCATCGATGCCCCGTATCTCTCCGCCCCCGCGCCAGGCGTCGACCTGTTCTTCGACCCTCCATACTACTGTTTCTGGCCAGAGGCTACCGTCGAAGCCGTCCGAGCAGCCCGCACGTGGCTGAATGACCTCGTCGCCCGAACGGGCCCCTACGACGCCGTCATGATGTTCTCTCAAGGCTGCTCCCTCGGCGCGAGTGCTTTCCTCCTACATCAGGCTGAGACGCCCCACCTCCCGCCCCCATTCAAGGCAGCCATATTCATCTGCGGTGGTGCACCCCTGCCGACCCTCGAGAGCCTGGGGTTCGAGATTCCCCAGTCTGTCTGGGACCGGGAGCGGGCGTCTCGCAAAGAGCTCGCGGAACAGGCGGATTCCGCTGCGATTCTGGCGCGCGGTGCAGCGCGGTGGGCGGGAACGGACGACTCCTCGGTTATTTCGGAGGAGGAGACTCGCAAGGAGATTCAGGGGCCTTATAAGATCCCCGTGCCTACGGTTCATATTTACGGGTCCAAGGATCCGCGGTATGTCGCGGGGATTCATTTGTCGGGGCTCTGCGATGCAAGCAAGAGAAAGACTTATAATCACGGCGGGGGGCATGATATTCCCCGGAAGACAGACGTGAGTCAGACGATTGCGGATTTGGTGCGATGGGTGTTGGCGGAGGCTGGCGTTGTTTCGACTGCCAAATAATGAGACGGGTCTTGTCAAGGCCTACACAGACGGTTTCGGTTCAATTTCACTTGTCCTCCGGAATATATAGATAGCTTTGGATTAGACTGGGTGGTTTCTGGCTTGTCGACTGTTCCACCGTGAAGAGATACATGGAAGATTCATATATGGTCATCGGCTAGTGCTCGACGCAGCCGTTAATTTCATACTGCATTTATCCATTCAGGCTTCAAGAAGCATCGCCGGCAGCAGTCGCACCAGCAAATGTCGATTAGAAAATCGGCTGAATCTATCGGACTGACCTGGTCCAATTGGCAACTTTGAATGCAACCTGGATCTATAAAAGTGCTTCTGTATGGACACAGTCTATTCTGTCAGAAACCTGCAATGGAGAAAAAAATACAGCTGATCCATCCACTTTTCTTTTCCACTACACAGCCACCGATTTTGTATGTCTGACATCCTTCCCAAGATGGTGATGATGGTGGCTGTGGCTGGAATGATCATGAGCATGAACATGAACATGCTTCTTCTTCTCATTCCCTAGATGTTCACTGATCTTGCGTTTCGGCCTCCCATCCTCGGGTTTGGTCTGCTCTTCCTCCGCATCCTCATCCTCCTCTTCGATCTCAAAAGGAGGCCATTCCTCCCACCCGTCCTCCCACATCTTGGACAGTTTCGTGGCCTTCTTCTCCATCGAGAGTCGACGGCTCTTCATGACCTTCTCCCACTTCGCCATATCTTCATCATCCAACAGGCAGGAATCCAGCAGCTTCGTAATAAGATCCGGCTCAATCCCCATGCCGATGAACACCAGCTCTTGACGACGATCTCCCCACGGCCCGCTGAAATCCTTTCGGATGGACTCCTGTATGTCTTTGTCCTCTGGCCAGGCTTCCTCGGGGACTTCAGCGAACCAAGGACCGCCGCACCCAACGGTCAGCATTCCGCCTGCTTGACTCCATTCGCCGAATTGGAATGGACGTGTAGCGAGCCAGAAGAAACCCTTGGAGCGGAGGATGGGGTTGAAGGCTGGATGGGCACGTTTGTTGGCGAGGATTACGGCGGGGTCCGGTTGTTCAAAGTCTTCGATTTCCATTTCGTCACCCTCGTCCTCGTCTTCGGAGTCTTCTTCTTTTTCGTCTATAGTCATTTCGTCATCGTTGTCTTCGCCTCCTTCGTCGTCGTCTTGTCCCTCTTCTTCATCCTCTCTGTTCTGAAGGACGATGAACTTGTCATGAAGTAGAGCGAAGAGACGACGGGGATGGAAGGGTTTCCTGGCAGTGTAGACGAAGTTGTTGATACCATATCTGTAAGGAATCAGAATCATCACAATCATCATCATCCACATGGGAAAAAAAAAAAAGAAAAAAGAAAAAAGAAAAAGTCCATACTCAAGCGTCTCTGGCTTAGGCGCCATCCTCTGCCCTACTGCCGTCTCCCGCATAGTCATCTCGTGCAGACTTCTCAACCACCCAGCCCCTGAAGCAGCCTTGATAAAATCGAATCGACCCGTGCCGATAATCTCCTTCACGTCGATTCTGGCATAACTGCTCTCTAGGACTTTAGCGTCCGGATTGAGCATTTTGAGCAGCTTTCTGATCTTCTCTCGTGTAGCCTCGTCTACGGTATCGATCTTGTTGAGGATGAGGACATCGGCGAACTCGACCTGGTCTACCATGAGATCGGAGATAGTCCGCTCATCCTCGGGGATGATCTCCTTGTTCCCGTATCTATCGGAGAGGAACTCGGACGTGTCGAAGTTGGAAAGGAGATTGAAGGCATCGATCACGGTGACGGTTGTGTCGAGTTTAGCGAGGGTGTGGAGGCCACCGAGGCTGACTCTATCATATTACCGTGTCAGCTCATCTGCTATCCACCTAGTAGATGAGACCTTAGATACGAAGAAAGGGGGAGCATACATCTCCGTCAGAATCTTCTGACTCTCCTCATCCTCCTGGGAGAGATCATCACCCGCCTCCAACATGGCAGCGCTGAACTCTGCAGTGAACGTCTCAGCTACCTGCATCGGCTCACTGATACCCGTGCTTTCAATAACGACGTAGTCCACCTCTCGCTGTTTGGTAAGTCGAGCAAGCTCCGATAGAAGATCACCACGGAGCGTACAACAGATGCAACCGTTTTGCAGCTGTATAAGCTTCTCCTTCGTCTGGGAGACCTTATGGTGGGTTATGAGAGCGGCGTCGACATTGAGTCTACAGAAGCTGGTCAGCTTACATTCTTGGTTATGGCCTTAGGGAAACGCACTTGCTCATGTCATTGACAATAACGGCAATCCGGAGCCCATGGTCCGGAGATTTGAGGATATGTTCGAGGAGGGTTGTTTTGCCGCTTCCCTAGTTCCGTCGTTGTTAGACGGGATAAATTCATTCCTGTATGCCGTCTCAAAAGATATTGCCAGACACATACCAGAAAACCAGATAGAAGGGTAACAGGAAGCTGACGAGTCTGAGTTACACTGTGAGATTTACTCTCCTTGTCCTTCCTTTCTGAGACAGTGTTGTTCGCCAACGATCCGTTTCCTGAATTGGCGCCCATCTTTCTTGACGAAATAGGTACCATCCAAGCTGGCAAGAGAGAATAAAGTGAAAGGAAAGAAAAAGAAAAAAAAAAAAAGAAAAAAAAAAAAAAAAAAAAAAAAAAAGAAAAAGAACCCCATACCATCTCATCTCCAAATGCACCATCTTATGTCCATTTTCAAAATCATCCCCAAGTTCCTCTTCCTTGAGGACCTACACAGCACACCTAGCCTGCTCAGTGCTCACAAGGTAGACGCCTCATCAAAAATATACCCCGAAATCTGAAGTATATATATATAGTTAGGTATAAAGCTGATTAATTCGAATACATGATTCGCCGAAAGCTGGAAGGGTTGATCTGTGTTGGTGGAGAGATGGCCACAAGGTCCTTGATACCTTGGGAATCTGCTATCTAGGCTTCGGCCTATTAGCGTGCACCGATTTATGCTTATGCTATCTATACGGAATATATATTTATTTTAAACATCTGCTGGTAGACTCTGTCCGGTGTAGTATTTCTTTATCCTGGTGATGTTGAGTCATGCATGGCTGTTAGATAGGGTTAGCTGGTTAGGTAGAACTGTTATCTTCCATGCTGCACAAGTCATGGATCCGCATGTTGTACAGTTAGTTACAGTTGCTTTACTTGCTTATTCAGGATACCAATGGTAAAACGGCAAAGGACTATGCAGTTGCAATCTTCAGTCAATGATCAGATGCCAATTAAATTTGCATTCTACCTACTTCTGAACGCCTTTCGTCTTGGAAAGCTGTTTTCCTCGCATTGTAGTTCCTCCAGGTGGTGCTGGCAGATACTATCGGTGTCGTAGCACTCCTTCACTGCCGCAAAGCCGGAGAGAAGCAACTCAGTGTAGGTTATATGCTCGCTCATACTGCCCGTCCATGACGCGCAGTCCTTTTCGACCTACCCATTATGGTGGATAATTTCTCCAGAAACTAGCTGGAAAATAACTGGCTCTATCCCAGATCTGAAATGTCTGGTGAGATGCCTGCTGCGCGCCGAAAGACGAACATCTTCCTCCATGCTGACTTTAACTCAAACACCTTCTCCAGTTGGCGAAATGGCTCCAGGGTCAACGGTGTACTTGAAACACTCTCAAACCCCCAAAGCAGGCGCCTTAACGCCGTAGCCCTTCATCTACACGCTGAACAGCTTTCAATGGGACACCATGTCCTGCGTGCGCCTGTTCCTGTCCCTGAAGAGTACTCCACCTTCGCCAAGTACTACGCTGCTACGGATCGTTGGAATGACTTTGCGACCATCGGGGGAATAGTGGACTCAAGCATAAACCGATTGCAGCATTGCCTCGCGAGCCACCTCTTGCAGGACTCTATCATTAGGTTGTGGTTGCTCTGCTTGCTCTCCTGGCTCAACAGTTACACCGTGGGGTATAACATGGCGTGCAGCATGAAATCCATCAAAAAGGTGATCCTGTCAACTACAAGGTAATGTTAGCCTATAATCTTGTGTACTCATGATGTTCAGGTCTCATACCGCTGGGGCAGGTAAAGCCGGACTGAGGAGAACAGTGCATTAGCCAACCCTCTATGCACTGGGAGTCAAATTCCCCTATACACTCCTCACAGTTGAGATACACAGTGTCTTCTGAGTGATGTTCATGGCAGATGCCGCATTCCACATCAGAGATATCACGGCCTTTGCAAAACGAGCAAAGGGCAATGGCACAGTTGGCCTGGTTATTGTCACGGAACTCAACTAGACGATGAATAGGATGCTATTCAGCTATCTAGGCAGCTATCGACGAGAACTTCAAGCATGGAGAGGAAGGAAAAAAGGAAGAGATCTACGTGAAGCTGGACTCCTGTCCACGCGCCACGCTAATCCAAGTAAGGAAACTCACGTGCTCGTCCTGGTCTACATGGCAAGGGCCCTGACAGTTATACTGTACATCTATTAATTTCATATATAAAATGTAGCAAACAAGTTGCTGGCAGCAATCCCATTGAAAGTCTCTTTCTTTCCCTGCTTAAAACTAGATTGATTGATTAATAGTTAGTCACTTAAACACCGAAACTTGTGACAATCAAAGAACAGAAAACACTGGCAGCATATCCCAGAGCCGTTAATATATCCTTGACTGGCATGACAAGTTGTATCAACGTTCTGATAAACATCCCTAGCCTTGGAACAACCCCGGGAACTTCCTCAGACTGAGTCCGCCAATCCCCTGAGGGGTCCAGTCGTTGACCTGGGCAAAAGGCGCAGTTGTAAAAATCCACTCTTCAGCTCACCGCGCTAGGCCAGCGCAGGAGAGAACCATAGTGGAGATAATCAAGGTATCTGATTCTGTAGTAGACTTCATTGCCCAGCTGAAACTCCTCCTGGGCTTCAGGGATTTTGCACAGCTCTGCAATGATGCCATGAACAAGGTCTTTCACAGCAAATCATTCATAAGCTCTCTAGGTGCTCACTGCTCAGTGGTCATCAACTAAACTTCTAACCAACATCTTCCAGTGCAGCCAGGGGAGAAAACAGTCATCATGCATTCCCACTGCCAATTGAAGATGGAAAACAGAGCTGTAGCTTTGTTGCCGCTGTGCTGGACACTCTATCCATGGAGAAGGCATGTGTGACGACCATACCTGATGTATGACCGTCAGCATGTGACCCTGGCACTGGCATGTCTTAGAAAGTGCCAGCAGATCAAACAAGTAGGGCACAGGGCTAGGGCTGAGGGCAGGCAGCTGCCCTCGCCTCCTATTTCCTCCCCACCACGTCTTTCACCTTTTTTCCTTTTATTCTTCCTCTTCTCCTCATGTACGATATTCCTAGATAGTACGTCCAAATAGCGAGTTGGTTTCCTCTTCTCATCCTATTACAGCTCATCGTTACAGCATGTTGGGCAATATTTTCCAGTCGGTTGTGGAAAATTAGCACTCCAGGAATTGCAGCTCAGGCTATACTGTATATGAGTAATGTGAATACAGTCCAGGGAAATCAGAGACCTACTTCAGGCTCTAGAGAGAGTATACAACTATATAAGCATGTGAGTTATATAACTAGTTTGTTACAGGATTCTACTATGAGCTAATATACACTGGATCTCTTCGGCCTGATAATCTATTCTGGTTTCAGGAAAAGCCAAAAATTAGCATTGGGAATGGGATAAGTGATGTCAAATAATGTAAAGAATACTCAATAGATTCACTATAATTCACAAGATGGAGATCACATATCTCCCATCTGCCATGGGCAGCCCGTGGCACATCGCAAACTCAGGACAATGCCTGAGCACTCTGCTTGTCCTATTTGTTCCATTTGTTCTGTTTGTTGCTTCTGGTTGCTTCCTTCCTTGGTCACGATGCTGTTGTCTCTTTTCTTCCTCCCAAGGAATCCTTCATGTATCTAGCACTAAAATGAATTCTATATTCAACCCATTACACTAGCCCTCAGCTGGCGGGGTGCTGATGAGGCCATTTTCAGCAACGTTGTGAAACTTCGATAGGAAGCAAATGAAAGCCATGATGCTGCCTGAGGATTGTGTTGGTGGTGCGTGGGCCAAAAGTGTGGGAGTGTGGCAGATGATAATTACTGAAACGCTGCAGTTTTCGGCCTCATGTGCGGCCGAAAATGGTGGCGAAACAGCAAACGAAATTCTAGGAGAGTATTTTTATCGATTTATCGGTTGTATATGGAACATCTCGGGCAAAAAGATAGCAATGTAATACTCGCAAGGATAGAAAGATAGAAAAATCTTCGTGTTCAACGTAAACGGTCACCGCTCAATGCATATGTACTTTTTTTTCTATCAATGTTGAAGGCCTTCCCTTTCCGTTGTAGTGCTAGATCTGAGCATGCCCTAAGCACATCATCTACAGCGTAGCATAATACGTACATCCTCAACATTTGATAGAACCCGACTTTGGCCGAAAACGAGAATTAACAGGCACTAGGCATTCATTTCGAGCGGAAAAGTAGGTAGGAGAATAGGAAAATGGGAAATAAAAGCAAATAATTTAGAAATTCTTGCAAGCCATGAGGTCATGTCTCTCTTATTTTCTGTTGTTTCTTCCTATTCCGTTGAACCGGCCAGAAACGGTCCGGGTTTGCCTGATGGTTATTCAATAATAATTAAATGGAAATTTTAAATAAATTATTGAAAGGATTTTCGTCTTCATGCAGGTTGTAGCTAGTCTGCCGTCAGACCAGTTATAATTATGATTAATCGAATCAATGTTTAATCTTTCTAGTCGAGTTTTGCACGTTGTAGTTGTAACTGTAGGGTAACTGTAGGAGTCAGATGGCTTGCACTGCCTCCTGTCCGGGTCGTGTATTCCGACTTCAATTTTATTTTCTGTTTATCCACGTATTCTTCCAGGTGATCCTTCAAAGAAGTGACTAGGTACTGTTATACTAATGGTTTCTCTGCCTATGATGCCATTCTACATCAATCCAGCCAATGCATGGCGATGTAGAGGTACCTGACCAGCCTTTTTATTATTTTTTTACTATCCTTTAATAGTATTTATTTGAAAATAACGTCCCACTAGTTAGTTATTAGAATAGAATGATGGACCTGCTTCGCTTGGTTCCGAAGATTTTCAGGAAAGACTGAAGAATGTCATGCCACGCAGGAAGATGAAAAATGGAGTCTGACAGACGGTGAAATTCTTGTCAACCTGCAGGGTTCTAACTGAAGCACAACCTTTGAGACTGTCGCAGGGTATGAGCGACTAGAATAATAACAGTAGCGAGCCATTGCCATTATTATTGCTTAAGCTGAAGGAACAATAATGATGGGCTTGTGCTGCAGTTAGCTCTGACGGTGACAGAACACCAGCGGGGATTGGCTAGCCCTATGCTCTGCCATGCTGACTTATTCGTTTTGTCCAATTAGCAGTCTCTATAAAGATGTTGAATACGTCGACGCCAGCAAGCATTCTCAAAGTTCTGCTCAGTGCTCGACTCCAGATACTCCACGCTGTGGTACTGTACTTGTACACGGCAGAAGTCGGCAAATATCCCATCGTTCACCATCAACCTGACGAGAATATCCAGGGATGATCTGGACATGTGATGTTTACATCATGAGAATTGACTCGTCATGGCCTTCTATCCGTTATCATTATTATCAATGTCTACGTTCTACAGGTTGGGGAAGGGTTCATTATTATGGGTCTGGCTGGAACGCTGGGTGTCGTGTCTAGAATCGGAGCCGGCCGATGAATAGAAATTCAAAAAAGGAAAAAGAAAAATTCAAGATTTCTGTACGACTCAAGCAAGGACCCCAGAAGGGAACTGGCACAAACAGCGGTAAAAGGCAAAGGTAACGCGCGTAGGCAGTATGCCGATTTGCGCAACCGAGAAGCGGGCTACGGCAAATCCAGGGAATCGGTGATCCCACGATATGGAGGCGGGTCAGGGTTATTCGACCTGCCCGTTGAATATGGGACAATAATAATAAACTAATAGTAATCATCACAATAATAATGAATATGACCATGGGGTTAGTGATGATGAAAGCAAAGAGAACGATGACAGTAGGGCAACACGACTAAAGAAATGCGGCGGTTAAAGTCCTCGGCAGGCGGTTCTTTTCTCTCAATGAGGCAGCGATCCCGCGCTGCCGCGCCGCTGGTCTTTGATTGGAGGGAGCGGCCGCGGGGGCACTAAGCTAAATAAGGAAGACGTATCCTGGACGGTATCGATACGCAGAGGTACAAATTGTATCACGTGCGACCAGCGTTTAGCGCTGCGCTGTAACTTAGGAGGAGTAATCGTAGTACGGTAACGGAATAGGGAGGGCCACAATCATACGATCTGCGAGCACCGAGAACCGACCGACGCAGGCATCGACGTTTCTTTTCCGGGCTGGCCAATCACGTGGCGGGGCAGCTGACCGTTCTCAACAGCAAAAACTACAATAACACTGCAGGACACGCTTTCCCCCTAAAACAAGGCACCGTTTTCCCTCGATATAGGCTGCTGCCCCCCATTCCTTCTGACGCTGACCACGGCCGTGCACCGAGTCAACTCCGCATGTAATCCTTCCTGCCTGCACCCGAATCCCATCGGTTCTCCAGCCGCTGTGCCGGAAATCCTCGACGCCTCGCGCTAGTTTCGTCTGGCGCCTTGGCGATCCCCCAACGCCCTGGACCTCGCTCCCCCCTCCTTTTTTCTTGTCTCCGCCACAGACCTCAGGAACCTACAAACTATCGATTGTGCCAGATGCTCCAGACCAAGGCATCCACTCCTTCTGTTCCGGCCGCTCGCTCGTGATTTTCCTCTTTCTCTCTCCTTGGTCCGCCACCCGTTGCCTTTTTTTCCCTTTTCTTTTTTTGGTCTCTCTTCCCTTTCTCCTTCTCCCCCTGCTGACGGCAGCAATTGTGCCAAAGGAGAAAGACATTCAATCCCTCCACTACGGTCCTTCTTTCCTAACAAGCGCCAGGTTTGGCCTCCGGGACCACCTGGCCCAATTCCCCCGATTCCGCCGTCATGGACGCAGATTTTCTGCTGTCCTCTCCCCCACAGCTCTCTACAAGGAAAAGCTCCCAGTCCGAGAGCATGTCCTTTACCCCATCCACAATGGACGACTCAAGCCAGGATTGGACTCAATGGATGAGATGGGACGACCAGGCCTTCCCCGATAGCGTCAAGCACGAGTCGCAGTCGCCGTTCGGCACTCCGTTCATACCGCCTAACTCGAACCCAGCAGACTCGCAAATTAATGGACTGCCCAAGGAATTCTCCCCAGATATCCCGTTTGGATTCATGAACTTCCAATTCGACCCTCTTGCCATGCGAGACCACAGCCCAATGCCTGCAGCTCCCCGTGCGATTGATGTCCAGTCTCGTCCCTCCATCTCCGTTTCTTTGGCAGATAAAACCGAAATGGGTAGAAAACGAAAGTCGAGCAGCGACGATGACACAGCCATGACGAATGGTGTGCCGGATGCAGCGAGAAAAGTGCCATCGAAGAAACGAGCCCACAATGTGATTGAGAAACGGTACCGTGCCAACCTCAATGACAAGATTGCCGAGCTCCGAGATAGCGTACCCAGCCTCCGTGCATTCGCCAAGCAGACGAACGGGGGTGGGCTTGACGACGATGATGGTGACGGAGTCGCTCCTGCCAACAAACTGAACAAGGCGTCCATTCTTTCGAAAGCTACCGATTACATCCGTCACCTGGAAATCCGGAACAAGAGACTGGAAGAAGAAAATACTGCCTTGAAAAATAGACTGCGCGAATTCGACAAAGCTGTAGACCAGAATGTCACATCGGCAGCCTCTGTTTCGTCCCCCAGCAACTGCACCGTGTCCACGGAATCACGGGGCAGCGCTTCACCAAGTGTCTTTTCCAATCCAGATGACGTGAGCGAGAGTTCTCCGACATCCGCATACCCACCAGAGGGCCTCATCAAAGTCCCGGATGCGTTCAAACGGATGCGTGAAGCTTCCCGTCAGGGTGCGTACAGTGAGTCATACATTCAGTATAATCGCGACAACAGCTACGCGCAGGATGAATCTGGCCGGAGACGGTCACATTTCCCCAACAAATACATGCTGGGAGCCTTGGCTGGGCTCATGGTTCTGGAAGGCATGGGTACGGAGAAGAAGACGGAGTCCACGGCGAAGGGACTGCTGGCAGTCCCCGTCAATCTACTCAACCATCTCCAGTCGCCCGCTTTCCGGTACTGGCGATCCATTTTGCGGGGCTACCTATTTTCCTGGCAGGCACAAGTGATCACGCATTTCCTTGTGCTTGCTGTTCTCGTGGTTGGAAGCGCTTTCCTTGTCTTCGTCTATCTGTTCAACTCGCAGCCTAGCCGCCAATTCGACTCGATCAAATCCGCCGCCGCATCCGACGTGGCTTTGTCAGCACCCTGGAACTTCAGAAGACAGGCCTGGCTCACCAGCATCCAGCAGGTTGGCGTTCCACGCCATAGTTTCTTCCGGGAATGGTATACCGTGACCTCTCGATGCTTCGAGTACCTTTTCCGGTGCCTGTTCGGTTGGCAGTTATATTCTTGGGCCACGGGTGTCACTGAAGAGGATGAAAGGGGCCGCGTGAAGACATGGGATATCGCCATTGATGCCCAGCTTGCTGGTGGTGACCCAGAAATCAGCAAGAGCCGTCTTGTCCTAACCATCTTCGCAGCGGGGACTCTACCACGAAGCCCAATGCGCATGATGCTGAAAGCCCTGCACTGCCGTATCCTCCTGTGGCGCGTAGGAGAGGCAGGGTCCTGGACGTTTAACACCTCTAACGATGTAGCTCGTGCCCTGGCCCGGTACCAGTGGGATCTGGCACGGAAGATGAACAAGCCCCTTCCTGAAGGCCATGAGGAAGCTCTCCCAAGCCACCTGGCCGCTCTGCTTGAGATGGATTGTGAAGAAGTCATGATCGATCCTATTGTCCAGCGAGCAGCTAATCTCACGTGGAATCGGCCTACTCAGGAAGGTACCGATGACGATGGGGCTCTGTTGGATGTTGTTGAAGAGGATCCTGCCATCCAATCTTCGCTGGATGCTCTCGCCTCCTTCTGGTCTAGCCACTTGCTGCAGCGCGCGATCCTCAAATACTTCGAGGCTAGCTCCGGTGGCCCCGCAGCGAGGAAGAGCCGTGACATTTTCAAAGCCAAAATAAAGCATGCCCTTGACGTTGCTCCCAAACCCTCCGCTGCCCATACGCGGGCGCTGGTCATGAAAGCCGTCTTTTTCGACAACGGCCGGATTGATAATATCGGGCAAGTGCTCGATGCTCTGCCTAGTGACAAGGGCAAGGCGACGTGCTGTCAGGCCTTCAACTTTGTTGACTCGTCTCTTCCGGTGTCCGTAAGGGAGGAGATCTCGATTGCTGTCCGTTGCGCCATGATCGCTGCCATTTTCAAGGCCCGCGTCACCGGGGACGATACGCTGCCTCCGTCGTTCACCATCGAAAGAGCGATTACTTGGTTTAGCCAGCTGCCTATAGACCCTGTCGAATTGACCTTAATCGGCTTTTCCGCTGTCTTCCACCTACTCCATATAATCTTTTCCGATGCCGACTGCAGATGTTTCGACTCACCAGCCTCTTCCGCTCCCCCATCTGTTACGTCATCCGCCTCTACCATTTCCTCCGGTGACGAGGAGGACCTGCCTTTACCCCCGCGCCGTCAACCTTGCCTTCCCTCACACTTCACCCCGAACCTAGGACGTGTTGCTTCCGAGCTCCTGTATTGGGCCCGCAACGCATACAACCCAGCCTTCTACGGTTTCACACCGAGGCATGTCGAGGTAGTCGAGAACGAATGCAGATTCCTTTGTCGCAACGCTGGTATCAAGCTGGAAGACTTTATTCCGCGTCAGGAAAAGTCATCCAAGAAGCGCAAGCAAAGAAAGAAGAAGAGGAGCTCTCGGAAGAATTCAGCATAGGCCAGTGCGGCGCGGTAACAGGCCAGCAGTGGGACCACTGATCTTGCGATTCTCGATGGTGTGATTCCAGTATTTAATTGATCTTTATTTGGGTTCTACATGATTACATGGGTGTTATGGGGGCTTGGCTGGCAAAGTACGAGGCTACATTGATGGGTGGGATGGAATGGATAGGATTTGGGTCATTTACCATGTTTTGAACGGGTCTCATTCCTTGATTTCATATGTTTGTTGTCATCACTATCGTCAGTCGATCTTTATTTCCTTATTTTTGTTTTTCCTCCGTATTTTCTTTTTCATCATATTTGCCGATGCCATTGTTGTTCCAAAAATACGTCGTGTTTGAGAACCTCTTCCCTCACATATGCGTTCGGGCGGGCTTTTGATCAAGTGCTTGCTTTTACGATCAGAGAGTCGGTGACAGGGTAAGGTGGGGAGTAAAATATTCGCCCAGAGAATCTTGGCAGGGGAAGTGTTTATATGTGGCGTTTCGGTTTTGTCTTGATGTACTTGTTCAGTCATCGCAGAGCAGGGCAGATGAATTGATCTACTGTTCTCGCTGCGATTCCTTCATTTCTTGTATATCGATTTTACACGTGACTGCTTGCGGTTATTCTTAGGTCGATACTGTCTCATGGACGAGGGAACGAGGCACGGAGGTACATTAATATAATACAAGGGCATTGAGGATTGAGCTCGGAGATTGCAGGTATTATGCATTCATATTGCCTGGTGTCTACAGCATTAGCACTCACAGCATTAAGCACTGAACGCATGTCTACACACCAAGCCACATCAAATTCGCATCATCCATCGCAGGTCCAAACCCAAACCACCCGGAGAAAAGCATAGCATTCGCATCATCATAGTAACCACCAGGAAAGGGCGCATACTGCTGGACACCAACGGGCGAGAAAGCAGATATCCCATGTGTATGACTCCCATGTGAAGGACCAGGACCACCAGGACCACCAGCATGCCGTGAAGGATCCATCTCGTCTGTATGAGCAACAGTCCCATTCGACAACCCCGAATACGAACGCTCAAACCACTCCCGAACCCTCTGTAACCATTTGTCTGTATGGAACCATAAATCGCGATCACCCTTTTCGTCAGCGACGGAGGACACGAGTCCCCTGAGACGAACGGTGGTGTCGCAGAGGATGGAGTGCATATCGAGGCTTTCTAGGAGGGAGAGGGTTGTAGTCCTAGCAATAGTAGCAGTAGCATTATTGCTGCTAGTGTTGGCATGGCTACACGGCTGCTCAGATGATAATGCAGAGACCGCTGAGGCAGCAGTAACGGCCAACCTCGTCGCGGTGACCAGTGTGAATCCGACCTGGACCCAGAGGGAATTTGTCACGGACATTTCCGTGCGGGGAGGGAGGGAGAGGAAGAAGTGGAGGGATGTGCGGGACGTGAGGAGGCCGTTGTTGAGGATTTCCAGGCGTGAGGGGGTCCATGTTGTTGTTGTTGTGGGGGCGCTGTGGTCGAAGAAGAGGATTTGGCAGAGGTACAGGTTTGCCGTGTGGTATTTGAAGAAGAGGAGTACTGTTTGAGTATATGTCCAGTTAGACTCAATCATAATCATGACGATAACCAAGGGGGAAACGAAGTAACTGACAGTCATCTTCCAAGGCACAAGGCAGGGCATCCCGATACGCCTCCAACTCAGCCTGCAGCTGTACGATTCTCTCCTCCAGCCCTGCACCCTCCCGATGCAATTCAGACGCATGCCGGAAGGACAACGCGTCAACCTTTTCGAAAATCGCCTGCAGACGGATGATATGCTCCAGGTATCGATCGGATGCGTACTCTGCGTCTCTGGAGAGAGCGCGGCAGCAATCGATGATGTAGTCTGTGTGGACGAATGCGCAGGTTTTCTGGAGGAGCACCGACAGGCTGGACGACAGATAATAACAAGCCACGACGGCCCTCTGCTCCTCCTCACCCCAGGACCAGCGCGACCCGATGTCCCTGGAGCTCTTCGAGCCGACCTCGAGCCTGGAGATCTGTGAACGTGAGGCAAGGGGCTTGTCCAGCTCGAAATCAACAATCACACTCACGGCCAGATGGAGGAGTTGGAAGTACCGTCGTGGACGGGCATGGTATTGACTCCTAGGAGCATTCTGTTAGAAACAGACGCACAAGCCTCGGAGGAAGAGGTGGATATACATACCAAGCAAGATAAATCAAAAGCCCCTGTAGAGTATCGAAAGTAATCTTCCGCCCGAAAATCATGCACTGGCTCAGCATCTCTTTCATTTCGCATTCGAGCCGTCGTTGCAACGGCATCGACTCGTAGGAGGCCGTGGCTAAGATGGCGAGGAAGACGAACGGTCTGTCGCGACGGATTTCCTCCGCCGTGGCTCGTGACGGGATGACGAAGAATGGGAAGTAGGGTACCATTTTCGTTCGATATTGATGGAGGAGGCGGTTTGCCTGTTCCATGCTGAGGACGGCTTTGTCGATGATGTCTCCATGTGGGCTTGATCCGGCACCGAGTGTGGAGGCTGCGCCCGAGCTGGTGAGCAACTGGCTTACCTTGGCCTCCAGGACATCAATGCGTCTTGGAATGGAATAAATCCATCAGCAGGGGTCTTCATCTATAACAGGAATAGCATGAATCAACCCACGTCGTCCGTCCGTTGACATAATTCTTCGCCCGAGCCTCGCGATAATAACACTCCTTCGCTAAACGCAGACACCTATTCGGCATCAGCTCGCCCAGTCCATGAACAGTCCCGAGGGTAATTATGATTGTGAGATCAACATGGATACTCCAGACTCTAGTCTAGAGACGGCAAATGGAGGCACAACCCTACCGATCGCACACCGACGACGCCCCGCTCCGAACACACTTGATCTTGGCATGTGCGCAGTTCTCGCACGTTTTCAGCCGCTTAGCCTTTGGAGAGCTGTTCGAGGAGGTGGACCGCGTCCTTGGCTCGACATGTGGGTGTGCCATTGGATCGGATCCAGCTGGTTGATGCTTATCACGAGAGAAGAATGCCTGCAGGACGAAGTGGTGGTGAGGTCGGCCTGCGGACACGGATTTTATACGCGTGCGCTTATTGACTATTATTAGTGCCATTATCTTAACTTTGTAAGACAGTTCGGGGTGCCAAGTGCCAAGTACAGCACGTCTGGGCTAATTACACTTAGGATGGGGTATTTTGGGCATGAGATATCTGTATTTGGGCTGGAGGAGTTGGAAGAACTTGGTCCAAGACCAAAGCAGCATACTCGACATACTAGATGTACGTGTTGTTGGCACTGTTGGAAGATTAGGGCTTCGGACACGGACTACGGGCACGGAATCCCCAGAAACTGAAACAGGCATACAAAGAAAACAAAAATAGAAATCGGAAACAGGCAGCCTTGTATGAATCCTTGGCCGGATCTGTGGGAGGACTACTTGATGTACAGGAGAGCTATTTAATCGACGTGGTTGCTGCGTTGCTGTTGCTGCCGTTGTTGTAGCTGCTGCAGTTCTTCCCTTCGACCCTAGAGAGCACTACAGTACTACGGGTATCACAACGAGATATATTCCGTCTGAATTCTTCTTCTGCGTCAAGACCAGAATGCCAGACTCAACCTGCACCCTCCAAACATGCCCCCTCAGCGCGGCCATGATCACCTACATCCCCACGCTCCCCGGAAACGCGCTGTACCTCGCCCTCTTCGCCCTCATGCTCGTCGCCCAAGTCGTCCTGGGCATCTACTACCATTTCTGGTCCTACCTGATAGCAATGTCCTGCGGGCTTGTCCTCGAAGTACTCGGATACGTGGGCAGATTGCAATTGCACAATAATCCGTTTGATTTTGACGCGTTTCTTCTGTACCCCCCCCCGGCCCCATATACACATATTCCAGGCATATCTTTCGAAGAGAAGACTAACAAAGAAAAGCTACCTAATCCCCTTAACCATCGGCCCCGCCTTCTTCAGCGCCGCAATCTATATCTGCTTCGGCCGCATCGTCCTCATCTACGACGCGCGCCTATCAAGACTCAAACCGCGTGCGTACACGGGCATCTTCGTCGCCTGCGACGTTGTCTGTCTTATTCTCCAGGCGGCCGGGGGAGCAATCACCTCCGTTGCGGACGATGACCAGCGCAGCCTTCGTGATACGGGGGTCAATATTATGATTGCCGGGTTGGCGGTGCAGGTTGCGTCGTTGGCGGCGTTTATGGTTCTGTGTGCGGATTATATGTGGAGGTTGAGGAGGGCATCTCGGGGTGGTGATAGGATGACGCTGGGGAGAGATAGGGTTAGGGATACCTTGACCTGGAAGTGCTTTCTTTGGGGTATGTGCTCCTCCCCTACGCCCTTCCATTCATTCATTCCCTTCCATGGATCTCCTATTCATGCTAATGACGTAGGTCTCGCCATCGCAACAATCGGCATCTTCATCAGATCGATATTCCGTGTCGCGGAATTACAGGGCGGGTTCGATAGTAAACTTGCCAATGCGGAGATTCCGTTTATGATCCTGGAGGGTGCGGTGATGACTGTTTCCTGTGGTTGTTTGACGGTCTTCCACCCGAGGTTCTGTTTCCGACAGTGGAAGAAGGGGGATGAAGATGGGAAATCAGTGGACAGCCGGATGGGGATTGGGATGTTGAGTGTCACCGGAAATAAGTAGATTCCTCTCGCTGTTCTTGTTCACGAATACTGTATGCTGATTGTATTTGTTTGTTGTTGAATTATCATGTGCATATTTAGTAAGCTAAATCTGTACAGCTATAGACATTAGATACTTGCTGGGATTAACCCAGCATATGGACATTACTTCTGATAGTACTCCTCAACCCAGGCCTTCACCTGCGCAACCTCATTATCAACCACCTGCCTCAGGGGGGCATTGATATCCGCATTTCTCAAGAGCAAGTCCGAACAGTGAACGCCAGCCGGGATAACCTGCACCGGAGCCTGGGGTGTGGAGACAAGAGGACCACCGGGACGGAAGCCAGCAGAGACGCCAGATTCTCTCCAGGGGTCGAATTGGCTTTATTATTTGCATGTCAGTGGCTGTCATACTCACATGAATGATAACAGAAGGACAGACTTACCCGTTTGTCCAGATCAGTCTGGTCGTGTCCCGAGCGCTCCATCCACCTGTCCACGCATTCACATCGTGTACAGTCTTGCCCTTTGCGCTGGCGTATGTGTATCCGTTTACCTCGGGGAAGAAGAGGGGGCATTGCCGTTGCCAGTACTCTGCATTGACGAGGCGGGAGACAATGCTGGGTACGAACTTGGGGGCACCGCTGTATAGTGTTAGAAAAAGCAAAAAAAAAAAAAGAAGAAGAAGGGGGAGGGAAGCATACTCCTGCCAATACGCAAATGGTTCATTGCAAAGGAACCAATTCCATTGCCGGTTAGCAGTGTTGTTCACGGCTGGGTCCGTGAAGAACGGGCTTGAGGCATCGTAGGTATCGAAGCAGGCGATGCTATACTCGTCGGTCCAGTAGCCAAAGTTCGCACAGGCTTAAAGGAGGTTAACCGAAAACTTCAGGCATATATATGGCTCAAGTCAAATTATTGAACTTACCTCCTGGTAGGTAGGACGAGTTGAACCACGATGCGTAGCCTTTTAGGGCTTTCTCGAGGCCTACACCTTCCGGTCCGGGTGTGACACTCGCTCCAGCTTCGACATTCTAGGTTTCATTAGAAATGAACATAGGGATACAAGTAGGAAAGGGATAAAGTCAGCCCTACCTCCACGGCATCACAGAACTTATAAAACTCAGAATATCCGGTGTCAAAGTCCGTTGACTGCCAAAGCCACGGTCCATTTTCAATAGCACTGTGAAAGGTTAGCATCAGCATCGGAACCAGAAAGGATGAGCCAGCACAACTCACGCGGCAAAATCATCGTAATGCTCAAGGGCCCCCAAACCAAACATCTCCTTGACCTCCTGTTGCTTTTGCGTATCGCCGATTGCATACAAGAAGTCGATGTACTCAATGACCAGGCTAACATCCTTGCTGCAGTTCACGGGCATCCCTTCTTGGATAGGAACAAAGTATTGCCACTGACCAGTCAGTTAGGGAATTTAACGGGAATAATACCACATACATAGTCGTAGACTGCCTGAACCGGGGCACTGGAGGAGTGGTACGCCCAGAAAGTCCCCGGGGAAGTTTTCTCGGTCCATGCAGACAAAGCACCACTGTAGGAGCCTCCGGAGAGCACCCACGGCTGGAATAAACCAGTCAGCAACAGTCATAAGCGAGCCTGGACGTGGAAGAAGACCTACAGCCTTATCGGCGTTGCTACTCCCGTTGGTATCAAAAGGGAGGTTGACAGTCTTCGCAAAATGGACCAAATCTGCAATACTCTGCTCAAGAGTAAGGTATTGGAGCGTCTCCGCGTTCAGCTCGCTATACGGGGACGATTCACCCCAGTAGCGATCTGCGTACATAGGGAAATGTCAGAAATGAAAGTGGTAGCAATCATGCCGAATACTAACGCTCTATTATAACCGCAGCGCCCTGGATCTCCTGCGCATAAAGACCGGTTATGGTCTTGTTCGTGAGATATCCCTGGTAGCCATCGGCAGCGCCTTCTCCGGGCGTCATCAGAACGACCTTTCGCACAATTGCAATGAATATTTAGCTATATACCACGGAATATCCGTATACGACACAAACGTATATCGTTGACTTACTGGAGATCCCTCTCCAGCCCAGAACTCAGAACTCCACCAATACCGCTGTGAGAAAGTGCCCAGATCGGGGTTATTATGATCGATGAGCTGCTCAAAAGTTGCAGATCCCTTGTACGACACCTGAGCCTCCTTCACGTCATCCGAAGGTGGAGGTTTGGGGACAATGGCATTGACGCCGGAGAGGTAGACGGCAAGAGCCGTCAAGGTCGACAGGGATACTACCGACCGCATTTTGGGCAGGAGAATAAGGGCGAGTTCCGGCAGGAATGGGCACCGTACGCTGTATCCTGTCCGTACGGGCAACGGTTGAGGCGATTTCCAAGGGCGATGTTACAGGTGGGACGCCATGGGCCTTTTGTAGGAATTGCATGATGGAGCAGCAGCAAACATCCAGCGTACAGTTGCATTGGAGACATAGCACAGACTGCCCCGCTGCGATAAGCAAGCTGCTGCCCAGACGTAACTAGTGCTGCGACTAGCAATACATAGCCTCGCACTTCTGAAGCCGGCAATGGTCACCAGGGCGGGATTGCGTTATGCTAATTTCGCTAGGGCCGGGAATTAATTATATCTGCGGTGTACAGCATATGCAAGCGTATTTAATCGACGGAGTACGGAGTATACGGAGAGTACAGGGTACATCCTACATAGTAACATTCGCCGGAGCTGCAGACGATCCTCCCCTGAAATACTGCTGTTTGCGGTGTAGCGCGGGTAGGTGCAACCCTAGCCCTAGTTGGTCGCAATCTATCCTGTACGGCAGGAGGCTGTACGGAGTATCTATATTTATGGCATGTTTACCGTCTACCTAGTATGCTCCGCCCAGAATATTCTGCGATATTACCCGAATGGACAAGAGATAGTCTGCAGTGGGCGATGCAACGTCAATGTGCTAGCAGTCTAGCACGCATACAACCCATGCCGTCGGTATTCCGACATCTATCTTATAGGTTAGTCCCACGTTCCGGGCTGTCGTTTATCAGTCGCAGGATCGAGTATTTGTCAACACCTGCTGTAAGTTAACTACAGTAGCATGCTGCGTATGAGCAGTATGGGCCTTGTCCGTTTGTACATACTAATTACATAGTTACCGGATGGGGGAAAGCACAATCACATGACATACACGGATTCCTCTCGGAGGCTGTGTTTTCCCGTCTCCGCATTTGCTGGTCGGACCTCCTTATTCGGGAATTCTACTATGCCATTTACGGAATGGTCCCAAGGATCATTAATCCGTATAACCTGTCCATCTATATGTATATGTATATATTATTATTTATCACCAAGTACAAGTTCTACAGCGTCTTCTCAATCTGACCAACCTCGGCCATAACCTCACGCACAGCCTTTTTCACCCCCTCCCCAGGCTCCTCATACGGCGCCCGGGGCTTCAACTTCTCCTCCGCCCCCTCAATCCCCGCCAACTTGGCCGAATACACCGCAACAGCATATTTGGTCCCCGCAATGCCAGACTTGCACGGACTTTCTGCCAACGCAGCCTTGCGATGCAGTTCCATCGCCTCCGTCACATTCCCCGACGTGTAGAGTTGATAAATCCTCGCCGTCGTCTTGGGGAATACATTAGCGAAGGCACCAATGCACCCCGCCGAACCAGCCGCAAGACCGCCGATCAGAAAATCAGCCTGGCCCCCGTATACCATGAACTCGGTCTTGGGGAATGTAGCGGCTAACCGCGTGATCTTCCCGACAGAAGCACAGGTGAGTTTCACGCCAACGACGTTAGAAATACCGTCCGGTCTCGAGGATGCGGATTCCCGAACGATGGACGTGATTATCTCCGAGTCAAGATCTACCCCGTTGCAGACGCCAGGGAAATTGTATATCACTATCGGCAACGGTGACTTGCGCGCGATCTCGCTGAAGAACCGCTTGATCACGCTCGGCGTAGTGGCTTTCCCGAAGTACGCTGCTGGGAGGACGAGGGCGTAGTCTGCGCCTGCCTCCGCCGCGTCCTGGATTAGTTCCAGCGTCTGCTTGGTTGAGTGTGCGCCTGCGCCCGCCATGAGGGGGAAGTTTGGCCCTACGGCCTCCCGGGCCGTTTTGATGAGGAGTTTTCGTTCATCGCGCGTGAGGAGAAAGGCTTCGGAGTTCGTGCCTTGGAGGACGAGGCCTGTTAGTCCAGTGCCTGCGAGGTAGGTGAAGTATTTCTTTTGGGCTTCAATGTCGATTGTGTCTGTTTCGTGGTTGAAGAAGGTTATTGCGGGGCACCAGACGCCAGGTGCAGGAACGTGAGGGGCCATTTTGGGCTATCTTTTTTCTTTCTTTTTGTAGGAAATGTGAGGAATAGATAAGTAACTTCAATCCTTTCTACGGTTGAGAAGCAATCTATATAAATACTACGTCTGTTATCCCGGCTCGCAACCCGAGCATGCATGCGGACGCTCGTCCGAATGCGGGGATCTTGAAGCCTTTCGGTAGACGGCCCGACCGACCGAGCTGCTTATCAGTTCTTTTTTTTTAATAGCATCTCTGTCCTATGCGGTCCTCATAGTTAAACGTAACTTACCAATCCAGCTATAGCAAAGTTATAAGAGGGGAGGTTATTCATATCTGATTCGTAATATGCATATCTAACTTCCATTCAAAATCCTGACTCAACGCCATAAACCGCAAACAGACCCTAACACATTCAATGCTAATTACCCTCAGTCAGCAACGCAATTCAAGTAATAAGGAACTTGGGGTTGACGGTTCGAACATACAGAAACATCTTCCCACTTCTCCCAACCCCGTCCACGCACCGCTGAAAGCTCCTCCATGGTGTACTGCTTGCCCGTAGTGAAATATCCAGCATTGATCTTGGCGTCAATCTCGACTCTCGAATCGCTGGGCAGCATGTGATCTGGGATCGGGATCCGTTCGAGAATCGGGATTCCCGAATTGACAATCGCGTCGTATTTCATGTTCGACATGGATAGCATTCGGTCAATCTTCTTGATCCCCAGCCAGTGGAGAATGTCCGGCATAAGTGCTTGGAAACGCATCTAGAAGGGCAATATCAGCGTCAGCAATTATTCAAATTCCGTGGATAATAACAGATGGCTATACGTCTCGGACTCCTGCGATGTTCTCTGTTCGTCTGAAGTACTTATCTGCCGTGTCACCGCCGCGTTTGCGCGCGTTGTACACCAGATATTTGATCACTTCGCCCAGCGCCCGCCCCTCCTTGCGGAAGTAGATGACAACACCGCTGCCGCCGTTTTGCGCCTCACGGATGGCCTCTCGAATGCCAAACGCCAGGTATGGTCGGCATGTACAGATGTCTGACTGGAAGACGTCACTTCCATTGCATTCATCGTGAATCCGCAGTGCAAGTTTGACTTTCTCATCAGAAACCCGTTCTGGAGGTCCGAAAATATACACAGTCAGTCCCCCAATCGGCGGAAGGAAGACTTTCAGATCTGGCCGGGTGATCAACTCAGGATAGCTTCCTCCTGTATGCTCAAATAGTGACCGACGCAGTGTTCCCTCGTCCATGCCAAACCGTTCCGCCACCCCAGGCAGATACCACACCGGCTCAACAGCAACCTTGGTAACCCGCACCTCTCCACTGGAGTCAACAACAATGTTTCCATCGACTTTGAGCTCCCCATCACGCACTGCCTCCCCGATCTCCGCCAATTTCATATTGGCCCGCGTAACCGCCATCGTGGGCCGGATATCCCAGCCCGCCTCCAACTCCTCACGGAACTGATTGACGATGTCATGCCCATACGGATCCATGGATACGATCTTCGTCTTGTCGGCCCACGCAGGCTGCCAGGGAAACTTGAACGTGGGCTGACTGTTACGGAAATCAGGGCGGAAATTCGGGTCAAGATGACCAGCTGCAATGGCGAGGGCGTTGTAGATGCTGTAACTGCCACCATGGGCACCCATAGCGTTGCGGCGTTTCAGCAACGGTCCACTGCGTGAGACGATGACTGGACCTCTTGACTTGGCGTCAGGTGCACCCCATTCTAGCGGAACGGGATCTATCCCGCTTTGGCCAGGGTAAGTGGTCAACTATAAGTTGGCATTAGCGGCTTCTTCCCATCCACAACCGGGACACTGATTGGAGCATACTATGATATGCTTGCTATAGCGGGATTTAGAATTGGGCGACTGGGCAGTCGGCGATTCACCGGTTCCCGCGGGTGTTGCGCCGTCCTCTAACATTCTAAGGGAGCGGAGAAGGAGCAGCTGCTGGTCGCAGTAACAGCAGAGCTGGACAACGCGGATTTCCAAATAAATAAAGACTCAAGAGAAATGTATTAGACCAAATACAGTGGAAGAAATAAGAAGATAGTCAGGAAAGAAGGAAGGACAGGTCAGTTAACTGCCCTGATATAAATAGAGCAAACAAGGAACACACGTGATGTGACGTCTTCCCCGCACGTTATCTTATCTCCGGTTCGTCTGTTATTGTTGTTGTAACTAACTAGTTGTTGTTAGAACTTAGAAATAATTAGTAGGATTCTCTTCAGAAGTGGAGATGAGCATCCACTGTTGTTATTAGATACGCTATGCTTCAAGTACATGCATTAGTGGCTTCGGAGTCCCCTGGGGATGCCACTGAATGTATCTAGACTCCATACTGCATGCTAATACCCCCCCAAGCAATATATAAACACCCAGACACCGATCATGAAAATCATAAAAGCGTGATACATAAACAAGGAAACAATGCCACAACAAATGAACGAACAACATATAGATGCATCCTTTCCTTTGCCCATCAGCTCTGCATGTCCTGTCAACCATGCATCTAACCATGGGTTAGGGCACATCGTCAGGTGACCAGTAGTAATTTGAGTAATTCGACCAGTCTTCTCCCGAGGGGCCATCCGGTGGTAGAATGTCCATGTCTTCCAAGTAACCGAAATGATCCATGAATGATGATCCTTCCAGCAGCGAACTTCCTTCCCCATACGGATTCACCATGGGCATGGACACGGAGATGCCGCCCATGGAAGTAGATGAAACAGTCAGAGGAGACGACATGCTGCTGCTTCCCAAAGGGTAGTACCCTGACCGTCCGCCTGACGAAATCATCATATCCGTAACTGCAGCGCTGGCGGCACTCATGCTCACGCTTACGCTTGTAACAGGGTTTCCTCTGCTGGGGATCTGACCGCGCGGTCGCTCCAAGGCAGCAGCTAGATTCGAAGGGCGCGGCGCAATAGGTACAAACCCGGCCTGACCGCGAGTTTTATTTTCCGTCGCTTTCTAAAACACAATGATCAGCATTGTGCTGTTTCCCTTGGCTGGTATTTTTGTGATTTTTTCTTTTTTTTTTAAAATTTCTCTTTTTGCTGTTCGGCGTGTTGAGTTGTGCGTTACTTTTGAAGATTTTGCATTCGCCGCTTCGCGCTTGATTCTAGCATGTTCCTCCGGTGACTTGCAAGGCGTACATTGACAGATAGGACAGGTCGCGAAGGGCCGACCCTTCTTGTTGATACGTATTAACGGTCGATCTGAGGATGGTTCTGTTAATTAGTGGGATAGATGATGTGGGAAGTATAGGGCACCGGTAATTTAGGGCAAAAGAAATAAAGCCGACCATAAAAAATAATGTAGATGAGTAGAAGCGAGAAAAAGAAAAGGGATAACAATGAGACACTCACCATGGTGTTTACACGTGGTCACACGGTGCCCGCGGACGCAAGCTTCACAAGCCCACTTCTCGCCGTCTATGAGCATGCCTTGAAGTTCTTGGAAAGACAAGACATGGCGATCCCATTGCGCTGGCCTGATTTAAATAATTGCTGGCGGGGACAATAACATGACGCTGTGCAGAGAAAGAGAGGGGGTGAAAAGGGTAGCAGGGAAAAGAATCGGAATCCCTCAGCCACACAAGCCGGAAAATCAAGAACAGTGTCACGGACGGCTCTGCATGGGGATCAGCACCGTACCGGTATGGAGGTGTTTTGAGGGAAACTTACCTGCAGTTGAAACCCCCGGCTTTGGTGAGGTTCCATAACGTTATACGCCGTACTGGAACTGCCGTTTAGCTGCCACTCACGGTATAGACTCGGCTTCGGCCATTGGACCAAATTACCTTTTGTATGCGGGATTTTCCCTGTCGTGGTTTATTCAGGAGATCGAGGGAGAGAGCCAGAGACGATAGCTGTACGGGGGCATGGGCAAAAAAAAACGCATCGTTTCCTTGGATTGCTCGCGACCAGGACAAGTGCCAGTTGTAATGGCTGGGAAGATAGGTCGCCGTTTTAGTTGTCGGTATAATTCCCTCATACAATTCCCAACTCGAGCTTCAGCCACGCTTGCAATCGTGCATGGATAGTGTTGGCGAGAATACTACGGGAAGGGCGCACGATGGCCCGTACATTTGCCCCTAACCATTAGGAACCGTCCGAAGCTTTTCGGTTCCCGTTGGATCGCCGAAGTTATTGTTCTGCTCGGATCACTATGAGGCTAGTGACAAATGCCAAGGAGAAGTAAGGCCATGTGTAATAGGTATGAAGACGCCAAGGGATCTGCGTCGTCGAGTCACAGCTGGATGATTGCATTAAGCTGAGCGAAAGGTGGCAGATTGGCAGCTGCAGGAGATCCTGCCGCAGCCTGATGCCGACGTCCTGCCTGTCTAGGGAAACCTGACGCCTCGATTCTCATCTCGCTTTGAATGCACAGGGTTCATTTCCGCCAATCCTCGAAGCAGCGATGTGGCTATGCAAGATCCACGCGCCATACTGAGTTGGCTAACACACCATCGTGCGGGATTTTCATCGTGAGGTTGGTAGTGGTAGCAATGAAGCGGTAACATGAGGGATTTACCATCCACTCTCCAAAATGAATCTGCTTCCGGCCACCAAAAGCCTGACAGACGGTACGTACTAGTAATAAAAAAAAAAAGAGAAGAACATAATCTCCGTTATTACTCTTAGTGACGATCCTCGACTATCGCCGCAAAAAAAGGAAAAGCCAAAATGCGAGACAAGGCCCCGCACAGCAATCGCTGAAATTGCTTTTTCCAAGCCAACCATGAGCCATGCAAAATTAGTTTGTATCTGGAAAGTCATAGGATGGTTCTCCATTCCACTCACTTCCTGGAATGTTACATGGGAGGAAGTGCGCGAAGGAAGAGAGGTGCAAAAAGTCAAAAATCGCTAATGTATCGGAGGGGGTTCTCATAACAAAAAAAAAAAAAAAAAAAAAAGGATATAGGTATAAGAACAGGTCTAACAAAATATAGCCAAAAAAAAATCGAAACCCAAAAAGGAGATGAAACGAAACTACACCTCCTGGATGTAGTTTGCAGGAACGCACTTCGTCACTCCCCCTTTCTCAACGTCGGCCCAGCCGTCTCCGCTATCTCTGTTGACCAAAACAAAGCGATCCCCTTCTGTCATGCCCCATTCTAGATCGCTTCGGGGCTCATAATCATACAATGCCTCGACGTACTGGAGCTTCTTCGCTCCTCGTCGTGGTGCGACAGCTGGACCAACGCGCTTCGTTGTGGCACTGCCCGCTGCGGACGCCGCAGACACCGACGAATTCGAGTATGTAGAACCCGGGCGATCGGCATTAGCAGCACCAGTCGAGGGCGCTGGTGATAACGAAGGTACTGCTTCGACATACGACGCTGGAACCAGACCCTCTAGCTGCCCAGCACGAACACGCATCCATCCAGATCCATCTACTTGAAAGTCAGTGGTTTGCAGATGGGGTTAATGAAAAGGCCGACTTACCATCGGGCTCAACGATGACCACATTATCGCCTTCCCGGACTGTGATCTCATCATCTCCGGTAGCCTGGAAGGGATAAAGCATTTTGCCCTTTGGTTGAGATGATACAGTATTGCTGGTCCCATTCGCTGGTGGCGAGCTGATATACTGCGCAGGTGGTGGTGCGAGGATCCTGTTGCGTTTAGGCGGAGCAGCAGCAGTAGGCTTGGACTCTGCAGAAGCGGTCTTTTGTGCTTCTGTTAAACTAGTGTTAGAGGGGGACGGCGTTCCCCCAGCGGTATATCCTGAACTCAAGGAAGTCATCGTGTCTTTCCGAGTCAGCGATGGGGCAGTCGTCGATGAGCTAGTCGGCACCCGATCCAGCGCAGGAGTTGCATTAGCCTGTTCTTGACGCTCCGCCTTCAACTTCTTCTTTTCTTCCTTGCTCGTCTCTCCCGGACATTCTGCTGGAACTTTCATCTGACATTTGCTGTGACAAGTATAACCGCAATCTCGGCAATCGAAGCCCTTGGCGGACAATCCCCAGATACGTTCTCCACAGAGATCACAGTTTGTGGGTATCTTGAACGTCTGCGACTTGAAATTATGATTTTTTGCTCCCAATGATAGGTCGCCCACTGCAGACATAACGGTCAACGTCTCCACCTCCGCAGCTAACAGCTTACGTTCGATTTCATGCAGTGCCTCTTGCTCGTAAAATATGGATCGGACGACGTCAACCTCGCTCCGCTTGTCTTTGCCTTGCTTTACATTCTGTCGTATTTGCTTCATGGCGTCAACTTCCTTTCGCTTCTTATCGACTTCAATCCTCAACTCCCGCACTTGTGTTTTGCTCTTGCTCAAAAGGTTACGCAGGAAAACCTTTGCCGCCTCATCAGTCACAATCGCAGCATCATCGTGCCAAACAGGGCTTGGTTCAAAAATCAAGTTGGCCGGCTCCTGCCACTGTGAAACGTTGTGACGAAGAAACATGAGCGAATCAAGATGCGGTTCGTTACGCGGGACCTCGCCTAACAGATTCGTCATATGGTTGACGCCGTTTGTAAAGGAATTCTTTTCAAGCTGAGCTGCGAGACACCAGAAGGAATTCAATTTCGCGACTCGGGTTTCGTTCAGATCTTGCAAGCTCTTGATTACGCCTGTCAGCATGTTGGACCATTGTGAAACATAGCCTAGCATCATTACTGACATCTAGTAATTCTGGGATATATTCGTGGAAGAACTTCTCCTTCACTTTGTTCGTGATGTTGATGTTGATGAGATAAGTATTCTGTTCTCGGTTCAGCAAAAGTTCCAAAGTCAAGTCAGGGTGACTTAAAACTGACCTTAACATTATTCATATCGTAAATCTGCTGCTGGTATGCAACCTGAGCCTTCGTTTTACTGTGGTCGTACGACGACTCCATTTTCTTCCGCCGGGACTCAACTTCCTGGCACGCCCCATCATACTTGCCTTTTGTCTTTTTCAGGTCACCGAATGCCAATTCCCGCTCTTTATCTAACTTTGCGTAGAAATCCGTATGACATTTCCGTAAGTCTTCATACTGCAAGGCGACAGCTTTTAGAGGGTCTGAAACCTGCGCGATCAGTTCCACGGCGAATTTTTCACGCTCTGCGGCGAGGGATTCAACGGTGGTCAGTTGAGTACCCCATGTGGTCACGGAAGCACTTTCGAGGGAACCGGGAGTCATAATCGGGGAATCCCCGACACTCAAGCTGCTCGATTTCTTGGCTTTGCGATCTTGATATTTCCTGCAGAGAGCCGTCAACTTTGCCGAGTACTCCCTTTCAATCTGGCTCCGTTCACGGTAGAACTGTTGTATTTCATCCAACCACGATATTCCATTGAGCGTCTATCAGACGATGTTTGTCAGCCAAGTATCACTTGAGAAACCGCATAGAGCAGAAGCATATGACGAGTATTACGAGCGGTCACGCATCGACATGGCAGCGGCGTGGGGAAAGGGGGCATACCCAGGCATTGACAACCTTGAACGCATCCTATTTCACGGAATTAATTAGCTATATGAAAAGAACATAAGCGCTATGCGATTTCCAAATACCTTCAATTCAGCTCCGAAATGCGGAGCAACGTCAGCTGCCGCCATGGCTTCCAGGCAATGGGGTTGGGGCCTTATCAGAGATCAGAGAGCATAAAGGGAGATAGAAAGAAGGTCAAGGACAAGAGGGTATAGAGAAGAGACCCCAGCTATGTCCTCCTTCGTACGGCCTGGAGGAGACAAACTTGAAGACCAGGGAAAACAACGATAAGGACAGATGCCCAGACTGGAGGTACAACGGTACGTACTCCGTGGTGTTAATTTAGTGTAGCAGCAGTTGCCCGTTGCCTTGTCTTCGCCCGCAGCGGGGAAAATGTCTCCTGAGTGGCCTGTGACGGTAATATTACCATACCATAGTCGCCAAGCGCAGCCGCGCGCCACCGGAAGAGGCTAAGGCAGTTTTGCGGTTCTGCAAGGCACGCTGCTTTTTGTTTGTCGCCCACCAGAGCTCTTTCTTGCTTGTGTTTTGTGCTTGGGAGCTTCTTGGATTCCCATCAAAGACGGCTTCCAGCAGGACCTCTACCTAAACGATCCATCTTACCCGGGTCTGGGTCAAAATTCATTGTGTCGGCTGCTGGTCTGTCCGTCTGTCGCAAACGCCGCCCCGCCGCCATCGCACCTTAGAAGAGTCAAACCCCGCCGTTGCGTCTCCTCAAGCAGTTCTGCTGGGCGTTGTCGCCTTATTTCATCTGATCTTCCTGTCAAGCATCAGCTTTCGTTATGGCGTCAGAGCAGCCCGTCCAAACCCCCGCGACGGGTGGTTCTCTTGAGGACCGCATCACGAAACCTGAAGAACCGCAGCCTTCCAGTACGAGATTCTTGCCACTGTCTTTGTCAATTCCTGTTACTTTAAGAGAATCCTGGGAGTGCAAATACGTGTCGTTGGCAGTGGGCTAATAGTTTCATTTTGTTACAGATACCGCAGAGAAGGACGCTGAAAAGACCAGCTCCCAAACTGATGGCACTCCTGCTACCCTGGGCGGCTCAGCCCTGCTCGAACCCGAATACACAGTCGAAGTCAAGCTCAGTGATCTTCAGGCCGATCCTAATAACCCTCTTTATTCCGCGAAAACTTTCGAGGAGCTTGGACTGTACGTATTCTCCGTTTTGCTATGTGAGCGTGTCAGAACTGACAAAGGCTTCTTCTTCACCAACAGAGATCAACGCATCCTTCAAGGGCTTCTGGCGATGAATTTCCGCAAGCCTTCCAAGATCCAGGAAAGAGCCTTGCCTCTTCTACTGGGCAATCCCCCCAAGAACCTTGTCGGGCAATCTCAGTCCGGTACTGGAAAAACGGCTGCTTTCGTTTTGAATGTCCTCAGTCGTCTTGACCTCTCTACGGAGCAAATGCAGAAGACCCCGCAGGCTTTAATTCTGGCACCTACTCGAGAGCTGACACGTCAGATTGTTGGTGTTGTCCAGGTTATGGGCCAATTCCTTGAAGGACTCATCATTGGTACCGCTGTGCGAGCGGATACCAACAGTCAGCTACCAAAGATGGACTGCTCTGTGGTTGTCGGAACGCCGGGTACAGTCATGAACATGATCAAGAAGCGTGTTATGATTCCTGCTCGTCTCAGGGTGCTCGTCTTGGATGAAGCTGATAACATGCTTGAGCAACAAGGCTTGGGAGACCAGTGTATCCGTGTGAAGGCGTATGTTTCCCCCCGCCTCTTATTCTCCCTTATGAGTCCCGCATTGCTGACCTGTCTTCCAGAATGCTGCCAAAAGATCTTCAAGTAGTCCTCTTTTCAGCTACGTTCCCCGCTCACGTACATCGATATGCGTCAAAGTTTGCGCCGGCAGCGAATGAGATCACCCTGCAGCACGAGGAGTTAACCGTGGAGGGGATCAAGCAATTCTTCCTTGACTGCTCCAGTGGCGAAGATAAATACCAGACCCTAGTCCAGCTTTACGGTCTCCTCACCGTGGGATCATCCATAATCTTCGTTAATGTCAGTTACCTTCTTTCGACCTAGCTTCTCTCTGTCTATCTGAGACTAACACCACGACCAGTCCCGTTCCGCTGCAGCGGAAATTGAAAAGCGCATGGTTGCCGAAGGCCACACCGTAGCATCTTTGACATCCAGCATCGAGGGTTCGCAGCGTGACGCGGTGATTGACCGATTCCGCAGCGGTGAAGCCAAGGTACTAATCGCGACCAACGTTCTCGCCCGAGGAATTGACGTCTCGACCGTCTCCATGGTGATCAACTACGTAAGTTTCTGAAACATCACCAAGATAAGCGGGAACGTATGTATATACTAACATAAATCAGGACGTCCCCGAAATCCACGACCGAGGTAAACCCCGCCAGGCAGACTACCAGACCTACCTCCACCGTATCGGTCGTACAGGCCGTTTCGGCCGTGTTGGCGTCGCCATCACCTTCGTCTCGGACAGATTGGAATGGGAAATCCTCAATTCCATCCAGAGATACTTCAACACGGAGATCGAGCGCATCGACACCCGCGACTGGGATGAGGTCGAACGCATCATCAAGAAGACTATTAAGAATCCGCGCTCTCAGGCTACGTTTGGGAAATAATGAGTGAAAGATGAGATAAAAAAGAGAGAAAGAGACGCCTTCTCTTTTTTCTTTTATTTTCTTTTTCACTTCTCTACTTTGCATCAGTTAAGTTAGTTAATCATTGAAGATTGAATATGATGGATATGAAATGGATGGGATCGGAACTCCTTTAAAAAAGAAAGAGAAGAAATATTTCATTCAAACAAATCAAGACAATCAAGACACGAACAGAAATGGAAGAGGAATAACGAAGGATGAAATGAACCACTTACTAGAAGGATGAAGATATGGACGGGATGATTAAATTTCTCCCTGCTCATATTTATATATATATTCTATTGTGAGGGGTAATGTAACGAGTCGAATGAGAGGAAATAAGACGAGATAGCAACTGGAATGAATGCATGCATCAGATCAGGTACTATTGTACTTTCAGCCAGACTCGTAAGGATGGATAGGTAAATACCTAAACATATACTCCGTACATGGCAAGGGCCATAGTGATTCATCACAACGTATTCAATGTCAACATGCCTGAAACGAATGCAATCAACCTATCGATCCTACAGTTTACTGAAGGAAACGCGCGTCTTATTAATAGAATATAGCATTCAAGGCCAATTACAACAGTACCTATACGGAAGAACGAACCAGTAATCCTGGGCCAAAAGCACATACCAATATAAAATACGAATGACAAATTGAGCCAGAGTTGAAGAAGCAGCTTAATTACCCAAAGTTGATATCAGATCCCGCACGAGAGAGACGACGGTTTTGACTAGGAAATCATTTTCTCAAGGGGCGTTATTGAGAAGTACTAATTAGAGCAGAGAAGGCCATCAGAGCAGGATAACCGAGGCTCCGAACAGGGAAGAAAGAACGGTCACAAGCCCGATGAAAACCGGGGCCATGCTGGGAGGCTGCAGGGAGAGCGCGCCAGAACTGCTGGTGGAAGAACCAGAGGCTGCCGAAGAAGAGTCCGAGGCGGATCCGGTGGAGGTGGGGACATTGCTGCCAGATCCAGCAGTAGCAGTAGCAGTGGACTGAGTACCTTTGTTCTGGCTTCCGGAACCGGCGAATCCAGGGCCCTTTCCGGCGCCATCCTTCATGTACTTCAGAGCCGGCTCGGGAATGGCAGGGAGGGCATCGGTGGCATCGACATTCCAGTCGGGAAGTTGCTTGGAGGGGCAGCCGTTGGCACCACCGGTCTTGTTGTAACCACCGTCTCCCTCGGGGTTGGGGGTGTTCTTGAAGGCCGACTGCAGGGAATCAAAGTCAGGAAGGGTCTTGACGGAGCTACCGTCAACCTCGACCAAGCCGTAGTGGCTGGCTTCTTCGGAGTATTCGTAGACCAGACCACCAGAGTAGACACCGGTCATTTTGGTGGAGTAGAGAGCGCTGACTTCCTCGAACTTGCGGGTGTTGGTGTTGCAGCCGTACTCGGAGAGGAAGAGAGGCAATCCATAGCCCGTGAACATCTTCACCTTCTGGTCCCAGCCAGAGGTGGTGTAGGAGGAGGGGTCACACCAGGAGTAGTCGTTGAAAGCGAAGAAGTCGCTACGCTCATCATCGGTGCCGCAGTTCATGTACTCCGCCATCTGAAGACGGTTGGTATCGATATCAGCCTAGAGGACGCGTTAGTTCGGTCATCTGTTTCTTTTACTTTCCTCCCATGCGATTCTCGGACTTACAGCAGAGTATCCAACAGGGACCTGGCGCAGCTTGCGGGCACGGAGGTAGGAGCGGATATCACGGGTCACAGCCTTGACATACGGAGCAGCCTTGGACGAGGGGCCATCGTTGATGACCTCGTTACCGGAGAAGAAAGCCAGCGTGTTGGGGTACTTGGCAAACATCTCAACGGTGGCAAAGACGTTCTGGAGATAGACATCATTGTAGGAGATGCTGGGTTCGGCACGGTTGATGGAGTACTTGGGAGTGTTGACATCGAGCACCAGGTAGATGCCAGCATCAGCCAAGGCATTCATGCACTCGTCGTGGTCCTGGGAGTTGTCTACCGAGTAGACACGGATGGTGTTCAGGCCGAGCTGCTGGAACTTGGCGATATCACGCTTGCAGCCATCGGCATCGGCGATGGGGTCAGCGAGCTTGGAGGAGCCACCAGGCTGGTAGTCGACACCCCGGATGTAGAAACGGTCCTCGCCCTTGAAGAAGGCATTTCCCTTCACGGTGATGGGGGTAACGTCGTCACGGGCGGCAATGGTCTTGGAGGGAGCCGCCATAACGGCAGAAGCACCCAAGGCGATGGCCGTGGCCACGGAGGAGAACGACGTCTTCATGGTGGATGCTAGTAATAGCAGGAGAATTGCTAGGAGAATTGGAATAGGAATGGATCAAAAGCACCGGGTTAACGAGAGACAGTAGTAGTAGATGTGGCCCGAAAAGAGTGGCGGGACACAGTATAGATGAAAAGAGTATAAGAGTATATATCAAAGAGGCGTTGAAAGAAGAAAAAAAAGCTGCGAACGAATGACAGAGATGACTGGGAAAGAGAGAGAAAGAAGGACAAAGCAAAGCAGGGAAGGCCAGGGCCGCCTGGTATTATAGGGAGGAGCCCTCCCGAGGATCATGGAACAGAACTGGCCAAGCCTTGGCCACGACCTGCGGTTGGGAGAAGAGTCCCGCTGCTGAGACTGCCCAGATCGGCCATTCATGAGGCCCGAGAAGACGCTCCCTGGCCGGATCGTCGTTGCACGCCGTCATGATTGTCCAGTTTGTGCCGCGGTGGGTTGCTTCATCTCAGGCTGTGGTGGACTCGTGGATGCCACAAGTACGACCACTCCATCCTGGTACGGGGTAATAGCCCATATTACCCCGTACGATCTAGAATCTCATTCTAGACGCTGGCGGAGAGCATTCTGTGCTCTGAAGCGAAAACGAGTCAACAGACAACTCCCAGCACTGTGTCCAACAACGCATCTCGCGCTGATTGTCCACGACGGGACACGACGGGATGGGCGAAACTCTACGAGACGATCAACAGACCTGTCTTACGCCCCTGAGAGATCGTCCAGAAGACGCAGGCAACTGTAGGGATAATTACAGGATTGACCTGTCCCCTCTGAGCCACGCTCGACGCGAGTCTGGATACTGCGATGCATGAAAAACTCTGTCACCGGCTCCGCAACGCATTGGCGAGGTTTTGGCTCACCCGGGAGATACGGGGTGCTTGGCACAGGTGAAACAGTTGTCAGACATTATTGTTATTATTATTATGGGAATAATAATAAGAATAATAATAACTGGATCCATAGTACGGAGTGGCATTTGGCATGCTAAAAATATGGGATCGGCGATTTAATAGCAACACCATAGGAGAATAGATCGGTAACACGGTGCTCCTTATATGCTGAAGAATGAGAGTCGCGAAACAAACTCCATCCCCTACAGATTGGCTCCCTTGGCTCCCATTAACTTGAAATTTAATCTCTGCTGTTATTATCAGTGGACCCAGCGAAGCCTATCTCATTCTCGGCACGCAAACAGCTTTATGGACAGCCGCAAATGCTCATTCGCCTTGTCTTTCAGTTTCTCGCAGTCCTCGCAGAGACCTCGCAGACCTCCGTACGAACCAATATAACCGCTCCAGTCAATCGAGGTGGCCGTTGCCCATATTGCTCATTTCACAGACGGACAAGAGCGTCGGCTTTTCTTTTGTGCTTCTTCAAAGCACGTAGTTTCCTTTTCGGGGCACTCATCTGTCGGGCTTGGGAACGACTCAGCTGCTCCGGCTGTTCTTCAACGGAGACCCAAGATCCGCTTCAAGCTTTGAATCTGGCATGGTGTTACGCGGAAGAAAAATATGGCGATGAGTGAAACATGCAATCAGTCGTTTTTCCGCATGGCAGACATAGTGCTGGCCGGGTTGATCTTGAGCTGAACGCTGCGCCTCAGATCGTGATCGTGTTTGATAACATCCTTTTTCCACTCCTTACCACTCCTTACCACTGATTTTCACTGATGCAATGAACCGTGATCCCATCCACTCATCACTGCAATAGATGGCAACCGGCCACCCCTTTCCAACCGTGCGATGGTCTTACCCTGCCTTGTGACGGGATAACCTGCAATGGACCCCCGGAGCACGAGCGGATCCTGCCTTGATGAGCAACTTTCCGCCAGCTCGCGTGTATCTCTCATGTTGGTTCCTTTGCATCGGTCGCTCCAGATCGATCGCAAGCTGATTGTCACCACGCTTGAACTGTTTCGTCCACTGTTGTCTTTATGTGGGCGTATAGGTGAGCTTTAGCGGAAGACTCGAGATACTTCTTGATCTCTTCTGTTTTTCCTTCGTCACAGTCGCTGATAGCTGAGAAAGACCCTTTTCTGCTTCCATGACATGAATATCTGGATCATTTTCTCCTGTAATCCTGGCTTTTGCAGTAAATTCGTGCCTGTGCCTGTGCCTATACCACCAAACAGATGTTCATGCGCAACCTGGCCCTGCTCATTGAAGGGGAAACAGCAAATATACTCTGCTGGATTTCCGCAGTGTGGATCTTGCAACGTGTTGGATTCATTCTGGTCCATGCTATGATCATGGACCTCTGGCTGCAGCCGTGTGTATGTCCAATATGGCGAGGATTAAGCCAAGTCAAAATTGAGAAGCACAGTTGTTCACCTCTAAACCAAGATGGACTTTCAAGACACAAGTGGAATTCTCCAACAAGATCATTCATTTGTCTCGTTTCATATCATCATCATGCTCCCATGGATTCTATACCCGTATTCACCTTGCCCTTCCTATATCCCACCAACGACCGCAAATCCATCCATACGCCCCTCGAGATATCCCGAAGCGCACCTGCGCTCTCAACCTGATTCGAATATCAGTATTGTAACAATGAAACTTTTTTTTTTTTTTCCAGAGGAAACATACCACCGGATACACAACGCATATAATCATACTAACCCACACCCAAATAAACGACACAACAACCCACCCCGTAAAGAACGGTTTGCTGAAGATATACTTCGTCCCGAATAAAGTAAAGGGAACCAGGATCACGGCGATGAAGAAGAAGACGGCGTTGGCTACCATGGCGAGACGCTCGCTTTTCTTCGCAAGGTCCGCGTCCATGGGTTCTATTTGCTTCGATTCGAGGTAGTCGACTAGTTCGTTGCCAGTTGAGACTAGTTTCGCTTGCTTGGGTTGCAACTCTGCTTGGTATCTGGCTGCGTCAGGGGGAGACAATGTAGCATCTTTTTCTTCTGTTGTGGTAACCTGTTTGCTCTGCAATTCGGGCTCCTGAACTGAGACTCCGGAAACCGTGCTTGTTTGCTCGACATGTCCAAGGTTGCTGGAATTGCGCTTTCCAGGGAAGACATAGCTTAGAATCACAGCCGTTACGGCACCAGTGCCAAATGATGTAACGTCTCCTGCCAGCGCGTTGGTGGTGTCGCCCGTCGTGCTAATGTCGATAACATTCGATCGCTTCCAGGCCGTAATAAACCATGCAATCAATCCGCAGCCGAGGCCAACCCATGGTGCCACTACCGTTGCGACCGTGGACATTCGATCCCAGAGAAGAATGAGGCCGACAGACAGAGCGGCACCACCGACAAGTACACCCAGGCACGTCAGAAGCCAAGTCAGACTGACGCCTGCTGCGTTGAGGATGGAGCAAAATGCAGCAAGAATAAGAGCAAAGAGTGCAATCCCCCAGTGGCTGACTCGTACGAGCATTGCAGAACTTGTGTTCGGGCGGAAATATGTCTTGTAGATGTCGAAAGTCAGCAGGGAGGAGACTGCGATGAGTTCCGCTGAAGTAGAACTCGTCACAGCCATGAAGAGGAGAATGAGCATGAGAACCGCGCCGCCTTGTCCTAACACTGTGATGGCAGTGCTCGGGGAAGATAAACCCGCGTTAACTTGCTCCGCTGTCAGAGGATTGGGATAAGTAGGGAATCGAGGGTTGCTAGTCAGGGCTGCACAGCCCAGGCCCATAAACGTCGCAAAGCCAAAAGGGATTCCTAAAATTACTGCTATGAGCTCTAATATATGGCCTGAATAATTTTCCTTTAAGAGCATACTCACCATACCAGGCGATGCCTCCCAAAATATACGCTTTGACAGACGTCTCCGGTCTCGATGCGATAGCCCGTTGCCAATAGGCTTGGTCAAGCCACACGGTCGAGAAGCCAGAGATGAGAATATCAAAAGCGAATTTGAGACCCTCAATAGAATGAAAAGTGAGATACGAGCCTTCGGTGTTTCGCGCGATCGGCCTCTTCTCCGAGGCTTCTATCAGCAAGTCGTAAAGCTTGCCAGGACTTCCCACGAGATCACTCGTGGCATTGACCAGGAAGCCAAAGATGAGTATCACAGCAAACAATATCACCGTGTGTGTATAATCGGCGATAAAGGTCGACCGTAAGCCTCCCGCGATGACGTACGCCGCAACGACGAGAGGAATCAAAAAGTTCGCTGCGTAGACATTCATCCCGGTGAGAGCCTCGACGACCTGAGCGCCTCCCAGAACCAGAATTGCTCCGACCAGCATGTTGGTCGCCAGCCCATAGCAGAGATATGTGATATGCGCGGTTGTCCCATGACGGGACAGGACGATTTCAGGCATTGTATGTGCACCGGGGGCGTTGGTCTTGATCTTGACGGCAATCAACGCAAACAGCAGGATCTGGAGGGTACCCATAGCACCGTACCACATTGCTCCGCAGACACCATAATTGTAGGCGAATGTCGAACTTGTCAGGAGCGTGGCTGACCATGTCCAGGATGAGACGATCCCTGCTGAGATCAAGCCGGGTTTCACTGATCGAGAGGCCGTATTGAACTCCTCCGCTTGGTGCGTCGAAAAGGTGGTATACCGGTTTTGCAGCCATGTTAAGAACAACATGAATAAGGCGAACACGCCTCCAATGCCGATGACTATTCCATAGCCAGCGCCCTGTGGGAGGACTTGCAAGTCGTGGGCCATTGCCACGTCGCTATTCCGCTGGGGCACAGAGACAAGCTGTTGGAGCGACAAGCGGACCTGCCGACAGCACGCAGCCAGGCATCTTCGAGATACTTATAGTAATAACAGCGTTATCATAGATGCTATTTCCAGAATGGTGTGATTGTACATCTCCGGGGTGCCCAGATGGCCAGACGGGTCTGTAAGAGTGCAGGTCTCCCTCATCGATAAGACAGCTAGGCTTGCAGTGGTCAGTATATGGCGTACTTGATAGACGCTCCTCTGCAGTATTCGGCGAGGCCGATGAGATCTGCATCTTCGCTGCGTGTCAGGATCCTCTTTAGGAAGGTAAATAGCGATGGAAAATCAAGAGTGGAGGGGAGCTGGATGATAGGCGCAGTGCTGCTGATAGTTAGCTAGCTTTCTGCGATCGTCTTACCAAGCACGTTTGGATGATTGAAACTGAAATAAGATGATAAGATGATAATACCATGGTCGGGTATTGAGAATGAGCTTGGCTAATAGCCAGAGAATAAGAAGCAACGGTATTATTAGATGGTTAGTTCTACCGTATGCGCAGGGACTAGAGAAGAAATATCATCTGTATTCCCAGCAAGGACTTGGATGCTCCTGAACACGACAGAGCCATCATAGGCAGTCCGTTACCCATACCAGTTACGGCAACAGAAATATATATATGTATATATATTTCTGCACGGAGTACATCTGTCATAATAATGTATTGGGTTCTGGAAGACATCTGCTGACCAGGGATAGAATTGAAGTTTAAACCAGCCGAAGTCCACGGTTCGTTAGACACCAAACCCGAAACTTGCTTGGAGGCCTGATGTCAACGGCTCTGTGACAAAAATAGTGACGGGGATGTCTCAGTTGAGTTTCGACGTTCCCTGGGTCGCAGTGGCGAGGAGGTCCGGGATTCCTGTGCAATTGAGTTTGTGGTGTTGTACGCTGTAGAAGCAGCAGCCGCATCACCGAGGCGGACAAGCTCCCACGAACACCAGGAGAGAATAAGAGCTCGGTAGATTGTACCGAGTGTGGCTTGCGAACGATGACGTTGGGTTCTGCTTGCTGATGCTGACGGTGCCGGAAGCCAGCAGCGACTATTGCAGACGGTGGCGGGTCAGGAGTCGCTGGAGAGACGGCAATTCGTCAGTATTAATATATTGATTTCTATTTGAAATAGTCGACGATAGTAAAAGAAGAAAATAGTAATCCATGATTATACAACTGATGGTAAGACAACATGGCTGGACAGCTGCTTTTTTCTTATAACCTGCAGCCTCCCCTCGCGGCATCCCCATCTCCCTTCTTTCAAGTTTCCACTCAACCTTATCTTTATTTCTTCTATCCATCATCGAGCATTCTTATTCTTATTGTCCTCAGGGTTGCAGGTCCGCCGCCACCATGATCCATCCCCTCCGGCTGCTCTTCCTCTCGGCCGTCTTCTCTTCAGCTGTTCGTGCCATCCCAGCCTCACCGACCGACGAGTCGGCCACAGAAGTCGAACCTGCTGCAAATCACCTGTCTTTCCATGAGCTGCTTGCCTTGCTGGATGAGTCCTCCATTCATGATGCCCTGCATCTCGTCTCGGACAAATTTCGTCATGGTGTCTTCCCCACCGATACCAACGCTCTCGAGGTCCTCCACAACGAGGAACCTTCCCTGGCAACGCGTGTGCTGAGATTCGCCAAAAGGCAGTCTGGCGATGAAGGAAGCAACACGACCTCCGTGCCTCCGGACACAACTGTCTCTGCTGAACCCACGTCGGTCCCCGTTGGTACTCCTACCTCTTCTGACGTCCCGGACACCACCAGCGTTGTAGATACCTCTACATCGCCAGTCAGCGTTCCTGCTACGACGACGCACATCACCACCTCGTCTACACAGCCTCCAGTGACATCTTCGCTGCCTGCTACCTCTACTACTTCCGACCTGCTCACCACGACTTCCGAGACCACTAGCAGCAGCCCAGTCGCTACGACTTCGAGCGCTCCTACCACATCTACTGCTGAGACTACCACATCTATCTCGACGACAAGTACCAGTGCCAGCACGAGCTCAACCTCCTCCTCCTCCTCCTCTTCTTCCTCCAGCACTGTCGCCAGTACGACCTTGATTACCACCACTTCATCCAGCTCCTCGTCCAAGTCCCAGCACACCACTTCCACGAGCGAATACACTTCGACCTACGCGATGACAACCACCATGCCCGATGGAAGCCTGAGCACCTACACTCGTGTTACTGTTGTGCATCCCACCCACTCTGAAACCGCCACTGCTACCGGCACTGCTGCTCCCGGATTGCAAACAGGCGGAGCCTCTGTTAGAACCGGTCTGACAAAGGAGATTTCCGCTATGCTCGGCGGAGCTGTTATTGTGGCCATGGCTTTGTAATGAGTCTCGTACAGGCCATATTCCCTCTCTCATCCACCTTCTTTCACTCGCTTCGAACATTGATCTATTGCATTTACATGGAAACTGCCTTTTAAAGTTGTTTTTGGCATTGCATTATTTTGTTTTGTTCCGATCTTACGACTCTTCAAGCTGTTCTTACGATCCTTACGATATTGACGGGATACGGTCCCGCAGCATATTAGATTTCTATCGCTCCTTCCGCTTTACCGGGCCGGTGTTTTGGTTTTACTATCTTTTCTTGGAGGCTAATATGTTTTTGCGAATACACCCATCTTATGGTGGTGATGAATTGGTACAAGTTGGAAATGACTTCCAGGGTTGGTTGTATAGATTTCTATGAAATGGATATGAAACAAAGAATGCAGTCAAGTATATACACCTATTCCGACAGATCAAACCGGATAATTAATGTAACATGTGAATACATCGATGCAATAGTCATGCAGGTATATATCAACGAAGCAACACAATTACAGAGCCCTTCATATACGGGAAGAAATAGATAGAGACACATGTCAAAATGCTAGAACCATAAAATAAAATCCCCCTATAAAGAACCGCTCCACCGTTCCTCATTCGTCCAAAACCTCACCAGACTCTCCCACCCTGCAATATCCCCGTCTCTTAACAGAGCAGCCACATCCACATTCAACGGCGAGTCGGGCCGCGGATCTGTCAGCAGCTGGTGAATGGCCGTTAACGTCGACGAGAGGGTATACACGGGACTCCAGTGCTCGGTCGTGAGGAGGGTTAGACAGATTTCGCCGGTCGCGAAGGAGATGTTTGGGTGGGAGATGCGCGTTTTGAAGATGATCTTTGGTGGGGAGAAGGGGTAGTTTGGGGGGAGGGTTATTTGGAGTTGCCAGAGGCCGCCTGTTATTTTCTTTTTGTAAGTCATCTGGTGATTGGGTTCACTTTAGGCCAAGGCAAAGGGTCTGAGAGGCATAGATAGTAAGTGCACTGCTAGCATACCTTCGTACGGTGTATCTTTAACTCCCTTCAGGACTGCTTCCCAGCGTAATAGGTCGTTATCGTCGACTGGACCGAGATGTAGTAAGGCCTCATTGGGTTCGCGGGCGTAGTCGTGTAGTTCGCGGAGGAGACGTTGTGTTGTTCCTGATGACGCCATGATTTTCGAAAGCGCTTGATAAGGAACAAAGGTGATGAGAACAGTCTCTAGGACTGGTATATACTAGAGACAAGGACAGAGAAGCGACGGTCTGCTGAGAGAGAGGGAGAAAAAGAGAAGAAGGTAAGAGGAGAGCGAGTCTTCCTTCGGGGTTGCTTCTGCGCCGAGGCTAACTGCGCTTCTGCTTTCCCCATGGAGCTGACCTACCCGTGGTCTGGCCTGGCGGGAACCGTCTTTTCGACCTGCGCAATCTCAATCTCGGACTCAATGAGTGCACTGCTGGCACAACTACCTGTACTTAGTACCTACTGCCGCAGCTCTGCAGGTACATCATGCGCACTTCACGGGTTTCAAAGGAGACAGCAAAAGTGCTGCAAGCGCTCTCATCGCCGTCCCGCCGCCAGACCCGTGCTTCCTTGAAATCAAGTGCACTCAAGAGTTTCTCGTTAGACGCGGACCAGCCTGCCAATGTGAGCCTTAAAACAGAGCTTCCGGAAGTCAGCGAAGATGATACCTCTTCGCTCTCGTCCGTGAACACCGTTGACATTGAAGATATCCTGGAACCTCCGTCGAAGCGCCGCAAGCGCAACATCAGCACAACTACGACACCGAGCACAAGCCGATCATCGTCAAGATTGTCTCGCAAGGTGAGCGAGAAGCACGTACAACCGAAAACCGAGGATGAAACTACTGTACGGAAGACACGCAAAACTCCTGCTCGCAGAATCCAAGGAGCAGGGGCTTCCAAAACCGGGCCACCTCCGAATTGGGAGATCATGTACAATGCAGTGAAGAAGATGAGAGAGGAAAACCCAACTGCTCCTGTTGATTCCGTGGGCTGCGCCGAGCTCTACTGGCGAGGATCGTCTCCAAGAGACCGGCGGTTTCAGACGCTGATTGCGTTGATGTTATCCTCGCAGACCAAGGATACCACCACGGCTGTGGCGATGCAGCGGTTGCACACGGAACTAGGAGATGGTGGAGCTGTTCATGTAGAGCCCACTGATATCAAGAAGGAGGAAGATGTGAAGCCATTTACTGACAGCACTTTGAATCTCGAAAACATTCTGGCTGTTTCTCCAGAGCGCCTTAACGAACTCATCCGCGTTGTCGGTTTCCATAATAATAAGACCAAGTATATCAAGGCGGCGGCTCTCATCCTCCGTGATCAATACAACTCCGATATCCCTCCTACTGCAGAGGAGCTGATGAAACTCCCTGGGGTGGGTCCGAAGATGGCGTATCTCTGCATGAGCGCTGCTTGGGGAAAGGATGAAGGTATTGGAGTTGATGTCCATGTCCACCGAATCACCAACCTCTGGGGCTGGAATAAGACAAAAACGCCTGAAGAAACCAGGAAAGCGCTGCAGTCCTGGCTGCCAAGGAACAAGTGGCATGAGATCAACAAACTCCTTGTTGGTCTAGGGCAGACGGTCTGTTTACCTGTGGGCAGAAGATGCGGGGATTGCTGCCTTTCTGGAATGGGACTGTGCAAAAGTGAAATCAAGGGACTTGCCCTGAAAAGGGCCAAGGAGACTGCCCTACCAGACAAGTCAGAGGTGAAGATAGAGGAGGATATGGCATGAGAACTGGTGGGTTCCAGTAACCAAGATGTTCAGTCTATGAAGGGGAGCCCTCCAGATGGTAGGCGCCATATGTTGTCATGAAATGACTGTTTTCCAGGAAGAATCCACATTCATTTCTTTATAAAGCCCCCATCTTCCTATTTATCTTGATCCCCTTTCTTCTTCTCTATTATTAGACATTCATTCTTTTAAATTCAATATTGTGACTACCTTCTTATTCACTATCACTCCTTATCTTTGTTAATTCACTGATGGACACAGTGATGCGTGTTTGCTATGTGATTTACCTACGCAACTTACCTTAGATATTTCGCCTATGTGATAGATATCTTCTACCCACACTCTGCTGTGGACCTTTGATCTTCTACAAGGCATGCCAGGGCCTGTTAAGACACGTATGATTATCCTGTTGTCTTGGTGAAGCACATACTGACAGCAGCAGATCCTCAGAAAACAAGGGCACCGGACAACTCCTTACTTTATAGCCGTAGCTGGATACAAAGCGGTCATTGTCTTAAGATGTCATGCAGTGTGGACCATATGGAGAGGTCAACATCCTTCTTTGACTTGCCCCTTCATATCAGAGAGCGGATCTATGAATGTGCAGGGCTCTCTAGACCATGCACCATCAACCTAGTTGAGGAGTCTACAAGAATCAAGCCAGGAATAGGAGAAGCCAGCACCTGCTTTATCCTTCCATTCCCCTACTGGATGTCAGGATATGCTCGTAATTCTCAACCTCGCCAGCCCCCATGTAACCACCCGGCGCTGCCCTTGAATCTTCTGCTTGTTTCTCGTGCCGTGCGTTATGAAGCGAAGTCCTTCTTTCTTACTCGAAATCGGTTCCGTTTACGTCTAGCAGACAGGAAGGATCTGCAGTTCTTCATGTCCTCTTCTAGCTATTTACCACAACTGAGCTGCCTTAGCGTTGATCTGTGTTTCAAGGACAATCGCTATATCAAGAACACCCATGACACGAAAATCTTTGTCTGGGCCAAATTCTGTCGAGGCTCCGTGGATGGCTTACCCAACCTTCGGGCATTCAGCCTGAGAGCTCGAGTCAAGGATTCTGAGACTGCGCTTGAATTGCTTGGACACATGTCAGAATTTCGCCCTTTACATGATTGCGCATTTTATTTTGATATCCGCGAAAAGGGAGACATATTACCTGTCATGAGGCAAACGGCACATGAGGTCACATCTCCGTCTCGCTACAGACCTGGGGTTTTCAATTTCTTCGATCTGCCAAAGGAATTACAACTTATGGTTCATGAGAATCTTGTTGGAAGCCGTTGGGACCCATTCTTGCACTCATCTGCGCCCGCACGAGGCGTCATAGCGCTTCTCAACCGCAAGTCTGTAAGAGCTCATCTCCCTACCAAACGTTGTTGCAAAACTTGTTCTATCATGAATACGGGCTGCTTTTGCAGCGAAAATCGGCAGATGGCATATTCCACTAGCTGTTCATGTTTCACGTCACCTCTTCCGTACTTCTTGGTTAGCCGTGAGTTCTATGAAGACTCTCGCGCTACATATTTCCGCATGAACCACTTTGCATTCATGGAGGATTGTTCTAGGACGATGATGCAAATTATGAGGGCAATTCCAACTCCCTCACTCGCGCAAATTCGGAGGTTGACATTGCGCTTTCCCCATTCAATGTCACTACGGTCATCACCACACAGGATGGGGCCGTCATCTTCCTGGAGTGAGGTACTTCGGTTTATTCGAAAGCACTTCAAACTGAGCCGTTTGTCTGTTACTGCGATCATTATCGAGCCTGCTAATATTACTCAACTGCCATGGCTTCTTAGGTCGTTCAACAAATTAAAGGGTGTCAAAGAATTTCGACTTTATCTAGGTAATAATACTCATCTCGAGCAGCGTGTTGAGAAAGACGTCATGAGCATTATGCGTGAGGAGGATTATAAACCAAAAGATGATACAGTCTGGGTACCTCTTTTTGGAACTCGTTCTGATCTAGGTCGTTACTGATTATGAAACCTGCATCTCTTTGGTCGAGGATGCTGATTGCTGGTTTTCTGGTGGCACTATGACTGCAGATGGTGATTGATACTTCTTTCATGCCCTTGATATGTATGCCTTGGACTGTTCCAGGTCCTTTTTTCTTCTTTTGAACAACAACAACAACAATCACAAGAAAAGGTCTTCTCTTTCTGAAGGAGCTTCCTAACATCTGCAACCATTTGTTCTATCTTTTGCACGACCTGGATGTAACTTCTGTTGTCACATTTGTCCCATGGGAGTGATGGGATCTTCCTTTGCTAAAAGGACTATGTATGGATTCAGGCTTCCTTGGTTTATATCCATCTATAGACATGCCATCTGCTGGGAATCTTTGGCGCTTCCTTCGTATGTATATCTACTGAGATAGTTATCTTTGTGAATTAGCTACAATGAGAAAATTCCGTAGCAATAATGGAAAAGCTTAAGCACATCTCTTTTTACTAGTAAGAATAAACCCTACTTAGTTTGTAGATGGGCATCGCCTGCTGTAGATACATGCATGTATGCTGCAGTGCGGAGCTTTCTCCGAGAAGGCATATATTATTCTCTGCAGTAGTCTACTAGACTATACGGAGCAGAACCCGTTATCTCTTCCTCGCATGCATAATATAATTTAGGTATCTACCCCCCCACAGAGTAGATCTGAATATGCAGCATCTGCAGAATATCAATTGCAACGGACTGATTTAAAGACAGTTCAGTTCCCAATAATCTAAAGAAATTTTCGAAACAAGAGAATCCCGTTCTATCATGTCCGAAACAACCACTTTGAAGACTCGCTTCGGCGATCTCCGTGTCCAGAAAGAAATCATGAAAGGCAATTTTGACAACATTCCTATTATCGATTTGTCCAATTTGCGCAGTCCATTGCTTGACGAGAGGCGGGCGCTCGCGAAGGGGGTCTATGATGCTTGTACGAATGTTGGATTTTTCTATGTCAAGGTGTGGAAGGCTGCTGAACCGTGTATCGCTTATTTCTATTTCCTCCTACTCCAGCTAATTTTGTAGAATCATGGAATATCTCAGGATCTTATCTCTGCTGTTCATGATGCTGCGAAGAGGTTCTTCGCCTTGCCTGATGAGGTGAAGATGGAGACTTTTATTGGGAAGTCTGAGGTTCGTTTCGATAGATATGGATATATCATGCAAAACGGTTAACCCAGAGTGTCTTGTCCTTTTCAACAGAGATTCCGCGGCTTCAGCCCCCTCTACGGCGAACACGGTGACAAAGATATCTACGATCAGCAAACAGGAAGTCTATCAGAAGCCTTTGACATCGGATACGAAATTGCAGCTGATCCCCGAAAGGATCCTTCCACCGACGTCCTCCCACCAGATACCTTTGGCTTGTACGGAGGGAATCTGTGGCCGAAGGATGGCTTCCTGCCGGGTGTCAACTTCAAAGAAACATATCTTCGTTACTTTGGGGAGGTCCTTGAATTGAGTCGTGCGTTGCTAAACATATTCGCGTTGGGGTTGGATCTGTCGGAGGATTACTTCGATTCTATTGTGAAGACGCCCGGGTGTATTTCGCGGATGCTGCATTATCTTCCTCAACCGGTGCCTGGGGAGGAGAAGGTTGGGATAGAGGCACATACAGTGTGTTTCCCTAGTATATATTTATTCCCTCCTTGAACTCTTGGGGTTGTTCAACGGCTAACCAGCTTTCGCAGGATTTCGAGTGCTTCACCATTCTTTCCCAGGAAGAGGTTCCTGCACTCCAGGTTCTGAATGCTCATAATCAATGGGTTGAGGCACCACCTATCCCAGGAACCTTTGTGGTCAATATTGGAGATTTCTTTACCTTTTGGTGAGTACTCTTACTGTGTCGAGATATATAGTAGCTCGACGGTGAATCGGCTAGATTTAACTGGTAATCAGGACAAACGGCATATTCCGATCAACACTCCACCGCGCCATAAATTTAACAGGAAAGGAGCGTTACTCAATCCCATTCTTTTTCGGTGTTGACTATGACGCTAGCGTGAGCGTATTGAGTAACTGTGTTGCTGCGTCTCCGAAACAACCTGGTACGGTTATTAGTGCACACATTAAAGCTGGTGATGTAAGTTGATTTCAAGCTATATATCCTGAACTTGCTGTCATTTGTCTGCCTTTTCATTTTCAAAAAAAAAAAAAAAAAAAAAAAAAAAGAGCTAACACCCAGTGCCTTCGATACAGTACGTGCGCAGGCGACTGGCGAATACGTATGTTGGATTTGGGGAAGAGGCACCTGGGAAGGATGGTGCTCTTGATGTGCCTGCTTGAGGATGGTTTATTGGTTTTCTATAATTGGGATACCTTATACTTGACTATACTAAATCACTGTATTCATCTTTGTTGTTGCTCTTGAATTAGGCGCTGACGTCTCTACAAAGACGATGACTAAGCATGGCATATCAGGTCCAGCTTTATCGCGGGGAATTTGAAGCAATTCAGACTTACAGCTTTGATATATGCAGTGGCTTGAACGTCAAATTGGCGGTTTAACTTTCAGGTTATAGACGCTTTACTCCTGTCTCCTCCATGCAATCATAGTACAATTCTACACATATCCCTCCAATCCACCACTCCGATCCAAAATGACCCCACCATCACCAGTCTCCATACCCTCCTTCGCCCAAGCTCAGCTCCAACTACTCCTCCAAGAGCACGAAGCCGAAGTCTCTTCCTCCACACTTGCCAGCACAGCCGCCTCGGTATCCCCATCCACGCGTCGAACATTACAAGCAACAGGATACGCCCTGACGGGAATTGTTCTCGCGCAATGCCGGACCGGTCTCGGTGGCCGCGTGGTCGGCGAGTTCACGGCGGATCCAGCCATGACCTCTACGAGCACTAAGTCGGAAGACAACGGGAATGAACGAGTAGATTCTGAAGGGAGGCCTCGTCTCGGGGCTCATGGGATCCGTGTCGGTGATATTGTTCGTGTGAATGACATTTCGTCGCGGGCTGGGAAGAAGAGTGGTAGTGGGAAAGAGAAAGGGAGGGATGCTGCGAAGTCCGCTGGGAGTTCGACGGGGGCGGAGGGTGTTGTTACGAGAGTTGGGGATAGGAGTGTTTGGGTTGCGTTTGGGCAGAGAGGGGGTAGTGGTCGTTCTAAGGATGATGATGAGGCGGTTGAAGAGCTTTGGGGAAAGAAGCTTTGGCTGTATGCTTTCATTCCCACTTCCTTTTGTCTTTACTGTGAAGCTGCATGGATGGATTGCTCGTGGGTTTAGTCTTTTTTCTATCGTCACTAACAAGAGACCGCAGTATAAAGCTCGCCAATGACGTGACGTTTAGACGGTACGTATGGACATTGCTGGGTGAAGAATACAGAACTGACTGTTTTACAGCATGAATCAGACGATGGAGAAGATGGCTAAAATGTCGGAATCAGAGTACACGCACTTCATGCGCGTCGCATTCGGGCATACTACCCCGTTGCAAGTGGATTATGATGCTACCGGCCCCATCGAGTTCTTTGATCCTACGTTGAACGACTCGCAGAAAGAAGCGATTCGGTTTGCCTTGGCTTCCAAGGATATTGCTCTTATCCACGGTCCTCCAGGAACAGGTAAAACTCATACACTGATAGAGCTCATCCTTCAGATGGTTCAGCGAAAACTGCGGGTGCTAGTATGCGGACCGTCCAATGTGTCTGTCGATAACATCGTCGAGCGACTAGCTCCGAACAAAGTCCCGGTGGTGCGAATCGGTCATCCCGCCCGTTTATTGCCGTCAGTTGTGGAACACTCGCTAGAAGTCCTCACGCACACATCTGAGGCGGCTGGTATTGTGAAGGATGTTCGACGGGAGATCGACCAGAAACAGGCGAGCATCAGTAAAACAAAAAGTGGGCGTGAGCGGAGAGCTATCTACGATGACCTGAAAGAGCTACGCAAAGAGTTCAGGGAGCGGGAGTCAAGGTGTGTGGATAACTTGGTCCGGGAGAGCAAGGTGGTTCTTGCCACTCTCCATGGTGCTGGAGGATACCAGTTGAGGAACCAAAAGTTCGACGTTGTGATTATTGATGAAGCGAGTCAAGCCTTGGAAGCCCAATGTTGGATCCCACTACTGTCCGCCTCGAAGGTTGTTCTCGCCGGTGACCACCTACAACTGCCTCCCACCGTCAAGTCATCTGTGCACAAGTCAAAGGATGAGCGGACAAGGGGCAAAGGATCAGCATCGTCTACTAAGGACGCCACAGCTGACACAGATATTGCTAAGGGAGTTTCACTGGAGAAGACCTTGTTTGATCGACTCCTTGCGCTTCATGGACCAGGCATCAAGAGAATGCTAACCACACAGTATCGAATGCATGAGATGATCATGCGATTCCCCTCTGACGAACTTTATGAATCCAAACTTATTGCTGCAGACCCGGTAAAAGCCCGCCTGTTGAAGGATTTACCATATGATGTCGAGGAAACGGATGACACCAAGGAACCTGTTGTTTTCTGGGATACTCAGGGTGGTGACTTTCTAGAGAAAACCGAGGACAACGATGTTGGGGCAAAAGAGGCGTTGCTCGGCGAGAGCAAGAGCAACGAAATGGAGGCATCTGTGGTAGCGAAGCATGTGACGAACCTAGTCGATGCAGGAGTAAAACCGGAGGACATAGCAGTCATCACTCCATATAATGGCCAACTAGCATTGCTCTCTCGATTACTCCGAGAGAAATACCCGGAAATTGAGCTGGGGAGTGTTGATGGCTTCCAGGGTCGGGAAAAGGAGGCTGTCGTTGTCAGCCTGGTGCGCAGTAACCCGGAGAATGAGGTCGGATTCCTGGGGGAGAAGCGGCGGTTGAACGGTATGATCCTTTGGCTCAATTTATATATAATATGCAGGATGACCACCATTCCTCGGGCTGACGATGAATCTATATAGTGGCCATGACTCGACCTAAACGGCATCTGTGCGTGGTTGGCGACTCGGAAACTATCAGCAGGTAAGTAGAGAAGTGCATGCGATGCATCATCTTTGTCTTGAAAAGAGCCGCCCCAGTTTGACAGGCGGTTGAGACGTAAATTAACGATCTACACAGAGGCAGTGGTTTTCTCAAGCGGTGGATGGGATTCCTAGAAGAACATGCAGATCTACGATATCCAGATGTCGGCGAGTTGATGTGAGATCCAGGGCTCTATAAGGAACCAAGCCATGGTATTCCCTACACTACCCCCAACAGCCTCCAGTCGCAGGAAGGCGTGCACAGCAGTCTGCCGTTTGCAGAGCTCACCCGGTGATCTTGGATTGCCGTTTACCCCGGAATCTCTCGGTGGTTGCTTGGGTACAGCACGCCGTGGCGCTATATGCTGTAGTGTCTGCCGCACAGCCATGTGGCAATCGATAGTGTCATGCAGCATGCATGCATATTTTGAAGCCAACCAAAAGCATCCTGTAGGAGAGGACTGATCTCGCGAATTCCTCTGCTGCTGGGAGTGGAGTCAACTCGGGAGTGTGCGGATCGGTGCTACAACAACAGCTTTCATCGTAGAGAATTTACACAGCTCAGCTGGAAGAGAAGCAAGGGAGCGTGCTGGAAGACTTTGCAGGAAACAGCCGTATCCAACCTTCGTAGTCGAGCAAAGGGGTCATGCGAGGCATTCAAACAGGCCGCTACGCAGTGTAACGTTCAGAAGCCGTCCAGGCCGTTCCTGGTGCCTGGTTCCTGGGCTGCTCTGAGAAGCATCTCCGTCGAATGTGATATCAGCTGGAAGCAATGCAACCTAGCAATCCCCGTTTTAGGCACGGCGTCCGTCTCGAGCGGGTCGGCGTGCTGGTCGTGCATGCTTAGCTCCATTACGTATCGGTGGTCTCCTCGCCTCGTCTTATCCCCTCCTGTCTCAGTATTCCTCCCTTTTCTTACTCTCCGTCCATCCCGGCTCTGGTCTCTCCTTATCGTCTTGTCTTTCCTTTATTCTTTTTCTTCTTCCTCTTCGTATCTTGCATGGGCATTCTAGCTTCTCCGTTAGTTGTCTATCTCTGGCTTGCTACTGATCTCGTATCAGTTCTCCACCACAGCTGCGAGCATGATCTCTGTTGCAACCGTCATGGTACCTTTGCACTCTGTCCTTTCCAGCTTTTTCTTGTCTATTCCACTAACCAAGACTGCATCTCATACAGTGCTCGTTTCGATCCAGCTGCGGTGCAGATAGGCCATGACCGAGATCCTTTGTCCAGCGACCCTCACGATATAGTTCGAAGCCACGGGGAGGAGTGCCTTCTATTGACTTCTCGACGCTCGTTTTGACTCGCCTTGCTAAACCAATATTTGTTTTGACCATTATTATTCTCAGCCTATTTATCGTTGTCCTTGGCACCTACATCAGTTTCCCTGCTTTCTCGCTACAATCTATCCCTGCCAGGGTTTCCTTCATTTATAATTGTTATCCTTATCTGCTCGAACATGTCCTCCTCGATCTCATGTGATCTGCTGCGAAGCCAACCGGTTCCGTCAGGAGAACATGCTTCCCGTGGCTCGCAAGAGCAATCTCCCCTCAACAGCCCCACCCGACAGGCACACGGTTCGGAATCCTCTGCCGCACATGTCACTGTCAATGGTCTGACAGCGTCGCCCAATCGCGCTCTAGAGTCTACATCGGATGTGGTATCGAGAGGTGCCACCATCCATCGTCGCACAGGAAGCACATTGAAAAATGTCATGCGCAAGATCTTCAGTCGAAGGAGACGGAGCCAGACCGACGAGTTTGAGGACACTGCGCATGGTCTCTTGTCTCCTCATAATTACCGAACACCCTCGATGGAAACTGGAGAGGAAAGAAGCCTCCAATTTACAGTCGTTAATTTGACGGGTTCAAACCCGAGTAGCCCCCTGCTGGAGAAAAATGGCAGTCAAGAAGAACCCCCAGAATCTTCTAAGCGTCTGGAAAACGGTCCCGTAAATATCGAGCGAGTACCACTTCGTCCGCGACGTGCAACTCTTCCAAGCCTGGTGTTACTCGACAAGGAGACTCAGATTAGCCCAGTAGCAAGTCCGGGTCTAGACGGCGATAAGGAAAAGCTGCAGACAGGTCAGAACAGTTTGCAATCCAAACGGCGCTCACGAAGTGAGGATACTCTTCGTGGGCTCGCCAAATTCCATCGCATGTCTCCCATTCAATGGCGTCGCCACAATGGCGAACTTGGCAATGACTGGAAACAATCTAAATTAGAAACAACCTCAACCAGTGGCTGCTCGACTACACACTCAACGACAAGCGAGCCTGCGAATGAACGAAAACCTTCACAATCGGCAGTACCTGGGGCGACTCCAGATCAAGAAACGAACAGTAGCATCGTATTCAATGCTGGTGATCTGTTTAACTCGATACAGAATGGTGACGATGCCACTCTTGAACAGCGAATCACGACCCTGGAGGTGAAACTAATCGATCTTGAGCTTGCAATTGCAAGGATGCAGGGCCATACCATCAAGAATTCCCCACCAGATAAAACACGGCCCAAACAACCGGTGTCTCCTGTTCCAGTCCGGGAAAACAAAAGACACGAGCCATCGGAATCGGCATCCTCAATTGATAGCTTTAACAACCTTCCACTGCAAGAGAAGCGCCCTCTTAGCACCAGCACAATACGTCCTATCAATATTCCTCCACATCTGCGAGGAGTGCCGTCGATTTCTTCCCTGAATGAAGCTAGTCCTGTCTCTGTGGAGCAATATAGCGCGCTTGTCATGCTTCTGAGACGAGAGCGATCTGCGCGCAGAAATCTCGAGAGCCAGGTGGCTATTCTGCAAGAAGACATCCGCCAGATGCAAGGGGTAACCCGCAGTTCCATGAACGTTGGTACCAGATACCCCATACGGAGCCTACACTCCGAAGAGTTTATTCGTCTTCGCCAGGTGGATTCATTGCCGACGGGTTCCCCGGCAAGTACGCTGGAAAAGGCAGGGTTTGGACCCGCTTATGATAACCCCAGTGACTCGGACTTAGATTCCGGTCGAAGAGACGACGGTAATGCTTTTGGTCCATATGGATGGCATCAGGATCGGCGTATTGAAGTTTCAGGGATGATATGATCTTGCCTAGTTATGTTAGTTCGCCGGTAGCGGGAATGCTGTCACACTCTTATACACTGGAATTGGAAGGGTGCAATCTGCACCAAAGCCCTCGAAGGGATTCTTCCAAAGGAGTCCTTTTGTACGGAATGGCGAAAGCCTGGGCGTACACCAGCGCACACGAGTGAGCTTTCGCTCAGGAGTGGATGCATTAGTTCCAACATCTGAATCACAAGTCAAGGTCCCAACGGACTCGGCTACTCGGAGTGTTTCTTTCAAATATCCTCCTTTTTATCCCATTCATTATTCTTTCACATCGTTACTTGATCTTTCCACTCTGAATACTCGCTATCTGCTGCCGTTTTTGAACTAGCAGCCTTTTCAATCCCTTCTTGGCTTCCGTCATTATCTTGTTTGGGTAAGAAGGATTGGACTTGGCATAATTTTCGGGAACCAGCAGGAACTTCTGTGTCGGCTTACTGCCTGGCATTCTTTAGTCTGATTTATTACTTCTTGGGCTTTGCGCCCCGCGGCGATGGGTTTTGGTTTAATCGTTCTCTGTTTTCCCAAATTAGTGCTATGACTGTGATGAGATCATGTGTCCATTTACTTGTTACGACGAGATTCTGGGCTGGGATTCTGAACTCGTTGGACCTGTAGGCATCAGAGCATATCTGCTCAATTGTCCATGCAATCCAATTCTGACTTCCCGTGGTATATATATCTTGGTTCCACACCGGATCCATCCATGGTCTTTCTCGGCGACGGAAAGATAGTTCCAAGGCCGAAACCCTACATTTGGCAGTATTTTCTACATACTACAGAGAAAATTTGTGTGAAACTGTCTCCTGGGCTATGCTGATATCACAAGGCTCCTTACTGTCTCGTAAAAGCATGCGCAGCAGCTAATGCATCACCTATGAGCACACAGTACCAGATCATTTAGCGTAATAATGCACAGCAAGGCTTGAATTGGGCACACTAACTATTAGTAACGATGGGTGTGCCATCCAACTTACTTTCCCCTATATTAAACGGACTAAAATCTCACCTTCCTGCAGACCAAGAACCCTAGACAAAGGCGAGGTGTCTGCCTAGCCCGCGCCCCATGGTAATTCTACTGGCTCCAATGGGAACACGGCTTAAACGAAGGGCGGCTCTGAAATACGATCGGCCCTAGGAAACCACGGGGATAACTCATGAGATGAGTATTGATCAATACCACCCTCGAATAAATGCATGCGGCTTGGACTTGGCTGCATAGGTTGACAGCTAGGCGTCTGGCGTGGCGATGGTTTGGCATGTATAAAGGCAGTGATCCTGTCTTGATTCTCCTGGAGATTCAAACTACATCCTGTTTCCTTGCAAAGCAAACTGATTCAGCACCAAGCCGCTAGGTACTTCTTCATTCTTCATCCATTGAACCAATACAAGACAAACCAGACCTTCCATCCACCATGAAGCCCATCACCTACATCGCCCTAGGCGCAGCCCTAGCCACCTCCGCCCTGGCAGCAGACACAACAACAGAACTTAGCGTGTTCAACGCCGGTGAAACAACCATCCCCTTAACCGCCATCGCAGCCAGCATCGTTAATGTCCAAAACGACCTCACCACCTTGGCTTTGGACTGCAAAGGCGGCGAACCAACCGCAGAATGCGAACTCAACGACCCCGTAACCATCACCGCCGGCCCATCAACCTTCACTCTGAGTGCCATATACGCAACCAAAATCCAGGGCATCAATGTTAAATACACCCTCGTCCAAGACTGCGACATCACCGGCTCCACGCAGAAGGCTGTCTGCACGGTTTCCGCTCGCGCTGAGGCTTCCTCGGATGGCGTGAAGACTGCTACCTCCACCTCCGCTGTGACGACGTGGTCGTCGGAGGATATCTATTATGAGCCACTTGCTATTACTGCTGGTGTGGAGAAGTTGAATCCTACCGGATCTGTTGGTCAGACTACCACTAGCGCGGCTGGTGGTGCTGCTCCTACTTCGACTGACGATGCGGCCGCTCGGCAGACTGGGCTTGGTGGGGCGGCTGCTGTGGCTATTGCGGCTGCTGTTATGGGTGCCCTTTAATTAAGCCTTCCATTTGGTTGTTTGTTGTATCCTACTCTGTATAGGTTTGGTTCTTTTATCGATGACATGCATATGTTCATGAAACATGATATCCAGTTATCATCCGATTAATGACCATGATTTGACTGACCAAAAAAAAAAAAAAAAAAAAAAACCATATATATGCTACTTTATCCAATAATTATTATACAATATAAGCCATCAAGTTACTCCTCTATAAACTTACATCCGCTGCATGGGCATATACAGCATATACGTAGATAGACAACCATGACCAGGTATCAAAGAATCAATCCGTTTTAACCCAACTTTTTCTCCACGCCCAGCTCCTCAGGCTCGAATTCAATCCGCTTCCCATATACCAATGACGATCGCCCGAGGAAAGAGCCAAGCGCATACCCAATATAAGCACCCGTCACGATAGTAATCGGGAATGCCTGCCAGGGACGGTCCCTATTCATTACATCATTAGTTTTAGTGAGAAAGATAATGATATATGGCACATACCAATCCAATGGAATAGGAATGGCACCAAGCCATGCCCCCAGACAAGATCCCAGTGCAGCACCCCAAACGGTATCGGCTGGTCTAGCTATCCCCCAGACCCCCCGCCAGGTAGCCCCGTCAACTCCGTAAACGTATATGAGTGCTGTGGAAGAGAGAACGGCCATATGCGCCGCACACAAAACAGTATGCGCATTATGAGTCGTCAGAGGGGCGCCGAAGAGAACGAGCAACACGGCCAGAACGGGAGTGGCTAGAAGGAAAGTGAGGATTAAGGAGAGAAGAGCGGGCTATAAAAACAACACTCGTTAGCGATGAACAGTTTCCCCTCGCCAGTTCCCTCTGTTAATCCTGTTAAACCGGACAAGACAGGGAAAGAAAAAAAAAAACCTACTGTCAATTTCGAAGAAATACCACAACCCCCATGAGGATGTTGTTTCCGTCTATATCCGACCTTCCCCGCCCTAAGCACCAAACCTGATCTCTTCAAGCTCTTCTCACCATCGCCTTCCCCTCCCATCGCAGAGCCAGAATCACGACTTCCACTCTCACTACCCGAGAAGGTCCTGGAGACACCGACCGGTCTCGATCCTGATCCCGATCCCGCCGCTGACGCTGGCCCAGAACCAGAACCAGAAGAAACAGAAACTGATACCGACGATCCAGCTGGAGGGAGACAAATCATTACATACGCAACCTGCAACGTAGCCAGGAGCGGTAGATCGCTGAGCAATGCATCGACGGGATCGGCGACGAGTTTCGGGAACCGGACGGAGAAGAGGGATAGGAGGATAACGGGGTGGGCGATAGAATAGATCTGCGCTGCTTGTGAGGGGAGGATGTTCACGGGGGGAGCAGAGGGTTTCGGGGCCGGTGCCTGCGTTGAGGGTTGTGTCGATGCTGGATGCGCCGGACGAGGCGGGGAGGGAGGTGTCGAAGTCATTGTGGAGGGGATTGGAAGAAGGGGGGAGTGCGGAGAGGCCAGGATCCCTTGCTTGCGTTTTGAGGAGCTATTCCGGTGGGATTTGATGCACAGAGAGAGACAAAACGAGTAACGTTGGAGTCGGACTCTCCGGACTCCGCAGGGATGTTTTCGAGAAATTGAACAGTTCGCGGAGGCCGTTAGAACCATGTTTGTCTTGTTTGCCTCTGTGAAGCCTGGATGCTAAGGTGTCCACAACGGCATATTATTCATCGATTGTATTTCATTCCATGTCTGTAACTATTATCAAATTCCAATACAGTCAAAAAGAATCCGCGCTAGTAACGGGGAAGAAGAAAAGGAAGAAGTAGTAGTAGACAGGAAAGCAGTGCATACATACATACTGACATTCGTAGACCCATAGCAAGCATCAAAGTAACAAGTTCAACAGGAACCACAAAAACAAGGTGGAAAAGCAAGATAAAAACACAGCCAAGAAAATACAAGTCCAACAATACAGCCAGCAGCACGAGAACGGCTGGCAAACCGCCATGCAGAGGAAGTCAACGCAATATTCAAAAGATGAAGGGTATGTATGGTATGTCATATCCCGAGTTAATACCCCACAAAACAAAAAAGAAGTTATGCTCCATGGCCCAAGTCACCGAAATTGAGGGTAAAATTTCAGGCTATCGAATTAACATTGAGACACACGCCGGTTCAAGCAACGGGATTATTGCTCTTGCTGCTTTGGTGAGGCATCCGTCGCAGGCTCATTAGACCGGGGCGGGCCTTCACCATTCGCTTCATTGCTTCCTGTAGCTAAAGATGTCTCGGTCGGAGGTCCCGCATCCGCGGGTTCAGCTTGACCCTTCGTCACACTAGCAGTATCAGCAGCTGTATCATGCGGCTCCAGGATTGCCGGTTCTTCAGGAATCGATGGTGGCATCCCAGACGGTCTAGCCGAGAATGGAGGATTTGGAAGGGTTGAAGGATTTGAAACCTCCTCTTTTGTATCCCTTGGTGGTTGCTCCGTCAGGGGCAGGAAGTCATCTTCGCTGTCTTTGCCATTCGGAGGCAAGGAGGTATTGGAACGAAGTCCTTCAGCATCAGAATGCACCGGGCTCTTCGTCCGCTCTCTCTCCGATTCGCTGTCAGTGTCGCCCTCTAGTGCATGCGCGAGCTTGGCCTTGAACCTCCCGAAAAAGCTCTTCTTCTCGCTGTCCTGTCCCAGTAATGGGTCCCGGTTCACGTTATTTGCGACTTCCGCATCGAGGCTAAGATGCACGCTGGACCCATCCGCTGCCATGCGCTGTAAATCCGGAGGTGGGCTCCTGGCACCACGATGCCAGCTATTTACAGAGTTGGTACTCAGCGCAGCCGCTGGATTAACCCCTATCCGAGGAGGTGACATGGACGCTGCAACAGTGTGTTCGCTGCCTCGTTTGGACGACCGAGAAAATCTCCATTCTCGGCGGTGTTCTCGGCGGTCTGTCCTAGTCGTATTATCAGGCGGTTCAAGGTCAGACTGGTCAGTAAACGATGAGCGTGAATTCATGGATGGGGTACGCGATGCGGGTGGCCTAAGATTGCCTTCTTTGAAGTGTAGCTGAGCATGCTCATCTTGAGGCATTGGATGCTCTAGCTTCGCGTCGCGATGAGGCTGATCACTGGGTTCAGACGTATTCGCAGGCCTTACTGTCCCTGTAGCTTCGGTCTTACGGTCGGATGGACCGCTTGATGGTGGATATAGGGGAGGATCTGCGACAACAGCCGCTAGCGAATGAGAGGAGCTCCATGCACTTTCACTAACACCGCTAGAAAGTCGTTTCTTCCTCAGTTTGTTCGGTTGCCGCGATGAGTCCCTTGGCTCGCGGCTGGGTGAGGGAGACTTTGAGAACAGACTGGATAGCTTCCGCTCTTTGGGGGGCGTCACAACGGCCAGCGGAGACGGATCTGCTGGTGGTAGGCCACCCTGCAGACGTGGCCTTTGAGCCGTCTTTAAACGGCTCGCCTCATCTACGGGGACAGGACCATGAGTTGACGAATGCACATATACGACATCAGGCTGCTTCGGCATGCCAGTAGATTCCTTCTGGGGAGGAAGATAATTAGCAGACTCATGGCTATGATGGGGTGCCTGACTAGAAGGCCGATGGTGGTGGTCGGCTGCTGGTGCTGGTGCTGGTGCCGTTGCGGCAGGAGAATGAGAGTTAATCTGTTCCGCCCTTCTGCCATATCTAGCAGGGCCTATTACAGGAGACATTTTTGGAGGAAGGGTATTGCTCCGATGTACACCTGAACCGTTCAATGAAGACGGTGTGGTAGGGCTGGGAACATTGCCGGAAGTGCGGGAGTTTCTAGATGAAACGGACACATTTCTGCGAAGAGTCTCGAGTTTGCGGTAGCTATCCGTGCCGTTACTTGCACTGGAAACTGAACGTCTGAAGTTTGAAGACCGTCGAGGCGCCGCAAGGCCACCCTCAACCTCCTTCACGGTCTGTTCGTCAGCGGCTGTTCCATTCATCCCAAACAGGAAATGGTCCTGGTTCTCGATCAGGAAAATCAGCACATCCTGACTCAGTCTGTATTCATCCGGGGACATGTGGTGCTGGGGATGCGACAGTAACCCTGGCTGAAAGATGGCCGCTAGGTTCGCCGATGTCATCCGGTTCTGATCCGACTTAGAGGCGAAGACAGCCAAGAGATCCAGAATATAGAGCAGCAACTGCCTGTTCAAGGGAGGAAGCTCTCTGATCAGTTGTTGGTACGCAGCGACCGCCTTGGTGTGATCGAAAGTCTCTGGGCCTGTGACCTCTCCACCTTCCCTAATTTGATTTTGGTACAGGCGTAGAGGCTCGCGGAAGCGCTCGTAGAATTCCAACGGGACGATGGGCTCGGGCAACTGGTTCAGATAACGACGGAGAACGTTGGCTGCATCATGCACGGTATACCCTGTCCAATCTAGGCCCTTTCCATACCGCTCGGGGGAATCGAAGATCTCCTGGAGATCCTTTATACGCTTTGCAGATCCACTGAGACGGAATATTCCTTCGACGTCCGTAGCTGCAACAGGGTGTTAGTGTCACCATCCAAACAGTTGTAGGTGGTAATGGGGCGTGCGCGCACCTTTCTCCTTCAAGAAAACGCCACATTTGGCTACAACAATTGGCACGTAACCGTATATGAAGCTCTCGCCATTGTCATTCGTCAGGGAAATTGCGACATTCGCATACTTGATGCTAACGTTGAGTGGAACGCCAAAGATACCTCGGGGGTTTTCTGGAGCGACAACCAGTCAGGATACTGAAATGGAAATCCGGATGGGAGGCAGATGCAAAGATGCGCATACCTTTCACTTCCGGCCTTCTCGTATTCCGTTTGAATTGCCTCCACCACGATGCTAAGTCCCGTTTCGATGGCGGGGAGAGTGCGCCTGCTTCCAACGGACCAGTGGCCGATGGAAATGCATGGACTTGCTCCGAGTCCGACTGCGGTTTGCCCGTCATTGCGGTAGACGGGGGAAATCAAGAGATGAAGATTCACGTGGTACGGCGATGTCTCGAGTGTGTATATACGACACGGATCAAAGACCGCAAGCGAGGGACATCCTCTTCCGGTGTTGCTGCGGCGAGAGAGAGGAAAGAAACCGAGTAATCCCGCGATAGGACGCGCAGTGAGACGAAGGTAGTAGCAACGGCAGCCTCAAGCCGGCAGACCCCAAAATTAGCACGAAGGCTAAGAAACGCGACTAGGCGCAGGAGTCTGTGCCTGGTCTAGGACACCGAGATAAACCAGGAAACGACGATGTTATGCGAAAATCAATTGACAGGGACGCGCACGCGACGTCGGCCTTCAGCCGTGGGGATTTTTAAGGGGCTGCAGGCGAAATTAAGAGACACGGAGGAGGGGGAATCTGCGGAGTTTGCAGCGGAAGAAGGGGGGAAGAGAGGGCTGGATGGCGCTCTCAGTCGAGATCGCAGCGGCTGGCACGGGAGGCAGGAGAGATGCAAGAAGAGCAGACGATAGAGACGGACAGCAACCAGGACGAGAGGCAGGAGAAAAGAAGCACGGCGGACGAGGCAGAGATGGGAGAGATGGAGACGGCGGCCAGACGTTCTATGTATAGAGGGCCGCTCGCTGCCTGGACTCCGGACGAGCCTTGGTTCGGGCGTGTTTTAGGGGCAGTTTTTGATCAGCCGCGTTGGCCCTATTATGATTATGATTAGGACGGGGATTCCTGCTTTCCTCTTCCCTTTTCCGGCCACCGATTTTCAGTGGATCCGTGGAGGCGCTCTGTGAGTAGCTTCTATCCTAATGCGTCTGGACTGGTTCCAGCGAGATCCTCCGCGTTATGACGAGCGAAGTCGACTCTGCAGAACTGGAGCTGCCTTTGCCAACCTGCGTAAGCTATCACGTGACGTCATGTGACCCGTGTGACGCTGCAGAGCTTGCGGAAAATGAAAATGGGCTGGGGAATGCGGCTTCATCTCTCGACTTCCTCCCCAGCCTTTTTCCCTGCCTCAACGGATCCTTCTCCAGACTACGCATCACAATGGATGGGTAATGCTCCTCTGGTCCTAAGTCACTAGATAGAACACGCAAAGTGCTGACAGCTCCACTCCCCCAGCCTCAATGCCGCGGAGCAACGCGAGCTTGCCGCTCGCATGGAAAGAAGACAGTTGAAGGAGTTCATGACTGTATGTTCTGCATTATTATTCCGCTAGATAGCTCCATTCGTGTCTTCTATACTATATGGTCAAACTGGAGAGCAGAAGCATCCCTCTCCGTCTGAGCCGATGATGAAATCAATTTCTAACCGGGCCTTTGATCCATCGTCCAGATGTACTCCAAGCTCGTCCAGCGCTGCTTCGACGACTGTGTCAACGACTTCACCACCAAATCCCTAATTTCCCGCGAAGAGGGCTGCGTCATGCGCTGCGTGGACAAATTCTTCAAGGGTTCTGCCCGGTTGAACGAACGCTTCCAGGAACAGAATGCTGCCATGATGCAGAGCGGACAGCTTCCAGGTCGGTAGATGATCGATTGCATTTGTGCATCTGGGGGTTCGATGATATTGGGTTTTGAAAGGCTCTGGTCCCTAATGGTATGGGCTTGATGTATCTGGATCAAGCTGAAAAGGAGCAGTCCAACCAACAGTCATCATGCAGATTCTCTCTTGGGACGATGTGTATTTCTTCTGTTCTTTTTTTTTTTCTTTTTTCTTATTCCTTTTCCTTTTCCCCCTCAATGTACTATAGAGACCATAGTGGAAGTGCCCTTGACGGGTTCCAGTCGTGTTGAATTGCACAAGTATTCTGGGTTACAAAACACAGTATGTCCGTACTCTATATTTCTAGGATTGACATTTGGAAATCCCAAAGTATGCCGGGCTGGTGTGGGCCGTGGGTTGGAGAAAGGCCGTGATCTCTGCGAGCTATTACTCATTATTGCTCGTATCTTCGAACACAATCATCTATCAGAGCGTCGAATTATTGCCGTTTTGAGATAACAGTTGCGGCCCCTCACCCGATCCGCGAAACCCCTCCCCCTCATGCTCCTCATCCTCCTCACTGTTTCCCCTCGCGGCGACCTTTAAATCATCTTGTTTTCTTCTCCCAGCTTCTGCCTTCTCTCTTCTTCCACCATCTCCTCCATTAACCACCCCCACTCTCGATCATATACAGTAGGCATCATGGCCAGCACTGTCGGAAAGGTACGTTCAGAAACCAGATCAGACCCCTCCGACTTCGCCCGGGACTGAAAATTGGTAATCTGGTGCTAATCAGCCAATTCCAGACCATCACTTGCAAAGTAAGAATCTCTTTACGGCGGCTTCGGCCTCCTTGGCCTATCTTTTGGCCTTGACGATGCTTCGGATGAGCAGCATAACTGAACGTGACATTACAGGCTGCGATCGCCTGGGGTGCCGGCGAGCCGCTCTCCATCGAAGATGTCGAGGTCGCAACCCCCAAGGCTCATGAAGTCCGTATCCAGATTTACCATACCGGCGTTTGCCACACAGGTTAGTTCGGCCCGACACTGATTTTGTATGTTAGGTAGCTCGCTGACTCTGTTCCTTAAGACGCGTACACTCTTTCCGGAAAGGATCCCGAAGGAGCCTTCCCCGTCATTCTCGGTCACGAAGGTGCTGGCATCGTCGAATCTGTAGGTGAGGGTGTGACCAATGTTAAGCCTGGAGATCACGTCGTTGCCCTCTAGTATGTTCCTTCCCCGCGATTGGTTACAGTCCAAAGAGTTTGGGAACCTCGTTCACTGACTACTTTCAGTACCCCCGAGTGCAAGGAGTGCAAGTTCTGCATATCTGGAAAGACCAACCTTTGCGGCAAGATTCGAGCCACTCAGGGTCGGGGTGTGATGCCCGACGGCACCTCTCGTTTTAAGGCCCGCGGCAAGGATATCCTGCACTTCATGGGCACTTCTACCTTCTCGCAGTACACTGTGGTTGCCGATATCTCCGTCGTGGCTATTACTCCCAAGGCCCCTACAGATAAGACCTGCCTGCTGGGCTGCGGTATCACCACTGGCTACGGTGCAGCCGTTGTAACAGCCAAGGTCGAGGAGGGCTCCAACATTGCCGTCTTTGGTGCTGGCTGCGTCGGTCTGTCCGTCATCCAGGGTGCCGTGAAGAACAAGGCCGGCAAGATAATCGTCGTAGATGTCAACGACGGCAAGGAGCCATGGGCCCGCAAGTTCGGTGCCACTGACTTCGTCAACCCCACCAAGCTCGCCGGCCAGACCATCCAGGAGAAGCTCATCGAAATGACCGACGGTGGCTGCGACTACACTTTCGACTGCACCGGTAATGTGGGCGTCATGCGTGCCGCTTTGGAAGCCTGCCACAAGGGCTGGGGTCAGAGCATCATCATTGGTGTTGCTGCTGCCGGACAAGAGATCTCCACAAGACGTAAGTCACTCCTCGTACTGTCTGTACGTCATATACAAGGGAACATTTATGACTCACTTATTTCTTCGCAATAGCATTCCAACTCGTGACGGGTCGTGTATGGCGAGGCTGCGCCTTCGGCGGTATCAAGGGTCGCTCTCAGCTCCCTAGCCTGGTAGATGACTACCTCAATGGTCAACTCAAGGTCGACGAGTTCATCACCCACCGCCAACCCCTGGCTGGTATCAACGATGCCTTCAACCAAATGAAGCAAGGTGACTGCATTCGTGCTGTGGTGGATATGAGGGCTTAGGAAGGATTTAATGATTCCCCAAAGTGAAAAAAAAGGTGAAATAGAAATTCTCATAAAAGGCGAAAACAACTTCATTTCTGGTTAACCAACCATCCATTATTGTCGTATATTCCTGGGCTCATGCATGATTGTAAAACCACATCTCGAATGGCATGTCTGTAGTTAATACCAGACGAGTATGGAGCAAAATATGTTTCTTCCCTTGCATATTCTCGTCCCTGATGTGCCATTATGAGAGCGTAGTTGAAGACAATGATCGGATATCAAAGACCAGGAGGTTACATGTAAGGGGGAATACGGTCGGGTTTCGTCTACTTATTTATACATGGACAATTGAAGCAGCTTTCTGTTACCCGGGTCCTCGTTTGGCGATGTAAAGCGGGGATGATGGCTCACTGTCACATATGCATTGGGCGAAAATGGAGGACCTTGGAGAAGAACCGGAAATCAGATGTGCCAGTGTAGTCAGCGGTGAACGTGGTAGTACACTGTAACCTGCTACGGTCTACTACATTAATTGGGAGTTAGGGTTTAGCTCAATCTCAAAGTGATATTTAGCATAAACGAGTGACTATGGTTAGAATAGTAACGGGTGTTGAATCCCGTACGAAGGCTATATGGACCCAGAACCCGTCGACTGTGGCCAAGGGCACTATGCCAGCAGACAACTCATCTGCATAGCAGTTAAAATACAATTCTTAGAAGAGCTTGTGCTCCAAAGTCATTTCAGACTCTGGCTGGAGACCAACACAGGCGCGGAAGATGTTGGTCAGAGCGTTGCGCTGCTTGCCCAAAGCGTTCACAACCGGAGTACCCGGCGGAGTCAGGGGAGCCTAGGACCTCATATTAACCTGCGATTCAAATGAAATAGCTTCACGACAAGCAACTCACCTTGAGCATATAGCTGAGTACACTGAGAACGCTGTGGAAGCTCTTGTACGCCTCGGCCCCATCAGCCTTCCAGGTGATGCGAGTCATCAACTCCGCAATAACAACCAAGTCGATGATCAGGGGAGACGCCAAGAGTGAGTCCTCGCAGATGTTGAACAGGCTGATGGTCTGATGGCCACCCATAAAGATCTCCGCATAGTATTCATCCAAGGCACGCTTGTTATCACCAACAGCCGGCATGTACTTGATAACAACCGTGTGGTTGGGGTGTTCGTCCTTCTCGTACAGAATCTGGTTGGCCGCCACCATATCGTCCACTACGTTGGACTTGGAGATCTCCTTGGAGCGGAATTGCTTCTGGGAGCTCAGATTCTTGCCGTCGTTGTTGCCCAGATGGTTATAGCTAGCGATGGAAGTGAGCTTGATGCCAGCGTTGATCAGGAAGTCAACGAGAGCCGATTTCATCTTGGTCTGGCCCGACTTGAAGTCATCACCACCAATGAAAGCGCCCTGTTTCTCTGCAAAGTCAATCGCACCGGGAACAAAGGTGTTCTGAGGGGAACCGTTAATGAACGGGGTATTCTCCAAGATGCTAGCTACTGCGAAAACGGTGGACGGGGAGACCTCCTCGTGGCCTGACTTGATGGCATTGAGGAGATTCTCAGCGGTGTCGTTCACACCGGGGACAATATCAGCGTATCGCTCCGTGTTTGCAGTCCACAAAACGATCACTTTGTCCAGACCGTTCTGAGTCTTGAAGTCTCTGTTGCACGGACTCCTGTTAGATGATTTGAGGAGCTAGACTAGGAGGGTTACAGGCACTTACCGGATATCTTTCCGGATGTGTTCAACATGAGCCCACGAGGCTTTAGAGCCATCAATGATGTTATCAGCCCGATCCTCCTGGTTGGCAGCGATGAAGTCGGGATAGTATATGCTGGGCAGGGGCTTCATTTCGGCCATTTCCTTGCGAACGAGCTGCTTGAGACTTGGCTCGAGAACCTGAGCCCGATCCATGGCATCGGCAAGATTCATGGCACTGATGTCCCAGCCGCCAATGACCAGGTCGTTGGGGTGAACCATGGGTAGCATATCATGGAAGGGTACATTGACCTCTTCAGAAGTTTTGGAATCGGTTCCCAACTTCACGGTCGAGCTCATGACCACAGACCCGTAGTAGTTGGCAGCACGCTTGCCCTCCCGAGTCTCCCAGACAAGACCACGACGATTGGCAATGATGCCAGCGGTGACAGTGGAGCCGTTGTTTCCACCCCACCCGACGAGCATCATACCGACCTTGCCCACCTTGCGGTCGACTTTGAAGTGGTAGGTAGTGGCCTTAGGGTTGACGACGAATTGGTTGTCGGCAGTACGCGTCACTTCATTAGTGTGGTAGACATACTGACTCTTGATTTCATCGTCAGTGTAGACAACATTGGGCGAATTGACGGTAAACAGGGGAGCATTGTTAGGGCTACCAGACCCGTTCACAGTGCCATTGGCGGCAGCATCCGAGTTCGCGTGAGGAGCCATTGCGTGTACAAATTCAGGCAGACAGCGGGACAAGTAATACAGAGCAGAGCTATGCAGTAATCAAGTACTATGACACTGTCCAGAGCTTTACAAAGTGTATATGTAATCCGGTGCTCCACCACGCGAGGATGAGCGCCGGCCGTTGAACGGGTGGTGCCGCCTGTATAGGGAACCACGGTTAGACATTGACGCATGGGAGAAACTGAAGAAATAATATAGATGGACGGATGATAGAATTCGAGTTCAGAGAACGACATGACCGACAGAAGATGTAGCAGAACGAGCGCCTATCATCACCAGGAAAGGAAGAACTTACGAGTTAAGAAGTGTGCCGAAAATGGTGGCGGTGTTTTTGAGACAAAGTCTCGAAAAAGGAGATACAAGAAGGCGAAGAGAAACAACGGGGAGGATTGAGAGAAGAGAAATGGATGAGATGATGGTGGGAAGAAGAAGAGAAGAAGCGAGAAGGGAAGGGGAGAGACGGCCGAATTTATGTCTGCCTGTCAGTCCTTCCGTGTCCTCATCTCCAGAACTCCACAACTCCAACCCGTTTTCCCCCGCAGCCAGGCCGTACGAGGAACATGAACTGCTTCTATCTATGTCTATATGCTTCTAGCCAGGTATCCAAAAGTCCCATTATCGCGACTAACGCTTGATAGAACACCTCGTTGCTGCAAGACGCTGCCATTTCAAGGAGGGTATGTACAGCGCTGTACATGGCGGCACAGCTGTCATCCCAATATTGACCTCAGCATCGTCTGTTCATTGGGCTAACCGTTCGAACTACTCAGCAGGTCCTTCACCGGTGGAGACGACTCGTCGATTACCAACATTGACTCTGTCGACTCCCAAGTTGCCGATGGATACCATCGTCACCTCCCCGCCTGCTTCCGCCCTCTCCGCTCGACGTAAACGACTCGCCCCCTGACCGCTACTCTGTGCTTCAACTGGATGGTGGAATAATACATCGGATACAGGCATTCTGATACCCATTGGAACTTCTATCGTTTTTTCCATGCCGTTGGAGCGTTTGACATCAAATTCCAGGATTATACGTATCTATGATCTATCTACTCCGCGCAGTGCAGGGGTACGGACCATTCTGTGGCCCGAGTTAATGGGTCGGACGAAATGTCTACATATGATTGTTCGGTTCAGCATAACCTGATATTTACGTATGCGCTTACAGCGTGCTATGCAGCGTTATCGATACCTCAGCTGTACACCAACTGGCATGTGATGATTACATTGTGTATCTGTGAATACCTATCTAATTCTAGCACCGCGGTGACCGCACTCTATCCGGTGCTGCGCGGTAAATCTAGCTGCAGCTGCTGGGGAGTTCCCGGGCAAAGCTGCAGAACGATCTGAAGTTCCACTATTGACCCTAACACTAGGTGAACCGATTCTGTTGAAATCGTCAATCCTTCTAAGACCCTGCTCATGATTTATATTGACCCAGGTAGCCACCAGCATGTCGATTAGGCCCAAAATAGGAAAAACTCCGTTATGCACGGCCTCTCGTCAGCCCTTGGATCCCTCCCCGGTTCGTGTAGCATCCTACTCGATTAGACCGGCGATCCCGTTCCTAGGACCCTGCAGTCGTTTTGACCGGCCGGTTCGACCGGTGTGTACTTCCACTCTTTGGCTTCCATCAGTAATAAGGTTCGACGGCCAACTTGGTTGCAGCGATCCCTTCACGCCTCCATTGGTTTGATCTGCTTGCCCCTGAAAGCGATAGCCCGGTCAACGTCAGGTGACCATGGCGACTACTGACTTCAGGGAATCAGGGGCACAGCAACAATGCCGGGATGGAGACGATGGACGGTGGCAATCGCTAGAAGAAGTGATGTTTGTTCCAGACATTTCCTCCGATCGCCAGTTCTATAAATGCTCTCTGCATATGCATGCGTGGGTGCCGGCAACCAACGGTCCATAGACACGGCAGAGATGGGTACTCTCGGGCTCTCCTGAAGACGATCATGATAATTATCATTTCTGACAAGCGTTGTGTTGCGTTGACAGCGTAATAAATAGTAAATAGCAATTAATTACTATTATTATTGTCGATATATTGAGTGTTATCCTTGGTTGTGTGCTGGTCCTTCAACAATAATAATATCACGATCACCTTCTCTTCTCTCCCGTCCCCCTTTTCCCTTCCTATTCTCCCCTTCGTTCTTTCTGTCCTTCCCCTACCCACATTCCTTTAGTCAGTTAGCTAGCTAATTAATTATTCGTTCATTACTCCATCTCTTCTTCAATCCTTCTATAACACCATCTCTCAGAAGGCACTAGATTGCTGGGACTGGGAACCGTGAGATGCGATAACAGGACCGTGCTCCCTCGCTTCAGCTGTTTTTCAAGATCCATGATCGCGTCGAATCTTCGTGTACACTTTCGCCTGCATTCAAAAGTCAACTGATGGCTGGCTCCTTGGAAGATGTGGGCTTTCTGCCCACTATCAAATGCTCCAGTTGTGGTATGGAAGTCGAAATCATGGCTATGGGGGAGCATGTCTGCAACAAGTCACCGAGTACGTAGCCTCCCAACACCTATCCACCTGCTACTTCATGTCTCTAACATCTGGACTGCTAGTCAACTCGAGTTCGTCGCCGCTAGAACGCAGGGAGTTACTACCAACATCAACTTCGCTAGCAACAAGCGCCATGTCACGAATAGCTGCCAAGGAGTCGAAGGGAGCAAAATTCAAGCCTCTCGCTCCCATTGATTCTGTAGCGGCCAGTATGTATCTATATTGCTGATATTACATCCAATGCACCCACTTGCTGACATTAACCGCGTCAAGACAAAGCTTTTCTGCGCCCGTCTCCCGGGAACTTCACTTCACGCAGCGCCTCCCCTCTAACAGCCTCGTCGCGGCCTCGATCACCCTTCCGTGCACCACAGTCAAGTTTATCAGCACGTCTCCCTCCTAATCCTTCATCGCCTCCTGGATTGGTCAATCTGGATTGTGCATTCCCACCGTTCCCGGCAGCGAGGTCAAGGTCAGCCACGAAAACTGGCGTCCCACCACTGCTGAAATTGCACAAGCCATCTGCCAGCGATCAACCACCCATACCGCCTCTACAGCACCGGAGGACAGCAACTCCAGCGGTTAACGAGGAGCTTAACAATGGGCAATCACCAATGGCACCTCCCCCATTGTCACAATCACTTCCGGAGTCGAAAGACCAGGCCTCGTCTAGCACAACCATGCTGGACATGTTTCATCGACGAAACTTCTCCGTTGATAGCAAAAGTAGTTATCGGACATCACACTCAAGCAAACTATCGATGGCCATGTCGAATCACAGACCATCTGTAGGCAGTCTACTCCGAGCCGCCCGTCCCTCCGAAGATGTACCTCCTATGCCGCCTCCTCCCGCTAGGAGTCAGACGGGGAGTCCTTCCTCATTTGGAAATCTATCCCAGTCCGTGAAATCTACAAAGATCCATCATAGCGAACGAAGCGAACGTGACTTAGATCTCGGTATCACAACGGAAACAAGCGATTCTCGAGCCGAGGACGAAGAAGCGGATTCCGGTCTTTACAAGTCTCTCCGCGAGCATCTCAGACTTGACGTGACCAACCTCTCCGAAGAAAATGAGACATCTACGAGTGCACCCGCAGAGATCAAATATCAGCCTTTCAGGCCCTCTGCTTTCTCTCGAGAGAACCATGAAACTCAAAAAGAATATGACGGTTTTAATGCCGACCAAAAGTTCTCTGATATGGATAGTGATGATGAGGAGACCCTATCAGTCTCGAACTTCGCACGTTCCCTGGGTCTAGATATTTCCGACAGCAGTGCAGAGAGCTCATCGTCGGAGTTCTCCCGACCGGAAACAGGCAGTGGGAGTTCGATGTCTAGTCTCCCATCGGAAGAGAATTTGTCGCGGTACAAGCCCTTAGAACCAGGCCGGCTATATTCGGTTTCGGAAGAATCACTGTCGAGGAACAGACGCCGTATGCTGGATGAATCTGCACAGTCTGAAAGCCCAACGGAACTCGAGCCGCCGCCTCCGCTCCCGATGCACCTCGTCAGCCCTGATTCCCCAACCGACCCTGCAATTCTCCAAGGAAGCGTGTCGCTCATTCCAGAGAACAAGTGCAGGCAACCAGAGCCGAGGTCGCCTTTGCGACCAAACATGCCCCGGTCGGCTACAGCACCAACCCCCCGAGCTCGCCCGAAAGGCCGCTGCAAAGGTTGTGGAGAACTTATTATGGGGAAATCCGTATCTTCGGCAGACGGTCGACTCACGGGTCGTTACCACCGAGCTTGCTTTGTGTGCTATCACTGCCGGGCGCCCTTTGAAACGGCGGACTTTTATGTCTTGGATGATCATCCGTACTGTGCCCAACACTACCATGAGCTCAACGGATCGTTATGTTCGTCTTGCAATCAGGGAATCGAAGGGCAGTATCTGGAAACGGTAGAGAGGACCGGACACGGACCTAGCGATCGACAAAAGTTCCATCCCGGGTGTCTTAGGTGCTTCATGTGTCAGATTTCCTTGAACGGTGACTATTTCGAGTGGAACGGCCAAGTATACTGCGAGCGAGATGCCAGGAGGGCAGCAGCAATGCCCCCACGGAACTACCGTCGCCCTACAGTGGCATCATCACCATTATCGCCGTATCCCCCAGGATCCTCTGGTCGGCTTGACCCGTACGGATTGGGGCACGGCCACTATCCCGCACCGAGTGGCCCTAAACGCTTTCCGGAGCGCAGAACAACCCGGTTGATGATGATATGAGTGGCACGGGCCATGCCATATGCCTTCTTCTCTCTTTCTCTCTGTCCTGAAATCCAAATGCGTCTATCATTAATAGCTAATGCTTAATCCGGCCTATCTAACCATTCTGGCCGTCTTACCCGTCACTGGCGTCTTGGATACAGGTTTTTCTTTTGGATTTCTTACCTATTGTGTGATCGCAGGCCGCCATATACCCCTTGAATTTTGAGTTGTTTCGGTTAGATTCGATTCACGGCACGGCACGGACTTGACGTTTATAATTTCCTTGCCGTCCTTCTCTGTCTATATATTACTGAAAACTAGCAATCCATGGTTTTGCACGTTCTCTGGGTTCTTATTGTATATACACTTCTTTCATGTCAGCCAGTATGCATGCTACATAGTGATAATAAAAGAAACATTCCCAAAGTCAGCAAGGGCAGTCCGCATCACGTGAAATGTCAGCAACCGCGTGTTTCCGCCGGTTTAAAGACAGCTGTTCTCCTCTCTCTTTATTGAGCCCCTGTGGCCAAGAAAGCTTCTTGTTTAATCAACCTAATTCATTCAATTACCGCTATTGTTAACCAACTGATAGACAGCATTTCTTTTTCTCCTACAATATGCCGTCAGAGCATCACATTGTGGAAGATGTCACCGCAACGGCCTCGCAAGTCCGCGAGCGTCATACCCCGGCATTGGAACAGGAGAAGCACGAATACGAGGAATTCCCTCCTGGTATGTCGATCTCATTTTAGAATACTTGTACTCTAGGCACACGGAACCTTAGATACCACACAGTATGACTGTATCTCTCTCCTCTATCGGATTCCTTATCCTATCCTCTCCACGCTGTAGATAGTAACTTGGAGATTTTGGAGATATTGCTGATCATTATATCTGTGCCTACCCAGCACCGCCGCCCCACTGGGAACTCACCAACAAACACAACGCCCGGATCCCCCTCTGTGCCGCCCATAGAGGGTTCAAGTTGCGGTATCCCGAGAATACGCTGAGTGCGTTTAAGGGCGCGCTCGAGGCCGGCGCGAATGCTCTCGAGACGGATCTGCACGTCTCACGGGACGGGGTGGTGGTGCTGTCCCATGATCCGTGGCTTAAGAGGTGCTTCGGGGTTGAGAATAAGAAGGTCGTCGATTGCGACTGGGAGTATTTGTCCACATTGAGGACGGTGGACGAGCCCGTGGATCGCATGCCGAGGTTTGTTGACTTGTTGGAGTTTTTGGATCAGGAGGGTCGGGAGGATGTTTGGGTGTTGTTGGATATTAAGGTATTTAAATATATTCCCTTTTCATTTCTGTTCTTTCGGGCAAAGCTGACTGACAATCATCAACGTAACAGCTAGACAATGATCCAAACCGGGTCATCCCGTTAATAGCAGAAGCCATCTTGTCTCATCCTCCCAACCGCACCTCGAAGCCCTGGTGCAGTCGATTCGTCCTCGGCTGCTGGTCCGCCAAGTTCCTCCCTCTCTGCGCAGAACATCTTCCCAAGATCCCCATCACCCTAATCTGCTTCGACATCAGCTACGCCCGACAATTCCTCACCGATGCAACGCCCAACATCGGCTTTAACATCAACCAGCGCGTCCTCATGGGACCCCTGGGACGGGGCTTCCTGGAGGAAGCCAAGAAGGCGAACCGAATGGTCTACGTCTGGACCGTTAACGCGCCTAATCTCATGAGGTGGTGTGTTCGGCATAAGATCGATGCCATCATGACTGATGACCCCGTTACGTATGGGGTCGTTGCTGCGGAGTGGAAGGGCCAGCAGGCCGGGTTTGAGGGTGATGGGGCGAAGAAGAAGGAGAAGATCACATTCAAGCAGAGGTTGCAGATTTGGGTTATTTCCGCGCTTGTTCTGCTTTTTGGGTGGGCGTTTAAGCTCAAGTTTCTTCCTTCTCTGGAGAAGGTGAAGTATCAGAAGGCCAAGGCTAAGTAGATTTTCCTTTTTTGGGAGGGGAAGTCTGAAACACCCGGGCATTTGTCCGTTTGTTATAGACCAGGCTTGACCGGGTAGAAGGATAGATAGACCGCATTTCGGTGCTGCAGTTATTGAAGCTTTGCTCATGATTGAGGTACATTAATGATATGTCAAATATCATGAAATCAAAGAAACAGCCTCTCTACTTCCCGCCCTTCCTCCTCTCAGCCTCCGCAATCCACTGCACTGACGCCTCCTTCCAGTCCGCATCCCACCTTGAAAACACAGGCCTCTGCTCAACAACATCATCACTCGCCCAATTCATGCTCACCTGATCCAATGCTGCATCCGTCTCTCCATCGGGACAGACAATACAAAACTCACCCTTTTTCCAACCCCACTCCAATTCCTACACAATGTCACTCGGATACTATTCACCAGCCGGTTTAGGCTCGTCTGCGCCTTCGCTGTGCACCACTCCGCCAGATGTTGAGTCCCGTGAGCGTCCACTGCTGAGAGGAGGGGAGTAGTGGGATGAACGCAGCGATGCCATTTATTGGGCTGAAGATGTTTGTGTCTACCGTAATCCAGAACCGAGCGTTCCGCCCTATACCGTGGTCTAGGAAGTACGATATAATCTGACCTCCCTAAAGCATATATATTATTAAAAACTAGTTCCTATAGCGATTATGACATTGCAATCGCCTGTCTCCAACAATATGGCAATCACCACACCGTGGTGTTATACGCTGCTCAACTGCAGCCGGTGCTGATTCAGTAGGTTGAGCATTTTGAGGTCCTTGGACCTCATTCTCATGCTGTAGAAACCGTTGGCCTTCCTCAATAGATAGGCCTTCTGCAGTAGCTATCTGCTGCCTAGATTGCTTCCCTTTTTGAAGCTGCTTCTCATGTGCAGCTTGTAGACCATGGACTTCTTTCTCAAGAAGAATGGTCTCATTTAATGCTATTTCAAATCCTTTTTAAATCTTCTCCAACCATATCTCAGCAAGAGATAAAGGACTTTGTGTATGATCCTGAAGAAGCCCTCTAACCTTGGATACTGTGAGGCCTGCGGTCAGGGATGAGAAAATGTTGGAGGATGTGCTGGTCTATTTGAGGAGCACTATCTAACGTGGGCAATCGAGGTCAAACTAGGGCGGTCTGGCATGGCAGAACCTATTAGGGCACGTGGACACGTGAAATATAATCACGTGACTGTAACAGCTAAAAAGTGAAGGAATACCTCAAGATCTGGGTCAACATTGCCTGTTTCAGATATATTGTCATCCAAACAAATTATTAGCTGATTAGAGTTCATTCCGGCGCATGTATAATAATATGTTTCTAACTGATTAGTAGCCGCTTGAGGTAATTGATATAGGGAGTAGAGAAGGTGAAGGAAATTGAATTTCATGAGCTGGTGTATGGTATTTAACAAACGGGGACTCGGTTTAGGTAGGCGGTGTGGGCAAGAGTAAGTATTCCATTGCATCCATATATGAGCGTTATTATCGTACATGGAATTCTGCTTCATTACATTATACCGTACATTTCAGTCCAGAAGGAATATCCAATGGCATATCCGTATCCAAAACATCGTCTGATCATGCAAATCTGACCTTGGGCAACCCTCTCTTCCTCAGGACTCCCGCGTCGGCCAGGGACAGCTGCCGGCCAGGTCCAAAATCTGGTGTGCCTCCAAGCGACCCAAACATATCGCCAATGTAGTTGCTAGGCGTGACACCGGCCGCAAAGGTAGTGTTCCATCCACTCAAGATACCCTCGACTACCTTGACACCTGCAAGGTAGATGTTCTGCACGGCGGGTTTGAATCCGCCCTGGTTGGCGTACAGAAGGTGATAGACGGCCTCCTCGCCGGGATGGGGGCGATCAAAGTCTGAGGCGGTGCGCATAACGATGATGCGCGAGAAATCGGTCAGGTTCCGGACGGAGGAGCGCAGGAGCGCCTCGAGAGTTGCATTGTCCTCCTGCGCCGTGGAGCAATATTGACCAGTTCCGTTGGTCCATACGCTTGTGATATTGTCGAAACCAGAGCTTAGAATGTTGCCGCTATAGTAGACATCGGATGTTGCGACGTCGCATTTGACCACGGACGGTGGTAGCGCGCCAATTTTTTTCTGGCCGTCTGGAGTCGCATATTTGGCACGATACACCTGAGCCGCACTGGAGTCGGCAAGTTTGGCCTGCTGAGCGAATAATACTGCTATGGCGCGCAGGTCGTCGTTCACTTCGAACACCTCGGTGCCGTAGATGTTACCTGGGAATTGATTGGGAAGATAAGATCCCTGCGGAATGTATCCAGTGGAGTAGTTGGCCGGCAATTCGCGGGGGTCGATCTCATGCTGGAGGGCAACCTGGACGGCAAACCGGGCGAAAGTCACAGAGCCGATGGTGGCCCTTTCGGGGTTAACGCCGGCAATGCCGGCGATGAAGAAGTAGGTCTTGCGCAAGTCAAACAGAGGCGACAATGTCAGAGCCATGATGGTCGTCGCGGCATTGATCTCGGACTCTCCAGTGGTGAGTTGACAGACATCGTAGTCCGGGGTGCAGTGGACATCGGGGTAAATGGGTGCAGTGGACATCGGGGTAAATGGGTGACAGCCCTGGAACAGTAATGTTATGGGCAAGCAAGTCGAATTCAGGAATTCCCCACCATATCTCCGTCTCGGGCTCAAACTGATGAGAACAGATTAGCAATTCTGTCTACACAGTGCTCCGTTCGACATAGGTCTTGACTCACCATCGACACAATGAACACCTTGGGTGCGATCTTGGACACCTTCTCCGGTGTGCGCGACATCACCATCGGATTTGCAAAGGCTTGCAGCCACAAGGAGCTGCCTATGAGCAGCACGCCGGCGACGGTACATTGAAGACGCATTGTGACTTGGGTTCTCGACGGGATTGTCCCTCAGGAACAGCACAGCCAAGCAAAGCTTCTTAATATATGCAGCAGCAGAGACTTCGAGAGTATATTCCAGAAGCCATTTCGGCGGGTGCCATCGCGTGTCGATGCATATCTATTTACCCACATAGCAGGATAGCACTGGCCGTAAGCAAAGATCAGCACGCAGCTAGTCAATCTTACTGCAAATTCGCACTCGGTGAGACACTCAATTCGCCCACGTTGGACATGTCTATCATCTCGATATCTCTGCTGCACAAGATAAGAAGCCCTGTTGCTGTATGCGTGCGTTCTGATTTATCATTTTTATTATTTACTCCGCATTAATCGCAGGGTGATATCCGAAGACATCCGAAGTGCTGGACAAGCTGGATAATATTCTCGAGGCCAGTTTTCCTGGTAAATTCTGCGAGACTGGCAGGTTGACCTGAGAGATATTTGCCATTAGGTGGATGAACCTGCAGATCTGCGGGCCGAGATCTAAATAAAATTGCCTCCTAGAAATATCCTCGTCAGCTCTTGGGTTAGCAGTTCTTCCTGAAATAACACCATCTTTCCCTTGTCCCTGTTCCAAGGTCAACAATAACAATGATGTACAGAACAGGGGCTTCTGTTGCCAACCGAGGGTATTGTTATTTAGGACCCCGGAGTTGCTGGTAGCGTTCTGTCTGACGGCAGAATCCAGATGATATATGTCCCAGGCAGGATGCCACTGTTGTTCTCCCCCCTCTTCATCCATGCAGCGAATTCCAGAATGATCATAGTCATTTCATTTATACCCTGATGGGAAACAACGATGCTGTATTGAGTAATACCTAGGTACCAGACCCGGTACCATTCCCATAAGACAACTACGCACTCGCTTGTAGGAAAAACAGCTGGGAATCACTTTTGCAGGTCAATTGAATGGGTCATCAGCTTGAAGAGGATACATATTTTGCATTAATGAAGAGATAAACAGATTCCATGACCAATTCTGCTATGATGCATCTACTCTGCATGCTCCATTCACTGTGGAAAAAGGAAAGCCAGTGAAGTCGTGTGGCTTTATACACGTGACATGTCTTGGCAGTGCGGAGGCGGAAGAGCATCACGTTGAAAGACATAGCTGTCCAGATGCCAGCTCCAACTCACCAGACACCAATTTCTTTTCCACTGGCGGTCCAACTCATGTCTTCCTGAATATCGCTTTTTTTTATATCTACTGAGACTGCCTTTATCAAATGACATTCCGCTTGTTACTCATTCCCTCGAGTCCGCGGTTATGAGGTTAGCGGCGTACGCCGGGGTATGTCGCCGATCCCAAGGAACGCATTTAAGCAAAGGACCCCACGTCTGACTGCGTTGATTTCTGCAGGTCTCTGTAGCCCTGGCTGCGGGCGTAGTCTTAAAAGCACTGCATCAGAGGGCAAACTTCTACTCAGCTTGCGTGTATCTCTCTCAGAGCAGTGCAAATCTCATGGTAGGTGCTTCTTACTCCCATGTCTCTCTATACGTCAATGCGACACAGTACTGATCGATCCCACGTAGATATTGACGAATCTATGCCTCCTAGTCACCGGATATCTTTTGTTTTGGCTGCAGAGGCTTCTTTACGGACCCCTCCGACCGATTGAAACGGAACAGCTGTATGAGAAGGCCTGGTTCGCTGTTACGGAGACATGTCTTGCCATGACGATTTTCCGGGGAGAATTGGGCGGCTGGTTCTTGGTAATGTTTGTTTGCCTGCTTGTTGGGAAGGTCTGGGGTTGGATTGGCGAGGGCCGCGTAGAGTTCCTGGAACAGCAACCCCCGTCCAACCCCCGTCTGTTCCACAGTAGGCTGGCTATCTCTCTCATCCTATCAGTCCTCTTTGACACGTTTATGTTGGAGTACTGCATCAAGACGGTCTTCCAGCAGGCCCGGCCGGATATGATGGTAATGTTCGGGTTCGAGTTCGCTGTCCTGGCGATCCTCTCCTGCTCTACTGCGGTCAGATACGCCATTGCTCTGGTCGAGATTTACATCACTCGCCAACAGTTGAAGGCCAAGATGGAGGAGCGCCGGGCAGAGATCCGTGCTGATAGGGAGGCTGCGATCCGAGAACATCAGGAGTCTGGAGGAAGCGGATACCTCCCCAATTTGCCGGATGAAAACGACGTCGACGAAATGGAAATTGACGTTCCAGGCTGGGAGGAGAAGGGTCGGTGGGTCTTCTACCTGGACCTCATGACCGACTTCCTCAAGCTTGCCGTGTACCTCGCATTCTTCGCTATTCTCTTCACTTTCTATGGACTGCCCATCCACATCCTTCGCGACGTGGTTATTACCATCCGCTCCTTTGGCAGAAGGATCATGGACTTCGTGCGTTATCGCAATGCCACAAGGGATATGAATGAACGGTATCCAGACGCAACCACTGAAGATATGAGAAACGATGATGTGTGTATCATTTGTCGCGAGCAAATGATTCCTGTGGACCCACCTGCTGGCGTAAATGGAGCAGCACCAGAACGGCCTAGAGTACCTGATAGGCTACGACCAAAGAAGCTTCCTTGCGGCCACGTTCTGCATTTCTCGTGTCTTCGAAGCTGGTTAGAGCGGCAGCAAAACTGTCCTACCTGCCGGAGACCCGTGACTATGCCCCCGCGCGATCGCGTTCTCCCAGGCCAGGGTGTCAACGACGCGAGGGATGCTCGGCAGCGGAATCAACGAGGCGGGCGGAATGGTAATGCGCCTGATGGATTTCCCAGGGCTCGGATCTACCAGTTTGGGCCATTTCGAATTGGATTTGGTGCCGGGAGACCCGAAGCAATGCAGGCCTTCCGGGAGCAGTTTCGAGAGGGAACTCTTCCACAACCTTTGAATAGACGGGATGTTGGCGCGGTAAGACGCGAACCGAACCCGCCAACTGCGCCAACTACCGAGCCTCCATCTGCTTCTGCGGTCAATCTTGAAAGCATCCAGAGGCAGTTACAGCAGATAGAGCAGCAAATCACTCAGGAGATGGACGGTCTGAGCGTTACGATTGAACAATTTCATCTCGTACTGCTTTTACAATCAGAGTTGCAACGACTACGAAGTCTTCAAGAGAATCCTGCAACTTCAACCAATCCCCCGAGTGTCTCGCCGTCTTCGTCATCATCCATAGCAATGCGCCGTCAATTCATGCCAAGCCCTCGAGACCCACCGTTAAGAACTGGAGACATTCGGCTGCCCGATGGCCTCAGTCTCCCGCCGGGTTGGACTCTCTATCCTCTTAGTTCTACCGATCTGGGCGCTGGGGGAGTAACGCCACCCAATCAAACTCCTGCCTCTTCGGAAATGTTTCCCGCTGGCGCAGCTGCACAGCATTCCTCATCGTCAACAGTAGCGGAGAACGCACGTTTGGGCTTTAATCGGGATGACAATGGTAATTCTCAGAGTCTGCCAAACTGGGGGGCATCGGCCGAAACTCGGATGCGGACTGGTAGCCAACCGACTCAATCGACATTTCAGGACCGCGTGAATACGACCCACAACACCGTGTCCGAGAAGCCTGGCGGACCAGACGCTCCTTCTGTCGCAGAGAACAACGAACAGCCTGTGGAGAGAGGACCGCAGGGGGACTTAGCGAATAACGAAGAATTATCAACATCATCCACAAAGGGCAAAGGTCGGGCTGCTACCGTGGAAGATGCAGTGGACGAAGAGAGGTGATGATCGTTGACGAAGGGTCTAGATGTGCAATAATGGGATGTTGTTTTTACCATCGGAAAGGCGTTTCAGTGATTCAGAGACATACCCGTACGCAGCCTTGGTTTTAATTTCTTTCATGTATTTTGCTGTTCTTTCTCTTCTGTTTATCCTTCAGACTGTACATGTATTGACATCTGTTCTCGTCACTGCTATCATACTTGCATTGAGATCGCACATACTGGAGTGCATCATCTGACCTGTAGCATCTGTTAAACAGGAATGACTAATTATTAAACGGGGAATTGACAGATCTGAAACAGATACAAAGCACAATAATAATGTTTGATCCATGCGCAATGTGTGCTTCCATGGAAAACAGCCGTAGCTGCGGCTGCATTGCTGGATTTACCATATGCAGAATGAAAGGCTTAGGGCTTAGGGCTTAACATTTTTTTAGGATCTTGATCTCCTGCTGCGAATGTCATTGTTCCAGAAACGCAGCTAGTTTTATTTAGACGTAGGCTGTACGGACTCCGGAGGATGTACATTCCTCGGGACAATGAAGCGGTAGTGCGAAACCTTGCAAGGTAGATCTGATGTAACGAACCTTCTCTCCAGTGGATGCAAACAGCCATCCCTGAAAGTCATTCGACCTACTCCGAGTACAGACCGTAGCAGATACTGATTAACCTGGAGATACCCCAAGGGTCCTGGGTTGCTAAGAGAACGGGTGCTTGCATTGGCAGTACACGGACATTGCAAGGGGATAACTAATACGAAGCATTATTGCCACCAGGATTTAAGATTACATTATGATGATACTGGCACTCTTAATATGCGCCATTGTATCATGATTGATTGACATCTTGGCAGTGGCTGTCGATCGGAGATCCCGCCAACGAAGGGGCCAGACACTACTTAGACGCTGCACATCGCCGCCGGATTCCCTGCCGTTGCAACTATCGTGCCTTTTCTTTGTTCTCTTTCTCTTGCTCTGCGCGCCTCGTGGACCTTGGCTGTCTGTATATCTATCCGGCAACGGTTACAGTCTCATCTCCACCCATGTCGACCATCTGAGGATTTTCCCTTTCACGTTCCTGGTTTGTCCACCCATGGAGTCCACTGTATCTGCCCGGCTAACACAAGCTGTCTCTTCTAATATCTAGTGTCTTTCTTTGCCCATACTCACAGTTTCGGCATGTTCTCTCACCATCTCTATCATTCCTTGTTGGCATGAATTAAGTACATACGACGCGTTCCACTTACACCCATTCACCCAATACAAGTACAGTTCACTTGTTTCCAACCAAGTGAACTGTTTTTCTTTTCGCGGCTTGTTCCTGGTGAACTCCGCAGACGTGCAGTCGCATTGTGCATTCGCATTTTGCGGCTTGTTCCTGGTGAACTCCGCAGACGTGCAGTCGCATTGTGCATTCGCATTTTGCATGTTCTTTGTCCCTTCATCAATGACGCGACTATTTTGATGAATGCCTTTTTTGCTTTAGAGGTTTTTGTACACGACCATTCTTCCCATGACGCACCTACGACATAAAGCTTCTATTCTTGGCTTCGCCTTCACCTACCTTTTCCTTTACCTGATCTTCAGGCTTTCGAGTCAATGGCATGATTCAGCTACCATAGTGAGGATGGGCGACAGCATAGTCGCACCGTCCCCGATGCCGTCGAGAGCAGTCTGGAACATCAGCAATGTGGGAATGCGTCCACGTCCTCATTCCCCCCGACCGCAGTACGCACCTGGCCTGCCCAAACTTCCTGGATCAGCATATAGCAAAATAATCGTGGTAGCTCGGACAAGGGAGGAGGATACAAGTTGGATGGCGCGGGAGCTCCCGGACTGGCAGACTGCTATCTACGTTGCCGATGATCCCACAGCTCCTCTCCACCCACCGAAAAATAAGGGCCACGAAGTCATGGTTTACTTGACCTATATCATAGACCACTACGATAACCTTCCCGATATCATCGCGTTCATTCACTCGCACCAATTCGCCTGGCATATCGATGAGCTCTTTGGCGGTGATGCCGTGGTCATGCTTCAGCGTCTCAACCCGGCTCGTGTCATCAGGGAAGGCTACACGAACCTCCGCTGCATCTGGAACCCCGGTTGCCCTGACTGGATGCACCCCGGCGCCCGCGAAGAAGACGAGAGCAAACAGGAAGAAACCATCTTCGCGCACACGTGGGGTGAGCTCTTCCCCAACGAACCCGTGCCGGACGTCCTCGCCCAGCCCTGCTGTGCCCAGTTCGCCGTCTCGCGGGAACGCATTCTAGCCATCCCCAAATCTCGCTTTATCTTCTACCGCGACTGGGTCCTGAAGACTGATCTGAGCGACTACATTTCCGGTCGCATTTGGGAGTATCTCTGGCACGTTGTATTCTCGGGCCAATACACCGTCTGTCCGAAAGAGCACGTATGTTACTGCGATGGCTACGGCGCTTGTTTCGGGGGCGAGAAGGAGTACGATGCCTTTAGGGGTCTAGGATTTCAGAAACAGGACCTTGAACGAGAACTTCAAGAGTGGCAGGCTCAGACACAGTCAATCGAACTGGCGCGCATGGATGAAAGTATAGATGTGTCGGAGCTATATGATGTTCCTGCGCCGGGAAGGGACGTGGAGATCGCCCATGAGATTGCGGAGAAAGAGAAAGCGATGCAAAAGATGATTGACGAAGCTGTTGCCCGTGGTAACGATCCCAGACTCAGGGCTCTTGAGGTTGGAAGGGAGTGGAAAGAGGGAGACGGATTTTAAGATCTAGCCTCTCATCCTTTCTCCCCATTACTTCGTGGCTTCATCCATATACACCATCTCCTCGTCCATCTATCTTTTGTGAATTTTAAGCTCAGTCTGATGCTTACCTTTTCTCCGACTTGGACATTAGATGTCTTGTTTTTGTGCATGCACCATTGGTCCTGGGATTGTTGTTTGTAAATACATCCATGTCTATTCCTTTTATACTTGCCTTCTTGATCATTTCCCTTGAGAAGATCTTGCATGGGTTTTGTTTTTACCATCTGTTTCTATTGTTGGGTTGACCTGCGGCAACGAAAGATGTCTATATGCGAGTGACACAAGGATAAAACCACCACATTATGCTGTATATCTATCTACATGATGCTTCTAGAATACACATTGTTCCATTTCTGTCTTCTGTTGTCTATAGGAGTAATAACTAGTAGTAGTGAGCCACGCAAATTATGCGGTAATGGTACTAGTCGCCACCCGTAGCAACTGGTTCGAAACACGTGACCAGAACAGCTCAGAGTTTGCACTGTCTGCCCAACCTTCAAACCGCGCAAACATCGTATCGCCAGCGCGCCCCGAACAGCCATATCGATTCCATCTGCAAGTCGCGCGAGTCTTTTTTAACGGCCGGGGGCTCCAGGCCTCAATATCGAATTGTTGTTTGACTTTCTTTCTTTCAAACTCAACGCATTCGGCGGCGGAATTTGGGGCTGACGAACTGTTATTATTATTTCTTTTTTTTTGTCGTTGTGTTTGCTTCTGCACTATACTAGAGGTACGGACGGACAGACGGACAAGGCGATTGAACGTGAGACGCGACAGGAATTATCTATTTGCTCCGAGTTGGCCAGATTGGGAGATCGCATTTGTTGTGCGCGTTGAGGCGACTATCAATTGCTTGCTTGCTGTCTTTGGCGGGGATAAAGAGAGTATCGACGAGCTACAACATACTACTGACAACCGATAACAAGATCGTATCAGGTGGGATTGATTGGATCTTTTCTATTTCATACTATTGATATCTGGTCCAAACGGCGAACATGACGTCCACGCCTGCATCGGCATCTAATCACCAACATCACACGCCGACATCTTCGGCTGAGTTTTCTTCCCATCCAAATTCAAACACGCATGCGCATGCGCATCCTTCGCATCTCGATTCAAGTGCCCAGCTCGCAACAACAGGGTATGCACCTAACGATAACCAGTTGGCGGGACTAGTTGAGGCTGCGACTGCAGCTGCGGGGCAGGACGTGTCGGAGTGGGCAGCTGCTGCGGCTGTTGCTGCGGCGGCGGGGGCAGCGGGGGGCCATCACCAGCTAGACGGGTATGGAGGAGATATACATATTGGAGACGATGGGTTCGGAGACGCTGGGTTCGGAGGATTAGGTGGCGGGAAAACGATGAGAGGATCCGGATCCGCGAGTGGTGAGCAAGGCCATGCGCCCGAGAGGTCTGTTTCGAAGAAGAGGAAGAGAGGAGGGGAAGATCCTCTTGATCCAGCCTTGACGGCTGCGAGTGCTGGGGTTGGATTTGGTACTAGCCAACATCAACATCAACATCAGCATGAGCGGCAGCAGCAAGAGTCGCAACAGCAGCAGGCAAGGCTTGATGGTGAGGATTTGGACATGCGAGGCTTACCGGCTCAGTCGATGTCAGATATTCGTGCCGCGGGGGTACATTCAGCTGCGGCGCTCTTTCGGCAGCCGTCTAGTAATAAGAAGTACACCCGTCCGCCCATGTCGAAGTTATTCTCGTCGCTTGAGTTATCGCCTGAGAATTTCTTGCACTTGCAAGCTGCCGCTAAGGCGTACATGTTGGACGAAAATCATCCAGAGAGGCGCGACTGTGTAGGTCAGAGGGGTAAAGGAGATACAGAGATGGTCAAGTTGAGACTGTGGAATTGTGTACGCAATTTCTTGGAAACAGAGGGAAATGGAGAACGGTTCTTCGGGGAAAATGTAGTGAACGAGGGTATCGGTCCTCGGACGCACGTTTGGCCTCGCGACCAGCAGAAGATTATCTCGCTCGTCATTCCTCTGCTAAGGAGGATGGTTACGAATGAACGGCAGAGGCAATACGCTATCGAGACGAGAAAAGGTGGCGGTACTGAGGAGCGAAAGAGAAAGAAGATGGATGACAGTCTACAGAGATTCAGTCCCTCCCAGCAGTATTCGACCGAGGAGCAGCTACAGATGCACCATCAAAGCCAACAGAACCACCTGCCTGACGATTATACAGCACCCCCTCCACTTCCACCAATACCCGCTCAGATTCCGGTCCAGGGCATGGAGCTGGGGTTAACTGACTTGCTGACTGACGGGTACCAGGCCACCTGGGATGCCATCGCAAGGTCATACGAGGTATACAACCAGAATTATGAGCTGGACAGTCTCTGGGCCATCTCGGGTCTCCAGCAGCAAGATTGGAAGGGATTGGTTGCTGCGGTTGATAGCCATTACCAGATAGTCCACAACGGGGGATATGGTTGCCCATCGGTATGCGAGGATGCTTTCATTAACCATATCATAAACTCGAATTCCGCGTCGAATTTGCCATGGAGAATCGGAGGAAGTCAAAACCAACCCGCGAAGAATGAATTCGCCTCCAGCATAATACGCGATATCTCACGTGTCGTCCGCGATGCTTTATCTGGGAGAAGATCCGAAGACCATCCAATTGTCTCTCCTCATGTGCCTCCTCCATCCGCGCCTCCTTCTGCGGCCGTGGGCATGGAGCAACAGTCTCACATCCCGAACTCTTCTTCCTCCCCACAACAAGCCGCGATCATCCCCTCGCAACATTACAATCCAACTGGTGAAAACCTGGCACCACCCGCTCCGAACAACCAGGCCGTCTCTTCGAATACTGCATCGACTTCAGGCCCTTCCTCACTGATAAACCTATACATCAATATCCTCCAGAACAGCAAACGTATTATCCCCCAACTTAGCCTCCCGGCGGACCAATGCCCGGATCTGGGAACATTGCGGGACGTCATCACCCGGCGCTATCCGGGTCAGATAACTTTGCAGCAACAGCCAGTGCAAGGGCCATTGTCATTGCCTTCTGCCAGTTCTGATCCTGATTCTGGTTCGTGGCGAGTAAAGGTCTGGCTTCCCGATGGGTTGGCCTCGGTTTCGAGTGATGGGGAGTGGACGGTTGCGTTGCTTTCGGCGGGAAATGTGGATTGGATGGATGGGAGTTTGAAGGTTCTTGTGGATGTTGCCGGGGAGAGCCGGTGATGTGATGTGATGATGTTTTCTTTCATGTGGGATATTTACTATTGTACGGAGTATTGGGAGAGTAAATGTAGTATTAGTTAGTACCTAGTTTTAGCCATATACCCTTATGCTTGTTGAATTGAATGGATGGTTATGGGCTTGAACTATTTAATTCATGCAACTGTAGTCCCTACGTTTTAGAAGGATCCCAATAATCATCCCATCCTTGTTTGATTTTTAATTTGGACAAGATCCCATAATACATAGTTCACCCGAAGAAACGACTAGCAGACCTTTCCTACTCCATCCCCATTGAATACCCCCAATACACCCGAGGGGTCAACAAACCGACAAATAATACACATGAGAACCATAGAAACCGAACCCGAAAAAGAAAACAACCCCACGATGCAGAAAGTCGAAAGTCGAAAGTCGAAAGTCAAGCAAAAGAACTACGCCACCTAACGCCTTTCAAAAGCCTCAATCTCATCCTCATTATCCTCAAACTTAGTCCGGAACTCCTTCAGTGCCTGCGCAGAGCTGTTAGGATGATATAGCTGCTTTGAGGTGAGATTGAAGCCCGAGTCTTCGATTTCGTCTTCGGCTCCTGCTTTGCCCCTGTTCATATATATATACATCAGTATATGGTTCCTGCACATGTCTCTATGTATGCATAGTTTAGTGAGGATGAGAGTACATACCAATTGCCTCTTCCGCCGCCGTTCTTCTTGACTTTGGTGGGATCCCCGTTGACAGGGCCCCGTTTGGCGAAGTAGTGGGGGAGGTGGCTGGTGTCTGGGGGAGAGTTTTGGGCTTCGGGGGAGCGAGAGCCGTGGCGGTCATTGGCTTTGTGGGAGCGTGTCACTGGTTTTATTAGCATCATTGGAATAAAATAGATGAATGAATTGGATTGAATCCAATTGAGAAGAATACTCACTGGTGAAGCTGAGGTGGTAGGTAGTTCTGATAATGTATCGATAAGATAGGGAGATAGGTTGAAGCTAGTATGTAGCTGCAGAACTAGGAGAAGACTTCCACTAGAACTTGGAACTTAAAGAAGCTGAACTGAAGCTGAAGAGCTGAGAAACAAACAGCACCCCTGAGTATTTAAGCAGCTCAACCCCGCAAACACAGGGTCACATGAGGGGTCATCTGGTGCGTCACCTCATTCGGCTTCGGCAAGCGAGAATCAGGAGCTGGTGATGTCAGTGCTCCAGTCCGGGGTGCTGCGGATGGCTTCATTCATATTTCTATCTACTTCTAGCTGCACACTGCGGCAATTGACGCATCTATATGCATCATCCCCACACTGTATCTTCACTGCATCCTCACAGTGGAGTGAACTCATTGGCCACTCGTTGGCTGTCCGAGGTTGGGACACCCGTCCCAGGTTAACACCCAAGAGGCACAACCGCCCATAAGTCTGACCACGCTGGCACCCGATCCCAGGTCCCCCACAGCCGATGCCGTGAGCAAAGACCTATTGCAGATGCGTCACCAATCAGCATCACCTCGGACATGTCACTGCATATCAATGCTGACGGACTAAGCTGAATAACCAAGGCACATCGGATCCTCAGTACTTTTGTACCTGCCGGTCAGTACTGTCCGTATTCGCCAAGCATCCAGCTCTGTAATCTTCCCCAAAACCCAAGGCAATAAATCGGATAACCCTACAGTCTTCACGGTGCCTCGCCATCGATCTTGGCATCTCCCCCTGCAGCTTCCAGCCGTGCTTTCTTGGCCCTCCGCTTCATCTCCCGTTTGGACAGGGGCTTCTCTGTCGATTCAACCACTGCGTCCTGTCCGACAGACGCCTTTCTCTTCAGGCTATCTCCGCCTGTCGTAGCGGGAATCGTAACCTGTTTCTTAGTTGCCCCCCTTCCCTCGGGTTTAATCTCCTCCGGCTCTCCTCCGTCCACAACATCGACAATTCCTCGCCAGCTGCTCCGTTTCAGTTTGGCCAGTGCCACAACTTTCCGTGCTTCTTCACAAACAGCTTCCTTCCCACGTTCCTGTGAGAGTCCCCACACACAGGTGAGGTTAATAACGTCCCACGGAGCCCGTATACTCAAAGCCTTCCTAGCTTCACTGGATACAATTATACCCCTTCCCCGCGTGGCACGGATAAGTGACATTGCGTTTCCGATGAGATTCCGCCGTGCATCCACGCCACTGCCAGTGATTCCGGGTCCGTAGCAGATCTCGACGCGAACGCCACGTGAGATAGCCGCAGACAACATCTTGAATTTAAAATGAAATGGCAGCCTGACGGAGAGATCCAGCGAGATCAAGTCGCATTCTAGATTTGTGCATGCATTGAGAAGCGTCTTTTCGTTTGTGGGGCGCAGCGCAACCAAGTCGTACGCCTGCGTGAGACTTGTCAGGCGTTGATTTTGAGACGGATCCGACAGCGTTAGGTTCAGGCGGCTTAGGAGTTTGAGTGATTTCGGTGCATTGGCTGGGGGTGGTGGGGGAGCAAGGGTTCCAGGAAGCTTTCCGGTAATCGTTTGGGAGAGGGCAACCGTCGAGTAACCAACTTATAATGACTCCGTTAGCTTCGTAGGCAGCTGAGTACGTGACAAGGAAAAAAGTGACGTACGTTCGGCAAGGAAATTTAATGTGTGAGAGATCTCTAAATCTCCTGCACTGTAAGGGATATTCAGATCATAAAACATCTTAAATAGTTGGACTTCTGTACACTTTGCAGCGTCCTCGTTCTCGCTTCGTCAAAATTTATCCTCGTCGTCTCCGTCAACCGTCCAAGAAAGGAAATGGAAAAGTTCCCGCGATAATAGTTTATCCGGGGTAGCTGTCGGTCTAGCCGTTTTCGGTACACCCCACGCCATTGTGTCCCGTGACCGCCATGATCATCGGAGCCTGGAATGCTGTAATAGCTTCAGTGCAATACTTTAATCCTGCGCCTCAACGACAGTAGAGCTGCTCCTTCGAACAGATCTTTGATTCCATCCCTAGTACTCGCAGCAATAGTCGCGGCTACCTCCTCTATCGCGCCCACTCTCCCCGGTTCGGTTTCGTCTCTCCCTTCTCCTGCCCCGCCCGCAATTTGATCTAGCGGTAAAGCATTTATTGTGCGCGGATTTGCAACCCGACTCTGAGACGCCACCAACATGGCGCGCGTCTATGCCGATATCAACGACCATATGCCCCGGTCTTACTGGGACTATGACAGCGTCAATGTTTCCTGGGGGGTGCTTGAGAATTACGAGGTCATCCGCAAAATAGGTGAGACAGACGGTTCTCCCATCACCTGATGAGGCCACCGCGTTATGCGAGAATTGACAATTATGAATGTCTCACAACACTGGTTACTGACAGGTTATTTGAACAGGACGCGGAAAGTATTCGGAAGTTTTCGAGGGCATCAATGTCGTCAATTACCAGAAGTGTGTCATCAAGGTCCTCAAGCCGGTCAAGAAGAAGAAGATTAAGCGTGAGATCAAGATCCTTCAGAATCTTGCAGGTGGTCCCAACATTGTAGCCTTGCTGGACGTTGTTCGGGACACCCAGAGCAAGACACCAAGCCTGGTTTTCGAATATGTCAACAATACGGACTTCAGGACGCTATACCCACGCTTCACGGACTTTGATGTCCGCTTCTACGTTTATGAGTTGTTGAAGGCGCTGGACTTTTGTCATAGCAGAGGCATTATGCATCGAGATGTCAAGCCTCATAATGTTATGATCGATCATGAAAAGCGCAAGGTTGGTTTCTTCCCTCTTTTTTTTTTTTTTTTTTTTTTTTTTTTCTAGTTCGATTTTCGAACCCAGAGCTGACGTGGATTGAAATTTTGCCTTTTACATTTAGCTGCGGTTGATTGACTGGGGTCTTGCCGAATTCTATCACAAAGGCACGGAGTACAATGTCAGAGTTGCGTCGAGGTACTTCAAGGGCCCAGAGTTGCTCGTTGACTTCCAGGAGTATGATTATTCTCTGGACATGTGGTCTCTGGGAGCCATGTTTGCTTCGATGATCTTCCGCAAGGAACCATTTTTCCATGGACAGAGCAACGCAGATCAGTTAGTGAAGATTGCAAAGGTTCTGGGAACCGAGGAGCTTTTCGAATATTTGGACAAGTACGATATCGAGTTGGATCCTCAGTACGATGAGATTCTTGCCCGCTACCCTCGGAAGCCCTGGCAGTCGTTTGTCAATGCAGAAAATCAACGCTTTGTCAGCGATGAAGCCATTGACTTCCTTGACAAACTTCTAAGATACGATCATGCGGTACGTTAACTTCCCGGACTGACTGCATTAGCAGAATATACTGATGGACTGTTTCCCAGGAACGTCTTACTGCTAAAGAAGCCATGGCTCACCCATACTTCGCCCCGGTTCGCGCGGCGGAAACACAGCGGAACAATGCAGCTTAATTATAGAGGACCAGATCTGTCTGATGACAGCACACTGCTTCAAGGCTATCTTCCGATTTCTCTGACCTCTATTTCGCTGTGCTCTATATTAGAACGTGTTTGTGTCCAGCGCTACGGGTTTGTGGGCTGACTTTCGAGTTTTGAGGTGATTATGGCATGTGCGAGTATGAAGTCACCATGGTCGAAACAGCAGCCGAGTACATGTCTCGTGAACCCTGGCGAACCAAGTTTGACGAGTTACGGACATGGAAGTTTGAAAACGATTATCATGACAGCGGACATACATCTAATATGTTGGGTTCAACTACTCGCCCGGTGTATGAAATGAGCGAAGTGGAATCTTCTTTTCGATCAAGCTGAAAGCATCATTGAATTTCTTCCATGATATAATTCCACGGCCTGCTTATGTTTCCCAGGCTCCTTTTTTTCTCTTTTTTTCTTTTCTTTTCTTGTCCTCTTCGCTCATCATCCCGTAATCTCTGAATGGCGTTTACGGAAATGCAGCTATTTTTCCTCTATCAATCTCCATGATCTCTTCCATTTCCTTCTCTGGTTGGCGCATGTCTTTCATCGAAGGAGCAGATGTGATATTGATTGATGTCTTTTTCTTAACGGCTTCAAAGAGATCAATAGATGGTCGTCTAGTCCAGTTACCGAATAAGCTACTTAGCACATGTCTGTCTTCTAGCACAGTATTTACTTTTCAAATGGACTTCTTGTAGGCGTCGTGTTTCTCTTATGGGCTGATCATGATCACGTGGCATGACTCACCTCCAGCGGCAGAAACAGAGGAAGGGAAAAAAAATAAGGAAGAAGAGAAGAACAGCTGTTCCATCTCTCTCCACAAGCAATTCAATTCAATTCCTCTCGTAATTCGATATTTCCTCTCTACAGTGCAAGCATTTAGCCATCGGGGGTATTCTTCGGGACCCACACTAACCCAACTCCGGGTACAGTTCCACTCTTTTTCTCTTGCAGCGAAATTTAGTTTAACGACCCCTTCAGTCTCGCATAAGAGAAACCCTCACCTCCCCGCCGCAACTACCCCGCCTGAGTTGCTGTTTCAATCCAGGACGTGATTAATCACGATACTCATCCGGCGACTTGTGGCGCATTCGGCGCCCAGGAGATTCAGACCTCCGCAACAGTATCGGTATCGATTATTTTCCAGAATGACTCAATCTTCTGCGGCTCAAAATCCCGGTAAGTTATCAAGGCATACGGATGCCCGGAGACAAAAGACTAATATATATTTTTTTTCTCTTCCGTTACAGTTGGGGAGCCACCTGCTCCTATTGCTGATCAACCGCCTCATGCCGATGATCTCACGAGGAATCAGGAGGTTGATCAGAAGACGAAGGAACAGGCTGCTAAGGATGTCGCTGCGCCTCCGAAGGTGAAGAGTGAGAAGGAGCGTACGTCTTAGTCTCGCCGCTTGCCTGCCCCTTGACTGTTCTGTGACTGATTGCTGACAATGCTTTCGCTGTTTTGTACAGTGGAACGTGAGCGGAAAAAAGCAGAGAAGGCGAAGAAGTTTGCAGAAAAGCAGGCGAAGCAGGCTGCGGCAAAACAAGCAGCCCCCAAGGCTGAGAAGAAAGCCAACAAGGTGGAAAAGGAGAAGACGACCGACGCGTACGATCCTAAAACTGTCGAGTCTGGCCGATATGAATGGTGGGAAGAGCGTGGTTTCTTCAAGCCCGAATTCGGACCTGATGGCAACGTCAAGCCTGAGGGCTACTTTGTCATTCCTATTCCGCCGCCCAACGTGACCGGTTCGCTTCACATGGGCCATGCTCTCACCAATGCTTTGCAGGATACCATGATCCGCTGGCAGCGGATGAAGGGGAAGACAACTCTCTGGCTTCCTGGAATGGACCATGCGGGTATCTCCACTCAGAGCGTTGTGGAGAAGATGCTCTGGAAGAAGGAGAAGAAGACTCGCCATGACCTGGGCCGGCCTGCTTTCGTGGAGAGGGTTTGGGAGTGGAAGCACGAGTATCATGCCAATATCAAGAACGCTCTGCGGAGAGTGGGTGGTTCCTTTGACTGGACTCGTGAAGCTTTCACCATGGATCCTAATCTGTCTGCGGCTGTTACGGAGACCTTCGTCCGACTTCACGAGGAGGGCATTATCTACCGTGCAAACCGCCTGGTGAACTGGTGTGTGGCTTTGAACACTTCTCTGTCTAATCTGGAGGTGGAGAACAAGGAGATCGAGGGCCGTACTCTCCTCGATGTTCCTGGCTACGACAAGAAAGTTGAGTTCGGTGTCCTAACTCACTTTTGCTACGAGATCGATGGCTCAACAGAGAGGATTGAGATTGCCACCACCCGTCCTGAGACCATGATTGGTGATACTGGTATTGCTGTCCACCCTGATGATAAGCGCTATAAACACTTGGTTGGAAAGTCAGCCCGACATCCCTTTGTAGACCGCTTACTCCCTATTGTCGCCGATCCCGACGTTGATCCTGAGTTCGGTACTGGTGCCGTGAAGATAACACCTGCTCACGATTTCAACGACTTTAACCGTGGAAAGGCACACAACCTTGAGTTTATCTCCATATTGAACGACGATGGCACTCTCAATAAGAACGGTGGTCCTTTTGCTGGCCTGAAGCGATTTGATGCCCGTTACAAGGTCATCGAGGCCCTGAAGGAAAAAGGATTGTATGTTAAGTGGGAGAACAACCCCATGAAGGTTCCGCGTTGTGCCAAGTCCAATGATGTGATTGAACCCATTCTGAAACCTCAATGGTGGATGAAGATGGAAGGCCTCGCCAAACCAGCCATCGAAGCCGTTGAGAAGGGTGAGATCATCATTCGTCCTGAGACCGCCGAAAAGAACTATTTCCACTGGATGAGAAACATCAATGACTGGTGTCTATCCCGACAGCTTTGGTGGGGCCACCAGGCACCGGCCTACTTGGTTCATATCGAGGGTGAAGAACCTGATGAGAGTGATGGAAACAATTGGGTGACTGGCCGTACTGAGGAAGAAGCCCAAAAGAAGGCCGAAGCTAAGTTCCCCGGCAAAAAGATCACGTTGACTCGAGACCCCGATGTGCTTGACACTTGGTTCTCTTCTGGATTGTGGCCCTTCTCCACTTTGGGATGGCCTCGTCAGACTCATGACCTTGAGAAGTTGTACCCTACCTCTGTCCTGGAAACTGGCTGGGATATTCTCTTCTTCTGGGTCGCTCGGATGATTATGCTGGGTATCAAGATGACTGGCAAGATTCCATTCAGGGAAGTGTACTGTCACTCATTAATCCGAGATTCTGAAGGAAGAAAGATGTCCAAGTCTTTGGGTAACGTTATTGACCCACTGGATGTTATGGAGGGTATTGAGCTTCAGGCACTCCATGCTAAGTTGCTCACTGGTAACCTTGCGGAAAAGGAGGTTGCCACTGCCACCAAGTACCAGAAGAAGGCATTCCCTAAGGGTATCCCTGAGTGTGGCGCTGATGCTTTGCGCTTTTCTCTCGTGTCTTATACTACTGGTGGTAAGTTCTCATTTCCATAATTTTATCGAATGAACTATGTTGCTGACGTATCCTCAGGAGGTGACATTGCCTTCGATGTCCAGGTTATCCATGCATACCGCAGGTTCTGTAACAAGATCTACCAGGCCACGAAATTTGTGCTTGGTAAGCTGGGTGACGACTTCAAACCTCTGCCGACTCCCGCGAAAACTGGTCATGAGTCTCTTGCTGAGCGTTGGATCTTACACAAATTCAACACAGCCGCCAAAGAGATGAATCAGGTACTGGAAGACCGGGAGTTCTCCGTCGCCGCGAACACTGTATATCAGTACTGGTACAGTCAGCTTTGCGATGTGTTCATTGAGAATTCCAAGTTCCTTTTGGCTGCCGAGGCGCCAGCCGAGGTGCAGGAGTCCGCCAAGCAGACTCTCTACACGGCTCTTGAGGGCGCTCTGACTCTGATCCACCCAATTATGCCCTTCGTCACTGAGCACCTGTGGCAACGTCTTCCTCGCCGTCCTGGCGACAAGACACCCTCCATCATGGTAGCCAAGTATCCAGAGTACAACCCCGAATTCAACGATCCGGAGGCAGAAACCGCCTACGAACTCGTCCTTAACATCTCCAAGGCTATCCGCTCCATTCTCGCGCAGTACGAAGTCAAGACCAAGGGCGACATCATCATCCAGACCTACAACGCGACAAGCCACAAGACCGTCTCCGAGCAGCTCTCCTCCATCCAGTCACTGGGTGGTAAACACGTCGGCAACATCACCGAGCTTGGACCCGAGAATAAGACCCCGCCATCCGGCTGTGTCGTATCTGCTGTCGGCTCCGACGCCGCCGTCTACCTCCACGTGTCCAAGGAGGTGGCACTCCAACAGGAGGAAAAGGCCAAGGCCAACCTCGAGAAGGCCCGGGAGACTGTTCGTCGTCAAAACGCACTTATAAATGCCGCTGGATGGAAGGAGAAAGTGAAGGTTGAAGTACGCCAGGCGGAGGAGAGGAAGCTGCGGGATGCAGAGAGTGAAACAGCGAGATTTGAGGAGCAGATTCGCGAATTCGAGAAGCTGCGATTGGAGTAGACGGGAAGGATATTGGGGTATGAAATATCAGACTTACCTCTTCACGTTTCTGCTCGAGTCTTATATTATCTTTCTAGTTGGAATTGAAAAAAACAATAGAGGGGATAGTGTTTATCTTTTTCCAATCCATAATGATCGTATGCGTAACCAGAAGAACGGAGCCGTTCACGTGATTTGTATCTTATCAGCTATAATCTTATCGATAAGGCCAATAGCGCCAAGACTTTCGATTCCAAAACTTTTTTCTCCCAGCGAAGAAAAAGACACAGAACACACCCATCCACCACCACCAGGATGCTCAGACAAGTGTACGTAAAACTACAGCCATGTTCTAATTTGTACAATGCGAATACTAATACACACCAGAAAACCCAAAAATCCGCGCACCGCGCGCATCCTGAAAGCGCGAGAACCACAGCTCATCGAGCCCCCGAAGCGCACGCTTCTGCTGCACGGCACGAAATGCCCAACAGCGCTGAACACAGTCCTTAAGGTCTTCCACGCACTGACAAAACCACACTCGCTCCTCTTCCACAAGAAGAACGAAAACATCCACCCGTTCGAGAACGTCGAGAGCCTCGAGTTCCTGGCCAACAAGAATGATTGCGGCATCGTGGTGTTCGGGAGCAGCAACAAGAAGCGGCCGAACTGCGTGACGCTGATGCGGGTCTTTGATTCCAAGATGCTGGATATGTGCGAGTTGCTTCTCCTGCCTCCGGCGCATGGGGAGGAGATTCCGGCTATGAACAATCTCACCATGAACATTGGGGTTGCATTGCGGCCTATGATGCTCTTCGCGGGTAGCGTGTGGGATGATCCTACGTCCACGGCGCATGTCATGCTGAAGAGCATGTTGTTGGATCTCTTTAAGGGTGAGGAGACGGATAAGATTGACGTCGAGGGATTGCAGTATATCATGATGATCGCCGCGGATGAACCGACGGAGGGCTTGGCGCCCGTTGTCCATCTGCGCTGGTACAAGATCAAGACGAAACGCAGCGGTCACAAGCTTCCCCGGATTGAGTTGGATGAGGTTGGTCCCAAGTTCGACTTCAAAGTTGGTCGTCAGCGCGAGGCGCCTCGGGAATCTATGAAGGAGGCCATGAAGCAGGGCAAGAGGCCCAACGAGAACATGAAGACGAAGAAGAATATTGGCATGGATTCTATCGGTGATAAGATCGGTCGTGTGCATCTGGGTAAGCAGGACCTGGGCGGTCTCCAGACAAGGAAGATGAAGGGGTTGAAGAGGCGTGCCGGGGTGGATTCCGATGACGAGGGAGACGAGGATATGATGGATGTGGATGAAATTTCTGAGAATGAGGGTCCGAAGAGGAGGAAGAATTGAAATATACTCCGTATAGGTTCCAGTTTGTGACTTTCTTTGGACAAGCTTTCCCATCCGCATGAGGCGTTCAGGCTGGTTGTTGGTTCATTTACTCCTGTTGTCGTCGTTCTCCGAGCATGCTAGCTGTTACGGTACGATTAGTCTATCTACTCTAGTATTCATCTACTTCTAGATGCTGGACGAGATCTCTGTGCAGGGTGACAGTAGAACTTAGGGATATGTATACTACCACGTGACATGACGTCGGCCCACATGCCTCGGTCCTGGGGAAGACGGCAGATCCCCTCGACGCTCTTAACCGTCGCCTCCATTTCCTTCCGGGGATTTAATTTATATTCAGTCTTCTCATTCCCCAGATCGAACCAGACATATTTCCCACCCATGATCCTGCACAGAATCCGATAATAATCTGCATCCTTTGAAACCAAACAAGTTGACGACGTGACGTACCTCCCGAGGTCCGGCCGCGGAAGTGTATCGATCGACATTGACATCGACGCCATGGATGCCTTCATGGTAATAGGAACCAAAGCCCGCATGTTTTTCTTTTTCTCATGGTTGCTCTGTTCACTTGTAATATTGCGCGAGGCTAATATAATATAATAATGTCTGGGTTGTCGCCGTTACAGGCCCGTCTGGACGCCCTCGTCGTCAATCCCGATCTTGCGCCGCTCCTGAGCCTGGTGAAGGGCGCAAGAAATGGCATCGTTTATGGTTCTAAAGTGCGTTTTCCGCATGCTCTTGTGTATGTACATTAGAAGAATGAAACTCTTGGAAGAAGGCTGGTTGTTGACGTATCTTCATGTTCTTAGGATGATATTCCTTTTTCGCTCGGGAACGTAAGGCGACCCGATCCATCCTTTTCTTTTCAATCGCGGAGAGTTCAATACATGCTGATTGCCATTGCTACCATACTACAGCTTCCGGGAAAAACTCAGACTTGTCCTCAGAGCTACGCGCCAACATGCGCGGAACCTCGCTACCTTTTGCGTCGTATATAAGAGCACCATGATCTTACTAAGGAATCTCAGCATGTCCGGGATCGAAAAAGAGGGTCGCTATGATAGCTTTATGGCGGGGTTGCTGGGAGGGTATGTCGTTTTTGGTCGAAACCGAGGAAGTCTCAGTCAACAGGTGCGTCTCGTTATCTCTATAGAGGAAGGGGGCCCAGGAAGGGAACAGTTATTGACGAGTTAGCCAGATCGTCATCTACGTTTTTGCCCGTGTGATGCTTGCCCTGGCTCAACTCGCAGTCCAGCCGAATATGCATCCGCTGTCGGGTCTTATTACACCAGAAGCACGATCCCGTATCAAGCACAATGCCTGGCCGGTGTTTGCCAGTTTTACGTGGGCTTTCGTCATGTACATCTACCGCTGGCATCCGGAGAGTCTTGTTTCCAGTTTAAGGTCCAGCATGGTTTATATGTATGTTGTTCCTCTCTCCCTTTCATTCCGGGTTACTGCTTCGCTGACAGTTCTGTAATAGTTACTCTGACTCGGATCACTGGGATTCGTTCCGGAATTTCTTAATACATAATAAGTGAATTATATTATTACCAATGCAAACGGGAATGGAACCCTCTTTATTACCCTCTTTTCTTGGGAGTGGACGCGGGTCCTCATCTTTTGCTTCTAGGCGTTTGGATAGGGTTGCTTCTGTTATGTTATGCCCGTGGTAAGGCCGCATGTTCTCGTTGGGCTTTTGTTTCTCTGTGTGTGTTTTGGTGCCTTTTTTTTCGAAGACAGTTTCTATGGAGTCGTTGGATACCTTAATCGAGTTCTGCTAGTCCTCGTTTAGGGAGTGCTAAACTGAACTGAATTGAATTGAATCCAACTGAAAATAGATATATCTTGATCATATATTATCCATAATGTCCTTTTCAATATCATACATTGAAAGCGTACAATTATTACAATAGGGCCCAAAACGGTATCCATGCCAGGTAATAGAATCTCATTCACACGCGTCCCCACAGATTCGGCCATCCGATCGGCTGCTTCCCAGTATCCTTCGCAGTAGCCCGGTCCTTGATATCATCCAGTTCTTGGATTTTCCTTTTGACCACGTTCACATTCGATAGATCTTCGAGGTGCCAATTGATATGCCGGAATCCGTACTTGTAGAACTTCATTGTTAGGAATAAGGCGATGAAACAAATTGGCTATTATTAATAGTAGTCATGTCAGCTTGTTTCTCACTTGGTCATGTAGATGCAAATGTGTCTCCTGGGCGCGACGAAAGAAAGGGTTGATGGATGACTCACAGCAAGATAGGCAGTTAGGAACGACTGCGCATGGAAGGCTTTCCACAATGCCGCACCATCAGCCACAATGAGAACAAACAGACACCCCAGAACTGCTGCATACATCGTTAAGGGCTGTCCATGTGAGCGCCATGGATACCTGCTTTGGGTCTGGCGGTCGGGAAATCGGCACACGTGCGCAAACTCGGGCAAATTGTTTAATTCCTCTCGGTGGGCTTTCATGCTGTATGCATCACGGAAAAGATCTTGTCAGACGACAGATACAAATATACGGTGCTATTCGCGAGGGGAAAGGGTATCACTCACCAGTTGTAGAACCGGATGAAGGCCCAGCTTTCGCAGGCCCATACTATGAGGCATCCGACGGAACCGGTCTGAGATAAGACATCCAGCAGCTAGATTAGATTATCAGTCTGTTGCGTATTATGATAATCCACTTTAGGATTATAGATCCATACCACCGAGATAGCATCCGTAGGCGACTGTCCATCCTGAATAAGATAAAGACATGGAATCCAGATGAACATGCAGGATAAAACCATGGCTCGCACCGGCACTTGATAGTTATTGGTTCTCCCGAAGAAGGCAAGCAATTTCCATCTGTTTCCATCTAGTTTGCGAAATAGTCCAAATAGAGTGCGGGAGGCGATATAAAGGTTGGTATTGGCCGCTGAGATTGCCGTCATGAGCAAAATAGCATTGAAGAAGTGTGCAAGTCCTGGAATACGAGAGAACATGGCGCTGAGCACGAAGCCAGACAGGGTAGGGTGGTTCAGACCAGTCGCATTTATCCTTTTCAAATTGTCCGGATTGGGCCAACAGGTTGCGTTAATTGTGTCAGCGTTAATTGTCTTGTTTGAATGATGCTTCAACCAGGTGGCTTCAGGCAACAAAGGATTACAGGAAGGGATGTTCATAGTCATCATTAGTCCTGCCACAAAGTATACGACGTATGCAACGAATGGCGCCCATGTAACGCAGAACCGCACAGTGATGCGCGGCCACGGCCACGCCCAATCGCTCTTTTGCCTGGGCCGTGAGTGGTTCTCGGGTCGAACTTCAAGAGCAGCAGCGGCAGCCATCTCGACGCCGATGAACGCAAAAATCGCGATCGAGAACGATATGCTACTGTGAATTAGTCCGTTGAAGATATGATGTCTTGTTATCCCTCACTTACAATAGTATTGTAGCCCAATCGTCCGCAACTGTCTTGGAGACGCTGAACATGGGATAGCCGCTACCACCATAGTCTAATGAAGGTATGAGAAACTTTCAAAGGACTTTCTTGCCTGAGGACTTTCAAGCTCACTCACACTTGGCACCGATTGCTTCATTCTGAGATCCAGCTATTCTTGATGTCAGTTGAAAAAGAGTTGTCGTCGATGCTTTGGATGTCTAGAACACAGACCTCCCGTGTTAATAGCAATCATGGAGCAGATGATGGCAAATAGACCCAGAATCTTGAGTACTCCAGCGACGACTTCGATCCAACCGTATACCTACAGATATCAGTATCCAGTGTGCCGATACGTTGACCATGGGAACGCAGTACCTCGACCCCAAAGCTATTGAAAAATATAAGGCAGATTGGGGCTATCAAAAACATAGTTGTGCCCATCACTGCATTGGTGGGCTCCCAAAAGCGCATCTCACCAGCTGCAGCGAACATGATAGCTGCAGTGTTGATAGCGTAAGTGAACCTAGCCACCGAGTCTCAGCTGTAAACCTCCAGGAAAAAACCAAAAAGCTTGTAAAGCAACCCCATTTGATACGCCCCAAAGGCGAGACCGATAGGCCCTGGATGCAAGGCTCATCCAGGCTGACATGAGGCTTATACACAGAGCAGACAGATTTCAAGAGTATACTCACCAGTATGCAATTCCAACCGTTACACCCAGTTCGCGGTCAACAAAGGTGCCAACGAATTCAATCAGAGCGCCGGATATTGGCCACAATGCAAGCATTTCTCCTAGACATTGCATCACCGTCCATGACAACAGTCCCATCACGGTGAAGGAGATGAGAACTGCTCCAGGTCCTCCTATTTGAAGAATTGTGCCGCTTTTGACATATAGTCCAACCCCAAGAACACCGCCAACTGTTATCATCTGCGGTAGCGTCGGAAAGGCATGGTCAGAAATACATGCACAAATGAGAAAATGGAGGTCCTAGGCGTCGGTTCCTTACGAAGATATGAATTCCACGCAACTTGCGGCTATATGCATGAAGATGTAATGTTAGTAGAACTAAGAAAACATCAAATGCTTCTAGCGCTGACTTGCCTGACTGTTCGTCCACTTGCACCCACTGGCAGCGTCCCAATATGAGTCCTGCTTTGATCCAAAATATGGATTGAGTTAGAGGATTTCAGGGAATGGTTCTCCACATCTCGACTAGTTAGCGGTTCTTTAATCCCGTAAACCGATTGTTTCGACGTAGAAGCTGGTTCAGTGGTCGATACTGGCGTAAAGATTCCACTGCCACGAATCCAATCAATGTCCAATATATTTAAGGGAGAGTCGGAATCGGCCCCAGAGTATGGAGTCTGAGCCATGGTGTCGCGGGGCCTGATAGCCTAGAGAAGGTCATAAAGGTTGACTGACTGGGCCCGGTGAGGTGCATGTTATCCTGTAGACCAGCGGACGCAATGCACGATACATAAGAGAAAGCCACAGATCCATTGAAACGAGAGAACGGGGTGGGGGGTAAAGGAATCGAGGCTGGAGTCATTGTGACAGTACAGCTAGCAGAGCCGCAGGACGGAATCTCGGCTCGAGTACGCCGCAGGCTGTGAGCCCTCGTATATTCCTGCCAGTCAGGATGCAGCCTAACACCCGACTAGGTATGCGTCTGATTGCGAAAAGCCGTAATATTGGCTGTCGATAAGAAATATTCCTGCTCGGCGCACGGTGCTTCCGCCGGTGTTTTCCGAGGTCAGTGTTGAACGATTTCCCCAGAGACGAAGGGGAGATTCACACGACATATTATTCTTGGGCAATCAGCCTGTACTTCGTAAGTGCAAACACTGGCTTAATAGAAAGGATACGCCCATCCTATGCTGCCCAGCCGCCACCATAGAAAATGAGTTCACTTCTTCGGCGTTCATTCAGTGGTTTCTCCATGACCAGGGAAAGCCCAGCTCCGCTGACACCCCGACAAGGTGTACCCAATAAATACATAGACCGATCGAAACTCCAAGGTCTCCTGGAAAGGCTCTTTCCAGATCAACCAGGGATGGACTTCCAAATTCGAGTATGTACGACAAGCCAGGCTAGGCTTTACTGAAGCCCAGTCCGTATTATTATGGATGGCATAGTCTAACTTCGATGTGTCAGCTCGATGACGATGTCTGGTCTTTTGTCGCTCCACAGATTGTCCCGGAGAGCGAATTTGAGTGAGCATAGCACGCCTACCTACTTTGCCGCCGGGCTGTGTGTCTAGGCGCGCTTCCCCTTGTCTTCCAGAACATCCCAGCTGTGTGAGGCTGTGCTGACACTCAGCCTTTTCCAGAGCGATTGCCGCACGTTCATGAATTTGTCGAAGCCATGTCTGTCCGGATGGCCAATCGAGGGCCCTTGAGGAGGCTCGGTGGTTTTTTTCTTTTGTAAAGCATGGCTGATGACGATTTAGTATTTGCAAGGGCGTTTTTTGGTCTTTTTGTTTTAAAAATTTTAAACTTTTCCCCTCGATCCCTTCTTTTCTCCTTTTTCGGCTATAAATGCAGCTTTGTCAGTTGATCAGGATCATACGCATGTTTCAATTATTAAATATTCTATCGATTCAACCGAACTTACATCTTAATCCCATAATAACTTCCCTATTCCTCATTCTTCCTTTTCATGAATTAAAAAGAGACGATGGAATTAAAGAAGTTGCTCACACAAGAGGGTATCACGATAGACGTGGGGGAAGGTGACTTCGCGATCCCTCAGTTCGACTTTGACCCATGCTCTCTAGCCGCTTACCCCAGCGACTTCTGGACGCGACTAGAGTCAAAAAGATGCTGTGAAGACGACGAGTCGTCGACGAGCATCGATCTGATTGATGTCGATGCCTTCAATAATGGTAAGTTTTTTCCCTCTCGCGATGAAAGAGTCCGCCGTGAAAGTGATACGGGAAGGACCGCGAGAAACTGACTGGAGAGAGAAAAGCAACCACGAAAAGCTTCACATCTCCATCCGAGTTCCAGGGATACATTCATGCGAATTCTGCTAATTCCGGCTCATCCGATCTTCGTGTCATGCAAGTAACCTTTTAGGCCTGGGTTTAAATATAGTAATAGTGGTTGGTCTAACCGTTGGAATCCACATCTGTCTAGATCCATCCACCAAGCGAACTCATGGAGACCGCTAAACATCACAAGAGAATTTCTCTACACTATCCTTGAATCCACGTCTGCATCTCCGGAATTCTTTGAGATCATACTATGCTTCTTCCAGAGGAATAAGCCGGTCGAGGAAGCATTCAGCAGTGCGCCGTTCTTCAAACGCGGTACCGAGACAATCGGTAAGAAACTGATGAGCTAATTATATATTAAACCATTTCCTTGATAAATTGATAAATCGATTCACTGACTTGAAATCACTAGAGCTGGCATACGCATTCAAATATGCCGCCCAGAAAAATGTGGATGATGAGAGAGACCCCTGGTCCCTCCGCCAAACAGGCATCTATCAGTCATACAATCTCAGGACGAAACAGTCCACCTTCATCTGCTTGCATCCGTCTAAAGAATCGCCCTTTCAGTCCCGGCTGCGACAGCATCTAAAGTCTCCGGACGAGTGTTCCAGGATCAGGGCACATCCGCTGTTGCTGCACAATATTCTCTTTGCGAGCTATTTCCCCATCTGGAGGGATTACATGGCTTATTATGAAAACAGGATTCTGACTCTGGTAAGGAAGACCTATAGATTTTTTTTTTTAAAAAAAAAAGAACGTTCATTTGCGACGGAGGGAGACCCATTCATAGTATCTATTGTTGACAGCGGATTCGATATAGTCCAATACTGCAATGGCTCAACACATCGAGGAGCCACTAGCTGTCAATCACCGGACTTTAATGACTGCCCGTTACATCGAGAACCGTTTCTTACCCTTGCGGTCAATATTTCCCTCATCAAATCAAATTTTTGAAACCATACGCCACGCAAACAACTGTTTGGCCAAAGCACAAGTCCTGCAAGAAGATCAATCATCCAACATGGGATATCTTTTGAAGAACTATGCAAGACAACTGGAAGCATATGTACAGCATACGTTATTCCTCCAAAGCCGAGCCGCTAGAACGGCCCAGACTTTGACAGACACCCTCTCCTTCAAAAATTCCCGGTACACGCTAGATCTGACAATGTCAAGTCTGGATGATTCTTCCACTGTACGAGTGATCACAGTGATGACTATGATTTATCTTCCGCCCACCTTCGCGGCAGTAAGTCGCTCCATTCCATTCTCCGGATGAGGAACCCCAAAGCAGAGAAAAACAAAGCAAAGGCACTGACTATCTCCAGACTGTCCTTGGCATGAACACATTCTTCGAAATGGAAGGCAAATCAAAAATCGGCATGTCCCGCCAGTTTTGGATTTGGGTTGTTGTTGCCGTACCTCTCACAGCCATAACCGTGTTTTACTGGTGGATCAAGACCCGGAGAAGCCTTTCTAGAAGACACCACGGGCTCCCTCACGCCGTCTGAAGTAGAAACAAGCATCAGGAGTTGGGGCGAATGATTTTCGGTATGATGGCATTTTGGGTGTAAAAGTGCTGGCACTGGGTTTTGTGTATGTGCCAATGACAGTCTCGTTTGATCGTTCGTCTTCTAGAGCTCAAGAATGATATGACATGATATGATCGCTCAAAGAGAACTCCAGTAGACGATCAGCCCTCCCTAGGGAGAAAGACCTGGACGAATGATCCTTTCAGAGTGGCTATCAGTATCGCTCTCTCGCCATTTTCATTAATGCCAGTGAGGGCAATGCTATCTGTGCTCCTTTCATACGACCAGATCTCGGTTTGGGCAACCTCTTCTGGTTTCATCGACTGGCTGTTGCCAGAGGCTGGCATTGTGTAGACTCGCAGGGCACGGTTGAGTCCACTGCCCTTATCTCCAACGAGAATGATTGAATTGTCATCATCTTGTACAAAGATATTATGCGCACGAATTTCCAGGGTTTTCAACGTGGGGGGTCCAGAACCCAAATTTGGGATTATAACCATCTGCTGTTGTTGGAGTAGCATAACCAGCGTGGGCAAGCCATTGAACAGGGCACATGCGGTAAAGTTTGCCCCCGATAGATGGTCTGAGCCCTGCAAGGGACAGTTAGCGGGAAATTCCCTAATGTTGTCGTTGTCTTCATAGCAAGTTCAGACTCTTGGGGTGCTCCTTACCTGGTAAGGAATGAAGAATTTGACCAGAAATGCATCGCGAGCTGTCTGCCATGCCTGGATAAATAACGAACGAAATTCATCTTGGGCACACATAATAAGGTATCGACCATTGGTAGAGAAAGCCAAGGACGATATATGCTTGATGTGGCCGACGCTATGCAATCGTGGAACGGTGTAACTATTCCCCCCAAGACTCCGGTTCGAGGACGCGTCTGAGGCCAATGAGCTGGATCTGCTGGAAGGCGGAGATAGGTTGCTAGCACAGTCCGTTAGTACATTACACATAGGATGCAACTGTTGCTATGTATCGCTCATTGCAGCTCACCCTTCAGCTGACCCATCGATCAGGCGTTGTGTTTCGAACATAAAAAGGATAGTGCGGGTAGGATCTGTGAAGTTGGGGGAAGAGTATGCGGCGAATGCGATGAACATGCCGTCTGGTGACAGAGCCACTTCCCGGATTTGTCCAATGTTGGGAAAAGACACCCTTCTCCCCTCAATCACATTGGAATTCTCGGTTGACGGAAAGGCTGGTAGTATGGGATATATGTAACACTTGGGTTTTGTTAGCTAGGACGACAGTTCAGAACAAGTCGCATGGCATACCTCAAAACTGCTCGCTTGCCGCCAAGCACAGAGATAAGTTGAACTAATCGCGCAACACTGCCAGGGTCCATTTTTGGCAGGAAAAGAAAAGGTCGGTTGAGGATTGTGGAGGGTGGTAGCTTGTTGGATGCGTTCTACATCGAACACTACGATTGTCCGAGACGAGTAGAATGCCAACAATTTGCCGCCGGGGGAGAAAGTACTACCAGTCATGTTAGAAACCCCGAGTTTCTGAGGTCTGCTAGAGAGCACCCGGCGGAACGAACGACCGGAAGAGTTTCTGCGTGGATTTGGCGACGGCATGCCCTGCTGACTATTGAAGATGGAACTTATACGGCGTAGCTCATTGTAGAGCTTTTCGGTGGCGGGCCGCTTGGACCATTCGGGATTCAGTGCTTTCTTTCTCAGAAACTCCAATGTTTCCTGGAAGACACGCGCTTCTGGATTTCCCCTACTATTGGCGCTCTCCTCAAGTCTGATGAACCAGTTAGCAACCACCGGGGACAGTATGTGTCTATTCCAATAATCGGTAATGTAGAAGCAATCATTATGAGACTGCAATTGAGTACGCTGTCGCTGGAATTCTTTCACTCTGCTTGGTCCACCATCGATATAGGACAGGACCAGGCTGAAAATGCACCCAAAGCTCCAGACGTCGCTCTCCATTCTCATTTTGCCCTTGTCGGCCTCAGGTGCCAGATATGTTCCCTCACCTCGATTATTCCTTGTGCCCGGAATCTCTGGGCGTCTGATGAATGGAAGTCTGATGTCTCCAACTGGGGTTCTCCAGCTCTTTACTCGCGAAAGACCGAAATCAGTGATCTTCCATTGTTCTCTGTCTTCTTGGTATGCATCAAAAACCAGAATATTGTGGGGCTTGAGGTCGAGATGGTAGCAAGCGACGTTTTTGAATTCATCACTTTCAAACCGGGTATGCAGAAATGCCAGGGCCCCGGCTACATCACGACCACGACCAAAGATGGCAGCCTTTTCTTTCAAGTTTGAAGGCTTGTAAGACTCGCCTGGGTAAGATTGCAGCGTCTTGCAAACATCACCCCCGCTGAGATATTCCCATAGATTGCAGGAGGCCAAATGAAAGAAGAGGCTGAATGTAGACCCGTGCTGCAGACTGGCAAGATGAACAGCAACGTTTCCGTGTTTTGTTCGTTGCTTCCGAATCCAGTCCAGGACGAGTTTCTCTTCATAAAAGGCGTTTCTGCGGTTGATCTTAAATTCCTTTCTGGCCAGCCAACGGGGCGTGTCACTTCGTCCATCCTCTGACTCCCATTGGCGACTCGCAATCTCGACCTTGTAAACGTGGCCAAACGACCCTTCCCCGATCGGTTCCTGGGAGAGATAAGGAAGCGGGAATCTTCTTTTGTCGTTGTCATAGGAGGCCTCGTGATGTTTTCTCAGTGTCACCGGGCAAAAGTGGAACTGCATCCCATAGAAATTATCACCCAGATCGGGAAATAAGCGCTGGGCATCATTCCGGTTCACTGGAAGGCGATCGTCGGTGAGACAGATTGTCTGTCCAAAAGCGTTTCCATTGGGGATCTTCCGCACATATCGCTCGAGTTCGTCGCTTGGCAGGCGAATTAATAGGAGAATGGCAAGAACGTTGCTGTGATCCTTCAGAATCCGCTTGACGATTCCGGACAACTGATCGTCCGAGTGTATGCGAAGAAGGCACCGAAGAAGATCCCGAAGCTCTTGCAGGTTGCTTCTAAAGATGTCGTTGGCGGTGCCGTTGGGAAAGAAGGGCTGGCCGTCGTAGTTCTCGGCAGCGCAACCATTCAGCTTGGTAATGAAAGCCCTGCAGAGCGAGGTCAGAGTGTCATCGCCCATTAGTGCAGCTGATGATATATCGTAACGAGTGATCTGCTAAGAATATGAAGATTTGGCAGTAATATAGCGCATTCCATGGCAAGGTATGGAGAACGGGGGCAAGGGAGGGGAAGAAGGTAGAATTCCCTCGAACGGCAACAGCTCATGACAAGCACCTCACCAACTGCCAGATACTTAGTCAGCAGTCCTTGTAACTAGGTAACTACGTATGTGCAGGCGCAGGCGCAGGGAAAGCCGGGCAAGTCAGCGCCATGAGAGATAAATGATCAGAAGAAATACGAGGCGAGGTCGAGTCGCTTCGGACTTCATTTCCAATAATAAGGCTACAGCCACGGGACGCGTGTATAAGCAGTGGCTGTGCGACGTTTCCTGCATGAGATTAATTTTGTTTGGAGATTATGATTGAAATTGCTCCGAGTATAGTAGTAGTCATGCACTATGGAGAATAATAATCCTCCGTATCGTCAATGAGAATCCTGCGTGCATTCTATTAATAATATGCTTAATTTGTAGGTCCACTATGTTCCACGGTTGTCCGTGTGTCCCACTAAATATAGATGGCAGAATCACCCCAGCGAAAAATTTTTGTTTTCTTTCATTCATTCATATCTCGGATAAACTGGCCGATTATTGTCGATCGGTGCTTTCTACCCCTTGAACTGGTTACTGTAGACGTCTTACCCCCCTCTTCTCTCTGTTCAATGAAACATTGAAAGAAAACCGGAACAAGACAAAGAAAGAAACCCTTTCACCAGAACCCAAAACATATTTCTTCATACTGATCTGACCTGCAATTGAATAGGGAAGTTGACAGGAAAAGCAGATCAACAACCGCTCGATCAAACACGCCTTGTATGGAAAATACGAAGTTTACCAAATACCGACAACTCGCGAGCTGTCGATACGAATGACTTGACCGTAGGCGTAACTTGCGCCTGTACGCGCGGCAATTCCGTACGAGGAGGAAAGAAAGTAAGGTTTAGCGCTACAGGTAACGCGGTATCAAAGTGAGGCAGGCATCTCTTAGTTTTTTATTTAATAGGATATAGTTGGTGGGTTGGAGTTGTGTCAAGCAAGACGGTAATCTCTGGTTGACAGATGGAACTGGGACCAATAGCTCTTCCCAAATTCCAGGGTCGCTGTACCAATAAATACAGGAGCAAGGTGCACAGCCGGGATAATCTAGCATTGATCCTCAGGGTTTGACAGGAAGTTTTGGAGGGCCGTAGTTTGAGAGAGCGAGGTGTCGATGGATGGTGATGGATCTATGGATTGCCACGCTGTACGGAGTGGTTTTTATCTCCTATCGTTATCTACGGTTATATACTGTACTACTCGTCTATGATATCATACCGAGAACACTCTGTAACTAGGCAGAATGGGCCTGACTGTCAATACTCAGGGCAACGCTGTCACTATTCTACATTAGATAGTTCTATCTATAACATAGCGGCAGTAGCGGCATCTCTGTTAAACAGTTCGTTCAAAATAGACAGATTTACAAAGGACAACGCATCGCTGTTCTTCCGATTCCTTGCCGATTGCCATGCGAGAGCAGAGCCGCTGCCGCCTCTTACCGAGGGCCATTATGCCCATTACTGTAGATCTGTAACCTTAAAGAGGTATTGTCATGGAGTGTGCATAGCGGACCTAATCCAATAAAAATAATGAAAATGCGACAATCAAAGACCACACGCTGTATCGCTCGCACAACCGGAATGCATAATGGACAATATTCTATTAACAGAGTGCTGTTGTACCTATCCGAGCTTGACGGAGTACTCGGCAGGAAGAAAAAAAAAGGGCTTCCACTGGCTGCAGTGATGGTAACGGCCCAAGGCTCAAGGCAGATCGGCCCATCCGTGCAAATTCATGGGCCCGTGCTTGATCGCCTTGGGATCCGCGCCACGGGATTCCACGGATCTGCCAGTGGCCCTTGGTCGAGAAAGATCTCTATCGGTGACGGATTATCGGGACGATTTCGTTTCACGGGGGATGATGTCTTGTTGGGTTGGCTATGGCACTCCCCTTGGATCCGATAGTTGGTGGATGGCTCTTTGGAGCACCAGGAGCCGATAAGTTGAAGGTCAGAGGCTTTATTAGCCATTTTGGAAGCTGGCCGTCTTGGTGCCCCTATGATATCACGAAGGGTAAAGGAGGATGCACAGTGCAGTGTCTCTGACGATGATGACAAGGAAGAGAAGAAGAGAAGAAGAGAAGGGGGGAAATGTTATTACAGTTATATATATATAAGCTCTTCAAGGAGGTCTGTTGAAGTCTGGCGGCGCGAGAATACGGTGGTAGCTGGTTGAAGCTTGCGACTGGAAGAGTGGCGAGTATCATCGACCGAGGGAACAGCAGTAAGGAAAGAGTAAAGATATAGACACTTGGACAGGGGGCGCGGCCATCCCACTCTTGCTAGTGTATCGTATAAGGGCACTCCGTATTAACCACTGTCTTTTGTTGAGAAAGAATTCTAAAGTATTCGCCACCTCACAATCCTGGTCTCATATGGGTCTCGTATGACGTCCAATGAGGATTCTCCCAAATTCAAATACAGTATAATACCAGTATGTTTCAAGTGAAATTCAACTGTACTAGTAGTGTCTAGTCCACGTCACCCGTTTTGCCCGTATCACAGTACATTCTCCCACCCTTCTTTGCAGTAGTCCACCCGTTGCAGATGGATTATCTTGTACAATCCTGAAGGGTCCAGGACCCATTCTGCAAGGGACAAACCAAGGGGCCTAAGCACTAGCAGCATTTCTGATCTCCCCCAATCTAGAACCTAGCTTATACTTGCTGCGGTCTGGTGCAGCTGCAGCAGCTTCAGAGCTCTAGGCATGGTAATAGAGATAGGCTCGGCTCGAAATACAATATCTTGCATAGCTCACTATACTGAATCGATCACATGACCACGGAATATGCGTTGCCCCTTGCTTTCCCGTTGTCTTGTCCGACTATGATTCAACTTGCCATGCCACTACTAGTTAGGCTCGGTCCCTGAATCTGGGGTATGCCGGTTCCGAGGTTCATCTCCACTTGGTGTGACTTCGGAAGGCTTGGGAACATAGCTTATCCCAAGGTACTCTTGACCCAACCGTGGTCCTTACCGAGGTCTTGATACGGCGGACGATAGGGAACAATCCGCCAAAATTATTATTTTTTTTCAAGTATTACACCAGTAATCATTAGAGCAACAGCCGGGTTTTTTATACGCACGTCCAATAAATAAACTTCATTCGAAAATTCATCTGTCTATTTACTAATATATCACGTGACGAATACATTACTGAGTAAGCATGCTGTGTGTGTAACCAACTAGTTAAGTGGCATTTCGTATTGATAGTAAAGACGTGATTTTGGTGGATTGCCCTCTATCGTCGGCCGTACTTCTTGCTTCCAATCTTTCTACTCGCTCTCGTTTCTCCCTGAATACATGACTCTCATTCATCCCGCACGCATACCTGTATAGCTCCTCAACGCCTCACACAGAATCAATTCAACGAGCATGTCTCAGGGTCCTTCCATTAAGAATGTTGGTGTGATCGGCACCGGCGTTATCGGCTCCAGCTGGATCGCCCTCTTCCTCGCCAGGGGTCTCAGCGTTACTGTTACAGACCCCGCTCCGGGCGCGCGCGAGAAATTAGCGGCGTATTTGGAAAAGGAATGGCCCTCATTGATTCAGATTGGACTCAGTCAAGGCGCGTCGCTTGCGAACTACAAATTTGTCGATTCCATTGACAATTATCTGGAGGAATTTGACTTTGTGCAAGAGGTCAGTAGTCAGTAATGCCAAAAAAAAATTAATACGAATTTAATTCAGAACCCGAGGAATTGCTGACTTTGTTGACTTACCTCTTCCAGAACGCACCAGAACGGCTAGACATCAAGCGTGAACTTTTTGCCCATTTAGATGCCCACACCCGCAAAGATGCGATTATCGCCTCTTCATCATCAGGCATTCCCTCGTCACAATTTGTAACGGAGTGCAAGCACAATCCAGCTCGCATCCTGATCGGCCACCCTTTCAATCCTCCGCATTTAGTTCCACTGGTTGAAGTAGTCCCTCATCCGGGAACGGCTGAGCTATACACCAAGCAGGCCGTAGAATTCTACCGATGGTTAGGCAAGAGTCCGATCCTAGTAAAGCAGGAAACACCTGGTTTCATCGCCAACAGACTGCAAGCAGCTGTGATGAGTGAAGCCTACAGCCTGGTAAATCGGGGTATAGTTTCAGCCGAAGACTTGGGTATGTTATCCGTTTATTCTAGCCTTCATGAAAGATGCTAAGTTTTTCTATCGGTAGACATGGCCATGTCCTCTGGTCCGGGGCTCCGATGGGCTCTGATAGGACCATTTATGAATAATGCTCTCGGTGGAGGGGGCGATTTCAAGCATTTCCTCGATCACATCGGACCCGCGGCTAGCGGGTGGCTGGAAGATATGAATGAGCATCGGTTCGAGTTCACGACGGAAAACATGGGTCAGCTTGCCGAGAATGTCGAGGCCTGGACCAAGACTGTTGATATGAAGTCTGTCGAGAAGGAGCGAGATCAGTATCTGGTAGATTTGGTCAAGTCCAAGGCAGAATCAAGGCATCTGAAGTAGCCTTCCTTGAATGTAAAAAGTTAGCCGAGCAAGACAATATGAAAAACATATCGAAATTTTCATTCACTATCTCAGTCAAGGTGTTTCAAAACATCAGAGATATATTCTATCCATCAAAACTGAATTTAAAAAGGGGATTTCCCTGGAAGGTGACATTCAGCTTCCCCTCAGCGCATAACTGAAGTATCTGATAGGTTGGTGCTAACCCTAACCCTAACCATGGTTGCCTTCACCAGAGACGACCAGGGAGCAAATATTCAAGTCTAAGGACACGCGCAGATGCCTGTCCATCGCTTCATTTTGTTTATACACACAGATTATGAACAAGAAAAAGAAAAATAAAAGTGCCTGAACTGCGCCCTGCATGAATATTTTTTGGTATGGATCCATCGTAATTACAGCAGCCCTGGCAAGCGAGAAGTGTGCTCAGACCTTGCAAATCGGATAAGGTACACGGAAAAACACAATACTTGTGTATCAAGGTACTCCTCTTAGCTTATATTGCTATTTTTACGATTTTTATTGTCGATTGATTGGTTACGGAAAGCTGCGAATGCGCGGAGACCAGGATGGCATGGAAATAACGGACGGAGAATGTGGCGTTCAGCCATGGGGGAGGAAATTATTCTCGTCAGAACTTACATTAGACTTGCAGTCCACTGTGAGTGAGGCAAATAATAAAACTCGGGGAAGTTCTTCTGCTGTTGGGTTGCTTCATTCTTATGTCTTCAGCCGGCATGAGTATTGGCAGTTTGTCGAGGTGCGGAGCGGAGTATGCCTGTTATGATATGAATCCATGCATGATGGCTATTCCGGGTTTAACTAAGATGTAAACCTCTGCCAAATACTTCTACATGGGTAACTGACCGGTCTTAGTTCGGTAATTTGTATCCGAGGAACAGTCGTCAAGGCTACGTCTCCATTCGGCGCCAGTGAAGGATTTTCTTCAGTTCGTTAGAAGGCAGATATGCCTTCATGCCTTGCATTCAATTGTAACGTAGTCGATCCCTTGACATAAGTCACGTACGGGCTGGCGTAATCCGGGCACAGAAGAGGCCACCGTACGGGATGCATCCCAGGTAGGCCCTATGTAGTCCGCATTCCCGGAACATCGGTGCGTAACCTAGATATCCACTCTGCGCCTTTCGGTAGACGAACTATCCCCAAGGAGCCAGGACAGACGTGGCCGACAGGGATCATGGATCTTATTTCGCTATTAAATTGCAGCTTGGCGGGATATTTGCCTCATCCTGCAGGATAATGTCCCCTCTGCATCTCCAGTAATGGTCACTCGCTAAACTAGAATAGGCATCACGGGGCAGTAGTTTGGAGTGTCCGACTCGGCATCAGGAATATGGGGTGTCGAATGACACGGCATACGCGCTAAAAGAAAAAATGATAATAACAGACCTCCATGGTCAGCACTGACATCCGGCCCGGGCCTGTATGGTCGTATGGCCCCTCTCTTTTTTGCTTTTTTACCCTATTATTATCATTACTACTGCTGCTGCTGCTGCTGTGGTTATTATTATTCATAATTATTCCAAGACGCGGAATAGTTGGAATATACAGCGCGTTAAGAGTATTTGAAAATCAATTAATCCACACCTACTTATGATAATCACTCCACAGTATAAGGCTGGGCCTGAAGTACAGTACCAACCCAAACCACACAAGACAACGATTTAATCATTCTCCGAGTAATTATTCAGAGAAAATAAAAATTAAATTAGCCTAAAGACAGTTAATTAATTAACTTCTGTGGCAGAAAAAAAGTACATCCGCTTCCCCGTCCAACCATCACGTGGAACGATGAGCTTCTTTCGATATCTAATATCTAGGCTACAATGATCTGCGAAGTTAGCCGCATATTGGGCTTGAATCCTTCTCTAATCCCGTCTCCGTTCCCGCCTCCATCATACTACGGAATTTCAAGACTTCGTCGACAGGAAATAATTCTTTTTCTCCACTACAACAGCTAACAGTAGGTAGCAGCCGAGTAATTGTGTTATCAGTTGACCTGAGCAGTGATTGGTTTGGCTTGCTGCAAATTTTCCTGGCCAGCCCATCTGAATGGGAACTGGGGCGGTAATTAATTACAACTCGTCAATTGTCTGGGGGACGAGTGTTCGAACTTGGAAGTGGAGCCTGAGCTTTTCCGCTTGTTCATATTCTTCGTGTTGTGGGTGCCTTTTTCTGGGGAATGGAAGCAACAGCCTTACCGTTTATAGCCAATGTCTATCAACACTATTCTAGTTCATGCTATTACTATTATACACTTGTAGATACACCGCTTCTCCCGATGCAACTGAAACACAATACAACTCCTCAAAGCATCATTTAATAGTAGATATTGTCCCTCTCCGCTCTTATCCAAGTCAGAGGTCTCTCGAACAGTCTTCGAGCAATTCGAGCCTTTCATCCGGTTCCTCTTCTTACTCTTGTCCCTCAGTCACCATGTTGCTGAGAGAGTAACTAAGCATCGGAGTGAAACCTTCTGTATCATCGTGTTCACGTAACCTCTCTTCTGTCAAGTCTCCAAGATACACCAGTCCATGGCCGTTGAGCTCAGTGCCATGTACACGGTCCTCGATGCTGCTGTGTCCGCCACATTCTGGCGGGAAATAATCCTCCTGAGGATCGTAAGGAAATCTGCAATTGACAGTATTTCTATTAGCTTCATAGCACATGAGATGACGGGCTAGGGAAGAAAGGGGTCTCTCAAAAGAAAGAGAGTGTACAGGACAAGGGCTGAATCTGAAGGCAGTATATAGGTGTTCTACATACTGCATGTCATCCTCTGATCGATCCGTTTGAGTCAATGGGTCTGATTGCATCCAAGGCTCGGGGCCATTGGGATGAGTTGCTGGAGGTCTGCGACCAGGGAGTAGTGTTAGCTCCGGAACGCTTGCTCAAGAAGAGAAGGGAAAGGGGCAGTATACAAGTCCCATTGAATATGGTCCAAACTATCCGGAACAGAACTGCCCTGTCCGGATTCCGTTGTTGGATCTGTGCTAGAAGATTCACGTGTATTTGATTCCTTGGTGTCGGAGGATGTCGTCGACGCCGGCATAATTCGAGGCGATTGAAAAGATATCACAGTAGAATTGACCACTTAGTCCTCTAGTAAGGTGAACAAGAAATAAATAGAAAGAAAGGGCAAAAAGATAGCTGGAATGGCCATCTTTATATGCTTCCCATGGGCATCAACAACACGCCCTTGGACTGAATTTTCGTGCGTCTCGATACCATTGGCTAGATAATGATACCCCAGCACGGCGGCCGTATTTTAATCTAAAACTAAAAATAAAAGATGAGAGGAACAGCGGAGAATGTGGGCGAGATGTCCTGTAAATTGCGTGGCCTGGCGTGTTGGGACGTCTGTGTCCCTATGCGCTGAAGTGATCCCGCCAAGGAAGCATAGTCAGGCCCCGAAAAGCTTTGGAACGTCCATTGGTAATTTATTTCCGGTACTGGATCTGCAGGGGGTCCGAGTTAAAAGGATTACTCCGGGGCTTCGCTTTTCCTGGGAGAACATGTGTACTAATTTCCCTACCTTATACAAGCCTCACACTGTAATATGACTCCATAAATGTGCTATGACGCATGCTTTGGATAATCCCCACCTCTGAATTTAATAGGCAGTATTGAAAGAAAACATGGAAAAGGGAAATTCACCCGGTATTGGACCCGTACTCGAACATCGGCATGAAGCCGCTAGGTTCATGCAGCGTGCTGTTCAGAATCAGCACGTCCCTGCACTGGTGCGCACCATCCATACAGTATAGAACCACGGTCAGGATATTTCCAAAGCGGGTGTTTCAGAGACGACAGGGTTCACCCGAGGATGAAAATAATAATAAATATAAAATTGCAGAGCTCCCAACAGATGGAGTTGCAGCGCCAGTAGGTTGTGATTTTTCACCTCCACACCTGCAAGAGGGGCTTTTGTTTTATTTATTCTATTTATTTTTTTATTTTGCCCTTCAAGGACTCTTATCACGCTTATGCATGGAGTAGATGATTATTTATTCTAAATCATCACGCCTTTTTTTTTCTTCTAGGGAGAACCCACTCAGCTGTGTGCCACAGAAGCGGCTTGAGGTAATCTCATTGAACTCCTGTGATTATTTCCTATATTTTCATTATGGTGTTCGCCTGCTATCCTGGAGACCTCCACGACCCACTCGTTCCCACTCGAAATCTCAGCCCTACCAGGTTCTCTGTGTTCTGTCATGTCCCCACAATCTCCCACTGTCGCGCAGTAAATTACTCGGATCATTCCAGTCGTGGTTTTCCCTATGCTTAAGAGGTCCTGTACAAGGCCAAGAGATTGACGCCCAAACTCCCCATATCGGTCTGAATCAAACTACGCCAAGGCGTCTATTAGCGGTCACATTGACAGGGATAGCACGCACAACAGGAAGATCCTATCGGGTTGGTAACGGTAACAATATCGCCTTCTTCCCCATTCATTCATTCATTCACTTGATGAGCCGGTGGGCGGCGACTTTCGAGAGTGCGTATGCAGCATTGCGAGCAGGACGTTGATTCCTATATACAAAAGATATATTGAGAAAAGGGGCACACCGTCCGAAGACAAGATCCTCCTTGCTGCATGGAGGTAACTTGGCATTCCCTGGCCGTATACTGCAACATTCTCGAATTGTGTTGGACCATATATAATCCATACGCGCCTAAGAATGCAGCCCAGTGCTTGCATAATAACCCACTTAGGGTTCAGGCGTCTTCAACGGCAGCGTAGCCTGGTACAGCGAGACAACACCAAGACATTCGGCGTAATATCGGCTTGCATATCAGCTTCTGTATCTAAGCACAGGCTGAAGGCAAGCTGTAAGACATACGCGCGCTTCATATTGCAACGGTTTTCGAAATGTGGAATATCCGGCAGAATATAAGAAGACATATCTTTCCACTGCCTGGGATGAGAGATGATTCAAGACTTTGAGTGCCATGTAGACTCGATTCTGGTATCCTTGGTATCCTTCGCATGCCTTCTTTGACCTCAGTGACTTCAAACAAGACGATGCAATGCTTAACCCAGAGTCATTCCCGGCTTATGTGACTGCCATTGGTCTGTGAGGGTGACAAAATCCTTCCTTGTTCAGTAATGACAATTTCGATATAGATCCGAGCATGGTCGATGAAGCCTCTGCAGCCAGAAGGCATTCAATGCAGTGTAGCAGCGCATAGTGCTACTGCTATTTTCGAGGACTACTTGATAACTACCTACTCCGTATTATTGCTATATATATATTTCAGGGGGTTCTTACCCGTTGGCCTAACACGTAGCTATCCTGGTACTCTTATTAAACGAAGTCCTTTCTGAACTGAACGTCAGAATAGATCCCTTCCTCCTCGCACTGATACCATGTAGAGACCTCTACTAATGATTTATTCTGGGTTAGTGAGGGAGACAACTCCCTACGTAGGCGGATACAGAAAAGTTGGTTACCGGCAATCATGAAGGAAACGGAGGTTCAAAATAAGTATCTCCGAGAAATCGGCGATAACTGATAAGACGGAGATCGCCGACGATAGGCTTTCGACATCATATCGGCATCAACCTCGCTTCTTTGCTAAAGAGAAGCAACAGACGCATGATCAATTGACCTGATCCATCCACTCATCCTGGATATTCACAATGCCTCCGATAATGACATCCCACCCAACAAACCTCACTATCGCCCCGGAACCCTTCAACCCCACCTCATTCTCTCCCTTCGGCACAGCAATAACCTCCCCCCTCCCCAGGGACCTCTCCAAAACGCCTCCCCTATCATCCCTTAAACCATCGCCCTGTGTCCCGGCCCCGGTAATCGCAAACCAATCCACCGCACTAAAATACAGTCCCATCTCGCCCTTCGTCGACCAATACACCGGAAAATGTCCCAGCGGACAACCCTCCGAGGCGAGAATGAGCATGTTCTGCTGTTTTCCCCGAGACCTGCGTAAAAGGGAAGACGGAAGGAAGGTCTTCGATGTTCAAATCCTCGAACGACACCCTTTTACTTCGCAGACGTTTATACCCGTTGATCTATCCCGGGAAGAGGAACCGGTCTTTCTGGTCATTGTTGCGCCGACTTTGAAGGGAGAAACTGCTACGGCTACCGTTACCGATGAGAATGGGAAGACAGTGAAGACTACCGTGAGGGATCCGCCGGATTTGAGAAATCTCAGAGCTTTCGTTGCGAGGGGTGGTCAGGCGGTTACGTATGCTCCTGGGACTTGGCATGCGCCTATGGTTGTTTTGGGGGATAGACGGGTTGACTTTGTGGTCGTGCAGTTTGTGAACGGAGTTGGGGAGGAGGATTGCCAGGAGGCGAGTTTTGGGGAGGGTATCGTTATTGATTTGGGTGTTGGGAGGGTTACGGCGAAGTTGTAGGTAGGAGGTGAGATGCGTCTCATTTGATACAGGTGCATATGTACCTTTTTTTTTTTTTTTTTTTTTTATCAATGTCCCGGGCCTCCTCATACCGGGCCTGAAGCTGATTTACAGCTTTGCGTAATATCATGGGTGGCTGATCCAGGAAACCTGTGTCCTGAAAGCTTTGACACTGTATGGTTTTGTCAAAGTCATACTGAAGTGCACCAGCTTTATCATTGCAGGGAAGACCAACCACAACATCACCAAGGTGAATATCATATTTTGGATCTGGTGCGCTGCTACCGATGCCAACCACCAGACTCTAGAGCGGATATTCGGGAAGTTATACATAATATCCCCAGCCACCTGCGCTGCTGAGGAAGTGCCATACTTTCCAATGGCAAAACTACAATCACCACATTGTGCTTCCCCATTCTGCCCAACGTGTAGTTGTTTTGATTGTGGGGTGGTAAATATTCAGAGTTGTGCAGTTCATCGAGGAGTGTTTGAGTGGCAGCATATTCGGTGGTGGCACAAACCCAGCTAACAATATAGCCCTTTGTGTCAGACATCTCACAGATGAGGTAATGTAAATTAATAATGTCTTAGGTGGAGTTTATTTGAAGGGGAAAGTAAATGTGGTTCTAGAAATTCCATTTTATATAGCTACATATATGTGCTTCCTATCTGATACTAAAAGCATAAGGGGTATAAAAGGCATATTGTACATAGAATATAGAGACTGTGACTTATGACATGCAGTATGAGACAATTTGAAATGCCATGTACATCGACGGCCAGCCGCCGTGCTGCGTGCCAGACAGTCAGGCTGCGCTACCAGCAACTTTGTCCTGCGCCTTCAACTCTGGCAACGCGTCTTCATGATCTCTTATTTTCCGCCGAATCTGCTCAGCCATTTTAAGTACCTCAACAGGCAATCCAGCTAGCTGCGCAACTTTCAGGGCATGAGATTCACGATTCACCCCCTTTCGCAGCCGATGGACGAACGAAAATGATCCAGACGGCATCTCCTTCACATCAGTGCAATACCGCTCCAGTTTGTCAAAGTCCCGTGTCATATCCGCCAGAGCGTGGAAGTGCGTCGCAAACAGTGTCCGGCATCGATTACGATAATGGAGATGATGCAGACATGCGAAGCTGACTGCCGTCCCATCTTCAGGTGTCGTACCTCGGCCGACTTCGTCCATGATCACAAACGAGCGTGGCGTGGCGTGCTTCAAAATCGCCGCGGTTTCTAGCATCTCCACCATGAAGGTTGACTGATCTCGAAACAGATCATCCGCAGCCCCTACACGGCTGAAGATCTGGTCCACGATACCAAGTTCTACATATGCTGCTGGGACAAAAGAGCCGACCTGCGCAAGAATCGTGATTAAGGCGTTCTGCCGTAGGAATGTGCTCTTCCCGGCCATGTTCGGGCCGGTGATGAGCCAGATCCTTTCCCGGCCTCCATCCCCCAGGAAACAGTCATTGCTGACGAACCGTCGGCCTTGTTCTTCCAGCCCCAGTTTCACAGTCGGATGTCTCCCGGCCACAATCTTATGGGCTATGCCCTCGTTCAGAATGGGCCGGACCATTTGTTGTTCTTGTGCCAAAGCGGCAAATGAGCATGCAACGTCTAATTCATCCATGACGGCTGCATTGCGTCGTATTTTGACTAGGTTCAAAATAACATTGCGACGCAGACTTTCGAATATCCGCTGCTCCTCTTGACGGATTTGGAGTTTTACCTGATCCATTTGACCGCCGAGTTCAGACCATGCTGGGAGGTAAAATGAGCGCGTCGACTTGGTTGAAGAGACATTTCGCGTGACACCCAGCTCCTCCAAAGATTCCTGGCTGATCTTTGCTCCCTTGACGTGACAGATGTATCCCAAACCTGGCGTCCATTTGAGAGACAAAGCAGACGAGCCCACGGATTCTCGAAGTCGCTGAGTCAATGCAGACTTTTCATTTACCAAGCGGTCCAGTTTATCATGTAGTCCTCGTAGGAATGAGCTGGCATCACGTCGCATAATCCACGTCTCCGTAGAATCAGATTCCGAATCCGTCGCTGTACCAGGTTGAGTCCCGGATTTCGATCTCACTCTCTTGGGAAGTGAATCAATGTCTTCTTGTAGACCTTCGTTAGTAGCAACTTCTTGAGCTAAAGCTGCTGTTTGTGCGGCTGTGCTATCTTCAATCCGCTGCTTTTGTAAAAGACCCTCTTCGTCAATGGCGGCTAAGATTTTATCTGCCAATTCGGCAGGTCCATCGAGATGCAGCCGGTCAACTATAGAAGCAAGACTGCGCTGGATACTGCAAGTCTCACCGACAGCTGAGTCATGGATATCGATGTTGCACTTGTCAGTTAGAACTCGTCTAATTTCTTTCGAGGCTTCTATGGCTCTGGAAAGACAGATCAATTCGTCCGCGTCTCCTCTTCCGAGTGTGAACTTCTGAACTATGCGTTGCGCATCATAGCTGCGCTTTAGTAACTGTACTATGTCGCTGCGCAGCTCCTCATCCTCTAGCAAGGCCGCAACCAAGTCAAGGCGTTCATTTATCACCTGCAACGACGTAGATGGGGATGCTGTGAATATTGTTAGTAGTAGACCACAGAATATGAGGGGAAGCATACTCAGGCGATCTCTCAGAAGACGAGCTCCGCTCCTCGTCGTGGTTCGTCGGACCGCATGAAGAAGGCTCCCTTTCCCAAACCCGTCTCGTGACGTTTCCAAAATTTCTAGTCCTCTTAAACTATTGCGGTCAATGCCCATTGACTGATCAAGATGGCGACGACAAGGAGGCTGAAGTTGCATATTTAATCCCTGTAACTGGACTCGAATATACTGCAGTAAGCTGTAGCCAGCTGCGATCTCTTCCGGAGTAAACGAAGCGGCGGCGTCCGAGGATATGGGTGCCTCAAGCATGGATTCCCATTCTGACATCGGTGCGATATTATGAGGGAAGTCATAAAATGTAACAAGACGATGGTCTTGCCCAGTTAGAACTTGGAAATCTGCACCGACCAAATCCCGGATGTTCTGATCGACTAGCACTTCACGGGCACCGATCCTCGCGACAGCAGACGGAAGCATTTGGGGCGTGGTGAATTGTGTAAAGAAGTCTCCTGTTGAAAGGTCTATCCATGCCAAACCTACTCTCTGTGATGCGGATGAAAATAGGTGCTGATACAAGGGCGAGGAGGTATCGTCTAGGCGTTCTAATTGAGACCTTGAAGATTGCACATCTATGTATATAGCCAGAATGAAATTGTTTTCAGACGGATCCATAAACTTTTCATCAATTAAAGTCCCTGGAGTGATAATCCTGGCTACCCGTCGGTCAAAGAGGAGTCCAGTCCGCTCTTTATCCTCGGCCTTGACGGCAAACTCTTCACTGATCGCCACGTATTTGTTGAGGTCTTGGACAAGGACTTTCAAGAATCGATCCAGCTGGAAAAATGGGAATCCTGCCATAGGAACCGGACCGGCACTGGTCTTCCTAGACGCAAGCTTTAAATGGAGCAGCGGCGCCAACTCTTCGGCTTGTTCAAAGTATAGCTAGAGTCCGACTCAGTGGCGCTGTTCAGAACAACTCACCCAGTGCAGATACAAAATAGGAATCCTACCTCATAGAATCCTCCGACCCGTGTTAAAACAATACAGTTCTTGAACTTTTGCATGTTGTTCCAATGCCCCTGCAAAACAGCAGGATAACGAGGCGCATCATCGACACTACCATCGTCATATGGTGCTAACTTCAAGGCTCCCTGTGGAAGATCCTTCAACTTCACTGTAGACTTGGTCTTCGCGCTCCTTTTGGATTCTAAGGTCATAACTGACGCTGTGAAGTTCGAGCGCAAGACAGGGCCGCCCACATAATGAGATAGAGTTCGGCATCCGTTGCGATGCTGAGAGGAAATGTCACAGTAGCGAAGGGGATAGTGTCGAATAAACCGAGAAATACGCAATCCAGGAGCGCGCATTGTCCTGGAGATTAGACCCAGTCGCTACTTCAATATCATACATTTCAGAATAGTAGTAAATAGCAGTAACATCTCCGGAGAGCATCCAGGCACCGAGCCGCTGCAAACTAATCAAACACGTGCCGCCGTCGCCACCGAATTCTTCGCGCTGCTAAAAGAGCCTCTCCAAACACTTCAAGCTCCACCTCCCCTTCTGAAAACAACCACTTCGTCCCTATCAGTGTCACTATCTCTTGCTCTGTGGCAGGAGAATGATTCAGGTTTGTGACACCGCTTAAAGATCCCCCGTTCTTCACTGAATTCGTCCCGAGTAGCAGGTGTCAGGACGCGCCGGTTAAAACTGAGCTCCTACCGAGCCCAGTCGACTTTCTTTAGTCGCTAGGCATTCGCTTCATTATTGACTTTGCTACTGTTGGATTTATCGTGTAATTCGCTGCTCGTTATTCAAAATGGCGGACCAAAACAACATCTCGCAGTACAAGTATTCTGCGATGTCCAACCTGGTTCTCCAGGCGGACCGTCGTTTCATTTCTCGCATCGGCGATGAGCCAACTGGAGACCCCGAGTCTCTCGCAGGCCGTATTGGTGTTCGGGATATGGGATCCAGGGTATCTCGTGACGACGCGCCAAAGACGAAGAAAAAGGCCGTCGAGGTGGAACGAGGCGCGATACGGGAGGGCGAGGACGTACTCGCTAGAGAACAAAGGAAGGTTCAACGCGGCCAACCAGCACAACGAGGGCAGGATATTCTGTCTGCTGCGGATGCGCTCATCGAGGGCCTTAGATACCGTCCCCGAACGCCTGCCACCAGAGCTACCTACGATCTTATCCTCACACTGACCGCTAGCCATCTTGGCGATGTCCCTCACGAAGTTGTTCGCAGTGCTGCTGATGCTGTTCTGGAAACGCTGAAGGATGAGGAAATGAAAGACTTCGATAAAAAGAAGGAAGTTGACGACTTGTTGGGTAGCTCCATGAGCCCAAAGGAATTCAACGAACTTGTGAACCTTGGCAAGAAAATTACAGACTACGATGCGCAAGATGAAGATGAAGAGATGGAACAGGGCCTAGACGGTGAAGCGGGCGCCGAAATAGATGAGCGACAAGGCGTAGCCGTCGTCTTCGATGAGGAAGATGAAGATGAAGACCGCATGGGAACCTTGGACGAGGTACGGGACGAAGATGAGTTGACTGAAGATGAAGAGGCAGACGAACAAGATACCCTAGAAGCGGCGGAAGCCCATGCAGATAAAGAGGATCTTCCAGCTGCCGAGGAAATGATAATCGACGGAGGGATCACTCGAGATGAGACGCAACGGGATAAAGCCGCAATAAACGTTCCAGCGCGTGAAATAGATGCTTATTGGCTCCAGCGTCAGGTCGGCTCTTTCTACACAGACGCGCATATTCAGCACGAGAAGGCAAGGGATGCGCTTCAAATCCTGGAAGGCAAGGCTGATGATGGCACGGAAAGGCCACTTCGAGATGTGGAAAATGACCTGATGGAGCTCTTTGACTATGATTATCCAGAGCTTGTGGCGAAGCTTGTAACGAATAGACACAAAATCGTTTGGGTGACACGCTGGAGACGAGTGGCTGAAGATGCAGATGCCCGCCACCTGGTCGAAAACGAGATGGTCGAATCCGGCCACCGAGCCATATTGGACGAGCTTCGCGGCAAAGCAACACGTGGCGAGGTGGAAAGACGACCTGAGAAAAAGATCAAGCTTGACCTGATGGATATTGATGTTCCCGCAGCCCCCGCTGTCGAGGAGAAGCCGAAGGAAGGTGGTCTTGTTGGTGGCTTGCAACCCAAGAGGCTGATTAACTTGGAAAATCTCGTTTTTCATCAAGGAAACCACCTTATGACTAATCCGAATGTCAAACTACCCCAAGGTTCAACGAAACGGACATTCAAAGGATATGAAGAAATCCATGTTCCCCCGCCGAAGGCGAAGAGGGACCCTGGTGAGAAGAATATCCCCACCACAGAACTTCCAGAGTGGGCTCGTATTGGTTGGGGCGCTTCGAAGGAACTTAACCGTGTCCAGACGAAATGCTTTGCTTCGGCTTTCCACGATGATGGAAATATGTTGATCTGCGCTCCGACTGGGTCGGGGAAGACCAATGTTGCTATGCTTGCAATTCTCCGTGAAATTGGCAAGAACCGCAATCCCCAAACCGGAGAAATCATGTTGGATGACTTCAAGATCATCTTTGTATCCCCTCTGAAAGCTCTGGTTCAAGAACAGGTCGGCAACCTCGGCAAGCGACTCGAGCCTTACGGTATAAAAGTATCGGAACTCACTGGTGACCGTCAACTCACCAAACAGCAGATTGCTGATACTCAAATTATCGTAACAACCCCCGAAAAGTACGACGTGATTACTCGAAAAGCGTCGGAAACTAGCTATACTAGGCTCGTCCGTCTCATCGTCATCGACGAGATACATCTTCTTCACGATGACAGAGGTCCTGTCTTGGAAAGCATTGTAGCCAGGACTATCCGTAGGGGGGAGCAGACCGGGGAGCCTGTGCGGATCGTTGGCTTGAGTGCCACCCTTCCCAACTACCGTGACGTGGGTAGTTTCCTACGTGTCGATCCTAAGGACCTGTTCCACTTCGACGGGACTTACAGACCCTGCCCACTGAAGCAGGAGTTCATCGGTGTTACCGACAAGAAAGCTATCAAGCAGTTGAAAACTATGAATGACATTTGCTACAACAAGGTTCTGGAACAAGTCGGACAGCATGGTAACCAGATGCTCATCTTTGTACACTCTCGAAAGGAAACGGCTAAGACAGCCAAGTACATCCGAGATAAAGCTTTGGAGATGGAGACTATTGGTCAAATTCTACGCAGTGATGCTGCCAGCAGGGCTATTTTGAGCGAGGAAGCAGAGTCTGTCGATGACCAATCTCTCAAAGATCTCCTTCCTTATGGATTTGGCATCCACCACGCTGGGATGAGTCTTGCGGATCGTGATTCCGTTCAGGCACTCTTCGCCGATGGCAATATCCAGGTGCTCGTTTGCACTGCAACTCTTGCCTGGGGTATCAACCTTCCCGCGCATACGGTCATCATCAAGGGAACTCAGATCTACTCTCCCGAGAAAGGTAGCTGGGTTGAACTCAGCCCCCAGGATGTCCTTCAAATGCTCGGACGAGCTGGACGGCCGCAATATGATACTTTCGGCGAGGGCATCATCATCACTGCACAGTCAGAAATCCAATACTATCTTTCCTTGATGAACCAACAGCTACCTATTGAAAGCCAATTTATGAGCAAACTTGCTGATAACCTGAATGCTGAAATTGTTCTTGGCAATGTTCGCAGCCGTGATGATGCAGTTGAGTGGCTTGGTTACACATATTTGTTTGTCCGTATGCTTCGATCTCCGGGTCTTTATAGTGTCGGTGCCGATTACGAGAATGATGATGCACTGGAACAGAAACGAGTCGACCTCGTTCACTCTGCTGCGGTCGTTTTGGAGAGAGCGGGGCTTGTTAAGTACGAGAAGAAAACTGGCCGACTGCAGTCGACTGAGCTTGGAAGAATTGCTTCCCATTACTACATCACCCACCATTCCATGCTTATATACTCTCAGCATCTGCAGCCGATGATTGGCAACATTGAACTCTTCCGGATATTTGCTTTGAGCGACGAATTCAAATACATTCCGGTTCGCCAAGATGAAAAACTCGAATTGGCAAAGTTGCTCGGTCGTGTGCCGGTTCCTGTGAAGGAAAGCATGGATGAACCTCATGCAAAGATTAATGTCCTGCTGCAGGCTTATATCTCTCGGCTCAAACTGGAGGGCCTCGCGCTCATGGCGGATATGGTCTACGTTACTCAGTCTGCTGGCCGTATCCTTCGCGCTTTGTTCGAGATCTGTTTGAAAAAGGGCTGGTCCTCTGTTGCTAAAACTGCACTCGATCTCTGCAAGATGGCCGAGAAGAGGATGTGGCCAACAATGAGCCCTCTGCGCCAATTCCCGTTCTGTCCCAGGGACATCTTACAGAAGTCCGAGAGAATAGATGTGCCTTGGTCTAGTTACTTCGACCTAGATCCTCCACGTATGGGAGAGCTATTGGCAATGCCTAAAGCTGGTCGGATTGTCTGTGATCTTGTATCCAAGTTCCCCCGTTTAGAGGTTCAGGCTCAAGTTCAGCCCATCACTCGGTCGATGCTCCGCGTGGAACTAACAATTACTCCCAACTTTGTATGGGATGAGGCGCTGCATGGTAACGCCCAGGACTTTTGGATTTTGGTCGAGGACTGTGATGGCGAAGATATCCTATTCCATGACCAGTTCGTTCTCCGTAAAGAATATGCGCAGGCTGAAGTGAACGAGCACCTTGTCGATTTCACGGTGCCCATCACGGAGCCTATGCCCCCGAACTATTTCATCACACTTGTCTCTGACCGTTGGATGCACTCGGAGACCAAGATTGCCGTGTCGTTCCAAAAACTTATCCTACCGGAGAGATTTCCCCCTCATACACCTCTTTTGGATATGCAGCGGGCACCAGTGAAAGCACTAAAGCGTGAGGACTACCAACAACTATACCCTGAATGGGATTATTTCAATAAGATCCAGACTCAGGTATTCAAGTCGCTTTTCGATACGGACGACGATGTCTTCCTTGGGGCTCCTGCTGGAAGTGGAAAAACAGTCTGCGCTGAATTGGCACTGCTCCGCCACTGGTCCAAACCAAATAGCGGCCGTGCAGTCTACGTTACTCCTTTTCAAGAGTTGGTTGATCAACGACTAGCAGATTGGGCAAAGCGACTCAGTAAGGTCGCTGGAGGAAAGGTGATTTCCAAACTTACTGGTGAGAGGACGGCGGACCTAAAGGTCTTGGACCAAGCGGATCTTGTCCTTGCCACACCTGCCCAGTGGGATGTTCTATCTCGCCAATGGCAGAGACGGAAGAATGTTCAGTCAGTGCGACTATTCATTGCTGATGAGCTTCATATGCTTGGCGGTTACGGCGGATACGTGTATGAGGTGGTCGTCTCGCGTATGCGTCACATTGCCCTTCAGCTGGAGAACGGCCTGCGCATTGTTGGGTTGAGTGTGCCTCTTTCCAATGCCCGGGATATTGGAGAATGGATTGGTGCGAGCAAACATACGATCTATAACTTCAGCCCCCATGCTCGTCCAGTGCCCCTGGAGCTGCACATTCAGTCTTACAGCATCCCTCACTTCCCTTCTTTAATGCTCGCGATGGCGAAGCCGGCCTACCATTCGATCCTTCAGTTGTCCCCGGACAAACCGGCGCTTATCTTTGTACCTAGCCGGAAGCAGACACGCTCAAGTGCCATAGACTTATTGGCTGCTTGCACTGCGGATGACAATGAAGATCGCTTCTTGCACGCTGATGTTAATGAGCTAGCACCGTTGCTCAACCGGATCCAAGAACGAACACTCGCCGAGTCTCTCACGCATGGTATCGGTTATTACCATGAAGCGCTGAGCCCAACAGACAAGCGTATCGTTACTCATCTTTTTACTATCGGGGCGATCCAAGTACTTCTCGCCTCGCGTGATGTCTGCTGGGAAATTGACTTCACTGCTCATCTTGTTATTGTCATGGGAACTCAGTTCTTTGAAGGCCGCGAACACAGATACATCGACTATCCTATCAGCGAGATTCTGCAGATGTTTGGCAAGGCAACACGACCGAGGGTGGATAAGTTTGGTAGGGGAGTTCTCATGGTTCCTTCAGTGAAGCGCGAATACTATAAAAAGTTCTTGAATGAGGCCCTTCCGGTGGAGAGCCACCTGCCGATCTACTTGCATGATGCTTTCGTGACCGAGATTAGCACCAGGACCATCGCCTCAACTCAGGACGCAGTCGACTGGATTGCCGCATACACGTACTTCTACCGTCGCCTTCTTGCCAACCCCAGCTTTTACGGTCTAGGCGACATAAGCCACGAGGGACTCAGTGCATTCTTGTCTGAACTTGTTGAAAACACATTGAAAGAGCTCGCTGAAGCCAAGATCATTGACCTGGATGAAGAAGACGACAGTATCACTCCCCTGAATGCAGCGATGATCGGCGCCTACTACAACATATCGTTCATCACAATGCAAACCTTCCTATTGTCTCTTTCTGCGCGTACGAAGCTTAAGGGCATGCTGGAGATCGTTACATCGGCTACGGAGTTTGAATCTATCCAAATTCGCCGCCATGAGGACCACATTTTACGCAGAGTGTACGACCGTGTACCAGTGAAGATGTCGGAGCCCGTCTACGACTCTCCTCACTTTAAAGCCTTCGTTTTGCTCCAGGCACACTTCTCACGCATGCAACTACCGATTGATCTTGCCAAGGACCAAGAAGTCATCGTCAGCAAAGTCCTGAATCTTCTCAGTGCATGTGTCGATGTCCTTTCATCGGATGGTCACCTTAATGCGATGAATGCTATGGAGATGTCACAAATGGCTGTGCAGGCTATGTGGGATCGTGACAGCCCGTTGAAACAGATCCCACACTTTACGCCAGAAGTCATTAAAGTGGCGAACGAGTTCGGCATCAGCGACATTTTCGAGTTCATGGAGGCGATGGATCCATCTGAGAATAAAGACTACGCGACTCTAGTAAAACGCCTGGGACTTGATAATAAGCAGCTCGCGCAAGCCGCGGCCTTCACTAATGATAAATACCCGAATCTCGATCTTGATTTCCAGGTCGAAGACCCAGACAGCATCACGTCTGGTGAACCTGCGTACCTCAAGGTCAAGATTGAGCGGGACATCGAAGAAGATCAGGAACCGGACACTACGGTTCATGCGCCGTTCTATCCCGGCCAGAAAGTGGAGAATTGGTGGCTGGTTGTCGGAGAAGAGAAGAGCAAGAGTTTGCTTGCCATCAAGCGTGTCGCCATCGGTCGGAAACTGGAGCTACGGCTAGAATACGTGGTACCGACACCTGGAGAGCATGAGTTGACATTATACTTGATGAGCGATAGCTACGTGGGCGTTGACCAAGCCCCGACATTCACGGTGACGGCTGCTGAGGGGATGGAAGAGGATGAGAGCGAGGAAGAGGCGTGAGGGGTGAAAATTGTGCTGTTTCTTTCTGTCTGTATACCATATATCTTCTGAGATCTGAGTTGTACAGTAATTATACGCATTTGAATTTCGGGAATAGGAGAGTTGAAAGTAATCGGACTCCGATGGTGTTGATGTTGATGTCTCAGATGAGGCCACCATGCGGAGATGGTCTATCTAAATCGATGTATCTACAATACTACCTTGCTGGCAAGCAGCTCTCCTCTTCACATTCCCCTACATCTTCCTCTTCGTCTGTCTTTCTTTTAATTCTATCCATCTCTGAGTATTCGTAGAGCCATTTATCAGTCCCCTCTTCCTCCTGTGCTGGATTATCGGTGCTCTCTTAATCGCATACCTAATCCACTCCGCTTTTGGAACCCCTCAACCGCCATGACCATCCGCGCTGTCAAGTTCACGCCCGAGTAAGCAGAACCAGAGCTTGACGCTCAATTCTCTTTCTCATTATCCTTGCTCACTACTCACTAATACTTCCAGGTCCCTCCTCGGAGCTCCACGACGGTCCTCCGCCATCCCCAACGCGAGTGGTACCCTCGCCATCTACACCCAAACGTCCTATTCCTTCGAGTCTCATTCCAAGACGAACGAGATCCGTGTCTTGGATATATCGACTGGCCGGTCTACCCTCATTACCAATGATCCTGGAGCGAGCGATCCTACTTGGCTCGATAACAGCGACCGGTTGATCTGGTTGAAGGCAAAGTCCAATGGCAACACCAGCTTCATCGTCGGGGACGCGCATGAAGCAGGCAAAACCTACACGGCGGGCACAGTCCCGGGACCCGTCTCTGACCTCAAAGTAACTACAATTGAGCCGGGCAGGATTGGATTCGCAGTCACGGGCAAGGCCAATCCGGATGGAACGTTATTTAATCCGCATGATGCCAAGGAGCCGTTGAGTTCGGGGAAATTGTACACGTCGCTTTTCGTGAGGCATTGGGATTCGTATGTTGTGCCACAGAAGAATGCGATTTGGTACGGTGTGCTTCAGCAGACTCCTCTTTCTGCTGCGTCGCGACAAGCGGGGAAGTACTCGATTTCTGGGTTGACAAATCTCATCGCGGTTTGTGGGTTGACTGGAGTTGAGTCGCCTATTCCTCCATTTGGAGGAGCTGGAGATTTTGCTATAAGTCCTGCTGCTATCGCATTCGTGGCTAAGGACCCTGAACTGAATCCCGCTACTCACACCTCCTGCATTTGCTATTATTGCCCTATTTTTGACTGGACAGCCACCGCGACGAGCGTGGAGGCTGTCCAGGTGAAAAAGATGACGAATCTTGAGGGTGCTATGTCTTCTCCGGTTTTGTCTTCTGATGGCAGCTCGGTTGCGGTGTTGGCCATGAGACAGGACGGGTACGAGTCGGACAAGAACAGAATTCTGTACATCCCTAATCCGTGGAGTGGGGAGACGATAGAGGTTTTCGCATCCCCTGATGGGCAAGGGCAATGGGATCTCAGTCCGGCGGCTTTGTTATTTGCTAGTGATGACCGGTCGCTGCTGATCCAAGTCGAGGAAAAGGGCCGCGTAGTTCTCTACCAGCTTCCTCTGGACAACATCCGGAATGCCACTCCTGATGTGCTGAAGAAGTTGACTCATTCGGGGTCCGTGAGTGACGTGGTTCCTGCGGCGAAGAACTCTTCGAAATTGTTCGTTTCGAGCACCAGCTTGATCGACAACAGCTTGTGGTCTATTGTCGACCCTTCTGATCCGACCGATGTACATATTGTCTCGTCCAATAGTCGTGGTGGGACTTCATTTGGTCTCTCGCCTTCGCAGGTGGATGAGATCTGGTTCAGGGGTGCAGAAGACTATCCAGTTCACGCGTGGGTGGTGAAACCATCCAACTTTGATCCCAGCAACAAGTATCCATTGGCATACTTGATTCATGGAGGCCCACAGGGAGCATGGAATGACCAGTGGAGCACGCGTTGGAACCCGGCAGTATTCGCAGAGCAGGGTAAGCTAGATTGATCCTCAAATTGAAGAGCAGATTACACTAACGAGCCAAGGCTACGTGGTCATTACGCCTAATCCCACTGGCAGCACGGGTTATGGACAGCCTTTTACAGATGCTATCCGCAACTCCTGGGGCGGCCGCCCCTACATCGACCTCGAAAAAGGCTTCGAGTATATTGAGAAGAATCTGGAATACGTTGACACGACTCGGGCTGTGGCCCTTGGAGCCTCATACGGCGGTTATATGGTAAATTGGATTCAAGGCCATCCTCTCGGCCGCAAATTCAAAGCTCTAGTGACGCATGATGGCGTGTTCAGCATGACCTCCCAGCTTGCGAGCGAAGAACAGTACTTCCCTCTCCACGACCTTGCGGGACCAATCTGGAAGGTCCCCGAGAACTGGGCGAGATGGGACCCTTCCCGGTTTACAGAAAACTGGAGCACACCCCAGTTGGTTATTCACAGCGAGCTAGACTATCGGTTGACGATCGCTGAAGGGTTGGCTGCGTTCAACGTTCTGCAGATCAAGGGGATCGACAGTGCATTCCTTACGTTCCCGGATGAGAATCATTGGGTCTTGAAGCCAGAGAACTCACTCGTGTGGCATCGGACTGTGTTCGACTTTATCAACAAATACTCTGGGGTGTCTTCGGCCAATGATGCTGGCTTGGAGAGGAGTGTGGCCAGTCTGTCACTGCCATAGGTTCCTGGTACATAGCCATGTTCTCTTTTCTCTGGCATTGACGAGCTTTAGGACCACATCTTAAGGTCACCTACTGCATTTATATAACTACTCTTCCTCTTGCATTCTCGCTCCCAGAAACGTCTATTCTACTAAATCCCGTTTCAAGGGGCATTCGAATCGAAGACAGATTCTTCATGTACGCGGCTCTTTCTTACTCTCATACTATTTCTTCTCACTCGATTGTCTCTAGTTTTCGCATGTAATATAAGCAAAAACAGCATGAGCAGGTGCCACAAAGAATAGCGAGAAAAACGCTTCGTAGTCATCATTCACCCTCAGCCTTTCTTTTCCTATGCAAGATTAGACCATGGAGTCTAGGTTTCTGGTAACTCAAAAGGATACGAAGTCTTTGGTCGTTCGACGACAATGCCTTGATAGTGCTCTTTCTTTCATTTCTCTATCCACCTGTCTGACATCTTTCATAGTCATAATATTCGTTGTTTAATTGATATTTGGACAATGAACGGGCCTGGTCTCAGACTTGAGTTTCCATTTTTATACACTGACAGGATGAACTGGAATATAAAGAACGTCTTTGTGAATGATCTCTCCTTCGCCATCATTGTTCTGGAACCTTGAAACAATCACCATTGTCTATTCTCCACAGACAGACATATATAAAGATGTGGATATCTCGCAGTTCTAGTTCCACAGCTCATTCAACCCACCATCATTCACAACATGCAATAATTCCCTATCCCTCAAGGAACCAACATATTCTCCCTCTGATACCTAGAACGCAATGTCCGACGGAGAATATACATCCTCCTCGCCATCAACTCCCCAGACACCAGTTTTTGCACAGAGACGGACATCCTGTTCATCGGTTTCCTCTAGTGCTAAGAGGCCAAGATCGATATCAATATCAATATCCCAACGACAGCAGACATCGCAAGGGACGTCTTATTCCAATAAAAGAGCCAGAAGAATGTCGACTTCGAAGAACCAAACCGGGGCCGGAACTGGAAATACGAGGGTCAGAAAGGGTGATGATACAACTACAACTACAGCTACAGCTGTAATCCCCAAAAAACACCGTCTCAGCCGCGCCTTCACCTTAACACTCTCCCATCTCTCGACGCCTCTACATCCCCTCGTCTCAACGACAACGGGTCTTCCGCATCCAGAATTTCCCACGTCCCTGCTCAAGTACCATTTACTCACGGATGAACAATTGGATTCCCTCGCGAGACATTACCATCAGTTCTACCCGCCTCTTCCAGAGACATACCGGTATCCGATGCTTATCAAGCCGTGGGTTGGGATCGATTCGACTGTCGATCTTAGTGTGAAGAGGAGGCGGTTTGGGAGGTTCATTGGGTTGAGGGGGTGTGAGTCTCCTGTTTCTTCGAGTTATGATGACGAGGAGATTGATGTTGGTTCTTACAACGATGGTGATGGTTATAGCCATCTCGATATACATGCCGATGGACATGATCGAATGGAAGAAGATGCGCAGCGGGTTCTGGAGCAAATGGAGAAGGAATGGAATAGGGCGTTGGGACGGGCGAGAGAGGAGGATGGGAACAGGGCTTTGGGAAGGAAATGGGGGTTCTATTAGATGCTTCCCCCCCTTTGTGATATTTTCTGTATGTATTTATGCTTATAATTAATAGATGATCCATATTGATGGGAAACAGCCAGCTAATGCCCCATGCCCTTCTCCCAGTTCTCCAGGACAATCTTCCAGTACGTCTCCCGGCTTCGCATGCGGAATGTCTTGCCCCATTTAATCATGATGAGGAACGCGGCCGAGCATGCCATGCCGATGAACGCAGCCGAAATGAAACAGTTCTGGTACCCCATGTTGTCGACCCAGGGGGTTATACTAGAACAAACCAGAGCCAGTAAGTATCCAGAAAAACGTCCAACACAAGACTTCAGCAAACTCACCCGTAACCGATAGCAAAGGACATAGTATTCCGCACCAGAATCACCGTGGCCATCGCATCCCCACTCAACTCCCGGTAACTGTCAACCAGGTAGTTGACGCTCAGCGTGATACCGGTCGTATTGCACAATGCCGTGAAGAACATGGCTACTATCAGGCCGAACCAGTGGACGTGATGTGCTGCGCCGACACCCCAGAGGATCAGAGAGGCGGGCAGGACGAACAAGCACAGCGCGAATGGCCATAGTCGGTGCTCGGCTTCCATGACTCCGTTATTGCGTCGGGCGAGTTTGATGGTTAGCCAGTCGCTAAAGCGGCCGGTGAAGATGGATCTGCATATATGCATGAGTATGATGGGCAGATGTAGATGCTCACGTCATGTACTTACGCTATGAACGCACCCAAGAGGCATGCGACGTAGCTTACGCCGACCATTGATGAGCTGGAAGTAGACGTTAGATTCACGACTTGCTTGTCCCGTTTAGGGGGTTGAATATCCATCTTACCCAAAGTTATACGGGTGAGAACCCAGGATCACAGACGATGTCCCGTTTAGGACATTGAACCAGATCAGATATGACCCATATGAGAATCTATAGACGGTCAGTGAGAACACATCGGATTACGGTTCGAAAGAAGGGATACCCAGCGTAGAAGATCACCGGCCAACTCAGATAATACACGGTCTGCCACATTCTTCGAAACATGTTGTTCCGGGGCTGTCTCGGGCCCAGCAATGCCAGTTTCTGGATATACGACTTCTTGCGGTACACCGTTGCCGACCCAACTCCCTGTTCTTCCGCAGAGATGTTCTGTGGGAGCTTCTCTGCCTTTCCCGGATCGGGATCTGCGTCCAAGCTTGGTTCTTTTTCGCGTTCGCCGGCATCAGAGCTGTCGGCGGAAGAAGTCTTGACGGCGGTATCCAACTTTATTGACGTTGACGCTGTTGGCTGCTTGTCCCGGACGTAGTTGGTCTCCTCCATGAAAAAGAAGAGGAAGACAAATGCGCCGGCGAGGAAGATACTCGGCCAGTAAAACACCCATTTCCAGCCCTGATACTCGGCTATGAAACCGCAAATAATCGGTGCGAAGAAGTTGCTTCCTGCTAGGAAGAATGCGTACAGGCCCATGTACATTCCGCGCTCGTGCGTGAAGTACTATGCAATGCATATAAGCATGGCTCCCTATTGAGGGAAGCAAGTAACTCACCACGTCCGTGACAGACGTCTCGGGGAGAGCTTCAATAGGAGCCTCGAAGAAACCGAGAATAATGTTCCTGGCAATCCACTGTCCGTTGTTCTTGTTGTAGGGTCTGTCACGTTTAGAACGTCTTTCTCCGCGCATAGATTCAATCCAGAGTCGAATAGAACGGACTCACCCCCAAACCGTCATAGCCAGTGACCCAAGCAGAGACAGCATGTAAGTCAATCGCTTGCCATACTGCTGCGCGAAAGGCTGCCAGAACAACAGACCCCATCCCGCGAGAAGAAACATGTAGCCTGTTCCGCGCGTGATATCGGTAATCGTCATGTTCGTCTCTTCGGAGAGTTGCACAGTCACGGAATACACGACCGAAGTAGCGATTCCAGCGAACCAGGTGTAGCTGAATCCGTAGAGCAACCCAGAGTAAGCAGAGCACCGACATCGACAAGGGGGTGCTCACTCACACATTCACGCAGATCGTAGACAACAGCTTCCGCCGCGGGGACCAGTTCAAAGGATCATCTGGATCTTCTGAAGGCTGGGGAATCAGCACGATGTCATGGTCGCCCTTGTCGAGATGGCGCGTTCTCATAACATGCTGTAGGTCCAGCAAGGTGACGGTGCCGGGGATGGCATTGGTGTCCACATTAGGAGCCATGACTGCCACGAGTATCATTGACTTTCTGAAAAGTGGGAGGGAGACGCGTTTTCCAGGTCCCTCAAGCAGCTTCTTCTCCACCGGGAGAGCAGACGGTGCTACATAAAGTACCATGCAGCCCAGCGTCACTATCAATGTCGGTCATGATACGCTATATCACGGATTCTGATAATGCAAAGTATATTGATCCCCATGCTATCAACGACGGACTGGCCGAAGGGGGGTTGAGTTTCAATTGGGCGCTTGTTATCGACGCATAACGCTTGCAGTAACCATAGCCGATGGACGTGCAGATCGCGTTGATATTGTACTTACAGCTGCATGATAACAGATTACCAGCTTTCTGAGAGAGTTCCGAGAGAGTTCCGAGAACAGTAGACAGTTCATGTTTATGTGATGGGAAGATGGACTACCGCATTGTATGGTATGATAGTAGTAATAGCTAGGACCATTTGAACACCTCCCCGACCAGCTCCTCACTCAACTCCCACAGTCTCTTTGCACTCGATTCCCCCGCAGGAAAGTCCATATTTGGCAATGCGAGAACCTGGCAGTTATCGAGGAATGCGCCCGACTGGCCTGTTGGAGATTGTAACCTTCATTAGTCTCCTGGGTTCTTTTGCCTGAACTGGAAGTGCGGAAGGAATCAAAGCAAATGGAACTACCAGTTCTCGCTGACCTTCAAGAATCGGATCCAGAAGCGCTCGGAGAACAGTCGCGCTAGCCTGCGGTAGGGATTTGGGTACTTGTTGTAAAAGCAACGGTTGTTCCTGTCCGGCTTTATCATCGAATACATGCAAGGTTAGAACCATTTCTTTGAAACATTCGGACTCATGCTCATTCTGCTGTTTACAGACCATCTCTCTTCTTCCGGAGCCATGTCGAGACTTGGTCTGGCGAGACGCATGTCAGCAGGTTGGTCCTGATATCTGAGAGTTATCCCATCAGCGCTTTCCAGTTCATTCATATCTCTGGATACTGAATAACACCCACTCCCTGGGTTAATAGAAAATGCTGTGAGCGAACGCCCGGCACAGGATTTCGCCAGGGATTTGGCGAACTGGATATTGGCGAACATAGACTGTGCGTATGCATCGAGTGGATCATAGACACGGCCATTCTAGAAACAAAAAGAGGTTATAGCCAGCAGTCAGCTCCATAGTCTTTCTCTACTCATCAGACTGGACGTTAAACCCACCGAGAAATTAATATCCTCATACCCCGGAGCCCCAGTTTCCGGTCGAATACTGGTGCTAACCATGACAACAGTGCCCCCCGGGGACATGCAAGGAACCAACAAGTTCACCAAAAGGAAATGCGCCAGATAATTAACCTGGAAATGCGACTCCATCGCATCCACGGTCTGCTTCCACGGCACAGCCATCAGGCTTGGGGTCACCACGATCCCGTCGATGGGGGTTTCGAGTCGTCGGATCGTCTCCGCCGCGCTGCGCACGCTGTCAAGCCGGGTGAAATCGGCCGTGATGAATATCAGCTTCACCTTGGGGAACTTGCGGTTTATTCCTTCCATGACTGGTTTCGCGACATCTTGCGATTTGCCCACGAGGATAAGTGCGCCTGCGTCGCCGTGGGCCAGAGCTTCGGCTGTTGTTGCAGCTAGTTCACCGGGGTTTGGTCCGGTTAGGAGGACTGTTTATGATGATCGTTAGTTTGTAAGAGATGATGAAAAACGCTTTAATTGATAGGTTTGGTAAAGCTCAGAGCAGCGGGGAGGTCATACATATTTTGTTCTTCACTTCATTTGGGAATGCGTTGACGACGTCAATCCCCTTGTCGAAACCCATCTCGGGACAAATTCAATGGCAGTCAAAGAAAACCAAACGGTTGAAGAAATCTGAAGGTTCAATTTCAGTCTTTCTGTGGAATTTAGCATACATCGAGTCTTATGGGATCGGTTTTCGTCATCGTGAGGCCGCACGCCATTACGTATTTTCACAGTGTCTTGTTCCCTGGTTCACTTTATCAGATCTAGTACATTTTATTTACTGGCTGTCAGTAGAAGACTGGACATTGGAAAAAAATCCTGCGCCAGCCGTTATTGACAGGGTAATGGTATTTGTTCAAGGTTGCTGTATCGAGTCACCAAAGAAGGCAAAGTGTGGAAAAGGTAATGAATTGCTTTGCCCAGTCAAAAATAATGTACAATCTCGTAAACCTTGCAATCAATGCAATCCAACAGATCAAGCGTGCGCCAGAAGGCTATACCATCGAAAATGTGTACCTGTGCAATCCCTGTCGAGCAAAGTCCGACAGCCATTCAAAGTCGGGAACCGGCAACGAGGTGAATAAAACATAAAAAGGCGCGAGAAGAATCCAGATTAGAGCCTCTCATGCTGATGAACTAGGAATAGCATCGTCATCTGGAAGGGTACGAATCGCATCCTTGATGAGTTGTATGAGCTCGTCAATGTCAGGCCGCTCTGCCGGTTCAACCTGGAGGCATTTCCGGACTATATCCTTGACGGGCTCGCCAATCGAAGAGCCTGTATCTTTGGCAGCTGGCTGACCCGCAGCCTTGCCTTTCCCCTTTGCTGCACCAGATTTTTCGTCTGGGAACCGCCAATCCCCACCGAGAATGCACATGCTTAAACTGCCCCCAGTTTCCTCGCTACGCGCCTCAAACGGGCTCTTTCCGACCAGGCAGGCGTATAATGAACACCCAAACGACCAAATGTCAACCTTGGTATCAATTATAGATCCTGTTTTCACATCGAACAATTCGGGTGCTCGGTAGGGCATCGTGCTGTGTTCAGCAGCAGTATCTTGCACCGCTAAGGCGAGCGAACGCGAGGTGATAGCGATGGGGCTCGGGGCCAGCGAGCCAAGGTCCATGAGAATGGGGGTTTGACCATCATCGTCGATCATAATGTTCCCTAATGACACAGGAATGCGTGAGTTTATTCCCATACCTGAGCATCCAACCTATTGCAGCAAGTAGGTAGCTTACCTGGCTTGATGTCTCTGTGAGCGTATGGACGGAGACCGCCATCCTGGACACCCTCCTGACTCTGTGTGACCTCATCGTCAATCAATGGCTCATTCTCTGGCTCCTCGCCCATCCGGTGGCTTGTTCGCCTTTTCGGTTTCCCCGCCTGTCTCGCCAGGTCTTCATCCGCCTCCTCTCCCTCTCTCTTGACAGCCTGTGCGGCGTGCGTAGTAGGAGCACCACGTGCGACACGGTACTGGTGCATCGATTTCAACGCCTTTGCAACTCCGAGCATCAAGACCATCAACCGCTTCTCCGGGAACTTGGTGTGGTTGACTAGATTGGCGTTGATCGCGTCCTGGAGATTTCCGCGTTGATAGTACGGTAGTAAGATGTAGACCGTCTTCGAACCCGCATCGCCTCCATCAGAACGAAATTTCGAACCCGGTTCCGAGCTCACACAATGGTCTATGGAGTGGATGATGTTTGGCTGCGATGAGAAGAGCTTATAGGCTTCCACTTCCTTCAAGGCCTGCGAAACGGATTCCTGACCAAACGGACATCGGATCTTCTTCAGCGCGAAGAGCTCGGAGGTCGACTTATCCTGGACGAGGTAGACGTAGGAGAAACCGCCCTATTGAAATAGCATGAGCTTGAGCTCGTCGAATACACTCAGAAGCCATTCTCTTCCATACCTCACCTAGCAGGCGTAGCAGCTTGAAACTGCGGTTGTTGATTTTGAGCTGCGGAGAGCTCGGAAAGCAACAGAGACAATCCGTGAAGTTGTAGAGCAGATCAAAGAAATACTGCGCCATGTTGCGGGCGTGGGATGAACTGAGCAGACTGGTAACTAGCAGCGGACGAGCTTCCAGAGACGTGGTCTCACCACGACAACGAGGTGCATGCAGGAATCGAGCGGCAGACGACGTAAGTGACCCAACGGCTCAAGACACATGCAGACAGATATATAAAGAAGAGAGCGAGGATGGTGCCGTTGAAAGAATCTCGAAGCTCGGCAGTGGAGAAGGCTGACGGGCGAGAGGACGCATCATCCATGGTTCGGGCGTGTTTACGTTTCCTTGGCCTTGCGCTGCATCTCTGCAAGCCCCTGGATCAACCCAGCTGCTCGCGGCTGGCTGGAGGCCATTGCAGCGCGTCTTTATGCCATATATATATTCTGATCCTTTCGTTTCTGTCTCCTGTGCTGGCCGCTGCTGCTTCCCCAGATGTGGACCGTAGCTGATGCCCAGCGCGTTAAAAATAAATGCGAACCCAATTAATCGCGATGAGTTCATGATTTCAACTCCACATTCCGCCCGATTGTTTCCCCTCTCTTCCATCCCTGCATCCTCTTTCTGCCTGATCTTTTCCTCCTGTCATCTTTCACAGGATAGAGGAGAACGGGAAAACAGAACAGAAAAAGGCAAACGGAAACACGCCCTCGATTTCTCCCTCCCCTGACGGCCACCGGTGCTTTTTGCAGGAACCCAGTCCACGATAATGCCCCCAGTCGACGACATCCAGATTGGTGACCTGGTGAATGTCCCAGGTGGCATGTATGGGACCGTCAAATACCTGGGCCCTGTAGCAGGCAAGCCTGGACGGTTTGCCGGTGTCGAGTTGGCTGGTGAGCATGCCGAACGAGGGAAGAACAGCGGAGATGTGGATGGGAAAAGATACTTTGCTACGTCTGTTCCAGGATCAGGTATCTTCGTTCCCATTAACAACAATAGATATATCACAAAACGAGTCGGGACTCCCCCTACGCCGACGCCTACGCGAAGTGCTACGGTGAATTTCAGCAAATCCGTCGGGCCTGGTGCCAGTGTGCCTCGACCGCAGTTCAGACGACCTTCTCTGCCCCGAGATGGTTCCCCCCATACAACCACAACTTCTCGGCCCAAGCCTGGGTTTGGAAGTCTGCGCACACCGTCCATGGGAACAAGACCAGGTGCCAGTCCCACTACGCTTTCTCGTCCACGCAGTCCTATGAAAACACCTTCTCGTCTAGCCACCCCTCGCCCACCATCCCGAGTAAGCACGGAATCGGAGACTCCAACATCTTTACGAATCTCTGATCCTTCTTCTATGCTGTCTGCGCCGGGAGAAGTGCATGAGTTAAGGGAGCGGGTCAAGGCTCTGGAGACGCAACTTCGGGAGCGTGACAAGCAGCTGAACGAACAGGCATCAACCCTGGCCGAATTTCAACGGACTATCGAGGACTTGGAGGGATCAGATGCTCTCTCGATTCGGGCACAGCTGCGCGAGAAGAATGAGAAGATCGCTCAGCTAACCTCAGAGTTCGATAACCACCGGGCAGATTTCAGGAGCACCCTAGACACGCTGGAAGTGGCGGCATCAGAGACGGAGCGAGTCTACGAACAGCGTATTGAGGAGCTCATGCAACAGAACAAAGAGCTAATGGACCACGGAGAGGATGTCGAGATTGTTGCTGGACAACTCAAGCAACTTGAAGAGCTGGTATCTGAATTGGAGGAAGGACTGGAAGATGCAAGGCGTGGGGAGGCAGAAGCAAGAGCCGAAAATGAGTTCCTACGAGGCGAGGTGGAAAGGACAAAGCTCGAACTGGAGAAGGAGCGCGGAGACTCAGCTGCAGCACTGAAAGACGCGAACGGACACCGACACGCAAGGGAACTAGAGCAGAAGGACGACGAGATTCGTGGTCTCAAAGCCATAATCCATTCCTTGAGTAGAGGGGACACCAACGTGACGGCCTTGCTTCAAAATGGGAACCATGATGCGGAACGCATTGCTGAACTGGAGCATCGCGTCCAAGAATTCGAGCACGCCACTGAAACTAAATCCCACCGCATCGAGGAACTGGAACGGGAACTACAACTGCTGCAGCTGAACAGCAACAGCCAGCACAGCCGCAGTTCCACGGTCACCGTCTCTCCCTCGAATCAGCACGCGTCAACCAAGTCAACAGGGTATGTTGAAAGCATGGGCGTCGGCCATTCTCACAAGCTGTCCGATCGCACCGTGGTGCCGAATAGCCAAGAAGATTTCACTCGCAGTGATAGTGTCCATTATCTGAGTGGTTCTTTCAGTCGTGCGGAACCCGTGCATGTGCCTGCAGGCTCGGACGATGGCTCAGCGCTGTGGTGTGAAATCTGCGAAACGAACGGCCATGATATCCTGAACTGCACCAATATGTTCGGCCCTGGTGCTGGAAGGAATGGCAATGGCAATAGCCTGCGTCCCGTCCAGGGACCCCATGATGAGAATTCCTTGAGTCGATCGCACTCTCCTCTTAGTGATCAAACTCCGCCCGGGTCAACCCAGCCCAATGGCTTTGACCATCTCGGAATTGGCTCCACCCCTCGGAAGACTGGTCGAGATGCTGCCATCGGGGGACTGCGAGGTATCGGGGGCCTACTTAATTCCATGGCCCCCGTTGCAGGAAAGGCATCAGGAGTTATCGATGAATCAAAGTGGTGCGCTCTCTGCGAGAGGGACGGCCATGAGAGCATCGACTGTCCCTTTGATGAGTGACGGGAAGTTCAGTTTAGACTACTTTTTACTGCTTTGAAATACCCAAAAGGCATGTAGACCCTTGGATGTTTAAATATGAATTCGTTGCCCTTCTTCCTTGTGTTTATTCAGCCTGTTTTCTTGATCCTGCTCTCCCATTCTCGGCACAAGTGGCTATCCTATGATTTGGCTGGGAGTCCTTTGCAGACATTTTCCTCTTTACAGTCCTATGTTTTGCTTGATGAGGGATATTATGCTTTTTGTTTCCCTTCTTCTGTTTATCCTTCTGTGCTGTTTTCATGTACTGTTTCCATATTAACACTCTTAATAGGATGTTTGCCTCTTTTCTCCTCTTCCCTTTCTTTCTGGGGGTTCTGTTTTCCTTTACTTCGTTGGGATTCTTTTCAAGGCGTGTTGGATAAATCTTCCTAATTCAAGGAACCTAAAAAGCTGTTGTTTATCTTTCCATCAATCTCCTGTTCACGGCCTCGTCTTTTTGTTGCAAAGGGAATATACCTAGTGGAGCTAGGGGGAGGCACTTCAACCATCATCATCATCATCTTCGATCGGGCAGTTTGTCTGCCGGTGCCAGCAGCAGGAGAAGGGATTCCAAGAGAAGAGAGTCATTACTGATCATAAAGTAGGCACAAAATACCTTCACTCCCAACCTAGTAGGTTGGAACTGAAGCCGAGAAATTGAGACAAAGAACAGACTGAACTATTACTCTGAGAACCTCGGGGGCTGCACGACCTCTCCCTCTTTGAACGCTGACTCGGCAATGGTTCCACAAAATTTACAAGTCCTCTTCTCTTGATCGGCTTTAAACTCCTCGACTACCTCCTTAACCTGCGTTCCCAAATCGGTGCACACGAACTGCTTCTCCCACACAATGCTTGTGCAATTCTTACAATACCACCTCATGGCATCCACTATACCGTCATTCCTAGGCACCTCTAGAACAATTCCCACGGTATCCTTGAAGCGCACCGGACAGTGCGGGGTATTTGCAGGCAGAAGGAAAAGCGAACCCTCGTGGATGGGAATATCCTGGAAGACAGGCGGTGTCACAGAGGTGTCAACAGTTTTCAGAAGCATGGATCCTCGGTATTGGTAGAAAAACTCTGGTGTGGAATTGATGTGGTAGTCTGTTCGCGCGTTGGGACCGCCGACTACCATGACTGTGTAGCCGGCTGTAGCGGGTGAAGAGGGGTGGTAGACGCAGTAATTATTTACAGGGGGTTGGAGGAGGTGGGAATTTGCCTCGAGCCTGTAGAATATGCGTCAGATATTTGCTTCTTTTCTTTTTTCTGTTACATTGAGCAGAATTCGTCTGCGGTGATAGAAGTTGAATAGAATAGAACGTGGGGCATGTCATTACCATTTCGGGATGTTCAATGCTGGGGGTAGCATTTTGTTAGTTTCGGATGGCCCTTCCTTGGTTTCCGTGAAAATCGAATATATCAAGAGGAACTCCCGCGTAGCGTAACACTCTGCAGGGTTGATTGATGATTCAACTCGACAGTCATTGCAATTATTTCTACGGAATACTTGTGTTGGATCACGTGGGATTCTGCCGCATAGGTCCGCCCTCGCTGACCCTTTTCACCACGTAGGCCTATCTAGCTAGTGACCAACCAACGATACACCTCCATTAGGTTATGAGCCCGTTTCTTGCTCGGAAATATGAGCTATTTTAGGCCCGTATAAGTGGTCAATTTAAGCCCTCTGATTGGCTGAACCAAAATTCCATACCCCAGATTCCAAAAATTCCAGGATCCCAGATACGGTCCGAACCTGAGCATGTCAGGAGAACCTACTACGCCTCCCGCTACTGCTATACGACGATCACGTCGCCGAAATCTCCAAAACAGGTCCTCGAATATAGACGAGACCTCCTCATCAGTTGTCTCTGAAGAGATAGAGACCCCAACGCCTTCCGGAGCCAATCTGAGCTCTACCAATACCGCCAACATGGCTTCCACAAACGAACTTACCCCTGATCTTGCTGATATGATGCGACAAATGCTTGCTCGCCAGAATCAGATGGAACAAGATATGCGAGACCGTGAAGCTAGAATGGAGCTAAAACTGGCATCTATCATCCAGTCTAATACTCCACAAGCTTCCTTGCCTTCAAATACAACCCAAGATACTACACCAATGGATATCCAACCGCCTCTGCGTGATGCCTCAGACACAAATATCAGCAATGCTATTGCCCTTGTCCAAGCCGATGTCGATACGCTACTGCCTGACCGATGCCGTGTCATCTTGACACTGGATAATTACGATGCATGGAGCTCTGCCATACAAAAAGAAGCTGGTATTCTCAATGCTATTACAACTCTTCACCAGGACTCTCCTCCTGCTGGATCATCTCCACTTGATGCTGCAGTTTGGCACAGAAAAGCCATTGTCATGAGAGCCCGTATGCTCAATGCCATGACAACCCCTGCTTCCGATAAACTAGGCACCGTATATGACCTCTCTGCCCATGGTCTTTGGGACCGAGCTGCCACACTTTTTGGCAAATCCACCGGTGAAGAGCGAATGGCTCCTTACCATGGAGCTCAAAGAGCTCTATATAAAGGATAACGATTATCTCACCTACCAGTCATCCTTTAATCGAATCTTTGACCGCCTACACGCTATTGGAGAAGAATCTCTTGAAAATCTCAAACATGACCTCTTCTTTATAGGTCTCCGGGACTGGAACCGCGCCTTTATCAAGAGTAAACTAGATGATGTCTACTCTACTGGCCGTGCTCCGGTTACCAACCTGGATCTTAAGGTTATCCAGACCCAATTATCTACTCGAACCGGCACTAAATTCCGTGATACTCATTCTCAAGACCGGTCAAACCAACAGAAAGAGAACTCCCAGAACCGCAGTTATTCAAAACAAGCATCTGGAACCAAATACACAATTCCTCAACGTTCCAATAACCAAGATAGATCTCGTCATACACTTATAGACTGTGATCACTGCGGAAATCGCCATGGACTTATATGCTATTTTAAACATCCTGAGAAAGCACCAGAGTATAGACGCAAGTTCTATACTACTATGGCTAATGCTCTCCGTGTTCAGCAACAATCTGAAGCAAACCCACAATCAAACCAGGATCACCCTGCTTCACAGGAACTTGTCTTGCATAAGAAACTCTCCAATGCCAAATCTGCCATTGTGAAGTCTGCAAAGACTCTCTCATTTTCCAATCAATGGTTTGTTGACAGCTGTGCCTCTTTCCATTCTACACCTGACCGTTCACTTTTTGCAACCTATAAGGCCTTGCAGAAGCATGATCTGGTGGAGACAGATTATATGGAAGGTGCTCAAGGCCATATCTCTATGCCTCAAGGCATTGGCACCGTGATTATAGATATTGGTTACGGATCTCTGATCCTAAGAGACGTCCGCCATGTTCCTTCCTTTACTTCCAACCTCATTTCAGAAGGCATGCTTGTACGACAAGGCTTTAGGCTTCAATATACACTAGATTGTGAAGTCAAGCTGATTACCACACCATCTGGAGCTGAATTCCAAGCCCGATTGTTCAAAAACAATGTTTACCTCCTTGAAGACTGTCTATCTCCTGGAGAAGAAGAAAATTCCTATGCCTTTGTCACCACCCGGTCTGGCAAAGAAGTTAACCGCCCAGAAGAGCCACCTGCAAAGGCTCCCACAATTAAGACACCAGCTGAGGCTCCTACTCCAAAAGAGACCCCGGTTCTAGGGAAGCCGCGAACTACTAAGATATCCCTACCTATCATGGCCTGGCACCGACGCCTATGCCATCTCAATCAAGCCGATCTCCTCCGCCTCGCCCGAGATCCTGAGTCTTGCATCGAAATCAAAGGCTCTAAAGAACTCCCATTTTGTGAAGTCTGTATACAGGCTAGACAGACACGCTATTATAGCAAGGTCCCTAGGTCCAGAGTTACCAAACCCCTTGCCCGAGTCCATCTAGATATCGCCGGCGGTGGACAAACTCTTGATTTTGACAACCCTAATGATGTTGTCACTGGCCGAATTGGGGCAAAATATGTCTTACTTATTACCGACGATGCCACACATTATCGATGGATCCTCTTCCTTGAGACAAAAAGTGCAGCCATTACCGCCTTCAAGAACTGGCTTCAAAATATGAAGAACCATGGCTTCACTGCTCCTGCCTACCTAGTCTCTGATAATGAATTCCGCTCCACTGAATGGATGGAAACCTACCGTCAGGAAGGCATAGAATGGCAACCAAGCTCGCCATATTCACCATGGCAAAATGCCGTTAGTGAACGTGGCATCCGGATCCTTTTGAACGGGCCCGAGCTATGATGCTTGATGCCCCATATATACCAGAACGCTTTTGGGTAGATGCTCTCCAATATGCCACAGATCTTACAAATCGGCTCCCTACATCTACCATCTTATACAATTCCCAAATTCCTGGGGGGGTGAATATCAACAAGGACATACACCCCAGCCCTTATCGCGCTCCGTTGGCAGCGTGGACTAATTCATCCATTTCTTCACTCCCCGGATATCGCCGTTGGGGGTGTCCAGCCTGGGTCCATCGGCATGGACCAGATAAACCTGGAAATAAGCTTGATTCACGTTCTCACTGCTGTTTCCTCATTGGCCAAATTAGTAGCCATCAATATCGTGTTTGGGACCCTAAAACTGACACCGTCTTTGTCACCAATGATGTTATATTTGATGAGGATTACAAAGATCCTACAACTACCACTCCCAAAGGTCCCAGCACCCCTACCGAAGAAAACCCAACTCAATTAGTTGAAGATGAACCTCTCAATGACCAAGATATATGGCTCCGACCTGCCAAAGGCATGTCCCTAGCTTACTTTGCCACTTCAACCATTCCTTCATCAGAAGACAACACGCCTACTTCTTATAAGCAGGCCATATCCCATCCTGATGCTGCTAAATGGCAAGCTGCCATGCAAAAGGAAGTCAACCAACTCAAAGAGAAAGGCTGCTGGCAACTCATTCGCCGTTCTGACCTACCACCAGGGGCCAAAGTCATCCCTGGCCGGTGGGTATACAAAAAGAAAGAAATCCCCGGCATACCTATCTCAGAGGATTATCAGGCTAAAGCCCGCTGGGTCATTCGTGGCAATCTACTTGATAAAGACTTCATGGAATCCTACGCACCAGTGGTAAATGAAAATACTACCAGAACCCTCACGGCACTGGCCACCCTGCTTGGCTGGCATACCCGAAAAGCTGATGCCACCCTTGCTTTCCTAAATGGGAAAATGCCCACGGACAAACGTGTCTTTATGACCCAAGTTCAGGGATTCAAAGAAGGTTCTGGAGATCTTGTCTGTGAACTCCTTCAATCCCTCTATGGATTGGTCCCATCTGCCCGCATCTGGTATGATACTCTGGGTGCTTTTCTACGCCAAATCAGCTTCAAATGCTCTGAATATGACTCTGGTCTATGGATCCACACTACCCGGACCCAACTCTATGTGACCACCCATGTGGATGACTTCAAAGTCTATGCTAAACATGAAAATGATGCCATCTGGTTTATGGAGACTCTCTCCGCCAAATTTGACATAAAAGAAGTTGGAAACTCTACCAAATACCTTGGCATGACCATCTCCCAGTCTGAGACTTCATCTTCTTTATCTCAAGCCGACTACACTGAAGATGTTGTTGCCTCTTTTGGTCAAGCCCAAGCACATCCTGTTAGGATTCCAATGGATCCTAGCCTAATAATTGATGATGAACCAGACCCTACAGTCAACACCAAAGAATATCAACGTGGTGTAGGCTGCCTTACCTGGCTAGCCACCAAAACCCGGCCAGATCTTAGCCAGACGGTTGGCATACTATCCCAATATAACGCCAAACCCACCCAAAAAGCATGGCGTGCCCTTATACACGCCATACGCTATCTTAAAGGCTCCATCAATCGGCAAATTACCTATCATAAACCCACGGAGTCCATTACATCTGACCTCCTCATGCCAAAATGTTATACCGACTCTGATTGGGGTGGCCAACTGACAGGCAACCGCCGGTCAGTTTCTGGATACATCTTTCTGCTTGCCGGAGCCCCAATTGCCTGGAAAAGCCGCAAGCAAACATCCGTTGCCCTTAGCTCCAACGAAGCTGAGTATATGGCTCTAAGCGAAGCCAGCCGTGATGCCCTCTGGCTCCGGAATCTCATCAACGAGCTTAATGTGCTCCCAACTGAATGCCCACCAATATCTCTTCATATCGATAATCAAGGTGCCCACGCCATGGCTGAAGCCGAGCTCACCACCAAGAGATCCAAACACATTGACATACGCTACCATTACGTTCGGGAGAAGGTCCGAGACGGCATTGTTAAACTTCAGACCTGCCCTACCAAAGAACAGGCAGCAGATGGCCTGACAAAACCTCTCCAAACTGAACGATTCAATCATTTCCTGGAACTCACCGGCATACATTAAGCGGCGCTTGTTCCCCCATTTTGGTTATACTTTCTATTCTGATTTACGGCTTCTGATTGGCCAAAGCGGAACCTCTCACTTCTCTGCTTAATTTTGCTTTTACTCTCTCATTTGGAGGCCTGAATAGAGGCCGATTTTTGTATTTAAATTCTTTAGATTAGTCTTTAGGCCAGCTCGTGCGTGGGGGGTGTTGGATCACGTGGGATTCTGCCGCATAGGTCCGCCCTCGCTGACCCTTTTCACCACGTAGGCCTATCTAGCTAGTGACCAACCAACGATACACCTCCATTAACTTGATGATGCCAGTCACGAGACACGGAGATGGCTCGGAGTTAACGGCAGCCCTCCGGAACGGATCAATGTTTGACCTTGATATTTTTTTGCTTCGAGAGCTTCTGCTTCCAACGCACAGCAGTTGTTCAATAGACGATCTGTTCGGTACTCTGTTGGCAATTGTGATAAAACCCAGAGTCTCCAAAATTCAACAATGGCAACATCTCAACCCCCCGTTCGCTTTACTTCCCACAGAAATTTTGCGTATCGCCTGGTTCTTGCGACACTTACGGGTCGCACGGTGCATATTTCTCAAATCCGGTCTTCATCTCCCACGAATCCTGGTCTTGCGCCTTACGAAATTTCCTTTCTGCGTCTTCTAGATTCCGTTACAAATGGCTCGCAAATGGAGATCTCCTACACGGGTACCATTCTGGTGTACAAACCTGGTCTGATCACGGGAAGCACGACAAGCGGCGGTGTGGTTCAGCATGAGCTTCCAGCAGGATGCACACGCGGAGTCAGCTATTTCCTGCTTCCTCTTTGTCTTCTAGCGCCGTTCTCCAAGGCGCCGATGAAAGTTCTTTTCACCGGCCCCGGGGTGATTACCTCTGCCACTCCGACGGGTGATATGTCTGTCGACAGCGTGCGAACCGCTATCCTCCCGCTTTACAATCACTTCGGTATATTCAATAACATCGAGATTCGTGTTCTACGAAGATCCAATCCGGGCCCGAATGGTAAGGGAGGGGGCGGCGAAGTCCAGCTGATCTTTGGTCATCAAGTCCGTCTTCCTAAGACCCTTCATTTGATGAATCCGGGGAGAATAAAGAGAGTTCGTGGCGTTGCGTATTCCGTCGGTGTTTCGGGATCAAACAATGCAAGAATGATCGAAACAGCCCGTGGGATCCTCAATCCCTTAGTTCCTGACACCTACGTTTTCTCCGACGTGTCATCTGCGCCCCTTATTCCAGCCCCTGAAAAGAACAACCCTTCAGCGAAGAAAAAGATCGGTCTTGGTTTCGGTCTGTCTTTGGTTGCCGAGTCTTCAACCGGGTGCTTGTTCTCTGCGGACGTTATATGCCCGCCTTCAGGTGGTCAGCCGCCCGAGGATATTGGTAAGCGGTGTGCGTATCAGTTGCTTGAAACCATATCCAAGGGAGGCTGTGTCGCCCCGGCCGCGGCACCAACGATGTTCACTCTTATGACCATGGGCTCGGAAGATGTCGGTCGCATACAGGTTGGGCGAGAGGTGATTGCAGACGAGAATCTGATTCAACTAGCTAGGGATATGGCAAAGTTTGGCGCCCCAGGGTGGGGTATGAGGGACGCCAGCGATGAAAACGGCAACAGCGATGTTATTGTCAGCGTGGTTGGAAGAGGCATTGGTAATGTCGGGAGGAAGGTTGCTTGAGTATACACACAATCTGAGCAACTCACGTGCGTCCTGGTTTCAATCTGCACCTGCTTTAGGAGTTCTGCTCCTTTTCCCTATTATGAGTTCTGAACTGTCGCTGGCTTCGAAGCCACATGGATGGGCGCCATGTTGTTTGAACCCACGGGTGGCATTGACCGACTCATCAACGATAGCAGCCCAACCCACCTCCGTGAGACAACAAGGATCATCGACAAGCGCAATCCCAAAAAGCGCAATCTTGACCTAGCGCGAGCTCGGGGTTCAAGCCTTTCTAACCATGCTTGTCGTCCAACCTGAAACAGGAGCGAAGACCCAGCCTCTAGTTCGATCAGGAACCCTGGGATTCACCTGATACTCTCTCTCCAGCAATGATGGGTGCTATGCCCCTCTGATGCCTGGGTAGTTACGCAATAGATGGTTCCGTACGTGGAGTTCCACTATCGTGAAGATAAAAACTTAAGAGAAATAGCCATTCCTATAGCTAATAATAGGATACACAAAAGCATTCTAATGAGATACAATTGCAAACAGAACAATATTCACTCGACCTTGTGGAGAGTATAGTCTTTGTGTAAGCCCAGTCCATAAAGTCTGTAATAGTCCTTCAGGATGTATGAATAATCAATAAAACGGTCGCCATTCAGGTTCCTTGTCCCCGTCAACTCACGAAGTCCATTGCACGATTATAGATCGGCATCGTGCTGGCTATGTCTCTCCCACTTATATACAGTGGGGGCGTCCCATTGTTTTAATCAGGATACCCTAGCAGTTCAGACAAGGGCTATAACGCATCACGTGGTCAACTGGTCCAGGCAGCCAGGCTTGGACAGCTGCAGCGCAGAGACTCCATGAAGAATGAAATATCATTTGATGGACAGAGGATGCATTATATGTGGCTGTGTAAGTTGACAAATTAGCATACAGCATGCAAAAATAAGAAGCTGTCTCATACTTTGAGAATATACCTGCTGGAATACCCATGCTGTCAGCAGTTTATCCCCTTTGCTCCGTTTAGGAGGTGAACTTGATGTACTGGCATAGAATCAATAATATAAAAGCAAACTAGATTCTGTTGATACTTGGAGTGAGAACTTTAGGAGCCCGGGGATCTGGGCAAGACCGGTATGCAGCAGACATACGCATAGAGTTCTCAGTAGATGTCCGTTTCCAGATCCAGCTTGGGTAGTATACTGCACTATTCATACATTGATACTATCTATTCTAGCTCTGTCTAAATCAAATGGGTATGAGGACAAAATAAGAGGGAAACAAGACAAATAGCGGCCAAGGGAAAACAAGAGAAGGGATGATGATATCTCATGAAAAAAAAAAAAAAAAGTGGTTGTCAAGTTAAACCAAGTGCAAAAGGATACTAAAAACCGAGTACTTTTCCAATCGAAAAGAAAGGAAGCAAAAAGAAACCCAAAGAAAGATATACAGCTACTCATTGACATCCTCGTCTTTACCAGGCCACATGATCTCTCCCGTCCAAACAGCCTTAACGTGGTTGACAGCAACAAAAATCCACATACAAATAATGCAGATCGACATAGCCGACGCGACGCCCTTGACCCCATTGCTGGACATGGCCTTTCCCAATGTGATAGTAGCAAGAGTAAATCCTGTATTTGGGAAGACCATAGCCCACCAGTTCAAGTGGAAGGCCTTCGGCGGAGCCCGGATGACGGCGATGAAAGCGATGCTGAAGAACCAAAAACTCAAAGCCCAGAGGAAGGCACCGGCTGTTACGGCGAGAAGTTCGAGAATGTGGCTATCTGGGACGATGGCAGCGGATGGGTGCTGCGTAGGAGCGGCTCCGAGATGGAAGTTGTCTGGTAGACCTTGGGCCATGCCAATGAGGGCTAGCGCGGTGAAAGCCGGGGGACCAACACAGATGAACATGCCGGGTCTATGCTCACGGTTCGGAAGGCCAGATTCCATCAGACGGCCGATGTAATGGGCGTACATGAAGATACTGATGGAGAAACCGAGGCCCTGGAAGGTCAAGCCGGCAGTGAGGATGGGGATACAGGACCGAGTAGGTTGGGTTTCTGCGATTACAGAGGCGATGGTGCCACTGAGCATGACAGGGAAGGCCGGGAGAATCCAGGAGGGCATCATGGTCTGCAGGCCGTAGGAATGGGTGGAGAAGACAAAGGAGTACTGCAGTACGGCTACAATGAGCGTGCAGAAGCAATAGAGCCAGAAGAGGACCTCGAGGGCAAGTAGGAACCCCCTCGAGGGCTCGTTGCCATTGCTGTAAAGGGTGAGGGTGTTATTTGACCCGAAGTACCGATACAACCCAGTGATAATCGTGGCAACGCTCAACCAAAAGGTAGGAAAGAAGAGGCCCTCGCGTTCGTGACGGATGGAGTCCACCAGACCCCCGTGGATGGCAAACCGTGAGATCATCAAGGAGCATACGGTAGCGAAGAGGACAAGGTTGAAGATATATACGGCCAGCCCGATCTGGGGAAGGCCGGAGAACTGGTAAGGCTGGCTGGCTAACAGGAGGGCAAGACCTCCTGTGCTCATGGTGAGAGTGTACCATGCCCAGGTGAAGTGACGGAGGCGTTGTTTGAAGGTGGGTTTTGTAAGAAATTGAAGATGTTCAGGGTGGGACTTCAAGCTCTGTGCTTCCGGGTCCAGCCCCGGACCCTCATTGAGAGTAAAGGATGAACGACTGGAATGGATCATGTTGGATCGAGGATCAGGCATGGTGAGATATTGTTGCGTAGACATTGTTGTCTGGAAAATAGGGAATATAGCGATGGACGCAGGTGGGTATAGAAGACGATGTTGTTCAGAGATGAAAAGAGCCGATAACACTGGACAGAGGACAAGACAAATAAATGGATAGTCACAGAGATCGAATCAAAATAAATCATGAATCAAAAATGAGAAGTCAAAAATCATGAAAAGCCTGTTGGGCACAAAAAAAAATAGATATGTATATGAAAAGGAGGACAGAAACGGGAGCCTTATAAAAGACCAGCCCAGACCAGACACAGCCCAACATCGACGAAAACCCTGCTGTGTTCAGCATAAAATTAGGTATTAGGCAGCATAGATCTCATATTGAGAACCATATAAATGAAAAACATAATGAGCATAAGTCTCGCAGCAGGGGCAATGCAGAGGACCGGCCAAGAACGCCAACAAAGCAAAGCACCCCCCAAGAATGCACAGCAACAGAGCAACAGCAAAAGAGAACAAGGCCTGCGCAGTTTCAAACGGGTCTGTGACGATAGATAGGAAAAATCAGGCATGCCCAGAAAAGAGGAGGTTTGAGAGCTCCATTGCCAAGACAGTGACGAGCAATCCATTGTCCTGAAATAGCAAACTCCGATTCGGACCGTCAGGTATCAGTATAGCCAGCATATCGGCACGGCCATGATGAGAGAGTTGCAATGGCCGGACTGCCGTGGCGGCCAAGATGCAAGGATCTTCCCGATGAAGTCCTTTTTTTTTTTTTTCTTCACCCGGTCGAGGACAACGAGATCGGGCATGGGCGGACCTCCCACGGGAGAGACAGCGTGGGATTGATGAATATATCTGAGAAGATAGTTATAATCAGCATGAAAGGGACCAGACAAAAGCAAAGAAACCAGCACACTCCCCTCTCCCGACTGGAAAACAGGCGCTGGTCGTCGATCCTGCCTATCCTCTTGGCAGCGGCCCATCTTCAGCAATCATAACCAGGTCCAGATAACCATAGCCACACCCCTGAGGAATCGCCGGTAACTATTGCGGGTGGCGTTGCCGGCAACACTTTATTTTTAACCCGGAACACTGCCGATCTGGGAGCTCATGATAAATAATATGATCCTGATTGCAGCCAGACCCTGAATCGGCATCGCGACGGGTCGACAGCCAAGCCGTTGCCGGTTGATCGTCGGCATTGAAACCGTACCCCCTGGCGGCATGCCGGGAATGCATAGGACTCCGACTCTGTATTGTTTGCTTTCTACAGTTGTACTTATGCAAGGAATGTGATGTATCTGGTTTTGTTGTTGGTGTTGTTGTTGGGTTGTTGCAGGGGTATCCTTGCATGCAACCTGATACACATGCACAACGTCCATCATACTGCAGTCTGAACCAGTCTGGACATGAAAACTGGAAATGAAAGGGAATAGGAGAGATATAAAAAAGGACATCATGAATGCAGTCTTGGCCAAAACACACGTCTCGTCATCCCATCGTTAAACAAAATTAAGACAAAAGAAATGCACATTATAACCAGAATAATCCCTCCTATCTTCTCCATCTTACCTTGCAATCTGAATCTGACGAATCCAAGATCAGCCTTACATCATGCGGTATACCAAATCAGACGCTAACTCTGTTGTGCTGTCCAAGAGGCCTTGAAGACCTTGGCGCGCAATGCTATCGTTGCCCTTCCCATCTGCCGGCAACGGCATCGTGCCGTCCCAAGGAGGACAATATTCAGCCAAGGCTCGCACTTTACATGCAGCATAGTGGCAAACAAGCTTGCGCAGCTCGTTGTCCCGCAGTTGCGTAGCGGAGGTTGGGGAGATGGGCTCCAACCGGGCTGTCTTCGTATAGGTGAAGTGAAGAAGGGCGAGAACCATTCTTCCCTTGGCTGTCGTGAGAGCCACCCCCTCCTCATCGTCATACTCGGATCCAGGAGCGGGGAAGGACAGGTTGACGAGGTCATGGTGGAGTTTTCTGAGACACAGCTGTGCCAATGCCGGGATCAGATAGCGTGTCGCGAAGACGTAGACCTTGGCGTGAAACACCAGGTAGGGGATGTTGTCCATCTGGGCAGATCCCATGGCGCAATGGGTCGGAGACGGTCTTGGTCCCAGCCCAGCCTGCGTGTTCTCGCGGGATGAACGATGATCGGCGTAATCTAGGGAGACGAATTCGTCCCATAGATTGCCCTTTCTCCCTTCATCCATCGTTTCCGGGAGTGGCTCGTCCACAAATGATGTGTCGATGACAGGTCTCATTCTGCGTTCGAGGAGCTCATCCTCATCAGCGGCTGTAGACACCACGGCTTGCTCCCAATCGTTGACCATCGTGGTCGACGCAGCCATTTCCATGGTGGGAGGAGCTCTGTCCTCGACTTGAGCTTGAACCTCCTCCGCCGGTTTCTCCGGAGGAGTCCAGGGGGGAGTCAGACTGGGGGTGATATTGTCTCTGGACTCACCCGCCCTCTGTCTCCTCTTGTTCTTCTTGTTCTTGCGGGAGGAGCCCCGGGCATTGAAAGCCTGAGGTTCGACAGCGGCAGACGTAGCACCGTCTTCCGGCCCCTCGGCATCATCGCCTTTCAATCCTGACCCCAGCTCCTTGTCACCAGCATCTTCCGGTCCGTCCTTGAACAGAGCGCTGTCATCATTACCATCATTGTAACCCTCTCTCTCAGCTCCCGCATCACCGGCCAAGCTCCCAACAGACCTGGGTGGAGGTGATGGCACAGGAGGAGGTACATTCTCCGAAAACCAATCCGACCCGCGTCTCAAGTGCCCTTTAAAGGGGCCCGAGTTAACGGATACCGGGCTGGCTACCCTGTTGTGCCGTTCTTGTTCTCCGTCTCTGTCTTTGCCTCTGGGATTCCCGACAGGCCTGGCTCCCGAGGGAGGAACGGTGTAGTCACCAGTATACGCGTATTCGCAGAAGGCAATGAAGGTCTCAGGATCTTCATCCTCCAGGAGGACGATGCGGTGCTTGGACTCCCTCGTCTGGCCATTGTTCATGAGATGGTCCAGGGGCTGGGAGACATGGTGGGCAAGGCCGGATTGAATGGTGATCTTGGTGTGTTCGGGGCCGATGAGGAAAGTAAACGGTGCGGAACAGACGATTCTGTGATTCTCTCAGTTTATATCTGTCATTATACTATAGTGGTTATAGCCAGGCTCTCTTGAGTCCTGGTCCTGACGATTTGGTTGATCGCAGACATACCTGGCGTAATCCCTTGGATCCTCCATGATGATTTTCTTTTTCCTTCTTGGACTCGGGTAAGAAGAAAGAGACCACGATAATATAGTATCTCTCTCTATGCTTCTCCTCCTCTTCCCCGTTTCACCCCCAACTCACCAACACTCGTGGACGCCAATGAGCCAAAAAAAAAAAAAAAAAAGCTACACGATCAACCAGCATACAAGCGACAGATAAGTCTACAGAAGAGCCGGCTACGTGTGAGAACATGATCTGACGAGATTTAATTATTACGCTGCTTCTGGCTAGGTTAGTTCAGACTCCGAGAAAGGGTCGCGCGACAGCAAAACTAGTGCTAACCGTTTATTTTAACCGTTATTTCCGCGCTATTATTTTTATTGCCTGCCAGCCGCTATGGATTACGATCCTTTGCGTGTTCTGATTAGTGCTCGAGTGTTGGTCTGTGTTTTGGCTACGAAAACGAAAAAGGGGGAGGCAGGGATTATTGCGAACTGTTCCGACAATCATAATATTCGATTAAAAATGATGGTGACGGTGAATTCCAGCCTCCGGCATGGATGTGCAGAAGCTACAGCATTTCTATGGAGCAAAGACTGACTGCTCCGATACTGTGGATATCGATATCTCCTCCAGCGTAGAGATCCAGCTGGACAGAGGACGGCGTGCTCACTTTTGTGCCCGATGGAAATCAAGACAGCCTCGTCAACCCAACTGCGGGCCAGCGATACGATCGTCAATAGGATTTGGGGTTTTTTCTTCCGTGCAAAAGTCCCGGCGGTCTGGGCATAGTGATTCGTACTTCGCTTTCGTTCTGTCGGTCTATGATGTCTATCTAGTATCTATCTATTCGAGCTGGCAAGGATTGTGAGAGATCTATGTAGTAGGGTAAGGATCTATCTCATGTAGTCGCCGGTAACCGACATACATGGCTATATTCCCGGCCAAAAAAAAAAGAAAAAATCAATGGACAAGCCTGATCTCTGCCATACCCGGCTCCCACTCCTTCAATCCTTGGCCAACACTATACCAAAACCGTAGCCTGACCGTTTCTTTCCTGGCGCCCTCAATGTCCCCTCGGTCAAACGCCTCCCCCAGCGCTCTCACGCATTCCGCAATCCTACTGTCGTTCTCCCGCTTCAGCTGTGCAATGGATTCTTCCGCCCCCGGAGAATTCGCTACTTCCTCAATTGTCTCCTGCACCTCCATCACCTCTAATAGCGTCTCCGGATCAAGTGCGTGTTTCGCCGCGCCATCTTCCGCCGTTACATCGACCCCATGATACTCCCGTAGCAGATATTGCGCGCGGGTCAACGGGTCAGTGAGTGTGCGGTAGGCTTCATTGATGCGCGCCGAGAGGGCCTCCGCGTGCTGCTTGGCTGCCCCTGCCGGATACTTGTCCGGGTGGACCAGGTTTTGAAGCTGCAGGAATTCGCGACGGAGCTGGGTCACCGGGATCTCGAAGGGCGAGTGCGGTGGGGGACCCGAGGGGAGTGTATTTGGGAATATCGTGTAGTGGTCGGTTATATCGGGGGCCCTGGAGACTAGGGTGCTGTTGCTGATAGATTCTGGTGTCAGTTGTGATGCGCTGGCTTTCGTGCTGGCGAGTCGGCACTGGCGTTGAGCCCGTAGAGATTGGTTATTCTGCAGTGCTTGTGATTGTCGACCGCGGGCACTCGTGCTTGCGAGTCGAAACTGGCATAGGAGACAGGACCCATATGAGACTAAATTGCTGTTTTCTGGGCCGGACGATGGTGATGTTCCAGTCAGGCACGTTGCTGTCGCTGGTGTGAATCGCTGGCAACGGACTGCGCTGATGAGCTGTTGCTGCAGTCCTCGTGGCCGAAAAAGCAACGCCATCGTTCTAATGCAATGCTTGTAGATGCAAGATGCAGGAGTTTGGGGGAGAAGACAAGATGCAGTGTGAGATGGAGTTGAGAGCTAAACCTTCTTCTTCCGCTGCCTTACGTCATCCGCATGCCCCAGAAGATATTGGAGGTGTAACTTGTGTTGGACTATCTAGCTAGTAACCAACCAACAATACACCTCCATTAATCCCCTTGTCTGGCAAGACGCTAACTTGTTAGCGTCCTTTTTCTGCCACAAATGGCATGCTCACATCATCTAACACTACGCACCTATAAATCGGCATGGAATATGAATATTTGAGCTATCTATGAGCAATTTACATCTTTCTCACCCAGTAGAGGCTGTGGTGTATGAAAATCAGCCTAGCATGACCTTATGTCAGGTCTGTATAAGGGAATCCCACATATCTTGCAATAATAAGCTGTAAAGAATTGTTTTGGAGCAGTATGACCTTGGGCTTTTGCCTTTTGAACCTGTACAACACAGAAATGGCACCATTTGTAAGGGAGCATCCTTTTAGCCTTATGATTGCCTTTATCCAGTGGTTGAGCTGAGCTATATTTTCACTTTTTTTAAAATGATTCTTCTAGTCCTTATTTGAATTGTGCCGGGGGTACTGCGAAATCCCGGATCTCCCATATCTCCTTTACATTACCATGTATCTAGTCATTCCTTACCTCGCGTTCCAGTAAGTCCTAGTCAACTGAAGCCACTAACGTATGTGTCAGGATAGGACGGGCCCCGGGCGTAACAGTAAAGTCTTATTATAAAGTTAGTTTTATCAAAGTTCCAGATATTATCTTTATATATATTATATTTTTGAATAGCTGCTTGTACAGTCTGAAATTAAGATATTATAATCTTTGGATCTTCCTGTTTTGCATGTTGATATTGTGCCGGGGGCACTGCGAAACCCCGGATCTCCCATATTTCCTATCTTGGAACACCGTAGAACCGCCGACTCCGACATACTAATGTATGGTGGAGCCCGCGGCCGGAGTACTTAATGGAGGGTTCCCTCCCAGATAGTTACGAGAAATAGAGCATTCTTTTGGTTTCTAGGTTGCTTCACTAGTATCGTTATCGTCGTATAGAGCGGAGCGAGGCTCCTTCGTCGTTGTGTTTCCTTTTATCGTTGTATCGTTTTCTTGCTAAGATCGTTCGGTGCCGTGTGGTATAGCGGCATCACCTTGGTATATCCATCCCTGAGATCCCTCGATCACAACCCGGTTCCTGTCGCAGGGAACAACGCACGTGCGCCCCCCTTTACAATATGTCATTTATTTTGTATATTGTGTATATAACTTAAGATAGTATTTAATAAATTTGTAGAGCTAATTGATTCTAAAGTGCAATGAGATCTTGTAAATAATTGCAAAGCAGTATTTGGGCTACTTTATATAAAGACTCAGACTGAATTGGAAATCCTTGCATATCTGCATCTAATAATTGCTTTTTAAGTGATTCTTCTTCATATTTGGTCAGTTTATGACCATTGGCACATGTCTCTTTTTGTGAATTAATACCGTGTAGCTGATCTTGAAGTGTACTTTTTAAGACCCCAAATATCTCTGAAGCTTTTAATTGAGAGCTGATCTTTCCAGCTTTATAGGCAGATATATTTGGAAGACAATTTTCTTGAGAAAGTGGCATTTTATATAGTAAAGAAGAAGGAAAGGGCGCGTTAAATGTTGATGCGCGTGAAAAAAACTGCCGGCTCGGTGGTAGTGCCGACTCAGTAGTTGATTACGTTACTGTATCCTCATCAATACTTGTTAGATCATGTGGGATTCTGCCTCCTAGGACTGCCCTCGCTGCCCTTTTCCACCACGTCGGCCTATCTAGCTAGTTACCAACCAATATATGCCTCCATTGATACTGACCGCCTGTCCACGTGACCTGCATCTCCAACTTCTAACTCTTTGAGCTATGTCTTTGTAAGGGATGGATGGCAGTTATGGTGTGAAGAGGTAATCAATATACAGAGACTGCTAAGTGCGATAGTAAGGGAGGAAAACGTAGGGTCCTTATTGCTCAAGAACTAATTACTGGCTTTGCTATAATGTGTTGATGGGGGTCGAACTCGCTGAGTTGTTCTATCTAGGGAGGCCAGTCAGGCGGACTCCTCGTGCCAAGCCCACCTACACAGGAAGTGCGTGTAGGTGGGCTTGGCACGAGTAGCATATATATTCCAAATTTATCTCTTTTCCAGAAGGAACTATTTCAGAGACTTAAGATAGAACATGGGTCGTCCAACGTCAATTCGGAGACTAGCAGCTTGGCTAGTTTTGGCGTGTGTTGCGTCCGGCACATGGGGCAGCAAGAGAGCCTTTAGTATTCATGATGACCTTTTGGCCTTTCCCCAAGTATACTACCCTTCTTTTTGCTCTTCCATCGTGGACCTTGTTCTTGTTCAATTTTGTATTACCCGCATTGCTAACATCACCCTGGCGATAGTTTCAAGTATTCTTCCCTGGTGACTACGTCCTTGAATCATACGCGAAAGAGCTGCTTCAAACGCGCAATAAATCGCCGGCATTTTCTGGAGACCGACAAAATGGAGGACGTGGGAATTCACAGGCGTATTTGGATGGTGATACGAAATCCGCTCGAAGTGACAGCAAAGATGCAAGTGATGAACAAGCTGTGGAATTTGAAGAGATGATTCTCCAAGGACGGCGATATCTCTGTCAAATACCGCAAGCCACGATCGAAGACGGAAACACGACAACTCAAGCTCAAGAGACGGACAAAACAGAGGAACAGAAGGAACTGGCGAGGGCCACGAGCCGCGGCCTCGAACTGTTACGTGAAATGGAGGGAGACTGTATGTATTACATGTCAGGATGGTGGTCATATTCGTTTTGTTACAAGAGCCAGATCAAGCAATTTCACGCGCTGCCCTCCGGGAACGGAGTCCCCGCCTATCCTCCCATGGAAGATCCTGCGACGCAGTCATTCATACTCGGCAAGTTTCCACAGATAGATAATGACGATGCAACTGAGGGGGATGCCTCGGAGCACAAGAAAAGGGCAACGGAGTCAGCTGAGCTTCAAACAAAGGGAGGTTCACGGTACCTTGTACAGCGGCTGGCAGGTGGATCCAAATGTGATCTCACAGGGAGAAATCGAAAAATTGAGGTGCAGTTCCATTGCCATCCTCAAACGACCGATCGTATCGGTTGGATCAAGGAGCTTACCACCTGTTCCTACTTGATGGTAATCTATACCCCCCGCTTGTGCAATGACGTTGCCTTCCTCCCTCCCCAGCAGGACCAAGTCCATCCGATCGAATGCCGTCAGATCATCCCTCCGCAGGAGATTCCTGAGTGGGAAGCAATGCAGCAGTACCGCCAAACCCAGAAGCTCGTCGAATCAGCCTCTCCTGAGTTTCCAATCATTGGTGGGACTGCGGTCGGGGCGCAGAAACTCGTTGGGAAAGAAGGCAAACAGATAGAAAAGGGACGAGTTGCGTCCGTAGGTGACCAGACCATCCAAGTGGTTGCCAAACGCGAGAATGGGAAAATCGTCCGGCTATCCGCAGAAGAGTTGAAACGCTTCGATCTCGATCCCGAGAAGATAGAAATTCTAAAGAAGAAACTTGAAAGTGTGGCCAATGGTAAGAATTGGGTGCTGGAGGTCATCGAATCCGATGGGGAACGCGGATTGCGTTGGATTATCGATCCTGACGAGGATGAGGAGGAAGGACATGACTCCGAGGACACGACTGCGGAAGAACGTGAAAAGAAGGAAGGATCAGGACAGCAGAAACACACTGGGGATGAACAGGGATATGCGCAAGGTGAGGCCGATGAGGATTCCTCTTCTGAGGAACCAGAAACCGGCAGCGAAGAAATCTTCAAAGATGAGTTATGATATGAGCTGTGCCAATCTATGTTCAATAGATGAGAAATGGCATATTTGATATATCTATGAATCTGTATACTAATAGTACTACTTTTTTTTTTGTAGAGTATGCCCTACGCAGTGATTTAAAATTGAATGGGCATTGAACAGAGAGATGTCCAGCACAATAACCATCTGCTAGTCCAATTTCCTCAAACAGCATACGGCAACGTGTTGTCTCGTATAAAATATTCCCAGGCTAAATAAACAAAAGTGATAGACTTGGTAGTAACGTCTTGCAGTGATTCTCCCACAGAAGGGACAGACTTGAATTAATTCCATGCGAGTATTATGAAAATACATTGTTGTCCGTCTCTCCCCTGGAAAATCGAGTCCTTTGTCTTGAGGAGATTGGTTGAACTATTCCTCTCTGGCTCCGAACAGGGGAGATCAGTATGTCCATTGACTCAATGGTGGTTAGTCAGGTACCAATTCCGAAAGATGCACGTCCTCCCTATAGCCAAGGGCGAACATATATATTTGGATAAAAGAGGGAGATCAGTGAGTACATATAATGAACTGCTCATCGCCAACACTGATAGCAGCCAGTCAAGGGAGGTTGAAGAGAGAAAAAGGAAATGCAGTTGTGTCGTCGCAGGCACGCAGGAACGTGACCAGGGTTAGTCAACAAGGATCGTCTGCGCCATCCGCCCCTCAACCCCGTTCACCCCCGTCGTGTCCTTCGAGATCGTCCAAAACCAACATCTTTGTTCCCTCTAGACACTTCTCTTTCCTCCCTCGCATCTCCTGGACCGAAGAGATTTTTCTAGTGTCGAACACTCCCACTTGTGTTTGCTCAATTCCGCCAATCCCTTGGTGCCGCAGTCGTGTCGCCAAGGCCGCTCCCGGTCAGCTTGCCGAGTCCAGCCAACCGCCAGAACTCCCCCCAGGAACCTGTCATCTGGTCCATCTCCTTTTAACGTCTTTGAAGGGACACGTACCGGTTCCCGCGGCAGTAAAGCTGCTTCTGGTCTTGAGCGGGAGCAGTGACAGCTAGAATCTGTTTCCAGCGAGAAGATGGGGTTCGTCGGCGTCTACACTGCCATTTACAACTACACACCGCAGGCAGATGGTGAACTCGAAATTAAGGAGGGCGACCTGCTTTATATACTCGACAAGAACAGCGAGGATGATTGGTGGAAAGCTAAGAAGAAGGCGGAGCGAGAGGATGATGATGAGCCTGAAGGTCTAGTGCCGAATAACTATATTGAGGAGGTGAGGAATCCCATAAGTCGGAACGTATTCCTTTAATAGCATTATGAGTAAATGGGATCGGGTTTGATTTCAGCTTCGGGGGAGAATGGCTATGGATTTCCAGTCTCCTGGGCCATTAGCTATGCCTTCCGCAATGCTCGGCATTGAACGACGGATCCACGGAGATAACCATGCTCCCTTTCTTTTCTTTTTTCTTTCCCCTTTCAGCTTTTATGGTAATGCACATTGCTGACACTTGGCCCGATTGAATGAACAGGCTAAACCGATAAACTCTGCAAAAGCGCTCTACGACTACACACGCCAGACTGATGAGGAGGTGTCATTTTCGGAAGATGCAGACCTCATGGTATATGATGTTTCAGATCCGGACTGGACTCTGGTCGGTGTGAATTCGGATTTTGGTTTCGCCCCGTCGAATTACATTGAGATCGCCGAAGATTACGCTGCCGCCGCATCCCCCGTGGCTACCACGCCCGCCCATGTCGAAGAGCCACCAGCGCCAGCACTTCCACAACGGCCTGCTGAAGTAGCTGCAGATGAACCTGATGTACTGAGATCTTCTCCCACGGCAGAAACTGCCCAGAATCCTGCCGCTGCAGCTATAGCGAATATTCTTCACCAACAACATTCTTCTGCCGTCCCAGAACCAGTGTCTTCGAAGTCTATCCCTCCAGAGTTGCCGGGACGGCACTCGTCTTCTGAACCTAGAGATGACTATGACGACGAGGGACCTCCTCCGGCTCTTCCGCGGCGCCCTCCGTCGCAAGTGATTATCTCCGCTTTAGAGCCGTCTTCGCCGTCTGACGCTTCTTCACGCCCGCGAACTCATATTTCCAGACTTACGGAAGATGGCCATGTGCAGGAGTCACCACCCTATAACAGAGTCGGAGAGCCAGTACCACGCTCCCCCTCGGGATATCATTTGTACAACGTCAATGAAATGGTCGAGGTCATGGGAAGACGGAAGAAGATGCCTACGACATTAGGCATCAATGTCGCTACGGGGACGATATTCATTTCTCCCGAAGGTGACGATCATCAGCAGGAATGGACAGCAGAAAGACTAACACACTACTCAATTGAAGGGAAGCATGTGTTCTTGGATCTCGTCCGCCCCAGTAAGAGCGTTGATCTCCACGCTGGAGCAAAGGACACCGCTCAGGAAATTGTTGCTGCCCTTGGTGAGATTGCTGGAGGCTACAGGGCTGAGGGGCTCAGGGAGGTCCTTGCAGCTGGGGCTGGCGGCGGAGGCCAGAAGAAGGGCCAGATCTTATACGATTTTATGGCACAGGGCGATGATGAGGTGACTGTCGCAGTGGGCGATGAAGTGATCATCGTCGACGATACCAAATCGAGTGAGTGGTGGATGGTACGACGATTGAGAAACGGAAAGGAGGGAGTTGTTCCCAGTAGCTACGTTGAATTCACGGGGTTCGTTCCTGCGCAGTCCTCCGGAGTTGAGTCTGGCCTTTCGCTGGTAGAGAGAAACAGACTCGAAGAGGCACGTTTGGCAAAGGCTACGATGCGCAAATCGCGGACGGATTCTATAGATTCACGGGCTTCGGAGGTAGGCGCCAGAGTCAAGATACCCCGGAGGCGTAGTAGTTTGAAGTTCAGAGAAGTTGATAACAATATCTCACAGCGTCACAAGCGCGGCGACAGCAGAAACGACAAAAGCAAGCCTAGTAAGTTGGCTATCTCTTCACTTTCCAGGCTCTTTTTTGGCCGAAGGTGCAATATGCTAACCAAGAGTTCAGAACCTGACCCAGCCCAAACGAGACAGTGGACAGATCGTACGAAGACCTTTACTGTGGATGCACAGTTCATCGGCCTTCATGACGGTAAGATCCATCTTCACAAGGTGAACGGTGTCAAAATTGCAGTTCCCATTGCAAAAATGTCTGTTGAGGACCTAGAATATGTGGAGAAAGTCACAGGTGTCTCCCTTGACGAAGACAAACCCCTGTCTGATGTTCGTCGTCGAAGCGTCGTCAAGAACGGCAAAGCAGGAGCTTCCGTAGAAGCTCCCAAGGTTCCGGAGTATGATTGGTTTGACTTCTTCCTCAGGGCTGGTGTCGGTCCCCATCAATGTGAGAGATATTCACAAAACTTTATCAAAGATTCGATGGATGAAAGTGTATTGCCTGATATCACTCCTGACACTCTCCGCACCCTGGGTTTGAAGGAGGGTGACATCTTGCGTGTGATGCGGTACCTGGACAATACTCTCGGCAGAACCGGTTCCAAGTCTAAGCTGAGGAATGTGAGTTTTGGCGGGGAGGAGGTCATTGGTAATGGAGAGGATGGGTCTCCAGGAGGGCTGTTTTCAGGCCCCGGTGGCGTCTTGCATAATAATACTAGAAAAGGTCGGCCAGTTCCAAATGTCCAAGCAAGTGACGTGGTCGATCCAAAAGCATTCGAACAGAAGGATGCAAACAAGAAAGAGTCCCCTGTTGCCGCCACCGATGAAAAGCCAGTCGAACGCGGGTTTGATGATGATGCTTGGGAAGTTAAACATCCAAAGTCTACTCCTACGCCGGCAGCTCCCTCATCGTCGCCGCCCCCTTCATCAACAGCACCAGGAGCAGCACCTTCAACAGCATCGCCGGCGACAAGTCAGCCGCCTGCGCAAAAGCAGTTAATTGGAGCAATGGCGGATCTATCCTTGCTTCACCCCCCTCTACAACCGACTCCTGCTCATACTGCTCCACTAGCAGCACCAACAATCACACCTGCCGCTCCTACTGGACCACAGCCAGTACCAGCAGCCGTGCAGTCACCGCAGCAGACAGGAGCCAGTCCGGCATTCTTCTCACAATTGGTGCAACCGGCCCAGCAGCCCATGCAGACTGGTGTACAGACTTTCTCCCCCCAGTCGACTGGTTTCCAACAGCAGAACATCCCATCAAGACAACGTCCACAGCCCCCTCAGAACCTGGGCCAAAACTCGTTTCTACCTCCCCCTCCTCCTCAGCGACCACTGTCTGCGCCTCAGAACTTCCCACAGCCCAATGGCTTTGCTCCCCCACCCTTGCAGCCCCAGCTGACGGGCATGCCACTATCAGGCCCCCCCCTTGCTCCTCCTGGGCAGAGCTTGTCCGAGTTGAACCAGCAACGCTTCCAGCAGTCAATCCAACCTCAGCAAAGCGGATTCGTTGGGAATCAATTCCAAAACGGATTTATACCACAGCAGACGGGATTTGCACAGCAGCCACAATTTGGTTTCCAGCAGCAATCCCAACCAGGTCTTAATGGCCAGCCTTTTCAGAATCAAACTGGGTTTCAACCCATTGCCCCGCAGCCCACAGGGTTCTCTGTCATGCAGCCACAGCAGCCAATGCAGACCGGTATCAACACTTCCCTTCCCCCTCCGCTTCAACCTCAGCGCACGGGTGCGAATGGAATTGGCAGCAGTATGCCTTTCATGAGTTCTCCGCCTCCAATTCCACCAATTCCTCAACAGCCAACAGCCGCGCCCTTGGTTCCTCAGAAAACGGGCCCTGCTCCTCCTGTTCGTTTCGGAGTCAAATCTGCATCTGCTAATAAGCTCACACCCCAGCCTACGGGGCTCCGAGCGAATCTTGCACAAGCCAGTAAGTCCCATCTGTCATATACAGCTCATGCTGTTGCTATCAACTGCTAATTTCCCTTGCAACCATTAGCTCCTACGAACCCCTTTGGCTTCTGACGTGCCGGTGCTAATTTCGTTTTATGACGTAATTACGCCTTCTTCCCTTGAATGCGCATGACGTACTATTGGTATACATGACCATCATTGCTGGTGGAGATGCATAATCATACCATTTTCTCCGTCCTGTTAATGCCGTTGGGGGTGGTGAAGGTCAACCCTCACTCTGCCTACCTCAAAACGACGAGGCAAGTCTCTAAACAGTCACCTTCAGCATCTTCCTTCACCGTTCACAATTCAACGAGAATAGAATTTGTTTATTCGTCACTATATCTGCCTTTGTATTCCCGTTATTGCTACTCCAGAAGTGGACTCAGTGGTGTTCTCGTCGTCTTCGATCCCTGCCAGCACGCCTCACTCATCAGGGAATTTTATTTAATCATTCCCCATATCTATCTCCATTCTCTTCTGATTGTCCCATCCGAGGCTTAACAGGACTACTAGAGAATGAGCCTATCCGCTTTTCTCAAGCTTCTCTTATGTTAATCCCCAGTTCGCACTGGAACTTTCTGTCCGATGCGGCAGAGGTTTCTTCGACCCGAGTCGCAGTCATTTCTGTCCTTCGTTGAAGATGCACATACTTTTTACATCAGCTTAATTTATACATCCAAGATAGGCCCAATGCTTTTTTTTTTTTTTTTTTTTTTGCTTGTCCTCTTTTGCGATGTTCAGCTCGTGTTCTTTCTTCGTTCCTGCGCGCAACTCATTCCCCTCCCCTAGCCCGAGCCTGATTTTTCCTTGGTGCTTATTTCCCCCTTTCCCCCTATATTATTGTTGCAGTCGGTTTTCATGTTTTCGATTTTTTGCATACATTTGTGTACAGTACATATAGGTCTCCACGCAATATAGTATATCCGCGGGTAGCTGTGACTCTAGTTATTGGATCTTGTAGTTACTGGCTCTGTAGCCATGTTTGAAGCAGAATGACTCCACAACTATCATATGAAGTGCAGGGTAACACTGACTTTTATTATCACTTCGACTCGCCATTAAACAACAGCCCTATTTAGCAAGGGAAGATATAATAGGTGTAAAGAAACGAAGACATGGCATCTCATTTTATCTCATTTCCTTTTCATCCCAGGTATATAATGCCTAAGGCAATCTACTCAGGCCGAAAAGAAACCACCTTCCCAAATGTATCCGCCATGCCCCAAATCCCCTGTCTCAAGCAGCTCAACTGCACAATCTGACTATGATCAACGAACAGGTTGACATCAATTCCAAACTCGCGAATATACCAATTATACACCTTGGGATCAGCAGCCTCGAACATAACCCGCTCAGGCGGGAGTTGTTTCATGATGGTCGAGACGACATCGGTCCTCCACGACGCGACGTTCTCGGTGATACCTTCAGATTCGATCATGAGACGCTCCACGCCAGCGTTGAGGAAGCTGTGGCCCAGATCTACTAGTTTGCCTGAGTCGGAGGTCCCGATGGCTTCGAGGTCGGAGGCTGCTGTGTCGCCGCCGGCGCCGAATTGGATGCCTAGTTCTGGCTTGGCTTTGAGCTTGTATGAGTGAACTTTATCGACGAGGCGGAGCCAGTCGTCTGCTGGGAAGGAGAGAAAACCGGAGGAGAGTTCAATAACGTCAAAACTGGATGTGTTAGTATATATATTTGTATTCTCGTATAGTTTTAATGGACAAACCCCAGGTCTTTGCACTTGCTGAGATATTTGTCGAATACGCTGTTCGGGTCTGGGTGTGTCAAGAGGTGTTCGGCCCATCCACCCTGCGATTGTTTTGGTTAGTTATAGCTGTCTAAGAGATACTTAGGTTCGGAAATCGTACAGTCGAGACGTAGACATTGTACTCATGGGCAAGGTCGAGCAGTTCTCGTAACGCCTTTTCCTCGAACAATGAAAATGAGCCTGAAGACGTGTCAGCTCCTATACTTTATCACAAGAGAAAAAAAGATTAATCCCTAACCTCCGGCAAATTTTAGACCATCGACATGTGTGCCCATTCTGAATGGATCCAGCGTCAGTGTCCACTTCGATGAATAATGCATAGTAAAATTTGAGCCCTCACGTCTCGAGCACATCAGCTAGATATCGTTTTCCCATGACCGAGTAGTATGGACCTCTGATCTCCGTGACCCCCTTGGTTCTGGGCTTAGGAGGTCTAGGGTTCGACCTGGCGAAACCAAAGCCATGCTTCTTGTCCTGGAGCAAGGTGGTGACTCCCTTCTGCAAGGGGACTATCGTAGACAAGCCTCTCGAGGCTACCGACGACGCCGCTCGAGGAATCTGACTTGACGCGGGTCTGAAGGAAGAAGAGGGAATAACAGTACGAACTGCCGTGGACATTTTGTTAATGGTATTAACTGCTCTGAATTGATTTTACAGTTATCTTGCGAGAGTAACAAAATCGAGTCTTTTCAGTCGAGGGTTCTTAGGACCAGGACTCGATTATATATCATCGATCCGAATTCCCCATTGTCAACTTTGCTGGAGCAAAGACCAGTGAGCTAGCAACGTCCCGTGCAGATCGTTCTCATTTGACGCAAGGGATATATCATCAGGGGGCAGATACGGGCGAGGTTCGCTGCAGCGTGAATTCAGCAGCGTCTGTCTATAGTTAATAATTATACAGGCACTGCGATGCTCCTCAGCTGTGACGTCATGTAGAGGCCTCCGTATGTCGGATGAAATCCAGTGCAGATCTAGGATGAGTTGCGTTGGACAACTGTCTGTTTCTTGCCTCCACCTTGTTCATGTTATTCGATAGTATTCTGGTTATGCCATGTGAAAGGCGTAGTTGAAGAACTATCCTCGTTGCTCAAGTAACTCGTTGGAGCCCGTGGTCACGTGATGGAAAAAGAAGTAGTACATCCAGTACGTAGCCATATATCATCAGTGTCAAGAGAATCAAGAGAATAAATACTTCCTGGTGACCTTCTGGCGCGCCATATCTCTGCAAGACGATATTTGATGGGTTCCAGGACTCCCGGGATATCCAGGGCATTGTCAGCCCTGCACCTTCATTCAAGATTGAAGACACTGGACGTTGGACTCGTCTTCACTCCGTTGGTCTTCACTGGTCCGATGCAGACAAGTAATTCACTCTCGTTGCAATGTATCCCAGTAATCCACTGTTAATGCAGGAAGGTAGATATGGATATGCATCACCGTAGTCTACACTGAAAACGTAGGGGGCTGTTGGGACTCCTCAAGTCCGTCCTACTTGTAGCAACTTTTTCCCGCTCCGGAATCCTGCGGTCGCGCGCTCTCTTCGAGTTTCCTCCCATCTAAGTACTATACGACGGAGTATACTAATATACTATCTTCCTGACTAGTACACTGCAGGCAGTAGTTCAGCATACTGCCTGTCTATCGTCTTTGCAGGCGATCCTTTTCCGTCTATCTTCACGATTTCTCCCAGCGACAAGACTACGCCCCGCAAGGAGACGGAGACTCTACAGCACGCAGAAATCTGCAATAGCCATTATTATTGACTCTACTCGTCGTTGTTGGTTGGTTTGGTCTTCCCGCCGTTCTTCTTTTTCCATACTGTTTCGAACTAGATGGAGTTAAAGCATCTTCGCTGACTTTTAACACAGGGCTGCGGACGATCCGCTAATTTCTACACTGTATTTTCCCTTCAAAAGGGAGGGGAAAGAAAAAACAAGGGGACAGAAAGAAAGTTCCGTTGTCTACTGTCATCAGTAGAAGAGGGGGTGTTTCGCGGGTCATTCTCGTTTCCTGGGTGTTGCGTTGGCAGCTTGGGACTCATACTCCATCTACGCCTCTGCCGGACAATCCTTCTTGTTCTACTTTTCAATCGTCCTTACAGTTTTACTGCACTGGGCATTTTGCAAAGTGACACTGCTCCTCCGCGCTCATTCAGCACCATTTTTACTCTCCGAGGGGTTCCCGGCTGTGGCACAGTGCTAGCAGCAAATTCACTGTCCCGGCCCTCGTTCACGAAAGAGCAGAAACCGTCTGCAGTGAGAGACGGCAAACGCAAGCATCGACCGGGATCTGAACTCACTGAACTAATCTGTGGTTTAAGACGTCGAGGTTTGCGTCATTTGTGGTTGGCCGGCCGTGCCTCTTTTTTTGCTAGCCCCCTTCCACTTCACGCGTTACTCGCCCGCCCGCCACGGTCCCGTTTCTCGCGACTCCGTCTCCACCGGCCTACCTTGCTTCTTCCACCGTCCTTCAAAACATTGCTCTGTCCAAGCTTGTGCCTCCACCACGCCGCATCTGGACTTCCCTCTCAACTCAGATCCATCACATAAGCTCCGTCGCGACACCATGGCCGAAGATACTCCTGCCAACTCTGTCCCCGCTGCCGGCACCGCGAACCCGGCTGGTGAGCGCGCTCCGTCTGCTGAGCCCAAGGATGCTCCCGTGCCTACAGAAACTCCTTCAGGAAAAGAGACAGAGAAACCCAATGGTTCTGAAGAGAAAGAAACTCGTGAGTATCGCTATTCTCTAGTTTCCTTTTTTTTTTTTTTTAAAAAAAAAACCCTCGCTCTCGTGTTTGCCCCATGTCTTCCCGGTCGCTAACTGCGAGATGTCGAATTGCTTCCAGAGAGCGCTCCCGAAGCTGAGAAGCAGGAGCAGTCGTCCGAAACCAAGGTTGAGGAGCCCAACGCGTCTGGCGAGCCTTCCGACGCGAAGGAACAGGGAGAGACCGCCGTAACCGCGCCGGCAGATTCTGGCGCTGCCACAGCACCGGAGACTTCGGAGGCGCTGGCACCCAACGGAACATCCGCGTCAAAGAAAGCGAAGCGCAAGTCCACTGGTGTAGCAGAGAGCAAGGCTAAGGCGAGCCGAAGGAAGTCGCAGGCGCGTCCTACCAATCTGCACGCCAAACCCGGCGAGTACTATCTCGCGCATCTCCGTAGTTTCCCCCCATGGCCGGCTATTATCTGCGACGAGGAGATTCTTCCCAAGTCCCTGTCGGATACGCGTCCAGTGTCGACTGCGCGAGCGGACGGAACAATCAGGGAGGATTACGCCGAGAGCGGCAAGAGAGCGCACGAGAGGACATTTCCCGTTATGTTCCTCGAGACCAATGAATTGTGAGTTTCGCGTGAGATTTCTATTCCTTTACGCATAACTAATATATCGCTTTCCACCTCTTAAGTGCTTGGATGCCGAACATGGACCTGAAACCTCTTAATCCCGAGGACTGCAAGGACGTGCCGGAAAAGGGTAAATCCAAGTCACTGCTGGCTGCCTACGCCATTGCTGCCGAGAATCACAATCTTCAATATTTCAAGGACTTGCTCCTAGAACATGAGAAAGCGTTGCAATTGGAAAATGAGGAGCGGGAAGCTAAAGCCGCTGCCAAGGCAGAAAAGGAGTCTAGGAAAAAGAAGCGCAAGAGCATGGATGTTGTCGATGATGAAGACGTGGATATGGAAGACGTCGATGACAGAGGAAAGACGCCCAAGAGCTCAAAGAAGCGAAGGAAGAGTGCTGCTGATACTGATGTGGAATCTGAGAAGGTATCTATCCCACCGCGGATGCCGAGAGAAAAAAGACTAACCGTACCTTCACAGCCCGCGAAGACGCCCAAGACGGCAACCAAATTGAAACTCACTACGCCTAAGACTCCTGTCTCCGAGGAGACTACGAAGAAGACATCTAGCACCAAGGCCAAACAGGGCACCAGCGCCAAGAAAGGTGGTAAGGCTGCCGTTAGTGATGAGGGCGAAGAAGATACAGGCGCCGAGACCAAAGAGCCAGAAAAGCAGGCCGATCCTCAGGAAGAGAAGGCCAAAAGACAGAAAGAGGGTATGTTGCTTTTCTTACCCACTTGGTAACCGACAGCTAATCAAATTACAACAGTACTCTTTGTTCGCCACAAACTCCAGAAGGGGTTCATCTCCCGCGATAGCCCGCCGGAGGAGAAGGAAATGGATGCCATGGCTGGCCTTTTCACCAGACTGGAAGCCTATCCTGACCTGGAAGTTTCGATTATTCGCGCTACCAGAATCAACAAAGTCCTCAAGATGATCGTCAAGCTTCCGTTCATCCCACGTGATGAGGAGTTTCATTTCCGCCGCCGTTCCTTGAATATCCTGTCCAAGTGGAAGAGCATTTTGGATGCGGATGCCGGCGCTGCATCAGCTGCTGAGCACAAGGGCAAGCCTACGGCTAACGGCGTTCACAAGGAGGATGAGAAGACCCCTGAGACACCAAACAAGACGGAAGCAGAAGAGGAGAAGAAGGAATCCGAGGAGAAGCAGGCCAAGGAAAGCGAGAGTCCCGCGGACTCGGATATGCCGATGCCCGATGCCGGTGCTGAGGTTAGCGGGAAGACGCCAGCCCTCGAGGCAGCTGAAGAGCCCAGTAAGGAGACCAAGGCGACCAAGGAGACAGAGGCAGCAGAGCCGGCTAAAGAGGCCCCTGAGGCGCCCAAGGAAGACAAGGCTGAGGAGAAGCTGGCAGAGACAGCAGCATAAAGGGTGGCTTGTCTTTGTTAATATCTTTATTATTCCCTTTCTTAAACTCTTCCTTCAAACTTTCTTATTTCTCCTATTTGGATTTTTCTCTCTATTGTACCTTCCATCTCCTCCGTCATTACCCACAAGATGGGAAACAAGACAGGGGAAATGGAGAAGTGAAAAAGTGCGTTTCCAGTATTTCTTTTTTTTGGGCATGTTTCTAGTCTTCCCTTCCTTCCGATCGCGAGCACACAAAGTATGGTAGAGCGCCCCGAATGTCAACCGCTACTTTGAGCAGATGGAGTGTTGTAACATGCTTGTGCTTCCAGTCGCGATGCAGAACGGGACGAGACTTCATAAGGAGGGGACATCGTGGTGCTTCGCTTTCTTCGCAGGGTTGAGATGGTTCATATCGCTTGTTCTTTTCTTTTCTTTTCCTGCTTCTGCTTTAATGGGTCAAGGTGGTTCATTTGTTGTCACTCGAAGGAAAGGGGAATGTTTGACTTTAAAGAGTTCATCGATCAGATCCTTTCTTCACCGGTAGGCACCTACCGGTCAAACTGGGAAGAGAGAGTTACAGCTATGCCTGTGTATTTCCAAATTTCCCCTTTTTTGCCTCTGCTGTTGTGGTTTTATTTTCCTACTGTCTGTCTCAGTTTGTTTCTTCAGTGTTACTTTGCGTTTTTATTTACCTGAACTCATTTGTATTCTCAGGGAACAAGTTTTTGAATTTGATGCTATTAGTACCTAGTTACTGATTCTCTTATTTCGTAGTCTGGACATAGTAGATGCGGAGTTTTCCGTATTTGCCACTATAATGAAGCAGTCCTAAGAGTATACTCTGAACAGAGTACATGTCCATTTAAGCAAGCACAGAATAATATTACATTGTCAATTCAAATTCACAGATCCCTCCAAGATTAAAATATGATGCCCTATATCCATCCTGTACTCCCACCATCCAGTCTTTATAGTCTATAGTAAATAGTGACATATAGTAATGTTAATGTTACGAGACAAAAGCAAGAAGAAAAGCCAAAACCCTGTACATGCAGAAGAAAAGAAAAATTAAATTTTATGCATTGCATTGAACATAGCACACTCTGCGCCAAACAGTAGGCAATTGACTTACTGCGCAATCAACTCAGTTCACCCCTGTCTGCGTTGACCACGGCCTTCTTCAACGGCCACGACTACCAAGACGCAGATATCATCTACTTTCCCCCCTCGGAACCAATCGCCGGGATAGTAGCGTTGGACTTCTTTCGCGAAGGGCCCATCACGGCGGAAGTTGTGACTGGCGCGTTTTGCTTCTCCAGCGATGGTTGTGGCGAGGAGGGCCTGGAGGGAATGCATTGGGTTCTTTAGGAGATCCACTGTGTTGTTTGGCTTGTGGCTGGTTGGGTCGTCTGTATCAATGGCTGATGGAGATGGAGATGTAGATGCGGAATGTTGTTGGGGTGTTGTTGATGACAACGAGGTCAATTGATCCAGATCATCTGAAACAGATATCCCCATTTGGTCTGTGGCGGTCCAAGCGCCGCTTAGGACCATTCTCTTCGTGACTAGTTTCAGGATCTCTTGGTTGTTGAGGTTATCGAAGACGCCGTCCGTCGTGAGGACGAGGACGTCACCGTGTTGCATCTGAATGCCTGTGACGGCGGCATCGCTCGGTTGGTCTTGGAGGTAATCACCACCGAAGATGGAGGCCTGGAGACGCATTCGAGGAGGGATAACGCTAAGCTGGTATGGAGTGTTGAAGGAGTGCGTTTGCGGCGTGGAGTACTGGTGGACGGCTGCGAGACGGAAGAGGATTGAGCCTGAATCGCCTAGACTTAATTATTACCAGAGACGATATTAATATCATTGAACCAAAAACAACCCCTTTCCTTATCCTTCTCGTTAGATGATACATACTTCGCCAGGTCTACCCGTCCGTCATTCAGACCGATGCCCACGCTTGCCGTCGATCCACCGGCGACAATTGCCTCATCCTCGAGGACTCGGTCATACCCTACTTGTAACAGATTCTTGGCTCGTAGCTTGTCCGCGGGTCCCTTCCACGCCAGCGCCGAATGTGCCATATATCCGCATAATCCGTGCGAGAAATCGCCCGGATCGACTCGGGATTGTGCCCATCCCCCGACGCCATCGGCAACGCCGAAAGCGACGGCATCCAACGAAGAAGGATTCTGGCCCCCAATTTTGCTCACGAAGAACGAATCTTCGCCGCTGTCCGGCCTTTTCCTGCGCCTGAGGACGGGGTTCCGTTCTTCTATTGCCGTGAAACCAAGCGCATCATGTTGGGCTGGGTCGAAGGGATAGACGTTGTGGGAGGGGTGGAAACGGCGGCTTTTGCCCGAGGAGGAGACGGCGATACGGTAGGTGATGCGCGAGGGGGGGGAGGACGAGGATGAGAAAAGTGAGCGCGACGAGTGAAATTGTCGCGATGCTAGTCGGGTCTGGGTTAATTCGGAGATAAATGAGAAGCGCTTCATGTGTAGATGATGCAGTGGAGTGCTGCAGCAGAAGGATCTGCAGTAAGCTCTGCAGGAAGACTCTAGTGGATTCATCGACAGAGATCAATATACTTGAAGCGAGTCTTGGACGTACTCAAGACTCTGGCAATAGATATGAACGAATGGAAAGAGGACGGCGACGGGAGATTAGAGAATGAAAATCGACACCTTTTTTTATAATGGAAAAAGTGCGCAGCTAACGTCTGCCGAAGAGAAGGCGAATTCAACGCAGCGAACTTGACAATGAGCAGGATGAAGAGTCCATGGCTGACTTCTCATTAATTATCATTCACTGTCATTGTAGACTTCGCCAGCGTCAGCAAACATCGCCAGTTGAAAAGTCTGTTGTAAGATAAAAGAGCAGCAGAAGCACGACCTGCGTCATCGTACGCTTACCTGGGGCGTTTGTCAGCCGCTAAGGCCTATAAAAATAGACGATACAGGGAATCAGAATACTGTCGGAGAAATATTAGACACAAGGGAACATTCTGTGATGTCTAGCCTGTTCTCCGGGATAAGCTCCATGGAGAAGGATGCTGTGAAGGCGTAGACAAGAATTGCGGTCGTTTCTCTTCTCTCGGAGGAGCTCGATTCTCCCAACTTCGCTCTGTTCAACCTTTCGCTCTTTTCCCCAACCTAATCGGAACCGCATTCTCCAACTTAATTGCTCTATTTTGTTTTAATGACATCTGCTAGACGCGCTTCCCGCTGAAATTGAGAGAAACCGTCAAAATGATGCACCCTTCCAGGCAGGCGTACGTGGAGGAGTCGGAGGTAAGAAGCGTCCTCCCTTGGTCCTGGTCGATTGCAGACCATGAATGCCGATTTCCAAATTCCTTTATCGACCATAGATCATTGCTTTAAGGCTTCGTGGCTCTTTTAAAACCTTTCCTGAGGCTTCTTCTGTCCCTTCTGAGCAAACCCAACTGACGTCGCATGGCTCGGATTCTTAGGACCCAGAGGGCATTGATCTTGCCAATATACGTGAGTTACATGAGGAAGGAGAACAGTGCAGCTTTATCACCGAAGGACGCATCGCTGACTTGATTAATTTCGAAAAAAACAGCCGTCGATCGAGACTATGAGCTTCCCTCTGCCGCAGCAGGCATCCCGGCTGAGAAGGCCTCCGCCATTTTGTCACAATTCGAACGCAAACGGAGAGCGGCTGCGATGGCGGTTCCAACGGACGACAATCGGGTGCGTATGCGATTGCGAGAATTAGGTGAACCGATCACTCTCTTCGGGGAAGGCGCAGCGGAACGGCGAGATCGCCTACGGGAGCTCTTGACGGACCTGGCAGAGAAACAGGATGCGGCAGCAGCAGCGGCAGGAGAAGGGGATATTGACATGCAAGAGGCGACAGCCGAGGCAGAAAGCGAAGCTGAAGCTGAACAGCAAGAGGAATTCTACACAGAAGGCACCCAGGAACTACTCGAGGCGCGCAGGGCTATCGCGCGCTTTTCTCTGCCGCGCGCAAAGGCCCGCGTAGCAAGGTTGAGAGAAGAGTCGACTATTCCACTTCGTACCCATATCAAACATCGCAAGGCAATCAGAGAGAAGCTACAAGGGTTTGACCTTTATGGGTCTCAGATAGCCGGGGATCGTCCCGTTAGTATTTGTCGATTTTCACCAGATGGCCAGACCATCGCAGCAGGAAACTGGGGGGGCGGCATTAAATTGCTCACGGTTCCCAACTTGGAGGAAAAGTCTAATCTGAAGGGGCATTCCGATCGCGTGGGTGGCCTGGCGTGGTTCCCTGGTGCTACTCTACCTTCCTCCAATGTCTCGGAATCTACTGTCAACTTAGCGTCCGGAGGTGGGGAGGGAAACGTGGCGCTGTGGTCTCTTGATCAGGACAAGCCGTTGGCTACTCTCTCAGGCCATTCCGGCCGTGTCTGTCGCACCGAATTCCACCCTTCTGGCCGGTACTTGGCATCTGCGTCATTCGACACCACCTGGCGCCTGTGGGATGTAGAGACGACAGCAGAGTTACTCCTCCAGGAAGGGCATTCGCGAGAGGTATTCACGGTGGCGTTCAACAACGATGGGTCGCTCTTGGCTAGCGGTGGTCTGGATAGCATTGGTCGTATTTGGGATCTCCGCACGGGTCGTACCGTGATGATCCTCGAGGGCCACGTTCGAGAAATCTACGGGCTGGATTGGGGCGTGGACGGCTATCGCGTGCTGTCCGGCTCAGCAGACGGATGGGTCAAGTGCTGGGATCTGCGGCAGGTGCGAAACACGGGAGGAATTGGAGCACATAAGAGTGTTGTGTCTGATCTGAGATGGTACAAGGGCACGGAGTCTACAGCATCATATCTCCCGTCTACTGAGAATGGATACATGGATGTCGACGGTCCGGTTGAGCAGCAGCCTCCACAACCGGCATCCATCCTGCCGAAGAAGTCGGGCACTTTCTTCGTAACGAGTGGATTTGACAAGAACGTCAATGTCTTCAGCGCTGATGACTGGTCACTGGTGAAGTCGCTGAGCGGTCACTCAGGCAATGTCCTCAGCGTGGATGTCAGTGACGATGCGAAATGGATTGCCAGTTGCGGCCATGATCGCACGGTCAAGCTGTGGGGGATTGAATAGTTGGCAGTACTACGATTCTATATGGCCATATTGAATCAGAAAACAAGTCGGGGAATTATGTCGAACGGTTCTCTCAGAGGTATATCCGATCTCTTTGCAGCCTCACCTCGGCTACATTATCACCAACTGCTGCACGCCATAATCCCAGGAATAGCTCTGCCAGCCATTACTGCTGCAGGCAGATGAAACTTGGCGTGATTGTACTGGTTAAAGATGTATCTGCTACGGATTATTTACCTCTGGAGGGGATTTGGCCGGATAACAGCCGTTGTAAGCAGTTGCCAGAGGATAGATAGTGGGCCAGAGGCAAGATAGATGATTCTGCTGCTATGCGTGGGAGATTCTAACGATAGAACAGGCAAATATAAATCTGATGTGTTGTTCGGAGGATCTAGGACATAACGTTAAGAACCCGCATGGTTAGTCAGCAATCCGACAGGGAGTTCTAATGGAGGTGTATTGTTGGTTGGTTACTAGCTAGATAGGCCTACGTGGTGAAAAGGGTCAGCGAGGGCGGACCTATGCGGCAGAATCCCACGTGATCCAACAAGTTCGTGTTGGAGGTCACGTGCGTTATGCCCTACTAGACCGCCCTCGCCTGACCTAATAGAGCTGGTTCCGGCACCTAACTATAAGAAACACATCTCCTGTTCTAGCATCCAACCTTACTGCCAACTTTCATTACTCTCCTTGTTCTCCCTGCTTATTTAATCTGCGCGAATTCGTTCCATAAAGTATTTCACTAGCGAGCGCCGCACCTCATCAAAATTCTACGCGTTGTTTTGCCTTCCTTTATTCAATTACCCACCATGCCTCCAAAAGCGCGTCAAAATCGAAGAGAATTAATTGAGCAAGAGGGTAGAGCCCTACTAGCAGTTTCTGCTTTAAAGAAGCAGGAAATTTGCAGTATTTGTGAAGCAGCACGTGCTTATAATATCCCTGAAAAAAATATGCAGTGATAACTCAATGGAACAACTTCATGCTTAGAAACACGCGCCAACAATCATAAATTAACTCAAAATGAAGAGGAATTGCTCATACAATGGATTCTATCACTAGATTAACATGGAGCGCTTCCTAAGCTATCAGATACATAAGAAATAGCTAATATTCTTCTTGCTAGCTGCAGTACTATACTTATTCAATCAGTTAGAGCAAACTGGATTACTAACTTTGTTAAATGCTATCTTAAAGTGAAATCCTGCTTTTCTTGATAATATGATTATTAACACACTAAATATGAAGTTATTAAAGAGTGGTTTGACTGCATACAAATCACTATAATACAGCATAGAATCATATTAGAGGATATCTACAATTTTGATGAGACTGGCTTTGCTATGGGCCTAGTAGCTACTACTTGAGTGATTACTAGAGCTGATTATTATGAAAAAGCACGTCTCATACAGCTGGGCAATCAGGAATGGGTTACTTCAATTGAGTGTATCAACTCTATGTCACGGAGCTCAACTAGACGATGAATAGGATGCTATTCGACTATCTAGGCAGCTATCGACGAGAACTTCAAGCATGAAGAGGAAGGAAAAAGGAAGAGGTCTACGTGAAGCTGGACGACGTACTCCTATCCACGCGCCACGCTAATCCAAGTAAGGAAGCTCACGTGCTCGTCCTGGTCTACATGGCAAGGGCCCTGACACTCTACTGATTAGGTGCTTCCTCCATGCATTATCTTCAAAGGGAAGGTCCATATAGAGGGTTGGTATCAAGATCCAACACTCCCATTGGATAGCAGGATTGAAGTTAGTCCTAATGGATGGACTACTAATGAGATAGGCCTTTGCTGGCTTAAAAATCTCTTTATTCCTGCTACTACTGTAAAGGGCGGCGTACGTGCGTTGTTCCCTGCGACAGGAACCGGGTTGTGATCGAGGGATCTCAGGGATGGACACACTGAACGATCTAATAAGGAAACGATATAATAAAAGAAGAAACACAACGATGGAGCCTCGCTCCGTTCTATACGATGATGACGATACTAGCGAAGCAACCTAGAAATTAGTATGTCGGAGACCGCGGCTCTACGGTGTTCTAAGATAGGCAATGTGGGGGATCCGGGATTTCGCAGTGCCCCCAGCACACTACTCACTGTACAACTGGGAAATACTGTCTCCTAGTTATGGATGGCCATGGCAGCCATCTCACACCTCAATTTGATCAAATATGCAATGAGAATAATATTATTCTTATCTGCATGCCTGCACATTCTTCCAACAATCTCCAGCCTTTAGATGTAGGCTGTTTTCAGTCTCTAAAAGGCGTGTACAGCGACTTAGTGAAGCAGAAAATGCACTTAGGAATCAGCCATATTGATAAGCTTGATTTCCTTAAGATCTTTCCACAGGCTTGCAAAAGTGCTTTTACAACAGAGAATATCCAAAATAGCTTCACAGGCACTGGCCTAGTTCTATTTAATCCAGATAGGGTGCTCAGCAAGTTGGACATCCAACTAAAGACCCCTACACCACCAGGCAGTTGGTCAACTAACTCAGTGCCTAAAACACCCTATACTGCTAGGCAGCTGGAGAAGCAAGCATCTGCAGCAAGAAAACTGTCTAGAGAATGTGCTCAGAGTCCTTTACCTTTGTTAGAAGTGTGATTGAACAAGATTATTAAAGGTCATGAATTAACATTTAATGGGCTTGTTCTTGCAAAGGAAGAAATATGCAAATATTGCGCTGATAATGAATGGGAAGGCCAAAAGCAGGAGAAATCTAATAGACAGCTAGCTGTGGAAGAGGGCCCATCTCTTCAGGAGGGTCTAGAGCGATTTCAGCGCGAAAACGAGGTTCAGGAAGCGCTGGATACTATCTTTATAGATCCAGCACTTTCTGCAGCTGGGCTGCGCATATGAGCGCCACCGCAGTGTTCTACTAATTGTCATGTTCGAGGACATACTAGAGCTAGATGCCCTAATCCACTTAGTATTGGTTTTTATACAGAAATGCAATTGTTGGTTGATGAAGGCTCTAGTAATTAGCCCATGGGCAGGAATCGGAGTGGAGGTGCGGCGCTCACTACGCAGAAGTAAACATAACCTGGTGCGATTAGCGCGATCGATGCTGCTGGGTCTTGGCAAGCATACCCTCCTAGGAACCACCGGCGCCATCCGCAGAACAAACACTCTCTGGCGAGCCGTTTGGGTATTCTGGTGACAGTATTGGCCTATTAAAGGAGTCGATCCGTCTACCCTAAGATGCCATGTGTTTCCAAGAGCAGGAATTCTGCTCTGGTAACAAATGAACCGGTTGGATGTCAGTAGCGGTTAGATTATCTATATAACTGGACCAGGTCAACGAAGGGTCACTCGGACCTACAACCGTGACACACAATCAGGTAATTTCTAAGGGTTCAAGGAAGTTGGTGTGGTCTGTCTTTCACAGTGCTCTTATTCAGAGGAAGTTCGAGTTACCCTGTATAGGCGAGCCTAACTATGAAAGAAGTGAAGGATGAACATATGCGCAGTGGGAAAGACGTGGCATTGACAGACATGCTGGAGCCTGCAATATTGTGGCTATCCAGATAAAGGCCAGAGTCTACAGAGAATAATTTTCACTCAGACAATACCTCCCAGTGCATCATGCACTTCTACAAATAGATTAAATTGGATTTCTCTGGAGGCATACTTCTGCATACATGTAATATTATCACGCCAACACCAATCGTATCTCTCAAACGCGCGCCGATCTGAGCTTGCTAGTTCCCAGTCAAGACAATTCTTCTAACTTCACTCCCTGTATCCTGCTCTTTGATCGCATGTTGAACTAGCCATGCGAAATGCTGTCTATTCTCAGAAAAATTTCAAAGTCGTGTTATGGCCAGCCGGGAGCACCTTTATTGACGACTTGTCGAGGTAAGAGATGAAGTTTGTTGCGAAAACATTTTCTGAAGTTTCCAGCAGGATCTTTTCGCCTACACCAATGGCCATTTTCTTGTTGACGAAGAACACCAGTTTAGCAGACGATATGTCCGATTCAATTTGGACGCGCTCCGCAATACTGCTGCCACAGCTGGAGGAGATTCCAGTCGGGTCATAGCTATTGACAAGATGGAAGGGGGTTTCAGCAAGGCTTTCTTGATGAAAAAAGCAGACGGAATGGAAGTAATTGCCAAGGTTCCGTGCCGCATTGCTGGCCCGCCCTCATTAACAACGGCTGGTGAAGTAGGAGTTTTAGAATTACGGTATGTGGTCTCTACCGCAGGGAGATTCGGTTAACTAAGGTTATACAACCCAGTCAGGAGACACACTAGCATTCCTGTGCCCCGTGTCCTTTCTTGGTCGTCAGATAGTTCGAATGCAGTTGGTGTCGAATATATCATTATGGAGAAAGCTGCCGGGGTTCCTCTGTTTCAACAATGGAGCAACATGACGGAATTCGAAAAACTGCAGTTAATCAAGAACTTGACCAAACTTGAGGCTCAGCTGTTGGCTGTTAGATTCCCTGCTTATGGAGGACTGTACCTTCGGACAGACATGAGCCGATTAAACAGGCCACTCGACAGTGATATCGATCCATCCCAGTCCTTTTGCATTGGACCTTCTTGCGATCGGTCATTCAATACGGAACTGAATTTGGAATTCAATCAAGGGCCTTGTGCGTTACTTGCGTAACATGACACTGCACATGCTAGTACTTTCACAGGGGACTCAATTTCAAGCTTTGGACTCTCCATTGCAGAGCGAGAGTTGATTCGAATACCAAGCGACCACCAACGAGGTCGACCGAGTTTCTACAAAGGAACTTCTGAGCAACAGGTCCAGCTCTTGGAAACCACCAATGTGCCTTATGAAGTTGTTAGACTCAAACCGAATACTGAGGGAAGCTTGTCAGCCTACACTCCGGCACACCGATCTTCATATGGGAAAAATTTTTGTTGCCCCGGACGAATGCTCGAGAATAGTGTCCCTCATTGATTTCCAGTCAACGTCGATACTTCCCGCATTTCTCCAGGCCCAATGGCCGATTTTTCTCAAACATCTGCCAAATTACAATTATGCGAGGGGAATATTTCAACCGAAACTCCCTGACAATTTTGACGAATTGGATGAAGAGAGCAAAGTTATTGCTTCACGCGAATGGTCTCAGGTAAAATTGGCGAAGGCTTATGAGATCTCAACCTATCTTAAAAACAGGGCAGCACATGATGCTATGAATGTACCTTGTGTCTTCCGGGAACTATTCACTTGGTGCGGAGAAGTCTCTGAAGTAGGCATTGTTCCGTTCCATGCATGCTTGATAGAAATTTTCCAGAATTGGTCAAGCCTTGGATTTACTGGCAAATGCCCTTATTCATTCAACCAAGAAGAAGTCAATGCCAGGAACATCAGTTCGCAGAATACCAAGCCTGGCACGAGGTTCAAGCACTTGCGGAAGAATGCCTTGATACTGATGCAGAAGGCTGGATTGCTCCGCAGTTGGATATAAATGAGAAGAGAAGGCATAATGAGGAGCTCATGGCACTGTATATCAAAAAAGTCACAGGAGAGAAATCTGCGGATGAGGCGAAAGCGATGTGGCTGTTCTCGGGCGAGGGTTGAATGATGAACTGCGTGTATGTGAATCTGCTGGGCGCTCTTAAGGTTATTTAGCCGTTCGCCCTGTTAGACTATGCTTTTGAGTCCTTTTTGACGTTCATAGAACTCCCTTGCATGTTTTCCTGTTTCGCTTCCGTTCTTCTGATGCCATCAAGCAAATCAGCCTTGCGATTAACCTTGCAGGAGATGAAGAAACGTGCAGTAAAGAAAGTTGATGCAGCAGGAGAGAATTGGTCCAAGGAACCAAAATTACAGTCATGAATCGCAATCGTATGTCGAATTCAAGAATTGAATCGAGAGCAGGTTCAGAAACGAGAACAGACTCGGGAATCGAAGTTCCGCGTAAGCGCTTGCAGATCTCCCCAGCAATCGGCATCGGCCGAGTTCCCCCGCCCCCAATTCCACATTCAGGACTGTGCCTCTCGAGCATCACGTGATGTCACCTGCCGTATACTGCATTCTAATGGAGGTGTATCGTTGGTTGGTTACTAGCTAACCGACCCCAAGAATAAAGTGATGCTGAAGCGAGACAGGAACTGGACTTCCAGATGATCTTATTCTGGTCCATGAGTTTGGGGATCATTATTCATTGCAGGCAAGGAAGGAGATGTCGGTGGATGGTAAGACTGCTACTCCGGAGATTATATGTAAAGATCATTGATGATATTCCTAGACCTAAACGCCAAAATTACCGACTTTCTTCAGAAAAAGGCGCAGCGTTTCACCAAGGAAGAGTGGCTGCAGCGATACCCCACAGCAACTGAGTCTGCATGAAGAAGAGCTGCGTTCTGATGGATCATTTCAATTGGGATTATGCAGCGAGTCCGTTCGTTCCTGTAATCTCTTAAGATTGCGTGTCTCCTTTGTATGCAGTTTGATGGATCAGGTCATGGTAGTTCATTTCAGTTTTGCAGTCATGTTTTGCTCATAATGAATGGCCAGGCCTCCACTACTTATTCATCCATTCCTCTGAATCATCAAAGTATGCTTCGTGGTAGGGATGCTTCTCAAGCCACCCATCCGGATCAAGAATGGTGCCACTTTTAATGTAGAAATCGGTAAGAGTCTTGTTTAGGTCTGCAGAGCCATGTTAGTAGAATGGTGATTTTGATGCAACGGCCTGAGTGTACCCATCAATGACATTGGACGCGATGGTTGAAGTAGGAAGCGGGAATCTCTTTCTCGGTAGAGCAAAAGGCTATCCGGTATCACAGTCCCTACATAAAGCTGTTATTATTGATTCGATCTCAATGGTAGCTGGACAAACCTTTAGAGATACACAAAAGATGAGGACTAGCTGCTGGTTTGCCATCATCTAAACCTTCAAGATAATAATCATAGGACCTCCGAGTCACTTCCTGCATGAAATGTGTATTTGGCATAAACAGAGCCCCATTCGAAACTAGTGTATTCTAAGTGGCAGCTATAGTGGAAAGTACATTGTAACATACCATCGACAGCTATTTTAGGATAGACCAATCCATCTGCGGAAACTTCAACACTGTCCTCGGGATCCCAATCATCCTTGCCCAAGCTTTTGTCAAACAGTTTAGATTCGCGATATACCTGGAAGCGATATAGAGCTGCTGGAAAGACGGAGTGCACGGATACAAATGAAAATCTTCGGTGATTGCAAGAATGCCGAATTATACCAGGTATCGCTATGCGATGGAGACCTGAAAACATTGTCCGTGCCGGATTTTGAAAAGTAGGGATCAGTAGGGAGATAGATGTGCTACCACCTCAAGGCAGAGCAGCTATGGGGGGGAAGATCAGTTGGAACGTGGTTCTAGAGGTTAAAAAGACTTGAGAGAAGACATTTACTATGATCACATGAGTTAGTGATGCTTGGCATTCGAGAAGCTAGGACTATTTCCATTAATGTCGCCTGTCAGCACGATCAATCTGATGAACTTTCAAACTTACTTTCACCTCAAGCACCAGCTCCCATATGTCTTGTATCCAGCTCAGACTACCGCTGAGAGTTTGTTGAATGTCACTAGGGACTATTCCAGCTCTCCCTTGGGTTCGCGATGAGCATGAACTGCCGCGCCGGCTTCCAACGATAGATGAGATCGAAGCAGCTTCCATAGAATTCCCTAGCATATTCGATTCAAGTTCTCGGCGGATCATCCGGATCGACGAAGTTTTTGTTGTCAAATATGGACCCGCAGTCTTTGAGAATGAAGGCCACGCGTTACTAGCTTTAGAGAAGACACAGAGCATCCCTGCTCCTCGTCTCTATGCCATGTATCGACAAGATGGGAAGCTGTATATCATCATGGAGTACATACCTGGTCACCGACTTAGTGATATATGGCCCTCCTTATCAGAAAATGGAAAATCATCCATCGTGAACCATTTGCGCGAGATATTTGACAAGTTACGGGCCCTCCCATCTCCTGGGACTTTCGGCGGTGTTCTTGGGGGGCCACTTCCGCACCGCTACTTTTTCTCCTCCGAGAAAGACCCGCATATTATCGGACCCTTTAACACGGAGGATGATGTCTATCGCGCTCTTGTCTTTAAATCTAAGAAGAATTGGAAGTTGTGCGCGCGACGAGCTTACGTGGCGGAGCTCTTCGATCGCCACCGGCAGGCTATGTTGAGCGGTCATAACAGCGTATTTACGCACGCGGATTTTCAGCGGAAAAACATTCTTGTTCGAGAACGGTGCGACTCGTCTAGCAGCATCGATGGAGGAGATTCTAAGAGATCGTTCGAAGTCGCTGCTGTTCTAGATTGGGAATCTGCAGGCTGGTATCCTAGCTATTGGGATTACTCGCTATGTTTCACTTATTTTGACTGGTCGGATGATTGGCTTGAGAAGGTGGAAAGAATCCTCGATCCATGTGTTCCCCAAGCTGCACTAATGAGGTTGGTAGGACAGGACTTGGACTTATAGTTAGCGTTGCAGAATTAGCCATCCATCTCCGATAGAATAAAATAAAAATCAAAAAAAAATCAGGGGATAGAACAAGAAGAAAACCCAGTGCCCAGAATACAAACTATAGCAGGGACCTGCTCTGCTCTTGTTTTTTATTAAGATCACCAATAGCATTTATGATCCTGAGTCAAGACGTTAACCGTTATCAAAAGTGAAACAAAAGAGATTGGAATCCGTATACTGTGTTCCATCAGTTTCCACGATTGGGATCTTCCCCGAAGTCGAGACGCGGGATGGGGCCTTATGACTCGTACGCCATTGCTTTTGGAGGAAGTAAAGTCGAATGAACGAGATTCAGGACCTCTATGGTAGAGACATCCTGTTGATCTTCTCAATGGCTCCTAGGATTGGAACGAGCTTCAGGAATGACGATCGGATTCCCGAAATCACAGCTATTAGTCCTGGGAGCGTTAACTACATGCCTCGAACTGTTCCTACGAAGCTAGCACCACTGTTAGCAAATATGGTAGAGGATTCCAACCGAAGCATGAAGTAGAGCTATGACCGTCAGCGTATGACCCTGGCACTGGCACGTCAAGCGGTTTAGTCCTTAGAATGCACCCTAGGAGCTAGGTCTGAGAGCTTCAGCCTCGTTCACACCTTATCTGAGCTTATTTTCCTTTTGCTTGGGCTCTAATTTGCTATATCTTGACCTGCCTGCTTTCCTACTCACTTATCTCCTATTATGGTAACTGCTTTTGCTTCAATTCTGTATATAGCTTGTACAAGGGTACGATCTTGTTGACTTAGTAATCACGTGATCTCCATTAGCTAGATAGGGACCGACTTCCGCCGACCCCTTTATGAAGACAACCACGTCCAACCCGTCACCCTGATCCACATCAAGTATAAGGGAGGTAATCGGACACCGAAAGTCCCCATTTTTCACTGGGCACCCATGGAAATGCTGTAGAATGATCAATGAATTCGATAGATTTCTATATACAGGATAAAATTGAAGTTATTCGATAGTCAGGAATTCGTGGCGTAGCTCGTAGGTGTGACGGGCTAGGCCCGATATAGGGCTTCGGATACCCTCAGCTAACACCAACAGCAAGCAACTAGAAGTTTGCAGACCAGTCTACAAACTTTATTCTGCCACTATTCACCGCCCTGATTATGTTATTCCGTCCCAAGCTCCCTAGGTAAACAAACCCCTAGGAGCTACACCACCTCTTTCCCTCCCTTTCTTCAAGATTTAATGTACTCGTAGAGTGGCCTAGCTAGGTGAATAAACTACCTTGAGACCGTTACACTAGGGGTCTTATTATATGAGAACTAATCGCTGGTGCCCTGCGCTGCTAAAAGTGTGCTCGTTGTGTCACATGATCTACATGCCTGCTGATTAATATATACATGCTCGCGTAGGACACGATAGCGACACCATGGCGACAGGAGTCCGAGTTCATTACATATCCCAATGAATCCAATAGAAAAACCGGGGTATGAGACTCGCATGGAAGACACAGATGACTCTTATTACACCGCTCACTGATATAAGCATGGTGTCACACGAAACAAACACCATAGGTCGGTAGTGGCGGAGGCATTGGAGAGAAACTCTTTTGGTTTGGCGGGCGGTTACATGTTACTACCAGCGCGGCTGTAAGCGTCCAAAGAGCGGCCCAGTCCCACCTAAGCGCCGACGGAATGATGAATGAGTGGATTTGGTTCCATGTTTGCATCATCTCCATGATATGAGTATTGCCAAATAAAGGATATCGACGCAGGGAAGGCTAGTTATGCGGAGTATAGCAGCCCAATTGGCTGACAACGAGCGCCTTCTCATATGACCGCACGCTGCTCTTCTCGTCTTTGAACAGCCGTCAAGTCGCAACTCACCTTCATTGCGACATGGACGGGGAGTTCTCAACATCATGGGCATCTTCTCCACCGCATTACGAATATCCTCAAGACTACCATTTCTCCACATTCACCGGCTTCCCATGGGCTCATCCCACAACAAGGCGCATTTGACAATGAGCAAGGTAGTGAAGGCTGCATTGCCCTAATTGAAAGGCAAGTCCTCCACTATACCTACCAGCTGCCAGCTGCTGTCCCTGCTAATGAGCTTCTTACGTCTTACAATAGTGAAGACTCTTATGCCTACACTGACGGTCACTGGCTCCACCGCGACAAAGAGCAACGCCAAGCTCACCAGCTGGACTTCAATTTTTCAAGATTAAGCCAGATTGCATTGAATACCATCAAGGATGCCACAAAAATGATCAGCTATGAAAAGAAGGAGGGTGGTTACAATCACATCTTCATTTTTAAACTTGACACTACTACTACTACTTCGTGTTGCCTTTTTGGCACAGTGGCTTAGTGTTAGGGCTCAAGCACCGCATGTACAATAGTTGCTTATTGGGCAGGACGAAGACTCTCTATTGGCTTCTGGCTGCTCGCTGGTCAAGACATCTTAGAGCTGGGTGCATTTTATTGAGGCTCCATATTACTCACTCATGCTCAGGGCGTGCTCAGATCTACTCAGTGAGCAGGAGGTGAGCACCGAAACGGAAAGGCCTTCAACGCATCTAGAAATTCCAAGATGCATCCATCATTTCTGCTCCTGGTACCCCAAGACTGACTGTTGAGACAAAGAGATCCAAAACCGACCCTTCTCCAACTCCCTTCAAATTCACATCTCGGGAATGTTATTTTAACTAACAACACAGAGCAAGGATAGCTCTAACTGTTTCATCCCGGCTGCTTTTGAGATCGGTATCCGGGATGATATTATTTGATGAAAACGAAGCTTGCTTCATCCGTGGAGCGGAAAGTGTCTCACGATTGAACTTTCGAGGTTTCAACCTTTCCCGGGTGACAATAGATCGAAGGATCTCAGGAGCTGGCGTAGCCAAAATAATATGAGAATTAACTCCTCCCCATCCGGCGGCGGAAACTGCTACCACTGTCTTCGGGCTTAGTTTGAAGGAGCTTGTAGCGAATTCGAACTGAAGTTTAGTATCGTTAATAACAGGGTTGAGGGTTTGGAGGGATGCGATTGCTGGAACGACACCATGTTCAATGGATTTGCACATTTTGACCACGGAAACTAAGCCAGATGCGTGCTAAATTGGAGGATAGTTAGTCTCGAGTTGTGTTGTAGGCCAGAAGAAAAATGAAAAGAGAGAGAGAGATAATCTAACCTGTGTATTACCGAGATTGCCCTTATTTGAACCAACAACGCAACGACGACGTTCGGTAGAATAGGAATAGTATCCAAGCTCTCTCAGAGCCATCCCAAGACCTTCAAGTTCGAGGGCATCCCCGAATGGCGTTCCACTTCCGTGTAATCTAAAAAAAAAAAAAGAAAAAGAAAAAAATTGACTTGTAAGTTGCTAATGTTCCCACCAATTCTCAGAAATTAGAAAACGTACTCAGTGTATGACAACTGCGTGACCGGAATTCCACTATCCTTCCATGCATTCTTTATTACCTCCGCCTGACCTCGAGGCGATGGGACCTGATAGCCAGCTTTCTGTGTCCGACCATCAGAGCCGATGGCAGTCCCTAAGATAACCGAATATGCCGTTCCTCCTCCCTCCTTCAGAACATCTGGAAGTCGTTTGAGAACAAGAGCAACCACCGCATCCGAGGGAACAGTCCCATCTGCCTCGGCATCGAAAGGACGACATTGACCCTTGGAAGAAAATATCTGGCCCTCTTGAGTGATGTACCCACCACTTTTTCCCCCCGATTTTCTTTAGCCGATTATCGATCGTACGCTCAGAATGTGGATTTTTCAACTTACTCGAATAATTGAACCGAAATTCCACCAACTATGGCAGCATCACATTTATGATTCCTCAAGGATTCAACTGCTAGCGACAGCGCAACGGTGCTACTTGCGCAATTGGTGTTGAGTGTAATGTTAGGACCGTGAAGGTTGAGATGGTAAGCGGTTCTTGCAGAAATGGATGGTGCAACAAAACCTCTGTTTGCCCTCTCAAAGGGAGACCCGTAGACCGGATCGGTGAAGGTATGGTATTTATTTTGAGCCGAACCCACGAAAACACCGATATTGTTGCGTGCACTCTGAAAGGGATCCAGTTCCGCATCATCCAATGCCTCCAGGGCGACTTCAAGGAATAGCCGTTGCTGGGGATCCATATCCGTCGCTTCTTCCTTGGACAACTTCCAAAAGCGATAATCGAAATCTTCAACCTCACTTAGTGTGCCGGCCTTTGGTACCCAAAGACAACCATCTACATGAGACTTCGCAGAGGTTGACGTGCTTCTCTGAATTGATACCTGGCCCTGCATAAGGTTCGCATATAATTCCTCCGGATTTTTGGCTCCTGGGAACCTGCCCCCAATTCCAACAATAGCGATATCAGTTGATTTTACTGGAGAGTTCCTGGGGGGCGCTGCCTGGGCTGATGGATCCTCCCCATTCAAAATTCGTGCAGTATTTTTGGGCTTGACAGATGGAACCGCAGCTGCTGGAGCGACAAGCGCCGCCTGCTCGCGAATAGTCGCCTGGTGAAACAGATCAACGGTTCTGAGATTACTGCCAGGAAATGACACATTGAGTTTCTCAAGAAGACGTGGAACAAGTAGGCTTGAATATTTATTAGCACACGATTCCAAAAAGAGAAATGCCCTAATGTAAATGTCAGAACATACCTATGACCACCAATATCGAAGAAGTTTATGTTGTATTCAGGTGTTTCGCTCAGATTTAATAGACCTCTCCAAATCTCCGCAACCACGATTTTCACATCACTTTCCACACTGCTTCCATCTTTAGTTGGATTTGCATCATCAGGAGTGCTGGCCGTCCCATGAGATGGCTTTGTCACCAAAGCATCTGGCTCGACTGTATCTCGGCATTCGAGATTAACTCTCTTGTGATCAACCTTCCCATTTGTATTTAACGGCAGCAATCTGCATTTATGGATCGTTGAGGGAACCATGTATGACGGAAGCTTGCTTCTCAAATATCCCAACAAGGCTTCAGTATCCGACTCCAACGGCGCCACAAAGGCAACGAGAGCAAGACCGTCCTGGGATTGTTGGACGGATGCCATACCTACCCCTGCATTACTGCAGAGCATGGCTTCTTCGATATCTTCGGGCGCAATTCGAAAACCTCGAACTTTCAACTCCCGATCAATCCGGCCCAGGACTTGCAATTCTCCGGTGGAGGTAATCCTTCCGTGATCACCGGTTCGATATAGACGCTCGCCCAGAGTGGGATGCAACGCGAATTTCTGATTCGTAAGCTCCGGTTGACCGCGATAGCCTCGACCAACCTGGGAGCCAGCAATACAGATCTCCCCTTCATGTTCGTTGGGAAGAATCTCGGTAAATTTCGGGTCACAGATGTATAGGCTGGTCCCGTCTGGTGGAGTGCCGACAGAGTTGAAGCTCTTTGCCGATTGCCGTTTCCTGTACTTCTTGAATGCGACTGCTATGGTTGTTTCCGTCAGACCGTATGAATTAACGACATCCACTTGCTCCTGCCACTTTTGTATCATTTGGCCAGGAACGGGCTCGCCGCCTAGCGAGATACATGAAAGAGATTTCAAGGATCTCGATGCAGGTATGGTTCCTAGAGCGGTCGGCGTGATTTGCATGAATGTAATAGAATTCTTGTCGATTACGTCGGCTAGGTAGTCTCCCATCAATGCCTGGGGATACTTCGCAAAGCACAGTGTGGCTCCAGTGACAAGCGTGGTGGACCACTCCAAGATGGACGCATCAAATGTGAAGTTGGCAAACTGTAAGACCCGAGAGCCGTAACCGACATTGTATGTAGACGTGCTAGCTTTCACAAACCTGGTCAAATGGCCGTGCTCGATCATCACTCCTTTGGGTTGACCTAGTAGGCAAATCAGATCTGAACCAGGGCAACTAGAAATGTAATAGAGACCTACCGGTGCTGCCCGATGTATAGATGATATAAGCAAGGTCGCTTGGGCTGCTTCGCGGCCACAATGATTCTTGATAGTGGTCCTGCGGGATTGTGGGGTTTACAGAACTCGAGAGAACATGTCCCGAGAAGTTGGCTAACCAGGTTTCCTTCCCATCGAGATAGTCATCAGTTACCAATACAGCCGGTTTGCTCGTGGCCAAAATGGATTCCTTGCGTGCCGTTGGTAACTTCGGATCCACATAGACAAATGCACCGCCAGCTTTCATGGCTGCCAAGATCCATTCAACAACTAGAAACCCTCGACGGAGATGCAGGAGAACTGGAACTTCTGCATGAACACTTCCCGAGCGTAATTCTGGGTAGGTTAGCGCAAATTACAGTATTGATTCTTCTGATACTCACCAGATGCTTTGGCATTCGACGCTGTTAAAAGTTCACCGTATGTCATTTGTTCTCCAGTTTCAGCACAGAGCAACGCGACAGCCGTGGGGTTTGTGGTCGCATGTAATTCAAATAGATTCCATACGGGGAGGTCATCGTCAATTGGATCGAGGCGTGGCAGTGAAACATGCTTTGGTATAGAGGGAAGTGAATTCAGGCTGACATCGGGGTTTGAGAAGCTGATTCCCACGAGCTGTTGAAAGCGATCCTTCATTGCGAGGATAGCGTCGTTGGAGAAAATCAGAGGATCATACACCACCTATAGAAAAATGCAATCAGCGAGAACGATTCGTCTCCATGCTGTTGCGGGTGGAACATACCCCTAGTTCGATTCCCAGGTCATTTTCCAACAAAACGAAAAAGAGATCCCAGTTCCCTTCAACAGGGAAGAGTCGACAGCTGTCTTCTGCCAGTTTGGGAGAGTAGCTGACAGCTACTTTACATGGGTGGAAATCAATGCCATTTTCTCGACAATTTTTGGCGATGTCCAGGAGAGAGAGCCTCTCATGCTTTTTGACCTGGCTGAATGTCCGAGACACGGCTGTCACAAGTTCCTTCAAGGACGGACGATCTTCTGCGCTCAGAAGGCAATCCCAAAGCGGGATTTTGACGGGCAACGGGCTGGCGAATTGTCCTGGTGAAGTTTCAAATCCCTTCGGACGTGCAGCAAATGCGACACCCAAAACGTGATCTTTTCGATATGACGGTTTACTGAATGAATTGACCAGAAGCCCGATAATACTTACGGCAACACGAAACCAAGATGTACGATACGTGTCAGACCATGCTGACAATTCCTGTAGCAAAAGTCAGCATGAGTATCGAATTCCTGTCTTCTTTTTACCTACGGCTCTGGAGAAATTTGCCCATGTTGTTATACCGCGATAATCCGAATTGGACGATCGTGGGCAGCTTTCCGACGATGCAACATCCGGAAAAGACCACCGGGTAAGGCATGTATTGCTCATCTGGCTCATCCAAGTCATTGCTGCTTGTTTACATTCGTCACTGGACATCCAGTTTTGCTTGGGATTGGTCAGCAAAAAGAAAGAAAAAAAAAAAGCAAAATTGTTCGTCGATTTTTGCGGGCAATACCTCTGCTATGTGAGCTTGGCTAAAGTCCATCGTCGAGTCATCCGTCGTAGTTGAGCCTCCTCGATAGATTTCAAGGAACTCCTTGGAAAGAAGACTCATACTTCCTCCATCGACTGCAATGTGGTGTGCAGTTAAGTAAAGCTGAATTCCTGACTGCAGACGAACGATGCACCATCTCACAGCCAAGTCCTCGGGGAAACGAAAAGCACGTCTTAAGATGCCCATGATTGCGCGAGTATCCAGATGCGCATCTCCATTGGTGACAAATTGGATTGAAGGACAGGTGGAGGAGGGTTCAAACTCTTGCATGTATGGCGTACCATTCTCAACGACAATTGTCGACCGCAGGACAGAGTACTTTCTCGTTAACAATTGAATGGCTGTTTGCTCACCATGATCAGCAATCATATTTTTTTTTTTCAAAAGCAAGCTGCAAAGAATCAAAAAGTTACAAAACTTCTTACCAGTCAATGCCTGGACTGTGCATTGATCCCAATGTTGTCCCTCCTTGGATAAGTCCCATTCCATAATCAGGTTAAACTGGGTGCTCAATGGATCCAGGGACTGCTCTAGCCATATACCCTGCTGATTGTGAGTGAGAGGGTATTTTGCTTTTACTGCAGCTGTTTCAGGTTCGTCACACAAAGGATCTAACCCATTGCAAGGACCCGAAATGACCCTCATAGGACCTTTGAAGCATGACATTTTGGCAATTCCTACAGGAAGATAATGATGTGCAAAGCAACAGCAGGAAGGAATTGATTTAATATCAGTTAACTAGCCATAGGAGGTGTTGGATAGAAGAAGCAACAGCAGTGTAGTGAAGTTTGTAATGATCTTATATAGTCACAGATGATGCTTGCAATGTGCGGTAATTCGCTCCACATCCCCTCACTGCACTCAATGTGACTGTTGGCCAGATGAGTCCACCTACCTATTTGAAATGCTAGGGATTACAGCTTAGTATGGTCAGAGAATAACCCAGCATGAGTAGAAGTGGCGGAACAAGAAAATATTCGGAGCACGCTAGTGAAGGTAGAAATTTCTGCAGACACTAATGCATGTATGTAGTATTTCACTCCCAAATGGATTGCTATTAGCAAATCCTTTATACAAAGTACTGAAGTTCAGGCCATGTGTAGTAGCAGTAGTCTTCAGCCAAGCAGGCCTGGTTGTTATTATTATCAAAGGGATAAATTACCGAGATTGTGCACTTGGCTCCATGACAGACTGTGACTTTAGATGAAAGACTGGCTGATGGATTCCATTTGCTGCTCCATAGTAGCAGTTATAGCTGGAAAGGATGCATGTACTCCATACTGTATGTCAAGGTGCGGGTTTGGGAGGTCAGGAAACAGATATCGATTGGAAAGAGCACACAGGCAGGCAATGAAGGCAGGCTACGGTGAAGCTATAGTACAGGTAGATAGACAAGACGTAGCTCGAAGAGCTACAACAGGATCAAAACAGAAGTTGAAGATATCTTCCTCGCGAGTCACGTGGACAGGCGGTCAGTACAGGCAGAACAGGGCCACCATAACGTACGGTGGTCCAGCACCGTGATACTGTATGTGCATGTGCATACTGATTTTTTAAGTACTTAGTGGTATATACTAAAGTAGCGGCCCGAAGACACCAATAATCACTCTTCCTAGAATATGTGCTCATTTCACTGGAAGCTGGCGGCTGATCTAATTTCCTCCTTGAAATGACATAAATACCTGGTACCTAATAATAATACCCGTGCCAAGGGCGCCTCCACGTCTCTCACACGGGGAGAGACGTGGAGGCGCCCTTGGCACGGGTAATGGCAGCCAATCTGATCAATAATCTCCTGCGCCACTGCCTTCAAGGTACTCCGTCCTCCGTAGATAGCCGATTAATAATTGCCCGCTAGATCGTCCAGGATGGAGTACTTCGGGATGGGCCGCCAAGTGCGGAGGTAATTACTACTCCGTAGCTGGGGCCGATTTCTTCGATATAGCCCTACATCCCCTTTCCTGTCCCTTTAAATATTCAAAGACATAGAGGTGATAGAGAGTTTAGTGGGGTTGAGTGTTCAAAGAGCATTGAGATTGATATTTAGAGCTGTTTGTTCATTAATTTCTAGAGATTTAGTCGGTTATATTCTTTTGTTCTTTTATCTTCTTACCCCGAGGTGATTCACGTGATGACTGGTTCCTACTATACCGGTTTTCGTGGATTACCACCTCAACACGGGGTACAGTGTATAGTAAGGCGCCCCCAATTATTGCAGTGGTCCTTCTGGTCGTTTTGTTACAATCAGTTAGAATAAATTTTTTATGAAGGCAAACAAAAAAAATGCTGTGTAAAGTATATATAGAATAGTTATATGCCTCTGCTTAGGAAGCTAAGTAGAACTCAAAAGGAGAGTCCAACTTTAAGAGAAGTGGCAGGCGAAACAAGGGGGGAATAATATAAATACCAATCCATCTTGTCCTTACAGTTGCTAAATAGTATTCTGTAACCTGCAAAAGGTCCTATGTTCCATCCATTTCAGCAACTCTCATTGGTTGAATCAATACTCTCATATTTTTTATACTGGCACACAGGCCAGGTCCATTTCCTTATTATAGTGCAGCGGAGACACTATACTGGATGGGGATTCCGAATGTCCTAGTATTAACTAGGTAATGAGTCATGACCAACCAGAAGTCATTTTATTATTGTGTGACATGGATAGCCTTATTTCATCGGAGACCTAGAGTAGAAAACACCTGTCTATGCAAGCGGATAATTGCCTTGAATTAAGCACCATGGTATTTATTGTAGCCAACTGCTCAGATCTGAGCTTTAAAATCCATTCTCTTTCCGTGATTTGGATGAGAAGACAATGATCAAGTTTCCCTCGATTGTGTGATCAAGAATAACTTCATCCATTGCAAATATATCTATCTATCATCAGGGGTCGAACCATGATGGCGCTTGAATCAGGACAAGAGATAATTCGCTCCCGACTCGGTAAATTGTTGGGATGGGTTCGGTTGGTTGTCATGTCAGTATATGTAGATACAAAGAGCACCCATTGAGAATTGCTAATAATGACCATCGCCCTAGATGCCTTACCTTCTTCATCGACATCGGCAGTATGGGAATGTGTACGATCGCTCTGCCCACCATCCAGAAGGACTTGGGATTCACTCAGGAGACCTTACAATGGGTCCTGACTGCCTACTCTCTGACTGTATGTTTTGTTTTGTTTCATCTGACTGCATAGTCGCATTGCGTTTATTAACCGCTTCCTATATAAAGTACGGTGGTTTCCTCATGGTCGGAGGACGCCTGGGAGATATTTTTGGCCAAGTAACGACATTTCAAATCGCCATGTTCTTCTTCAATGTTTTCGCCTTGACATGTGCGCTCAGTCCGAATCAGGTTGGCTTGGTAGTGGCGAGGGCTTTGCAGGGTAGGGTGAACATTGATGCTCGGATCGATTTGGCAATCTCAACGGTTTTGTATGGAGAGTAGCTGATCCGAATACTGTCTCCCCATCCAGGCGTGGCCGCCGCATGCACCATCCCGTCAGCACAAGCTCTCGTCGCGCAGATCTTTACCGACCCAAAACGTCAAGCCCTGGCTCTCAGCGGGTGGGGAGCGAGCGGCTCCTTGGGATTTGTGTAAGCTTTCAGATTGAAATATCGCCCATTTGCGAGTTAATGTATGCTCATGCATGGTCTCTCTCAGTCTGGGACCCATTATCGGTGGTCTCTTCTCGTCGTTAGTAAACTGGCGCTGGGTGAGTTGGACATCAGTCTATATCTTTTTCTTTTCTTGGACTCACACCAGATTAGATATTCTGGTTCACTTTAATCGTCGAAGGAACCCTATTGGTATTATCCGTCTTCCTCTTTCGTCAGCCAAAATCAGAATCCCGGAATACCTCTTCGCTAGCAGAAATAGTTCGACGTCTGGATCCTTGGGGAACAGTATCCTCCATTGCGGGTCTGATCCTCTTGGTTTTCAGCTTGACATCAGGAAACCAGTATGGTTGGAGCAGCGCGACGACTTTGGCGCCCCTGATTATCGCAGTGGTCCTTCTGGTTGTTTTTGTTGTAGTGGAGATCAAGGTGTCAACATTCCCCCTTGTTCCCAGAAGCCTACAGTCTAGCAATACCCTGCAACTTAGTTGTGCCATGGCAGCATTGACCTATGGCGTGTGGCAAGGAGCAAATTACGTCCTGACGCTTGAGCTTCAAGGTACGCACCTTTCTACGGCTACGAATTTTGGGGTTGGAACTGGGACTGGGACTAACGAGCATGTTTATCAATCAATCAGATCTTGGATTTTCATCTCTTCAAACCGCCATCCGTTTTCTTCCTCTCGGCGGTACGGCTCTCCTAGTGAACATGATCGTCCCACATCTCCTCCAACCCGTCGGCACCCGCTTGCTTCTAGTTATAGCCTGGATTCTCGCCCTGGCCGGAGTACTGCTTCTAGTCTTTATCGACAAGAAATCAGACTACTGGCGCTTCTGCTTCCCAGGCATGATCCTGTACATCGCGGGCGTTGGCACAGTTTATTTTGTTTCAATGGTCATGGCGATCGTGTCGATGCCCAAGGAGCATCATGGATCCGTAGCAGGGGTTTATAATGTAAGAAAATCAATTCCCTAGTCCAAATTGAGCTTGTATTACCCACTTACTAACCCGCGATTGGGACAGATGGTATTGAATATTGGAGGCGCCGTCCTCGGTACCGCCGTGATGACGGTCATAATTGATTCCGTCGAGGCCAACCACGGTGGTGAAAAGAGTCATGCCGCCCACATGGACGGGTATCATGCAGCCCTGTACACGACGGTTGGGTTTTCCGGTTTGGGAGTTTTGATTGCGGTGGTTATGTATTTCTTGTTGTCTCGAAAGAAAGAAGACGGTAGCGACAAGGAAGAGCCGGGTGAGAGGGTTGATATTGATACCAAAGCTGAACCGCAATCATCTTCTGACTGTACCGATGCAGATCCTTAAAGTTAGTCTACTTTGTTGGAGCATCATAAGTGATTTATTTGGAGAGAGCTTTTTTTTGGTTGGTTACTTTTTTGTGTGGTCAACTTTTGTCAAGCAGGGATGCAAATATTAGACTGGGGGTAGTACTCCGTACTATGCCCGTTTCGAGCCATGAAAAAATGGAATATATCCATCTTTGAAATTGAGTCCCAAATATGGAGAAATTCGAAGAAATTGCCTCAGAATTAATATCAATTTAGTAAGTGAGAGTAGAGAATGGGGGAAATCTTGCTCATTGAATGTATATGAAACATGTTGGGACATTTTGACCACTAAGTAGTAGAGTAGGTACATACTAAAAAAGGATATCATGAATGAATTGCAATCTGATGAAAAAGTCCACAGTCGGCTGGCAAAGTTAATACCACTTTGTTGTTTGTTGGCTAAATGTAAATTTACATTCTTTGCCGTCATCTTCAATTTTGATACAAAGTAGCTCCTCAAATAAAACCACTCAAAAGCTTAGTAGGCCACTCCTCCTTCCCATTTCATTATAATAACCTCAGAAGTCTCTGAGACTAAACCTTCCTTAAACAAAGTCCAGTGAGCAATCTTGCATGCCTCATCCATTTAGCTTTTTTTTTTTTTTTTTTTTTTTTTTTTTTTTTTTTGACATTGTCAACAGTGTCAACATTGAGAGTGAAACCTATGGGGAACACTTCATCAATATCACCAGAGAAAGCATACGACAACCTGCACTGAGATGGTTGAGCCATTGTTGGAGAGGACGGGTTTTGATGAATAACCCAGAAGATTTCCTGCCATGCCTTTGCTGCAACTGTCCACTCGGCCTTTGATAGGGCTTGCATTCGGGGGGGAGGCGCCGGCACTCCCATCGCGGATAGACATCTTTCTATCAAAGTGTATGTTGATATTTGGGTTAGGGTGGATGCAAGTTGGCACAGAAGCTGCAATGCGTGCCAGTCTAGAAAATGGTTGATTGCACATATCATCTGTCTCACGCATCCCAGAACATCTTCTGCAAGATTTGACCGCCCCGTCTGTGGGTAGAAACTGAAAACAAAAAAAGGCTTAATACATGCACAGTGTCGTCAGACGAAGATGAATCAAGTCGTTGGTATCTCGTGAGCCTATCCGACAGGCCAACCTTCGATGCAATGTAGTCGGACAGCTCCAACGGAGCAACGCTCAGTTCGTCTACAATATCAGGATCGATCGGCATATTGAACAAGTATTGAAGATCCTTAAGGCTCCAAAATTCCAGTAAATTTTTCTTTTTGGGCCACACCATGAAGTGAAAGCAAGGAAGCGAAAACAAGACCAGCCATCATCGTTGATAGATTACCATCCTGTAGAACCTTGTTTAAATAAGTGTATTCGGAGCATGTTAGTGTACCAGTGTACCTGAGGAATGTAATTCTAGACGCTGAACACAGCCTACGCTAAAGACAGCCTACGTTGGTTCCCTAGCTAGATCAACCAACTCAGCGAGTTTGACCCCCGACAACAAATAGTATTCAAATCAAATCAAATCAATCAATCAACCTCTGTATGCCATATAAATGGCACTTTTCAGAAGTTATGGAACCCAACGATGATATCCAGCTCCATTATTCTAGCCACAACCCAAAAGGAAACTCAACAATCGTCCTTGTCCACGGTGGACACGCTCTTCATCTCTGGATTCTGGCTCTTCCCTCGTACGCGATTCACGCGGTACATCCCCTATGCAGTATGGATGCTGATCCGCGTGGAAAATCTCATCCCACGATCGCTAGTGGCCTGGAGCATGGAGGCGCCGACATTCCCCGTGGAGATCCCCAAAACCAGTGCACACTCGATCTGTGTCGACGTGTTATGGCACTGGAGCCTGAGAATAGGTGGCCCGCGCCTTAGCCTGCGCGCACGCTTATTGTCGCCGCTACGAAGGGCGGTCTTGTCCCATCTGATGATCATCCCGGGGACGCAGAGCGTTTGATGCGCATTGGCCGTCAGGGGAATCCCGATACGATTGCCTATGTGCATCCTGCCATGTGACACCCGTGGAATCGGCAGGCGCCCAAATTATTTGCTGATACTGCCGGCGCGTGGATTGAGGGGATCGATTTGCCCGAAGATTTCATCAAGATAGAGTAGATCTTGACAACTAGTAAGTAGAATAAAAAGTACATATGTTGCTTCCCTAGGCAGGCACTGAAACGTCAGCGCCGGATGCGAGCTTAAGCTGCGCACCGGGGAAAGCAGATCAACGGCGGCTCCGCAACAGGAATTCTGCCAAGTACGTGAAGGGGTCAAAAAATTGTGTAGACGATTAACCAGAAAAGAGTCCAGGAAGGGGAAATCCTGCAGTCAGGTTACTGGCGCGCATGCAACATGACATATGTAGAGGAATCCGTGGACTTTTAGCAGATAGATATGCTTCGGCGGATTGAATTAGACAACGTCTAATGAATACAGCTCTGTAGACAGTCTGCTCCGCTTACCCTACGGCAGTAGGGTGATTCCCGCAGAGACAAAAGCCAAATAAGACAGAAGGACATGAGATATTTACTTCTTGGTAATAATAATCGACTGCTATGGAATAAGATAGGAGCTACGTGATCGTCGTTTATGGAATATGATGAGGATAGAGTTACTATTTCGGACAGGTGGATTATCTAATAATCCGACCCGGGATCAGGAGTATATATGTTCCGGGAGGAAAGGTGCCTACACCCGAGTATCCCGAATCCTGTATATAGAAGCAAGCAAGCGATTGAGCATTAAGCATGTCAATTATAGCTTTACTACTCCCAGTTAGACCGCCCTCGTCTGGTCTAGCAGAGCTGGTTCGCGCACCTAGATGGGGATCCAACATAAAACACACCTCCAATAATAGAACACGTTTAACTTAATTACATAAGCAGTACAGACAGATCTGGCTATTCCACAAAAAGACTAGCGCGTGATGACGGGGATCTTGGTAATCGCGCCGAAATTGGAAATGGCAAAAGCATCATTCAGCCAATTTATAAGAACTGACTGAGGATCAATAATTCCCGCTCTATAGGCCCCATCCCACGTATAAAATGCCGTTGCTCATCACGGAGGCGTCCAGGATTTTCCACTTCATTCTCTTGCTTAGATTACATCCCTGAGACTGCGAACATAAAAGCCAGCGCTCCCCGAGTCCATGAGATTGATCCTTTCTCTTTCAGTTTGCATTCTAGCAATCGTCTTTTCCTGGTATCACAGCACCATCAGAATCAAGAATCTAGTTTCTGATTACATCCCGCAAGTGTCGAACTCGGAGCCTTCTATCGAAGAATTCAACGATATCACCATCAATCTTAAATCACCTTTGTCAGATATGGCTGTCCCCCGCGCAATCCGCACCGTCTTCCTTGCCATTGAGCAGTCCGAAGGAGCAGGCGCCCGTGTTCGTCGTTCCATCGGTACTCCTAAACTGCGCAACTTCACACCTTTCCTCATGCTGGACCACTTCACCATCGGCCCTGGCTCGGGATTCCCAGACCACCCGCACCGCGGCCAGGAGACCATCACCTACCTCTTGTCTGGAGGTGTGGATCATGAAGACTTCGCCGGAAACAAGGGCACTATCGGACCGGGTGATTTGCAATTCATGACCGCCGGCAAGGGCATCATGCACGCGGAAATGCCGCACGAGAACCCCGACGGTTCCCCCAACGTCGGTTTGCAGTTGTGGGTTGATCTGCCCGAGAAGCTGAAGACGTGCGAGCCGCGGTATCGCGATCTGCGAGCCTCCGAGATCCCCACCGTCAAGGTAGATGATGACCGGGTCACAGTGAAGGTCATTTCGGGTCAATCTCATGGTGTCGACTCTGTGCGCGATCTTGCATACACGCCCGTTTGGCTTTTGGACGTCACAATTCGGCCTGGTGGGAGGATCTCCCAGCCGCTTCCGCAGGGATGGAATGCTTTCGCATATACGCTTTCAGGGACGACGGTGTTCGGGTCCAACGACTCGACCCGTCCCGTCAAGCAGTTCCATAACGTCGTTTTCGAGCAGAATGGTGATTTCGTCGAGGCTTCTGTGCCGGATAATGCGGAGTCCGAGGGACGTTTTGTTATCATCGCGGGCATGCCGCTCGACCAGCCCGTTGTCCAATATGGGCCGTTTGTCGTGACATCCACAGAGGACATTTACCAGGCTATGCTTGACTACCAGACTGCGTCGAATGGATTTGAGAAAGCCAGAGGTTGGGTCAGTGAAATAGGGAAGAGAATGGCTTGGTAGATGACGGAAAGATGTGGTATTGCTTGCTTTTGTTCGCATTATGAGCGTGATCTGGTTTGGTTTATGTGATTTTTTCATTGTATACCTCTAGTATGTCTACGATGATCTTATGTTGATGACACTCTGTTTGATAGACGCAGTATCCTTACGGAATACATTGCTTTCATATGAAGATCCATTTTGTAGACTACTACCATCATACGGACCAGTTTACAGATCCCTCAAACCTGCCCCCCTCCCCCCGGCCCGGGGCAATAACAAACTCTGCCTCATCGCATGCATAAGATTTGCATGCTGACATTGAAAGCGTCAACATAAGTCTCCCTGACCATTGCCTGTTGGGCCAACGAAAACCCGTACACGCCAGTCGGAGAACGGTAGAAATCCTGCAAGTGCTCCGGACTCGCATCTTGGTCCTTGGAATTGAAGACGATATAGCTTGAAAAGAAGAACGACGATTAGTCTCCATCTCGACAAAATCGATCTTGTTGAGGGAGCAGCAAGCGATATCATCTGCAGTAGTGGCTTCCTCTACTGCGACTTCATGGTAGAAGTGCTCGCCTCGAGGGACCGGATTTGGTTCTTTTGCGAGGATTCTATTCCGTCACTGAATGCAATCCATGATCATGGATATGCCACAATGGCCAGCACGGCTATATGTTTGGGAGATTATGCTGACGTTTGGGAATATGGATTTGTTGGTGTTGTAAGGGTGTTAGGGTTACTCCGCTCGCCATGAACATCCCCAGACCGTTGTTCCAGGAATGTAATAATATTGGGCGTTGCCAATATTTCTGTGTGCATGCCTACGAAGACAATTTTTGGGATATCTACGGAGAATAATAAGCGCAGTAGGTCCAACGGATGCCATTGCGATTCCAGTACATGGGGCAAAAACCCCGTTTTGGTTCTGAGAATGATATTGTCTCGGTAATCCAAAAGTGCGCCACTATATAGTATGAATATTAAGAATACGATGACGCCCTTTTCGCTGAAGAAAAAAAAAAGGGGAGAAAAAAAAAAAAAAGAGGACCAACCCAACTGTCAACAGAACGGCGGGGCCAAAAGCTAAAAAGCCCTTCTAATGACACACATATCGCACGATGCATTATCCGCATATCTACTTGGCGAAATGCAAATCATAGTTAAGCCACTTCCGCGAATTGACCTGTTCCACGTCCAAACCTGGCGTACCATACGTCAAGGGCGCAAAGACATAGAAACTCCAGAACGTAGCTGCCATAAGGATAATCGTAGCAAGCCAAATTGCAATGTATGACTGGCGGCCCAACCTTTCCCGTGCGGCAACAAAATGGTACTTCCCATACGGGATTGCGGCCTTGGACTTGCCGGAAGGGTCCTCTTCGGTAACTTCCACCGCCGGGACTCTATTGTGGACAGGATCGATATTGAAAATGAACTCAACTAGTGCGCCCGCTACCAGGACAGACGCTAGGTGCGCCGGGAGATAGTGGTGCAAAAAACGCTGACGGCCCATGAGCCAGAAGGGGAAGTAATGAGCGGCCCAGCAGATGAAGAGAAATCCTGTGCTGTTGTATAGACGCGAACGGGATCCAGGGCCCCAAACTAGTTTTCCTTTGTTAGCTGAACAGTCCTCAACGCACAGATCTGGGAAAGACAAGTAACTACTCACTTTCTTCGACCGCATCAATACCTCGTCTCAGAGATAACTGGTCAGCACCGATGATGCCCGCGAACACTGCCAGGAGACTACTGGCGATCCACCATCCAATCGGGTTGCCGAGGAAATAGATCTGCTCCCGCGTATCATTCTTGGTCCAAAAGCTGACACCACGCAGGAGGAAAGGCCACTGGAAGGGTTCACTTGCATACGGATGGCTGCTAGTCAGGGCATTGTTGTGGTAGAACATGGCTCGCTGGAGCTCGAGATACTTCCGCAAAAAGGATAGCTGCTTAACAGCCCGCTCTTCCTTTTGTTCGCGAGGGCTGTCCTCTGGCAACGATTCAATCGTATCTACGAACCACAGGTTGCTAGACTGCTGTAGGTTCTTGTTTCCATTGATCTCAGCCTGTTTAAATCCCCACTCCGGCAGAGGTTTGGTATGCGTCCACATGGCCACTCTAGTTGGAACGTGTATGAGTTTAAAATGACTGGAGAGAGTTCGAAATTCTTGATCCGGCTTGCCGTTTTCGATCTTGATTTCGAATAAGGTATCGTTGTGTCGGTCGCCATCGCCTTGTTCATGAGAAACAGTAGTGAACTCTTGGTTGGTTGGATAGTATGGAGAAGCAACGTCGTGAGTCAGGAGAATAGTGTCAGTGCCCAGATGGCGAAGCTGAACAATGTCCCCATTTTTCACACTGTGACCTTCCGTTTCACCTTCTGGCAAGGGGACAGAGGGCAAGATTTGCCAGTGGTTGTTCGTATCATTGAAGGGATATCCGGTAACCTGTTGCCCCTGACTAGAAATGCGTCCGTCATCATAGCGCAAAGGATACTTGTCCCAATGGCTGTGGAGAAAGACCTTGGTATCCTTATGCCGAATTGTAATGGTGTCATAGTACTGAATGCCAACGGACTGGGCAGACAACGGGTTGTCGCTAAGGGTCTCTTGAAACTCCGGGGTCATGAAATCATCACCCGGGCCGGATCGGGTGAGGACGGCAAAATGAACCTGGAACCAGAAGAGATAAAAGAAGAAAGGTACGATAATAAGGGCGAACAAGCGGGCGAGAAAATGCTGGCCCCATCGTACCATGCTGAGAGCCCCCCCATGGCGGTTGATATCGAGAAGATTCCACAGATCAATTAGGACAGCGATACCGATGGTGACGAAGGTAAACGTGCCCACATATTTCGTCGAGATGACACAGCTCAGCGAAACACCAGTTAAGAGAAGCCATTTCCACCACTTGCGACCAAATGGATCGTGTCTCAGTTTGTAGAAACGGATATAGCAAAGGACACTCAACGCCATTGACAACACCAAGGTGGCATCCAGCAGGATAAGTCTCGTTTCGCCAATATGCGCATTGTCAAGCAGAAGTAGCCCGGCAGACAGGATGCACGCCGGCAATGAATATCCAGATTCCCACATAATGAGGAACACAACAGAAACGGTCAGGGCGCCGAAAGTCGCAGGCATTCCACGGAGGGCGATGTAGGGCACCCTGTTGGTGATGTACGAGTCACCAATATTCTCAAACAGAAAATGGCCATCGTATCCAACCAACCAGCCCATAAACGCAAAAAGAAGCTTTCCGAAAGGAGGATGAACATCGAAGAAATACGTGCGCTGCAGGTAATAGGAAGCAAACTGTAAAAAGTAACCGGCGTCAGACAGGAGCTCCGACGGAACAGCACTTCGCAATTGAAGCTCTTGACGTAGGACCAAGAGAGAACATACCTTTCCGAAATGGACCTCATCGAACACGACTTCATCGGGATAGGAGATTTTGTAAAATCGGGTAATGAAAGCCAACACGGTCAAAACGGCTAAGGCCAGCTTATAGTCCCATTCTGAGTATGGCTTGCGGACAACGGTCGACTTCCTCAAGGAGGGGGAGGAGACATCATCGGGGCGCAAAGAAGCCTCCTTTTTCCCGCCCCTCTTACGCAGAGAAGGAGAAGTTGAAGACATGACAGAAGTGAAGGCTAGAGAGCGACGGAACCTATGCTATTATTGCAAGCTGTTGAATTAGCACTTAAGTATCATAACCAACCCAAGGAGGGTCGTCGACTCACAAGGATCAATGTATGAACATTATAATGAAGAAAACCCAGGAACGAAGAAAGACGCAGGAACTGCCTTGGTTGTGCAGCTTCTTCGAAGCCCCTGTCAAATAATTTGCAGTGGAGCAGGAGGCTTGCAGCGACTTGATTTCCTGCGCTGGAAATACAGGCTCACGTGTTCCCATCTCATTTGACTGTACGCGCGGCTACAACTGCGCAGGAATCAACGATACAATGGAGGATGATGGACAGTAAGAAGCAAGACTTCGGGTTCCTTTCATCACTATAGACGAATTTAAGGGTGGGACAATTTATAATGGCTTCGATATTACCCAGCTACATAGACCCAGACTTTAATAGAAATCGGCTATTCTCCTTAGTTACAAAACGGATATCGAAAAGCATCAGTATGCGCCTATGAATCAAATCATAACTATTCATCATCAGACAGGTTCAGCGACTCCAGTTCTGTCGTCACTAGAGACTGGAAGTCCGTGCGAGAAATGCCTGTGCTTTTAGCAAGCCGGAAGAGGCTCTTAATATTTGCACTGATGTGTTGCTTCACGCCCACCTCCAAGGCAGAGTGCGCCTCCGCCTCCTGCTCCAGTTTCGCTACCGCGTGCGAGCTTCCTGATGAGGAGGACGAAGGTCGTGGGTGATTTAGCGACCTGGTTAGGCCCTCGTTCGCCGGTATGCTTTGCAGGTCGCCATTTGTCTGTGCCGGGCCCTGGGAATCCGATGCAGGTATCTGCCTTTGGAGGAGACTAACTAGCAGATTACCGTTAAGGGAAGACTCACCAAGCTGGTTGTGGTCTTCCGATGGGTCTTCATTGTCCATCACGGGCTGCACATTATTGTATCGGTCAAAGTAGGAGGCCTCGGACAACGGAGCTGGAGTTTTCGCAGTTGGAGTCCTCCCTGGTGTTCTCCCCGGTGTCGCATCATATCTGGCCCAGTAATCATCGTCATCGTCGGACTCTGGCTGCTGCTTTTCTTCCGCTTCCTTCAAGATGTCCTCGATCAATCTTTCCCTTGCACTCGCATTTGCCTCTCCGATTGAGAAGTACCAAGTGTCGCCACGGTCGGAAGGACCATCTCGAGGTAAGATTTCCGCAACTCTCCACCCAGGTCCTCCGCCGTCTTTGTCACCCGGACACCAGAGATAGATGAACCTTAAGCCGTAATCCGGAAGCGAAATTTGTGATTGTAACGTTTCTTCATCTAGCCGTTTATACGTGACGGGAAGATCGCCAGGAAGGTCAATTTCTCCTGACACGGGGTGCGGCTCGAAACTAGCGCCATCAACCAGATCTTGCACACGCTCTGCTTTCCCTTCGTCCCAGCAGAGGAATCGAAGCCACGAGTCTGTCGAAGACTGTGAGACCGAGCTAAAGACCTGCACGCGCTGACGTAGAATGGGGGAGAGGATGGGCAGAAGAGCAGGCGGAGGACGTGGCGATACGAAGGCTGTGGGAAGACATGCCAGCAACGGCGGAAGTAAAACTCGAGGATCCGCCGGTGGGATAAGTGCGACCATGTCTACTCTCACTAGACGCTCAACTGGTCTCTCTTCCTTGTAGCAGGATTAATTCTCTCCTCTCTTCCTCCTTAAATCAAGAGTTGGAAGCAACGGGGAAACTATGTGGAGAATCACGGCATAGGAGCAATAAAGAAGCAAGATGTGATACGGTAGCATGCGAGGGTAGAAGAAAAGAAACAAGGATATAGATGGACTTATGAAAATGGCATCCAGCGAGAAACGTGCGAGGTCGTCGTCAGGCCGTCATTTGTATCACCTCTGCCTCCATTTGTCCGAGCAGACGCGGGGAAGAAGGGGACAGAGAGGAACACGGGTCCATGGAGTCATGCCCTCGGCAGCTCCGACTTCCCCGGAATATTCCCTCCGCAGAATAGCTTCATCAGTGAGAGCAGGAGAATTCCTGCATCTTGGTGGATACGGAGTCGCTGCTTGCCCTCCGCCGTCCTGTTTGGTTCCGGCAGATTCCATAGTCGAAACTACCGAATGATTGATAAGCGATGGGCAATTGTCAATAATCAACACGTTGGGGCAATCTATCTCAGCCTGCCGGTGCTATAACTGCAGCACTGGGAGCGTCAACGATGCACTCCAAGTCTTGTCCAGGTTCCCCCTCTGCTTCTCGCATCACGTGTGCCGCTGTTGAATACGACAGTTAATGAATCGATCGAACCGAGCCGAGGTGACCGGCTCCCCAGTGGCGTAGGAAGGGATACTGGTGCATTGGGCCGGTATCTTCTTTTCTGCTGCAGCGTGTGCGTTTTGCGAGGGGAAACTGAGAATCTCTGCCAGCCATGATCGAGCGCCTCCGTGAGACTGACACGGCAGTCGAGAAATCGGCGCTCACGTTCAGTTCACCAGTGGCTGGTGCGGTGGAACACATAGGCGTTGATCATGATGAAGAGACGCCTCAATTTTCTGGGCTGAAGGAATTGGAGAGGAAGATCAGACTGAAGACCGACCTACGTCTCTGTACCATTGCGGGTCTCCTCTGCAGTCTCAATCTGCTAGACTCGGGCATCCTATCTTCAGCATCGGTTACGACCATGTTCAATGACCTGGAGCTCTTCGGAAATCGTTACTCTGTCTGCATCTTTATATTCACCATCTCTAGCGTTGTATTCCAACTGCCATCCACGATTGCAGTGCGCTTTGTCGGTCCGCGCATCTGGTTTGCTACCGTCACCTTCTGCTTCGGATTGGTCACTTTGTGTACGGCGTTCATTCAAACATGGCGCCAAATGATCGCTGTGCGCATTCTCTTGGGTATCTCCATGTCGAGTATCTACCCGGGATTGACATATCTCATCAGCACCTGGTATACGCGGGACGAACAACAGCTCCGGTTCGCTTTCCTGCAGTCGGGCGAAGTAATCGTACAGTCGACTGGCAGCATTGTCAATTATGGCCTCAACCATCTACACGGGAAAGCTGGACTGGCTGGTTGGCGCTGGATGTTTCTCGTTCAAGGTCTAATTACTTGTGTTCTGGGGATCATCACGTACTGGTGGATGGTGGACTTCCCAGAGAACGCACACCAAAGCTTTTATTTCCTCTCTGACTGGGAGGCTCGATTGGCAGCACGGAGAATCAAAGTTGATCGGGATGATGTCGTTGCGGATCCATTCTCCTGGCAGAAGATCCTACAGACCTTTGCAGACCCAAAGATCTACGGATTCTCATGCTTATTTTTCTTACTCAATCTCGTCTCGACGTCGATGTCCTACTTTCTCCCGATCATTCTTCAGTCAGGCATGGGATTTTCAAGCAATAAATCCATCCTTCTTTCTACACCGGTATGTAAACAGGCCTGTGTTTCGTCCCCATTTAACATCTAACTGGGAAACTCCCCAGCCCTACTATTACGCAGTTTTCCCTGTGCTTCTCACCTCTTTGGTCGGCGACTTTTACCGTATCCGGGGCCCACTCATCATCTTCAATGCATTGAGCCTCATCGCGGGCTTCCTGATGTTCGGTCTTCCGACCTCAACCCAAGTCGTTGTTCGTTACATTGGTACCTTTCTCGCCACTGGTGCCTATGTGTCGAACTGGGCAGCCCTAAATGCCTTTCAGGCCAACAATGTTGTCGGCCAATGGAAACGTGCCACTACCGCTGCAGCAGTCACTGCATGCAATGGCCTTGGCGGTGTTGCGGGGAGCTATATTGTTCGCCAAAAGGAAGTACCTGAGTACCAAACTGCAGTCTGGGTTTCCATTGGGTGAGTTTCAAGATATACTGAACGAGAAATTGCTTTCTAATCCGCTATATTGCTAGATGGTGTTGGCTAACTAACTGACTGCGCTATTGGGGTCTCAGATCACACATCCTTATGATTTGCCTTGTAGGGACATTCACAGTTTACTTCCATATGTCCAATAGACAGCAGAAACATGGTAAAAGGGTTCTTGAGGGTCTGGTATGTAATGTTGTGTTCTTTTTCATAGCCTACAAGACATCTTCCTCGCTCGACTTCAAATTAATTACATCTAATGACTTGTCCATAACAGCCCGGATTCCGGTACACTTATTAATAACGAAATGCGATTTTCCTTGGGGATCATATAACCATGAGAGCAAAAGAAAGAAAAGAAAAGCATGGGGAAAAGCTGCCGTTTCTCTTATTTCCTGTGCAGGGAACTAGATGTTCCTTATAATATGACGATTTTATTATTACATAGAGATAAGTATGATTCTGTCTGCAGTTTTTGTATAATAAAATCAAGATGCGATGCCTCAAAACGACTCATCTAAATCTGGAAGTAGCGAGACCATCGAACAATATTTATGTATAGTATTTGATAGCAATATTGAAGAACTAAATCAGTATTATTCAATGGCCGACTGCTTGAGATAAAGATGTTACTTACTTGAATTCAGCGATTGTAGTTATGTAGTCATTGGAAGAAAATATATTAACTATGGCTCTGCGGCCTCTCATTCCATATCTACCAATGCTAAATAAACAGATATATACAAAGGCACATCATTGGGGTATATCATGCAAACAAGGAAATTATAGAAGTCGAGAGCTCTTCCGCTAAGTTCCCACAATAACTTGGTAACATACCAACAAGAACCGGCTAGTGATGACAATAAAAGCGTAAACGTGCCTTTCAGAGGGTGTTGCAAGGAGTATGATAGACGATCATCGAAATCCAAGAAGGGATGTATGAGTTAGTATTATGGAGGAGAGTCACGAGTGGAATCAAATCGACCTTCGAATTTCAAGCTGCGCGGTCTTTTTGTTCCAAGTTTCCAATTAAACGTTTCATTCCTGTCCATTCTTCCGAAGGCACTTCTTCAAAAGTACCTCCAAGGCCCCTTCCAACTTCGAAAACAGTAACCACACCATCGAGGCCACCAGCCGCTAGGCGTCTGCCTTCGCGCTCCTCCCAGGCTACCTTGTTCAAGCCCTTTGTTAAGATCCCACCACGGCCCCTCGATGGCGTGGTACGCACAACAGGGATTTCTGTATCCGTATAAAGGTCCCACACTTCCACATTTCCCGCTCCGTCGACAAGGGCAAATACGCCAGGACGGGAGGGAGACCAGCGGGCATCGTAGACGACATCTTCGCGATTAATATCCAGTATCGGCGAAACAACCTGGGGTGCAGCTGTGGCAGAAGTAGCAGATGTCGTGGTTGCCGGTGGACGTATGCGCCAAAGTTTTACACTCCAGTCTAAACTGGAACTGAGCATCAAGTCGCCTAGATCAACTGGACCTCGCGCTGGGTGGAAAGCCGTTGACATGACCGGAGCCGCGTGGCCACGGTATGCAAGGCGTTGGTCTATCCCAGCCTTGGAGCCCGCCCTATCGTATCGGTGACAGGGATAGATGCTCCCTTCTTCAGTACCAACGATAAAGAAGGTTGGGTCGGACTGTGGGAAAGACAGTGACGTGGGGGCTAGATCCTCAGTCTTGGACGGTGGGGGAGTAGTTAGTTCAAGGTATTCTTGCGGCTGGGAGAGCATGTCAACTGTCCAGCCACACACAACGCCGTCTGTTGACACAGTCAGGATATTATGAGCATTCTGCGTTCCCACTATAGCAATACTATAGACCGGATGCGTGTGTCCGGAACCCGTCAAGGGTGTCTTTTGTACCGGTGCACCCCCACCAGCACGAGAGGAACGAGTGTCCCACAGCAGAACTTGTCCAGAATATGAACCACCGATGATGAGGTTGGGGTGAAATGGTGAGAATTTGGCCGTAAGGATATCGGAGGTCGAATGGAATATATACTCCGGACGAGAGTGTAAATGCTGGTTCCAAACCTGTACCAGGCCGTCTGGTTCATGGGGAGCGGAGGGGTTTTTGGTGTAGGAAGCGAGAACAAGTTCTGGGAACTAAAGAGGACCAGTTAGTCGCTTTCGAGTGCTCGTTTATCTTCAAAGTTCGATGATCACCTTTGGAGAAAAGCTCAGATCGCTGATCATGCGTTTCTTGCTCCACCGCTCATCCCAGAACTGACAGACTTCCTTAATGCTCCTCTTCTTCTTTCCATCTCCTTCATCCTCATCTAATTCACCATCCACCCCACCGAGTTCGTAGTCGGCCAAGACATCATAATCCTCATCTAGAGCACGTTCAATCACTTTAGTGGACCTCTCAACAAAGTCAAAGAACTCTTCGGATGATGTGACGGCCTTCAATTCGTCTTCTGACAGTGTGCGTAGAGGATACCTCAACTGCGAAGATTGGCTGGTCGGTTCTTCTCCACTGGACTGTTGGGATGCCTGTAGCTCCTCCTCAATTTCCTTACGTATCTTCTTTCGAATATCTTCTTGAAGTTCGCGCTCTCTCTTGCTCAATCTCTTGCTTAACCGCGACGTCTCTAACAAATCCTCATTCTCGAAATCAACCGAGCCATCTGGCGAGTCTGAACGGGGCCGTTTCCAGTCATCTGTCTGTACGCTTTTGCTGTAGGTGACAATTTCCTTTTTTGGTTCAGAGGGGGGTCGTGCTTCAGTAGCAACAGGCAGGAAATCGGTAGCGTCAGTTTGAATGGCAATCGACTGGGATAGGGGTCGCGTAGGGGACGAAAATGCTTCCACGTTATCCCCACTCAGCTGGCTGGCACTTAGAACAGAGTTCGGCCTGCTCCCTTTGCGCGACGGGCCATCTCCACCATGACTGAATGAACCCGACGCAGGACGGTCGACGAGACGGGAGATCAGGTCATCGAGCTCTGCTCTGCTATCCGAGCGGCTGGGAACAAGAGTTGAGGCCTATATTCAGAAACATGAGAATCAAAATTCAAAAATAGACTAGACCAGGAAGCATCGAAGCTATATACCTCTGAAGTGTCACCACCGTTGGCCCGGTTCTGGTTGAACTCCTGCTGCCGGAGCTCGCGTTGCCGTTTTAGCTCAGCAAGCTTGGCTCTTTTGGCGAGGATTTCAGCTTTGCGCTGCTGGATGGTCGACATGGCAGTGAAATCGGCTAGATGATAGCAGTTCCATAAATTAATGAGAGTATTCCCAACGGCTTTTTCTTGGTGGTTCCGGCGCTGCAGACGCGCTTTGTCGGCGGATGCTTCATCCTTTCTCCTTTCGGCCTTCCTGAAACCGGGCAGATGGATGACATAAGCTCCGTCTCTCACGGCCCGGAAAAACTCGCGAGCAGCGAAACTTCGTCTCCATCGAATGTCCCATATCCCGTCCGATTGCCAGTTGTTGACAGTCGATACCATTCTTGCAGCCATTCGGTATCCGGGACCTCTTCCACTTGTTCAATTGCTCGCTTTGATTGCCGGTCTGGAGACCAGGATATTCTCGAAATGGCTACACAGGGCGTCAACGTGAGTGACTGCCGGGCGCGGGTTATGCTGGAAGGACAATGCCGTAAATAGGTACTGACGGAATCTATCTCGCTGCCCTCCAGGTTCTTCGCTACTCGGCTCTAGTAGCTGGCCTTGTTTACGGTGTCTACCACCAATCGTCACTTAATTCCCAGGCCAAGCGCGCAGAGATAGACCGCGAATATGCACGCAAGGAGCGTCTAATCGAGCAGGCCAAGGCAGAGTGGAGGAAGAAGACTGCACCTCCGGAGGCTACCAAGCAACCCACTGGACGTACGTCACGTCTTCCTCTGATTCAATTAGCACCCGCTATTATTCCGATGGCCTTATTGAAGCGAATTGTGCTAACTCCAATCCTGCAGTCATCACAGATCCCTCAGACAGCCGATTCGATCTGGAGGCTTACTTGAAAGCGGCGGAGGCGGCGGAATAAATGTGGCTAAATGTACGAGGGGGAAATTGCCTAGGGATTACTTTGCTGCGGAAGGTTGTACCTCCCCAGGATATAAGCAAGACGACGACTTGGGTCAATCCCAGTTATGTATTATTTTGCTTCGTCTAACATGGCAGAGTTGTGTCATTTCAAGCGAAAGAATTCTTGTTCCTTTTCTCTTCCGACTCCTATAGACATAACCACTGTCTTGTACATATCGCGGGCTGTTGCCGAAGCGCATACTTCAATTGGATAAGAAGAGCAAGGTTTCGTTGCACACCTGGATCTTATCGCTGACCGTCCTTTGAACGGTTGTGCTTGGGTTGTCTTGCGTGAAGCTCCCATTTCTGCTCCATAATCTAGACATCTGTAAGCAGAGAGATGTTCGTCGGATTGGCAATGTGCTGGTAAACACCATATCACTCCTGTAAATTAATATGACCTAGAGATTATTGTGCCAGCTGCGTGATATTCCAATCTTGCAAGTCCTGCTCAGCTTTCAGGGTCTCCGATGAGCGCCATAATCTCACTAAGACCCTTGGGTAAATGACTGTCCGCTGCGTGTGGAGCATCGATCGGCTTCGGGTGCAACAACTTAGTCTGTTCATCCCAGGTCCATCCACATGATGTAAACTTCTCTATCACGGCCGGATCGCCTCGTTCTGCGGCGAGCGGGTCGATTCCAAGATAGCTTGCTGCTACTGCAGGTCTGATAGCCCCATAGGCCCTGCTGACTTCACTTATGGTCTTGTTTTGGAAGTAGACTATACAAAACCGTCAGCTAGGCGTTGATACGCATGTTGGTCCATAAACCCTACCCTCATATTGCTGCACTAGAGGTTTGACAGTCTCTGACCATGGAAGTTCCCTGAGGATACTGTAAACCTGTTCATGTTTATGCTGCCAAAGAGCACGTAATAGATTAAGGCAGTTCTGTAGAGAGGAATCGCGTTGTAGCAAGAACTGTGGCATCCGTTTCGTCAATGCACGAGCTTCATCGCTGTTCTCACGACGTTAGTTACCATTTTGAGGAAGGGTCAGACAGGAAATAATGAAACGAGGGACTAACATTTGATCCGTGAGAAGATGAGCAATGAAGAACGACGTATAAAAGAAGCTTAGCACTTCAGAGTCCTCATTCCGAGGAGGATCTGACGACATAAAGCAGGCCTTCATCTCATACTGAGATAAGTTGTCGAAGAGCTGCTCTGAAGAAGAAGCAGACTCGATAACTTCTGAGAGCTGCTCTGCAGAAAGAGGCGACAGATCCATCAGGAACAGTAGCCTTGGCAGCAGAAAGCAACGACAGCGGAGGAGGAGAGAGCGTAGACTAGGCGATCGTTCAGTTGTTCAGTTGTTGCGGGGAGCCGCTCGGAGATGGAGACGTTTCCCGCAGCTCTTATGAAAGCGCCAAGACTTCAGAGAGACCAAGCTGTCCTCGTCGGCCGCAGAACATTCCAACTCTCTCGTCAGCTTGCACCTCGGAGTCGACCATCCCTTCGTTCATTCTGACACCGTTGGGAAGATTGCCTTTTTGTCTCTCTGGCCATTATGGCCCAATCCCCGTTTGACCCTCTTTTGAAGGGTAGCTCCGGCCGCAATGCACGCGGTGTCCTGCGGGTTATCATTCTATGTACTATCGCCGCCGCCGCCGTGTCGAGTCGACTTTTCAGTGTCATCCGTACGTTGTTGTCCATTGATATAGTCCTTCGCGTCGATTGGATTGTTTGCTGATCTGTAGATAAATAGGATTTGAAAGTATCATCCATGAATGTATGCTTCTCGCCGTTCTACTTAACTCCTACCTCTCTACAACGGTCGTAGCACACAGTGTTGGAGTTGTTGATTTAAGAAATGAACAATGTTAATACTTGTGTTGTTTTAGTCGATCCTTGGTTCAACTTCAGAGCGACCAAGTACTTGGTGCAAAATGGATTCTACAGCTTCTGGGATTGGTTTGACGATCGTGAGTCGCCCTGGATACGGCCAATTCGATTCGATATGTATTCGATTCAGTTTAGTTAAGTGCGGTAATCATCATTCTGACAAGAGAATGTTACTAGGAACCTGGCATCCTTTGGGGCGTGTCACAGGTGGCACCCTATATCCCGGTCTCATGGTGACTAGCGGCGTCATCTACCATATCCTGCGCTTTCTCACGATTCCGGTCGATATCCGAAATATCTGTGTTTTGCTTGCGCCAGGATTCTCCGGTCTAACCGCTCTAGCGATGTATCTTCTGACATGCGAGATGTCTACTTCCCCTTCTGCTGGTCTCCTCGCCGCCGCTTTCATGGGAATTGCTCCTGGGTACATCTCCCGATCCGTGGCGGGTAGCTATGACAACGAGGCAATTGCGATTTTTCTCCTCGTATTCACTTTTTTCTTGTGGATTAAGGCGATTAAGAACGGCTCTATCATGTGGGGTGCGTTGACAGCTTTGTTCTACGGCTACATGGTATCGGCTTGGGGTGGATATGTCTTCATCACCAATTTGATCCCGCTCCATGTCTTCGTCCTCCTCTGTATGGGAAGATATAGTTCTCGGATTTACATCAGCTATACGACATGGTACGCCCTAGGAACGCTAGCCAGCATGCAAATCCCCTTTGTCGGTTTCCTACCAATTCGAAACAGTGACCACATGTCCGCTTTAGGTAAGAGTTCTAGCGCAAACTGTCTAGGGTCGTCTCACTAATCTATTCCAGGTGTCTTTGGTTTACTCCAATTTGTGGCGTTTGCTGAGTTTATCAGAGGCTTCCTTCCTGGAAAGCATTTCCAACGACTTCTCACTACCATAATACTGGTTTTCTCTGGCATTGCGTTCCTCGGCCTTGTTCTGCTCTCGATCTCAGGCGTCATTGCACCGTGGAGCGGCCGCTTTTACTCGCTGTGGGACACTGACTACGCCAAAATCCACATTCCAATCATTGCATCCGTCTCCGAACATCAGCCTACGGCATGGCCAGCATTCTTCTTTGACTTGAATTTTCTCATCTGGCTCTTTCCAGCGGGAGTCTATATGTGTTTCCAGAAATTGAGAGATGAGCATGTCTTCGTTGTTATCTATGCCGTGCTCGCGAGCTACTTTGCTGGAGTCATGGTCCGACTAATGTTAACGCTCACACCCATTGTCTGTGTTGCAGCTGCCCTGGCCTTGTCACAGATCTTGGACACATACGTTGCCGCATCTCCTACGCCAACTTCTCAGGCGAAAGCCAGCGGTGATGGCTCATCGGAATCTCTTCGATCTGTACGAGCTCCTTTCGTGGGGATATACACCCACTTCTCAAAGGTGTTCACGACAACTGCGATGACAGTCTATCTCCTGTTGTTTGTTGCACATTGTACTTGGGTTACTTCCAACGCGTATTCTTCTCCTTCTGTCGTCTTGGCTAGTCGGCTGCCGGATGGAAGTCAATTCATCATTGACGACTATCGCGAAGCATACTACTGGCTTCGCCAGAACACTCCTTCGAACGCCAAGATCATGTCGTGGTGGGATTATGGGTACCAGATCGGCGGTATGGCCGACCGACCCACGCTGGTCGACAACAACACGTGGAATAACACTCACATTGCTACCGTTGGAAAGGCGATGAGCTCACGGGAGGAGGTCAGTTACCCGATCCTTCGACAGCATGACGTTGACTACGTGCTTGTCGTGTTTGGTGGACTTATCGGCTATTCTGGTGATGATATCAACAAGTTCCTTTGGATGGTCCGTATCTCTCAAGGTATCTGGCCTGACGAGGTCAAAGAACGGGACTACTTTACAGCCCGCGGAGAGTACCGCGTCGATGATGCGGCTACTCCCACCATGCGCAATAGTTTGATGTATGGCCCTCCTGTTACTTCCATTTTCTCCATTGGCCTATACTAACAGTATCATTCAGGTACAAAATGTCTTATTACAACTACAATTCTCTCTTCCCAGCAGGGCAAGCTGTTGACCGTGTCCGCGGTGCTAGGCTCCCCGCAGAGGGGCCGCAACTTACAACACTCGAGGAAGCTTTCACGAGCGAGAACTGGATCATTCGGATTTACAAGGTTAAAGATCTTGATAATTTCGGCCGTGATCACAATCGCGCAGTAGCGTTTGACAAGGGTCAGAAGAAAAAGCGGGCTACTGGGAAAAAGGGAGCCCGGGTTTTGCGGACTGAATAGAATGCGGTTCTCGGGTTCGTTGATTGCTTTATACTTCATGAACCCAAAAATGTTTCTTTTCCGATTGCATGGTCCTTGCGGGATTCCCTTCATGTATTCCTTGGCCTTCTATCCCCGTGCTTCTTTTCGTATTATATAGTCTAAGTTAGGTAGATAGGTCGAAGGTTTTCGAAGGGTATTCTGATCTCTCATATCTCTTCAGGCCCTGATCTGCTTGTAGGTCTAGTACCATATATAGATCCTGCTAAGCCCAAACGATGGTTGCAAGAATGCTCGGGCAGGTGCTATTATTTTTTTTTGGCTGGGGGTGCTGCTTTATGGTGCAGAAGCATCACACATGTATAGAAATGAACAGCACAAGAGACAGACGGTGGGAAAAGGAGAAGAGCCGAGAAAGTTCTTTCTTTTCGTGGTATCTCTTGGAGCATCAGCTAAACCCGCGAACTTTTGGCACCCTCCTCTTCCTTGAAACCTTTTCTCGCACTCAAATTATTAACCAGGATCATTTGAATGCGGCAAACCCAGAAAAATATTCCCAAATCCATATACTCCAAACCTATTTACACCACGCTAGGAGTCATTCATCACAAGCGTAGAGGCCGTCCTACTTCTGTTCCGGCTGCTGCTTGGGGGTTGCGGGAGCATCAGGGACCTTGACATCGGAGAAATCGTCCTGTCCGACTGCGCGGAGGGTGTATGCATCTGGAAGGTGGAGTTGAAATCAGTCACAAGGTCCTAGCTAGCCCTCCCGGGTAGACAATGTCGTCGGGTCGGGAAGAAGAGAATCGGAAGTTAAAACTTACAGATGCCGATCGTGAGTGCGACGAGGGATAATCCGGTCACGGTATTTTTGACCAAATATGGCCGACGGGCACGTAGGAGAGCGGACCCAGCGCGGTAGTCCTTTCCATAGTAGGTGGAATTGAAGCTGGAATTTGGAATTAGTGAGCGTTGCTGTGAGCACAGAGGAAGTTACTGGGGATTGGACTTCTGAACGTACATTCCGGTAGGCATTTTGAGAGTCGATAGAACTGAGTATTGACGGGAGAGCGACAGTTGAAGACGAAGACGAAGATGAATCCGTCCGAATTACTTCTTCCGGAAGACGGGAAGTCGGTCTTGGCGTCAGGTGCTTCACACTTCTGCTTCAAGACGAACAACACCAAGCCAAATCATTGTCTCTGCTTTGTCCTGTAGGGAGTCTTGGTCTAATAATACCAGCTACCCTTACGCATACTGCCAGTCAACTGCCACCAGCAATTCTTCAGTCCTCGTTGGGAGTATCTCCAGCCCATCCAATGACGCTAACGCGTGTTTGCTCAGCTTCTCAGTGACGGTCTTCCTCTTCTATTCTTACTCTTCTACTTTGTCCCTTTCTCTTTCGCTTCCTCCATCCTGCAGTCCTGAACGTAGTCACTCCCTTGGTCCCCTTTATACTTTCACCACATTTCTGCTTTCAACATTGCCATTTTTGAATTGCACCTGTATTTTCGTGCAATACAGGCACTCACGGCCAGCTTCCGAATCTCCAGTCAAGTGAGCCTCACCTGCGCGTCCTAAACTACCCTTTTCAACCCCGTTTTTATCGGAGTTCAACTGGCGTAGGCAGAACAATACATTTGCTTTTCGAATCCTTCTGAGAAACGCTCATCCTTCAATGCCAGCAATGGCCGACTCGGCGGGCAAGCTCGTCGACCAAATCGCCCAGCTCAATGCTGCCCGCAACCTTGTCCTAGGCGACGCTGCCTTTTACCCTCAGATCGTGGAAGGTATACTACCTATTGTTGGTGCACACGCGCGATTGGAATTGCGAAGATGGGGTGCAGAGTTTCTTGCGGAGACCTTCGCCAGTCCCGCGCTGGCCGCGGCGCAGAAAGAGAAGATGGCAGACAAGGTATTGCAAGCAATACGGGAGATATTAGAACTGCCGGAAAATGATACAGCGATTTTAAAGAGTCTGGTTGAGACGGCTGCTAGCTTATATCCGCTGGTTTTCAGGCATATGTACGTGGCTGTTGCTTCTCTTTGTTGCGGTCAATAATACGTCGCAATCGTAGATGCTCGAGCGCAGTATTGTTCATTCTAACGTTTGCAAATGACAGCATAAACCACCCGCAGGATAGTGGCCTCTGGGAGAAGATGATCGCTATTAAGCAGGATATTCTACGGAGATGGGACTCTTTCCAGTGTCCGGTGAAGATATGCTGCATCAAGTTTGGCCAGCGCATTGTTCAAGTGCAAACCCCAGGTCTGATAGCAGATCCGAGAGTACGTACTGTTGCACTACCTCTGAAAATCTATACTAACCCATGTTAACAACGTTTGCAGCGACCAGAGCAAAATGAGACTTCCTTGAGCATTGTTCCCAGAAACCATTCTATTCTCTCGCTTCCTAACCTTGAAGCTGAGGCTTCTGGTCTGCTCGATAGATTGTTGACTGTCCTACAAGATACTCCAAGGTACCGACGACCTTCGCTACATGCAGGGTGGCCGCTAATCGTTTGCCAGCGATCCTCTCCTCGTGAACGCGACGTTAAACTGCCTTGCAGTTCTTGTCCGAACCAGATCATCTATTGCTAATAAGATCATCGCCGCCATTTTAGAGTTCCACCCCATGAAGCAAATGGTGTCACCGTTGACTCCAACCCAGCGTGTCTGCATCAAGTCGATGGAACGGACAGTAAAGGCAGTTCTGGTGAACATAATGAAGAGGTCAGTATATATGAATAGCGTTCGATGGTAGGACTAACTGGGACTTCTAGGGTGCCTGGTCATCCTTTTACGGGCAAGATACAGCATTACATCGATCGATTGCAGCAGGCCCGTCTGGAGGTTTTGGACGACACATCCCGAAAACGCGGATTACCAGCAGAGCCTGTGGACGGCCTTGATAATGCTAAACGAGCGAGACTTGATGCCCAGACGCCTCCATTGCTCAAAATACCTCCTCTACCATCGGGACCAATTAGTTACGCGCAGCTGTATACTTTGACAGAGGATGTTGGTCTTTCATCTTTTGACGTGAAACAACTACCCAGTGACCTAGTTGTGAAGATTGCGGTTCCTATTCTTGCGCGCATTGATGCTTCTCTTTTCAACCAAGCTATTGGTGTAAGTCTCGGGGTCAAAAACGGCTCCTGTACACCCAGCTAGTTCTGTTCTAACGACACCTATCGCAGGCTATTCGCAGCCGTTATCAGACTTTAAGCAAGCAACAAGCCGCCGAAGCGCAACGGCAACAGCAAGAGCAACCCCCAGCAGAGGAGGAAGATGACGATTACGAACCAGAATACCAACCCATGGATATTGCGGACACTGTCTCCGGACAGACGGATGCTGTGGCTACCGAAGTGGCAGATACCCAACCAGAACTGGTGTCGCTAGGGCCCTTCGTACTACCGCAGCCTCCACCCTTATCCGAAGAAGAAGCAACAGAGGTCGGCAAAAGTGCTGTGGCACGAGTCTTCGGCACGTTGGTATCTACCGAATCTCCTGCCCAGCTTGCAAAAGCGAGAAGCCAACAACGGCTTGGTTTCTCCAGGCTAGCCGGGAGTTCGGGTGACAAGGACGCATGGGTTGTATTACTTACCAGGCTTGCCACGAGGGCATCTGCCAACCTAGATGTCGAAGACGGTCAGATGAAGACCGATCGAGGCATCCTGGAAAAACAGAATATATCAGACTCGATACGCGATTTACTGTACCGTTACATCCTCGAAGATTTCAGGTCACGACTGAACGTCGGAATAACGTGGCTCAATGAGGAATGGTACAATGGCCGAATCCAGCTCAAATTTACAGCTACTCATCGTTCAGACGATGACTCTGAATCAACCGTGCCACTACATTATGACCGCTGGGTCCTACGACTCCTGGATGGAATCCTTCCATATCTAGATTCACGCGACACCAAAATACTAATCCGATTCCTGAGCGAAATTCCCGATTTGACCGTTCCCATTGCACAAAGAATAGCCAGCCTTGCAAGGGATCCTGAGAGAGTGAATCTTTGCGTTCAAACGTTACTGTATGTTGAATTGACAAAATCTCGTCCGTACCGAGAAGCGTGTGACTAACTGACTGACTTACCTGGTAATGATAGGTATCTAATCATGTTCCGACCACCCGCGAGGGAACTCTGCTTAAATACATTGGAAGATGTTTATCAGACCTGTATGTTCCCTCTTTCCATCCATTGTTAGCCATTATCATATCTCATACATTTCCTATCTCCACAGACGAAGAATCACGTCCAGCAGCCGGGAAGATTCTATCTAGGTGGAGACCACGCAAGGAAGAACAGCAGCAGGCGCAAAAACAAACAGCAGGGCCGCCATCTGTTTCTTTGGAAGTCAGGACCAGCAGCAGCAATGAATCCGCAATGAACGGCTTTCAGGCCAGAGATTCCTCTCGGGCTGGGGTAGAAGAAGCCCATACAGGAAAGGATGAAGCAGCTACTCAACACGGACAGATAAAAGAACAAGGCCAAGAAACAGAGCAGCTCGAATCTTCGTCGGCAGTCAGTTGAGATGGGGAATCGTCAGTTCATATGAGCCGGCTGGTCATAAAATAATATGTTTGGTGCATACGGAGGAGATAAAACGGGAAGCTTTCATAGAATAAGGAAAGACATGTACTTTACCTAGGTCTTATTCTCTTTCATACATTTCAAATCTGGCTGCTGCCACTGCACTTTTATTGTATTGTGTTACGGAGTATGGACATAGAATTAATAATAACTTTGGACTAACGTATTTCCCGGTCGAGCGGGCCACCCGGTCGAGCGGGCCACCTCATCAAATTTCTACGCGTTTTACTGCTTCAACTAATTCAACCACCAACCATGCCTCCAAAAGTGCGTCAAAATTCAAGAAATTCAGCTGAGAAAGAGGGAAAGATCTTACTTGCTATTTCTGCTTTAGAAAAGCAGGAAATTTGCAATATTCGTGAAGTGGCACGTGTTTATAATATCCCTCATACAACCCTCCAGCGACAACTTAATGGAATCACTTCACGCGCAGAAACACGCGCCAATGGCCATAAATTGACTCAAAATGAAGAGGAATCCCTTGTATGATGGATTCTATCACTAGATTAACGTGGAGCAGGCCCCTGACCATCCTAAATACAAGAAATGGCCAATATTCTTCTTGCAGAGTGTGGTACAACACCTATCCAATCAATTGGAAAGAATTGGGTCTCTAGCTTCATTAAACAGTGTGATGAAATGAAAACATGCTATTCTTGATACTATGATTATCAACAAGCAAAATGTGAAGATCCTAAAATTATCAAGGAGTGGTTTGATCATGTACAAATCATTATAATGCAACATGGGATTGTACAGGAGGATATCTACAATTTTGATGAGACTGGCTTTGCTATGGGCCTAGTAGCTACTGCTTGAGTAGTTACTAGAGCTGATTATTATGGAAAAGCCTCTCTTGTACAGCCAGGCAATCAGGAATGGGTTACTTCAATTGAGTGTATCAACTCTACTGGCTGGGCACTTCCTCCATGCATTATCTTCAAGGGGAAGGTCTATATAGAGGGTTGGTATCAAGATTTTAAGCTCTTGCGTGATAGCAGAATTGAAGTTAGTCCTAATAGATGGACTTCTGATGAGATAGGCCTTCACTGGCTTAAAAATCTCTTCATTCCTGCTACTTCTAGTCATATGACTGGGAAATACCGTCTTCTAGTCATGGATGACCATAGCAGCCATCTTACACCTCAATTTGATCAGATATGCAGTGAGAATAATATTATTCCTATCTGTATGCCTGTTTATTCTTCCCACAAGCTTCAACCTTTGGATGTGGGCTGTTTTGCGCCTTTAAAAAAGGCATATAGGACCTTGGTGGAGCAGAAAGCATGCTTAGGAATCAATCATATTGATAAGCTTGATTTCTTAGAGGCCTTTCCACATGCTTGTGAATGTGCTTTTTAAGCAGAGACTATTCAAAATAGCTTTGCAAGTGCTGGATTAGTTCCATTTGATCCAGATAGGGTGTTTAGCAAGTTAGACATTCAACTAAAGACCCCTACACCACCACCTAGTCAGTCAACTAATTCAGCACCTAAAACACCATATACTACTAGGCAGCTGGAGAAGCAGGCATTAGCTGCAAAGAAACTGCTTAGGGAATGTGCTCACAGCCCTTTACCTTTGCTAGAATTGCGATTAGACAAGATTATTAAAGGTCATGAATTGACACTTAATGAGCTTGTTCTTGCACGTGAAGAAATACGCAAATTTTGCGCTAATAATGAATGGAAAGGTCAAAAGCAAAAGCGCTCTACTAGGCAGCTAGCTATTCCAGAGGGCTCAGCGATTCAGGAGGGTTTAGAGCAATTTCAGCATGAGAATGAGGTTGTTGAAGGTCAAGATATGCTTCCTAGAGATCCAGCACTTTCTGCAGTTGGACCACGCGTACGAGCTCCACCACAGTGTTCTAATTGTCATATTCGGGGACATACTAGAGTTAGATGTCCCAATCCCCTTAGCAATTAGTTTTTGTATAAAAATGCAATTGTTTGGCTGGTAGAGGCTCTAGTATTTAGCCCGCGGGCAGGAATTAGCAGGAGGTGGCCCGCTCGACCGGGTGGCCCGCTCGACCGGGAAATACGTTACATCCCCGGAAGGTTAACATAACATCCAACCTCCCAAGTATCCCATTTATCATCTTTTCTATTCATGAGAGGAACAAACTACTGTGCAGGCCGCACGAGAAATGTGAAGATGAAAAGAAAAGATGGTAAACAAGTTCAAAACATGAAAAATAAATACCCAAGCGCCATGCAAATCTGTATAAATCCTGGGTACGTCCAGAAGAGAGCATCTTCGATCTTTTTAAATCCAATATTGCCGACTGGTTTTATTCGCGTAGGATCGTTGAGTTCATTATTTCCCATTTTGACTGTGCTTTGAGCTTCTCGGCACCAGAGATTGTTACAATCCCCAATCCACTATCTCAGCCGCAGATCCACATGGACTGCATAGTTTTCAATTCGAAATTGAATGAGTTCCTAGTCAAATCAATGGCCATGATGTTAATAGCAGAAAGAAACGCTCGTGGTTCGCGGTCCCTCCGGTAGGGGGTCTCCGAGCAACTTAGGGCCTGGATCGCCTTGGTTGGAGAGAGTTGCTGGTGTGAGCTGTTAGGTATCGAGCTGAGAATGAACTGAGCAGGCTTTGGGGGTTCGACAGGCAGCCGCCTTGTCTAGGAAGCCACGAGATTATCAATGAGCAGATGGGGACAGAAGCAGAGGAATGATATGAGATAGCAATAGCAAGTCATGCAAGATGTATATAACCAAGAGAAAAGTAATATTTTTCGAAGGGCACCACCAGTGACAAAACGACACAGACACATCGCTTGAGGGAATTGAAAGGGAATAGCTCTCAACGCTATCCCACATACGCTCCTGAACACCGTGTTGCACCCAGATCCAGCCGTCCGGCAAATACCAATGTACATTAAACCTGCTTGCACCTTTTGAAAGAAATGAGAACTGAAAATCCTCCCATTCACTCCCCCGTAATCTGACGGAAATCCGACAAAGACGTGACACCATAGTCCCATATGTACCGTAAAACCAATTACCAACTGCACGTGCAGTCTCATCCAATATATCTGATCGCTCTCCATTACCATGTTGACTGAACATAGAAAGCCATCGGAGTCATGCGAAAACTGACGAGAAAAAAAAAAAAAATATGAATATGAAACCATAGGCAATAAAGAGATAAGAAGTAAAATCGGTAGTGAAGGCTAATTTCAGCATGATAACTAGCTTTGCCTTCTTTCGTTTCACCTATTCATGAGCAATATTTCCCAAGTTGTACATATGATTTTCGAAGTGGCTATCCCCCTGGTCTCTTAACCTTGATGAGCATAGTTACCCTAGTTACCGAGCCGCCATACTTGAACCAGAAGTTGTAGAGACCCCAGCTGGGTGGTGAATAGTGCTCACCTGTCTTGAAGATAAAGGCGGCGGCGAGGTGTCTCGTTTCGAAGCAGCTGAATGAAATAACCCAAGGCGGGATGCCGGCGGTGAATATGCATTATTCCGAGCCCCCGTGTCTGATCGGATGCCTTGATGGGATCTGTGGTGGTCAAGAATGCTGCCGGCGTGGGGATGTGGTTTGCGCACATCTAGAGGTGAGGAGCTTAACGACCGAAATCCAGTCCTTCTGTCCATCTCATAGTCGGGATTCCCAAACTGCCCATGGCTATGAAGACGCTGCTCTTGCTCTGTCCCAAAGGGAGTATTTGCCGCTGAAGAATTAGCCGCTGACATATTTTCCGGGATCGTGGAAGCCGATCCATTAGGGGCATTGATATCAACCGCGCGCTTCTGAGCGGCTGGGGTCGTGACCGACAGAGCATTGGGGTGTTCAAAAACCCGACCGTAGACCCTCTGCTGCCCCTGCTGCTGGTGAATCGGGTGTTGAGGATTTGCCCAAGGCGTGTGCTCCAGGAAAGCTTCCTCGGCAGCGGTGCGGGCGAGGTTCGACGGCATAGCAGACATGGCGCCACGTGGTGCAGTTGAAGACTGTAGAGCTGAATATCTTGGCTCAACAGAGATCTGGCACTACTATCAGCTTAAAGGCCTAAAGCAACGCAAAAAGTTCGCGGAATGAACTCACGCCCATCTTTTCTAGGTCTTCGTCGAGCTCAGAGGGACGCGCGCTCGTCAAACTCGGCGCAGCCGGGAAACCAATGTATTTGGCAACACCAGCCATTATCGAAACCTCCTGGTTATATGCAGTTTGTTGGGCAATCTGCTGCGAACGACGAGTGGGAAATGGGATGGACTGATTGGGACTAAGTTCCTCGGTTTTAAATCGGTCGTGCTGTATGGCGTAGAACTGCCTGCTGACAGCACTGGAATGCCGTTCGCGAGCATCCCTGACGCGTTGGAAATACGTGCTATGTATCTGAGCGCGCTCTGCAAGGCTCTTATTCAGTAAAGATTTGATGCGATACCTGAACAAGGTATGCTCATAATTGATCTTAGCATCACAATAGCGTTTGACGCTTTCGAGCTGCCGGAGATATTCAGGATGAGTGGGATTCGGGCCCGTGAGCATGTCCAACTCATTGTTGAGCTTGGAGATTCTCTCGTCATAGATTCTATGGTCTTCAGTTAGTGATAGGTTCGATGAACGTCGTATCAGAGAAAGCTCTTACTTGTCGCGTAGGCTCGCGAATTCCCGTTCCAAAACCGCTAAGGACTCCATCGCAGATATCCTCTTTGCTGCTGCAAGTAGTCAGAAAACGCTTACAATTGTGTTCGGGTAATCAGACTTACCCTCTTCCTCATGTTTCGCAATAGCTTCGGCATCTTCTGCTTCTTCTCCGCGGTCAGCGGTCTCATCATCTTCTGGGTGTTCACCGCTAGCACCAGCTTCGATCTCTTCATCCATTTCCCGAGCCCTTTTCCCTTTGCGTTTGTTCTTTTTGCCCTTTTTGCTTTTCGCGGGCATAGCGGGCAAATCCAGCTCGGGAACATCCTCTGCGGGGGTGCCCTCATCAACTGCTTTCAGATGATCCTCTTTCTGCTGGGGCGAAAGGGGAGTTTCCGCCAAAGCTGGTTCGCTCAGGTCACTCTTGACAGAGCCACGACGCTTTTTGAGCGGCTCCTCTTCCACAAGATCTGTCCCGGTATCATCGTCAGATCCTGCACGTTTTCGCTTCTTACCGACGCCGTCTAATGACAGGACAGTGTCCTCTGCCGCAGGTGTGTCTTCGGCTGCCTGCGCGGCGCTTTCATTTCTGGATGGCCGTTGAGGTCTGCTGGGTGAATCGACTACGGCCCGGTCTCCATCATCATCTTCAATATCATCGTAAGTGGTCGATTGTGCCAGCTTGCTCGGGCTAGGTCCCGGGCCGCCCGCACTCAATACGATGTCCCGTTTCAATCGAAGGTTGCTCGGGGAGTCATCGACGCGCTCCGTTTCAGCCTCGGAATCATTTTCAGGAGCAGGTTTCTCAGGCTTAGGTAAATCGTAATCTAACGGTTCATCGTCCGAAACGTCATCGATTTCACTTAGACTGCTAGACCGCCCGTCATCCATGAAGTACGGGTCGGTTAGTAGGTAATCTTCATCGCCATTGGCGATTGCAGAATCTTGTGTTGTCGGCGGGCCGACCGATGCAGATTCCCTTCCTCCGGCCACCTCCATCTGCAATTGCACCTATCTCTCAAATTGTTGTGCGGAGAAAATTAGGGGATGGAAAAATTGTACGGAGAGCTGATAAGGAGAGACGTGTGGGAAAAGGTCGTGGGTGGGTCGGCAGAGGAGACGAAATGGTTTTTGAACTGGATAATTGATATAAAAATCAGCGCCAAATAATATATAGCAGATCGTAAACACACCATGGAAAAGGGCAACAAGAAAAAAGAACTTGGGGTTGGCAGAGCGAGAGGTGATGGCTGGGATTCAGAAGGCGGTGCGGAGATTGATCGTTGCCCATGTGCCCGGAAACACAGGATGGTGAGGGATATGGCCAGCTCGTCCAACAGCAGTCAAAAGGTTCACGCTGAAAGTCAAGAGATGGTAGATATTTTTTGAAATAAAATATGATCTGATGGAGACAGTAAAACACGTTGTAGACCACGAAAAGACGTACCTTTCCCTAATGCGCCAGTGTGGAGGATCGTGAGAGCAGGATTATTCGCGACCGAGCACGGATCCCACTTGTCCGTTTTGTTTTTCGATATCCAGCGCGAGAACAAGGATCAGAGAGAGTAGGAGACGGTGCTGCCACTGTTATGCCAGGGAGATACGGCCAGAGGGGGTGCGCTGGCAGAAAATATGAGGACGATGGTGGGCTCGAGAGGCGGGTAATGCTACCAGTGCAAATATGCGGGAGGATCGACGGAGCATGAAGCGAGGAGGCACTGATGTAAAAAAAAGGCCCATGAAAGAATGCGACAGGGAGATCGAAGCATGGATGGAACCACAGACGGAGAGAGAGGCTAGAGCAGGAGGGAGAGGAAAAGGAAGAGAAGAGAGCGAGCGAGGGCGCGCTGCCCGGGCGGTCGTTCCTGAGCCGGGGCAGAACTGCGTCGTGACCGCTACGGCACGCCGCGCGGGACCGTCGCGAAGCCTTTTCTGCCGTCCTTTTGCAACACCGCCTTTTGATGCAGTGGCAGGATAGGGTCACGTGCTTAAGGCGCCGAGCCACTGATGTCATGTCCTATGGCCTCCCGCCTGCTGCCAGGAATTTCAAAACAGCAGCTGAAGTGCAACGTAACAATCGCAAACATGAGGCATCTCTAGAATGTGACAGGCCCATTCTCCAGTGCTTCCATCCATAATGTTATGCACTATTGAATGAGACGCTCCAATGTCAATACTTTTGGTCTCACGTGACCGATAGATTGCGCCTGAGCCAGAGAAGGTCGATTCACCGCCTTCCGCAAAAAAGTTAAAAAAAAGTGAACAGAAAAATATACCCAAGGTCAGAAAGAAAGAGGGATACCGACTGCTTTTAACCCTAGCTTCAATTGAAGCAGAAGTATTCCCTTAGTCGGTCATATTCTCTATTAAGAGAGAGTCAATATGGGCAAGAAGAATAAATCTCGCTCAGAGAAGCCCATTGAGCCTGAAAAGCTCGATGGGTCCGCAGTGAAGTCCAGCGATACAGCAAATGACAGCAGCACTATGAAACTTCCCTTTCTGGGTTCGAGTGCTCATGTTGACCCAGCTTTGGCTTCGTTGTTTGAGAAGAGTGTATGTGACCACCAAGAAAGCCATGAAGGAAATTCTCATCTAACTTAGACCGCGTCGTTCGTTCTCTAGGCCGGTCCAGTGAAAGCCCCATCTTTCCCCATCAGTGGAGCCACTGCCTCTACAAAAGGAACAAAGAAACAAAAGGATCAGCAACAAGATGTCATTGAGGAGGCAAATGCGGAGGAAGTTGACGACGCAGAGCAAAGGGACGAGTCCCCAGATTCTGACGAAGTGATGCAAGATGCTTCTGAAGACAGTAGCCAAGACCCCAATGAGGTCACGCCAACCTCTGAGGAGGAAAATTCCGAATTACGAAGCCGAAAACGAAAGCGGGGAGCTGATAATGACAATCTGGAGGACTCTTATATGCGCCGGATTGCCAAAGAGGAGGAGAAAGAAAGAGAAAAACGTCGAACAGAGAAAGCGAAACGGCAGAAAGTTGAGAATCAGCAAGACGACGATGAGCAGTCAACGAATGAGTCTGATGAAGACAAATCCACGGACGAGGATGAGGAGATAACGACCATACCGATACATGAGAGTCTAACTGGTGAGGCAGAAGACAAAGAGGTCGAAAAGTCCAACCGCACTGTATTTCTCGGGAACGTGTCGACACAGGCCATCAAGTCCAAAGCGGCAAAGAAAACCTTGATGAGGCACCTCGGGTCCTTCCTTGCTACTCTTCCAGAGTCTACGGGTCCTCATAGAGTCGATTCGATTCGGTTCCGCTCCACTGCGTTTGCGAGCGGTGGCCATGTTCCTAAACGAGCAGCATTTGCGCGTAAGGAAGTAATGGATGAAACCACACCGAGCACTAATGCGTATGCAGTCTACAGCACGGTGCAGGCGGCTCGCAAGGCCCCTGCTGCTTTGAACGGGACTGTTGTGTTAGACCGCCATCTGCGCGTTGATAGCGTTGCTCACCCCTCCGAAATCAATCACAAGCGGTGTATTTTTGTCGGGAACCTCGATTTTGTCGACAAGGAGACGGATCGAGATGACGAGCAGGCTGAAAAGAAGAAGAAAAAGAACATCGGGGCTGCAGATATCGAAGAGGGTCTTTGGCGTACTTTTAATGCCCACACAACTGATTCCAAGAAAGAGAATGGCTCGAGCAAAGGCAGCGTCGAGTTTGTCCGGGTCGTCCGTGACCGCACCACTCGCATAGGCAAGGGCTTCGCCTACGTTCAGTTTTATGATCAGAACTGCGTTGAGGAAGCACTCTTGCTAGATGGGAAGAAATTCCCGCCTATGCTCCCTCGAAAACTACGAATTATGCGGGCGAAGAAGGTCAAGAAGAGGCGTGAGGGCCCTGTAAGCGACGGAGCAGCTGGGGAAGCTCGCAAGACGCTACAGGGCCGTGCTACAAGGCTATTCGGTAGGGCTGGCGCAGCGAAATTGAAAAATGGAGAAGGAACCGGTAAACCACTCATCTTTGAAGGCCACCGGTCCTCAGAAGGCTCTGCGATTAAAGTGAAAACCAAGAGTCGTGGTTTGAAGGGAAAGCCGAAAAATAGGAGCAGCAGAAGGGCAGCGGCGTACAGGGCTTCCAGGGGTAAAACGGCCAAGGCGGGGAAATAATCAGTTCAAATTGCAGAGAGCTGTGGCTCGAATGTGAAGGTTCATGTTTTGTTAAAAAAGCGTGGATATCCATCTGTCATTACTACTCACATTTGGGTTATGCCTAATTTCGGCGGTTATTTATTGTAACTATTGTTACTAGCCATGGATATGGATGGAACACGCTAATCAGTCGATGAGGATGTTTGATGTCATTGCATCCGGGCCCAATAAATATCATGTCAGACTATGAATTGCACCGCATTTAAGATTCCCAGAATGTGCTCTTTTCTTTATTTGTGACGCATTAGACACTCCTCTGCACCATACTTTCCCATCGAGACTACAGTCTCACGTAGTACAGCACACGTTACGCCGTCCGAAGGTGCGCAGCCTTGACTACCATTTCCTGACTCTCAACCATTCCTTCATCCTTCATCCCTTCTCTGAAGACGAAATCATCAATGTTATTCCCGGAGATATAGTTCAACTAGCTTACTTAGTGATATTTCATCGGGAAAGCTGAGCTATTCACCCCAATAGACACTGTCCGCGGGGCTAGTTCGTTACTCCGCCTATTCTCACGTCGCTGCCTAGTTTCAGATTCTTGACAACGACGGCATACTGCCCAAGATACAAGTGTGTTTATTTCTATCCTTCGATTCGTCTATCTCATATTTCTCATTTGTATTATCAGTTTTGAAGTGATACCCCCTTTTGATTCAATAACAACATGGCTCGCTTTCTCCATCGACCTCATCGTATTCCTCCCAAGTTACGAGGCAGTAGGCGAAGCGCTGATGAATCCCCGGCACCTCCAATTGGACCCGAACCCTTCCATCCCAGCCTGGACTACGTGCTGAAAGCTCGGTACATACTACAGTACAAGGTTGTTCATGGGAAAGGTCTTCCCCTCGAGATTGTGGATTTGATCATTGATGAGGCTGAGTACTGGCCCTCGGTGGAAGTGATGATGGACAAGAGAGCGGTAATTCGTCAAGATGCGGATCGGTCGCTGGTGAGAACATTGCCGTTATGCTATGACGAGAAGGTAAGACTGTCTGCCTCATCTACACACAGATGTGTACACATATAGATATTCAGATATCAAAGCGAAAGCTCCTCTGACTTTTGACAGACCCTTAAAAGTTCAGCACCTGTAAGGCCTTTCCCGCATAGGTGCACGCATCCTTGTCGCAAGATCGTTTTCCACATCTCTTCACATGACCAAGGTTGGGGCGGTGATTATCGAGGAAGTTACGGAAAATCATGGACTTGGTTCGATGCTGTAGTTATCCGAGCGGCATTTAAAAAAATCCGAGCCTTGGAAGGTACCAACCCTGAGGATGATGGTGACGATATTGAGGAACGGTCATTTCCGACGAACTACGGGGAAATACATTCTCTTGCCCTACAATCGAACCGGACTGCGATCGGCGAGACGGAACCATACACAATTGTCTGGCATTATCTGGACGACATCCAGCCAGACTCTGAGCAGGCGCAGGAGATTCAAGAGAGGCAGGGAAGAGGTCGTTTTACACTTGATGGGAGTACAGTGCGGGAGCTCCAAGTTGGGGATGCAATATCGATCTGGGGCCGGACGAGGTTCTCTGGGTGGTCCAACTATGTAGATTGGCTGTCAGTCCGGGTGTTCTGGGCAGTGTAAAATCATTCTATACAGTAGTACATAGCACATACTACATAAATACTACAGACATCATGAGATCATTGAGATGATATCCTTATCTTATCAGCTCAAAGCAGACCATCCCAAAGCGGAAAGGCGGATAGTGTGCTCATCCCGCGCAGCAATCACGCAATTTTGCCAAGAAAACAGCGGGCGTCATTTATTTCTGTATAAAGGAAAGAAGATCCTTGTCGCCCTCCGTCTCCTGCTCTCTCCTCTCTAGCATGCTGGCAGATGCTGCTAATCGGTTCTGTCCGCTGTCGACTTCACTCTCATCAGCCATGAGGTGTATACTGCCTCCTGTCTTCGTCGAGACGCCGCTGCAACAGCGTCTGCACCAGCCATTCTCCCCGACCGCTATCTGAGTTTAAAACCGGCAAATCGCCGCGAAGCAAGCATGCAACCAATATGGAGATGACGACGTGCAGCCCTGGGAGGCCACCGTTGGCTTTGATATCGGCCAAGTTACATGCACACGCAGGATAATCATTGCAGTTATCTGGACGATGGGGGATCCTGAGGAGTTAATAGATTTTCCCTTTCCTTTGTCGCCCGAGAAATACGGCACAACGGTTATGGCGGGTTACCCTGATAGAGGGAAGCTCAACTCACGGCACACTTGGCCAGTTGCTCCCGAACCCCGCCCTGGATGGACATCCTCCCAACGTCGTTTTCCCTTCCTCTTTTTCCTGTACACGCTGTGAAACCTCTCCAGTTATATATTGAATGAAATTGGCCCTTTTTTCTCTTCTGTTGGAAGAACCCTGTCCTTCTTGTGCTCTTCATTTTGTTGTACTCTATCGCTATTCCCGACAATGAATCTCTCTCAGAGGTGTGCCACCGTCGTTGTGGGCGCTGGTCCGGCTGGCGTGGCCGTTGTTGGAAATCTGCTGGAGAAGCAACCAGGAGCAAAGATCGCCTGGATCGATCCCTCCTTCCAGGCTGGTCGTCTGTGCAAGTATCGCGAGGTTCCAAGGTAGGTGTTGCAGTGTTTCTCTGGCCAGACATCCGATCTGACTTGGGTCTCAGCAATACCAAGGTTGGCCTTTTCCAGCAGTATGCGACGGTCCTGCAGCCGTTTCGCACAGTGATAAACACCACGCCCATTCCCAATGCATTCTCCAAATTAGCGAAACTAGACCAGGAGAAGACCTGCCATCTACACCACGCTGCGGATATGATCCAGGCGCTCACAAATGGCCTGGGGAAGTTCGAGCAAGTCCACAAGTATCAGGGCATGGTTACCGCTGCCAACTTATCGGAGAAGGTCACCGTCTTCAAGTGATATCGTCAATATCAACTTTATCATTTACTAACATGTCAGTATAGAATGCAAGTTGGACCGTCTGCGTCAAGGGCCCAAACTCGCCTGAAGAGACGGAAATCGTAACATCTCAACTCATCCTCTGCACAGGATCGTACCCAACGCTCCTTCCCATTTCCATTTCAGACCTCAACATCCAAAGACTAGATCTGGACATAGTCCTGAAACCCAGCGAAATCCCCACCCATCTACCCCAGGATACTTCCCCGCTCGTGATCGCGGTAATTGGCGCCTCACACAGCGCCATCCTAGCCCTACTCAATCTCGTCGATCTAGCGCGCTCTTCCCCCTCCTATTCCCATCTCCGCATCAACTGGTTCACCCGTCACCCACTCCGCTACGCTGAATACAAAGACGGTTGGATCCTCCGCGACAATACAGGTCTCAAGGGCATGGCGGCCGACTTCGCCCGCCAGCAACTCGAAGACGACCGCCTCCCGACCTCCGAAGCGGGCCGCTTCATCAGCAAGATCGACTGCGGCGACGGGAAAGAGCTACAGCAGTACCGCGCACATTTGCCGGTGTGCACTCATATCGTCCAGGCAGTGGGGTTCACGCGGAATCCACTCCCGGAGTTGTCTGTCGACGGTCAGGCACTGCTCGAACCGGCTTTTGACCATCACACAGGCGGGTTCATGGGTAAAGATGGACGCCCGGTGCCAGGTCTGTATGGTGCGGGTATTGCGTTCCCTGAACAAGTCACCGATCCTAACGGGAATGTGGAGTATGCTGTTGGCTTCTGGAAGTTTATGACGTTTATCCGACGAGTATGCCCGACGTGGCTGTAGGCTAGCTATTTCCAACCTCTTGTTTCTGTTGGCTCCCCTTTCCATTTGCGAGCGGTTTTGAGTGTTTTCCTACTCAGTCTATCTCTATTATTACTGATCCATTATGGTTTTATTAGCTAGGTCCAATATGAGGTACAGCGCATAGAGTCCATCCAATACGGAGATACTACTAGTAGGGCAGGTAGAGTCATAAAGTTAATCCACGATACAACCTCGCGCATTAACACAGCGTCGTACCTGATGCAAGAATAATTTATTACAAGTACTATGTAGGATGTACTGTCTAAAGCTGCAAGTTGCCACAATAACCAGTACGGTAACAGCCAGTATGGGCCTTAATCTCCGCAGTCCGTATACTACACGGTGCCTGCATAGACTAATGCAGGCCTCGTTCACACCATTTATTTCATTTCCCTTGCCTGGTTCGAAGTAGCCTCCCTTCAATTTCCAGTAATATGACTCGAGTCATACCACTCGCACAATTAAGACTATTAGTTGATTAATCTACTCTGAGCATCGCATCTGCTCTATTCTACAGTCATAGGTAAAGTGGTGGGTCATGTTTAAATTACAAATACACTGGAGATCCACCACCACTCCACTTGTGTATTTTATTTTATTACTACCAATTACTCCGTACTACCGCGCTATTGACCAGGCTTCCGATCCAGCCATTTATACCATTATAGTCATTCACAAAAGGACAATCAATCCCCGGTAGTCATACATAGCGTACACTGAATGGCATACATACCACAGAGCAGAAAGAACAATGATCTGTGAATATCCCAGCAATGAAGGTAAAGAATAAGAATTAGCACAAGGCTCAGAAACGGCAATCCACATAAGAAAGGGTCCGTTCCGATGTAGTAAAAAAGAGCAAAAGGCTATATTGTATCCCTCCACAAAAAAAACAAAGCAAAGAAACCCCCAAAGTGGGAACAATTTGTCTCATCCCAGACAAGAGTGGCAACCGTCCAAACGGTACGTACCAAAACAGTGAAAATCTTCTATACCAGCGTTGACGAGACAAAAGCAGGCCAAAAAATTAAACACTAATTTTCGAAGTTTAGATGAATGCGATAGCGCCAGCGACGACGGCCATCATGCCAACCGAAACGCGGGTAATACCGGCTCCGTTCATGTTGGGGGCAGAGGTCGTGGATGAAGCTGCAGCGCTGGAGGTAGAGGCGGCAGCACCAGAAGTGGTCGACGCAGCAGCAGAGGTAGTGGAGGCAGAGCCAGTAGTGGTAGATGCGCCAGTAGTGGATGAAGCAGGACTGGTAGTACCGCTAGTGGTCGAAGCAGCAGAAGTGGGCGAGGTGGTGCTGGCCTTGGTGGTAAGAGTGGTCGGGGAAGCGGTAGTGGCCGCAGACGTGGTGCTAGTACCAGTAGCACCAGCAACAACGAAGCGAGGAAGGAAGTTGTATTGACTAGGGTCGCTGTCGTTAATGATCTCAATGGTGTAGTCAGGCTCAGCGGCGATGTCGCTGGGCGGGGTCCATTGGTAGCTTCCGGAGTTGGGAATGCTCGCTACTTCTGGTCAGATATCGACTCTTTACTCGATCATATATATATATAGCCCGCGGGAAGAGACGGTACTCACAGGCAATGGTAGTGCCATCCTTGGGGTTGGTTACAGCACCGGTCAGGAGCTTCAGAGTAACAGTTCCCTCGGTAGTGGGACTCCAGCTGAGGGTGGTTGGTTCTCCAACCGTGAAGGTATAGCCATGGCCAGGGATGTTGAAAGGGTTTGGGCTGTCAGCAACAGCGACGGCGGCCAGGGCGCTGAGGGCGAGGTAGAGAACAGAACGCATATTGATTCTGTGTACGGGAAGTGTGTAATATTATTATGGGCTTAAAGACGGAATATTAGTTGGGATGGCAAGAAGATATTCGGAAAGAATGGATAAACGAGAGTAGGATGAAGATCGAAATGGACGACGTTCGAGGATCGACTGGCAAGAGAGCGAGGGTGGGAGAGAGTGAGAAAGAAAAGAGTGAAGAGAACGCGGAAAGAGAGCGAACGAGGGTGTAAAAGCGCAGGTAAGAGCGAAGAAAGGGGGGCAAGATAGTAATTTCCGCAAAGAGCAGGCGTGATGGACGAGCAGAACAGCCGCTACTAGCGGTATCCGAGGCAAGCATACCGTATCGCCCATACCGTAGCAAGTAACATTGATTGATGGTTCTCCATCAAATAGCGCCGACTCTGAGTGAACTATAACAAGCCGCCATGACAGCCGGCCACACGCAGGGTCTTGCAATCCGGTCCGGTCCACTGCAGAAAGCGCACTGGCCCAATAGCCTCGGTCCGTCATTTGAAAATTTCTCGGTTTGCCTTTTACTTTTCGCTATTAATAATAAACTGTACCATGGTCGATACGAGCCTCAGCCAGATTTCTCGAACTTGCCCAGATTTTCAAGTGACAGCCGGAGTCCGGTCTGCCCTAGCCTGTTTAGGAGTAGCGGCCATGAGGTTAGATCTTGACTACATTGAGTTAGCGGGGAAGTCAGCTGAACTTCGCAGACATCGCCATTCAGAACACCCCATCATCCAAGATCAGTCCACCGCGGCATTCCAGAGCTTAGCCTACGCATAAATACAAGCAACAGACCATCCATTGCCAGCCGCTGCAGTGACATGTCAAATATTTAAATTAGGGTCAGGTTACACAGCGTGCAACACGGCGACGCGCGATGCGGATCTGCATGCAGATCGTCGATCGATGCTGAGCATAACTGAGCATAATGTCATCGAGGTCTTCTGGACGCTGTGGATAGTAACTACTGTATCAACCGTCTTCTAGTTGTCAAGTGCTGCAGAATCTTCGGTTTTCACTTGCCCTTGCTCTTCCTTGACCGTGGGCTCATCCAGCAACCCGTTTTCGCCTAACCACGTGATGGCCTGCATTACCCGTTGGTCGTCCTCCGCCTGCTGGCGATCGAGGAGCTGAATCACCAAGCGTTAGTACAGACATTGGGCAAAAGAAAGAAAATCAATGAAGAAAAAAAAAGGGAACACCTACTGCTTGCAATAATCCCTTTCGTCCGTTCTTTACGGGGTTCATTTTGACTTTTCTCTCGGGCATTTCGTGAGAGAATTTGCACTTGGTCCCACGTTGACAACGGCCGTTCTTCGCAAAATGACGGCATAGCCTTTTTTTACCTTCACGGGGTTGGGGCGGCACCCGTTCGGGTCCCTCGCGACGAGATGTTACTTCCTCTGGCGCCGAGTCGTCATCACTTTCCTCAGATTCCGACGATGACGAGTCGCTGGACCCGCTCGACGATGTCCAGTCACTACTCTCTAAAGCATCAGAAGCGGCTGGGCTTGTAACACCATCAACATCGCCCATATCATCCTGATCAACTTGCACGTCAGGCGTCTTTGAGGTAACAGCCTTAGCCGGTGATTCGGAGATCTCGTCCCTGACCGGCTCTGGCTGAGCAACTCCGCCAGCTTCCATTGAACCCCTTTTTAATTCCACCACCTTGAGCCGAGCCCGCTCGGCGTCTTCTTCCGCTTTTGCAACCTTCTTTTCTTCTCTTAACAGTTTTCGACGTAATTTCTCTGCCTTCCGCTTCGCCCTTTCAGCTGCATCCACTGGGTCTGTCGGTTCTGCCTGCTGCTTTTTGCGTCCGTCTTGCTTCTCCCGCTCCTTTCGAGTTTGGTTCTCCTGCTGTTTCTTTGCTTCCTGTCTCCGCAATTCCTTTTGTTTCAAGGCTTCTTCGCGCGCTTTCTTTGCCTCCTCCATGGCCGCCTTCTTCTCCTCTACGCGAGCTTGAGTAGGAAAACGTTTTTTCCGTTCCTCGATCCACGCTGCGATATCTGATGGGGTCCGCAATATCGACGTTCGCCCCTTGTATGAAAATTGAAGTGGTGCAGCAGCAGTATTCACACTGGATGCTAGCCTCGCCTCTTCATCTGCATCATCTTCTTCCTCACTGGACTCGTGCTCTTCAGTTTTAGGGGTCAGGCCAAGCTGATTGTATCGTCGCTTCTTTTTCTTCGGTTTCCGAGAAGCATCTACTGGTGCTGGTGGCTTCAAAGGTAAGGGATTGCCAAAGCTGGGCACAGGAGGTGGCGCTGGTATTCGTGACTGAGGCTTCCCAAACATGGAACTGTAGTCCCGCTTATTCCCATACTTTGCTGTCTTATCTCCATCAGAGGCATGATTCCCATGTGAATTGAACGAACGAGGGCCGCGTGTATGTCCGCGCTGAGCGCCATGAAAGGACGTGGGAGATGATGTATTGTCGAACCCCCAGCGTATTGGAGGGCCCATCATCGGCGCCTGGGAATGGGGAGGAGGCTGAGGCGGAGGGACGACAGGAGGGAACGTTGGTGGCGTCTGCGCCTGATGATAAGAAGTAGATTGTTGAAGAGAACCTGAACCATTGTATCCTGTCTCGTAGTCGGTCCGGTGAGGGTATGATTCCATAGGCGCCGCGGCTGGTTGTGGAAACAGCGCCTGCGGAGATCCATAGGCAGGTGGGTTAGGTGGGTTAGGTGGGTGTCGGAAATCCGGTGATCGCGATGACAGAAAGGAGGATGGCGACACATTCGCAGGGGAATGGAGGGGTTGAGAAGCAAAACCGGTGTAGTCAATCGGAGGGTAGCCCATCGGCGGAGCAGAAGTAGCATTTGCGGAATATGCAAGATGGTGTCCGGTATCTGGAGCACCGCAATAGTTTCCCCCATGACCTACTCGTCCACCTCTATTCCCAAATCCCCTTCCACGAGACTTCTGTCTCCCGCCGCGCTGCCCATGGCCACGCTGCCCATATTGGGCCGCGGGAGGATATGTGGGATGGTGTTGCTGCTGGGAAGAGGGAGGAGGAGGGGGGGGAGGAGGAAAGGAGAATCCGCGGGAATTCATTTTGTAAGTCTCAGTAGACCTTCATAAAAAAGAGCCATTCTCATGCCATCGCCAAAGATGTTCTAGAGTAAAATTTCAAAGAATTATCTGCCGGTCGTCGTTCGGATTTCCAGGCTGATGCTGCGTCTTGCTATTTTATCATTGTTATTCCGCTCCGAAAAGCGTCGAAGTCACGTGGAGATGATCAATCTGGCCATCGAATAAAATTTCCAGTCGATCCTCCAAAATAATAGTAAGCTATCCATGCTTTCACGGATATAAAAGAAAAGATCTGAGCCTTGTCATATTCATTGGACATGGATGCCCCTCGCGCGTAACTACCGTACAGGCGCCAACCTCAACCTTCTTGGGACTGCTGCCTCTTTCTATTTTTTTTTAACATGGAAATTAGACTACATCTACACTCATTGAGCTTTATGTTCATGTCCCAATAGAAGACATAGTATCTAATATTTCAGGTCATCATGTTTATTCTTGTATGTCTTTTTCCCATGGTTTTGCCATGGTCGTTCTTATTATAGCCAACGGTCGCTGACTCTTCCTACCAGACCACGATCTCGGATCTAATTCAGATCTCGCCCGAGGACTTTTCCAAATTCAGTGCCATTGCCATTGAGGATAACATCAATGAAAAGTATGCGAATAAAGTACGGTTACGGGCTATTATGTGTTTCACCGTGAGAGTCGAATACTATTGATTGCTGACTCGATACTGTTTCATGAAGGTCATTCAAAAGATAGGCCTATGCATAGGTTTCTATGACTTGCTGGAATCATCAGACGGACTAATTGGCCACGGGACTGGTCTCGTACATGTGAACGGTACGCTTTTTGTCTAAAAGAAACTTGGACATACACAGTTGCATCTGACTAGGTCCGTGAGTCCAGTCAGGTTCCGGCTCATTGTATTCCGACCTTTCAAGGGAGAGATTATCCTAGGAAAGATCTCCAGTGCTACTGAACATGGTATTAAAAGTAGGCAGCAAGGTCTGATTATTTGTCGACGCTGTCTGTTACTGACACGGCAACAGTTGGAGTGGAATTTTTCAACGATATTCTCGTACCCCCGGAATTGCTTCTTGACGGAGCTAGATTGTGAGATTATCTCTATCAGGCTCTCTATTATGTGCATCTGCCTACTAACCTGCACCAGTGATTACGCAGATCAGGTTTGGGTCTGGGAGAACGAAGGATCAACATTCTATTTCGATATAGGGGAGGTAGTTCGGTTCAGAGTTGAAACAGAGGAGTGGCACGACCAGATCCCCAACGCCCCAGACCGTGGGGATGGCACAGTGACCGAGAGGGAACCACCCTATTCTATCATCGTGTGTCTCTCAGGTTTCAATCTGCCATCCAACTTAGAACCATTTACTAACTTGACTCGTGTAGGGCTCGATGCAGATGGCCGGGTTGGGCCCCATCTCGTGGTGGTAGCGAGGATTTCTGGATTCGATGGAACCTGGAAAGGGAAAGGAATGTGTTATGTTCAACTTACGATGTATCGTCAGGGCGCAATGAACTGGATTCGACTTCAACAGGGAAATGTATTATTGAATAGAAAGATTCTTGGACATCTTGGAGACATGCCCGATTTCAGATTTCAGATCCCATAATTAGAACCGTAGATCGAATGAACCGAACAGTCGAAAAAGAAATTATAACCTTAAAATTATCCCTGCAGTTCTTCTCCCCGGTAACCAGCGGCCACGCCCAACGGAGCCCGATCCTGGTGGTATTAGTGCCTCAGCGACGCAGACAGAATGATAAATGGCCAAAAAAAGCCGGCAAAGTGGCGGATCCTGCGTTGTGGAAAACAGGGGTGTAGCCCATCATCGTTCTCCCTGATGATGTGACCGGCCCAGTGATTAGATAGACTGTACAACGTTCACCGACCCTACTTTTCATATCGTCAGTCCATACGGCTTCTTGCTTCATCGCATGTTCAATTCACTATTATTACTCATTTTTACCGGAAGATTATAACGCGCTTATTCCCGGTAAGGCTCTGGTGGATCAACGGGTTTCATTGATAATAAATAACCCGTTGCAGAGACTGGGATTTGATTTCTTCTGCTGACTTTTACCTTCCAAGGTGTTACGGTATAAAGAAGGCCTTTTCTTCCGCATCACGACTCTCGTTTCTGAGTAGTGTTGTCATAGATCTTCCCTAGATTGCCGTCGTTGTTGGGTTTTCACTTCCTCGAAGAACCCCACCAAAGGAAAAAAAATTTTGTGATTCTTGATAAGATTGCGTTCCCGTGACGATCAAGAACCGTAAACATGACCGGACTCAACAATGGCACGCTGAGCAAAGGACATGATACATCTCTTGCGCGCGGCTTTGGCACGTTGGCCGTCCATGCGGGAGCTGCCCATGACGCTGCCACTGGTGCAGTGATAGCTCCTGTGAGTTGTTGCGAACGTCTGGTGTCGAGGCCGAAATCATGAGCTTACAAGCCGCCTGTCTATCAGATCTCTCTTTCGACTACCTTCGCTCAGACCAGCGTCGGAAAGCCCGTTGGCACTTACGAATACACAAGGAGTTCGAATCCTAACCGGTCAGTTAGAAGCTCTTATTCGTTTTGGCGATCTGTTACTGATCTCGTGCTTAGAGATAACTTCGAGCACGCTATCGCGGCCCTCGAGCATGCGAAATACGCCCTCGCCTTTTCCTCGGGCTCTGCCACCACAGCTACGATTCTTCAGTCCTTGCCCGTCGGATCGCATGTCGTTTCCGTATCTGATGTCTATGGCGGAACCCACAGGTACTTCACCAAGGTTGCTTCCGCCCATGGTGTTGATGTCACCTTCTCTCCGACCATTGAAGTGGACGTGGAGAAATTGATTCGTCCGAATCAGACTAAGCTGGTCTGGATCGAGACCCCGTCGAATCCAACGTTGGGGTTGGTCGATATCGAAAATGTCGCAGCCGTGGCGCATCGCCATGGGATCACAGTGGTCGTGGATAATACCTTCCTGAGTCCCTATATTCAAAATCCGCTGGATCACGGTGCCGACATTGTGGTCCACTCTGTAACAAAATATATCAATGGACATTCCGTATGTACCTTCCCCCACCCCCACTTCCTCTTCGGCTTTTGTGCTCTACAGATGGGAACAAACTAGCTTACAATCGGATAGGACGTCCTTATGGGCGTTGCGGCTTTCAACTCGGAAGAATTGAAAGAGCGACTCACATTCCTTCAAAATGCCATTGGCGCTGTCCCCTCTCCCTTCGACTGCTGGCTTGCACACCGCGGCCTCAAGACTCTCCACCTGCGCGCCCGTGAAGCGACAAAGAATGCCACAGCCGTCGCGCAGGCTCTTAAGTCCTCTCCGCATGTCATTTTCGTGAACTACCCTGGCCTTGACTCTCATCCTCAACGTAGGATCGCCCTTAAGCAGCACCGTGACGGTATGGGCGGCGGCATGCTCAGCTTCCGTATCAAGGGTGGCCAGGAGGCTGCCCACCGATTCTGTAAATATACCAAGGTCTACACCCTCGCAGAGAGCTTGGGTGGCATCGAGAGTCTGTGTGAGGTTCCCGCAAGCATGACACATGCAGGCATCCCGAAAACAGAACGTGAAGTTGCAGGAGTCTTTGACGACCTGATCCGTATGAGTTCCGGTATCGAAGATGTGGAGGATCTCAAGGCAGATGTGCTGCAGGCATTGGAGAAGGCCGTGGTTGCAGCAGAGAATGGACAGAATGGAAGTGCCTAGAGACATAGAACTTTTCGGGTACGGAGTTTAGAATCTCTTTTGATCCATTGTTTGAAAAAGGGAAGGCATTGTTTATGTTGTTATGATTGTTTCGTTTGCCTTATTTTTCCATAAAGGCAGTCTAATATTATAGACTTGACGTCTCGCGCTGGGCTTCCATCAATCCACGACCCATCTCATCTCCCAATTCCAATGCCTAAATAGAATCATTGGTCACCTGGAAAAGTCCAATTTAGCATGGCTCTCTTCCTCGAAGCCTGTAGTGTTGGAGTCTAATAATTTGTCATGTTAATTGATTCTATATGAGTTCAAGTTGAGGCTAGAAGAATGCTCTATGCGGTGGCGGAACGACTCCACGGAAAAGTAAATTCTCATCTCTTGATATATTTAATAATAGCCGACCCTGACATGAAAACAATCGTCGTATATCTGCTCTCTGTAAGATCAAATTTTGTTCTACTCATATTACTAACATTCTCCCTTTTCTCTTTTTTTTTTTTTTTTTTTTTCTTCCCTTTCTTTCTGCATATATCATCATTCTACATAATTTCAATTTCGTGGACTACTATCTACAACAACACTATCTACCTCATCCGAAATGGCGTCTACGTTCAGTTTCGGCTTCTCCGGTGATGATATCGATGAAGAAGACGCTGTGTTGAATAATCTCAGCGCCGGAGATGCCCCAGCTCAAGGTCAATCGGCTACAGCTGATCTTCCTAGGTTGGTACAGGCTGAGAAGCATAATATGAGGGAATGGGTAAGTTTTATTTATTGTCTTTCTTCTACTAGTCATGTCTCTCAAAATTCCTCGTTTATTCCCCTTTTTCCTTGAAGTAAAGGGAACGGAAGAAGCGTCATTCAAATTCTTCATACCTGCTATGATTACATTTTGTAACAACATCGCAGCTGTCGGATCTTCCATCCCAGATATTCTACAACAGACTCCCTATCCGCACCTCCAAGGGAAGATCTCTGATAGTGGCTCGCCGTGAAGTATTTGACATCCGTGCCCAACTCATGGCCGAGGACAGCGTTGGCCAGGATCATGGGGAACTAATCGCCGGTCTTGAAGAAGGCGATCTTAAACCGAATTTTTATGAGGGCGGTTTCAAGACATGGGAATGTGCGTTGGATCTGGCGAAATTGGTCGTTGACGAGGACTTTGGAGGAGTGACGGCGACTACCTCAGAAGAAGATGCAAATGGAGGACCAGAAGATTTCCATATTATCGAGGTGAGTAGCTCACTTTTTCCTGTAATTTAGCATCTCCTTCATACATGCTAAAAACATGTTATCAACAGTTAGGCGCAGGGACTGCAGTGCCATCACTTGCACTCTTTGCGGAATTGCTTTCACAGCCGCATCCAGGTGGGCAAGGAACGCGCAGAAGAAGAACCCATTTCACCTTTGCAGATTACAATGATGACGTTCTTCACCTTGTCACTCTGCCAAATCTTCTTCTGACATGGAAAAATAGCATCTCATCTCAGGAAGCATCTGAAGCATCAACCACAGGTCATCATCCAGAGACACATCCCCAGAAGCAAGAGGATGAACTAGACATCACGGCAGAACTCGTAGAAAGTTTTCAACGAGATCTAGCAGACCGAGACATTGTGGTCAATTTCATATCTGGCGCATGGTCGTCGGCATTTGTGGACTTGGTGTTACCCTCAACCAACAGAGGGAAGAAATTTCAGACTTTAATTCTCGCCAGTGAGACGATATATTCACCGTCATCGCTTGGTGCCTTCTCCGAAACGTTACTAGAGCTGTTGCACAGATCTACAACGGCAAAAAACACAAGTAGGGCACTAGTAGCAGCAAAGAAAGTCTATTTTGGAGTTGGCGGTGGTGTGGATGAATTCTTGTCAGTATTAAAGGATGTCGGGGGTGATAGGTTGGATATCCAAGAGAAACGAGATATCAAAATGGAGGGAGTTGGCAGGCTGATCCTGGAGATTACTGAATCTGAAAGATGAAAACCGCCTTGCATCTGAAAAATTGCACAGATGTGTTTCCAATCTTATATGACCGGTATATCCGGATGTGTCCAAACGAAAAGTAATGAATTGCTCGCACCATCTTTCCTCGCATATGTACATATACAGCACGTCCGGTCTTCATTGCACAAGTCTATTACCAACAACTCCCTTACTCGTAAGGAGAAACAACTTTGCCATCTTTCATCCGTGCAACACGAGCCTCCTCCAATTGCTGGTTCTGCCGCTCGTAGTGTGCAGCAACTGCGCTGATGTCGGGCCTGAAGCCGGGTGTCACGTTCATCTGCGAGCCTGAATTGAGAAGCCTGGAAAGCGAAGTTAGCATTGGCTTTGTTTTATCCCTTTCTCCGCAGTTTTGTGGAATGATAACGTACTCGGGCGTTCTCAGCTGAATGGAGGGACCGCCGCCTTGGCTTTCGAACAAGTGACGATCATGAGCGGCCTTCTCCATCAGAACCGTGTGTACGGCGTTTCTCTCCTCGAAGATCTTCTCATCCGGTGTCCATTTTGCAATGAGGTTGGAAATGAACGACGTCGAGTCGGAGTCCACGTAGGACTTATGGATTCGGTAAAGGACGTAGCCGAATGCGAACGTGCCAACAGTCACATAGAAGCTGCGCTGTACGTCTCATGAAACAAGACAAAGACAGGGGGAGATTAGTGTCAACTCAGAGCCGACAAAGATAAGGCTTTGGGTCCATTTAACCCCGCAATCCAATTGGAGGAGCAAAATAAGAGAGGTGCAGGACGTACTCCGAAGCTCTCGTTCACGGGAGCAGCATGATGGGCGGCATGCGAGTCAAATCGACGAGGCTGGTGACGCAGCAGTTGCCTCACCGGAGCTACTGATCGCCTGGCAGCAAACATGATGTGGGGAGGGAGCAATGGGGGATTCTGCTCGTTTCTTCGCTAGGTATCACCGCTGGCTGCGCGGATGAGGTTGGAGCAAGGCGGCGGTCGAACAGTGCTGCCACGTGACGTTGTGGCCTGATCGGGACTAGCGCAAAAGTGCTGACAGAATCCGCAACGCTTCAACTCTCCCGACATGCAAGCATCACCGTCTTTTGCTCTGTCTCCCAGCCCCCAAATTATTATCGCTGCCACGGCGTTGGGCCTCGGTCTAGTCTTCTAGCCGCATGAATGATGCCCCTACTTGAAACAGCTGTTCAAATGGCGGGTCACTGTGTTGTTGCGCCAATTGCCAACTCCCACACATGCTGCGCTCGCCGGGCTACTTTTCCGCCCCCCACCTTGATAAAAGCGATCAATTAGCTGTGCATCTGCTGGCATTTCATACCTCATATGGCTCTAACGTTTGGATATTAAGAAGACATGTCAGCGAAGTTGCATTTAGCGTTGCTCCACGCGCTGCTGTCCTTCATCCCCCCTTCTCTCGGCCCCATTGATGCCCAATGTGCTGCCGGCACGGAGCACTCTGGGTTCTTCGCCGTGTATTTCCTTTTGCTTCTCATCCTCGATTATGGTCTTTTACTTTTGCTTTCCAGCCTAACGTGGAGTGACGCAGAGTGCTACCTGCTGGAATAGCGGTGCCATTGGGTTCGGACCGTATCCGCTTTGTCCCAACATAGTGTACAGAATATTATCTTTTATTTTATTTTCAATCTATTTTTGACACTTTTCATTATCTCAGGACTCCAGCCTCGTGACTATTCTCTTGTTACTTGAAATAGGTCACTAGCTGGCGTTTTCCCTGTGGCCCAATTCGTGGCCCTTCAGTGCCTCATCTTATGAGTTGACGTCTGACGCATTGCTCGCCTGCTTCGAGAGTCCGTCTATACCCAACAGTTATATATCAGTTTGTCCTATCGCCTGGCTGCTTTGTCAGTCTAGAATAACCAACGTTCTTTTCCTTGTTCAATCATATTTTGCCCATTGTTCTTTCTGGTATATCCCTGACATATTCGGGCCTGCTTGCACACCAAGTGCCATTCTGAGTCATCTGTGCACCCAATCAACTCGCCATTGCCATTGCCACCTACTGAGACACGCCTACCCTCTATTCCATTAGGCCGTCTGGGCACTAGCATCCTGCCATTATGGCGCCGCGTTCGAAGAAGGGGAAGGGGAAGGATAAGAACAACAAGTCGGCCAACAAGAATGATAAGGGAAAGAACCAAGCGAAATCAGAGAAGCAGGAGACACAAGCTGAGTCTCCTCTTCCAGAGCAACAAGAACAGCCTGTCGAGCCTGCCGATTTGCCTTCGACTTTAGAGGATTTGACTCCTGCAGAAGCCGCCCCGGAAGTTGCCCAAGAAGCTGTTCTAGACATCAACGAGGGCAGCTCCCAACCAGCTGAACTCGGTATGGCGTCGCCTCCACAATCTCCTATGATGGATGACCAAAGCGGTCTTGAAACACCCAAACTATCGATTTCGGAAGAACAAGCAGCATCAGAATCACCAGCCGAGGAGGTTAAAGTGGGCGAAGAAGCCACAAACCAATTTGACGAAGACGCCAAACTGGCCGAGCAGACAGAAGGCACCTTGGAACCTAGTGCTGGGAGTGCCGGAGCAAAAGAGTCGGACACCACGCCGGCAGATGAAAAGAATGACCCGGCCGAACATGCGGAGGAGACGCCAGTATTACCCGCTCAACACAATGATGTAAACGAAGAGCATAGCGATGCATGCAATGAAAGCGAAACGCCAATTAAGGAAACCGGACAGAACCCAGATCCGGCAACTGAGGATGGTGGAGAGGGTGAGAAACTCGACAGCCCTCAGGGAGAAAACGAAACCCCAATCCAGGCTCCAGAACCGTCTCCTGAGGATATTGGAGCGGTTGACAATCCGGAGAGTCCAGTGGAAGAGAATCAGACGTCCGCTCATGACACTGAGAAGAAGCCTGATCCGACAACTGAAGACGCTGAAAAAAATGAAAGGCCCAGTAGTCCCGTGGAAGAAAAGGAGAATTTAGCGCAAGTAGCCGACCAGAAGCCGGACATAGCAGCTGAGGGTTGGGAAACAAGCGAAAACCCCAGCAGTCCAGTGGAGGAAGGCGAAAGCCTAACGCAAGCAACAGAGCAGGTCCCAGAACCGTCAGCTGACGATGCTGAAGCGAGTGAAGAGTTTACTGATGCATGGGATAATAGCGAGGACCCAGCCCAAACCGAGAAGGCACCGGATCCACCTACCCAGAGCGGTGATGCGAGTGAACAAGCTGTTGATGTGTTGGACCAAACCACCGATCCAGCCCAGCCTACGGGGAAGGAACCGGCTGCAGCTACATCCCCCCGTCAACCCTCGCCCATATCTACGCCAGTTGTTCCCCCGTCACCGTCTTCAAGTGAATTTCGCCGCGTGGCAAATGATCCGTCTCGGCATGGCTCCCGTTCTGGTTCTCCAGCGTCCGGATCCACCAGATACGTCTCTCCTGTGCCGCAGAAGCCTAGCACCCCCCTAGCTCGTTCCCTGATGTCCCCCATGGTGTCTCCAGCGAGGACGCCGCAAGCAGTGCCCACGTCTCACAGTGCGGCCCCATCAACTGCACCAAGCTTCACAACCGCTCTCCGCTCCCCAGTAGGAAGCCCTGCAGGGCCTGCGCCCCCGTATCCTTTTCAATCGTATCAGCCACCCCCAAACAATGGACCCGCAACGCCCCGTGGATTCGATCCTTACTACGCATCATCTTATCAGGCAGTCAAGGAGCTGTCTCTCAGCAGAGCGACTTCGCGCGAGGATGGGGTTATATCTCCCCCCGAGTACGAGAGAGATGAGATAGCGCTTCTACAAAGAATCCAGAATGCTATTCCCGACATCAATCGCTTGCTGAGTGGATTCAAAGATACGCAAAACAAGTTGACTACTCGGGAAGCTGAAATAAAGCAGCTTGAGAACCAACACGAGCAGGATTTGGTACACAAGGACTACTACATCGAAGCACTGCAGGCGCAGATGAAAAGGACAGCCGGCGAGCATGCGGAAGAAACTACGAACTTGAGAAGTACGATTTTCCGGCTTAAAAGCGAAGTTGAGGACCTTGAGGGAAGGCAGAGAGATCTTGAAGAGAATCTGGTGGCATCGGAGAAGTCCAACAAGCAGCTTGTTCAGTCGCAAGCTGAGCTTCAAAGCCAAGTCGATAAGTTAAATGCTGAAATCGAGGCAGCACGACAGCACCACCAAAAGGAAATAGAACAGCAAATCCAGGAACGAAAAGATGCTCTTGCGGCGCAGAAACAAGAACTGACGGAGGTCTTCGAGGAAATCAAGAAGGAGGATGAGAAAGCGGCGGCCGAAGCCCTCAAGGCTCGCGAAACAGAGCTGCTTGACCAACAAGAATCGATGAAGGCCAATTGGGAAAAAGAGAGGCAGCAGCTCCAAGAATCCTACGATGCACTGCAATCAGAATTAGAATCGAAACAATCCGAGCTTGAGTCAACAAAATCGGAACTTGAATCGTTGCGCGCCGAAATGGAAGCGAAGCAGCTTGAACTGGAAGAGAAGCTGAAAGAATTGGATGATACCCGCGAGAAGCATAGCCAAGAATTGGCCGAGCTTCAGCAAGCGCATGCAGATGCGCTGGACGGCCTGAAGGCTTCCCACTCGACGGAATTAGAAGGACTTCGTGATACGCATGCCGGCGAATTAGACTCTCTCAGAAGCCTACATGAGGAGCAAGTTTCCGCTGCGAAAGAGCTGGACGAGAAATTGAGCGCCTTGCAGAGACAGTCTACCGAAAAGGGACAACGCTGGGCGGCTGAGCGGGCCGAACTGGAGAAGCAGCTCTTGGAGAATGCGGACAAGCTGGCCAGCCAAGAGAGAGAGAGAGAGAAGCTGGAGATGGTCTGTCTGACCAAGGAGCAACAGCTCCAACGCGCTGTGGAGGAGATGCGCATAACCATTGATAATTTGGACGGAGACCGCGAAAGGTTGAGAAAGACACTGCACAGCCTAGGAGAGGCGACTGATCTCAAGTCCACGAAGGGTGACTCATTCTTGTAAGTGACCTGGCGCTTTGAGAATGCGTTTTAAAAAAGTGGACGTTCCTGTTGATGACTTTGTCTTTAAACGATTGTTTGTTTCATCTTCCACTCCTCATGTAACGACTCCGCATGTAACGAGTTATGCTGCATTTGTCTTTCTTGTTTCCGTTTTCTATTTCTTATTTGTCTAATAGGAGTTCATACGGATAATCCTATAAAATTATCAGGTTCTGATAATATTCCTTCTTCCGATTTCTAGTTTGGACTGTTTCGGACAACTGTCCCGTCTTATTGTCGACCTATCCAAGGAGCACTTTGGGTACCTGCCTATTGATCCCCCCAAGGATATTCTGTCCAAGATCCCATCAGAGCTACCGTCTTTCCTTGATAACACCCGGGCGTCCCGCGAACTGCGATCCGTGTACGTGCAGCACGTTGTTTCGAAGACCTTGACCTACCGAATCTTCCAGCCGTTTCTGTTCACTCTGGGAAAGAGATACGACAAAGCAGATACATTCTTCCAGATGCTGTCGATGGATATCCGACGGAAGTCGGTGAGACGCGAAGCATTCTGGCGCCAACAGACGCTGAAAGCGGCGTACACAACATCGGATGCCAAACAGTCCATCAATGTCGTGGCGGCCGTTATCGTCGAGGAGATTATCGACCACATCCGGCACTTTGCCGATCCCAAGCAGCTGGATGCCCTACTCACAGGCGTGAGGAAGATCGTTAAACTAGCAGCGGAGACCTGGAGACATGCCCGTGTGGAGCGTGAGCTAGTGTTAGCCATGCTCCCCGCCGCGGACGCCGAAGACGTCTTCAACGACGAGTGGGAAGAGTATGGATGTGCCGACGAGAGAAGCAACCAGCGATATCATAGCCGTGGCCGACATGTCGTGCTACGGACCTTCCCCCGGATCATCCGGGAGGCTGCTCATGAAGACTTTGCGGATGATGAGGAGAAGGCCAGCCCATGCGTCTACACGTGTGGAACCGTTGTCTATGCCGACTCGCCTGTCATCACAATGCGGCGTAAGGAACTCTCGAGGCGGTCGTACGATTCCATGGGCAGTGGAGATGACGTGCCTCGCAGCGGATGGAGACACTCGATCAGTTCGAGTGGAAGCAGGGACAGTATTCAAAGACGCTCTACCGATCTTCGGTGACTATTTGGCTTGACAGAACGACAGTGTACCAAATTGGACGACTCCTTTCCCTTCTTGCCTGTGTTTTTATTCATTGCATGTCTTGCTACCGACCCTATCTTCCTTCGTTTCCTTTTCATTTCCCTTTTCTTCTCTTCATTTATCTACAGATGGTAATTTTGCATTTTCCTTTTATATATATTTGACTATTCTCTCTCTTGTTTCCCTTCTTTTCAGCAACGTTATTCACAAATTGACGACAGTGGTTACCAATGATGGACAAGACAAAGACTGTATTTGATGTTACTCTACATACGTTAATGCCAATTTCCTATGTTATCATTGTATTATTACCATTTTATTTTGTACGGTTGAATTTAGGCTTTGGATCCTGCTCCAGCCATATGCCTCGAAGCCCTGGGCCACACCGCACCCTGCATTGTATACCGTTCTAGGCCCAGCCTAGAAGCTTAATGAGAAGATGAGAAGATGAACAATGAGAAGGCCAGGGCATACAGAGTAATATTCAGGGCGTAGTATCATCGTATCCGTGATATCGCACCGACTCGCTGACCTGGCTGGGATTGAACGGGTCTGTTCTGCGCTGCCGTTTCAGCCTTGAGCACAGCCACTGCAGTTCGACGACGACTGACAGCCACACGCCATTCTTCTAGAACAAGGAGCCGTGGGAGTGAAGAGTCAATCAAGCCTTGGACAAGTTGGATGGGGCGCAGGAGTTGTGTTCTGACAGAGCACAGCCTCGAGTTTGTCTGGTAGCAATGAACCAATATCCACTGCGGTTTGCCGTGTTTGCATTTCGGGAAACTCAGCCGCATCGATATTCTTGTTTTATTGTTGCTGTTCTCCATATCATTACAGAGTACGATGAAGACGCTGAACTGAAGGAAATGGTAACGATGATTTCCTAGCAGAAACAGTAGACATCATACACAGATGCTGGTATACAGCCACACCGACTGATGTACGTCCAACTACTCCTATTAGTAGGTACTAGTACTTAATTAACACCAGGCTGACTGCAACCAGCAGCTCTCCACCCCCGCTGTCGAAGCAGCCGCAGGGGTTATTATGATTTCCTGCTGTTGGGCCAACACAACAATAGTAGTTTTTTTATTATTTAATATTATTTATACGGAGGGAAGGAATTATTATATTATCCTTCCGGCCCTTTGTCGTCTCTTGTCGTCTCCGGGCACGACCTTCTGCGGCTCTTACTAGCCTCGCTCCATCGCGTCTACCTCACTTATCTTTCCTCCTTCGCTTCGATCCCTCCATTTCTCTTCTGGTGTTCCTGTTTGTCCTCTGTATAGGGACATAGGGGCATTCTCTTTGTCTCCTTTCTGATTTATTTTTTAATGTTTCCTGTCCGCCTATGTATCTAACCAACTTCCCCTTCTTCATCTCATGAATCTCGCTATTACTGGGCTTCCAAGACCTTTCTCTGGTCTCCGCCCGTAAATACGCCTCAGCAAGCGTGACTGATCTCGTACCAGTATCAGCTGTTATTTAAATCACTTCTTGTCTTTCCTGCCTGTTTTCTTTCAGCATGTCGACCTTGTCTCCTAGATCTGCCGCAAGCAGATCTGCTACTCCTTCTCCCTTTCAAGAAAACTATCAGGACCCGTATCTCTCTGCGCCCTCCGACCCAGAGACGGAATACTTTAAGAATGCCGCGATCAGGTTGACACCAGTGTCCGACGACGTCCACAACAATGGCCCTTCGGATTCCTCGCCATCTTCCCCGCACGCGCATAAACCTACTGGTGGTCCCTACAGTGGTTGGAGTTCACGCGTCCCTCCAAGCGCAAGCTTACCGGAGTCAATAGACATGATGAGCACTGGCTGGGCTTTCGAGGGGCCCCCTGATCTGGGACCGTTGCAGATCAATGATCCGGGCGAAAAGAACGCCGGGGCTATGGAAGGCAATCTGCCTTTTTCACAGCCAGTGCTGAAACTGCCTCAGAGGCAGAACCCAGTGCCCTTCACGGTAACAACCCCACCTTCTGACGTCCCACATACACCATCTTCCATGGGGGACATGGGATTGCAAGTACCACGGCAGGGTTCGCGGCAGGACGACCATGATGACACGCATAGTCCGCATCACGCCTCGCCCCCAATAGCAGACCTGGCCGCTGACAACCTAAATATACATCTGGCTTCTTTTCCGGGGAGGACTCGAAGCCCCAGCATCAAGGTTGAGACTATCTCTCGTGGTGATTCTCCCCAAAGGGATGCTACCCTTACCGACAGACGTCAAAGCCATTCTTCTGTTTATCTCTCTCCTGAAGACGCCAACAGCCTATGCGGCGAATCTGGGGATCGTCTCTCGGTGTCCGACGGTTCTATTTCCCGAGAAACTAACGGGTCTTGGGTTCCCAATTCCGAAACAGGCCAGGCTGGCGTCGACCCTTCGTCGAGATCAGAACTATATGTGCAAAGCCCGAAGGAACTGGAGGACCAACGTCTCCGAGAAGAGAAAAACTCGGATATCGAGGATTGGTTAAGTGCCAGTGAAATAGGAGACGAGGTCCGTTCTCGGCGTCACAAGAATAAACCAGAATCCAGACCCAGGGCAAAGAGTACCGGAGACCCATCCCTTCAGGAAGGCTATTTTGATCTTAAATTTTGGGCCGGTGATGTACATATCCCCGGTCCCAACGCTCTTCTCGATGAGCCCAGTGACGAGGACTATGATTCCGAAACGTCAGGAAGTCATTCCACCTCGCTCTTCAATGGGCGGGGTCACGAGAATGTTTCCGTACTGGACTCGCCGAGCCCTAAGGCTGAAGAAGGATCCCCTCGATCCGTCATACCTGAGCAGGATCTATATCCTTTCCCACCTACCCAGCCCCTGCATTCTAATGCGGCTATAATTCAGTTCGAACGCCTCGCCCAGGAGACCGATGCTTTGTCCCGCAAAGCAACCTGGGGCACAGACATCAGAAGCGTTATCAGTGAGAAGAATTCCGATAACAACAGTAAAAAGCCTGACAGACGGGGCAGCATTCTGAGACGTCTGCGACACGATTCCGGTTTGAAGCGACAGTTGTCGGCGACCTCTATAACGCAACCCAAGAGTGATCCCGTCAACAATGATAATGACAAGAAAAAGCGAGATAGCATTTCATTCCGGCCACAGAGACATTTTCCTTTCAGTAGAGGACGGTCTCCTAGTCGGAGTCCACGCGGATCTTTTTCGTTAGCCTTCCCTGGGAAATATCAACTTCAGACTTCTGTCCCAAGCCTGCCAGGAAACAGACGTCTCGGAGGAAGCTCCAGCGAATTACCATTGCCAGAAACTTCCACCCCTCCGAGTGAACTCATAAAGCTAATGATCAAGCAGGGCGGGCCACCCGTCTCAACTATTGCCTGGCCCTTGAAATCCGAACATAGCCAAGCAGACATCCCGAGACAAGATTTCGGTGATGCGGATGCAGATGATGAGGGAAACCTCGAAGGCACAGACGAGAAGAGACTGGTTATGGAGTTTCTAATTCCACCACGTCTTCCGGTTCCAACTCCAGAGGGGTTCAAAGCTCAGATCTTGGAGTTGAATCCGCGACTTCTCCCGTGTTTGATAGATTGTTTTGCAAAGCAACAGAGCATTCGATACAAAACCCTTGTGGAGTTGAAAGCCAAACACGCTCGTAGTGTGACCAGAAGGAACTGTGCCTCTGCCCAGTACTGCATTATGCAAGGTGGCAAGGCCACATTGCTGCCACTTCGGGCAAATCCACAAGAATCCGACGCTGCTACATGCACTCAGTTCAACATATGTGGAAACGCTGAAGACGACGGAGACGTGACGACTGTTGGTGAGGGCATAGTCGCTGCAGCACAGTTTCCCCAGGGCGTGCACCCACCGCCAGTGAAGCGCTTACCGGCGAAATTCGAGTGTCCGATCTGTTTCGAGGTGGTGACGTTCCATAAACCCTCTGACTGGACGAAACACGTCCATGAAGATGTGCTGCCGTTCACCTGTACCTTTCCAAATTGCAACGAACCCATGTCGTTTAAGCGAAAAGCGGATTGGGTTCGACACGAGAACGAGCGACACAGGCAATTGGAGTGGTGGACATGCACGATTGCAGATTGCAGTCATAAATGCTACCGGAAGCATAACTTCGTACAGCATCTAATCAAAGAGCACGATATGGTCGACCCCAATGCCAGAAAGGCAAAGAACGGCGGGACAGCTGCAAAAAATAAAGCCAACCTGATTACCGCCGAGATGGTTGAGAATTGCCGGCATGAGACAGACAAAAACCCCAGAGATGAACCTTGTCGATTCTGCGGCAACCTTTGTCCCAGTTGGAAAAAGCTCAGTTCCCATCTGGCTAAACACCTGGAACAGATTGCCTTGCCTATTCTCGGATTGGTGGAAGAGCGCACCGTTACTTCCGCTGAACAATCTGGGCCGCAGTCGACGCCAAAACCAACGCCGAGGCAAACTATGCAGCAGCCACAGTATCATGATGGGACCGGACCCAAATCGAGGATGGTATCCAACGCCAACCAGACTCAGAACCTAGTTGTTGATCTCGTGAGGACCATGGACTCGGGCATTCCTTCTTCCTACACTTACCCCAACCCACTGCAGGTCCCGAACAATATGCAGGCCGTGCAACCCGGGGCAACGCATGCGCATGGTCATATGTCTCAGTATGGATGGGCGAGCCATGAGGCTCAGGCTGGTGTGCAAGGCTACCTGTTGCAGCCTACGCCCGTGCATCAGAATTCAGTCTCGTACCCTCCCCCACGACCACGGTCATCCGATCTGGCCGGTCTCAACATACCAGTTGAATCATATCTGCCCAATCTTTCTGCATCTCCCACCGAGATGAGCTCTATCTCTGACTTGCAGGGACAACTGCAGACATCTGCGGCTGAAGGCAATCAGATCTATCAAAACCACATGGCACAGACGATGCCGCAGAATCAGTGTCCGACCATGGGTTATTATTCAGGAGCAGTAAATGTAACGGGAAATGGGCAGGAGTTTTATTCAACGGGGTACAACCAATATACCGGGTTTGATCGACAATACCCTTGAGAGGATAAGCAAGCCATTATCTTCATCCAGCAAGATACCCGGGAGATATTTTGACTTTTGATATTCTGGAGCTATGTATTGACCACATGTTTTGGATCTTGTTCACTACTTCATTTGCTTTTTGCATTGTTTCCTTGACGATCTGGCGTGTTGGCCTGGAGATTCGTAACGACCCACTGAATGATGTATCTCTTTTACAAGCTGAATGTCTGGTATCTCTCTTCACTCTCTTCGAGTATGCATCGTGTATCCATGAATATACTTCGTATCGGAACCAATAATCAATCCTACGTAATGTAGCAGATGACCTCCTTGAAACTCTTTTAAGGGCCTTCGGCCACTTTGATCCGAACTGGCCCGTCGCAGACTCTGAAATTCCGGGATCGAGTTCTCGACTTCAGCGTAAAGCTCTTTCGGCGGTGCCTCCGCCGGAATTATCGCATAGCCCAGATCGCTGTCCATTGGGTCGCCCAGCGCGTAACTCTCAATACTGCCTTCAGACAGCATGCGGACGTAAGAGAAATCGGTGCGGCCCTGCCTACTCTTGGAAAACGGTTGACCTTCGAAACACCTGAGATACACTTCGGGGTTTTATAGGTACCAAGACAAGGCAATCAACTATGGATGAGGCTTCTAGAATCATGGATTGGTCACCAGGCGGACACTTCTCTTACTACATGCTGAAATTGAAGATTGTATTATTACTCATGATTCAATGCCAGTGCAGACTGCCACCAGTCTTTATCCTTCCCGGAGAGCTGAGCCACATCATCTAGACCCTGAAGGACAGCGGCCTTCTGTAGAGGCGATAGAATTAACGGTCCCTTCGAACGAAGATCATCCAGCAAAGACAGAGCATCTCTTGCATCACGTATCTTCTTTGCTGGAGTCGGTCGCAGGCCACAGCTGTTGATCTTGAAAACAAGAAGGTCGACCTCCGAAATGTACGGGAGAGACCCCGCGTGGACAGATGAGATCGCGACCGCCGCAGATGGGAGGTACGGAGACTTGCGCAAAGAAATGCGTTAATCGTGCCGGGTGGATGAAACCGGTTACCGACATACCTGCCAATCCGGGGTCACATAATCGATTTGGATGAGCTTCCCGTTTGGATCTTTATACAAGAAAATCTGCGCTTGCTGTTGAAAAGGGCTCGAAGGCATGGCAAGTAGCTTATCTTTCACCGCTTGCGGGGCACTTTGGACAGTAATCAGGAAATCGACATCTTTTCCAAAACTTTTAGTACACCGTGCCTGGTCTTGCGCAGCAGTGGTGCTTACCTCGGTGAAGCGGTATTCTCGAATATCCTTCCATAGACTCAGGCCGCCAATAATGGCAGTCTTGGCGTTGGCGAACTCGGGAAAGCGTTTCAAGATAGTAATGACAGCCTGGGCAGCCGTTTCGTCAGAAAATGAGGGTAGAGACATAATGAGGAGTATTTCCGGAACAGCACAGATAGGCGACTTCACTCGGTTGATGAAAAGAAAGTGTAGAAAAGCTGCATTCAACATGCTATTTATGTTCAAACAATTCGGTAAGATTGAAAGCGATGACCAGTCGCTCGTCCAGCCACGGGCGCTAGTATGGAGATATCATCACGGGCCCCCAACCTAATGGTCACACAGCAGGGGCAACCATCACATATATATATTTGGCACAGAAACGCCCGTTCGGCGGCAATGCATGGTAATCTTCTCAAATACTCAATCATTCATGGATGAGATACAAGTCCAGATCCTATCGGATCTCCATTTGGAAAAGCCTTCCGCCTATGATGTTTTTACCGTGGACCCTAAAGCGCCATTCTTAGCATTGCTGGGAGACGTTGGCTATACCAAAGACGATGGATTCTTTGATTTCATTCGCAGGCAGCTGCAAAGGTTTCAGGTTGTTTTCCTCGTCCTTGGCAATCATGAACCGTATCATAGTAATTGGACTGAGACGAAGTCGAAAGTGCTCCGTTTCAAGGACGATGCAGATCATATGTTTCGGGAGGGAAAGATAACTGGCAAGTTCATTCTTCTCGACCAGACACGGTTCGATCTCTCGGCGACTGCCACGATTCTCGGCTGCACCTTGTTCTCTCGTGTTACCTCAGAACAAGCCGAGAGTGTCAGTTTTGGTCTCAACGATTTCTATCACATTGATGACTGGTCCGTCGAGAAGCATAAGGAAGCACATGTTGCGGATCTTGCCTGGCTGAATACAGAAATCGATTCCATCTCCCGCCTAGAACCTGAGAGAAGGATCGTTGTCTTTACCCATTATTGTCCTTCTACGCATGAGAATGTGATCGACCCTCGGCATCGAAATAGCCACATTTCCTCCGGGTTCATGACGGATCTAAAGATGGAGAACTGCTGGCAACGCGACACCGTCAAACTATGGGCTTTTGGACACACGCATTTCAACTGTGACTTTCGAGACGCTGAAACGGGCAAAAGGGTGGTATCGAACCAAAGAGGGTATTACTTCACACAGGCTGCAGGATTCGATAGCGAAATGATCATCCGAATCTAGCCGGTCTACTGAGTGGCTTCCATTTCCTAGACCAAGTTCATTGTAGATCTATTTCCCTGCAGCAGGATCATACATCAACCCCTTCAAGTCACGGCGAACTTCGTCCAATATGAGATACATTTTCAGATCGCCACGTTTCATTGCATGGTAGAAGCGCCGATAAGGCTGCGCAAGCGCTTCTTCATTGAGGATGCTCGTCCCATCAACATATTCCATCATGTATGTCAGCAGCACAATCCAATAACCTTCATAAGCACCTCCACGGTCGCGACAAAGCAAAGAAATAACGGCTTCACAATATCTTACAGATGTTGGGATTCGGACAGGATAGAGCGAAGGAGAAAAGCGCCCAGCGCCACGCCCTACACATGCAGGGTCCCCTGCAAGTCGTTCGCTCTGCATTTGCCCAACACCAGCAGACTCGGAAGCTGAGTTAGACTTTAATTGCTGAATAGTTTCCTCGAGATTTTTGTTTTCTTGTTCCAATGCGTTGATAGCATATTTCCAACTATCTTTCTTTCTTTTGTCAACTCCGTCGAATTCGCAGACCTTACTAAGGCGAACACAGGACGAACAGGATGGTCTAAGTTCGTCGCACTATATAAACCGTGTCGCTTAGTGGAAGGGGAAAATCCATGGGTAAGAGCAGGAATACATACTTTTCTCCTTGCTGTACGGCACTGTCTGCACGCCATACGGACATTTTTTCTAGGTAGAGGGAGCTCCCTCGGAGCTCCTCTAGGCGGTCCTCCGTCTCTCTTGGGAGCAATGGTACGCAGGTGTGAGGACATTATTCGAAGAAACGACACTGTTATATTTTCCAGCCTGTTATTCAGTTTCCTCAAGCCGGGGGCGACATTAAGGTGGGGCAGTAATATCTTTGTTACACAGACTGGTGTAACGAAGAGGCAAGCTATTCCCTCCGCACCAATGCAACCTGAATATTAACTTACACCGCATTTCGCTACTGTTAGAATACATGCCTTTATAAAAAAGGGATAAGTGTTCAAATGGCAGCATAAGCCTCGAGTCTAGAGAGAATTTCCATCAAAGAGCGCGTCTAGCAGGGATACTTAGCGCAGCTAAATCAGCTCGGCTTAGGCGGCTTGGAGGTGTCAAAATACGCTTAAAATAAATAAAAAGCCCTTAAAGTGAGAAGCATGTACTAAGCACTTTATACTTCGATATTAAGTAAGCGCTTATTCTAGAAGTCTCACACCGTTGAACGGATGGAACGCAGTTCACGGGAGTGGATCGATGTAGCAAACAACAATGTCAGTTAGAGCATTTCCTGAGAGGCGATCTTACTGTCTGCAGATACCTCCCTTTAAACCTCTTTATAACATACACACCTCAACCAATGTTGGCAACTAGTACCAGCTCATTCATGAGGTATCATTGGCTCTGTTATAGTTATCGCCTAGAAAGTGGACCACCACTGCGGAACCGGGAGTGACCGCAGCCACCTTCCATCTCGCTGAGGGCCCGCTGAGGAAAGAACCCACCTCAGCGATGCTTTGGGCCTATAGGTTTTATGCCCGCCGATGCGATAGGAAAGGACTAATTGAAAATTAGATGAAAACCACTCTTTGATAAGCCCTCAGTGGGAATTACTGCGGACCATGCCTTACGAGGACATCTTCGCTAAGGACAAGATAAGTAGAGGCTTGACCCACCACTTCTGCCTCATCGCTTATCCGTGCAAGCTACCTTGAACTTGTTGTCTTGTATGCCCTCTTGTGACAATTATTGCCATGGCTCAGCTATCTTAAAACTCCGGGTAATAAGGTAAATGCAACATACATACTTATAGAACGGCTTCCGGGCCACCAATTACCTCCATTAGAACAGAAAGGTTTTGATCCCGATCCAAAGGATCTTGCTTCTGCCAGGAAAGTACACCAACAATTAACCGATATTATTCTCCAGTTGGGTATGTTGGCTACCACTTTGTATACAGAGCCTGCTGTAACATAGTCTTAATGCACAGCTTCCTTAAAATTCAGCAAAATAGGAACATTGCAAGAGGATTTGAATGGGAATTTCTTTGTTGGACCCTATGTCGACTCGAGCGAGACGCCTTGGATTATCCTGACGATCGCCAGGCACAATACAGGAAATATTCCATGTTTTATAATAGTTCGATGCATCCTGTATTATCCCCCAGACTTAAAGTCACGGAACTGAGAGAAGCGCCTGAAAGCCTTTCCTTAGCTTGCCTTTTACCTCCAATGTTAGCCTGCCACTGCCTGCATCGCTGATGATTTCAGCGCATCATCGTCGTCTACGTGGAAAACTGTGGCCACTATCTTTCTCACAATCTCAAGTCGACGAACATCATCGTAAGCAGCTATAGCAACGGCTTCGAAGATATGAGATTTATTTACAAATCTCGAATCTCCTTTTCCACACAGCATTTCTTGCATCCTGCCGTTATACCTTTCACGATATCGCTCCAGTTCTTCTGGTGAATTCTCTTTTTCTTTGTTGACAGGGTAATAGTACATAATAGGGTCCCAGTCCCTTGTAATCCATCCAGGGAAACTAGAGAACCCTAGGAACCTTGGGACTGTCCGGGCATTATCCCAATCAATGATTCCCGTAAGATTTCCTCTTTCGTCGATAATAACGTTCTGAGAGTCAAAGTCTGGAAGAGAGAGAACAAAGGTTTCGCGTTTGCTGGATGTCCCATCCGTAGATAAGGGTAATGATGAGATTATCATATCAAGGAGAGCCCGAGAACCGGTCGCAAAAGGTGAAAGCTTCGTAGGGTCTCTGTAGTGCTTGACATGGTGTTTCAGGTAAGATTGGAGGATTCAAAAGGTCCGAGCTCGTCCACTTTCAGATTCTGGCCATAATCACTATCACCAAAGACACCCTCATCCCATCTATAGCAGGGACCGATCCTGATTTCGGTGTCTGGCGTCCCATCCTCGGACACCAGCGAGCCAATCATATCAAACTGAAGTTTCTGCAACTGGGACATGGCTCGTGCAAGGCTATCCAAAATGTTCAATCGCCTCTCCTCTACTGGCGTGGGCCCAGATCCGTCGAACCATTTTGAGCTCACAGAATACCCATCAATAAAGCTCATGAGAATATATGGTGCCTCAATTGGATTCGAACTCGAAGGATCAAACGTGTAGACTTCAGGAACTGGAATCGTTGTCTCCTTTCTGACCAAGCGCATGGTAAGAACTTGGGAAACCAGGGAGCGTTTAGCCGACTCGGTAAATCGACCACCCCATCCTGTTGCTGGCACGCGGACGACGTATTTGAGTCCATCGTCGAATTCAACTATATGGACCAGATTGTAAGACCCACTTAGGCGATTAATAACTTTTGCGTTCGCAAAACAATCCCCTTGAGGACTTCCTTCGAATATCCCAAGCAAGAGCAATAAGGGATTGGTCGCTAATGGATAGCAGGGGTCCGAACCGTTCCTCTAACTCGCTTTGTTCGTCTGTGGACGACATGAGGAGTACAATATATTAAGGGACGAGGTTCTGAATATAGAGACCGGTAGAAGCAGAGTCGGAAGCAGTTTCGAACTTAGGTGATTCATGTTACAAAAGACTGGAGTAGTGAGTTGACAGGAAACCACGTGAACGAATAACACGGATAAGCAAGGGCCCTATGAGTCATGTCTGAATTTGACTTCCTGTTCTGCATAACCGACTCGCCCAAATTTTATGGCAGTTCAGCGCTTCGATGGCGTCTTAGTGTGCATTAGCCTGTAGGTAAGAGTCAGGCTGTCTACGTAATCAGCCTTGGAGGCTGGCTGGAGAGCATCAGTTCCTTTTTTCCCTAGGATATGAAAATCAAAACAAATCAAAACGACAGATACCAGAAGAGCATCCAGGAAAGAGAGTTCTCCATGTACTTTTATAGACGTTAGGAAATAAACAATACGAATGCATCACTGGGCAATAAAAAGAAGACGAAGAAAATCAGATCCGCTGTCACGGCAGATTATTGGGGGGAAAACAAAGCAGGGAAGTGGAGGCGACGCGAGGAGGGGCGCAGCAGTATTTTCCGGCGAGGCGAAATAAGAGGAAAATGAAGAAAAAAAGGGGTTGATCATATGAACGGATAAGACGGCAAGCGTGACCAAGTGAGTGCAGAATATGGGAGGGGGACTGGGGGAGAAAGAAGAAGTTGGGCTTACGGCGAGGAGAAGGGTTCTTTTATATTGGAAAGTAGGCGAGGCGGGGATGACAATACAGGGTATCGGGCAGCTAAGCCCGAAGCGGCAAAATTAACCGGAAACGGGAATTCACAGGTCCTCGCTTTACATGTACAATATCGATTCACATTCATTTCCGCGAAGCTGCCATTTCCCTTGCCTGCTTCTCCAACGCGGCAACCTCTTCTGCAAAGTAAATTAGTCAAAAGCAAGCAAAGACAAAAGGGGAAAAAGCATACTATTTTTCTCAGATTTTGATTCATCCATCTCTAGCTTCAGCCAGGTCCAATAGATGACCTGGTAGGTGAAGATGGCACCGAGGAAGACCTTGGCGAAGGGGCGCACGAAGGGCTTGAAGCCGGAGAGCTATGGACCGTTGCATTAGCGATGCCAACATAATAAATAAATGAAATTTGTATATCAGAAACAAGTGGTTTACTGACCCCTTCTCTGTATGCAGAATTGGAACCGTGATTTGAGCCGTCCGAGGGCCCGGAAGTGAAGGGTCTGGAGAGGTGAGAAGGGGAAATCGGCCCACGATAGGACAGAGGTAGACGTCTGGTCGCTATTCGAAAAATCATTTTGGTAAATTCACTTCACTCTCTTTTTTAAATATTTTTCTTCTCTCTTCAATGCATCATCATCGTTTACTGCAGTCCTATGGATACATGCGGAAGACCAGACTGGTATGGCGAACGGGAAGTCAGGTGACATAACTGAGTCAGCAATCACATGACGAATATCAAGGCGACAAGGCTAGATCTGGGGATTTGCCATGACGGTATGCGGGGAGAGTCAAACGGCGATAAGCTTCTTTTTGGCGCAGGTTTTTGTGGCTCCGGTTCCTGGCAATGCTGTGTTGTTGTTTTTACGATTTGTCCATCCCAGAAGGGGTTAAGAGGGGTTCCTGGAACAGGGTAAAACTCGAATTAAAATAGAAAATCAGTGTCAATACCGCCAGAAACGGTGTTTACATGTTTTATTTTTTCAAAAAATTATATTTGGAGCATGTTGGGAGCGCTGCAAAGATGCTGGCTCAAAACAAAGCGAAATGCAAGGTTGAAAGATCAGTTTGTGCCGAGCCCCTTCTGTGGCACGTGCACTTCCGGATCGGGCGGCATCGTACTGTACAGCTGCCTTGAGCTAAACCTGAAGGGGTATAGTAGTGGCGCATGAGGGTACTCTCCTTGACCTGGATGTGGCTGGTGTTGGATTAGGTAAAAAGCAACAAGCAAATCGCTCCGGCGCGAGGCGCTTCGAAGCCCTTTCAACCTCCACCCCAAACCCCAGTCTCTCAATTGTCCTTGACGAGAAGACGTGGCCCGCCATATCTCTCTTTAGATCTTCACTTCTTAATTCTGTTGTTTTCCATCTGTTGCCACCTTTACTAGCAGTCACTAATTCTAATTCGACTTCCCCGACCATTTCCCGACGCGTAAAGTTGAGTACCTAGACCATTTCCCGACCTGCGATTTGCGCCTACTCGTCGAATCCAGTGTTATTCCGACTTTCGTCTGTCCAGGTTCAGGTCGTGTCTCGGGTCTCATGTGGGCTAATTACTAGGTACAACTGTGGAGGGAGGTGCTCGTTTGGGTTTGTTTTTTTTTTTTTTTTGCCTTTTCCTTCGTCCCCTGTCAAGATAAGCCGTTCACTGGCTGCTTCTCTGTCTAAGGTTTGCTGCGCTACTTGGTATGCTATTTCATTCTATTATCCCTGAAACTTTACTTCTCTGCCTATTGTTCCTCGCCTCAATAGCCTATCAGGGAAAAAAAGCAACACCAAAAATGCATCTGCTGACATGACCGTTTATGGGAAGGGACTCCATTCGTCCTCCGTCTAACTGCACACGATGGCCCGTGCAAAGCGCTCCATCGAGGAGATCGCGAACAAGTCTGACTCCGACGATGATGACTACAGCGACCACCCTGTGCGCTCAGCTCGACAAGCTATCTCCAGATCAAAGGCGAATGCGAAATCAAAAAGGAAGGCAAAGCCGGCGAAGAAGCGGAGACGTCGCAGTTCTGATGATGATATTCTATCTTCTTCTGATGATGATCTCTCAAGTGAAATTGAGGAATATTCATCTCACGAGTCGGAAGATGAAGATCTCAATGCGGAAAGGAATGCGAGAGGCACCGTTCGTCGAAGGGCAGCGAGGAATATACCCACTTACAATGTGGATGATTCCAACAGCGGAGCGAGTGAGGGCCAAAGCGAAGATGACGAGATAGCCGAGCCAGATTCTCCCCCGAAGAAAAAAGGAAGTACTATCCTCAAACTACGAGTAGGCGCCCTTAAACGACAAGCGAACCCAGATGGTGAAAATAACGCCAATTTTCCCGTTACCAGAAGGACAACTAGGCGGACGCGTGATCCATCGGAAGATATCTACGCGCTTACGAACTCTGGTCGCCATGTCGAAACCATCGAACGAGGCACCCAGAGTCCGGAAATGGAAGCGAAACGGCGTACACGTCGGGGAAATAAGGGTACTCGTTCTCCAAGTCATGCCCTTGTGGAGGAGACTGAGGCCATCGCGGAAGCCAAACAGGAAGAAGAGGAGATGGCAGACACCACGGCAGAGATCAAAGGTTCTCAAATGGAGATCCAAGAAAGTGCGCACGGTTCTTTTGTAGACACAACTGCCGAGAGCGTTAATGCTGAGGCTGAAGTGATCGAAGAGGAAGGCTTCATTCCCGAATCCCAGAACGGTGATGCGAAACAGCATGGCGAGGATGATGACGATGATGACGAGGGCCCAACGACAAGAAGAAGAAGCAGACAAAGCCGGCAACAGGTTTCAGAGGAGGCTGAACTGGCAGAGCCAGAAGAGAAAGAGTCTACGCAGCTACGTCGATCTAGCCGCAAAAAGCCTCCCAGGAGTTCCCAGCGGCGACACGATGATGAGGAGAGTGATTTCGAACCAGAAGAGGAGGAATCTAACGACGAAGATGATGATATATCTCAGTCGGAGAAATCAAACGGTTCCCCCAAAAAGGGAAGCCAAGTCCAGAACGATGAGGATGAAACTTCTAGCCGCCGTCCTGGCCTGCGTAAAAGAAAACCGCGTCACCGAGGAGAATCTGAAGGAGCAAATGATGTTGCGGAGGAACTCGCGGAGGAGCTGGAAGATCTCAGGTCTGACCGTCCTCGTCGGAGGACGCAACCTGAAATAATCTACGAGAAGCCTCGACGGAGTAGGAAGGATGTTGATTATAGAATCATCCGACCGGACCTTTTTCTGCCTATCGAGGAAGCTGAAAATGAAGTTACCGAATCACCTTCTCGTCGTGGTCGGGGTGGCGGGAGCGCATGGCAACGCTCTTTATTCCCGACGTATGGACCATTTGGCGGCGGTGGACCATCGGCTATCCTAGCGCCACCTGGTGCCCCTGCTGCAGCGGGAGGAGTAGAAAGTGATAGCAGTGATGACGAGGCAATACCACAGCCAAGGACACCAGGTGCTGCTTCTGGTCACATCGCAGGCAGTGGCATCGTTGCTCCCGTTCAGACTCATGGAGCTGATGCCGTGCAGGGGCTTTCTGGGACGCCTGCGAATCTTGGGAAGATCAAAGACAAGCAAACCCTCGCCGATGCAGATTCACTGGGAGTTGACGTCAATGTCAACTTCGATAGTGTTGGAGGACTGCAAGGGCATATCGACCAGTTGAAAGAGATGGTGTCTCTCCCATTACTGTACCCTGAAATATTTCAGCGCTTCCACATCGTTCCTCCACGGGGCGTTTTGTTCCATGGGCCTCCTGGAACAGGGAAAACATTGTTAGCTCGTGCTCTAGCGAACAGCGTCAGCACCGAAGAGCGCAAGGTGACATTCTATATGAGGAAGGGTGCAGATGCGCTCAGCAAATGGGTCGGTGAAGCCGAAAGACAGCTCCGACTCCTCTTTGAGGAAGCTCGCAAAACGCAGCCTAGCATCATCTTCTTCGATGAAATCGACGGTGAGTAGAGAGACACCTTGATTGTTTTGTTCCACCGGCTTATTTTGACTGACGTACAATCCAGGACTGGCGCCGGTAAGATCGAGCAAACAGGAACAAATCCATGCCTCCATCGTTTCAACGCTATTGGCATTAATGGATGGTATGGATGGTCGTGGCCAAGTCATCGTTATTGGCGCTACCAATCGACCGGACTCCATTGACCCTGCCCTGCGTCGCCCGGGCCGCTTTGATCGCGAGTTTTACTTCCCTCTCCCAAATACAGAAGGCCGACGAGCTATTTTGGATATCCACACCAGGGGATGGGATCCGCCACTGCCAGATCCTATAAAAGACGAGTTAGCCGAACTAACCAAAGGCTACGGTGGAGCGGACTTGCGTGCGCTTTGCACAGAAGCTGCACTTAATGCGGTGCAAAGGAGGTATCCCCAGATCTACAGGTCGAATAAGAAACTTCTTATAGATCCCAAGAAGATCGACGTCACTCCTAAGGATTTCATGCTTGCGATCAAGAAGATTGTTCCCTCGTCAGAGAGATCGACGTCTTCTGGTGCTTCCCCGCTTCCCAAGGTCGTCGAGCCGTTACTACGCCGCCCACTGGCCGAGATCCGACGCTTGCTATCGGAAATTCTTCCTCAGACCAAGAGACTCACTGCTCTCGAAGAAGCTCAATATGAGGATCCGCAGGAAGCAGCTGATTTTAGACGGGAGCGATTGCATCAGGAATTCGAGATGGCGCGAATTTTTCGACCCAGGGTGCTTGTCCGTGGAAGTCAAGGCATGGGGCAACAGTATCTGGGGGCTGCTCTTCTACACCATTTTGAAGGCCTTCATGTTCAAGCTTTCGACCTTGCAACCTTGTTGAGTGACTCAACTAGGTCACCCGAAGCGGCTGTCATACAACTTTTTGCCGAAGTTAAGAGGCATAAACCCAGCGTTATCTACATACCAAATATCCAAACCTGGTATGAGACTGTGGGACCTACAGTGATCTCAACCTTTCTCAGCCTCTTGCGTTCAGTTCCTCCAATGGAACCAGTTTTACTACTTGGGGTCCTGGAAACTACCGCGGAAGGGACGGATCCCACATTGTTGAGAAATCTGTTCGGGTTTTCGAAGAGAAATATCTATGACATCAGTCCTCCGGATCATTCTGCTCGGTATGAGTTCTTTCAAAAGCTGGTAGAGTATATCAAAACTCGACCGGCTGACTTCCCGGACCCTGAACGGCGCAAAAAGCGGAAGCTTGAATCCTTGGAGGTTGCTCCGCCGCCACCACCAAAGCGGCCACCACCTCCTACGAAGGAGCAATTGAAGGCTCAGAAGAAGAAAGATCACCAGACCTTGAATCTTCTAAAGATTAGAATCCAGCCCATCATGGACCAAATAAAGAAGTATAAGCGTTTCAGGACAGGAGTCATTGACGAGTCACAAATACGATACCTTTGGGAGGAAGAAGATCCTAACATTGTGACCTCCGATCTGCCAATTGAACAGCGCACAACCTTCCGGCCTTTCGAAAAGGCGTATGACAAACACGGTACTCTTGGCCTTAAGGAAGCAGTTTCTGGCAAGTTCTTCTATAATTTAGAGATTGTGACTATCGAGAAGCGCCTCTCAAATGGGTTCTACAAGCGGCCAAAAGATTTCCTTGCGGACATCAAACGAATAGCCAAGGATGCGCGGCAATATGGTGATCAGGAACGGCTATTAAGAGCCAATGAACTTCTATCCAACGTTGAAGTTGATATCGCCACCATTGAGCAGACTGAGCCGGGTCTTGTAGCGGAATGTGAGGCAGTCTATCAACGAGAACTGGAGAGGGAGAAGATAGCAATGGAGAAAGCGAAACAGGCCAAAGAAGAGGAAACCTTCGCCAGTCGGCCAGTTGCCGATCATAATGTCCCTGTTGGGAATACGGAATCAACGGAGACATCTGGCCCCGTTGTTCTAGGTGAACGGTTTCCAGATGGTGAGCCAAAAAGGCCAGCACAACCGACTACTCCTTCGCGGCGGTCGACAGTGAGCTTCATGACAAACGGTTACCGTAACGGCGGTGGTTCCGAGTTCAACAGCCTTAGCAATAATGTTACTACGAACAGCGGGGACGCTGACGGCGATACGTATATGACGAATTCAGACGGCCATTCAGTGAGGGACACACAGAACAGTTCATTTGGTCCATCAGCACAACCAAGGCCAGCTTATTCCCATACGGCACCCTCTCAGCAGGTTAGGCGAGAGTCAGGCATCTCAAGTCTGTCACAAAGGGGTCCGATGACCCCCATGGCCCCTGGATCGCAACCAAACGACTACATAAATGAAGCATCGACAACGCAAACGACATCCGGGAAGAAGTCATCAGAGCAGTCCTCCGTACCTCAGTTTCACACTCAGAGCCCCCCCGTGACAGGATATCCGGACCTCACTCTATATCCAGACCGTATATCCCAGGAAGACCACCTCCCGGACACTCAGCAAGGTGAGAACAGCCTGCTCTCTACAGACGTGGCTGATTCAGTACTCACAAGAAGTACAGAATTTCCAAACTCCCAGAAAAGTGTACCGAACGGCAGTCAATCGCAGAAGCAACAGCCCCCGGTACCATTGTTTGACGCTTCCAACTCTAGAGAGCCGTCACGTTTACCCCAGTCGCATAATGATGAAGATGGTTCCTCTGAGTTCATTCTCGACCCAAGACATGTCGAGGACCTCCATACACATCTCACGCAGAGGACAAGTGGATGCTCTGTAGAACAACTGGAACAGATAAATACCAACTTGGTGGATTACATCTGGTTGAAGCGGGGCGAGTGGGATCGGAACAAAGTAACAGATGGGGTCAGAGATACGTTTAATGAGGTGCTAGATGACATACTCTCTATGCAGGAATTTGGGCGTGGTAGCCGGCATACAAGGGAGCAGCTGAGTTCAAGCTTTTGAATCGAACATAAGCATTCCTCGATGATGGTGGATGAGGCAGCGTGAATGTTTTGCTTGGATTTTCTTTTCCTCCATGTTTTTCTGGTTCCTTCGATTTTCTCTATACCATCAAATTCGCTTTGGCATTTACTCGGATTTATGAGCGCGTCTTTTTTCTGCGTTTTCTCCCTGATTGTGGCTGCGAAAGCTTCTGTTATAAGATTGAGGGCGGTTTTTCGGTGATCTTTTTTTTTTTTTTTTTTTTTCAATATTACCCATTTTCCTTCTGCATATACTTTCCACCTGTTTGGTCCAGACTTTTCGGCTTCGAGCTGCATACACGCGCTGATTGTTTGGGTTGTGTTGTCAATGCTATTACGAGCGGTGTTGTAAGGTAGCATGGAATCGATCTTCTTCCAACCTGGACACATTTCCCCCTGCTCATTTCATTCTTATGAATATAGTCAAGTCTCCTAGAGATATGCTATTAGACAGAGCCCCTAGAAATAGAATTCAACAGGGAGCTCTTGACGCTATGCTGTCCTGAACCGTCCCATATTAATTTGTGAACATGTGACGTGCGAGCAGTGGGACCAGCCTGGCCTTTCTTCATCTTTTACTTTCAGCAGTGAGCACAACAGCAGCAACAGAAGAGAATTACACCCTGTTGAATCACTTTTTGCTTAAACAGGCTGCATCAGGGTGCTCTATTTTAAATCTCTCCTTTGCTTTGACTGACTGTTTTAAACCATGATTATCATCTAATCGCCTTGTCCACCCGCGCTACCTTGAAACAGACTACTACTTCTGTGTATTCTCAATTCATAATCACACATCAGGACAGTCAATATGGTAGATTGGCTCAGTCTCACTGTTCCTCTGGCCTACCTGGGCATCCTGCTTGGTTCATTGGCTACCTTTTCCTCGTTGCATCGCAAGCGCAAAGCGAGTGAGTTCACTTGTTACTTACCCATAAACAATACCCTAAGAAAGTAGTGTTTTTCACAATGAACACCTTAACCTAATTAGTCTTCTTTCTTTAAATATTAGGAAAATCCTCATCTCTAGAACCATGGTTCCCTCCACATCTGCAACGGGACATCTACCTTTCGCTCCTTCATCTTGATCCTCCTGCGTCCTCATCCTCCACGAAAGGGAAGAAGAACCCCAGTATTCCTGATACGGTGCTGAAGGCTGCGCTATTAAGACGCGCAGCAGAGGATATTCGGCGTCTCTTGACGCTGCGGACTCAGAAGCCGGCTTTGGCAATGCTCCTGCAACGTGGTAGTGTGGGAGATGATCTATGGCAGCGGCTTTTGAGGGCGGAGAAGGAGATGGAAGAGGAAGTTAGGGATGTCGTTGCGGAAGTATGTTATTCTTTTTGGCCCTTTTTTGAAGGCTCTATTTTCTATGCGTCATGGAACATGTATTCTTCTAACAACCAAACAGGCCAATGCTTACCAACCCAATTGGGGCCAAACGATATTCCAATCCGCCAATGAAATGATGAATAATACCATGTTCCGTGGACATCTGAATGCAGAACAAGCTAAACTGAGCGAGGAAAAGGAATGGTGGAATAAGAAAAAGGCCAGTATCAAGGAGGGTTTCATGAAGGAGCTTGACCAGGAAGACGGATCAGCAGCAGCCGCTTCTGATAAGTGTGGGCCAGCTGCTTCTACATCTACTCCTCCCAATCCGGCACTATCTGCGACGACGACAACAGAGGCATCAATGAAGACCTTTGAGGAGGCTCAAGACAATGCAGTGGACGATGCTGCGTCGGTTGAAGATAACGCTAGCAGCCCTGCAGCGACGGCGTCGACGTCTGGAGGGAAGAAGAAGAAGAAAGGGAAAAAATGAATGAATGAAGGGGAATTTACCTTGTATTATACATTTTATGAGCCTTGTTTATTTACATTTCCCCCCGCCCCCCTTGGGTCACGAAATGATCATCGCAATACGGAGTACCATGATAGATTTTTAGGGGTCAATCAAGGGACATCTTGTTGTTTTAGCTAATATGTAGCATCTATACCATTTTTCTGGCTTTTTTTATTGCCCTGGGATAGATCGGTCATGCTGTTTCAATGGAACAGAACACTCTTATGTACTTTAACAAAATCCATAATTGATGTGAGTGGAGCAGCTATAATTATATACCTATTTTTTATTGTATGGACCTTTGTTTTTGGATACCGACCTGACCGACCCTTTGAAACGCCTGGTTATGCTTCACTCTTTGTATAATACAGCCGCAACCGCCAGTGCTTTAAAGCCAGTGTTCCGGCGCTGATCCGAGATTAATCTCAGACACACCCATCTCCGATGCAGCTGCCGCGATCTCCTCCCCGACATGGTTAGGATCATCAGCTACCCTTTCTATCACGATCTGTAGCAGATCAGACATGATTTCCAGTTGATACTCTTGCCTTTCCCTTGGGTCGAGATCTTCGATGCTCAGACCCTGTGCTTGGAGGGCGGCCGCTTTGCGTTGGCTCAAGATCCCCACAAGCTTTTGGACCTGGGCAATGTTCTCCTTGCTCCTCGGCGTCGTCGATAGTCGGCGTAGCCTGCGCTTTGGTGTGCCAGCGGGGACGCCCGCAAGACGCGCAACCTGCAAGACTAATATCCGAGCTGTGATATCGTCCGGGTAGAACCCGAAGGTCGTGCTCATTGAACGCAAGGCGACAAGCGTCCCAGGTAGGTCTTTCAGAAGGCAAAAGCAGCGAATGATCTGGTCGTAGAGTCCCTTCGAGAATTCCTCCTGCACTCTCGACTTGTCGCGCAGCGGTAGCTGAGAATACCACTGCATCATCTCCGAATACAGATCCCGAGCAGAAGGGAAGTCTTCGTCGAACGCGGTCCGTCCGACATCGTACTGGAGTTTCCCGCAGTCCCAGAGGCAGGCGTATGTCTCAAGATCCGGCTTTATTGAAGCAGACATAAATTTGTATTTATGCCACAATGTGTGGATATCATGTTTCCTCAATTCGGCATATAGGAGATGGTTCATGAAATACGAATTGGGTTTGATTCGCGCATCTCCCAAAGATTCCGTGAGATGTTTGACCATATCATCGTCACCTCTCCGGGTATAATAGAGAAGCAGAATTGAGAAAGTCTCGATAGTCGCTGGGGGCACTGTCCGCTTCATGAACTTGGGGATGCGGGTAGGATAGGCTTCTGTGTCTTCAGAAGAGATATTGATACTGTCTGCTGACTTAGAAGGGGAATCCCTAGTAGCAACCGCATCAATGCGCTGGTTTATCATGGCCCATCCAAGATGTTCAGCTTTGTCCCTGGAAGTGGTGCTTCCATCGCGGATCCAGGCCGCAATTATTCCGTTGAGATGCTTTGCATCTGGTTTAACGCCCCTTTCGTACATCAGCTCTATGACCATCGCAGCTGAATCGATCTCCCCCATTCCAATAAGCTTCTTCATCCAACTTGCATAGAAGAATCTGTTTTGGAACCGCCGGGGCAATATTGTAAGTGCTGATAGCGATACCCTGTTCACTTCATTCTCGCTGATACTGGAAGCATGAAGGTTACCTGCTAGACCCAGAGCAGCTTTATAGAGAGCCGTTGAATCGTCTGCAGGGTCACTCCCCGTAACCATCATGTCTTTAAAAACCGCAAGTGCAAGATTCGAGCGATGGGCTTTGAGGAGCCCGATGCTAACGCGATCGTAATCATCCATGGTCATATTTGATCCAAGCATGGTCTTCAGTTGCAGATATAGTGCCCACGCTTTTGTTTCCGCCTCCCTTCCTGGCTGTCTCCCCCATGCAGTAATAACCGGAATCAGAATATGTGGCTGGCGGGATCTGTCATTTGCGAGAAAAGCTAATGCAATGTCCTGCGCCCGCTGTGGATTATCATCAGCTGCAAAGAGTTGTACCCCTAGCTTCCAGTATACCTCCAGACCCTCTTCTCCCTCAGAAAATCGTGACTGGCATGCCTCCCACTCGTCCAGGGCCTTGCTTGTCTCCCCACCATCATGAAGGGATTCGATATATGAAAGAATGTGAGGAGTAGGGATGGTTCTACCGGTGGCCCTAGCATCCGCAATAAGGGTTTGCAAATGTGCCGGTCGGACAGGCCGTGTAGACTCACCCTCGACTTGGGATTCCCATAGCAACGCCGCTGCATCATCAGGTACGGATTGGAGAAAATTCGGACTAGCCAGTTTGCAACGACGGTACAATTTCCATAACAGCTGTCTTAACAACTCGTTAGACCTATCATTCGCGAATCTCTTTAGACATTTGTTGAATCGGTTGACATAGGAATGGGCCGCTTGGTCTTGTAAGATGACTTCGAAAGGCGCTGGGCGACGTGGTGCCTCTTTCTTCTGAGTCTTAGACATCCAATTTTCTTCCTCCTCTGCCATGCCTTCAAACTCCTCTCTCAGCATCTCATCCAATTCTTTGTCAAAAATATTCTTGAGCCCAGCTATGTTGCCATCCTTGCCCTTCTCGGTATCGTATTTCCGCAAGGCTTCAAGTGCAATAGCCCTTTCTTCCTCGGATAGACTTTTCATAAACGGGCTATTAGGACCGTAAGGGCCTTCTTGGAGGACTTCCAGTTCCCGATCTAGCCTGGAGAGCTCATCCTCGATTTCCTTTTGTTCTTCCCGATCTTCGGCTTCGGGATCGACCCTCCTCCTCTTACTGCTTCCGATAGTATTCTGTTCGTAAAAGCAAACTTTCCCACCATGAGGACCACCGTAGTCAACCGAGCGTGGGATTACGATGGAGAATGCGCGTCGTGAGGGAAAAGACGATGCCGGGGGGCTTCTGTGGGCGACATGCTGATACCACCGAGCTCCCCGTATAGCCTGGCGGAGCATGAAGTAAGAACGATTATAGCATCGGACAGAGGTAGTATAGGGTTTAAGTGTAGGATTTCCAGCCAGAGTGAAAGGAAGCAGAAAAATAAAAAAGCGAGCAACTTCTGAGCTCCGGCAGATATTCAGCTTAATAGATATATCCGTTTGTGGTTTAGCGGCGAACGCGCTTCCATGGCGGTAAATCGAATTGACATCAATTCTCGCTGTCCATCTGCATTCAAGCACCGAGTCAACATGGATGAAATCCAAGATACATTGAAAGACGGATTGAATGCTCAGGTATTTGCATACTCACTTGTCGGTTTAATCTCGTGGATGAGAACTAACCACCCTCAGGGCGTGTATGTCTATCAACCTGGATCCAAACCGGAAAAGGCTCATGGAGAGCGGCCTTCAAAACGGCGCAAGGTGAAGGCCAAGGACGAAGATCAAAGAGATGAGATATCACCTTTTGTTCCACTTCTGGATGGGCATGAGGCTCTCGAGTCAGTGCAATTGAGGTATAACACCTACAAAACTCTATGGTCTGAACAGGAGAGAAAGATCCAGGTCAGTCTACAGCAAGCATAGGTTGCAATTCTGGTACATTATTTCATGAATACATCTAACAGCCCTTCAAGGAAATCTTGGATGATGTCGACTCTCAAGTGTTGGAGAACGTTTTGTCTTTTGTCAAGACAACATCTGAAGTGTAAGGTCTTCATCAGCCAGATCTCGATATGACTCTAATATGAGATGCAGATACGATGGCTGCATTCCTACAGCACTAGTCACTGTTGGCTCCAACGTCTCGTCACTTAGTAGGCTATTGTCTAGACTCAATAGCCATTTGACAAGTCTTGAACAAGGCGGAGTAGTCGTGTTAGAGTCGGGAGATGCGCCCAATCTAAAAACGGCACTGAAGAATATCATTCGAGGAGCCATTACGAATACTGAAGGAAATGAAGGATACCAGGAATTGTTGACTGACCGGGCTGTATGTTAGCCCTCCTGACTATCAAAGCTGGGCAAAGCTATTTGCTGATTCTTGTTCAGGGTCCCAGGCTATTGGCATACGATCTTGACTTGCTTAGCGACTATGTCGAAAGAAAAAGAGTTAAGAAATTGGTTCTTGCACTTCGAGACAGCGAAGCGTTCGACCTGGGCGTACTAACTGATCTTTTGTCATTGCTAAGGTATAACTCGCTCCCCAATATATTTTTATTTATTGACTCGTTTCCTAACTTATCCTCAGCGCCTGGCTTGACCGCATACCTTTTACCTTGTTGTTTGGAATCTCCACGTCTGTTGAATTATTCGAAGGTAGGCTTCCCCGGTCAAGCGCCGCTCTACTTCGGGGTGCGCAGTTCGAAATACACGACGCAGGAGACTGCGTTGATCGCATATATGAGGCTGTTCAAGGGGAGAATAATAGCAAGCTCTGGCTCGGACGTAATGTCACGCGTGTCTTATTTGAGAAATCCAGCGACTCCTTTCAAAGCCCGGAAGCCTTCAGCAGTATGATCAAGGTATAATAGATCCGACACCCCTATGATGCTCTTTTGGTCGATTCCTAACCAGTGAGGTCTGTCAGTATACGCTCATGTCGCACTTCTTCGCAAATCCGTTATCTGTACTCCTTGCAGACCCTGCAGCCAACTGGCCACAGGACAAGCTCTGCGAGGCAACAAGAAACCTGCCGTCTTTCCGAAGGTAAAGGTCCTCTTATCATAACTATGTTCTCCTCTAATTTACCGTTTCATCTAGCTTTTGTGAAAATCTGCTTTATGATGGCCATTCCAAGCAAGTTCGCGCTTTGCTAGAAGACGATAAATTCCTCCTCCAACAGACTAGGAAGCACCTCGAAATCGGTCAACGGAAACTCAAGGCTATATTCGAAGCCATTAGAGTCATTCGCATCGGTCTTCGAAACTTGAAGCTCTCCAAAAGAACGAATGTTGGGGATTTATCTGTCGATGCCCTTTCTGGGGATCTGTACAATTCACCTATCTTAAAAGACCTGCTCATGGCAGTTAAAGCTCTCGATGCGAAAAGCCTCGAAGACTTCCTTACTGTTCTGCCAGGGAACCTTCTTGAAGATCCGGAGTTCGAAGCGATGCAGGAGGATTTGAGGACTTTGACGCAGGCATACCACGGTGCAGAGCCACTTCGCAGTAAATACGACAGTCTCTATTCCACGGTAGGAACGACGGTTGTTCGACAACGTGTGAAGCTCTATACGGGCAAAGTCAGAGTGCCTGAAGAGGTTACGGAATACACTACGATCGTCGAGCGCTTATGCGATAGAGCAGATGCGTACTTTGCAGAGACCTTGATCAAGCCGCAGGATCTATTTTTGCACGAAGTCTTCCTATTTGATTTAAGGAGTCCCCTCAAAGATGCATTTACTCCAAGACCCCGATTTGCCGTTGAACGGGCATTATCCAGCCCGTTTGATTATTTGGTCTCTACGTCGCAGGCTGTCAGACTTTCTGCACAACAGCCGACCACAGCCATTTTATATCAGTTATACCTGGACTCTGGTGCTTTGGTGAATGTCTATGATCTATGGCAAACATTCCATTCTGTTTTTGAGAATGTCGAAGGAGATGATTGCAATGAGCGCTTGACTATGACACTATTCTATAGGGCGCTGTCAGAACTGAAGACCTTGGGAATAGTCAAAAGTAGCCGAAAGAAGGCCGATCACGTCGCCAAATCGGCATGGTTAGGCTTATAATATAGTATCCCAGCTATAAATAAAAGTTATCCACAGGCAATGATATCTTATTCCAAGGGGTATCACAGATGCTTAGAAGATGGATCGCTATATACAACAAAAGACATGACTCGAATAATTCCGACCATCAACATTAGTTGTTGTTGAAGAAGAACCACAGTTTTATATGGGGTCCCAGTCGGTCTGGACAGGCTGTATTATATTCTCGTTACCGAGTGGACGCCCTCCCTCACTCAGGACCATAGCTTCTCGCCTTCTTCTCCGCAAAGCCTGTTCCTCTGGGCTCTCCTCTCGGAACCTTCTTTCTGAAAATCGTCTGGCACCAGCCGTCTCTTCCCCGTCTATCATCCATACATCGCTTTCGACATCATCGTCATCTTGATCATTTTCCTCCATCATGCTACCCATGAGGTCGTATTTTCGCAACTGCTTTGCCCCTTCGGGATGTGCAGCAATTGTGCTTACTATAGAGCTCATAAGAGGATCGTCAGACCAGTAAGTCTTCATAAGCAACGCCACATCTTGCCGCCGGGACGGTTCAGAAACGGCGCATGGAAAGGGATATTTGCGAAGCCAACGGCTCACTATTCCGGCTTCCAACGCAGCAGGCATATTCTCTGGAATAATCACGTTGGCTGCGTGAAGCGCCTTTCGCTCTCCAAGTGGTCTGGTTTTGGGGAAGATAGGCGAGATGGTCGTGCTAGTCTCTTCAACGTGCTCTTCGAGAAAGTTACAAAGGCAATCGACAAGGGCGTTGTAAGTTGGAAGGTCTTTAAGACGACTGGATACTGATGTCCTGGAGACTAATGATCGAATCAGTAACGACGGTTATTATCAATATCAAAGGGCCAAATCCATACGAGCTCTATTCGATACTAGGAAGAGCAATGCCGTGAGAGCCTTGCCTCGTCGTTCCTTATTCTTGCTGGCGAGATCTTTCAAGAGCAAATCGCGCGTCGAGCTTTTCGTAGATCTTTCCGAGATAATGCGAAGTGCTCTGGAAACATTCAGTTTATAAATACGAGCAACTTGCCAGTAGGAGGTCGCCTGACATACGCTGCACGCAGGTCATAGCTTGTGCTTTCGGAAAGCTTGAGTAGAGTTCCCAGTTTCAGTGCTGGCCAAAGGAGCGTCAATTGATCGGTCAAATCACCCAAACATCTAGATAAACGCACCATCCTCCGCCCCTTCACTAATCATCCGATCTTCCTTTTCAACATTCTTGATCTCCGTCAGATCTCGTACTTGGTGGAGCTTAGAGGCGATCCCGCGCACGGTGAAGAATAGAGAGACACCTAAAAGGTCAGCCGGATTACATTTCAGATATACATATATTTGCCAGACTTACCAAGAAACAGCCATAGAAGCCTATCATTAGACTGAGAAGCCATTATTGCTTCATCGGAAGATTAGAACTGGATCTTTAAGATTATCGACAGCACTGAGCGGGATGATGCGGTGATTCAAAGGCGGTGAGGTGAAACTGGTTTCGGATGAAGGCGGTGAACACAATATTTTGTCCCCGTAAAAAAAAAAAAACCCATCATTCAGAAAGGACGAGGAACTGTTAAGTTCGAAAGCTGTCGCGCCACAATGCCACCTTCTCAGCTTAAACAGCTGAAAGCTTCCCTCCGGAATAGCGGTGTCTTAGGACCGCAGAAATCGAAGAAGCAAAAACAACGGGATGCCAAGAAAGGTGCTGATGCCCGTGATCGAATCCAGCGCAATGCCGCTCTACAATCAATCAGAGAGCAGTTTAACCCCTTCGAAGTCAAAGCGGCCACCAAACGAGTTAAATTTGATATCACCACAAGGGATGATGGGGCCCGGAAAGCTGGAGGAAGCGTGCGACCTGGTGTTACGAAATCGTTGGGCGAGGAAAAGGTGAGAATCCGAGCCTTGTCATATTTAGCAATGGCCGATTAACCCCATTGCTCCTTCTACAGAGGCGGAAAACTCTTCTGCAAGAGATGCATCAGCGAAACAAGGTTGGCGGGATTTTAGATCGCCGGTTCGGTGAGAACGATCCGACTATGACGCCGGAAGAGAAGGCCGCCGAACGATTTGCCAGAGAAAGCCAAAGAAAATTGCGCAAGGAATCAATGTTCAATTTGGAAGAGGAAGAAGAAGAAATAGTACTCACCCATAAAGGGCAATCGTTGGATCTTGACGGAGCCATGGACCGAGACGATTTTCAGGATGATTTGGAGGAAGAAGATATATCCGGCGATGAAACACCCCGGAAAAGGAAACGCGCTATCGCTGAAGATGGTGGAATGGAAGTATATGAAGAAAATAGCGATGAAGAACAGCCAGAGCGGAAAAAATCCAAGCACGAAGTCATGAAGGAGGTTATTGCGAAGTCCAAATTCTATAAACACCAGCGACAGATGGCCAAAGAGGACGATGAAGATATGCGCGAGGAGCTTGACAAAGAACTTCCAAATCTTTTTTCTATGTTAAGGGGTGTCCCGCCTCCACCCAAACAGGAGCTCACGAAGGAAGATTCCGAGTCAATGAATCCGGAGCGTGTAGCTCTGTTGAACGGGGCATCCAAACCGGATGCTAATAAGGAATATGACCAGCGCCTTAAGCAATTGACATTTGACAAGCGGTCACAGCCAACAGATCGTACGAAAACTGAAGAAGAAAAGGCCGAAGAAGAGGCACAGAGGCTCAAGGAACTTGAGGAAGAACGGCTTCGAAGAATGCGCGGCGAAGAAATGAGTGATGACGAAGACGAGGCAGGAGATGATGATGCTTCGGATGACGAGTCTATCCCAGATGATGCGAAAGCCTTTGGGCTCCAGCATGCTCCCAGTCAGACTACCACCCGTCCTGACTTAGGGGTAGAAGATGAAGATGATTTTATCATTGATGATGATCTTGTTGAGACAAGGTCGGATGTTAGTCTTGAGTTTGATAAGAGTGATGAAGAGGAAGACGAGTCATCCGCAGAGGAATCTGATGACGACGACGACGATGATGAAGATCTGTTGAATGGGCTAGCTCTCCCTACAGAAGAGAGAAATAACTTGGTTGCGGCTAGTGAAGCAAAGGAAACAAATGGAGAACTGCAGTTCACATACCCTTGCCCAGAGGATCACCAGAGCTTTCTGAAGATTATCAAGGGTGTGCCGTTGCGAGAACTTCCTACAGTTATCCAGAGAATCCGAGCTCTCTACCATCCCCGTCTTCATAAGGACAACAAAGCCAAACTCGGACGATTCGCGTCAATATTAGTCGAGCATGCGGCATACATGGTAAATCAATCAGAACACCCGCCGTTTGCGATCGTGGAGAACGTTCTACGGCATATCCACTCCCTGGCAAAGAGCCATCCAGAAAATGTCTCTATGGCATTTAGGACCCATCTGCGCAACATTACAACACAACGCCCTCTCGATCTTCTCCCTGGTGATCTTGTTATATTGACCGGGATTGCGACTATCTTCCCTACTTCTGATCACTTTCATGCCATTGCAACCCCTGCACATCTATGTCTCGCACGCTACCTGGGACAGGGATCCGTCAACTCTCTTGCAAATTTCGCAATTGGCGCCTATGCTGCAAGCCTATGTCTTCAGTACCAGAGTGTGTCCAAGAGGTTCATGCCCGAATCCATCAACTATATCCTGAACGCAATATGCAATCTCTGCCCCGAAGAAATGAAGAAAACCCCTGGCTTTTTCCCCTCGCGGAAACCGCAGGAGCCCCTACGATTGGCCCCGTCTTCTAAGCTAGTCACTTATAGAAAACTCCGGTTCTGGGACATAATAGAAACGGGCGACTGCAAATCCCAACAAACTCGAGAAAAGGAACAACTCAAAGTCTCTTTAATAGCGACATTCGTCGACCTCCTCGACTCCGCATCCGACATCTGGTCCGATAATTCGGCATTCCTCGAGATCTTCGAACCGGGCCAACATGTCCTCCAGCATGTCAGCGAATCATCCTCCAAGAACAAACTCCCCACCCCCCTCCAGGACAAGATCCAAGCGTGCCTCGACAAGCTGGGCAGACATCTCTCGCAGGCCCGTCTCGCGCGTCGTCCGCTGTTACTCCACAACCACCGCCCTCTAGCAATCAAATCGTCGATCCCCAAGTTCGAAGAAAACTTCAACCCAGACAAGCACTACGATCCCAACCGTGAGCGCGCAGAACTCAATAAGCTCAAAGCGGAGTACAAGCGCGAGCGGAAGGGCGCCATGCGCGAACTGCGCAAGGATGCCAACTTCATCGCGCGTGAGAAGCTGCGGGAGAAAAGGGAGCGTGATGCAGAGTACGAGAAGAAATACAAGAGGCTTATCGCCGAGATCCAGAATCAGGAAGGCCGCGAGGCCAATGCGTACGAGAAGGAGAAGAGAGCTCGGCAGGGTAAACGGTAATGGGGTTGACTGGTTTCGGTTTGTTCGTCTCTACGGGATTTGGCTAGCTCATTATTGTCCTGATGTATGCAGGCATCATGGCATTTCTTGGGTGTTATGTAAATTCGCATGTTCATGTTATATACAACTTTCCTGGCTTGGCTTCTTTTTGTCTACATGGTTTGCTGGAAAGGAAAAAAAGAGTTCGTTTTTGACAATTAGAAGGAACTCACGAAATGCATTGTGCCTGTACTATTTATTAATCATTATCATCCATATAAGAAGAACCCTTGTGAAGCATGCACTCAACCAAGCAAGAAGCAATTCATTATTATCCCAACTCCACTCCTATCTCAGATGGATATTTACAGCGCATCCTCTGGGCCTTCGGAACTTTCTCCATCTTCGTATGCCGGGTCTTGATGAAGATTCGGCTATACGCTCCCCGGCTGCCTCACGTCTCCCATTCTGGGCTACCGGGATGACGATATAGATTTGGATCGAAAATTTTTATAAAGCTTGTCAGTACCTCTGCATGACAGAAACAATAGCAGCGTTCATGGTACTGTAAGATGAGGGCGCTTTCCCGCTAACATACTGCGGGCCCCAGATGGCATTCACCTTGACTGTATGTGATACGCCAATCCCGGAAGCTTTTTCAATTGATCTTGCACATCATACTGGTAATTCCAGCTCTTTACGTGAGCTCTGGAATAGAGAGAAGATAGATAAATTCCTGGCGCAGGTGTAACGTATCTCGCCATATGCATCGCTCGTAGATCGCCAGTATGGGCCTGGGTCACGGAATGTCTTCGTCTTATCCTTGGTCAGATACCAGGAGTTGACCTGCTCCAGCCGACTTTTTAAGAGATCTGGATACTGATCCACGAGAAACATGTCAGCTTCCTCCACACTGGAGACATTCCTTGGCACAAAGATTGTTCCCTTGTTCGTGTCATCTCCAAATATGACAGGGGCTTTGATGAATCGGTCCTCTTCGAAGAGTCGATACGTGTAATCCTCTACGAGGCTTCCATCGATTGTTGGTCCGTACAGATACAATGGCGGTTCCTGCGCATTGGGATACGGGATATTGAAGTTCTCTCGTTGTAGAGATGCCGTATCCAGAGCGCGCAGGCATGCCAGCGTGTCGGAGTTACCAGCGCAGCCAGTGCGACTGACTAGATCATCGTGAGCATACGGCCAAAGCCCTGTGATTCTGCTGCTGCTGCAACATGGAAGAGGTCATCATTTCTCCCACTAGGCTTTCAGGAGGAGGGTAATCGAGGCTGCTCCGACGCTGTCACCACCCAATACGGCATGATTAGGGTCGCCATCAAACTGGAGGAAAAGAATAAAGATATTAGAAATGAACCGCAGAGAAAGAAAATAATGTTGAAGAGATCCAAACCTTGCCGATATGTTCCTGTACCCAATGCAGAGCCTTGATCTGATCCTTGAGGCCATTATTCAGACTTGCATGCTCCTCCTGAACTTCAGTACTAGCCAAAAACCTATACAGGCCAACCCGATAGTTGAAGGTCACGACGACAATGCTCATATTGGACGCTTCTATCAGGCCGCTCGCATTATAGTTGGCGTTGGAGTCGCTATTGAAACCTCTACCCTGAATCCAAAAGAAGACCGGAAGGCTTGACAGATCTTTCGCAGGCGAAGGAGCGAAAACATCCAGGAAGAGACTATCTTCAGAAGTCCCTGATGGAACATGATACGCTCCAGTGGGAATGCAGGTAGGCACGTGCGGACAGAGGGTGGGTGGCTAGTATGTTGCAAGAGGGCTTAGGAAAGACTAATACTCTATAAGCATCTTGAACACTCTGTGGACAGGGGATCCTGTGGCTCGGCAAAACGCAGAGAACCCAATGGAGCAGCATAGCGCATCCCAAGCCATTGGGTGATGCAATTCAGCAGGCTTCTCCCTTCATAAACAGTATAACCAAGGTTAACAACTGGGTCAACCGCCAGGACCAAAGATATGGCCACAGCAAAGGCAATAGCCTGTGTAAAAGGAACATGTTGGCAAGGGAGTCGAATGACCAGGAGCCAGGTGGGTAGGAACTACAAGTCACATCACCGTGAAAGGAAGCAGGAAGGAAGGAGAACCCCAAGAAGGTTGCAGACTATTTATATAGCACTCATGAACCAGCACAGACGTGACAAGTGCAATTATCAGGCAGAGTTCGGGCGTATTGGCAGGAGAATGCCTGTCGTAAGATGGAGTTTGACTTCCCTCGATGCGCAAGGTATCAAGCCAATTGTCCATCTCTGGCCCCTAATCGGCATGCAAGTGGAGGAATTGAAAGGAATGGGCTAGTGGATTGGAGCAGAGGTCAAGCATGTCAGAGAATAGACCCGTCAGCAGAGGACGGAAAAGCATGTGTGAACAGACAAATCTGTCGCCAGCTTAGTGACAAGGGAAGTGGATGGAGAGAACTGTCGAGAATATGGTCGCTAAAGGGCCAGAGGCTACATTTTGGAAACCATGCTATTATTATTATCTGCCCTCTTTATTCAAAGGGGACGGGCTCGAAGAGCGGTATTAGACAACGCGAGGTGATCTGTCAACGTCCTCCAGAGGGGGGAGGAAAGGCCTCATGATTCGAGTGATTTGAGTGCTGATAGGGAGAATATGCCAGTTCAAGTGAGAGGATATGAAGTGCAGTGAACAGCAGATAATCAGCGAGGAGAAGTGAGATGGAGGACAGGAGTTTGTTGGGACTTGGCGAGAGGCTAAGCTCAAGAGACGCAGGATGCGGTGGAGCAGTAAAGGCTTGAACAAAATATGCTCATCTTATTGACGTGATAACTGCCAACAGTCCTGAGGAACAGCAGTAGCAGAATTCTTCTTTCTTTGATGAATGCATTATTTTCTTGATACATCACTGTGAGTGTGTACCCTACTGTATACTAAATAATAGTAGACTGGAGTTGACGTTGTGTTCCATATCGGGTTTAGCGTCCATAGCGTTAATTATCAAGGCCGAAAGAGTACTCGCATTATTCTTGTTATTTCAGACCTCTTCTTCCTTCTGTTGGAAGGCTCAAAAACTAACTACAAATTAATATACAAAAAAATGTGAATAAAAGGGGAAATCTAAAAGAGCAACTGCAACATATGCTTTAGAACCTGCAGTTCCAACACCGCTCTTTATTAACATCTCGCCATAGACCAGATCTCATCATCCTCACCCCAGCAACCACAGCAATGTCTCGCAATGGCACTGCAGGAGACGAAGAGGAGGACTATATGTCCATGGTGATTGAGGAGCCAAAGCAGAAGGAGACATTTACACAGCGCAAACTCCGGAAACAGCGAGAGGTAAGTAAGCAAGCTTGCCAATTCTAAATCACTCGATATACATCATTCTGTTCGCCTCGCTTTCTCGCGCCCCTTTTTCTATGAAAGGGTGAAGACTGATCTATTAGCTTAACCAAACTAAACTCGATACAGGCAGAAAAGCGCGCAAAAGTCCCCTCGAAAGCGGAACGCGCCGCTCAGGAAGCCGCCCGACGAGATGAGGCCTTGTCCACCAGCACCCTCGACCCATCCAATAAGGGGTTTCGCATGATGGCGAAATTAGGGTTCAAACCGGGTGATGCGCTAGGAAAACACCCATCCCCGGTGGATAGCTCTAATACGACTGGCATGGATGGTGATCCCTCCAATCCTGCCAACAATCGACGTCGCACGGAACCGCTCAACCTGGTTTTCAAGGAGGGCAGAGGTGGTATTGGGCTGGACAGCGAGAAAAAGCGTAAGATGAGAGAGGAGGCAGAAGAAGCAGTCAAGAAAATTAAACACGAAGAAGGAGATTACCGGGACCGGGTACGGATCGAACGAGAGACAAGACGGGCGGAGGCACAGATACGCGCGGCACAGAGCGTTGCGGAGAGGTTAGACACGGAAGCAGAGGCTGAAGAAGAAGATAGTGATGGCGATGGTGGTGAAGCAAAGCAAACCTGGGCCCCAGAGGAAGACTCAACCTCCGAACCGTCGGGAACAAGCACCACGCGACCCAAGGTGAAAGTGAAGGTGAAACCGATATCGCAAATAAACGTCCTCTACAGGGGTCTAGTACGCGAACGTGAAGAAAGAGAGCGCACCACACATGTCCGGCATGCGTTACAGACCTCTTTACCATCATCTTTCTTCCCAAACCTCCGATTACCAGACTATGATGACCCAACTCTTGAACGAGAAGACAAGCAAGCGCTCGGCGGCACACACGACCTGTCTACTATCCTCGAACAGGAATTGGACGAAGAAGACCCCGAGCTTGATGCTTTCAACGCTCTCGAACCCAAACAACGACTCATGAAGCTAGTCATGTATCTACGCGAGAAATATCGATACTGCTTCTGGTGCAAGTATCGCTACGAGACCGACGAAATGGAGGGATGTCCAGGGGTGACAGAGGAGGATCATGATTGAACGACTTAGTAAGCGCTTGTACGAATTTAACATCCGCTGTAATAGTAGTATAGATCATGTATATTATTATCCTTTTCCTGATGTCTCAGCAGGATGGATTAAAACGAACCCTTCGCGAGATTTACCACCAATGCACAATCCATATCACTTGACCAAAGTAATTATCCCAAGTCATGAAGCCACATCGAATGCCCCTAGTCAACGCCCAGTTATCCAGTACGAAAGACCGAACCCACGATATGGAGAAAAAGACATGAGCCCCTCATATGTACAGAATGCGTAAATGAATAGAATGGTAATGGGAAAATAGGCATGTGTTCTAATGCCATTTCCTTCCTGGAAGTCCGAAAAGATGACATAATTTGGGATGGAAATTCGAGTGTGAAATACACTTGAAGCATTTTGGGAATTCCCAGGTTAATTTTTCTAGAAAAAAAAATTTATGGTCCTGCAACAAACACAAGCCTTTCTCTTAATCTACTGAAGAGATTCAACAAGCTGTGCCAGCGACCGATTTTGGCATTTCTGAAGCGTCTCAAAGCAGCCGGAACAGATGCGCAGAGAGCAGAAGACACAACGGTGTCTGATTTCCCGGTCCTGTTTGTGGCAGGCCATGCAAGGAGTCGAATACCACGCGTTGCGAGATATGGGCATCGAGCGGTGATCTTGGTAGCAGGCGAAATGTACTTTAGCCAAAGGAGCGGCTATTTCAACCATCTCTGGGGGCGTCAACGGTTCTGGGTCTGGCTCGACTTGCTCCCGCGGCGAGGGAATATCCGTATCTAACTGGGGACTGGAGTATTCTGGATCGGGAATGAAATCCTCTAAGGGCTCTTCTCCTTCGGGAGGTGACGTTGCCGTGCTGATTGGGGGTTTCCCTGGCATCCGGACCGGCCTGGGTATCTCGACGTAGCCCTGGTCATGGCGATTCATCGGCGGCCGATCGACCGGAGGCCTATCGGCTGACTTTTGGCTCGCGGAGAAGGTTGGGAGATCAGGTAATGGGCCCGATGGCGCTGGGAGCTGGATAGGCTGTTCAAGTGACCCTGAGGGGCCATTGTTTCGGGGAGGGAATGCAGACGGGGGAGAAGGGGCCGGCTCCTGAGCGGGTGGTTCAGGCATTGGGGGTGCTTTCTTTTGCAGGGCTTTCTTGCTCTTCATCGCAGATAGAGATGGCATGCGGAGCCCTCTCGGGAGCTTCTCGGAGTCCAAGATGGCCATTTCTCTTTCCCGTTATTTCCGGCCTCGAATTTTTCTTTTTCTGTGATTGATTTCCCACGTTTTCTCTGACTGACGGGTTGAACGGGCGGGGATAGGCGGACAACGGCAATTAATTTTTTGTCTTTGCCTTGTAGTCAAATACCGATCGATCCGATCTTCCGCAAGTGGATCGGCTTGGGAGCTCGTCTGGGCCCGAGAGTCAAAAGAGTGAATGTTAGCACTTGCAGCAAAGAGAGTAGAGACGATGGCGGGGGAACTGATTAAGGGAAAAGAAGGAACAAAAACAGCGCCGGCACAAAGGCAGTATATACTAATAAAAGAGAGAAGAAGAAAGAGAAAAAGAAAGATATGGTAGATGGCAAAAGAGGCAATAATAATATTTCGCCTGGAAGGACAGGTGAAACGAAACGAAGGCCCAGCCCAAGTCAATCAATCACCGCTAATTACCCCGTCCAAACTCTGTATCCGCATCCTTTGCAGATTTGTCATCGGCTTGGAGCGTCAGGCAACACGAATCACGATGATGGAGGGGAAACTGATTCTTCCCCTGACGACCTGGAATGGTGATGGGCAGGACTAGCATCAATAGATCATCACCAAGGGATAGATACATGCATGCCATGCAAGGGTGCCATTTCATCGGAGATGGAGCGGCGATCAATTAGATCGCCGGGTCATATTAATTAATGACGAATGTAGCCCGGTTTTCCCTGAGCTATCTAATGATCGTCTACCAAGATCCATCAGGATCCGGTGTAAATGAGCTCAATGGGTCCCGTTCATCGTGCGAAAGTGGGAAAGCTCTGCTTGGCATCGAGATCGGAGTCGACATGGTCTCGCTCGCAATGGCTTCTGCTGCCTGTTGATGTTCCACCTTGTGTCTCCCAAGGATGCGATGTTGTTGGAAAGTTGTGAGCTGGCGGTTGCTATCACCGTTGACAGAAATAATCCACGATGCTGCATGTCCAGTGTTGGTGCACACGTTGTATAACCATACTGTGCTCCGTACGTAGAGTAGACTTGGACCGAGAGATATAATAAGAACCGAAGCTCAGCTCATCATCTCCGTATATTAAATACGGAGTCTACTCCGTGTAGCATAACTAAACGAATAATAATACGCGTCCTATCTCGGCTGTCGCGTCTCCAGCCCATCTACGCTGTACATCAAACGCCATTTAATACAAGACATTTTTGATATACGGTCGTATAGCACTAAACTGTCCAAATTCACCAGAATACACTGTTGGTAAAATTCCCAGGGAGGTTGAGAAACCGGGACAGTAAGAATATGCGATCTCATCGTCAAAGAACAAAAAAGAAGCACTCTATCCGAGAAAAAGAAAGGCCAGGCCTGCGACATGAATGAGTGAATGAGTGAAAAAGAAAAAAAAAAGACAATGCCGTGGTCGCTTTTAACCAAAAGAAAGAACCTGATGCGCCAGCGAGTCCCATTCCCACACTGCTTGACGCCGAATACTTGTAGCTGAAGATAGGACTGTAGAGAAAGAAAAGAGACACAAAACACGTGTGAAGGACAAAAAATGAAGGAAAAAAGAGAACCGCCCTAGACTAAGAGCCTTCAAGATGTAGCTTCCGCATTCGGCGTGGCATTCGTTATCTCTATCGAGCTAGTCTCAAGCTCCTTGGGTATGAGACATTCTCGATTCTCTTGAGAGACCATTGATTCTTGCAACGGCGTGATATGCTCGAGCTCGAGCTGCGGCAGTCTGGGAGGACTCTGGTTGTCAGAAGGAAAGCTACTTGCAGAGCTTCCGACTTCCGGCTTCGAAGCTATCTCCTCAGTGTGTTCCGCAGATTCTGTCGGTTTATCTTCATCTCCAATCATAGCTGCCAGGCTCCGGAAGTTGAACATTGGCTCGAGAGACGCACTGCTTCCATCCGCTGACGAATACGGACTGACGCGCTCGTCTGCGTTTTGTTCCACGAGCGACGAGAACGACGAAGACGCACTTGAGACATTCCGCAAACACGATTGCTTAGAGGGCTCAGCAGGGGATGGTTGAGTGCCGGAATCCGAAGGCGAACTTCGCTCTGCCGTATTGATGGGTACGGTCTCAACTGGTTTTGCTGTATTAGAAGACGTGGCTGCAGGACTCTGATCGACAGCAGTTGTCGTCGCTGACGGTGACACGCGATCCACTCCCTTCCCCTTCTCTGCAGATGTAGTTTCATCACCAAGGACGGACGAAGAACTGCTTGCCACCTCTTTCAGTCCGCTCCCAGCCGACGCGTCGGAAGCTGAGCCACCAGCGTTATTATTGAGCAACCCGTTTCTGCGAGAGACTTTGTCCGCTTTCTTGGCGTCCTTTTCCCTCTTCTTAGCATCCTTCCTTGCCTCTTTCTCTACCCTCTTACGCCGTTCTTCCTCACTGGCTAAGCTCAGTCTTACTGCCTCCATCATCATCATTTCTTCCAAGTCATCTATCCGAGTACGCCTTGAGCTGCCACGCGGTGGAGCTAAGCTCCCAGATTCTTCTTCCGGGTAGTCGGCTTCGTGGCGTCTTTCGGTCAAAAATGCTAGCGCATTAAGCGCTGGAGAGCCGGAACGACCAGCGCTTCCCTGACCATCGGCCCGGCCTGTTCTTCTCGCGCCGCTCCTTCTCCCTAGACCAAAACGAGAATCACTACCATTCGAATTCATCAGGTATGCTGCCGTATGAAGAGCGGTTGCTGCTGCTGCTCTCCGAGAGGCCTGTGCTCGCGCGTTAGATAGTTTCTGCGCCCAATCTGGACGAATCTTATCAGTCGTGACCACCGCAGGATCATTGGCGGAAAGTGAAGCGCCGCGTCGACGTCCCGTAGTGGGAAGAGCATCTCCAGGTGGGAGAGATGAAGTGGACGACGCTGAAGACGTGGCATTCATAGCTAGTCTGGCGTTTGGGTCGAGAGCGTGGGCAAGGCCTCTGCGGAAAGGAGGGGGTGTGTAAGTTACTCCAAATTCAGGTTGCACGCAGAACGGACAGGCAGATGGTTCCGACACAAGCTGGCAATCTGAAGAGCCTGAATTATCACCCTCAGCGCCCGAATTACGGTCCGTTTCCCCATGCTCCGGAGGATGAGGGTCGGGGCGTTTTATTTGCACAAAACATTCCGAACAGATGGGTTGGTCGCAGCATCTTGTACGGTTCAAATAGGGAGGGTAGTAAAGAAAGCAAATTGGGCACTCAACCGCATTCTTGTAAAGATACGCCTCAATAGGCTGTCCATTAACGAATGGATCACGTGGGAGTTGTATTTCGCGAGGGGCCAAGTCGACTTGAGAACCAGATTTTAGAGACGTAGTCAGAGATGCGAGTGTCTTCGCTCGGCTCCTAAACTGAGTACTTGAAGTACCAGAGACAGGCTGGGTCGCGGCCGGTGATTGGGAACCATCAGAGTTATAAGAGCGGGACCGCGAAGTAATCGGCAGGGTACAACGTTCCAATTGCTCAGCCCGGCCCCCGGCGTTTGGGAACTTGCATTCCAGTTCAGGAGGGACTTCATCCGGCGGTGGGATCGGCAAGCCTCGTGCGGCAGCGACGAGTTGGTGTTCAATCCAAGACTCAGAGAAATCATTGAGGCCTCTCCAAAAAGGGGCCAGACGCCTTTCGATCTAACGGGCCATCATCAATCAGAAGTGCAGAAATAATATCGAGAGCGGCAAAACAAACCATCAATCGTCGAACCACAGCTTTATTAAAATCCTCTGTTCCAACGTAGACACCTTGTGTAACCAGATAGCCTCCATCGACGTGTTCCTCCTTCATACTACGCTCCCGCTCCTTAACTCGAGCCACTCGTTCCTTTTCCAATCGGCGTGCCTCTCGTTCCTGTTTCGTTTCTCGGCGATGTTCAAGTGTCGCAGCATGTCTGTCAGAACTTCCGCCTATTCCGAGAAAGGAGAGATCCGGTCCATTTCCGCTGTCTCCGTAACGACCGCCATATGGAGACCTCCCGCGACTGCTAGAATGTGCCGATGGATGGTGTCTGCGACTCGACTGGGAGAGAGACGATCGCGTCTCTTTGGTCTGTGAGTTACCCATGGCAGATCGGACCGAAGCGTAGATAGCCGGGGCAAGAGGACGATGCGGAGGTGAGCACACGCAGCTCGTAGGTCCTTGCAAGAAGGGGGATGAGAGCAAGATTCGAAGTGACGCTAATGGAGAGAAGTAAGGGAGACTCAAGATAACAATAAGGATCAAGTAAAGAATAATATTCCGATGTGGCCGTGCAAATCGTCAGTTAGTGGATTGAGTAGGGATAGAAATAACGGCCTCTGGGATGTAGAATAGAAGACCACAAGAGGCAAATGTGGCCATGCGCTCAAGAATTAGAGTGGCTGTTGCCGAGACAGACACATCGTTAGACAGGATGGTCCTAAACCAAAGGAGGGTGAGCGGTGGCTTGGTGGTATGAGGCAGAATGCATAGTATCGGGTCGGAGAGATGGCTGGAAGGCCCACGAGATAGACGGTTAGAAGGCGGATCCACGATGATGCTAAAGATAGCTCAAAGGACAGCAGGGATGGGGTTGACTCACGACAACAACAAGCAAGCGAAGAGAGAAGTGGATGATGGAAGCAGAGATAGAGTTGACTTGAGAGAGAGAAGACGGGGAGAGTGGATGTGGTGGTCCAAGACATGCAAATTACATCAGCCCGTGGCCGCCAAGAGCGTTCATCACGCAGCCCCAAAGCCAAAACAAAGTAGGAGTCCGGGACTAAAACTCTTAATTGAACGTGGAGATAGACACTCAGCACATGCAAATTGCAATAATCACTGTGTCATCTTCGAGGGAGGAGTACAGCACGAAGACTGTATACAACGCGATACTTCCATCCAGAACTGCTCGTATGATCTTGCGGAGCTCCGTAGTCGCCGGGTGGTCACGTGATTACGGTATTCATGCGCCACATAATCTCTGCGCCACAGTTGTACAGAAATTATTGACTTCAATCATTATCATTGTATCTGCATGACCGGTCTTTATTCGCTCAATTCCTTTTCTCCCTTCCAAATTGCTCATGGGCTGGCGAACACGGCAATGATCCCGGTCAGCACCACTACACGCCTCCATATTACTCCCCTTACCCCGGAGCTGCTGCCTTCAGTACTCCCTACTTCGATCCAGCCAGCTGCTACGGAGATCTCCTTCCATTGTATCCCCACGTTCCCAGAGAAAAATTACGGATACGTCACGCTACCAACTATGGAGGCTGAAAAAATAAGGAAGAAGCTGAATGGCTCTATCCTGAAGGGCAAGAAGTTTAAAGTCGAGGTAGCTCGTCCACAGAAAAAGAGACGGAGTGAGGACGATGCTGCGCCGCAATCCAAGGCTGCCACAGAGAAAACATCAAAGAAAAGGAAAACAGATAACGATACCATTGAAGGTTATGAGCTCCCGCCTGATCGCCAGGTGAAGAGGGGATGGACGGAATCGGCAACCGTGAAGAACGAAAGGCGCAAATCGGAGAAGCAGAAGAAGAAAAAGAAGGAAAAGGGCGAGAAGGAAGCGAAGGTACAGGCCAAGTCCAAATACACGGAGAAGGCAGAGTGTTTGTTCCGGACAAAGGTCCCCCCGAACCGCGCATCTAGCACAGATCCAGATCACAGTGGAGAGAAGAGACGAAAGAAGAAGAAGTCTTCTCAAGAGACCGTTGTCCATGAGTTTTCAAAAACCGTCACATACCCAAGCTTCTTGCGGTCAGATGGAGAAGGATCGAAACGCACGGCTACTTTCGAGGAGGGGAAGGGCTGGTTGGACGATTCTGGAAATATCATAGAGCCTACCAATGCCCGTATCAAAAATGATAACTACAGGCCTGGGCAGCTTGCAGGGGCTAAGGAGAAAAGGAAGTCGGCGAAGATCTCTCCGAAACAGCTTGACTCGAGTGCACGGGAATCTGAAGGCATAATTTTTCCCTCCGAAAAAGAGAAAACGGCAAATTCCGAAAATGATTCAGATGATTGGACGTCATCCAGCGGTTTAACTTCATCAGACGAAGATGATGTGGACTCAGATAGTGACTCCAACATGTCTAGTTCGTCCGATGAATCTTCAGTCTCTTCCAGCTGCGAGGAAAGCCACGAACGACCTCAAGGGTCCGAGTCCGAGACCCCTAGGGAGGTTGCAAACTCCATAAATGCAACTTCTGGTGAAACCGACGTGTCCGTAGTTTCATCGCAGCCAAGAGAAGAAAGCAATCAACCACCATTTGAAAACGTCCATCCACTGGAGGCTCTTTTCAAACGTCCAGCGCAAGACTCTTCCGAAAGCAGACGTGCAGAGGCCAACACTCAGTTTAGTTTCTTTGGGAATGATGCAGATATAGAAGATGATGAATCTGGACCCGAATCCGAACCTCAGCCAGTCGAGCCTCAGACGCCCTTCACAAAAAAGGACATACAACTTCGCGGAATAAGAAGCGCTGCTCCAACTCCGGACACTGCTCTGGCTTCTCGGATCAAATGGAACAGCTCCGATAACACGGACGACAGTCAGGACTCTGGAGACAATGAGACCACGGATTCAAAGCACAAACAGAATACGCCAGTCTTGAATAAAGAGGAGAGCGAATTTTCCAAATGGTTCTGGGAGCACCGCGGAGAAAACAATCGAGCATGGAAAAGACGACGTCGTGAAGTTGCCAAGGAACAGAGACAGAAGGAAAATAGGAGGACAGGAATGAAAGGGAAATCATAGGCTTTGAATAGCTGAGTACCTGTAAATGATATAATATACATGGTTTATTAATTTGGACTTTAATGGTGTTTTCAGAAAACGTAGCCTCAATACAGCACAGTGCGTACTGGAAGTATGGACAGTGATCATTTGTCTAATATGTACTATGTAGAAATAACATGGAATAGGGTACCCGGCCCTAACCAATGCCAAAAAGAAAAAGTAATATATACATAGGAAATATGTAAAGAGGGGTAGGATAAAACACATCCATATATACGCACAAAAATGCCAACAAAACAAATCAAACCAGGCTATCCCTTTGTCATTTGGAAGAACAGAAATCCGGCAACGCCAGCGATGACCTCCTTGCAGAATGCGCATACCGACTCCTCATTCCCTGCCTACCCAACGCCAGCACCTCGAGTGTCTCGGGTTCTCCGCCCCAGAATCTTCCCCGCTTTGTAGAGGGGACCCAAAAATGCGTCACAACAGCACCCACAATCATACAGGCTCCAAAAATAATCATTACCCAACCGTAGCGGGGGCTCTCGGAGCTACCGAAACCGTAGTAATGGGAGAAGAGTTGAACAGCAATGGAGCCAATTTTCCCAGCGGCAGCGCTGATACCGTGGCACGTGGCACGGTAACGAGTAGGGAAGACTTCAGCTGGGATCGTGTAGGTTGTCACGTTAGGCCCTTTGGGGGCTGTCAGTGTCTATTGCACCTATAAGAAGAGGGGGAAGGAAGGGGATTTACCAAAATTGAAAAGGAATTGGCCAACAACATATAAGATAACTGCACCCGGCCCATTCAAGTGCACAGTGACAAACACAACACCCATGGCAATGAATAGAGCAGCAAGGGCGAGAAACCCGAATTTCTGTACAATAGGCCCACTCAACTTGGGAGAGAAGAATATGAACAAAAGGCTGCCTGTAAAACTGCCGATATTCAAGATCACCAAGGCATGAACAGATGTGTTCATGAACATGTCAAATATGTTTGCCCCAGATTTGTCATCTGTCTTCCATACAGGGGCTGGCCCATGGAGATTCAACGACCCCCATGTTCTTGCGAGAGACTGCGGACTCGAGAGCCCTATGCCGTAGAAGCTAAAATCAAGAAGGAGCCATGCCGCTGCAGTCCCTGCGAGGCAGCGCCAGTTTCCTTCAGTCCAGAAATAGTGGATGATGTCTGACCGTGCCAGACGCCAATGGGAGTTGAGGGTAGCCGGTTGTAAAGGGTATTCGGAGAGAGAGGGAGATGAAGGATTATCGGTAGATGGTCTCGATAGAGATAGGGCAGGTAAGGGGATACTGTTTGCACTGGCCGTTTCGGCAGTTGTTCTTATAGAAGCCATGTCACTGAAAAGCGTTGTCGCATCGAACTCGGCTTTAACAGGATCATCTTCGATGTCAAGCAAATAACGGGGACTCTCGGGAATGGCGAAACGGAAGAGCGTTGCGATAACACCCGGGACGACGCCGATGCCAATGACCCATCGCCACATCCTGTCCACGATACGAACGACGTCTGCGGTATCTGCGTAACTATTGGTCCTGCTGGTAGCAACAACGATCAGAGAGACAACATTTCCGGCGATCTGACCAAGAGGTTGCATGAAGAAGACTGTGGCCATCATCCGAGCACGCTGCGAATTTGGTGCGAATCTGCGAGATGTCAACATTAGCTCGACGTAAGGAACTCTCACAGGGGTTGAATACTCAGAAGTAATGACAGCACTCAGAGGATAATCGGCTCCAACTCCGATTCCCACGACAATCCTCCACCAGATCAGCCAAGCGAATATGTCCATACTGCCGTTGGCACCGGTCGACGCCATGACAACTCCCAGGGTGGCTGTGATAAGGAGGACCAGTTCAACACCGTACATCTTCTTCCGACCATTTTTGTCGGCGAGGAAGCCAAACAGGGCCATCCCGAGCACGGTGCCAGCTAGGGTAGCCATGTTGATACATGTGAATCGGAGAGAAGACGTGTCATCCCTCCAGTAGACATAGCTGATCATGGGAAGGGCTATATTGCTGGCGAATAGCTGAGAATAGTTAGTTCTTTTTTTTTTTTCTTCTGGTGGACGGTCATATTACCATGAAGAGCGGGGAAATTGAATATTGTCACTCACAGTATAACCATCGAGGAAGAAGCCAACTCCTGCGACCAAGACCACAACCCACTGGTAAGACTGTCGGTCAATCGTCTCATATATCTGTCTCATGCGAACATAGCGATCCTGGCCCGAATGACGTAGCTGTCAGTACCGCACCGAGAATGGGGGGTTTGTGCCTCACCCTGGATCCGATCTGGAGCGCTTACCTGTTCATGATCGAAATCGCGGGCTCGATCCGTTTTGTACAACCTGGTACGGAACCTGGCCATTTTGAGAGAGGGGCTGTTGAGGGGACCACAATCAGCTGGTTAGATTCATTGCAGTTGCGACAGAGGTAACGCAGGTAGTCAAGAGCAATGATTTGGACGCTTCGAATGCCCACGGCAAAGAAAGAAGAGCAGTGTCGTTATATGTCAGGCCGAACAAACCCATACCGGCTTCTCCAGGCGCATCGGGTATTAGTACTAATAATGGAGGGCGAACCGTTACACTCGACGCCCAAGATAGAGCCGGGTTCCCGATTGTCATCTGCACCAGCATTCGGAAGATTAGTATGCTCCGGGCCTCGTGCAGGAAAGCGGCGTAATTAACTAGGCTGTCGAGGGACCCTTGTCTCTGTACGTAATGGGGACCAGAGGGGACTTGTCGCGTGGTGGCAGCATGCGATGGAAGCTCGAGCAGGTCCATTAATTTCCCACCATGCCGCGCACGTGGGATTGGCACTGGGAGAGTTCTTCCTCGCTGTCGCATTGATGTCGTCTAGAACACCAATGGCACCTTCGAAGAGCGCACGTTCTGTGGAGAGGCGCCATTGGCCCGGAATGCTCATAATATGACCGTAGCGCTGCAACCGTGCCAATCGCAGGCTGCAACGGAGGCACGTTCCTCGGGTTCTCAGCTTAGCCAAACCCTATTTCTGCTGCCCTCTTATTGCTCCATACATGCTGTCATGTCGCTGTTCGCTGGAACATGCCGCGAAGCAGCCCTTATTATACTAGGTATTGTTCCCCGGCGACCTGCACGGTAACGATTGTCATCCCCGTCGAATCTGATAGAGCCATAGTCCTTGATGACAGTGGCATGAACTGAACACCTTGAAATGCCATCGAGTCTCCTCTCGCACGGCAATGAACCATTCCTCCATTTCGGATTCTGCAGATTGGATATCGGGGCCTCATCTGTATCGGGAAGGTAGCATTTCTTCGTCGGAATCAGCCAGCCTGTTGTCATCACGCTTTTCTACTACTCCAGCCTCGTCGCCAACCATCGACGCAAGGAAAGGCTCGTATGCGTCTGTCTCCGATGAGGTTGAGCGATTGGAACTGGACAATGGGGTGGCCATGTATGTTGCAATATCAGCTCTCTGTTTCTCTGCTCCATGTTCAACTGTTCAGATTCCAGCGGTAACTGATCCCATTGTCTGGCATATAGCTCATTTGTCAAGAACGGAAAACTCTTCAAGTTGCGGTACACATTTATCGACATCTGGAAGAACTTCAACGGAGCCCTAAAATGTTTGGAGCTGGGCGGGGGAGTCGGCCAGCAGACTGCTTTCATCCATACATGTATGTCCTACACATTCAAGCAACTTTGCGCTTCGTCTGGTAAGATGAAACTCACAATAAAACCGCAGTCAACAATATCAAACTCCCCGTTCCACATCTGGAACACCCAAAGCTCCCGAATGAGCTTCCTCTTAGAGTCTCGTTCCTAGAGGAACAGACTGTGCAAACCGCGTACACCCTATTCTCAACACAGCTTTCCTACACGTTCGGCGGATGGCAAGGTATTCAAACACAACACACACACACACACACACACACACACTCTCTCTCTCTCTCTCTCTCTCTCTCACTCATTCATGTGCATGTGCTGATGCTAAATCTTCTCTATCCGCAAGATTGTGTCCGCTTTCAAGAATCTCTCCTATCAGCGAAATTAGTTTTTATGGCGGGTATCGCAGAGGCCAAATCCAAGGGCCGTGGCGAGGAATGTATTAGTCAGAACCTGCGCATCCTTCGTGGCGGGAACGGTAAGCTGGTCTTACTGTTCTTTGCAAATTCGCAGAGAAAAGAATTGAAACGTTATGTTTCAATTCCGAGTAAGCATGCTTGGTTGCTTGTCGAACAGCTGTGTTGTGGAGCTTGCAGAGCTGACCATCTGTCCTTCTGTTCGCAGTAAATTGCATAGACAAGGTCAACCCCGGAAAGAAGGCCGGACGTCCCGTGGTGTTGGACCTTCTCCCCAATTTTGATATCCTTTCGCAAATGAAATGGCTGCAGATACGGTTTCTAGACGATGAAGGTAATTATTTCCACTGGACATTGGGCCTCGAAGCAAGCTCCTTGCTAACTATTGCAACATAGACCGAAAACACTTCTGCCAATTATTATCGGAACTACAAGGGTGAAGAGTATTAACGGTATTCACCCATGTTCTGTTTTTCTTTTTAATTTCTCCTATTCGGAGAATAGATGCAACTAATACCCAAATCTGTTCCTGTCATGATTAATACTTTATGTCCTCTCATATAGAAACAATATTTATGGTATACGACCAACCTAATGGATAGACAGAAACAACTCACCCCTTTCTCGGTGTTTAAACAATATATAGTATACCTGTCTCTCTATCTCATGAGACACAAATTATGTATTCAAGCACCTGCATCGCAAATCACCATGACAACTATCAGAGAGCTTTGCAGCCTCTCCTGGAGCGATTCCCACTCGTCGTAGAACTACCGTGTAACAATGGATGCTGTAGACATTGCGGGGCGCACTGCTGTGTTACTGTACATTGTTGAATATGATAAGATAAGATATTTCCAATCATCACATGACACCGTGTTGAAGCTAATGGATAGGCGCATGTATGTTCATATTACTAGGTAGGCCTGCCTGTGCCGTGAGATAGGTAGCGAGGGCGGTCTAGGACGGCAGTACCTCACGTGTACTAACACCCCCCCACGCACGAGCAGCCTACAAACTATGGAATCAATCTAAATACAGAAATCGGCCTCTATTCGGGCCTTCAAATGAGTGAATATATGCAAAAATAAACAGAGGAATGAAGGTTCTGCTTTAGCCAATCGAATGCCGTATATCAAAATAGAAAATATATCCAAAATGGGGGAGATATACGCGGCTTAGCTTATGCCAGTGAGTTGTAGGAAATGGTCAAATTGTTCAGTTCGGAGAGGTTTGGTCAGGCCGTCTGCTGCTTGTTCTTTGGTAGGGCAGGCCTGGAGTTTAACAATACCGTCTTGGATCTTCTCCCGAACGTAATGGTAACGTATATCGATGTGTTTGGATCTCTTGGTGGTGAGCTCAGCTTCAGCCATGGCGTGTGCACCTTGATTATCGATATGGAGAGTAATTGGCGGGCATTCAGTAGGGAGCACGTTGAGCTCATTGATGAGGTTCCGGAGCCAAAGGGCATCTCGGCTGGCTTCACTTAGAGCCATATACTCAGCTTCGTTGGAGCTAAGTGCAACGGACGTTTGCTTGCGGCTTTTCCAGGCAATTGGGGCCCCGGCAAGCAGAAATATATATCCAGATACTGACCGGCGATTGCCTGTCAGTTGACCACCCCAATCAGAATCAGTATAACATCTGGGCATGAGGAGGTCAGATGTAATGGGTTCCGTGGCCTTATGGTAGGTAATTTGTCGGTTAATGGAGCCTTTAAGATAGCGTATGGCGTGTATAAGGGCACGCCATGCCTTTTGGGTAGGTTTGGCGTGATATTGGGATAGTACGCCAACTGTCCGGCTAAGATCAGGTCAGGTTTTGGTGGCTAGCCAAGTAAGGCAGCCTACACCACGTTGATATTCTTTGATGTTCACTGTAGGGTCTGGGTCATCATCAATTATTAAACTAGGATCCATGGGGATCCCAACAGGGTGTGCTTGTGCTTGGCCAAAAGAGGCAACAACGTCTTCAGCATAATTGGCCTGGGAGAGAGTATATGTGGTCTTGGATTGAGAGGTGGCCATGCCAAGGTATTTGGTAGAGTTTCCAACTTCTTTTATGTCAAATTTAGCAGAAAGAGACTCCATAAACCAAGTGGCATCATTCTCATGCTTAGCATAGACTTTGAAGTCATCCACATGGGTAGTCACATAGAGTTGGGTCCGGGTGGTATGGATCCAGAGACCAGAGTCGTATTCGGAGCTTTTGAAGCCAATTTGTCGTAAGAAAGCATTTAGTGTATCATACCAGATACAGGCAGATGGGATTAGTCCATAGAGGGACTGGCGGAGTTCACAAACCAGGTCTCCAGAGCCTTCTTTGAATCCCTGAACTTGGGTCATAAAGACACGTTTATCTGTGGGCATTTTTCCATTTAGGAAAGCAAGGATGGCATCTGCCTTTTGAGTATGCCAGCCAAGTAGAGTGGCCAGTGCTGTAAGGGTTCTAGTGGTATTTTCATCTACCACTGGGGCGTATGATTCCATGAAGTCCTTGTCAAGTAGATTTCCACGGATCACCCAGCGAGCTTTAGCTTGGTAGTCCCTTGTAATAGGGGTACCAGGGATTTCTTTCTTTTTGTATACCCACCGGCCAGGGATGACCTTGGTCCCTGGTGGTAGATCAGAGCGGCGGATAAGTTGCCAGCAGCCTTTTTCTTTGAGTTGGTTGACTTCTTTTTGCATGGCTGCTTGCCACTTGGTGGCATCAGGATGAGATATAGCCTGCTTATAGGAAGTAGGCGTGTCATCTTCAGACAAAGGAGTAGTTGAAGCAGTGAGATAGGCTAGGGACATGCCTTTGGCGGGTCGAAGCCATATTTCCTGGTCTTCATCTTCAACAGGTTGGTTTGTATCTTCTTTATTAGGAGTACTTGGATCTTCAGGAACAGTAGCTTGTGGAGGTGTAGTTGTGGGATCCTCATATTCTTCATCAAATATAGTGTCATTGGTTGAAAAAAATGGCGTCTGTTTTAGGGTCCCACACTCTATATTGTTGGCTACTGATTTGGCCGATCATGAAGCAGCATTTAGAATGGGAATCGAACTTGTTTATAGGCTTATCTGAGCCATGTCGATGAACCCAGACAGGGCAGCCCCAACGTCGGTATTTGTTGATACTAGTTGGTGAGTTGGTCCAGGCAGCCAGAGGCGATTTATATGGGCTTGGGCTGATTTTGGTGTTGGTATTGACCCCCCCAGGGATAGGTGAATTGAATAGGACTGTGGATGTTGGGAGGCGGTTTGTTATATCTGATGCATATTTTAAAGCATCAACCCAAAATCGCTGTGGTATATGGGGAGCGTCAAGCATTAATGTCCGTGCACGGTCAAAGAGTATGCGTATGCTGCGCTCACTGACACCGTTTTGCCAAGGGGAATATGGAGAACTTGGTTGCCATTCAATGCCTTCCTGACGGTAGGTTTTCTGCCATTCAGCTGAACAGAATTCATTGTCAGAGACAATATAGGCTGGGGCAGGGAAATGGTGATTCTTCATCTGTTGTAGCCAACCCTGAAATGCATCAATTGCAGCAGATCTTTCAGTTAGGTAGTGGATCCAACGGTAACATGTAGCGTCATCAGTAATAAGCATCACATATTTGGCTCCTGTACGTGAAGGTAGAGGCATATCTAGCTTCTCTATATCTAGTGTTCGGCCACCACCAGCAAGGTCTATGTGGACTCGGGCTAGTGGTGCAGTCATATGGGATCTTGGTGTTTTGCTGTATTGGCGAGTTTGCTTGCCCTGGATGCAGGCTTCACAAAGTGGTAGTTCTTTGGAACCTTTGATTTCAATGTCTGATGTAGGATCTGCAGCAAGGCGTAAAAGATCCTGCTGGTTTAAATGGCATAGATGGCGATGCCATGTCATAATTGGTAGAGCTGTTTTGGAGCTCTTACTCTTTGGGGATGTTGTAGGTTTCTTTCTGGGAGGGTCCCCTGGTCGGTTGGCCTCTTTGCCAGACCGGGTGGTGACAAAGGCATGGGAGCTCTCGTCGGGAGAAATGCAATCTGATAGGATGAATACATTGTTGGTATTCAAAATGGCTTCAAATTCTGCACCAGAAGAGGTTGTGATTTGTGCTACTTGAGAGCTGGAAGGGAATTCGATACGAAAACCTTGTTTGAGAAGCATTCCCATGGAGATTAAGTTGGAATTGAAGGATGGAACATGTCGTACATCCCTAAGGATCAAGGATCCGGTTCCAATATCAATGACGACGGTGCCAATACCATGAGGTTTGGAAATCTTCTCTTGAGCATCTTCAATATAATCTGCTGGAGTAAGGTCCTCCTTTCTCAATGTTTTATAGGACGTGAAGAAAGCTTGATGGGGTGTAACATGGAATGAAGCACAGCTATCAAGATACCATGAAGCTTGGAGAGATTGGGCTGATTTAGCAATGGCTGTTTTTGCAGCTGAAGAAGTCCATAGTACCAGTTCATTGGTTTCTGCTTCAGAGAATGAAGCAGTGGAAGATTCTTTAGCAGTGTGTAAAGCATGAATAGCTTCAATAGTATTTTTATTGGCTCGGCGCCAATGCTCAGAGGCTTTCTCAGGGTTCTTGTAGAGGCAAGGCATTGGGTGGAAATGACCACACCAATCACAACGGGTCTTTGGTTTGCGTGAGTCCTGGTCCTGAGGTTTATATTTAGTGTTGGAACTTGAGGCGGAAGAGCTAGCAATGGGGTTAGATGCTTGTTTGGAATAGCTTCGTCCGGATAGATTCTCTCGTCGTCCTCCGTGTTGGGGGCGGGATTCACGGGCTTGGGTGCCCATACGGATAGAGAGTTGAGCTTGAATGGTAGGTAGGTCCAGATTGATGACAGGGCCTTGTCCAGTTGAGTATACTTCATCAAGTTTACTCTTAATGAATGCTTTGTTCCATTCGCGGAGGCCTATAAAAAATAGGTCATGAATAAGGTTGTCAAATGAAGCTTCTTTTATAGCATGAAGGCGGTCTACTATCCTAGTAAACGCAGATTGGTAGGATAGGTAGTCATTGTCTTTTATATAGAGCTCCTTGAGCTCTTTTATGAGAAGCATTCGTTCTTCACCAGTAGAACGTCCGAAAAAGGTAGCAGTTCGGTCCCATAAACCATGGGCTGATAGGTCATATGTGTTGCCCAATTTGTCAATGGCTTGGGCAGTCATAGCATGAAGCATTCAGGCTCTCATGACAGTGGCTTTGCAATGCCATACTTCAGCATCATAAGCTGAGTATCCTGCTGGAGGTATATCCTGATGCAAGACTGTACTAGCGTTCAGGACATTGGCTTCTCTTTGAATGGCTGAACTCCAGGGGTCGTAATTATCATGAGACAGTGTGATTCGGCATCGGTCTGGTAGGAGCGCTTTAACTTGAGCTTGTACATGATCAAAAGGATCTTTTTGTACTGGATTTGAGGCTGGAATAGCCGCATTATTTTGAATATGATTGTAGGGAGTAGCGTTATGCCGGACTGTTGGAGTGGAGGATTGGGATTGACGGCGTTCAAGGGTATTAAAACGAGTCATGAACTGGTCCATCTGCTTCTGCATTTGTTCCTGCATCTGTTCCTGCATCTGCTGGAACAGAGCTGTGATGTCTGGTGTGGATGCCATGGTGTTGGCTGTAGTAGAGCTTTGAGCTCTAGGGGCAGTTGGGGTGTCCATTTCTTCAGAGATTACTGAGGAGGCGGAGGAGCCTATATCTGATGAAGGATCTGTGGATTCTGGCTGACGACGGTGACGTCTAGCGGTGGTAGGGGGCGTTCGAGGCACCACCATTTTGGATGGGATCGATCGAAGGATCCTGGGGTTCAGGGGCCGATTGTTGGCGGTCCTGGTGTTCAGAGTCGCTTAGAAGCGCTCGATTTCTGGTTTGACCAATGAGAGGTCACAATTTAGCCTATCTGAAAGGCTTTTTTAAGCTCAATATCGTAGAGCTAAAACGGGCTCATAACCTAATGGATAGGCGCATGTATGTTCATATTACTAGGTAGGCCTGCCTGTGCCGTGAGATAGGTAGCGAGGGCGGTCTAGGACGGCAGTACCTCACGTGTACTAACAGAAGCTGCGATGAAGCCGTGATTATCACGATTGACCAAACTTAATAAGTGACAATGACATTGGTATTAGGCTTCTTTTCAGCACACTGAAGAGTGTGCATCCAGCTAAAATATGTCACGTCAAGCTAGTTATCTCCATCCGATACTGGTCGTCCTCGTGCTCCTTTCTTGTGTCTCATTTGCTCTCGCATCAAGTAAGTTATACCCGTGACGTCTTTGTGAACTGTCGGACACTCTTCCTTTTCGATCTGGAGAGTCTTTATGCTTCATGGCGTTTTCTGCCATATAGGATATTGTGTATTGATTGGAATGTCATGAGCCTAGCCCCAGTATCTTTTTGCAAATGCACATGTTTCTCCAACAGCACCATCATTCCCCTTGCCCCGGCAAGTGCGGAGTCCTCATCGAACACCCACGGGATCTCCTATTTCTTCAGTCGCAGCATCAGCGAAGATGAAGTCGATACCATAGACGTGAAACGAGATCAGAAACACCGCTCTCTGAGCTGCAACGATTGCAACCGGAAATTCTGTCTTTATTATGATCTGCCTATTTGCAAAGGCGCGAAGGAGGATGACATTTTTACGACTTGCTTCCGTACGATATAGCCCATCCCTATACTTTGTTTGTTGGAGAAAGGTGGAATGGAAAAGATAGTTAATCGTTTCCTTGTTTACGCAGAGAGGGATTCCAAGAAGGACGAAGCCGTGGTCTTTATCTTCATCTTCTCGACCAGCGCTCTTTTAACTTGGGCTGCTTTGAAACCTTGGGTGGGAAGATGGATAGAGGTGCGCATTAATCATCGTGCCCCGCGATTGATTCAACTGGTTTTGTCTACTCCAGACAGCATACTTACCTTTGTTGATAACTTTGCAGGCAGCAAGGGAGCGGAGGGCGTATATACCTGTTTCCGAAAGTGCAACTACATAACTATTTGCATATTCACCGGTTATTGAAAGAAGTTAAGACAGCGTCTTGCCACGTTGATTTTGTTAGCGGATCTCTATCAAGTAGTACCATTCCGTTTTCGTATATACATTTTTGAAAATACCTCATTCCTACTCCTGTCTATCACTGGCTTGCACGGGAGATACGGGGCTGATCCAGATTTTGGGTATTTTTAATGAATTCCAATATGTTCACAGACACATGTAGGCGGCCGTTTAGAGTAGGTTCCATGGATAAGCCAGTATGTCTCTGGCTCTGGTCAAATAGGCAGTACGGGCGCTGAGGCTTTCAATGGTCTAAAAAGGTGAAAAAAAAAAAACGCATAATAAACAATAACAATAGTTAATGATCACTGTGGAGATTTTCCTATCAGCAAACAACCTGCTGCAGGCTGATGTGCAGAAGCGCAGATCAAGTACTTTTGACTTGGCCTGGCGACAAGAAAGCCGGGAAGCCTTGAAATTGAAGCCCGGCAAGTCGCAACCACCATAGATAACACCAGCCTGGCCAATAGTCATGTATCAAGAAGCATCCCTTCGTTATGTCTATCTCCCAGATATGACGTTGATTTGTGTTCAGATGAGACAGACAGGAATTCCTGGTACGTGCTGCTCATTCCGAACGTCGAAAAGCGTGGAGGCAGCAAGCAGACAGACGATTCTAGAAATGACGCACCCTGAAGCTCCATTGCTACCAAGTAATCTCTCACGCATTTCATCCTTTTTAAGCTGTTTGTTCCAGGTCGAGAGCTAGGTAAAAAGAAAAACAGGCTAGCCATAGCTGAGAATAACTCCGTAAGAATCTCAGACAGCTAAGAAGAAGAAAAAATGGCAGTAACGCACCAGGGAAGACCAACGACCTCGGGCAAGTTTCCGACAACACAACTGTTTTTCTTAGGTACCTTGCTTTTTTCTTCCCCTCCTGTGTATACCTATGCTCGCTGCTGACAGGCCTCGAATAGCAATATGTCGTTTCGCAGAGCCGATTGCCTTGACTTCCATCTTCCCCTACTCGTGGGTGATGGTCAAGGACTTCCATCTGGTTGACAGCAATGCAGCCTCCTTGTATGCTGGTGTTCTCATCTCGGCCTTCTCCCTGGCTGAGGCGCTTACTAGCATGTTTTGGGGCGGCCTCTCAGACCGCGTCGGCCGTAAGCCTGTGCTTCTTCTGGGCTGTTTCGGTACCATGATCTCTATGTTGCTCGTGGGGTTTGCTCCCAATTACTGGGTCGCACTTCTGGGAAGAGCAATGGGAGGTGCGCTGAATGGGAACATCGGTGTCATTCAGACAATGGTTGGGGAATTAGTCAAGAAGCCTGAGCATGAACGTAACGTTTTTAAATATATAATTTTAACGAATGGCGGCTGATGAATGTCTTTCTACCAGCTCAAGCCTATTCCGTGATGCCATTTGTCTGGTCGATGGGAACGGTTATAGGACCAGGTATATCGTCATTTTTCGCTTCTTCAGAGCGTCGGTTGCAATGATCTGACGTGGCCTGCTATACAGCAATCGGGGGGATACTTGCAAAACCTTCCGAGAGATATCCTTCTCTGTTTCCCCCAGGTGGCCTTTTTGGGAAATTTCCTTATCTTCTTCCGAACCTTGTTTGTTCTGCATTGCTTCTCATCAGCATCATTAACGGATGGTTCTTTTTACAAGAGACCCATCCCACGTTGCAGGCTGGGAATGCTCCGGTCGACCCTTATGACTCACCAGCAGAGTCCGCCCTTTTACCACCTGCTGAAGCAGAAGAGGCATGCTTAGGAGCCAGTACATATGGGACCTTTAACCAGGTCCATAAATCATATGCGGATGAGGAGCAAGCAATGCAGATTGACTCACCCAAAGCTGGTGCAAGGTCGCAGGAGCTACGCGTTTTCACTTGGCGTGTCGTCACGCTTGTCCTTGCTCTGGGAATTTTCAGCTACCATTCAATGACCTATGATAATCTGCTGCCAATTTTCCTACAGGATGAAAAAAATACTGCCGCTGGGAAGTCAGTCTTGAGCATCCCAGGTGGACTTGGCCTATCGACCCAAACCGTCGGCCTGATCATGTCAGTTGACGGCGTCATCGCACTATTCGTCCAAAGTATCATCTTCCCTGCACTGGCCAAACTATTGGGTGTATGGAGATTATTTGCCGCTGTGACCATCCTACACCCCGTGGTCTACCTCATTGTCCCGTTGCTCGTCTTCGTGCCGCAGCAACTGCTGACTTTCGGGATTTATGTGTGCCTTATAATCCGGAATACTCTCCACATCATCGCCTACCCTGTTTTACTTATTCTCATCAAGCAGGCAAGTCCCTCAGACTGCTGTCTGGGGAAGATCAACGGCTTCGCCGCGTCTGCCGGTGCGGCTGCTCGCACGGTTGCCCCGCCCGTCTCAGGATTCCTTTACAGTGTCGGCTTGCAAATCGGCTCCACCGCTATTCCATGGTTGGGAAGCACCTTTGTCGCGGTTGTTGGTACTCTGCAGCTGTGTTTTATCGATGGGAAGCCGTCAATTTCATCTATTTCATCTAAAGACTCCTTCGATGTCTCTCGTCACTCGAATTTGGATGAACGCTCCTCGTCGGAAATAGACGATCTTCTATACTCCCATTTACCGGATTGAATAGGTTGTGGAAGATGTCTAGTCAATAATCAGGGTAATATAACTGGAAGCAGTATGGCGCTAGAGTGCTGGATTTCCTGGATAATTCATCTTCTTTGGTTATCGTTCTCATATATGCCCGGCTGGTATTAATTAATGGTAGCTCTGCCAGCTATAATTGTGCAACTGTAGCTGTTAGTGGAATTCATCTGTGTACACGGTGTACTTGTAGTAGCATTGATGATATCACACTCCAATGCTAATATTATACTGCTAAGACATGGTCACCGCCTAGCAGCAGCCCACCATCCCAAACAGGACTAGCTTTGTTTACAATGCATCCCAGCAACGGACGTCAGGGAAAATAAAACAACCTGGTTCTTCCCCAGTTGCTAAGTCTTTGACGATTACTACTGTCGAGAACCCACTCAAGCAAAAAAAAGTATAACATTAAATTCCCGAATCAGAGTTCTTAAATATCATTTTTTTTTTGGCCCGGCAAGAACTATTTATCAACTACCTTTGTTGATAACATACCAGTTCGAATCCACCCGCGAGACGACCAGACCGTCTCTTCTCGTCCGTCTTCATCATGTCGAGGCCGCTATCCCCTTTGACGCCTTTGAAACAAAACCAAAGTCAGAACATGCGGCTATTTTCGCCAGCAACCTCCGATAAGTCGGTAATCGTGCAAAGAGGCATGGATGCCGCCATCGATCTGGACGATTACAAAGAGAACGTTTATTCGAGTCCCTCTGACGAGTTCGATGCGAATGAGGTGGATGCAGGTACGCCAGTGGATTGGAAGTTGGAGAATAATTCGGATTCTTCGCGGAGATCATCTGGGCTTGGTGAGCTTACTTCGACTTCGAGAAAGCGGTCGTATGATTTTCAGGGATTGGATGGGAGCTCAGATGAGAGGACCAGAAAGAGCGTTAATAGGGGGGAGAGCCCAATTATCGATATCTACAGAGATAATGACGATGACACCAGACATGAAGAGGGGCTAGCGGACGACAGCGCCAGGCAGGAGATGGGAAGCAGCATGGTGGAGGATAACCAAGAGGGGAGCATAAGCACTGTTTTCCACGAGGCTGCTTCTGATAGCAAAGAGGAAGCAGGGCGCAACTCCAATTCCGACGATGACGATATGAGCGATGACTTCCAGGATCCTATGGATGAAACTCACCTTAGTACCTTTTCTGCTATTCCGGACATGACGACGTTTGCGCAGCTACGAGAGTCGTCGACGAATATGCTTGGGCGAGATGATCGATCTAGTCCAACTCGACATGAAGGTTTAGCAAACAATAGCATTGGATCGACGATCCCAGGAACCGTCAGAGAGACATACAGAACAGGCGCTCTGTTAGATGGTAGCTCTCCTGTCGTGTCCCCTACGCCCCGAAGGGCTAGAGATTCGATGAGGCAAGTTGAAACTGGAAACTTGCTGGACTTTACAGACCAGATAAATTTCACACCGCGTCAGTCTTACAGTATGCAGAATGCTCTACGTTCCCCAATTCGGAGGTCGCCATTCAAGGTCGGACGACCATCCAGGTCCCCTACAAAGTTCTCGCTGCTTGATTTTGACATTCCTCCGGCACCGACTCCAAGGTCCATTCCTTCTGTCACGCCTCGCGAATTGGAGTCTTTGAAATCTGGATTTCTCTCTGAAATATCTTCATTAAAAGCTACGCTGAGCGGAAAGGAGGCTGAAGTGACAAGCCTTAAGCAGTCAGTCGCGGATGCAGAGAGGCGCGTTGGGGAAGCTCTGGAGGGAGTCAGAACGGAGTCTGCTCGCAGGGAAACGCTGGAGATGGAGCAAGCCGAGTGGATGCAAAGAAGCAAAGAGATGGAGACCGTTTTACGAAACATCAAGGCTGATATGATCGATGGGGAGCGGGAAAGGGAACGGTTGAGAAAGAAAGCAGAAGAGTCGGAAAAGGCCAAAGAGCAGTTGGAGGGTAAAGTCGTGGAACTCAACAGTCAACTCTCGGCAGCGCGGAAGTCGGAAGCTAGTGGAAACAGTGGTCCCAGTGGAAATGCTTCCGGCATAAAGACGGCTGAGGAGACTGCAAACGAAGTCCAGGATGCTGTCGAAAGAGTCGCCCGGGAGCTGCATATGCTGTACAAAGGCAAACACGAGACCAAAGTAGCCGCCTTGAAGAAGAGCTACGAGGCACGCTGGGAGAAGCGTGTTCGCGAAGCCGAGAGCAAGTTGAAAGCCGCCCTTGCGGAGAATGAGACCTTAAAGGCAGAGCTAGACGCTGCTTCGTCTAAGACCGCAGACCCTAACTCTAGCATGTTCATTCAGGCAAATGAGGAGCAGGCAGCGGAGAAGCGTGTGCTGGAAGCACAAATCAAAGGCCTCGAGCAAGAACTAGCCTCCGTGAAGGAGGATAGTGAGCGCGTACGTGCGGAGTTGAAGATGGAGAGGGCGGAGAAGGGCGAGCTTGTCGCGGCCGTTGACGAGTGGTTGGCTATGCAGCAGAACCAGCCACCAGCCCAGCAGGAACAAGCGTCTCAAAGGAACTCCGAGCCTTCTAGTCCGCAGGAACAGAAACCGCAAGAATCAGAGACGACAGCCACCGAGCCCGAGCAGCAGCCAGACAACAACTTCCGTCGAAGTGTCAGCCGCGGGGGTGTAAGTGGCATACGGCCACCAAGCGGCAGCATTTCGAATGGAGAGAAGAAGATACCGAAATATGGCGGAACTCCTGGACGCCCATATGCCAGAACAAACAGCGGGGGAAAGTCTGGGATTGCGGTCTTCACTCCGGGCCGGGGTGGGATCATGAGCTCGATCGAGCGTATGGGCCGGGGTGTATGAGGTTGGGACCTATGGAGTAGGCAATTTTTGTTTGTTTTCGGTTCTTGTTGGTGTTGGACATTGCTGCTACTGGTTCGTTCATGATATCCATGCCATGCCTAGGCGTTTTAAGACGGAGTGTATTAGTTGCCAAGAGGACAAGTCTCCTTTGATACGATTCATGAGTTCGGGTGTTGAATTCGAGTTCCTTTTCAGTTGTTAGTAGGCATTGCAGCTCGCTTGCTCTATTGCTTTTCGTAGTTAGAGTTGGCTTGAAACCCCGCCACAATTTATTTACCTTTTGAGATTGATGCATCAGTCGGATTGAGCTGTACAGTAGCGTAGAAGGATTATTGGATCCGATGTACGGAGTATATGTACCCTGCAGCTGGAAGACCGAGCTGCATAGACTCACGGACGAACGGGCATATGAAAAAGGCGCAGACTAATGTACTATGTCTAGTAGTCTACGTCGTCTGCTCCGCGGTAATTAATCGCTATGCATTGCATACGCCTGCATATGTAGGCAGTTCTAAGTTCTCGGCGTAGATAGCCAGCGCCGGACGGGGGGCATCGTACGGGGTACATTCAACCTTGACAGATATGGGATATGACATTGGCAAATAATAGCAATACAGTGACTTGGCTGGACTGCACCATCGACCCGTGTTGCATGGATGGCGAAGGTGACAGGAGCTTGGACCGGAAGAATCCGTAGTGTACTTTATACTTGTATGAATATGACGCTGTTGCTATCTACCTTGTAGGCTATGGTCAGACTGGACTTGTCCGATTAATTACTGTGGCCTGAGATGTCTTTCAGGTTGGCAATTAATTATTATTATTATTTATTGATAACTTATAGCTTAGACCCTTCAATCTGTAGACCCACCAAGGTCCATCAAGTTAAACGACACGACGTCAACGACAGATGAAGCTCTTCACTGTCGACGATCGATCAGGGGGAGGGATTAATATGGATTAATATAATATGTTATATGGTACTCATAGATCTGTTCAATAGAGAAATAAAATGATGGATCATCCCCTCGCCAAGTCCGCCAAGCCATCCAAAGCCCGGCCATATTCCGGATTTGCTGGACAGGGATCGACAGTCAGTCAGATGTTTTACCGTCAAGAAGAATAATCCCCATGGCTGTGCAGTTGATTATTTCAACTTCGGACCGCCATCGGGATAGTGCGGAGTTGGAGCTTAAGTACAGAGTAGTAAGAATAATTGCCCCTCGGATTCATTCCAATTCAGCGCTATTTGCAAGAAAGGGATGGCTCCGTATTGTAATTTCATACCCCATACGTTAAACCTGGACTAAGAGCAATATAATGACAGGGGTTTTCCTGTCAGAAAGTCAAATTATTACTGGGAATGATATCATGGTTTTCATCTCATGCAGACATTTCATTTATATGCTCTCCTCTGACGTACATGAACCAGACATTGCTAATACGCTGCATTTGAATTTCCTCTATCCTGGAGGCAAGGGGCAAGACAAGACAGAAGAAACTACCCCAGGATCCGGGGCCGTGGCAGATTCTGGGGCGGGAGTGGCTTCCCCAGTTCTCAGCGATGTTGGGGGAAGGTGGGGTGGGTTGGCGGGGTCCTATGACTGAGTAAAGTTCAACGGTGGGTCGGTCATGACCACCACTCGGAGTCCGTGGTGCCTCCGTCATTGGCCTTGTCCATGGAAATCGCTCAGGTTGTACGTGTAGTAGCGAGACCGGAATTATTTATTATAAGGGATGATAATAGGGATAATAGAAAATATACTGAGGCAAAAAAAAAAGAGAACAAGGAAATCTAGAAGGACGTACAGGTCCATTCTATCTATAGAGATGGATCCGTACGTGTCGTGTCCATGTCTCCATGAGAATATTATAATAAAAATGAAACGGTTGGTCAAGTGACAGTGCTAAATATTGTGACTCTCGGTTTCCATTCCCGTGACTGCACCCAAACAAGCGACATGGTCCGATGGATCGGCCAATAATTGACGGATAGTTGTCATTTAGTTCCAGCGTGTCCGGCAAAATTCAAGAATAAAGCTCCGAATACGGCACTTCAAGCCACATGGCCCACTGCAAGCAATTTTTATTTACCTATTATTTGTTTATCAAAAAACGCGGCTAGTGACCGCTAGTCTCGGAGATTCTATCAGACTCCATGCGTATCCATGCTGGAGCAAGAGAAATATTTATTTTGACTGTAGCTGTTTTAGGTACCGACAGTAGTAATGAGCCCGCTCAGTTACAAAGAAGATAGCCCTCTGAAAAAGAAGAAAGAAAAGAAACAAGGGGTGCCTGATTAAAGTCGGGCGTGCCTTGGAGGTGGACCCACGTGATCGGACCGGCGTTCTGCACCAGAAAAGGAAAGCAACGCCAGGCTGGTGACGACAGACGCCGAATGGGGAAGGATCCCTCGAGGGTGGGCCTTAAACCACGTTCGAGTTAGCCCCTAGAGGCGCTGGGCCCCACTATATTATACCAAACATGGCTAGCTCATCCTCCCCGGTTGCCCAGAAGGTCGAAGCATATTGAGCGTCGTCTTCCTCTTCGCCGACGCTGCGCTTATGAATATTGCTGCAGCGTGAGTCGCTCCCCACAGAACTGGCCGGACCGTCTGTATTAACTAACTTCCAAGTGTCCCTGTGGAATCATTCTCTTCTCCCGCTGAATCCTGGGGCGGCAATCATCGCTGCGGTGGATCTGGGGCTTGCCGCTTGAGCTTCTCGTCATTATTTAAACAACCCACTGCTCCAACGCGTCCCCGGTCCTTTTTTTATAATCGATCCCCTTGCAGGCCCCAGGGATACATATATCTTTTTTTTTCCTTCTGGTTATAAAAATAAAATAAAAAAGCCTCAAAAAAAAAGAACTATCTCCGCTCTTCCCTTTCGTGTTAATCGCCTTGATCCTTATTGTTCCTACTACTACCGCCTATACTCCAAGTATATTCACTCCCATTGCCTCATATATTGTGCTATACATGTTCTTTTCTACTTCCATCGCTTAACCCAGCTTCTTCCTCACAACTGCTACAATGGCTGCCGTCAATTCGCCGTCAACGGAATCCGACCTGCAAAGCAAGCGCAAGGCTTCCACTGCCGGCCTTTCCTCCAGCAATCGCCCCGTGAAAAGGAGAGCTTCCAAGGCATGCTGCTGCTGTCGAGCCCGCAAAGTACGCTGCGATGTGGTAGAGAGTGGCTCTCCCTGTACAAATTGCCGTCTGGATCAGGTAGAGTGTGTTGTTACTGAGAGTAAACGCAGAAAGTTAGTCCATGTCAAAAAGCATCACGTACCAACTTCAATCCCCTTTCTAACCTGCCAATTTTTGCTGCTCCTCAGGAAGTCTCGTATGGAAGTAGAGAGTTCCAACTCGATTGGCTTGTCTACTTGTCCGTCCGACGAGAATGGCTCCCTCTTTGGAAGACCAGCAGATGGACTGCCCATCATCTCTCCGGCTTCTCCTCAGAACTCTGTAAAACTCGATCAATGTCAACATATGCCGCATCTTCTCTGTTCGTACCGCTGCAGATACCCTCCCTTTCTTTCTCCGTTGCTAATAACACCTACTAGACCAAAGCCAGGCTCGTCGCATCGATTCCAAGGACTGCCAGCGTGGGCAGTCAGTCGCCAGTCCTTCAACTCCCGCCAATCTTTCTCTTCATCCAACCTCGCCTGTACGACCATTGATGAACTCCCCACCCTTCTCTACCTTTGGCTCCAGCGGTCTGCTACCGGACTATATCAGCCCACTTCCCCAGCGCTTTCAGAAAGAGGACATTGACTATCTAACGACCAAGGGCGCATTGACCCTGCCAGACCTTAACCTCCGGAATGAGCTACTCAAGAGTTTTGTGCATTACGTACATCCATACTTGCCTATCCTGAATCTAGAAGATTTCCTCCAGACAATCGTTGCAAATGATGGGGTTCATCGCCTGAGCCTTCTGCTGTTCCAAGCTGTCATGTTTGCTGGTACTGCCTTTGTCGACCTCAGACACCTTCAGGCCGCCGGTTATTCTACCAGGAAAGCTGCTCGGAAATTGTTCTTCAAACGCGCCAGGCTACTATATGATTTCGACTATGAAGTGGACCGGATATCCCTTGTGCAGTCGCTGCTATTGATGACCCATTGGTACGAGACGCCGGATGACCAGAAAGACACCTGGCATTGGATGGGCGTGAGTTTGTCGCTCGCACACACCATCGGGCTGCATCGCGATCCCGCCAACTCGCGTATGGATGTGCGGCGCCAGCATCTGTGGAAACGGATTTGGTGGAGCACCTACTGTCGGGACCGTCTGATTGCGCTGGGGATGAGACGCCCTATGCGCATCAAGGACGATGATTGTGACGTCCCCATGCTGACTCTGGATGACTTCGAATTTAAATCCCTGTCATCGGAGGTTGTCAATATGGTCGGAAACTCGGAGATTCTTACCAATGTGGATCACCAGAGACACCTCGCCCTCATGTTCATTGAGAAATCCAAGCTCTGCCTGATCATCAGCCGCGTGCTATCAGCACAATACTCGGTTTTGAGCCACAAATTTGGCGGAACAATGGAGACTACGATGATGTTGGTCCCGAAGAAGTCGTCAGCGGAAGCGATCGAAGTTAGACGCTGCGACCAAAAGTTGGAGGATTGGCTGGCCAATATTCCCCCTCAGATTCAATATGCCCCCTGCATGTCCTTCAAGCTTACAGAAGCAGAGGAGGTGTTGCATTCCCATCGGGCTCTGCTCAAAATGATCTATCTTTCAACATCAAGCGCGCTCCACCGTCCTCAGGTACTGCCAGCCATGCCAACTCCGTCTGTTGATGCGGAGCTGCAGGAGACGTCTCGGAAGAAGGTGCGGTTTGCTGCGGTGGAAATAACCAATGTTGCTCAGGACCTCCATAATCTGGATCTGACTCGATTCCTTCCGACCACGGGTGTGACGGTAATTCTTCCCGCCGTCATCATCCACCTGCTTGACATCAAGGCAAGCGATCCGAGTGTCCGAATGACCAGTCTCCACCGCTTTTATCAATGCATGCGGATTCTCCAGCGACTAAGGGAGATCTACGCGTCTGCCGACTTTGCGACATCCTTCTTGGAAGCTGCCATTCGCAAGGCCGGGATTCAAGTTAATCTTCCGCAGTCGGATGTGCCGCCACAGGTGCAGCCCGACTACAGCCAGTTCCGATTCGATACGACGATGCGAGCCAACGCATTGACGCCCCCGCCAGATTCCTTGGCGCAGAAACTACCGGACCTCACCTACCCCAAACAACCGACCGTACCGCAAGTACCGGAAACGAACATGTTTTTCGCTTCAACACCGCCACGTTCCGAGGGCAGTGAGAATGGTAGCACAAATAACATCAACCCGGACTACCAGCCCAAAGCTTTTAGCATTCCCAACGAAGACGATCCGAACATGAGCTTAAATGAACTCATGGATCTGGCTAACGAGGCTGAGGTGACGCAGAACGATTTCGACGCGCTCATCAATTTTGATGAAGCTGGCGCCGACCTGTTTGCGGCCGATGATGGACTGGACGGGCCAAACGGCAAGGTCTACGGCTTCGACTTGGGTAACATTTCCTATGCTGGACTGGGAGATGCAACACTCAATGCTGACTGTACGACCGGCCTGATGGATGCGGCTACAGATGGTCTTCAATCCGAGACAAGCCATATTGACGTTGACTCCAAACTGGGGCTAAGTCTTGATTCGTGATTATTTTTTTTTTTTCTTTTCCTGCTCCCTTTCTTTTCAAGTAAATAGTTTTCATTCTACTTGAATTATTATTATTTATCTTTCATTGTTTTCCGAGGTCGATGACGAGTGCAACGACGTATATGTATATATCCTTCGTGTAACGGCGGTTTTTCCAATTATTGCAAAGGTTTCCTTAGTTGGATAACGGTCATGTGAATACTGTTCTTTCTTCAATGGATGAGATGTTACACAATCGAAGTGCACACAAGTAGATATCTGGAAAGAGCTTTGACCTGGAGACATCGAAGCCGATGCAGACTAGCAGACTAGGTAATGACTCGGAACCAGCCATCCTTTCGGAATGGAAGAGAAGATAAGAAAGGTGCCAGACCAGTGCTGGAGAAATTGAAGTAGAAGTCGGCCGAAATTGAACTGAACTGAATTGATTGAACTATACTCCGTAGCGACGTACGGGTTGAGAGCAAATTGGAATTGAATTATATATTTTCTTTTGCTTTTTTTTTTTTTTTTTTTTTTTTTTTTTTTTTTAATTTGAAAGACCAAAAAATAATGGCAGTTAAGGATCAGACACTGCAGAAGAATGTAAGGTAACAATGTCTATGGAATCAGCCTTCGTTTCATAGACGTATACAGTAAATATCGCACCTCACTTATCACATAATCAAAACAACATTAAAAGGTGATTATAGATAATTAAATGTTACCGGTGTATGCATGTATCTATCACCATAACATGTATCAGATCATTGTCCACCTGTCAAATAGGTAGGTATGTATGCATCATAGTAGATAGGTAGGAACGCTACGGATGGATATCTATTAACCTATCCCACAACCCTGATGTTGGTGCTGGTGTCCTGTGGAGATGTGGAGTTAACAGTTACTAGAACACGAACACGATGCTACCGTAGGTTCAATGGAGATGTTACTGTTACTACCTAACTACCTAACTCGCCAGGTCTCCCGTTTCAATTCAATTCAAGGTATGGATATAGATATGGATATACATGGATGGCGGAAGTAACCCGAGATTCGATTCCGTGTAATAAATGAATGAATTATTAGATAGGCTAAGTAGGCTTTTTGGTTTGCTTCGGAACTATCGATTTGCTTTCCAATGATTCTTCTGTCATATCTAGGTCAATGTGTAGATGAACTTTGTGTAGCTCGATATCATTGATTGTCGCAATATTCAGTTTGGAATTCTCATGTGCCTTCTCCAATGCATAGATCACAATGTAAAGACCAGGTAGATGCCGTTCACCATTCCCAGAGCTCCAGATGCGCCTGACTCCGGTTAAGACGAGATAAATTAAATCCAGCCGAACAAGACAAGTCCAATAAATAGAATCCCGCTTCATCGCCCATGTAAGTCCCAATCCGAAGATGCTAGTATTTATTTCGCTGTTACACTCTCACTCTCACAAGCCGGCTGTGAATCAATCTGATCCTTGTCAGCGGTATCAACACCCAGGACTTCCATAGGGGTCTCATCGGAGAACTGGAGATCGCCATCGACATCAGTATGCTCCTTGACTTTGAAGAAGATGATAGGCGCTGCAATTACAAGACTTCCCATAAGGAGGCCCCAGCAGGAAGCGAATTCGGTCATGAAACTTGCATTCTGCGCGTCCATGCTATTTAAAGAAGACACCGTTAGCATTGTAAGGTATTCATCTGCTGGATTGTCTTACGCTAGACTTACCGCCACATTCCTGCAGCACCTGCAGACTGAATACCCTTGTAGAATCCGGCGAAGTTCGCCAGCTTGCGGCTGTTGTTGGAGAGAGAGCCCATGAACCTTTTTTCCAGGGAAGATGACAGAGTCAACGGAGATGATCTTGATGTAACATTGGCTATGCTGGAGCCCCGAACTTACCAATAAGTGCATGTCTGGAAGGCAGCATCGTAAAATCCATAGAACATGTAGAGGAACATGGGTCCGACGTAGCCGCTATCGGTGAAATCCTTTGTTGCCTTCACCGTTTCACGAGTATACTGCTCCTGAAAAGCATAGCCTCCGCCCCAGATTCCCATGGTGACTGCCAGCAGAAGAAAGTAATTGATCCTAGCTCGGACAGGACGTGAGAACCATTTCAAGTCGAGGGTCTGGCCGAAGAGCAGAGCGCCGATCATCTGGCTAAGCCAGTAAAGCAGGCTGTTGAGCGACCGGGTGCGGATGTTGAAATAGGCCCCATTGACGCTGTTGAAGTGATACGCGTAGAACCAATTGCTGGCCAGGAACATGGGGAACATCAGGATGATGTAGTAGTCGCTACGCAGCGTCCCCAGTAGACCGATGAATTCAGACTTCCAGGTGGGATGCTTCATAGCGATGACACGAGATCCATCCCGACGCATGATGTACTTGGACTCTGTCAGGCCCCAAGCGAGGATGAAGCCAGCCGCCATAAGAACCATGAAGGCGATGTAAGTTCCATCATTGACTCTGCCCACAGTGGAATGCATATTTTCACCCAGGGGGATCTAGATGGGCAGAATACATCAGCGAGATGTAAGAAAAGAAAAGTGAAGAGCAGAGGGATGTGTCCATCCTTACCAGACTTCCAATGACACCACCGAGATTAAAGATTACCCAGAAAATGGAGATGAATTTTCCCTTTTCATTTTCCAGTGGGTAGCTCATCATGACGGCGCCCTGAGCGCACCAGAGCAGTCCACCGCAAACACCAAGCAGGGCGCCTGCAAAGATCAAGAAACCAGCATTCTGGTTGTGGTTATAGGACAGAAGCGACGCGACATATAGAAAGTAGCCAAAGCCGCCCAAGGAAAGGGTCAACTTGAGACCGATCCGATTGGCAATGGAACCGGCGAAGAAACCGACGACTGCAAAGGTACTGTATAAAGCCGTATTTGAATCACTGACATCGCGCATGTTCACCTGGCCACCACCTCCAAGACCGCTGACAGCGTTGTACATGCCCGGGCAGAGAAAACAGACGAATGCGACCAACACCAGCTGAGTCTCAGGCGACGCAAACCAAGGCAGCACTAGCGGGCCGATCTTGATGGGCTTATACATCCATGGCTTTCCCGTGGCGGTATGGTCCTCACCACCTTCTACATCGGGAGCATTGACGGCTTCATTAGTCTCGGCTTCAGTACTGATGCTCTGTGTCTTTGTAGCATCCATGACGCTGATGGAAATGGAGGAACTCCTGACGGTGGATCAGCTGCTTGGGCGAGATCGATTACTGGTGGGTCCAGGAGAGAGGCAAAAAAGGGTACCGTGAAAGGGGTTGTTGGTTGGATGAAAGAATGACAAGCTGGAGAAGAAAAGAGGGATAATATAAATAAATGATGATGGAGAAGAGGAAGACCCTGAACTCACTTTGATATCAAGACAGACTATTGTTTTACTATTTCTGGGGGAAGAGTCCACTTGTGCGATCTTCAGGCGTTGCGAGAGCTGGTCACGCGATATGGGAAATGCTGAAACAAATTCTCCCTCGACCAGCAGACAATAAAGAGAGATGGAAGACCCAAAGTGAGGCAATTGGAATGGGGAGCTTGAGAAAAGAAAAATAGAAGGTCCCAACGGACAGCTAATGCGTCCATTACTCGTTACTTATCTCTACATGTTCTACTCGGTACTCGACACTGGCGATGAATGAATGATACCTGAAGAGAAACATTGAAGCAGTTCCCAGATGTGACGTGGAGCACTTCGTAAGTTGAGCGAGATAGCTGAGTTGAATTGATAATATCTGACATTAATTGGAATGGACACTTGTCGTAGATGCTATCAGCAGAGGTCAACTGGAGGACGAACTGTGGGTATTTGTAGATCGAAGCCATGGACGATGACCCGGCGGTCCGTCTGCCTGGCATTCTATCATTAGCACAAGCCAGCTCCTAATTTGGAAATCTTGAAGCCCGTCAGATTCAGCTGGGCCAGCAGGCTCAGCAGGACGCAGGAGTTCTTCTACCTAGAATTGGGAGTTCTCAGAAGTGAGTCTTCGAGGTGCATTGGATGATGTAGATGATAACAATACGAATATTGCATGCAGCAATACCCCTGTATCATGCTGAGTGGCTCCGTGGAGAGTGTATATGTAGCGTAGCAGCGGTGCAGCACTGGATGGAGAAAGAAGCCTCAGGCATCTTGTTACTAATCCGTCTGTATGTAACCCTGTGTTCATTGTTACATACCATACGGTATTATACCATACCGTAAGTGACAGTCCGTGACTAGCCCTGATGGCCCAAAGCGGCAACTCCTGCGTTTCCGTTGCATTCCATCCATCTTCAACGCCTCCGGAGTATGCCCGGCGTGTTACCGGCTGCAGAACTGCTGAAGCAACCGTCCATGTCGCATTTCTCGGCATCCCGTCGACTATTGACGTCACATCTGCAGACTGTGACTCTGCAGGACGAGGATGGCAACCTGTCAGAGCATGTCTAGTATACTCCATGCTACCTAGGTACTCTACTCCGTACTCCGAACTCGATCGTTCTGGTATCTCAGATGCCTTTTTTTTTTCTACGGAGTATATTATTATTTGGCTTGTCACTTCACATGTTATTTCTATCGTTTGCTTTGCAGCTTGTCTTCTCTCATTAAAGATTCTCTGCTATCCCTAACTAACTTTGACTTGGACTATCTGATTATTAGATCTTTGTCTCATCTCCCTTATCAATCAGGTATAACCTCCGCTTTCGTCATGCCAGGCAAGACTGCTTCAACGCCTCGTATCACCAAATTCACCAACTGCCGCATCATCAACGACAACAAGCTCATCGAGCAGGACCTCTGGATCGACTCCATATCTGGTAAAATCGTTAAAGACCAGCAAGCATTCTACGAGCTACACCTCTCCCCCGATGAAGTCATCGATCTTGGAGGCCGCATCCTTGCACCGGGCTTTATCGAGGCTCAATTGAATGGTGCTCATGGCTTCGATTTCTCTGTTCCTCAAGCCTCCAAAGAACAGTATGACGAGGGTTTGCGCGAAGTTAATAGGGAGCTGATCAAGACCGGTGTGACATCCTATTTGCCTACCGTCGTTAGTTCGACTGCAGAGGTCTACTGGAAGGTGTGAAGCTTTAACACTCGCAGCTCCGCTGAAAGTCTTCCTTACTAATATTATTTCCCCCTTTCTCAGGTTTTACCATCTTTGGGTCCATCTGGAGATGCCCGTCGCGCAGAGGACGGTGCAGAGTCGTTAGGTGCCCACGTTGAAGGCCCATTCATTAACCTCCGACGTAACGGAATCCATAAACTGGAAGTCCTTCGTGCTGCCCAGACCCTCAGCGATGTCATTGAATGCTACGGTAAAGAGAATTTATCCGAGAGCGTACCAGCCGCGACTCGGAGCCCGATCAAGATGATCACTGCAGCCCCCGAGGTCGGCAACATGATGGACAATATATCTTCGCTCGTCTCCCGCGGTATCGTCTACTCAATTGGACACTCAGACGCCACTTACGAGCAAGGCCTCGCAGCCGTCGAACGTGGCGCAACCATGGTTACCCATCTTTTCAATGCTATGCGGCCCTTCTATCATCGAAATCCCGGCATCTTCGGTCTTCTGGGACAGACTGACCATCCCCGCCCGTTCTACGGTATCATCTCAGACGGAATCCATCTCCACCCAACCTCTATCAAAATCGCCTACAACGCGCATCCAGAGGGACTCATTCTCATTACGGATGCCATGAAACTATGCGGCCTGCCAGACGGCGTCTATGACTGGACCAACGGTGATCGGATCATCAAGGATGGCTCACGATTGACGCTGGAAGGCTCTGACAAGATCGCTGGTAGTTCAGCCACCTTGATCGAATGTGTTAATAATTTCCGTCGATGGACCAATGCCTCAACTGTTCAGACCATAAATGCCGTTACAGCTACCCCCGCACGCATGCTAGGCTTGGAGGGCATCAAGGGTACCCTGCAGAGCGGGGCTGATGCCGACCTTGTCGTTCTCGGAGAGAAATTCGATTCGTTCTCCGGGCATACCCTGACTGTTGATCAAGTATGGAAGTTCGGAGTCAAGGTCTACGATAGTGAGAAGAGTGATTAAGCAAGTGAAAGTGGGAAATCGAAAAAAAAAAAAATTTGCAAGGGTCTTGTTTTGATAGATTTGAGTCAAACGGCGTTTTCCATTCTTTTTCGCTTTTTATCTTATTTGCCAGAGTCTTTAACAGGGTTAGTGAGATATTAATGATAGAAATGCATCATGTAACTAGGTAAAGGTGTATTCTTATGGATGGAAATAAATAAGATGAAATAGAATGTATAGTAACCACAGTGTCTATCATCATTTCTGTCTAATAACGAGTTAACTAGTTAAGACCTAATCACCTTATATAAGTTGGCTGTAATGTAACTTTGTAACTTGAAATATATAATACTTTCTGTTTCATTTCAATGCGCCTCACCAACAACCAAAAGATGCATTTTTCTTCTATCTGGCCCCGCTTTCGTTTCCCGTTCACAATGATGTTGTAGTATGAAAATAGAATAACAATGAGAAAGGAAGAAAGAAAATGCCTCGCTGAAGTATCATGACAAAAAAGAAAAGAAAATAGATTACAGTTTTGGCTGCTCACGGCGCCAACCAGCCTCCTCAGCGATCAACTCAGCCGCCCGTTCTCCAACAGCCAAGACGGTCACCATAGGGTTGATGGTGGTCATCTCGGGGAAGACGCCAGCGTCTGCGATACGAACATTCTTCAAGCCACGAATCTTTAATTGAGGGTCGACGACGGCAAGAGGGTCCCGGGTCACATCTCCCATTTTGGTGGTTCCTGCCGGGTGGTAGACGGTGTGGTGGACGCGACGGCCATACTCAGACAGCTCTTCGTCCGTCTGGACCTTGGGGCCCGGAGCTACCTCACGCTTGATCCAGTTCTTAAATGGCGCCTGCTTGGCGATTTCTCGCGCGGCCTTAAGACCGGCGACGATGGTGGCTGCGTCGTAGCCCTCGGGATCGGTAAAGTAGCGGAAATCCAAAGCTGGCTTAACATTGGGGTCTGCAGATGTCAAGTAGAGCCGGCCACGAGAACGTGGACGAGGGATGTTGGGAGTCATGCAGAAGGCGTCCTTTGGAGTATCATATCCCAGACGAGATGTGTTGAGACAGAACGGGATTTGGTAGCAGTGCATCATGATATCAGCAGCCCGGCCGTCGTCACCGGCAGCATTAGGGGCTTCCCGACGCAAAAAGATTCCAGCGTCGGAATCCATGGTGGTCTGGTTTGGAGGCACGGGGCGGTTGAGCTCCCAGATGATGATAGATTCGGGATGGTCAAGGAGGTTCTCGCCAACTCCAGGAATATCCTTCACCACAGGGATTCCTAGAGAGGTCAGCTGCTGCTTGGGTCCCAGTCCGGAAAGCAGCATGAGCCTCGGGGTATCGACGGCACCAGCGCACAGGATGGTCTCCTTCCTGGCCCGCAGGGTTCGCTTGGCTCCAGATTGCAGTGTGAGATCGATCCCGGTGACAACATCCCCACTGACATTGACGCGGGACACCCAGGCATTTGTGAGGATGGTTAGATTCGGGCGCTTTTCTTCTCCACGCAGAATGGGATGGATATAGGCGACACTGGCACTGCTGCGTCGGCCATCATCCGGGTTGTATGAGACGGAGAAGAAGCCAACACCCTCCGTCAGCTCGCCCTTGCTGCGGATTTCCTTGTTGAAATCGTCGATGATGGGAATGTTCATGGCAGTCGAGCAGGACTGGACCCAGTCCTTACACAGCTGGTTGCGGTGACGGCTGTGGACGGGCTGTATAGTGTTGCGGAGATTGTCAATCACGCGAGTCATGGTCTGGAAAGACCAGCCCTTGCAACCCTTCTTCTCCCAAACACGGCAGTCATATTCGAAGGGGCGGAAGGAGATGAGAGTGTTGTGACTGGAGCAACCACCCAACACCTTGGCCCTGGAGTGATGGATATGGCTGTTACCTGTCGATGTAACTGGTTAGAGCACGGAGATTGTAGAATACAGAGAGCGCGAGAGAGAGAACAAGTCGACATACCCATGGGCTGTTCCGTAGTGGTATAGTCATAGTCAAGCTCGCCTCCAAGCAGGCTGAGCCACTCTTTCAGGAGGAGCACACGGTCATCCATAAAGTCACTGGGACCAGCCTCAACGAGCAGAATGCGCTTGTTGGGCAAGTACTCGGCCAGCCGGCTAGCAATGACACAGCCCGCGGTGCCGCCGCCGACGATGAGATAGTCGTAGCTATTGACATCGCCGGCGGGGAGATCGGAGGTGGTAGCCATGGTGAATGGGATAATAAGAGAGAAAATCAAGCTGGTTGACAGCAAAGACGGGCCCAATGGCAAAGGAAAAGACGTGGTTGAGCTGGGGGAGAGACAGAAGCACGGGAACCAGAGAATCTATATAAGTGCATCCATCCAGGGCAAATTCTTTCTTTTTGCCCTGTCGCAGATGCAGGACGGTGGAGATGCGGCGGGAGATGCGCTCATCCAGCGGGGCTTCCAGTCTTCCACGGGGTCCGCGGACTCTGCGAGGATCAACGCAGGAATAACAGCAGAACTCTAGTCATTTTTCTCCTCTGCGATGCAAATGGCAAATGGCAAATCATATGATTCTTCCCTCTTGTGCTCCGGAGAACAGAAGAGAAAAATTGCTCTGCGACGGACCTTGGTTACTATGCACTACGTCATCGTCAACCAGCGGCGATATAATGATATGCACAATCTTACAAAAAAAATAAGGGAGAAATTTCAGCCAAATTCAGCCAAAAGTACGGAGTGATTCCTCGGGGAAAAGAATGAAAAAAATTTTCTCTATCTGTCCGGGTTGCATTGCCTGCTTGGGGACTTTCTATACAGGCCATGATAAATATGCAAAAAAAGGCGAAAGAATCCGCCCTTGCATTGATGGATGATAATAGTTATTATAATCATAATACGGAATAATAAAATGGATGAAACTACCAAACTTTTCCAGCACTAGTAGCCACACCACACCGTCATCGTCTCCGTCGTTATCATCACCGACTGTCTTCTTCCTCCTCCTCCTCCTCCTCCTCCTCTCCTTGGTTCAAACACAGTGAATCAATTCAATCATGGCTTCTTCTCCTCCTTTCCCCTCTCGTCTCCTTTACTACGACGGCAAGCCCCGTCCGGCCTCTTCTGGAAAGACTTTCCAGACCGTCAATCCTGCAGATGCTACCCCGCTGGCCGACGTTCATATCGCTTCTCATTCCGATATAGACGCTGCCATTGCTTCTGCTGACCGTGCCTTTGCCTCCTGGTCCCAAACTCCCCCCATTGTTCGTGCCCGAATCCTTCAGAGAGCAGCGGCAATCCTTCGTGAGAGGAATGATGATATAGCTCGCGTCGAGACTCTGGATTCTGGCAAGGCCTACTCCGAAACCAGCGTCGTTGACGTGGTCACCGGCGCTGATGTCTTGGAGTACTATGCCAACCTTGTTGGCGGCGGCGGTCTCAATGGTGAAACAACCCAGTTGAGAGAGGATGCTTGGGTCTATACGAAAAAGGCCCCTCTGGGTGTATGCGTGGGAATCGGGGCTTGGAACTATCCTATTCAGATGTACGTCGAAATTTCTGCTCTGACTTGGATCGTGTCATAGATCTGAGGTAACTTCGGGATGCTAATTTAAACAAATAGTGCGCTGTGGAAATCCGCTCCTTGTCTCGCTGCTGGAAACACAATGGTTTACAAACCTAGTGAATTCACCCCGCTACATGCCCAGACCCTGGCGGAAATCTACACGGAAGCTGGCCTTCCGGACGGCGTTTTCAACGTCGTCAACGGTGCTGGTGATGTCGGTGCATACCTGACGTCTCACCCGTTGGTTGCCAAGGTCTCCTTCACCGGCCAAGTGGCCACGGGTATGAAGGTCGCGGGCTCCGCAGCCGGGAACATGAAATATGTCACCATGGAGCTTGGGGGAAAGAGCCCATTGCTTATTCTCCCCGACGCGGAGCTCGAGAACGCCGTTGATGGTGCCATGATGGCCAATTTCTACAGTACGGGTCAGGTATGCACAAACGGCACGAGAGTCTTCGTACCCGCGAGCATGAGACCCGCTTTCGAGAAACGTCTCGTGGAAAAGATGCAATATGTGCGTCCCGGGTCGCTTTTTGACCCTGCAACGAACTTCGGGCCTTTGAGCTCCAAAATTCATCTCGACAAGGTCACCTCATATATTCGTCATGGACTGGAGGTGGACAAAGCGAAACTTCTCTATGGTGGTCTGGGGAAACCCAATGTCCCCAAGGACCTGGAGAACGGCTACTGGGTACAACCGACTATCTTCACCGACTGCACAGATGACATGCGTATTGTCAAAGAGGAGATCTTCGGACCCGTGATGTCCATCCTGTACTACCAGACCATTGAAGAAGCTGTCCACCGCGCCAACAACACGGAACTCGGCCTCGCTGCTGGCGTTTTCACTCGGGACATTAACCTTGCACATCGCATCATCGACCAGCTCCAAGCAGGCATTACATGGGTAAACTCGTGGGGAGAAAGCCCTGCCGAAATGCCCGTGGGCGGGTGGAAGAAGAGCGGCGTTGGCGTGGAAAATGGCCGCAAAGGCATCGAGGCCTGGGTACGAAACAAGAGCACCCTAGTGGATATGAATGGTGCTGTTGCTACTGTTTTTGCAAAACTATAGCCTTTTTTTTTCTCGCGTCAAAGAAATGAAAGGAATCCAAAATGGAATATGGTGTACGGAGTATATATAGATACATGCAGACTAAGCTAGACCAGGCCACCTTTAACAAAGATACCATGATATTAATCAGAGCGATAATTCTATATGGTTTAGTTTTACTATGCGTGTACTCTGCAATCATTTGCTTGGCTTAGTTAGTCCTAATGATTCGAAAGCAGTCTGCCTCCTATATTATCGTTGAGCTATATTTAGTTTGTCTACATGGTTGATTACTGCAATGCAACGTTAACTTGCTAAAATCAAATAAGCATACACTACTATTAACCATAAATGCGGGTTGCAGCTAGATATCCGATGATACATTAGTTAAAATCAATGACGGCACGGTTCATGGTCTCCTATTCGACTGTTTACAGTAGATTTCCTTGTAGTAGGTATAAAGGAAATGTTGTATATATTGGCTTTCCTGAGCGAAGAGGTAACATTCAAATGCTCCAGTAATATTAAGCATATCCAGAGCAGATTCAAATATATCATAATATATCAACGCCCTATTGTAACCAGGTGCGCACAATACATGTCCGCATAGCAAGAAAAAGCATTATAAAACCTATCAACCTATCTACTCCGTACATATGCAAGTATCGTGTGTTATTTTGCCATGAAATGGGCAAAGCAAATTGTACCGAAAATTGAAACAATTGAAAAGCAAAAGCCATTCCACCCATATGGAAAAAAAATAAAAGAATAAAGGATGCGTCTGATATCACATGTCGGGACGCAAAGTTGAAAGTAATCAGTGAATAAGTAAAGTCCAAGAAAGAAAAGAAGAATAAAACCGTATAACCCGAATCCTTTTCATCAATTTATTTAGTTGGCACTTGCGATTCTCGCGCTCATCGGATCAAATTTCAGATCGCCCTGAAGGTATGTATCTAGTCCCACAGCAGAGTCGACAATTCGGGAAGACATGCTGTCCGGCGTAAGTTCATCATCCTCCATAGACCGATGGAGTTGTGTATTGATCTTCAGGTCTTTCGGCACTTTCTCCGGAGTTGCAAGCGGCGTGGGCTGCTGCTGTGTCTTGACAACGCCTAATGGCGCAGGAACATAGGTCCTTGGTCTGTAAACGAGAGGTGGGCCTTGGGTTCGCGCATCTGTGCCAGTCTCCTCGATTGATTCGAAATACCTGACCGTCTTGACCTTCAGCTCTAGTGTAGCATCGCGATCGCACACAATAAGAGGATGTCTGTGTAGCTGCAGAGCCGAAAGGGTCCACATGTGGTTGATGCCGCCTTCAAGGCCCTTCTGCACTGCGAGTGCTTTATGCGCACCAGTGGCCACAATGACAACCTCTCGGGCATCCATGATTGTCTGGATACCCACAGTCAAGGCCCTCTTGGGCACCTGGTTCAAATCCTCACCGAAAAACCGAGAGTTCGCCAGAATCGTGTCGTAAGCCAAGGTTTTCACACGGGTGCGACTGCTCAGGGAAGATCCCGGCTCGTTGAATGCAATATGTCCATCCGATCCAACACCGCCAAGGAATAGTTCAATGCCACCATAGCGAGCAATGCGTGCCTCGAAGGAAGCACATTCGGCAGCAAGGTCAGGAGCATTCCCGTCAAGGATATTGATGTTGTCAGGTGAAATGTCGACGTGCGAAAAGAAGTTCTTATACATGAAACTATGGTAGGACTCCGGATGATCACGAGGCAGCCCGACATACTCGTCCTGTATAAGGTCCCGGTTAGTCAAAGTAGAGATCAAGGATGAAAACACAAACGATGCAGGTGGCACGATACCATATTAAAGGTCACCACATTCTTGAACGAGATTTCACCTGCCCTGTAACGCTGCACAAGGATCTTGTAGATGATCTCGGGGCTGCTGCCAGTAGGAAGGCCGAGAACGAAGGGCTGACTTTCGGTGGGTTTGAAGGACTTGATGCGGCCTAAAAAGGAATGAGATGGTTAGCAATTATATCCGCTTCTCTCTTCAATGGTGATATACGGCCAGTCACGGCATACTGATGATATAATCGGCGATGTACTCGGACACCTCCTTGGGAGTCTCTCTAATAATCACCCTCCTATATGAAACGAAAATGGTTAGCTGAATTCTCACCCATGATGGTAATAAAGATAACAATGTGAGAGAGCAAGAATACATTATGGCCGCAAGGATACGTCACTTGATAAGCTTGAGTCGGGAATGTTATCAGGCAGGGTATGGGAGAAAGTAGAGCGAGGAGCTATAAGATGATGGCAACGAAGATGGAGAAGATTGGGTGAAGATTGAGAGAGACGAGGGAAGAAAAGAGTGTTAAAAAAGGCAGAAGAGTGCAGCCTAAAGTGAATGATGATGGATGTTGCCTCCCAACGGCCTTTTTACGTGGAAGAGTTCCCGCACATTGACTAGCATTGTAGTGTTGCAGCTCAAATAATTTTAAAAAATTAATCTAACTCTAGACTACCTGACCTTGAGGTTTTACCATCGTTCCATCCTTGGCTCTCGCAAGGTACGGTGAATTCCTACGGAGTAATCGGGGTATAACATCGATCACCGGAACCCATCATGCGCCACATCTCCTGCTGGAGAACCCTATCCATAGTACTACGTAGTACTAGTAAGTATCCCTCGAAAATCAGATAAGAGTCTCGTCGTCGAACGACGCATACAGCGCTGTAAAGCCGCCATTGAGATGGCATTGTCGTGGTTGCAGGAAAAGGTGATGACGTACTGCATATACGCTGTATGCTGTATGCGTCTCGAGACGACACGAGGCATACAGCCTGATCGATGGTGGTGATTCATCAGCCATCGAATAAGCCAATACGATGTTGCAGAGGCATGTGTCAATCAGAGTAAACAGTCGATACAATTTGTTCACTGTTTTACAGAGCACACTACCACGGTCGTGCTATGTCGTAGGAGGCGTTGCAATACTTGCTTGCAGATTAAGCTCCACAGTTGCATTCGGCGAACTCGGAGAAGTGCAACCCTGTTTTCCCAGCTTCCGCGGAATGCATGACAGACGCCATTGGCCGGATAAGAAGCTACGGAGATTACGGTGCTGACGATAGCGACCTGGCTGAGCCTGTACCGCTGGTAGAATTTTCATTTGGCACGAGTTCGGAGTATGAATACTGTGGGCGACCTTGGGACAGAGTGCTTTGACGGACAGCAGTCTACCACCAACTGGCGATGGACGGAGTAGCCCTAAGGAGCATAGGGCTGCGTACGACGCTGGTATGCGTATGTACGATACACGTACCGCGCCGTATGGGACCGTCTCGCTGATACGTACCACGTGACCAGGCCGGCCCGCGGGGGCCCCGGCTTCAGTTCTCCAACAGTCAACGCATGGTCAATGCCCCTATAGGACGGACTGGTCCTTGGGTATTATGACCTGTAGCTGTCATAGCTGGCGGCTCTGTTTTTCCCCTTGTTTTTCTTCCGCCGCAAACGAGAGACTCGTGCTGTAGCGGCTACTGCTTGCTAACTGCGCGTTATGCTTCTTGAAACATCCTGAAGCTTGATTCAACGCCCACAACCCCTTTCTAAACGCTAATCCTCGTCTTTAAGCTCTGACTGTAGCTGTGAATGCCAACCAACCCTCCCACTCCGCTGCATATGTTGTCTGGGGCCGACCTGATTGGATTTGTGTTTCCACTTGACCTTTCTTGAAGGGCCACAATGGCCCTGCAGGAGGACACGCTTCCTCCTGGCTGGGAGGACCTGGACAGGTATGTTGCAACATATATTCTGTAACTGCTGCAACCGCGCTTACTGGGTTGCATCCGCTCGGAGAAATAGCACTCTGCTGTTCTATTCCTGTCCGATCGTCTGTTGACTTGCCTATGACCATCGCGCTGACTATTCCTGGAATCCGTTTTTTCGCCTACAGGCAGATGGGCCAGCTTTTTATGATGGGGTTTGACGGGACCTCTGTCACCCCTCAGGTCCGCTCCCTAATCGAGGATTACCACATTGGTTCGATTCTGCTGTCTGCCAAAAATCTGAAATGTACCCACCCATGCCCTTTTTTGGTTTTCTGTTTCTTTTTTCTTCTTTTAATTAATTAGTCAATTCTTTATATTTGTTTATTTTTTGTCCTTTCTTTCACATTATATTACATGCATCTCCCCTCTCATCAACGTCAGCAGTACTACTATTCCATGTACCACAACATGCTAATTCAATACTACTACAGCCGCAGAGGGGGCAACCGATCTGATCCTCGAACTACAGTCAATCGCTCGAGATGCCGGCCATCCTGTACCTTTACTGATTGCTATGGACCAAGAAAATGGTGGCGTCAACAGTCTATTCGATGAGATCTATATCCGCCAGTTTCCCAGTTCAATGGGCATTGCTGCCACCGGATCAAAATCACTGGCTCATGAGATCGCAGTGGCTACTGCACAGGAGCTCAAGGCCGTAGGCGTTAACTGGATTCTCGGTCCCGTCCTGGATGTCTTGACCAACATACGAAATCAACCACTGGGTGTCCGCACATTTGGTGACGATCCCCAAGAAGCATCACAATATGGAGTGGCATTCATGAAGGGCTATCAGGAGGCAGGCCTGGTAACTTGCGGCAAACATTTCCCATCATATGGCAATCTCGAATTTCTTTGGTCGCAGACAGATGTTCCCGTCATCACTGAGTCGCTGGACCAACTCAGTCTGAACGCTTTGGCCCCCTTTAGGAATGCTATCGTTCACAGTCTGGATGCCGTTCTCATAGGGGGTGTTGCTATGTCATCGTCCGGTGTCGACGTCATGCACGCCTGTCTGAGTGAACAGGTAGTTGATGACTTGCTCCGGAAAGATCTGAAATTTGATGGCGTGGCGGTTTCTGAGTGCTTGGAGATGGAAGCTTTAACACATAATATCGGCGTTGGGGGCGGTGCGGTCATGGCGAAGAAAGCAGGTTGTGATATTGTGCTCTCCTGCAGGTCATTCCGCATTCAGCAAGAAGCCATCAACGGTCTGAAACTCGGAGTGGAGAACGGTATCATTGGAAGAGAATGGATCGAGCAGTCTCTGAAACGCGTTCTGCGGATGAAGAAAAAATGCACCTCTTGGGAGCAGGCCCTTAATCCGCCGGGGCTTGCTTCACTGACTCGAATGCAGCCTTCACATACTAACCTCTCAACGAGAGCCTACAACAGTTCTATCACTGTTGTGCGTGATAAAAATGGCTGGCTTCCGTTGTCCAATATTCTCGAGCCAGACGAAGAATTGTTGCTTCTAACCCCCTTAGTTAAGCCTCTGGCTGCGTCTGCTGTGTCTCGTTCCGTGATTGAACACTTAACTTTGGCGAATGATGTTACATCCTGGGATAGGACGGCCTCTTTGTTGAGTGCAGAGAGTGTCTTTAAGGAGTTTGGCAGGTCGCTTGCGCGGCAAAGAAGCGGCCGTGTACTACATACTTCCTACACTTCGAACGGTGTTCGACCTGTTCACGAAAATCTTATAGACAGAGCTAGCGCAGTTATTGTTATCACTGCCGACGCAAATAGGAATCTATATCAGCACGGCTTCACGAAGCACGTTTCCATGATCTGTAAGTCGCAATGGGCTCAATCCGGTGGCAGACGCGGAAAACCTATGATTGTGGTCTCTGTCAGTTCACCTTACGACTTTGCGATGGAGCCATCGATAGGCACATACGTCTGCACTTACGATTTTACCGAGACGGCTCTTCAGGCGCTGGTCAAGGTTCTCTATGGAGAGCTAACCCCTACAGGTACACTACCGGGCTCCATTAGCCGCAGTCAGAAACCCCATCAGTCCAGACAGCACTGGCTTGTGGAGAGTTGGAATGAGGAGAGGGATTCCGATGCTCTGGATGCTTTGTTGGAAGCAGTCAGGCAGGACAGTGACTTTGGCCAGCTTTCCGAGCTTGTGGGCGTACGGTCACAGAATTTCTTGCTCCGACGGGAAGATATTGACGAGGCACACTTTGTGGTACGGAACAGTAGCACACAGGCGCTATATGGGTTCTGTTCGACATACTTCTTTCGATCTACGAGTACTGCTGTCATCGGATCGTTGATTGTCGACCCTTCGAGGCGGAAACTATCCATCGGTCACTCACTCCACAATCGCGCCATGCGCACACTTGTCCAGACAAAAGGTGTGAAGAGGTTTCAGCTTGGGACTCGTCTTCCCGGCATATATTTGGGCATCCCTGCAGCCAACCCTGTGGAGCGCAAGAGATTGCGGCAGTGGTTTGCTAACATGGGTTGGAACACGGCTCTTTCACGGCCAGTTTGCAGCGTCATCCTGCGCGACCTGCCAAAGTGGACGCCGCCCGAGGGTCTTAGTAATGGCTTAGGGAGCGCGGACGTGACGTATGACCTTGTTTACGGATGGGACTATGCGGAGTCAATCCTCGACCACGTCAAGACAAATATGCGACAAGGTGTGTTGGATATATACAAGATAGCATTAAACGGAGCTCCAGATTGTGCCATCATAAGAGCTAAGCGGCCGGATGACGGAGCGCTTTTGGGCAGTGTGGTGATCTATAACAACCGATCAGTACTGGCAGACTTCATGCCGGCACTTGCTGCAGCAAATACGCCTGCGGGAGGAATCTCTTCTCCAGTCATCTCACCATTGGTGGGCGAGTACGCAACATTGATACAAGGCCTGATTCTACTAGCTATCAAACAGATCCGTAGGCAGGGTGCGGGTGCTGTTGTTCTGGATTGCGTAAGTGATCTTTTCTTTCCCCCTCAGTTACACTGGACTGAGTGCAAGGCTCGTCTAACGAACTAAACAGATCGATGGCGATGGGAGTTTTGATTGCCTGTCGGGGATGGGTTTCAGCATGCTAGACAACTTCGAGGAAGTGAACTGTGATGCAGCAACATGGACGATGATGCCTCAAACATAATGATAGATCAAACTGTCCAATGAGCGACTGATTGGTTGTTGATTTATAGATGCTTACTTTTCCCCTGGTGTTTCTTTTGGTTGTGTGTTAGTTGCAACATACCCCCAATGCTGTCTACAGATTTACTGAACCCCTTTTCGAGCCACTTCTTCTCCTTCTGGTTCTTAGTTGATTCTCAATAAGTGATATCCGCAGTGTATATATGCAACTGTATTCGTTATCCCATTTCATTTTTCAGGTTTCTACTTTCGGCACTCACCGTTGGAGCCTCTGTCTACATCCATCATAGGATCAATATTATGGATAGCAAATCAAACCATCTATGTTTAACTTTTCCACCTTCTCGACACTTTGTTGAGTATGATTTTGCATTATTGTCGATGAATGGCAAGTCCTTCCAATGGAACTCATTAGTTGGATTGGCTCGATTGCCTCATGCGCGGTCTTGCGGTATCGTCCTCACCAGGGGAGGGTCTCGTGGATTGAAGAAGTACATCCTGTCTCGTCAACTTTCTAAATAACAGGATAGTTTTCCTTTGTGCACTTCAAGGTGGTCATTGAACGCCATTTCCTCGACCGGCCCTTCCAGATAGAGTTAAGGATGAGGATCGGGTCTATCTCTCTGCTTATGGACTTAGAGCTGCAGGTCGACAGGAGATACACAGGACCTTAACGATGGTGCGCAATGAGAACTAGGTTGTTGAGCAATAATAACGATAGCAGTTGATTTTACTATTATGCCAGCCAGCAACGTCTTTTTTTTTTTTTTTTGATAATTAAAAAACGGATTTATCGACAGGAATCAGGGTCTTTCTCTTCCTCGACTCACGCTGATATTATTATTTACTCAAGGAATAATACTCCGTAAACTGAATTCGTAAGCTTGTCCCGACGAGTGGAAGCCCTACCGAAGGTCGGGCAAATTGATTTGAATCGAAGCTCCTGAACAGGCAAGCACAGAGAGAGAGAGAGATTGATTCCTGTGGCTTATTTGCCAGGTTCCACAAGAGGAAATTGAAGTGGATTCAGGGAGGATGAGCGCGCGAAAAGAAAACAGAACAAAACAAAACAGAGAAAACCGTTTATGAACGGATGCCGTAGAATAATAGTAATGATATCTATAGCAGTTATTAACTTATTATTACTATTATTATTATTATTATTATTATTATTCCCTATCTATCATATGGATCTACACATTCTAGATTTCCGGATTTCGTAGTCCGTCCGGAGAATTAAAATTATGGTGCCTTTGGAACAGATCCGCCGTCTCTGGTTGACTCCCGCGAAAGCCGCCCTGATCCAACACAAGATGAGATTGGTGGGGAAAGGGGAAAGGAAAGGAGAAAGAGAGAGAGAGAGAGAGAGAGAGAGAGAGAGAGAGAGAGAGAGAGAGTGTGTGTGTGTGTGGCGCAGGTTGTTTAATTAAACATTAAACCGTGGAGAATCGGATTGATGGCTATTAAAAGATAACACTCCAGACAGGATGAAGCACACTACAGCAATTTACAGCAATTTACAGCGATGTACGATTTCCTGGCCCGTAGCGAACTGGAGTTAATGCTTTTCGAACAGGAAGATGTCTCTCTATCCATCATCCATCCGTACAGTAATACAATATCATAATCACCCGGGATCAGATCATCTCACCAACGCGCAAGGTTCGACGGCGTCGCTCAAGGAACTTCCAGAAGGGTTCTAGCGGTCTCCGCTGGAGCAAAAGTCCACTCTTGCGTGACTTGAGACTTCGTATCCTTCTCGAAGCCTATTCGAAGACCGGAAGCTTGCTTCCTTTGGATGCGCACTTGATTCGACCGACTGGCTCTCATTGCGCGGAGCGTTTTCTCGGAATCACAAATCACCCGGCCTAAACCAGGATGATCTTCCTCCAGTTTTGCCCCGTTTAACAGTGGTTCGCTGGGTAAAACTTAAATACGGATGATCATTTACGGGGTTTGTTTAGTATCCTGTTGGATACGAAATGGATTAACTCAGGTACCGTGCCAAACAGCCTCCAAAGACGAGAATGAGAATGAAGGGCATGTGATTATAAATGCTAGAGCATATTCAACTCACACAAGAGTGCAGTGGGCAAACAACGCGAGGGACGGGGAGGCAAGGGGACTGACTAGCACAAGAGCCGTCGCCCGAATGGATCGAATGATTATCATTGAATCCCGCCTCTGGAGCTCGCTCTGACCGTTCACAATGGTGCAGGTCGGGGATTATCCAAGGCACGCCAGTGGCCGACAGTAGCCGCTATTCTGCTATCTGTGGTATCGATTGGCTGTGCGCGGTACCTAAGGAAGAGAGGGATGCAGAGCGCCACACACAGACTGTGGATAAACACGGAGCACGCCGAAAAAGAGCCACCGTCAAGGATCATGGCTGGCGCAGAATGTCGACGCCACGCTAGCCCGAAGAAGCAGGTGCCAACACCGAAGGAGGGTCTGACGGTCGGGCCTTTGCACTAGACGCACAGAGTGCTGCTCTGCTGCTCGAGCCAGCATGGAAAAGGAGGTCAGCCTCATCGGACGAACGACGGCCTCTCTATGACCAAGATGCGTGGCAGGGAGGTGCCCAGCAACGAATAACAGGTGATAATCATCGCGAGGACGGAGGCCGTGTTGATCCTTCCACCGTTCGGGCTGTTCCTTTGGTTTTCTTTCCGGGTTCTAGAAAGACGGATCGCCCGTGGAATACGATAATATGGGCGTGCATCTGCATTAGTGGGCTGGCGGTGGCCGCTAGTCGAGCATCAGCATGCAGGATGCAGGCAGATAGCGCGTCATCAAGGGAGGCATTCGCCTTCGCTCTGTCGCGAATCCTGATCCGTCGGCTCTCCGCAACCTCTCACGATCGACCCACTGGCCTTGATGAACAGGCGTTGTTCTGTCCTGCGACGGCGCCAATTGTGCTGCGTGGTTGACTATCTCCAGCGGCACATATCAAACGTGCTAGCCAGGCCAGGTCTAGTGGGCCAACTCTGGAGATAAGTTGTGTGGGCGCCTTGACTGAGGACTAAGAGGAGTCTATCATCTCCTCGTCAGTCGTCCCATCGGGGCATTATTATCTACCATCTAACCACTATGGCCATGTGCCCTACTGGTTGTTGCTGTCGTTATTATTCTTATTGTTGTCATTCCTACTTCCTTTTCTCCTTCTGCTCCCCCTCTTCCTCTGCCTGATCCTCTCTTGTGTGCGTACCGTACAGTATTATTATCCATAGTACCATACAGTACAGTGTTAGCCGCTCCCGCTCTCCGCACCACCTCTCCCGCTTGTCTTGGAAACCTTTCTGCTCCCGGCCGGCACTGGAACCTTGTTCCCTTCTCCAGAGCATCCAGGGTCGTCCTTCTTCCATCGCATCAATAAATTCCTCTTATTGCCCTCTCCCCTTCTTCGTTGCCTCTATACCCTGTACATCTATCCCATCAGGTCCCCCGAGAACATTCCCTCGCCATGGAGGGCTTCGATACCATGGCCATGCCCTCTTATCTAGCAAGCCCATTGTCTCTCGGCAACATGCAGGGCACTGTAGCAAGCCCATTGTCTCTCGGCAACATGCAGGGCACTGACTACCTCAGTACCATTCCTGGGATGGACCTTCATGACCAGCATTCCAATTTCGACTCGGAGACCTTTGTAAGGTGCGTTTTTCCTGTGTGGAAATACCTTCTCCCTCATTGCCCCCCCGGCTTTTCATGTACGGTAATTAACATGTGCTTTCATGCTTTCCAGCGGCGATGATCTATCCTTTCCCCAGCGCAGCAGCCTACCAGTTCCCTTAAACGGCCTCACATCCGGATATGAAGGTCCTTTCGCAGACATGATGTCTCAATTTGAACCTACTGCTCCCGAACCGAACCCGGAGTCGTCAGTCGATCGCAATAATAAACTGCTCGGCTTCTCAATGCCTGTCTACAACTTCGCGCTACTTGACTACTCATTACGACGGGCGTCTTTGTCCCTGTCGGCACAGCTGCATGGCATGTTCTTCTTGGCTGAGTCGCCCTGGACCATGTCCCCAGACGAGAATGCGCCTCCAGAGCAGGGTGCTGAGCTAACCTGCTACCGTCGCAATCTATTTCAGATCACGGGTTCGGTCACCATTCCCCGTGGTTTGCGCTATATCATGACCGACCAGGGCGATCGCATCCCCATTCTCGCGCAAGAACTGACTGTATCCGCGACCGAGTCTGTCGAGGGCAACTCTGTGAAGATCATCTCCGTGCCGTGGAAGACTCCTGCTGCCAACAACGGCTCATCTGTCGAAGAAAACAACCCCAAGGTAGAACGGGAACCGCCGCCGATCCCCTTAGACACCATGGCGGGTCAAGACCTCGATACCGACTATGCCACATTTCCTATCGCTTGGAAGCGTCTTCAGTTCCGCGTCGCTACGGCCAACAATGGCCGCAGGAAAGAGCTGCAGCAGCACTTTGTCGTCCGGCTGAAGGTGGTAGCGACTTTGTCGACTGGCGCGAAGATCCCCGTGTGCGAGGTGCAGTCTGGGCCAGTAATCGTCCGTGGTCGCAGTCCTCGAAACTTTCAGTCCCGCAAGGATTTGCCCTTGAGTGGGAGTGCTGCCTCATCAAGAAAGATCGCTCAAGGTCCTACGTCCGGGTCTATTAACAGACCGTCGACGAGTGCATCCGTGGCACGCTCAAGCAAGGGTGCAGCGAAAGGCAAGACCGGCACCAAGAGAAGCTCGCCAGACGCATCGGTACCACAAGGTAGCAGTACCTCGCAAGAACAGCCCTCACCAGATTGGGTGCAGCTCCCGCAATCGAGTCCAGAGCAGCCGCGCATCACGGAGCCCCAACGCAACTCGAGCATCACGACTGCCCCCATCTCCCTGTCGCTGTCCGATGACGAGGACGGTGGTGGCAATGGCGTGATCAATACAGAGCTAAACTCGACGAAGCCAACCGCACCTCCTTCGAAAGAACCATCACAGAAGCCTGTCCATAATAATAATAATCATAATAACCATAATCCATCCAGTTCTGCTCCTCCGGCTAAAATTCGCAAGCTGTCTCATTCCATGTCACAGCGGTCTCGTGCTCCTTCGTCCTCTCTCCCCCTTTTCAGTGCCTCGGCTTTGCAGCAGACATTTGCACCTTCTATCTTCTCTAATGAGAGTGCCGATATGCTGTACGAATACTTCCCGTTGGGTTTGGATGATTGGCAACCCCCGGTCGATGCAGTATATCGGCCTCACGTTGTACATCATACTAATATACCGGATATGAAGTTTGTCGCGGGCCGGGGTCGGAGCAAGCGTTATTTTGCCGCGGAGGATGTTTTTTGAGCGTGTCTATGGGACATGCCCACTCTCTATTCCCTTCTTTTTGACCTATCTATCTCTCTTCAAGTGCAGGTCATTAACTTGTTTGGCCTCTCTTCCCCTTGAATTCTCGCGTTCCGTTAACCTACATATTCTCCGTTCTTTTCCTTCACCCTTTCTTCAACGAAGAAAGAACCCGTTTTCGCCTATCAGGATGGGCCCTTGACAGAAGATCCCGGCGTCTTCGGTTCTAACCCGTTTTTATGTACGTGTATATGTTCTGGAATGGCAAACCCTGGGCGTGATGGAGTACCTGATTTGATTTATGGGAATTTGGTGTTTTCCTTTTTATTCCCTCCCCCACCCCGTTTTTCCCCTTCCCTTTGGTCCTCTTGAACCGGTTTTATTTTGGTTTTATTTTGGTCTTATTTATCATTATTATATTAGTACGGGATATCCCTCTTGGGTCATGAAGTCATGGTCATGTTTGATATTCTTTCAAGTCGTTTTGTGACTTGACTTGACTTGCAGGTGTTTTATATTATAGCATTGGCGGGTTCTTCTATAGTGTTATAATATAATTCTGCCCTTTCTTAAAGTGTCTATTCCCTTTTCTCGTCTCATTCTATGGGAGCGGTTCGCGTGTTTACTTTCTGTGGGATTCCACCGGTATCGTGCCTAGGATTGGAATCGCTACGAAACTTCGTGAGCGCAGGGCCGAAGACTGGATTAGGTATCATTTAGATGCATGGAATTATATGATTCTCTTAGTCTGCAGGGGTTAGAAGTCAACGGTCGCTTAAGTAGTGACTTATGGAGTTTGAAGTAAACAACATTTCTGGCTGGGAAATGACAATTTCAGTCGCCAGGATTGGGGTAGATTAAACCAATACCTTCGATACAATTATTTTTTCCCGAGCAAATATTCCTTTTTTTTTTTGTAATATCATAGGTAACCCAGGCCAGCTCCGCTAATCGCTTCAAGGTCAGCCCTGATCTCCCATTCACTTGCACCAACCCGACCCGCTATCTCCGTCTTGCGTTGCGTCCCCAGGTCCAACCACCGATATAGGAGATTCCCATCAAGCATGCCTCTTCCGGCACTAACATCACTCTCCACAGACCGGAAGGCGCGGGGGTTCAAGCCGCACGGGTGCTCGAGAGTGTTTGTCAATTGGGACTGCAGGGCAGACAAGCGACGATATGACTCTTCTGGAACGGACGTGACGATCGCCATCGATCCATTCTGCGATGTAATAAGGACCTGGTACTGCGACATATTCCTGTCAATATCCATCTCGTCGGGCTCGCACATCAAAAGCTCCGAAGAGACGACAGTACGAGGCAAGAGCGTTAATGTTGATGCAAAGTTGCCCGTGTGGAATTTACTTCGATCAAGCAGCCTGTCACCATTTGAAGAGCGTGGATCTAATTCGGTTAATTAAGTCCAGCAAAAATATAGGTAATTCAAATCTCGAAACGTTCCTTTCATATAGGATAGGACGTGCCACGATGTACTTACCTTCCGGGTCATATTGCAATACATGAAGATTGCAATCACTGTCTGCCACCAAAATGTAAAGCTTTTTGCCATCAGGAAGGAAATCTGCAGTAACAACTTCAAGATATTCAGGATCCTTGCCGAAAAGTGTCATTTTGTACGGTTCCTCCTACATTTAGAATCCGTCAGTCAATTGCAGAAATGCAGGTGAAGGAAAAGGGGGATTCTTCGTACTGAGTAACCTGCGAACCAAAGTCCCTTCATAGCATCTCCAAGGATGCACATTCCGGTTCCTTTGAGTTCTTTCACCACATTAACGTAGCATTGCATGTCCATGAATGCAACTGGGAGAAGACTTCCATCTTCCTTGAGACCTCTGACCATGCATTTTTGTCCTTGGGCTATAATCAAGAAGCCCTGGCCACCAATTCCCGACAAGGCTGTGACAGCACCCTTCACTGTCTCCTTGCCGATGAGTTTTAACTTGCGGTCCATTTCTGGCCTGTCGGGATCCGGGACAACCTTGATAACTTCGAAAACGTAGACACATCCACGAGCAGGGATATCTTCACCTAGAGTGAATGCTGTCCCGACCACAATTGTATCTCGGCGCTCATGCGTGCGTTCGGATATTTCAAGATTTATGTTCTTCATAGTCATGATTTGTTCAGTAGGGCCCAGTGGATAGCTTTGAGGAAGGGAAATGTCAGTCACTATTTATAATTTGAAGTCCTTGTCCCCATACCTATCTATGACCGACCACGTCCTTGGGCTAACGATTTTGACCGAGCCTCGCTCCACTCTAGGAAAAAAAGATATAACTAAAGCTCGTTAGAAAGTATCTGGCTAACGAAATGGCCAAACACACCTTCATCACGCCATTCAGGATGCAATTCGTCATCACCTGGTAGCTTAAAGTCTGCCTTATAGCTAGTTCCAATAACGTATGTTTCGGAAGAGGAAGAATAAGCCAGGCAATCAACCTGTTCTCCTATAGGAACTTTCCTCAAAGTCCATGAGTAGTCAAACCGCGTCTCGACGGGCAATTGACATATCCGAACCACATTCTAAGCGTAGCCATTAGCATTGAGAAGTCAAATAGAAAATGGTGCAATTGTACTTTTGAATCCACATAAACGAAGCCCTTTTCACATCCAGAAGATATATCATCAAAGCTACTCAATCCCCTGACGAACCGCTCTCGGAGGCGAATAACATGCGGTGGGCTAGTCAACGTTTTGAAAATGAAGCTGGCCGAGACCCCGGGCATGAATACTACACTAAAGCCCCCAACGTCAGGAAGTATTCTCATCGGTCTTGATCGTTGTTGCCCTTCTTCGGGTTGATTCGAAACATTGGTGGGAAGTTTGGCCAAGAAATGGTTCGTCTCTCTCAAAAAGCGAAGGCTGCGTGTCTCCGTGGAAACCCTAAACGGTTTGTAGATTGCAAGATCATCGTTTTCGGTCCGTAGCTATCGCTCATATTAAAAATAAGCCTTATTAGGAAGGGAAATAGAGGGCATACTATCAAATAAGGTTGATTACACCATGAATCTCCAAGATTCGCAACAACAACCTCAGTCAAAGTCTCGCGGGCAGTCGACCGCTTCGGCGGCTCCTCCGACAGGATGGGCGGCAGGCAATCGACTCCTTCAGCAATAGACAATAATCTCTGATCAGGAAGTCGCAGCATCTGGAGATATCCGTTAGAAACAAGGTGATGCCATCAAGCGAGGTAAGGAAAATTTCTAGTTCGCATACAAAAAGCTTGGAATCCGAGCTCAATAGGAACAGCAGAATATCATTTCGTGGGTATTCTTTCTCTGCAGCTGAACTTGAAAAGCTGAATATACCGGTTCTGTCGCAATACAAACAGGAAGAAAGCCACTTCTTGTTGGTGACTTCTTCACTTAAGGCAATTTCATCAACATCGCCACTATCATCTGCTTGCAGAAGTAGTAGGGAGAAGTCATCCCGAAGGATAGCAAGGTAAGGGTCTGTGAAGCACGCGCTTATGGCCATTCGCTCATCGCTAGTGTCTTCATCCCATACGGGGTATATCTGAGCCAAAGCAAGGTCTAGTTCGTCAGCGGCATGGATAATTCATAATGTACAATAGGCGTAAACACAATTAGGAGACTCACTAATGTCATAGCTCCTGACCTCGCTTTTCAAGACTTGAACTACCCGGGTGCCGTTCGCCAGAGTCCCGACATCGATAGCGAAATCAGCATTTGGGTTAAACTCGTGTGCTTTGAAAGGCTTCAAGCCTGTTCCATCGACAGTGAAAACTTCCGATTCTTCCTTATCAGTATATTTTGATTTTGAAGTTATCACATAGCGACGAGTTTCTTTGTTTTCTCGACGTCCGGTAGTACTGGACACTGACACTGACCAGACCGACTCAGCGTAGTCGATCTTCCTAGAGATGACTACACGGGGATCAATTTCACGCTTCACGACTACCAAACTGCCGCTTCCGTCTGAACACTGAGCAGCTACTAACTCCAGGTCTGCTGAGTGATCGTCGGCGTTATAATCTTTGGATTCTAAAGCCGCGTGAGATCTACCCAAAGTCACGTCCCTTAAGGGCCCAATATTGCAAAGTCTGTCATGCATCCGAGAACTATATATTCCGGAGGCAGAACCATCTGTAGAAGAGCTGCGCGCCTGCAGTGAGCCTTCGGCGCCAGTCGAATAAAGATCATCTTCGTAAATGTCCTCTTCAGATAGGTCCTCCTCAGACGCATCGACAGGGTCATCGGCTCCATGCCTGAAATGTAGCCGCGAGTTTTTGGCGCTACAAGCCGACCGGGACCATTCTGTAAGCACGGAATCCGCGTCCTCGCTACCGAAAAATATTCTTCCGTTTCCAAGAAAAGCGGAGCACGAAGCAGCAGATCCCATGATGTTTCCACCGGTATGAGCGGGTAAGCGATGAACTGATATGCCAGACACCGACCTTCCGTCCAGTTTGAACTTAACGAGGACTATATTCCCTGTAGATAAAACCAAGACTAGATCTCCGCTTTCAGTATCAACACGTTCAACGACGCATCCTTCAAGACGCAGAGCCAAACTAGACTGATCTGTCATGGAAAAAGACGAAGCTTGCCTGGAAAATTCGTTGACTCCCACTGCGTTCGTTTTACCTGCTTGGTCAACATGCACGAGTTCATTAGAACCGATTAGCAGAGCACCTCCGACAGGAGGTGGAAGAGCCACCACTCGAAAAAGATCGCTAGGTAGCTTAGATACGGAAAGAAGTGTGGTAGATGCCCGCTGCTCGAGATCTAGCGTGAAGACGGTATAGAAAACAACATCTCTCCTTTCATGGAGAAGGGAATGCGAGGTGGCTATTTGCGAATACAAAATACCAAATGTCGGTTCCCTATATTCATATAAAAAGGCAAGATCTATCGGGTGGAGCAGAGAAGGATCCAACATAGTCAAGGGGAGAACGAAAGATGAAGCGTACGGAGTTTGGTACGCGGAGCCATTTTTCGCCATTCCACTGCCGGAAACTTGTCCATGCTCATTCCTAGGACTCCCTTTTTCGATCTCAGAGTCATAGTCATCCATGACCAGATCGTCTCCTGGCTGATGGAAGGGCAGAATCGCGAGATTTCGGATTCCGAAATTGTAAACGGCACACCTACTGCTTGGGTCCACGCTAAGAATGCTTCCGCAACTGGTCAAATCAGGCACCCAGGGACTACGAGTCAAGTCATCCCGCTCGTAGTAGTGTATAGAAATGGTTGAAATGCCATGACGTTCATCATCCCATTCAATCAAGCTAAGCTTGGCATTTCGAAACGCAAGCAAAATTGCTTCTCCGCCGGTTTTGGTGTCCAATATTTTAACTCGACTTAGGTCAGTTACCGTCCCATGGAGAGAGTATTCCCTCTCCAGGACCAATTTTATGTTCTCCAATTGGTCTGGCTGTGACAACTTGTCTTCCGTAGGTACCCCATTCGACCGAGGCGCGACATTGAGTAACGAAAATATCTGGAGGAGGGAAGTTCTGACCACGACCAAGTTGTTGGCTGTCGCTGACGTGAAAGGAACTGCTAAAGCATGGGTTACCCCCGTAGGGGGTAGCAATTCAGTATATGACTGCATCTGACTGTTTCGAGTTTATCAAAGAAACGCTGCACATCGGAGTCTGATAGAGGGAAAAAGGCAAGGAGGTAGACAGAAAGAGGTAGCAAACGATCTTTTCTTTCGAAGCTTTTGCAAATGGAGTGCGATGACCCAAGTCATTGTTCTTTCATGGAATCCACAAGATTCGGAGGTCGCACTCAGATAACAGTACTTTTTGGGACGAACCATTCGGAACCCATGAATAGTGGAAGCTATCACGTGACCTGACCCGGTCACCAAGACGATGACGAAACACAAAAGCTTACCTTCAGAAGCTCAATCCGCAGAGCTCTTACGGCTGCTCAAGGACGATATGGGTTAGTTGCACTACACCTTTTTGTTCTCCCTTGCTTCTTATCTCTCCTGAACATGGCTCTTTTACAGACATCCATCGTTTGGGTCATATTCGCGATTGTGGTAACTATTTTGATCGCAATTGCCTCCATCTTCATATACATTTACCAGACGCCGAGGGATCGCTCGCTATCTGTCACGGTGACCTGCATATTTGCAATTACTTCACTGCTTGCGACTGTTGTGTTGTTGCCTGCTGATGTCGCTCTGATATCGTCCACGGTTGTCCCCAAATTGGGTCGACGGAAGGACTGGGCTACTCAGGATGAGGTCGATGACATTACATTCTCTTTGACAGTCGTCTATTATTTTCTTTACTCCTTGGATGCACTACTCTGTCTCATATTCGTTCCATTCACATATTTCTGGTATGAGGAATATGATGATTTGGGTGAACAGACTACTGGGCAACGCTTTTGGAATTCGTTCAAATATACCTTGTCCTTCATTGCCATAGCTGTCGTTTTGTTCCTGGTAGGATTCTTCGCTCCGACTCCGAACGGGGGAGATGGCCTGGATCTCGACTATTTCAGAAAATTGTTGATAGAAAATCGTAAGTATACGGCCTCTAGAGCGCTTGAAAGATATTTGTTTTTTTCCCCGATGAGCGCTGACAGAAATCCGCATAGACGGCGAACGCGCCCTGACATTCGCACTTGGCCTATTGATAACCATAGGGATTTGCGGTTATGCCTTGTACAGCTCTTCCGGATTTGCACTCCTCCCATTAAAGCTAATAAGGACCGCTCCGTCAATTTCGAGTCCAGCGATAATATCTACCACGTCGCTCCAATTAGAATCGAACCGAGAACGACAGCGTCAATTAGAAGGCAGATGTAGAGGAAACGTTGGTCTTCTATCCTCAAAAGACCGAAGGGAATTTGACACTCTCTTGCGGGAAGAAAGGACGCTGATCCGAAGGCAACGCTTGATGGAAGAAACTCAAGGAAATTCCCAGGGCTGGTTATTGAAGATATGGTATGAAATAGCGACAATATTTCGTCCATTCAGGCTTTTGGGGGGCACCATATTGTTTTTGATTGCACTTACAACATGGGTGTCCATGCTATTGACAGTAATCGACAAGGCGGCAAATTCAATTTGCAAGCAGCGCTGTGGGTATATTCTCGGACACATTAATGTCTTCAACCCAATCAATTGGATCCTTGTCGAATCCGCAAGAGTATTTCCGATTGATTATATCGTTTTTACATTTCTCCTGCTATTATTTTTCTGCAGCTCAGTTGTCGGAATTGGTGCAATTGGGATCCGATTTCTGTGGTTCAGAGTTTTCCAAATCAGGAAGGGCCATACATCTCCACAGGCTTTACTAGTCACAACGGTGGTGTTAATGTTAATTGTGCTAGCTTTGGATTATTCAATCCCAATGGTTGTTGCTCCTCAATATGCAACATGGGGTTCCCAGACATTCTGTGATCGCAGTTCGGTGCTTCCTGGAATGCGACCGGATTGTTCGAACACGAAAGACTTAGTTAAGCCATGCTCGGAATTGGCAGACAATCCTGCTGCAAAATCTGTGTGCACACCAAGCATCGCTAGTACCTTTTTCAACCGTGTGACAATAAATTTCCCTTTCTTCGGCGCTGTTTTCTTCTGGGCACAGCTTTTTTTCCTTGGTACAGTATACACTTTTTCTTTTACTATTACGCTTGGAAATTTATCAGCTGACCACTCATCTTGTTAGCGACGTACTTGATTGCCTTGGTTACTTCATGCTTTCGAACCCCCAAGTTAGATGAGCAACTGATCGATGAGGATGCGGAAGAGGCAGAAGAAGAAGGCCTGCTAGTGGCAACTAGAAGATGCTAGAGCTCTATCTATAGCATCTTTTCGGTTGACCTAATGAGGCTGGGAAATGAATTTCTTTCCCAGAATCTTTAGCATCTTTCTAAGATGGATATCGATGAGCTTGCCCGCTTTTCTGTTTGTCTCATTAATGAACCTGGTAGGAATGATGAATATAGAAGACTCAGGGCTTTGAGTGCAGGAAAATTTGAAGCGTTATGTACGCTGAGAATCCGAGGTAAAAACCGGGAGATACTACCAGAGGAATTAATGTCCACTAACCCCATATTCTCAGATTGATACAGCTGTGATGACATACAGAGATATCATACAACATTGTCATGAGTTTGAGACTATGTTCCGCGCAGCTGGCTGGCCTTTTATCCTTCAATATTCAAGATAGGGCCGGTGAAGTTTTCTTGACTATCAAGGCCTGGATTTCAGGGTAGACAATTGCTCATACGGCTCTCCAGGGGATCATCTCTGCCTGGACACACCTCATCCAGTGTGTGTGTTGTGTTGTTGGCTGATACTTGATCCTTTTCTCGGTTTTCTGTCACGATACATCTTTAGGTATTTATTGTGAGCCAGTTGATTATGATCTCTGGTTACGAGTACCCACTTGTTATTACTGGGGTGAGAGGTTGATTATAGGACTTTCGAGAAACCTGATCAAGAGACGTGTTGATTGGTTCCCAGGTGACATACGTGTAGGCTAACCCGTAATTAACTCTACATCCAGTGATGGATCCATGCATGTCTAGGAGTCCACGTGGCAAGTATAGTAGGCTTTTGTCACTAGTAGGGCAGGCTGAGGGTTCTACTTCGAGTCCACGAAAGTCCGGAATTCTTTACCTCCACTACTCCATACTCTGTATGCTATTACTGTTTGAACTAGGCTATATATGCATTTATGTTATAATACGACTTGCATTAAGTCTCTTTCCATTTGAGTGTCTCGAGACTGCCACACTGAGAAACATCGTCATAATTATAGAAGATACCTAAAGTTTTATCTGCTGGTTGAGCAATGCAAGAGCACTTTCAAATGCTTTCACAACTTCAATGTCTGTAGATGCGCATTGTCAGCATCAGATTCAATTCACAAACAAAGAAATTGAGCATACAATGCTTTTTCTTGTTTTCCTTCTTCTCTTCTGAATTTTGCACATGTTGCATTTGAGTTTTGAATCTGCATAAATGGGTTAGCTATGGAGTCTCTGAGACCACAAAGTCCCCCAGAATGCAGAGAATGGCTACCTCTTTAGAGCTCGATCCTCATCCTGAAGTACGGTGGCTTGAGACCAGGAAGCAGAGACCTAAGAAAAACAGTCAAAGACGTAGAATTAAAAATGGTGAGACATACCTAGAGTACCTGGAGTAGTTGCGCTATCTGGGACCGCAAGTTGTCTTCGAGCCGGCTATGTTCGTCCATAGCATTTGCATATTTCTCCTGGAGCTCTTCCCAATTGCAGACCTCAAGATCCCTTGTCTGCAGAAGGGCCTCGACTAACGGCTGGTCTTCCTTTCCCTGATATGGTTTGAGTGAACAAGGTTCATTTTCAACGGGAGTTTTCTCACAGTCCCTGTTGGTAGAATCCATGATGACAGTCAGAAGCGCCTGGCCACCTGCACAAAGGATGCAATCACCTTCCTGAAACTGAAAGAGGCAGCTAGGACCTTGCTCTTAGTCAGTGGGGTCCAAACTGGGGTTTTGAAGTTGCAGTAATTACTAGATTCAATTTTACTTGCATTTCATGTATCCATGACTGTGATACACTAGTGACTGAGGACTGAGGTACGCAAAAATTACCATTACCACACGGGTGCTTTCAGGTGACATTGTCATGTGATTTTAGCATAACGGTGATTATGGAGTACCTAGATCCTGGAACCTCCCATTTCACCTTCACTTTCTCAGCTTTGACCCCATAACTAAGCACTCTGGGAGACAGCATATATTGCCCATCTCCATGATTAAGTCATGAGGAATCCCCATGTCTATGTCCATTATTCCGTCGAAGCGCATGCATGGTTCTCGAGTCCGGCAGCTTTATCTGCGCCAACATTCGGAGACCTCATGGGACTGGGAGCCCCCTCTATAGAATTCTGCTAAGAGAATACTGCAAGCGCTTGAGATGAACTGCCACATATGCTCTCGTGCTCCTAACCCTCGACTACCGTTCTATTGCCCGACATGTGCCCGCAACCAGGTGTACTGGCTACGTATCGAAAATGCCAATACTCTTCTAGAGAAAGAAGCTATGGCACAGCAAATCGAGAACGCCGTCACATCAGAAAACCCACCAAGAGACATAGCAAGTCACATCGAAGGACCTCTTAAGCTAAGAGATCAGATATCAAAGCACTGGGCCCTTCAGAGAATTCTCGGTAAACGGGAAGAGTCGTCGGCAAGGACAAAGATACTGGCGGATCATATTGGGGCTTTGAGATCTGAAATAAAAGATAAGAAACGCGATATATCTCAGCGCAAATTGGAATTAGCACAACGATATTCTGACGCTGAATCCTCAAAATATCAAATTTCAGAGAGAGAGACTGCGACATTAACTGGGATTCAAAACAACACTAAAAGGACAGAGCACCTCTGGCATGCCCTGCATAACAGGACAGCTGAGGCTCGGGTTTTTCTCTGCCGGGAGGCTGCCACTCTGTTCGGCTTACGACAACTAGTCGAGGAAATAAATGGTGAACTTAAAGAGACCTACATAGTTGGTGGCGTACCTATAATACACTTGAGAGACATGAACGGGAAGTATACGGCCAATTTACCTTCAAGCTATATAGATATATACTAACGCCGATACAGGTGCTACGCCCGCCCACGTATCAGCTGCCCTATCGAACATAGCGCACTTACTTGTTCTTGTTTCGCATTATCTGTCCCTCAGACTCCCTGCGGAAATAGCACTGGCTTATCGCAACCATCCCACCCCTTCCATATACACGCCTGCTGCGTCTTATATCTCTCATGAAGTCTCGCATATAAGAGCTCCCCCCTCTCAGTCATCCTCATCTAGTCAAACAATTTCGCGAGCAGCAAGCTTTCGATCTAATCCTCATAGGCCTCGGCCTCTTGTCATTGATAAGAATCTCCCGAGATTAGCCAAGGAAGACCCTATGGATTATGCGCTTTTCTTGGAAGGGGCCGCACTGCTTGCCTGGAATATCTCTTGGCTCTGCCGAACCCAAGGACTAAGCTTGGCATCAGACTCATGGGAAGAAGTCTGTGACCTAGGGAAGAATATGTGGCAATTGCTTGTTGCTTCTCCCGCTCAGGTACCATCATCCATGAGAGCTTTCGCTAGTCGTGACGTTCAGTCAAAAATGAAGGTCTCCCGAGATCACCCTAGGACGAGTATTCAACGGGCAAAGTCATTTCCAATGTTGGGTCATTATTCTCATGGTACTGTACATTCGTTTCTTGGGGGGTCAGAAGGTACAGAATTTATGCGGTCCTGGAAATTGCCAACGCCAACAAGGGTTGTGGATAAATTGAGAACAACCTTGCTGGGTGAAATGGCGAGTGCGGAATGGGAGCTACTGGAAAAGAAGGAATGGGATGACCAACTCCATGAGCAACACCAAACGGTCCCTGAAAAGGTGTCAGTCGCGACTGAGTCGACAACTGGATCAGAGCTGCCATCTAATGAGATTGGACCCAGCCACATTGCGTTAGTGGGTACGGGTGTGTCAGGAAGTAGCCAGAAATGTATAAATGAACAGCGTGTTGCCAGTCGTCCAAAGGGGACCAGTGGTTGGACGAAACTGAAGAGTAGGGAGAAGGATAGCTGAGAATCAGTATATGAATAGCTGGCTTTTTATATGTCGCGTCCTCTGGCTCTTTTGAATACGAGCTCACATAACCACATAGTCATTTTGGATTGTTGAAGTCCTAGACATCTTTGTCGCGTAATTTCGATGATATTAACTTGGTGATGTTGTGGTCTGCACAGCGTATTTCGGGTTTCTGATCCTCGAGGCTGGAGCAGATTGATATATTACTAAGGGATAATTATCTAACTAGTTAACTAGTTATCTTTTGACCTCCTACACCTAGAATCTATCTTTTGGTGCCTGAGTTGCCAGATTCGGCGACTTGAGCGGCCGTGATACAGTCGAGTGTACCCCCATCCTTCCTACCTTGGCGGCACTTCCCCCCCATATTGATGGTGTACTCAGGGCTTCCCTGGAAAAGGTTTCAATGATGACAGGAGAGACATAGAGGTTAAAAGCCCCCTCTTTACTATGCAGAGTATCGGAGAATGCACTTGCTAATGGTCCCATGCTGTCCTAATATGCACTGAGGACCAATATATCAGTGGCTTCTTTGTGAGGGAAATAGACAAGGTACACTACCCTTTTTTACCCCTAAACTCATGTATACTGAGTGCTGGACCATGAATACTTCCACTTATCATTTTTAGGTTCTGCTCTGAGGCTGACTTGTATCCAGAGACTTGTCTTCAAAACCTGACCACACTAGACTAGTTTGATTGGATCAAGGAGAACTTCACAGGATTGATTGAAGCCTATAGTGCACTTGCTAATTACTAGAGAATCTTGAAAAGGCTTTGTGCTCTGAAGAATCACAAGGATATGGAAGAGAGCATGTGATAGGACTACTTCAATATGAGTGATGCATTCCACACATACAGCAGCCCTGAAAGGACCATCATTTAAAATTAAGAACAGGATATGAGTGTGGTCAGCAAGTAATAGGTTTACAGAGATATATGCTGCACAAACCCAGAGACATCAGATGACCTCTTGGTCTTTCTTATCACGCACCTGGTCTGCTGTGACTGTATATGCCGATGAGAGGCAACGACTCCAGCTCATGCCGGCCTTAATCTGTCAAGCATCAGAACCTGCAGGGCAGTGTCGTTGTTTGACATAAGAGGGGGAGCAGGCCTTCAGCCAGATGGCCAATTGATCCCATCTCCCGCATCCAAACATCTGAACCGACCAGTGACGAGCGCTTGTCACTTCCACCAGGTAGCTTGGCCAGGCTGCAAAGGGTGTCCAACATCCTAGTGTGGCTTTCTGAAGTAACTTCTGAACAATTTCACATATAAAGACCCCCAACTGCCCTTTCATCTCTCTTTCAACTTTCCCTCTGCTGTTTTTTTGTTGGCTCCTCTCCGCCCCAACCTACATTCGCCCCGCTCTGCTCTCTTCTGTTCTTACCATGCAAGATGGCATACACCCGCTTCCACCAGCCACATGATGATCCGGACCCATCACCCGTCTTCCATGATTCAGACGGATCACCAGTCTATGAATACTCCGATCAAGGTCTGCTTTGCGCAATCGTTCTACAAACGACGTGGTGGTCTTCAACTCGTATAGCGATTGCCCCCACACCCGAGTCTTCTGGAAAGCATACGAATCTGATTCCAATAACCAGTTCCACATTGCCATCTATGGTGACAACTTCGATGTGCTATGCAAGCTGATCCAGATCTATCTTCCAGATACATCACTCACGGAGCCCCTGGAGGACCATCTCAAACACTTCCATGTCTCTCCCGTGGTTGAGGCTTGTGCGACTGCTAACGAAGAGATGGTCTTATGGTTGATGAACCACGACCCACCGTTGGGAACGTTGCACTATCGGGATTCGGAGAGCTGAACAACTCTGTTCGGAGCCGCTGAGGCACTGAAAGGAGCTGGTAACTTGATGTTGGAAGCTAAATCCGACGACAGTGCAGCCCTTTCTAGACAAAAGGTGCAGCAGCGTTGGGAGCGTATTGAGGCATTTATTTGCTGGCTTTTGGATACGGACTGCTCGTTGAAGGCCAATATCTTTGAGGGGCAGCACGAACGGGAACAGCAGGATGAACGGAGAATCTTCCGGGGCTGAGAGAAACTGTACTTGGAGAGGCGGTCTCCCATGCAAGCTACGAGATAGTTAGTCTCGCGTCTTATTACCAAGGGCGCGGACGTCCATGCTCTCCAGGAATGGCATAGCGGCTATTTCTTTGCGCTTGAGCACGGGAAAAATGTGACAGCGTTGCATATTGCTGCCCTGCCCTGGAACATGGAAGCTATACAGGCTCTAATAGATCACTGTGGCGGCGTTGAGGCTGCAGATATGGCGTCTCTGCCCGATAACGAGGGCCGGCCCCCGCTACACTGGGCCTTAGCTGTCGTTGTCTGCAATTATGCAGACATAGTTGACCCAGATAAAATTACGTCACGGATGGAAAGCACTGTCAAAATGCTTCTTGGCGTCAAACCAGACACCGTCTACGCACAGGATCAGTACGGTGCCACAGTCTTTCATTACGCGGTCAATAACAACACGGGCCATGGGGCAAATATTGAAGCCATCAGGCTGCTTGTGCACGCCAACCAGCTTCCCGATACACTCAACGCAGAAATGATCTGGGTGCAACCGCTCTTAGACAGGCAATGGAGCCCCATAAATTCGTCCCTGGTGTTCTAGGACACTTAGCAGAGATACTCGAGATTCTCTGGAAAATGGAGCTAGTGCACGGGCATGCGATGGAATCAGACGGAACACTTTGCAAAAGCTGAGCAGTTTCAGCTGGCTGGAATCAATCAGTCCATCCATGATAGACCAGTCGCTGGAATTGCTTGATGTCAATGAGAGTGATGACGACGGTTGTACAGCGCTTCATTGTCTAGTGAAAAATCTGGATCAGGTTGATGCTGTCCGCCATCTTGTGAGTCGAGGTGCAGATGTGAATGCAATTGACCAAAGGAGAAATACTCCCCTTTATGAAGTGATGAAGGGTACAATGCTCAGGATGATGTATGAGCATGGAAACTCTGAGCCAATTCTTGAGCGCCTTAAGCACGAGATGAGATCATTCAAATCCTGCTGGAGGTCGGAGCCTCCGAAGAACTATCAAGACGGCCGGAGAGACACCAAAACAGGTACTAGATGGTGATATAGAAAGGCGTGCATGTCAATTGGCAGCCATGCATGCGGGTCGAAGGAGAGGTTGGGGAAGAGTTATTCAGTAGCTAAGTTCTTATTTACTTCATCATGCTTTAAGCTACTGTGACAAAGTGGACTCACGAGAGGGACCTACCGAGCATGAAACTTAGAATTTCCTAAGCATGCGACTTCAATTTTCAAACAACTACTAGTTAGAGACAGACTGCTTACAGCGGTCCACTGAATTTCAGACATAATTCTTTTACAATGGAATTCAGTTATAGCTGAGAACAAGGCGAATCTGGCCACCAGCGAATTTGTTTGAAAGGTATGTTCTGAGGCGTAGCTAGGGCCCTTCTAGTTACTCCAGAAGACGTACCTACCCTATCCCTGTCAGAATAGACTCTGTGCACAAGACAAACTGAACTGCCTTCACTGACAGGGCCTGCAACAGTCATTTGTTAGAAAATGCCAGGAGGGCTAACATAGGCATCTGACAAGGTATTTATAGGTGCTTAATCCGGATGGTCTCTAGCTAATTAACCAGTTTTGAACAGGTTGATGGCAAAGTAGATAGGTAGAATCAAGCATCCCTACAGAAAAGAAAAACCAAGAAGGCCAAGAGGATAATCACTCACATCAAAAGTGGCCTTCCATACTATCAATTGAAGCTTGTGGTAGATATCCCATGGGTTATACTAGCCACATTAGATGCCTCATACTTTAATATTCTTACCCATAATCTTCGTTGCCTAATTCTCACAAAGCTTATTCTTTATTCCATACCTATATTCCCTTTAGATGTGATAGCTAGTACTACAAATGGATGAAGGAGAAGCAACATATGCTATTCAGTACTATTTTCAATGAATACCAGACATGAGAGGAGAAAGGAGAAAAGAAGAGGACTTGTTGAAGAGGTTGGTGTGACGATCAGCTATAATAAGATGAGAAGAGGAAAGCAACTTGCTATTTGGCCGTGCTGTCTAGGAATATCGTACACGAGAAGAAGAAGACAGAAAGGAAAAAAGGTGAAAGACATGGTGGGGAGGAAATAGGAGGCGAGGGCAGCTGCCTGCCCTCAGCCCTAGCCCTGTGCCCTACTTGCTCAATCTGCTGGCACCTTCTAAGACGTGCCAGGGTCACATGCTGACGGTCATAGCCCAGATATGGTCGTCACAGTTAGAAGGTAACTTAGTGGGAAGGACTCTTAGACCTCTTAGGGTGTTCTTATGGTAGTTCCTATTCCTATATAGTTTATATGGGATATGGAACAACCCTAAGATCTCCAACAGGGATCTAGGAGAAAAGAAAAGTAAGAAGTCCGGTTGTTATAAAAGAATGTTAGGTACATGGGAATGACAGGCTTATTTATAGATAAGTCTGGCCTCTATAGAACATGCTAGGATATCAGGTATAGAAAGTAATGGAAGTGTCAAGATGCAGGTTCAGAAAACAGATTCAGAAGACAGATATCAATTGGATTGGCACACAGGCGGCTACTGGTCAGGCTATGGTACAGGTAGATAGACAAGACATAGTCGAAGAGCTACAGCAGGATCAATACAGAAGTTGGAGATATCTTCCTTGCGTCAGTACGGGCAGAACAGACGACCGTACCTCAGGTATGTGGTCCAGCACCGTGTCACTTTTGTTCATATAGCTTTTTCACTGGTCTAAAACAGCTGGCATCCAGTGGTTGGAGAATATGAGAGAAATAAGGTAGTAAATATAAAGAATTATCTTCCTTTCCATGCAGAATTTATTAAATAAAGCTGCAGCATGACTGCTATGGCCTATCAAGAATAAGAAGCCAATATTGTCTAACTGAAAAGTGGTAGCAGGCTCAAACACCTTTTGAAGTCATTCAAGACCAAGCTCATCAGTTGTCCAGCTATTCTTGCTGACACTGTATGGGAGTGACTAGTCAGCTCATTAAGATTGGTCCCGGAGGGAGGCAGTGAGCGCGGAGGTGGGTAGGCTGCGCGCACACACAAGACCAAAGCTTAGCCAAAACCCAGGCCAATACTGCACACGATATAAAGATATTGAACAAAGAACTTATACTGAAAATTTTCGTTGTAGAATCTTATATGATTATCTGACTGTGTGGTCTTAGCATTTTAACAGGGCTGGCACTATGATAGAGAAAAGGTATTTATGCTGACTGTAATTGCTGTGCTAAACAGTGTACAGTTCATATTTGAGGAAGGGCACATTTCTCTATATCCAGAATCCATGCTGAAAGAGTATCTTCTTGACAATCTGTCAATTGTTTGTATTTAGCAGGCTTCTTTGCTTGTGGAGGGACTCCTTTTAAGATGCCACTTTAATGTTGTAGGAGGAACATCAAATGCATAAGGCTGCCTTTACAGTTGATAAGAAAAGGCCATTTTGTAAGTATCAAATGCTAGCCACAAGGCGTGACTGCTTTGATTGTAAATCCATTGCTCAATGGTGTAGTGACGCTTAATTGAATGTAGTAGAAAGGGGCGACAGCGAGGTGTGCGGACCGTTCGGTAGTGAATTACGTTAACGTTAACTGTGGATCCAGTTATTAAGTTACTGGCGTATAGGATCATCAAGAAAATCAACGTGCTCAAATGGACCATGCTTCAACTCAATCACCGTTTCTGGCACGATGTGGTGATCATCAGCGAATTCTGGTGTTGACTTGACTGATTGTCATCTCCGCAGAGGATATCATAGCTCCCTTGTTCTCTACACAATACACAACACCACCGACGGATTGATCGGATTGAGTGAAGTCGCCTGTGTTCTCTTGGGCCATGGATGCATTTGACATCCACGGCAATACAAAGTCAAAAAGATGAACGCAGTCAGTAAGATAGGCGCAGGAATACTGGGTTAGTATCTGTCTATTCTCTTCAATCTCCTGGGTTCGTGTTCTACACAGCTTAAGGCGTTCTTACTAATCCGAACGCTCTACAGATGTTAAACGAAACTTTCCAACACTGTCTCACCTCCCTGACACTGCTTTAAAAGCAGAGATCGCCCGGCGGAATGCACTTCGGGACGGAGAATCAACATGTGGTTCAAGGGAGCGGGGTGACTATAACCTCTCGTCGCATGTCATGGCGTTATTTCTCATCCTCGTCTTGAGCACTTTAGGTATATATACGGCCCTACTTCTAATTATCAATTGCTGCTAAATCAGAATGTTCCTTCAGCGTGTTCATTTCCAATTCTAGCTCGTCGATTTCCGCGCTTTCCGGTACCGCACCATTTTCTCTTTATTTCGAGACACTTCGGAACAGGAGTTCTAATTGCTACTGCCTTCGTCCATTTGCTTCCGACAGCGTTCGTCTCGCTCACAGATCCCTGTCTTCCTCCATTCTGGAATGAAAGTTTCCCTGCTATGGCTGGATTTGTTGCCATGGTCTCCGTTTTCGTTGTTATTAGCGTTGAGATGTTCTTTGCCTCTAAAGGAGCCGGGCATGTACACGGGGCCGAATATCTCGGGCTTGTCGGTGACGAGTCCGAAATATCTACTGGGGAGCTGTACTACCCCAGGCTGACCCCGCAGCATGTAGAAAGTGGTATGCATATGGAGGAAATGAGAGCGAACGGTGACGTCGCAACCCTGCCCATCTCCACCTCATCAGAAAGATCCTTATACCCTGATAACCAAAGACATTTGAGGAGTACAGGGTCAACAAAGGAGGATAGCGATACAGAGCTAGAGGAGTTGGAACCTTATATAAGTGGCGATCCCTACTTTCAGCGACATCGACACAGCGGCTCTCTTAATCATTCCAACAACTGCCATCCGTCACAGGCCGATGAACGCTCCCTCCAGGCGGATTCTACTCTACATATTCAGAACCCGCAACGCCAGCTTCTTCAATGTCTCCTTCTTGAGGCTGGCATTCTCTTCCACAGCATCTTCATCGGGATGGCTGTAAGCGTCGCGACGGGAACATCTTTCATCGTACTCCTGGTTGCAATCTCTTTCCACCAGACCTTCGAAGGCTTTGCGCTCGGGTCGCGTATTGCCTCGCTTATCCCGGATCTCTTTTCACCGTCTTCGATAAGACCATGGCTTATGTCATTGGCCTATGGTACTACTACTCCGATCGGACAAGCGCTAGGGTTGGTCTTGCATAATTTTTACGATCCGGCCAGTTCCACTGGCCTGCTGATGGTTGGCATCACAAACGCCATAAGCAGTGGGTTGTTGCTCTTTGCTGGGCTTGTAGAACTATTAGCCGAAGATTTCTTGAGTGAATCAAGCTATCAAACACTCCGAGGCAAGCGGCGGATTCAAGCTTGTATAGCCGTGGCAAGTGGAGCCGTATTGATGTCCTTTGTCGGCGCATGGGCTTAAGAAATATAGAATAGGGTTTGTCTTCACGGTGAATTCTTATTTGTTGTTCGTTTCTAGATAGAGGAGATTGCTCTTTTGGGAGGAGGAATGTATAACCCGCCAACCCTACGGACGTAGCCTTGCCACTTATTTTACTGCTCAATACTCCGTATATTAGACGGATATCCATACCATACATTATTTCTGTTGACAAGCGAAGTATGGTGGGGATTATCACTGAGCACATGCGTTAAACCAGATTATTTACCCTGAAATTCCCACCAAGATTATATTAGACGCCGTGGAACAGTTGGAACCGAATTTCTTTAACGACTTTGAACATAGAATGGCAGAGCCCCAGGGGTAACTCTTAGATGCATGCAATAGGGATCCTATCGTGAAGGTTGGAGGAGATACGTTCTGAAATTTTATTTATGGATATCTTGCCCTGCATCACACAAGTTTTTTTAGTAGCTTCCTTGGTTCTCATGCACCCTTGTAGCCACGGCTACAAGGCATATAATAACAATATATCTCCTCTACAAGGTTTCAATTACTAAAGCACTTGCACCACCACCTCCGTTGCAGATGCCAACACAGCCCCGCTTACCATTCTTCGCCTTCAAAACGCCAAGCAAGGTGGTCAAAATACGAGCACCACTAGCGCCCAGAGGATGACCGATAGCAACAGCACCGCCGTGGATGTTAACCTTTTCCTCAGGGATACCAAGCAACTTCAAGTTAGCAAGGGCGACTACACTGAACGCCTCATTGATCTCAAACGCGTCGATGGCGTCCTGGGTTACTCCAGCGTGCTTGAGAGCCTTGGGGATTGCAAGAGACGGTGCAGTAGTGAATTTGCTGGGCTTCTGAGCGGCATCTCCCCAGCCCAAAATTTTTGCAATAGGTTTCAGGTTGAGTTCCTTCACCTTAGCCTCTGAGACAAGAACAACAGCCGCCGCACCATCGTTGAGAGGGGACGAGTTAGGAGCTGTTACAGTTCCGGTTCCGGGAATGAAGGCGGGCTTGATATTCCGAAGTTTTTCGGGATTAAGCTAACGAGAGAGGTTAGCCGGACTTGAACCACCCAGAATGGATATAATACCAACATTTTTTGGTTCTTCATCTTGTGACACAGTCGCACCTGGCTTGCCCCTGAAACTGGGCAGTTGAATTGGCGCGATTTCTTCATCGAAAAGACCTGCCTTCTGCGCAGCCTGGGCCTTTTCATAAGCGCGGATAGCATAATCATCCTGCTGCTCCCTACTGAAGCCATGTTCCTGAGCACATTCCTCCGCTTGCAAGCCCATAAGTTCTTGTTTCCCATAGGCATCGGTCAAGCCATCCTTCATAACGCCATCGACAAGACTCTGGTGGCCATATTTAGCGCCAGATCGAAGGTTCGGAAGGTAGTGGGGAGCGTTCGACATGGACTCCGTGCCACCAGCAACGACAACATCGGCTATTCCGGTCATGATTGTTTGAGCACCGAGAATAACCGCCTTCAGGCCAGACGCGCAAACCTTGTTGACAGTGGTACAAATCGTGGATTCGGGGAGGCCAGCACCGATGGCGCATTGTCTGGCAGGATTCTGACCGACACTATTTGAGAAGTCTGAGTATATATCCCTGTCGGGTAGGATGCACATCTGCGCGAGAGTCAAACACTCACTTGGCGGAGATGACATTTCCAAAGAAGACCTCCTCGACATCTGATTCCTTAACCCCTTCAGCCCGCTCGATAGCAGCTGGTAAAGCCATTAGCATATTCAACAAAATATAACAAGGCCACCGTACCTTTAATTGCGTGAGACCCTAGCTGCGGGGCAGTAAGGCTTGAGAGAGAGCTGTAGGATGTTAGATCGGTTGTTAAAGATCGACTGACTACAGAAGACTCACCCGAGAAAAGAGCCCACTGGAGTGCGAGCGGCGGAGACAATATACACTGGCGGGAGCGAAGACATGTTGGTTGAGGAGCGAGATAGGTGATAAATCCACAATTACCAGGAGAATTCGGTTCAAGAAAGCAAAGTAATGCCCAAGTGGGAATTGAAAGAGCCCCTTTCTAGACGGGTGGACAGGCGGCCAATAACCTTGAAAAGACTACTTAGCCTTTTGGAATCTCCACAACAGTACGGCGAAATTACTGCTCAGTGTTCATAGAAAGGAAGAAGAGAGGCCTTGGATTTATTAATCTTCGGTTGGCGTTAAATGTCGATTGATCAGGGCATTTAAACGGCAGCCTAAGCGGTGTCCGCGCCGTAGACCGGAGAAAAAAAATATAAGCTTGGGCCAGCTCGTACCTTAACGCGATAGAACTAGCAACTCCTCGCGAGCACAATCCTAAACCTCGCATCTTAAGCGCAGCACCATGGATGACCTCTACGATGAGTATGTTCTACAACATCTGTTTTCTATAGACAGTCTCAATTAACAATATTCTTAGGTTCGGCAACTACATCGGGGAAGCTGTCGACTCCGAAGATGAATCTCGACATGATGAAACCAGACCGCAGGCTGTTGCCTTCGATGAGGCCTTTGATGACGATGAAGAAGAAGAAGCAGATATCGCCAATGAGCAACAATTAATGGAGGTTGATGGTTCGTGTTTAGCTTAACGTCGAGTTGCTGGCCAAGTGACTAACAATCTACGGCAGAAGGACCTTCTAACGCTGTCGTCCTACATGAAGACAAGCAATATTATCCCACCGCGCAACAGGTGTATGGCCTCGAGGTGGAAACGCTGGTACAGGAAGAAGACGCACAACCGCTTTCCGAGCCCATTATCGCTCCAGTAAGGCAAAGGAAGTTTGCCATCGAAGAAGCCGAGCTACCTCCAGTTTTTTTCTCTCGTGAATTTATGTCCGATTTGCTCAATTTCCCCGAACAAATAAGAAATATTGCACTTGTCGGTCATTTGCACCATGGGAAAACAGCATTTATGGACATGCTCGTGATGCAGACACATGATCTGACTGAACGACTGGAGAAACGATCAGGCAAGAAAAGGGAGGAGCAGCTTCGGTATACTGATATCCATTTTTTGGAAAGGGAGCGTGGGCTGTCGATCAAGTCAGCGCCGATGAGCCTTGTTCTCCAGGGCACCAAAGGGAAATCTCACCTTTTCAACATCCTCGATACACCTGGTCATGTAAACTTTGTGGATGAGGTTGCCACGTCTCTACGGTTGGCAGACGGTGTTGTGCTCGTTGTTGATGTTGTCGAGGGCGTACAAGCGAATACTGAACAAATTATCAAACAAGCTGTGCTCGAGGACCTCCCTCTGACGATGGTTGTGAACAAGATGGACAGACTCATCCTTGAGCTGAAACTGCCCCCAAGTGACGCATACTTCAAACTAAAACATGTCATTGAAGAAGTTAACACGGTCATTGAGAATGTCTTACCCGGGCAGGGGGGGAAGAGACGGCTGAGTCCTGAGAAGGGAAACGTTGCTTTTGCGTGCACATCCATGGGTTGGTCCTTCACAGTACAGTCATTTGCCAAAATGTATACCGAAACCTATCCTCAAGTTGAAACCGCCGAATTCGCCAGGCGGCTTTGGGGAGATATTTTCTTTAACCCCAAGAGCCGCAAATTTACGCGCAAAGGAGTGGAAGAGAACTCTAAACGGACCTTTGTGAAATTCGTTTTGGAGCCCATCTACAAGCTATATTCCCATACTATCAGCGAAAGCCCCGAAGATTTGAAAGAAACCCTGGCGAGCGTGGGCATCAGTTTGAAGCCGTCTCAACTCACATCTGACGCGAAAGTGCTACTCAACCTGGTCTGTGAGCAGTTTTTTGGACCTGCAACCGGATTTGTGGACATGATTGTTCAGCACGTTCCATCCCCAGTGGTGGGAGCGCAGAATAAACTCGCTCGACATTACACTGGGCCTCTAGACACAAAGGTGGCAGCCGCTATGTCCACTTGTGATCAGAATGGTCCTCTAGTAGTACATGTCACGAAGCTTTTCAGCAGTACAGATGCATCTAGCTTTAATGCCTTCGGGCGGATCATGAGTGGAACCGCGCGGCCTGGCCAGCAAGTTCGAGTGTTGGGTGAAGGCTATACCCCGGAGGATGAGGAAGATATGGTGACTGCAACAATCTCGGATACTTGGATAGCTGAGACTTCCTATAACATCCCGGCTAGCGGGGTGCCTGCTGGAAACTGGGTGCTCTTGGGCGGCGTAGACAATTCTGTTGTCAAAACTGCAACCATTGTGCCTCTCAAGTTCGAAGACGATGAAGATGCGTACATCTTCAAACCTATCCGCCACATAACAGAATCTGTGTTCAAGGTCGCTGTTGAGCCGGTCAATCCGTCAGAGCTGCCCAAAATGCTTGATGGCCTACGTAAAATTAATAAGAGCTATCCCCTTATCTCAACGAAAGTTGAGGAGTCTGGCGAGCATGTTGTCTTGGGAACAGGCGAGCTCTACATGGATTGCGTCCTTCATGACCTCCGAAGGCTGTACTCAGAGATGGAAATAAAGGTCTCGGACCCGGTGACTCGATTCTGTGAAACGGTTGTTGAGACATCCGCTATCATGTGTTACTCGATCACACCTAACAAGAAGAACAAGGTTACCATGATTGCGGAGCCTCTAGACGATGGAATTGCTGAAGATATTGAAAGCGGCAAAGTCAGTATCAAAGATCCGATACGGAAAGTGGCGCGGTTTTTTGAGGAAAACTATGACTGGGACAAACTTGCTGCCAGGAGTATTTGGGCATTTGGTCCGGATGAGATGGGCCCAAATATTCTCCAAGACGACACACTACCATCACAGGTTGACAAGAAGCTTCTTGGCACTGTCAGAGACTCCATTACCCAAGGATTTAGCTGGGGCACAAGGGAAGGCCCCCTCTGTGAAGAGCGTAAGTTTGATCTCGCTCAGATAAACGCATGAAACATGAACTGATTCATATATCTCAGCAATCCGGAACACAAAATTCAGGCTTACAGACGTTTCACTTGCGGATCAAGCTATTTACAGAGGAGGAGGGCAAATCATTCCCACCGCTAGGCGCGCTATCTACTCATCGTTCCTCATGGCATCTCCGCGGCTAATGGAGCCAGTCTATGCCTGCACAATGACCGGGCCCGCAGATGCTGTTTCGTCTGTATACACAGTCCTTTCGCGCAGAAGAGGACATGTTCTTTCCGACGGGCCTATTGCGGGTACACCACTTTATTCGGTCCGAGGTTTAATTCCAGTGATAGACTCATTTGGTTTTGAAACCGATCTTCGAATTCACACGCAAGGCCAGGCTGCCGTCAGTCTTGTTTTTGATAAGTGGAGTGTAGTCCCCGGTGACCCACTAGACCGAGAAGCCAAACTCAGGCCACTGGAGGTAGCACCTGCGATGGCAACTGCACGAGATTTCGTGCTGAAGACAAGAAGGCGAAAGGGTTTGGCGGAGGACGTTACCGTTAGCAAGTTTTTGGAACCGGAGCTTTGGAAGGGATTGAAGGAAAGTGGCGTTTTGGACTGATTTATTAAAGCATGGGAGGATATGTTAAGTCGAGTCCGAATTTCTAGAATATGAACACAACTAAAGAAGTTCGAACGCGGTAAAACCGGTCATATGCTACGTCCACATGACTGGATGGGTAAAATGATCACCGGCAAGTTTCCAGCATCTTTCCGATTACACCCATCAACGTCCCATTCTCCAATGCAGCAGCCACTCTCTCTTTATCAGCCAATTGTTTGTTGACTTCGTCAGCGGTACTGTGAGTGCCCTCTTTGATACGTACATCAACTCGAAATCGCGGGGGTAATGCTTGTTCTAGCCGAACACGGACGCCGAGGCCTATTACAGTGGCCAAGCTGCAATGGGTAATTGTCGGCGTTATGAGAACTGTGACTGTTCTAAGAGGTGAATCAGGGTTGCTCGGGAGGCATGGGTTGATGGATATGTCTGGAAGGGACACGACGGCCAAAGCTCCCAAGGATATAGGATGTTCTGGATCGGATATTGTAGATATGAGGTCTTATACTAGGTTAGCAGATTCAATATCCGGTCGTTCGTCGACGAAAATTGCGCCGACAGAGTATTAGAGAGACCTCTCCTTACCATATATTTCCTGTTCATCTATGGGTTCCTCCAATAAGTCATCTTCACCTTCTGTGTCTGAATAGCAACCAATAGTAAAGAAATCGTTGGAGTCCGCAGGAGCAGAGGTAAAGATGGGTCCACTCCCATAAGCCCCAGGCTTGCGAAAGGTCCGGGCATCAAGACGAGTAGGCAGATCTGCATCATTAAGAATGGTGGGGTTTGAATTTTGCATTTCTAATGCCATGGTTATGGAACGAGACCCTTGAGTCGAAAATGTGACAAGTCTCTAAAAGTGCTTCGTTGTTCTGTTATTCGGTACGCTGCAGTGATAATAATGATGATGATGATAACTCGTAACGGAAGATATATTTCGACCTTCCGAGGTTAGCCAAAGAACAAATTTACCTACCTAATCGCCGCTCCTGGATGCCTCGGGCATCAATGACACACCTATCAAGATCATATTCTGGTGATAATAATTAATGCATATTCCGTATTTATGGGTGAATCATGCTCACTATTATAATTAAAGGGCCTATTAACGTAATTCCCAAGCGACCTGGCCACCCCACGAGCTTCCTCCACCACATCAAAATCAATATTATTCGAACATCCACCATGCCACCAAAAAAGCCTATTTCATCAAGAAATTACACTGAGCAAGAGGGGAGGATCCTATTAGCAATCCAAGCTTTAAAAGAAAATCAGATTCCATCTGTACGACAAGCAGCATCAGTTTTCAACATTCCCAGATCAACCCTCCAAGCAAGACTTCAAGGACATCAATTTCGCTATGATACGCCTAACAACATGTCTAAATTGACTGAATCACAAGAGAAATTGCTTGTACAATGGATATTATCTATGGATTCATGTGGAGCAAGTCCTCAGCCTATCCAAATCTGAGAAATGGGTAATCTTCTCATGGGTCAAGATAGCAAAGTTCAGCTGGGCAAGAACTGGGTATCCAATTTCATTAAATGTCATCCTAAGCTAAAATCTGTTTATTCTAGACAACTCCTATCAACAAGCTAAATATGAAGACCCTAAGGTTATAAAACCCTACTTTGACAATGTTCAAATCAACAGAATAAAATATGGGATTGTGGATGAAGATGTCTATAACTTTGATAAAACTAGATATGCTATGGGCCTTACTGCTACTGCAAAGGTAGTAACATAAGCTGAATATTATGGAAAATGTTAGGTTACTCAGCTAGGGAATCATGAATGGGTCACCTCAATTAAATGTATCAACGCTAAGGGATGAGTGTTGCCGCCATGCATCATTTTTAAAGTAAAAACCCACATACAAGGCTGGTATGAGGATCCTAATATACTAAAGGATTAGAGGATTGAAATTAGCAATAATAGCTGGACTACAGACCAGATTGGATTGTAAAGGGGGGCGTACGTGCGTTGTTCCCTGCGACAGGAACCGGGTTGTGATCGAGGGATCTCAGGAACGATGCCGCTATACCACGCGGCACCGAACGATCTTAGCAAGAAAACGATATAACGATAAAAGGAAACACAACGACGAAGGAGCCTCGCTCCGCTCTATACGATGATAACGATACTAGTGAAGCAACCTAGAAACCAAAAGAATGCTCAATTTCTCGTAACTATCTGGGAGGGAACCCTCCATTAAGTACTCTCCGGCCGCCGGCTCCACCATACATTAGTATCTCGGAGTCCGCGGTTCTACGGTGTTCTAAGATAGGAAATATGGGAGATCCGGGGTTTCGCAGTGCCCCCGGCACAGGATTATGCTGGCTTCAAAAGATTTTCATACCTCAAACAGCTTGTCAGAAAACTAGGCAATATTGCCTTTTTATTCTAGATGAGCATAGCAGTTATTTGACCTCAGAACTTGACAAGATATGCAGTGAGAATGATATTATTCCTATCTGCATACCAGCACACTTATCAGCTTATTATCAACCCCTAGATGTCAGTTGCTTTGGGTCTTTGAAAAGAGCATATGGTTGTTTAGTTCAGGATAAGCACCAACGGGGATTCAATCATATTGAAAAGTTTGACTTCCTAAGCATCTACCCTGGAGCTCATATACAAACATTTACTTCAGATACTATTAAAAATGGATTCAGAGCTACTGGCCTAGTTCCTTTTAACCCAAAGGAAGTATTTGGACAATTTACTATTCAATTAGATACTCCTACACTACCAGGAAGTCAGTCAACTACCTCCACTATTTCCTTATCTAAGACACCACAGAATTGAAAGGATATGGAAAAACAAAGGACTATGATTTAAAGCTTGCTTAGGAGATGAACCCAGAGTCCTCTGTCTCCTGATAAAGATATTTTAGATTGCTTCATTCAACAATATAAATGCCTAGTGAGTGAGAGAATCCTTATGGCACAGAAAATCCAGAATCTACACTTAGCAACTGAAGAAAAACAGCAGAAAAAGAAACAATCTAATCATTAAATGGGTGCTTTACAAGGTTTATCTATTAAAGAAGGCCAAGCTCTTGCACAGAGGAATAATGAAGCAGATGAAGCTGTTGCTAGGACTGGGGAAGGATTGAGTGATACAACTGTACAGCTGCACCAGTGGGCACCTCTGACGTGTTCAAATTGCAATACTAGGGGTCATATGAGGGTTAGATGCCCTATTTTACTATAGCAATTAAATAGCGTCAAATTATGCTGCTATTTGGGTGTAAAATCATATAGTATTTCATCTAGTTGATTGGGGCGGCCAGGTCGCTTGGGAATTACGTTATTATCAAGGCCCTATAGTAGATTAAATATCGCTAGAAACTGGAGTCAGTACATCGTTTAGGCACTCAAGCTTTTCTCTGCGCTATTGTGAACTCCAGGACTCATCTGGCCAGCTGATGTGAAGTTCATGACGACCTTTAGGCAGGGTTTATGCACTCGGAATAGGAAGCACACACGCCTGTCAGGACGGAGTGGGGGGAACCGCCGCCTGCAACAGTGGGACTTTGTTATCCCCCCTACTGCCGTCCGCAGGGTGTCCTGTGTCATCATCCTTTGCGTCGCTCAAGCATTATCCAATTGTAGGCACCTCTTCCTGGGTAGTCTGGATTCTGGAACCCACGGATACGCATCTTGAAAAGTTTGATATCGTCAAATTATAAGTACGCCTTGACTGAAGGGCCAGTGGGCAATCAAGGGTATTATTATTTAACAGCGCGCAACGAGAAGAGCCGTATTCTCCTGTCAATGATGGATCCATCTAACCACCACCTTTTTTGATCCTGTTGCATTCCTATAGATATTTATATCCATCCCGGACAGTCGAATCTCTAGCAATAATCAATTATAGCATACACGAGAATCTGACGCACCTAGTTCCGAACGCAAATAATTAATTTACATAGGTTTGTGCCACTGATACTTCATTGTAGACAGCATTGGCACGCTCTCATTCTCCTTCGCATTTCGCCTAAGAGTACCCCACACCTAATCACAGTTTGAGGCTCCCAGTTTCGTCTTCTTTTTTATTTGTTTTCTGACTACCATTTAGGGGGTAGTATCCTTAGGATCCTACCGTATCGCCTCTCCTGCCTTTAACCGCCTTAGGAACGATCTGGACGGGGCAACATTTTGGCCATCGGGCACTTCTTGGAAGAAAGGGACGGAATCAGTTGCCTCGTGGAATCAATACAAGCCACACCCTTCCTTCGTTCCATGACTATACCTTTCGACCCGTCCCGAAAGGCTTCTCCTAGTCTGAGGCGTCTTATTATAGATTCGGTGGGAAGCCCACCCATTATTCTCTCCTAGAAACTCCAGTCACGATTGCTGCGTATATGGTAAAGGTGGATACATCCTGTCGTGCCTATGCGGCACTTTTGGCGACAAACCCGTCCAGCTGTTATCATATATATCATTCGATGACCACAATATCTCTTTACCTCCTTGAGATCGCCAAGGGCCATTGGAGTCCCTCGCTTCACCCATCATCTTCCGACGGAACGGCCTGTGGAAAGAGAGAAAGATTAAGAGCAGAGGAACGACACCGGCAAGGTGGAACAGAAGGGAGTGCTTGCAAGTTTAATAGACCAAAAGCTCCATTGATAGCTCAGAACTATTATACCTTGAGATTCGACTGCCTCCGAAATGCAAGGTTATCCTAATGTCTCACCTCCTGCCCCTCCAAAGGAGGGCCATAAAAGTGGGCATCCTTATCTCTTATGTTTACGCGTTGTTCCGCATGTCCCAACAAAATCCAGTTTCGACCATGCTGACCAGAAGATAGATTACGTTTTTGTTGATGAGCATAACAGGCATAAGAGACTGAAAGGTATGGATCTTTCGCTTCACTAACGTACGAAGCTAGAGGCTAAACTATATATTCTCTAGTAATGCGAGCTTGCAACGGCTGCCGAAAGCGGAAGATTAAATGCGACGCTGCTACAACGAATACCTGGCCTTGTTCAGCATGCACAAGATTGAAAATTGTATGCGTGCCTCCAACCAGTCTACAAGAGGGAGATTCATCCTCCATGGCACTGGAAAGTGAGGCCACTCAAGTTGGTCTCATCGGCTCTAGCACACCTGATGCTCCCCACTACACCATGGCAAATCGGGCGTTCAGGGACAACATCCAAGTTACAGCAGGACACACAATTCCCTGCAGTCATGGAATGGACCTATTTCGGAACTATGCTCAGGCGCCTCACAGCCAACAAAATGTATATGGCGATGTGCGGGCGTCACATATAACTACCCCCCATAGTGCGTACCAGAACTCACAGGTTTTTCCAGCGGCACAGGGGCATCTTGGGGCCCCAGATCCTGGTATTTCAACTGCGGACAGTCTCAGTGAGGTTCTTGGGGAACTCAAAATGGATGAAAGCGGTATCGGTGAGTGACATCCTTGATCATACTTGCTAGAGGTCAGGTATAGTTAGTGCTCACATCTTTTTCTTAAAAAACAAAAAAGCGCCATATATTAGACAGCAGAAAAAGGGATGTGCAGGACCAGATACTCTAGTTCAGGATGAGGCAGAGGATACACTGCCACCCCTCTGTACTAGGGCAGGCTCACGGGTCGGGATACCCCCTGAGCTTATGCCCTCTGATGAAGAAGCTCTGAACTATTTTAAAATCTACTTCAGAGATATACATCCCTATGTTCCAGTTATCCATCGGTCGCACTTTTATTGGCAATGGGAAAATGACCGCGATTCGATTTCCCCGCTTCTACTCGAAAGCCTTTTTGCGTCTGCTAGCAGATTCTCTGATAGCCCGGCGCAAAGCGCACAATGGCTAGCATTAGCAAATAGTGAGTTATCCTTCTTCTCGACGGCTACGGTCACCTTAGTCTGCTTGCGCCTGGGTTCATTTGGCTTATGTATATGCGTGTATCTTTCTACAGAGCACGAATCTAGTTTTATGGACGTACCCCGCTTGAGCACCATTCAAGCGATGCTTCTACTGTTGAAGGCGAGAGAATCAACACCAAAGAAAGGGTATTTTTATCGGTCTTGGCAAGCTGTCAAGACCATGATTTCTATGTCCAAAGACCTGGATATCCATGAACATCACGGTACCCATGCAGAGGGGAAGCCCTGCGCACTGGACCCTGTGGAATGCTTAGAACAAACTAGGGTATGGCAGACGCTCCTGGTTGTCGAAGCGATGGTAGGAGGGCCTCAAGGTATTGTCTTATACCTTTGTGCATGTGGCTTTAGGACCTAACATAGTTTAGGACGTTCGGATTACGGCGTTGATCTAAAGACAGTCGACATACGGCCGACCTTGGACATTGCTGGCCTAGACCAATTTGAGATCAATTGCTCTAAACAGTACGCTTATTTCGTTCAAAATGCGAGCCACCTTCGCATCCTTACAGACCTTTTTCATAAGGTTAAGCGAAATGCGGATTGGGCTGCCGACCCTAGATTCATGGCAAATAGCCCTCTTTTTACCGACTGGTTTCGGAACCTGCCCCCGGACTTGCAGGTCAACTATCCCGCAGATGGTTCACCACCTTGGATACCATCACATTTTGTGGCTCACATGCATTGCTACTGCCATTTGGGAATTATCGGACTGCACCGTCCGCAGTTACTTACCCCGAAGTCCTTTGCCGGAGGAGATTGGAAAGTCCGCATGGCTCTATGCTACTCATCTGCTAAGAAAATTTGTCGCCTTCAAGAGGCTATTCTGAGACATTTTGGTCTTCCAGGGTTACTCTTCATGCAAAGGGGCATCAGTTTCACAATTTATGCCACTCTGGCGTGCACGATGCTCCATCTGGTATGCATACTCCAGTCTGTATTCCCCCGTACTCCTCTCTAAGTTTCATAGGTTGCGATAACGTCTCCGGACCCTGACTTACATCGTGACGCGCGAGAGTTCTTCACTCGACACATGCGTATTCTTGAGCTGTGCTCGCCTGCTTGGCCAATGCCTGAAATCCAGGCTCAGATCGATTCTTTAAGGCTCGCATTTTCCGCCAATATAAACTATCCATTTGAATTAAAGCCATCCTTCCCCTACGGTAGTCCTTCGGAAGCATACCCACCAAGTCCGCTGCATGATTCTCACTATAATGATCAATTAAATTCCATTCCTAACACGATTCAGAACAGCATGGGTTATAGCACGCATCCCCTCACTCCAGTTTCTGTGGGCACGGGAGAGTCCAAATCCGACCCATCCCAAATACAATCCTTTGGGGTAATATCGCAAACTGCTCCTTTGAATCAGCATTTCAATGCCCCGTTGGTAGATGAAGACAGCTGGGATCCTACTCGAATTATTAAGTAATTTGCTTCAACGGACATAACTATTCTTGAGTTCTTCAATAGCTAATGGATTCCACAGTCAATGGAACACTGCTTTTGCAAACGCTCCAACTGCCGTCAGTACAGACTCACTTCCGGCGGCTATCAACGATATTCCCCAGACGTTGCCGAACCCCGCGACAAATCAATATTCTATCCAGTATGGACTATCCTCTAATGTACCATCAATTAGTTCAGCTCAGTCCGTTTCCCAGCCTCCATTCAATGGACAGCAGCAACTTTTAATGATAGCACGTGATTGGCAACACAAAGTGGCCAGTGTATATGATCCTCATGGTTTGAAACGGAGATGGGATTACTCCGTAAATGTGGAAACGGCAGATCTATCGAAGCATCAACGATGAAAAATGTGTGTGCTATTTGCCTCTATTGAGCCTTGCATTTAGGAAAGAAAATGGATACAACAACCTTAAATCTTCCACGACCGAATAGTCGTAATATGGGCCTACATGGCTTATTTGCTTTTCCCCAACTTTCCTGTACAAAAGTCAGTAAATCACAGGCTCTTATACAGGTAATATAATTGTAAGCGGCACATGGAGTACGTAAAGCCTGTTTCCGACTTGCCGATGGAAATTGTTTCCTGGATTCGATTCTCAGGAGACACGTAGCACATCATGGCTAAATCGTGGCTATGTCTCTGGCAGTGCTGGAAGTAGAGTTGAACCTGTCTATATTCATACTTCCTGTACATTAAATGCATACTTTATTCCATCTTTTATAGATGTCAAGTCCCAATAGGAAGGTGAGAGGGTAGTAGCCATGATATTTATTAAATTAGGTCCAGTTGTATATGTAGGCGTTTGTACAAAATCATATTCAACAAAGCACAGTAACTGGAATGAGACGAGAAGTACTCGAGCAGCTGAGGCACCTCACTCAGGTATCAATGTAGAGATCATGGCCGGTTTTGTGATGCGGAGACGCCACCCCTGAGTTCTTGAATGATATGCCGTCCTTTGGAATGAGGTCAAAAAGAAAAAGCCAGACCAAGCGGCAAGCTAGGAGAGTTCCGCAATACAGGAGAGAAATCCGTAAGAAGTCAAAAGTTAAAAAAAAAAAAAAAAAAAAAAAACCGGGCCGAAAATCGCGAAAAAGGTATGCGCATGCTGCTTTCGGAAGCTCATATTCAGCAACTGGCGGAGAGCTTCAATGACTGAATCAATGGCCACTTTAGCCGCGCCGGCTTATTCCTAGCCTGTCCTCACGCGATCGAACAATTCTCGCCTTGTCGCCAGGAAGTGGTTTTAATTCATCGCTCGGATCGAACTTGGCATTGCCGCCGCCTTCGACATACGCCTGACTATTATTCTCTTTGGAGAGCTTATGGATTAGGGTGTTTTCAAACGCTGCAACATCGTCAGACGTTACTGCTATTGCGGTGGGTTTGCGACGGAGCATTTTGAGATATGTTGCATTGGTAGACGAAGAAAATATGGCAACCCGAGCTTCGATACTCGGTGTGCTGAGTAATTTATTTCGTGTCATGGTTTCTGGTCACGTGCATTATGGAGGCTCCGTTGACTCCGTTCACGGTCCTCCAAATTCTGCCGGAAGTCATCACGACAATAAGCAGTTTGACTGCTCACGTCAGGATGATTCGGCCACAAGTACGGCAAGTATTACTTTCCGAGCCCGCGAGACTCGTAGAAAGGGGCCTCTGGTTTTCAATTCGTCAATTCTCTCATACCCAGCGACAGGCAATTGAAAGCAAAGGGGGATCTCCAGGTATGTAGAATTGGAATATGAAATATGCGTACATTCTCTACCTTCCCCCTTTAATTCCACTATCAATTCCCTTCTGGCAGATTACTTCCCCATCTGTTTTACTTCTATGGATTCTCATGTCAAATAGTTCGGCCCGGACCTGCGACCGGTTCAGACAAATCCACAACCTCATCTTCGCGCCCACCGCTCAGCCGGGCTAAGACTTCCCCAAATCCTCGAAGTTCTGCGTATGATCGTGCTCGTCCTCAACGGGTCGTCGATGCAAGGTCGCTTGCAGCATCTCAAGCGGGTGGCCAGCCTGCCAATGTTTTGCGAGTGCCTAAGTTGCGAAACATCCGAAATTTGATTCCATCACGCAATCGCAAACCCAGACCGCAGCCTGCCGCTATTAAGGCAAAGGCTGGTCCAAAACGTCGAGAGTCTGCTCGTCCCAGACGGACAAGGAAACAGTCGGAAGATGAAGAAGGAGATGATCTACGAGAAACACAAATAGAGGCCGTGCTTCGGGAGCAGTCAGCAAAGGGAAGTCAAGTTCCAATCCGGTATAATCCGCGAATCCATAATTTTTCCACGTTGAAGGAGACTTGGCCTTCTCTGCCAATGGATGCAGCTTCTCGTGCAAGCAGTGCCTTGGAGAAGCTATCCTGGTTAAGCGACCGTTATCCAAACGGGTATGTGCCACCACACGAATTGGGAAGACGGCTATTTGAAGGTCAGAATGTTCTCTTTTTCAGCGAAGAGGAGAAGGCTCGAGCGGTAGAGGAAGCCAGGAAATTGGCTCAGCGAAGAGCGGACAGATTAAGCCAGCGGAAAGGTGATCTAGTTGAACCGGAAGAGATCTCTTTCAAAGGGATCAGTGCAGAAAATCGAGAGAAATTACTCGCGGGCATTGTGAGGGGCGAATATCCCAGGCTAGAAGTCTCGACCAACAAGTCGCCCATCCTTGAGGCTGTTTCTAAGAACCTCAGAAACAACCAGACATATCATACTGCTGGGAAGAGCTCGCAGTTCGTTGCCAAACTAAATTCTCTTATCGTCAGCAGTCGCCACACCAGATCAGCAGCATAGGAGTTTAGACCGCGGCGATGATATGGTAATTGTCTGTTATTTATCCGCATCTTTGCATTTTGAACTCGAAATTCTGTATGTAAGAAATCCAATTTGAACGCATTATTATTAAGTGCAAATTATGGACACGACGAGCAGTTAGAGGACCCCATTGTGCTGAAGTAAAGAAAAGGGTGAGCAAGATATTGTCTAATCTCGTTCCAACGCCTTCCTCAAGGTCTCAAACAGATCTTTTACTTCCTTTTGTCCCTTCTCGGCTATCTTTTCCATTTGTTCGCGTGCCTTGCGGACTTGATCAGGAGTAGCGATCTTGTTCTTTTGGGCATTTTGAAGACGCTTATGGGTAACTCCACGAGACTCGCGAATAACACTAGCCGCCTTTTCCATCGCTAATTTGGCGACGTGCACAGTCTGCTCTCTAGACTCCTTCGTCGGTGGGGGAATCGGAATATTGAGTTGAAGAGCATTATGGGGGTCTTGCTGCGGATTCAACGACAAGTTCGACGAAATTATAGCTGAAGCAATCGGTTTCGCATGCTACATAGAACATTGAGATTAGAACTAAACTGTGTCTGATGTCCGCTTTGTATGCTTTAACTCACTTCTTCTTCAGCAACCAAGACGGTCACCAAGCGACCTCCTTTTGGAACGACTTGCGCCAACTCTCCAAGTTTCACGGTTTTTTTACTTCCCTTGGCAGGGCAAACCCGAAGGTTTTCGATGGCTGTAGTATTGAATCTCCCCCTAACACTAAGCTTAGAGATGTCCTCAGTTAATCGATCTACAGCATTTGCAATGCCGCGACACAGTTCGGAGAGATCAAGAGGATCGTCTGAAATAGTATCGGTATCTGTTTTGAGCGACCTCACATCCATCTCTATGGAGGCGCCTTTCTTGATCTTTTCCTTCTTCTTGTGCAGGATAGGTGAGTTCGCAAAATGTCGTATGATGCCTGGAGCCTCTGCATTGTCTAAACGCACACGGTCCTTCCATTGTCGCTGGCATAGAGGGCGTCGATTCAAAACCCTTGAGACAAGAATTCTATGGGAGTAAAGTATCCCCTGTTGAGGCCCGGATGGCCGAAGTTTCAGAAGCATATACTGCAAAAGATGCGACATCCAGAATGAGCTGTGAAATGTGCCCTTAAGCATTTGAAAATGAGATCTGAGGGGTGTTTGGGTGGAGGTCAAGACGAGGGAAAGGGAATCAAATGAACAACCATGGCAGCTGCAAAGAAAAAAGAGAAAATATCTATGCACATACTACTTCATATTAATAATGATATGCCAATATCTACAATTCTACAGTGCCAAGCAGATACACTGAATACTCATGGAATTAAATATCATTACAAAACAATTGCTGTGGGTTCAGAAAGTAATTCTTTTAATAAACTAGAGAGCGCAAGTTGCAACATAAAACAGAGCTTTTCTTGCCTATCCTGTTGTGAGTCTATAAAAAATCTTAGAAAAGGACACACAAAATAGTTCGAACAATCGGAAGTAGAATGAGAGTGAATATGAAAATATCCAGTATGCTGGGACCATCACTAGGCGTCAAGTCAGAGACGCAATCTCATCTCAAATAGGTCACTTTGGATATCACAAATTCTGAATAAGCATAAACAGGGAGTGAGCCACCGATAGAGTAATGTGCTTCTACACCTTGTATAGAAGCAAGTTGGGAAGCATGTGTTCCATTTCGCGAAAGACTGCAGTCTAACTGCTTCAGCTTTGAAGTCTTTGCGCATCTACCTGGTGGCCATCGCCTTCGTAACCAGCCGTTTCAGAGCAAGCTCCTTCTTCTTGAGATCATCCGGAGTCGAGTCCTCAATCTCAAGTTGGGCCATGGCGTCACTCAGAGCCGACTCAATCCTCTCCCTGTTGCCGCGTTTGAGCTTGAGAGACATGGTAGGATCAGAGATGATTTCCTCGACACGAGAAATATAAGACTCAAGCTGCTGGCGAGACTCAAACTTCTTTGTGAAAGCCTCATCACTGGACTTGAACTTGGCAGCGTCTAGTAAGTGTCAGTAATAGGCTGGACATTCATGAGCTGACGGGTAAGGAATATCTCACCATTGATCATCTGGTCAATTTCTGTGCTAGAAAGCTTGCCAACGGCGTTTGAGATTGTAATATTAGCACTACGGCCGGAAGACTTCTCAGTAGCAGTAACTTTGAGGATGCCGTTGACGTCAACCTCAAAAACAACTTCCAGTGCAGCCTCGCCAGCCTTCATAGGCGGAATGGGTGCCAGAGTGAACTCCCCAAGGGAGGTATTGTCGGCACAGTTAGTACGTTCACCCTGATACACAGGGAACTGAACAGTAGTCTGGTTATCCACAACTGTGGTGAATGTACGCTTTTTGATCGTAGGAACTGTCTGGCCACGGGAGACGACCGGTGCGAAGATATTACCCTCCATAGCAACGCCAAGAGAGAGTGGTACAACATCAAGAAGCAATAAGTCTTGAGTCTCAGCAGACGTAGCCTTTCCGGAGAGGATACCGGCTTGGACGGCGGCACCATATGCGACGGCCTCATCGGGATTGATGCTCTTGAATAGAGATTAGTTTTTACATATCACAAAAGCAATGGCGAATATCACTCACCTTCTCAAGCTTCTTTCCATCGAAGAAGTCACTAAGAAGCTTCTGGATACGAGGGATACGAGTGGAGCCGCCAACAAGGACAATTTCATCAACCTTGCTCTTCTCCAGCCCAGAGTCTTTAATAACCTGCTGGACTGGCTCCAAAGTACCGCTGAACGATTTCGCATTGAGATCCTCAAAACGAGCACGAGTAATGGAGGCGTTGAAGTCCTCTCCATCAAAGAGAGAGTCGATCTCCACTGTAGTCTGAGTAGCATTGGACAAAGTACGTTTCGCCCGCTCACAGGCCGTTCTCAAGCGACGCAGAGCTCTGGGGTCGCCTGAAAGATCCTTCCCACTCTTTCTCTGGAACTCCTTCTTGAAGTAATCGAGGAGATTTGTATCAAAATCCTGACCTCCAAGGTGAGTATCACCGGCAGTAGCCTTGACTGTGAAAACGCCCCCTTGAATGTTCAGCAGGGAAACATCAAAAGTTCCACCTCCAAGATCATAAATCAGGACATTGCGCTCCTTGTCAGCCTTTCCAGACCCAAGTCCGTAGGCAATAGCAGCGGCTGTAGGCTCGTTGATGATCCGGAGAACATTGAGGCCAGCAATAGCGCCAGCATCCTTTGTCGCTTGACGTTGATTGTCGTTAAAGTACGCGGGTACTGTAATCACGGCTTTCTCTACCTTCTTTCCAAGTTTCGTTTCCGCGACTTCTTTCATCTAAGAACGTAATCAGCATCTTTATCATCTATTAGATGTGGATGGACAGAGAGTAATATTACCTTCATAAGCACCATTGATGATATCTCTTGAGGGGTGAACGTTTTGGTCTCGCCAAGATACTCGACTTGCACAGCAGGATTTCCGCCCTGGTCAACAACCTTAAATGGCCAGGACTCGATATCCTTCTTCACAGTTGGATCATCGTAACGGCGACCGATGAGGCGCCTTAATTTTTGTTAGATTAGTCTTACTTCTGAGTGAAGAATTGTGCACCTACTTAACATCAAAGATGGTGTTCTGTGGGTTCATGGCGGCCTGGTTCTTTGCAGCCTCACCGATCAAGCGCTCCTTATCAGTGAAGGAGACGAAGGAAGGCGTGGTATAGCTGCCCTGCTCATTCGCAACTGACAGGAAAGTTAACAAGAAGTCCCAGTAAAGGTAGGGATTTAAAACGTACTGATCTCAACGTTGGTGCCTTCATAGTTGGCAACACAAGAGTAGGTAGTACCTAGAGAATGGACAGCATCAGCAACATGTCACTTGAAATTTGATATGTGAAGCCACTGCAATGAGACTCACCGAGGTCGATGCCAATGGCACCTTCGTAAATTTCGTCAGACATTATCGAGAAAGGTCAGGATAAAGGGAGCTAATGTATAAATGGCAAAGTCTTCGGAATAGAGTAAGTGAGATTCACCCAGGTTTAATAGGAAAGGAGTGGTTGGGATTGAAGGGGGGGAGGAGAAAGAGAGAGAGAAAAGAATTTCCAGTGAAATTTTTTTTCCCTTTCTATCTAGCCTTTTTTCGCCTTTTGCTCCATTCGTCGGTTTTGGATCTCGGTAAAATGGTCGGAGCGACAAAGGTGTGGAGTAACTATTATTAGATAATAATAACTGCAATTTTTGAATGGCCCTTTCCAAATGTATATACTGTATATATAAATATATATATCTAATTTTTCCATGTTGTACCAGGTAATGTAAGGTGTTTGTATATGCCCGACTATGCACAGCATATGCTATACATTACCCAGTACAGTGCTGTTCAGTGGTCACAATGATTACTATAATCATTCTGTCCAGAGTAGCTATTATGGGTTACAATAAACTAAAGAAGCAACTTTCTAGCTTGGGCATCCCAAGAACTACATTATGTATAATATCATACGTTATCTTCATCCACATTTAGAAGTTTATCTATCCTATACATTTATAGTGTACTATGATAATAACATACGGTACCTATATAGAGCTGTTACACGGGGGATTGAAGGTGGTGTGTACTTAGCTGGTATGGTTCTTAGTAGGCCTCCATTCACGGAGTTGCTATTAGCCTCATCGTCAATCATACCGAGCCTACCTACAATCAAGGGTTTAACTGCCGGGACACTGCTATCTTTAACAAGAATTCTCAGCAATGTCTGCTGAAAAGCTGTAGATATTGACAGCAGGTCCTACTAGTTAGTAGCAGTCAATTTGTTCTGATATCATTAGTGAGGTGCCAATGAGGGCACTAGTCCTCCTCCCAGCGATCTTCTATTAGGAGCATCCGAGGAGTTGAACTGGCAGAATAATTTTGTTTTAGCAGGCGGTGTATTTGAGGTTATTTACTTATGGCCGCTGTAAACCAGTTACCAAAATTAATACTGATAAGCTCTTAAAAAAGCTAATAAAGGGATAAATCATACTGAAATCAGAAAGATTCCTCAGTACTGCAGTGATAATCTTGAGTATTTATACCTAGCTAGCTGACTAGTTAGTTAACTAGTTATTCTTACTGGAGCTGACTCAGCCGAGGCATCCTAAAACCTCAGGCACAAAGGCATTATTAAATGGGGTCCCACCTAGGTCTGAGCACTTCTTGATAATAACATTACAGCGTACATGCGACACCGCTCTGGATTGCATCCTTCATGTTCATTCATTGCTTCTGCTTGCTGAGCCTTTAAACCTTGAAGCCTGCTACTCTTCTGCTATCAATTTCAAAAATTCTGCAATTTACTTGTAAGAACCACAGAACCATACATAAACTTCTCTAGATGAAAGATTGTTCCAACTTCCACTAACTTATTGGACAGAGCTTTTAGCCCGACAAATCCAATCTTTTCTCAATGCAAACGTCACAGATGGACATCGACTTGAGCAGGAGGAATAAGAAGCCCCGACCTTTATTGGAATCTGAAAGAGAGAAACTAGAAGAATTCATTGACTCCATCCACTACTCCGCAAGGTATGTGCATTTCACCGTCAATGAGGACTCATCCTAAGCCTTGGTAGATATTCCGATGACCAATTCGAATACCGACATGTCCAACTTCCCAAGAATATGTTAAAGAAAATCCCGGCCGACTACTTTGATAACTCCAAGGGGACATTGAAGTTGCTTTGGGAAGAAGAATGGCGGGCTCTGGGTATTACACAGGTGCGTTCATTCTGTAGAAAGAATCGCAACTTCTCTAATTCGTCCACTTAGAGCTTGGGTTGGGAACATTATGAAGTCCATGAGCCAGAACCTCACATACTTTTATTCAAGTAAGAGCCTACAAATAAGTATCCAGCTGAGTCGACTCCTAACTCATTGTTTTAGACGTCCTCTCAACTATCAACCTCCAATTCTACAGTAATGGGTAATCGTTCAAATTTAATTGCATCCATTTGGCGTTTCACTTTATTGTGCGAGTACAGTTTTGACTTGTATCTTTTCCCACCTGCTTTCACTCCTACAATCACACTCCCACTCTCTCAGGAGACACACCTAACAAAATGGTTTCAGGGTAAGTCAGTTCATAATATAAAATTTCAAGTGAGACGTATGTTGCTGAATATGTATCGTCCTCTCGGTCCACTGCTCTGTATCTTCTCTGGGCAAGTCTCAGAGTTCAAGTCTTTTTTAGTCATGCTGGCAGTCAGTCTACATTTTTTCCCAGCCATTCCTCCCACTGCGTAGCGGTGAAGCTACTGCTTATTCCTCGCTCTTCAATTCCCTGTGCGCTATTGTCAGTAGATCAATCAACCTTAAAGTCGACTTAGCAAGTTCGTATCATACATCAAAAAAGACTGTGGGAGAAACATGGACCCCCACCACGCGGTTCAGCTATAGGGGCTGTTAGATGATCGAGTTTATGGAAGTGATATCAAATTTCATCCTACCTTGACCATCTCCTTGATGTCGTTGGTAACTTGGTTGCCAACATTCAATGCCCCATTTTCTCCGGGTCTGTCGCTCACCACCAGTAATTCAAGCATTCTGTGCTCGTTCACACCAACGCTACTTGCAATTTTCGCCAGCCGCTCATAAGTTCTGTTCCTTGTTTCATTTACAACACTGACATCATAGAACTCTTCTTGCCGATTGAATAACGCAGCGCTGAATTCCCAAAATTTCTCTGGGGCTATTTTCAGAACGGCTGCCCCAGCTTCATGAGTCAATGTCGATGATGGATGCCAAGGTTGTATATGCTGGCGAAATATAACCTGGAGCTTGGAATGGTCCTGTCGAGAGATAACTGGCCCGAAAGTAGTATAAAATGTGTTGAACAACTTTGCAGAGAACTGGATACAAGAGATTCAGTACAATGATTAGAAAACAAGACACATTGCAACTAACAGGACAAACATAGTCAAGATCTTCGAATTTGTTATTATGGCGAGTCAGTATCGATTGAATGAGATAGTCGGGGCACCAGTGTCTACATACATAATTCCAGAGTGTGCTGGAATCCGTGTGCTGTTGCAGGTAGTCTTTGTCCCGCAAACTTCGGCGGAAGAGCCATTATCGGAGACTTCCAGAGTAGGACACTCGGGCTTGTTTGGGATATGGGGTTTGCTATGGTCAAACTTGACGGTCAAACATAATGCACCCCCGCACGTCAGTGGACATTATTATTATATAATAACTTACTCCTCCCGGTATGACGGCATTTGTTTACGCAGTACCTACGTGTATGGAATGTCCAAAATGCCAGCAACAACTGGTGATAGAATTGGAATTCTGATAAATATACGGAGTAATAAGGATTCGACTTGCCACATATATACCCTGATACTAACTTATCCTGCTACTTTATCCCAGGTATCCTCCCTGAAGGGGTATGGAGGCTGATTCATACGCGCCTGCTCGGCTTTATGCCACCGACAGAAAATAAAGTACATATCATTGGCGACCAAGCGCTCTTTGGCTGAAAAGATTCAAATCTTTAAGCTGCATTGACACCGCCAGCCAGTTTGCTGTATCGGGATCATATTCACCGCGTACTTCAACCCTGCAAAACCCTTTGGGGCCTTTAATACCTACAGGACCGGCAACATAGAAGGTACCTCGACGAGAGGTTGGTGTATTCTTAGACCAGGAATCCTTTAGTCGTCGTTTAAAGGCCACCGAGGCTTCATGTAAATCAGATCCGGGCCCTAATTCTGGCAAAGGCAGTCGCCGCAAAGATGAAATTACCAATGAGTGACTACTCTCACGCTTCTCTGAAGGCTCTGACTTTCGAGGATTGGATTGAACGATTTGGCTCAACTCGTTCAGATTAGGCCCTGGTGGCGATCTCTCCGAGTCTGGGACCGAAGTTAAATGATTTGAGGGCCGTGTGCCATTTAGCTTCGCGAAGTTCCTTAGTCGGTGAAGCTGCCTTTTCAGAAATACCGAGTAGGCATCCTGGATGGCGAGAGCCATAGAAAAGGGCTGCATGAATCTTAATAGCCTGTCCCCATCTTCTGGGGATATTGGCTTTGTCACCCAAGATATGCCTGTGTCAGAAATTGCTAAACTGTATAGACATTAGCAGGATAACGCACTCGGGTTCCTGTCAATCCATACCCCGATCTTTCATATGCAGGTGGAGCTCGAGATGGAAAATGGTGTACCAGCCAAGATCCCGTTAAAGTGAGAGGATTCCCTAGCATATGTGAAATTTGAGTTGATTGGGACGCGCTTTGCAGTACGATCGCCGCCAATTCATCTAAGAGAAATAGTGAGCATATACATATCTCGAAGAAAGTACCTTTCTCACCTCTCAGCAACTCGAGCTTCCGACTGTCTTGGGATATCTTGACAAATTGCTGCCACTCCGGATCTGACAATGCATAGAAATCACCTTTTCGTAAACGTGGCCATCCCAATGGAATGAAAAATGTATCCTCTCCGTTCATTGTCTCGGCCCGATGGGCGTGTTTTTTATGACCCTTATCATTATCTGAGCCGATCCCGTTTCCACCATGACTTGACTCAAGGTGATCAACATCATAGTCATCATCATCTAACTGTAGCAGGACACATGAGCTCCATATGTGAAAAGCAGCACCATACAGAAGGCAAGTGCTGACAATTTTTCTTAAAGAAAGTCAGAGAAGATACTTATAGCATCATGGAGTGATCTGAATATAGATTTGACTCACCTAATCCACGGTCTTTTAAATTTTACATGCCGAACATTCACAACTTCTGCACGCTGGAATGATCGGGGTCCGAGTCGAAGGAACAATGGAGAGCTCTGTAGCAGCCGCCTAAATCGGAGCATTGGGACCTAAGCAAGAACAGCGGCTCCAATGGGCTATCTGAATTGCCTGTCCCAGCAAGTCAACTGGCAGAAAATTCAAATTAGAAGGCTGGGCTTTATTTAGTAGAATCAAACATCTGTTAAAGTCTTCTTGCTATGTAAAACATGGCTGTGCCAATAAATAAGATAATAATAAGCTTGGAATATACGGAGTAATAATATTCATTATCATTATTATTTATGGAGCCAGATGACACGTGATACTTAGTCTGTTACTCGATATGCAGAAAAGCGAAGCTCTCCAGATCATTTATTAGCACATTCTGGTCACAGCAGCTTCTTCATGTCCATTGTTGGCCACTGCGACGACCAAACTGTTATAACCTATACACTATGCACCGAATTTCAAAATTCGTGTTTGTATCACTGGCAGCCTCATTTGGGGTAAACGCCTTCGGTACCTCTATCTTCGTTTTTGACGAAGATCAACAACACCATGCTAAAGGGTTAATTTTATCGGAGAATACAGCTGGACTTTTATTGGAGCATCGAATGAAGACCCCAGACAGCTTATTTCTTGGATCTTCTGATGATGAGACTGCAGAATGCCTTGACCAATTTGGGGGGGAACGGTCGTTATTATTTGGCATCCCTGGAAGGAGAAAATCCCCACAGAAGAGCCTCATCATACTAGAAGGAATAGATGATCATTTCTGTATGCTATACTCAGTATCGCCTCTTTGTTGCTACAGAAATCGTGGTTGCTAACAAGTTGGGCAGTCTCTTTAGTCCAAGACAGTTACCCAAATATCCGCGTTGGCTCACATTTGTCTATGCCATTTATAGATGATGATTTTCTGGCATCTCTTCTGGAACTGGACTTTGAAGCAACGCAGTGTGCAATACATTCCAAGAATGTAACAAATGGCCCTGGGGAGTTTCGGGTATTATTCCCTTCCCATGCTATCTCCCTCCATCAACCCCCCAACCCAACTGTATCCTGAAATAGGAGGTAGGGCCCTAGCTAACAGTTTTGATGGCTATCTATGTAGGCTGCTGTGAAATGTCTTTCTCGGGGTTCTTTTGCCAAAGAAGCTCCTTTCTTTAGTGACGACCTCCTCGCCCATGTCGATTCTATGGAGTATTTGGCTAGAGTGAATATGCCCAGGGCTGTGTTAAGAGTTCGCTTCAAAGTATTCCCCTTTTAACCACTAAAAATTACACGGGATTTGTCTGATGTTAATTTCATAAACAGGTAGGGAGTGAAGGTGGTCATCTTGTGCCTTACCTTAAGCGCCTCTTTCAGCACCTAGCTACAGCTGCTTTGGAGGATAATCGACAAGTAACCGTAGTTCTGTCTCAGAACCTACCAAAGTCTCAACAGCCTGGACGAGTTCTATATTCCCGTGATTATGCAGAGGAGAAATTCCTATCAAAGTCACTTAGCCACATATCTGAAGGGAAGGGATCTCATAATTCACGCAAAGTTGAGCAACGGGTGTCTGTACCGTCAGCTCTGGTGCCCGTCTGCTATACCTCGAATGTCACATGTATTGAGGCAACGAACAACTGTTCGGGGCACGGTTTCTGCTACAACAAGCACGCATCGAAAAATGAAGGAGCTTCAGGAGACTGTTTTGCATGCAAATGCGTTGAAACTCTTGTCAGGAAGGAGGATGGCAGGATTCATAGAATTAACTGGGTCGGATCTACCTGTCAGAAAAGAGACGTCAGTTCCCCCTTCTTCCTGCTTATGGGCATTACGGCCATGGTCATGGTGGCAGCTATTACTGCCATTCGTCTTTTGTTTAGCATAGGCCAGGATGAGCTGCCTACCGTGATTGGCGCCGGGGTTGGGGCCATTAGAACGCAAAAGTGAGCGATCGTCTCATAACCCAATTTAAGTGTATATATACATCGCTTATTGCAGGGCAACCCAGTGTGAGAGTTAGCTTTTTTTGGCGCAATACTTTCTGCATCTTCAACGGAGTTTTCATAACTATGGAGGCAGGATGGCCCGAGAGCAGCGTAAGTTCTGCTCCATTCCCGTCCCACTCAGCCTGTTAGATTGCCCACACCATTATGGCCGTGTGGAAGATAACGACATAACCAGCACCCTAACGTCCAGTATTGCCCTGGGTTATTAGAAGTCTTACGATATACACTTCAATAAATGCTCATCCAGCTACCCAAGATGGAATCTGCATGCATAGATGTCCCAATGAGGGGTTAACCGATAAGAGACAAGGAGTGAAAGATAGATGTAGGACATATATCATACCGCATATCCAACTTTAATCTACTGGCTTTCTGGGATGTGACGCAATAGCGGCTCGGGGTCTTGGCTCATTGCGGCCAGAAACCATTCAGAGAACCTGAGCAAAGAACCGAAAGGATACGTGGAGAGATAGGGAACCAGCAGCCGTGGAAATGATTCAACTGCTGGTTTTCGCAGGCCATGGGAATCATGGTGATTGTCATCTCGCATATTCCATGGCTGTTGCCTTTCTGAGCGCCCACCCTTTCCTCTGAAGCAGTCCTTCGCAAAGGCCGTACAAGTAGAAGCATGCTTGGGCGAGATATGTTGGGTCGATTTCCTAGGAAAATAGCTCAAGATCAACGCATGAGACATGAAAAGCACATCCACATACAAGCCCTTGCATGGTATCATTTTCAATTGAATCAATTGACTGCGCATGCATGCTAGACTCGATAAGAGCTCAACACGGACAGCAGTACACCGATAAGTGACCCTCAACACCACCTCTTGGTGGTGAGACGGGCATATTTTGAGATCGGCCGCGAGGTTGCTTCATTTCAGGATCGCCGGCACAAACGGCTAGTTGGGGAACAGCGCTAGGTAATAATGATAAGCGATTGACCGCCCTCTCGTCTGGATGGATCAACATAGTCTCGGTGTTTTTGACTACTGCTAGTCAAATGGGGTCAACTGGAACTAAACCTCCTTGACCTTTACCGGTAGGGGTGATTTTGTCGGCGGCGCACTGGTAAGGCTTGTGGATGGGGAATCACTTGGATCGTTGAGGCTATGTGACTCACGTTTTGTTACTGCAATACCAATTGATGGGAGATTATCATCCTCCCAGGACCTCACGCTTTATATTTTGTAAGCGGGAGCTGGTGATCAACTTCATCCATAGTCATCAACTTCTCCCTATATCATCAATGCGGGTTTCTTAGACAGACCATAAGATTGTAAAAATTATGCCGAACCCAATAGCAACGAAAAACAAAAGAGGTGGATTTGTCCTTTTGTTAGAGTTGGCACTACCATTGGCACCGGTTGTTGTATCAGTTACAGAAGTTGGTGTGGGAGATGGCATCTTGGAATGGTTGGAGAAAACATCTAGCTATGCATGGACCAACAGCAAGCGCCAGCCAATATCTATAAATTAACAGCAGAAGTATAACACAGGAATCTTTTTTTTTTTTTTGATACAGCAGCACAGTTTTTGGCATTTCAAAGACCATTCATAGATGATTATGAATGTAACACTCTTCAAAGGTGTGCCTGGGGATAAATAAGCATGTGAAATGCCGGGTGGTCAGACCAGCAGCAATTCTGAATGTCAACCTGTGCGGCGTAGAAGAGAGGCCGAGGCTACCTGTACTATGTAACCAAACATGTACATGAAGTTACAAACACACACAGAATGAATAATAATAACCAGGGGTACAGAGTATAATTAGGTAGCTAGTTCTGGCCTAAATGAGATATCACTATTTTGTACTCCGGAGTCAGGAAATAATAATTGACGGTAGTTGATAGTGTGGTCATGTTAGTATTTGAAATACGAGGATGGGCCCCCTTGGGTACTCTGCAGTACAATAATCCCCTAGTACGGAGCCCTAGGCTCTATGTTAGTGATTGCAATAGTTGCTTCTGGGTATTCCATCATCCTATACATACAGTGTATAAGAGCCTTTGGATATCTGAATTCCTATGCCAATTATTAATAATACCTTAATTGTACCTGAGTTTTGTGTATTATCATGTGACCCCTGTTTAAGTATGCTGTACAGAGCAATAATTTAATAAAAAACTTTTTTTAACTTGACACACCTGAATAATGATGATAATAACCTACAGGTATTTTTATTAGCAGCCACCTAACTAACCAGGGCAATCAGGTGCCTGGCTGTACTACTAAATATATACAACTTATTATTTCTCAGTGGAAAGAAAACACTAGAGGATAGGATGATAAAGTCCAAAGAAAGGCCTGCCATTCCTAACAAACCCAACACCAGCACCAGCCCATTGGCAATTTAATGTTTGATGAAGCTACACCATTGCAAAGCTGCATGTTGACTACTGTTACCTGCTGTATATGAAATACAGGTAGTCAGCAGGCATGGGGAATTATTAGGTCAAGTGAACAAATCATGAATTGGAGAGCAGAAACTGATCAGAGAACAGGAAATTCTAGGAGAGTCATCAAACATGAGATGAGTGCCCGCGCCAGTATGTATGAAAAACAAAAAAAAAAAAAAAAAAAAAAACACGGCATGAACCTCGAAAATCTCCATTCCAGCTACACAAGAAGCGGGGCCGTTATACTGAATGATCAAAAAAATAAAAATAAAAATAGCGTGGATGGACCCGGTGTGGGGTGTGGGGATGGTCTATGGTCTCATGAACGATGTCTGCCAGCATCAACAGCCTTAGGGTGAGACAGAGTTAATCAGCCATTGACGGTCTTATGCCGACTCGCGGAGCTTATCACGGACAAATGTCCATTGCCTGATATATTAGGTTGGTCTCCATAATCACTTCCGGTACTGCTGGAAATGCTCTGGTTTAAACCAGCCAACTCTCTCATAAGCGGTCCATAGCTTGCTTGCTTTATTGACATCGATTTTGCAAGCTTGTTGTGCGTCGGTCTTCCGGAACTCTTTACCGACATTCAGGGCCCTAAGACGCGCTTCAAATATACGCCGTTTGCTGCACAGATAGGTTGCGCAGGAAAGCCTCAGTGTCGCAGCAAGGTTGAGTTCTGCAGGACTAAGCAGATGCCGATCTGGATCATTGCTTAAATCCAGCATTTGCCCCTTCCAGTCGGCCTTTAATGCCTTTGAATTGCCACCCAAAGTTTCTACTGAGGGCGAGAAATCCATCAATGAATTGTAGTCTGTGTCGTCGCGATTTGTGCCCAAAGCGCGTGGTTGCTTGGAAGTCAAGGATGGAGGCGTCTCAAACGAGTCGAGAGCCTTTTGATTTGGGGTGGCTCTCGGTGTGCGTTTGACCCGAGAGGTCCGTTGCGCACGATGCTGTGCGGAATGCCGTTTATTTGGCGCCGATGCTGTTGCTTTTGTCTCCAAACCTCCAGAGTGATATCGATCCATCATAGCCATTTGGCGCTCTAATGTTTCCCGTTCTTCTTTAGCCCAAGAAGCTGGGCTACGATTATACTGAGACGAAACAATTGGCACACATGACAATGCGAGCAGATACTCATCACGTGTCGGTTTGTTCATCTTGTTCCTGAACTTTGCCATATGTGAATTGATATGTTGATCAACAACGACTTCTGCTGGGAGAATAGGCCCAAAAAGTGGCTCCTCGATGATAACATCAGCAACAGAGTCATTGCGAGGAAAGAGAACTGGATCTCTTGAAGGACTGGAAATTTCTTCTCTCTCTATTTGTTCTTCAGGGATGTTAGACCTGCGTTTTTTGTTTCCTGTGAATGGAGTTACAGGTGGCGATGGCAGATCCATCTCCGACTGTGTGCGTTTCCTGTCAGCAGAAATTGGTGGGAGCTTCGTGTCGCCGTCGAATGATGGATTATGGGGTTCTGTGAAAGGCGAGAGGACAGAACTAAAGCTTTCAAAAGGCTTGGCCTCAGGGGGAGACATGAGGCTGGACACCGGTGGTAGATGATTCATGTTGATTTTGTGACCTTGGTACGACTTCGAAGTGGTATGAGGTCATCAACGAATGGTTCGTTTGGATGATCCGAAAGCAAAAGGAATCGAAGGGTTTTTGTGATTGAGATGGTGGTTGAATCTACTATCAATGGAACATAGAAATAATATAATCCTTGGAGGCAACAGATGACGAAGGCTGATGGGATTGTGTTTGTGGAAGTCAATGGAAGTGGGATCCATACACTGTTGGCAAAGCGCATGTGAGGGTGATTTGTCAGGATGAGCCTCTTTGTCTTGGGTGGCAATAGGCAGAAATGATCCTTTTGGTGCAGCTGATTGACTTGAAATACTCCTACACCCGTAAAAACATCCTCAAGTCATTCGACGAAAAGGAATTCATCATACACGAAGAATTAATTATTAGCATTGAAGACTGCATGATCATATGCTAGGAATAGGAGTGTAGTAAATTACAAGATATTAGGAGTACCTAGGTATTATAACAATTATGCATATCTAAAAAAACACATCTCAACTGATCTTGCTGATAAGATACCTCCTATTCTCTCCTATTAATATCACACTAGCTTTCAACAAACAGCTGAAAATCTGGTCCGCGTTCATAGAAAATAGACACGTTCTCATATCGGGGAAAAAAATTGGCATTGTGAGATAATCCTTTTCAAGTATTCTCCGTAATTAGGTATTTGACTACAATTAGCTGGCTAATTGGTAGCGTCGACTGCCTTACTATGGACAGAGTTACATAAGACCAAAGTATGGCCTTTTTTGGAGAAGCCCTTCTGTACAAAACAAATATCCTTTCTTAAACAGGAAGTGAAAACTTTTTCCCCTTCAAAACCCTACCCGTTTCTCAGTACTGGTATATAAATTAGGGATATGTGTGGCACTTACTTGGTGTAATAAATATAGAAGAAATCAGAATATAGCAGGGTCTGTATTATGCCTGCTATAACTGGAATTGGTTGAAAGTAGCTTTCCATGAAGTACCTATATAGCCAATTAGGTATATATAGGGCTCGGTACAGACCCAATGCAAAAAGATAATGCGTGGTTATAGTGTCAGCCTCTCCTGTGCGCTGTAACATGAAAAGTTGAGGTAGAATAGCAACGGATTCGAGCCAGATCGAGAACGTCCAAAGAATCTAAGAAAAGAAGCATGATGTAAGAAACCGACATTTGTCGTAGCAGATCTGGGCAGGATTCTTGCGAATTGCAAGGCTAACCTCTGAGATACTGTAGTCATGCGGAAATATAATTGCCAGCAGTGCACTGAGGCCTAGAAGATACTGGACCTTGAACGTGTCGATGTTGGGGTCACGAGTCGGTTCATAGTCATTGACCATAAGATAGATAACGTAGGCTGAAGAGCCAATAAAGAGAATTTTGAACATTGTGTTGTATGCTGAGTCGGTGAATGTCCAAAATAAATCTGAATAATAATAATAATAATAAATGTCAGAGTGAATATGAAAATTTGGAATGGCATCAAAAACCTACCGAGGTATCGTGACAGGAAGACAATGAGATACAATGCCTGTGACTTAAAGGATAGCCCAGAGCAGCTCTATGGTCCTTGTTAACAAATGTACATATAAATGGAGACAGAATATATACACTTGATGACTTCATCTTTTGTAGAAGGATAAAGATGGATGTGAGATGTGAGAAATCAGCTATGTCAAGAGTTAATAAAACAGTGTCATGGTGTTGTCAAAGGGTAATTATTATCTTCTCACCTAATAGCCTAAAGATATTCATTGTGATGCTGAAAAGGAAAGGCCAGCCAGTGTAGACAAAGAAAATGGTGTTAACAGGCCCCCAGGATAGATGTGGGTAGGCAAAATGGACTTGACAGGGTTTAGATTGTGTATGGTGGCTTTCCTTGAGGGATTATTATGGGGTAAAAAAATATTCCGGCAGACAAGGAGTTAACTATTAGTGCAAACACTAGTTAGTTAGTTAATGCACCATAATTAGTAAACCAAGGTCTGGATTCTGGACCCATCTTATGAACTCTCACCAGGATACAAAAACGCCTCTGAATATCAAGTGAAAGCCATACAGTACAAATATCAATCAGAATGAATTGGGACCGCACTAGAAGGTTTTATATCCCCTGTTACCTAGTGCCAACTACAATATAACACATACTCTGACTTTATGATATCCATGACCAAAGACACTAACGGTTAAATTTAAGATTTGATGAACGGCGCGGAGGAGAAAGCTATCGCCCGAGCGATAGACCGCGTCCACCATCTCGAGACTATGTCCGACGTACCAGGTCACCACACCAGACTCGTTCCCCTCGTCTAGTGGCCGATACATGGGTGCCAACGCCTAGTCACCCGCGAAGTCGAATTCGAAGTCGGTCACCGCCAGCGTCACAACGTCGGTCCCGGAGCCCGTCCTTGCGTTATAGGGATAACTACACTAGCTATTACTCGAGGAGGCAATCTGCTTCGAGGAGATTCTCCCCGAGACGTGATGAGAGACGAAGGTCCCCGCAGACTACTTGGCGCTCAAGATCTCCGCACGTGGAAGCTGCCCTCCGGTCAGCTTCTCGGAGTCGTTCTCCAGGGCGACTGGCTGAAGCATCACCAAGTCGAGGCTTCGGGCCGTCCAGACGAGGGTCTTTTGCTCCGTCCGCGGACAGCAGGTATGCAAAAATGTTATCGCCCTCGCGAAGTGGGTTGGGACAAGACAGCTGGCCGCGGTTGCAGACTTTCCCTCGTTCACGGAGTCCTTCCCAGGGAGGACGCCGAGATCACCGGATCGAGTACACTCGAAGGAGGTCACCCTTATCCCCTTCAAGGTGTGCGTCGTCTGTATATTCTTCAGTACCATACTCTGATGCCGGTTCCAGGCGCTCGTCACCGCCCATTCAGTCTGAGAGTATCAACGTTGCCAGAAGTTGTGCGGGTCCGCGATCCCCTCGAAAGTGCGACAGGTTCACTGGTTCCATTTCTTTCCAGGAGCGGATTCCGGCGGTAGATATTCGGAAAATTAATCCAGATGAACTGAGTCATAGGCCTTCGACGGAGAAGCAGGCAGTAAAAATCACTGGAAAGGAGCTGGTACCGGAAAGAGATGATTCCATACATTCCGTCAGGCCTACGGAGCCTGGTGTCATTCCATTGAATGTTGTGCAGCCGACAGTCGATACCTTTACCCAAGCAAAGGGTCACAATGGGTTGTCAGATCAAGCACCACCATCTGGCCCTTCCCATGGTGTAAAGTCGTTTCCTTCTCAAAATCGTGGAAACATCTCATTGCTCTCAGCCCCAACTCGTCCGCGTGGTGGACAGAGATTGAGGGACAGCTCGTGGTCAGGCACCCTGGCAGCCCGTCGTGTATCTATGCCAGCAACCTCCCTTGGTCCCGCCACGGTCACTCGGGGTAGTATTACACCATCGACGCCTGGGAACGAGACTCATCGTCCGCACAGGCAACATGGTGTCACATCCGCCGTTTGTCCCCGCGGCCAGAGATTTACAGATTACCTTGCATGTCTTCCGCAAATTATACCCGGGGGCAAGGTATTATCCCTGGGTCTGGATCCCGCTATTGGGAGACGTATTTCTCAGCTGGAGATTGATAAGGAAAAAATCATGGAACAGTTCGCGGAAAGGCACAGATTCAGGCGAGCTTGTGTCAAGGACTGGGGCCAGGTGGACAGGGAAAGTTCTATCGGCAGCCTGAAGAGTGAACTGGCTGAGGGCCATCTGCATCAAATAGCTGAGGGTGATGATATATGTAGGGGCACAGTATTCTAATTCTGGTGGCAGACTGTTTACTTGGTCATACTGGGTGATCCACAAGCGAGCGTTCCACCTCCGTATCCCATGTAAAATAGTACTTTTCAAGACCTTGACATCTTAACAATAATGCATCTAATGATCATAAGATTTCAGATGCAGTATAACTTAGTACTGTAACTAATATATTAAGAAGATATATCTCTTTAATAGATATTCCTCTAGGTGAGATAAATTACTGCTCTATTATTTATATTTTCAATTATTCTAGTATTAAGAGGTAGAACATTATCTAGATTTTTTTAAATAAAACAAAATAAACAAGGGGTATCCTTCTATGAGTCATTTATATATTGCTATCTTACTAGAATTCTTCTACATCTAATGGTGGTTAAGATATCAAGGTCTTGAAAAGTACCATTTTATATTAGGCCTACGGTCTAGGGGCGTGCAGGTCAGGCTAGGAAGGGGCTTAGTAGCGCTAACACGGGTTTAGGTAGTTAGAAGCGCATATGAGTGCGTGTAAGGGTGTGTGTGAATTGAAGGGGAAATGTGCGTGTAGCCTTGATTCAGAGCTAACTGCTGGTCTTATAAAGGCCAACGATCAGAGATGAAAAAAACTATCTGTTGGTACATGACGTTGTAAGGGCGTACGTGCGTTGTTCCCTGCGACAGGAACCGCGCTGTGATCGAGGGATCTCTGGGATGGATACACCAAGCTGATGCCGCTATACCACACGGCACTGAACGATCTAGTAATGAAACGATATAACAAAAGAAGAAACACAACGACGATGGAGCCTCGCTCCTATACAACGACGATGACGACGAAAACGATACTAGTGGAGCAACTAGAAACCAAAAGAATGCTCGATTTCTTGACTATCTGGGAAGAAACCCTGCTTAAGTATTCTCCGGCCACGGGCTCCACCATACATTAGTATGTCGGAGACCGCGGCCCTACGGCGTTCCAAGATAGGAAATATGAGAGATCCAGGTTTTCGCAGTGCCCCCGGCACAACGTATGTTCGCGTGATGTTGTACCTGTTCAGCTCCTCCCCAGGGAGAAGTCAAGCGGATAGTCCATTCTCCAAACAAGCCGATGAAACTAAAAATAAATATAGCCTAATTTATAAGTATGATTAAGCCTTGACATTTAACTAGTTAACGTTAACCCTATTACTTCATGGATAAGCCATCTGAAAGTGTATTAGTAGCAGCTTTAAAAAAAAAAAACTAAATTCAAATAACTCCTATGCCTATGGCAAGCCTGTTGGAAGATTACGTAGATAGCCGAATTTTTCAATGAAGTTGTGTTGATTAGAATCTCTGACTGTGGGGGAGCTGATCCTACACCGTTATATGCTCATCGAGAGGACATCAAACCCATAGCCAGGTTAATGACTTTCCAAACATAATAAATATTATTCTGCACTGTATGTCCATACCACCGTAAATATTAATACCTCGAACAACCAAGACCATAGGAACCACCGGCCAAAGCCATATATAATACATATAAGCACATACCACAGCTACTAACCACCACCGCCATCAGTGATAACTCACCCTTGCCCTTCTTCCTTCTTGAATCTCTTACGGCTTTCACGGGCAATCATATCACTCAGATCCTCTTGAAAGCCCCAATTTGGATAACGCTCCTGTTGACTCTGTGAATGATACAGATTTTCCAAGTTCTCCCTACTGATACCATTCTCGGCCTGCAGTGCATCCGGATTTACAGACACGTCAACGTCTCCAGGATTTCTGCGTTTGCGGTTTCGTTCATCCCCAAGAGTAGGAATGCTCCCCGAAGACATATTTAGATCGTACACCCTATCACCACCAAAAAATCCGTGTATCCGAGTTTGTTTTTCGCTGATGATCCGATATGCACTCCGGGGTTGTGGAGATTCTTCAGTTTCTGTCCCTTGAAGATGCTTGCGTACGTCGAACTCCCCAGCAGCAACACTCTCTGCTGTTGCAAACTCCGAAGGTACCGCAGATGAAATACCACTCGGTGTTTCCAGGCCACTAGGGGTTTGTATGCCTGCTTCCATGCTCTCATCATCAATATCCTCATCCTCGTCCTCTTCCTCGCTTTCCTCGTCTGATTCCTCAGGCGACTGTAGTTCCCCCCATAGATCTCTCTCAACTGGCTCCCCTTGCTGGACATTTTTCTGGGTTTGCAGTACACCAAAAATGTCACCACCGTAAAGTGGTCTATTATGTTCATCCACCGGGGGCTTCCCATAACCTCCAGGGTGATAGCCCCACATAGCCCCAGGCGGCGGAGGGGCATTGAGCCCCGGAATTTTCAAAGCAGGATATGATGGCGGTGGCCCATATCGCTGTTGATTAATTAACCATGGAGGTGGGGCACCAGGGGGCATGTTGAGAGCCTCTTTCAAAGTCTCGCTGAGTTCACCAGGACGTAAGTGCTTGAGGTTAGTCTCATATTCTTTGCCTTCATAGTAGACTTCGCCGTATCGAGTCAGCTCTGGTTTTGTTTGGAAACGGAAAAAGGCTTCATATAATTTCTGGTAGTCGATATCCAGTCTCCCCATCTTCGGCTGGACCCGCTCTCTTTGCTTCTGTTTCAAAGTTGCTTGCTCCTGTTTCTCTAAAACAGCGTCGCGCATTTCTGCGATCCCCGTATCCTGGATAAACTTGGGCAGAGCGAATGGGGCTTTCTCAACACCCCTCTTTGAAGACAAGTACTCTCGTTTCAAAGACCAATGGGAAGGCACAGGAACAACATTCCGGCGCGCTTTTATGTGAACCAGGAGACGTGGATCAGGTGCCGACGTATCAGTCCACTCGACTATCTCGGGTTTCCGAACCATGGCCTTCAGTTCTGCCACAGAAAGCTTGTTCATTTCTTTTCGCTTCTTTTTGGATAATCTCGGCTCGTTCTCTCCATCTTCATCTGGGATTTCATCATCACCATCAAAGAATATCTCTGGCTTCTCGGGTTCCCTCGTTACCGATCCTTCTGCATCACCCTTGTCAAACTTTCTGAGGACATCTTGGTACATCTGCCACAGAGAATCACCGGTATCCGGAGAAAGGAAAGATCCAGCGTCGGAGTGTGTGCCATCTTTAATCGGTGTTGACTTTTCCACAGGTGGGCTTTCTTTTTCGGAATCATATATCGGTGCATCAGTGACCTGGATGAAGAAATTAACAATCAGTTTAAACCCCTTAAGTGTGAGTTGATAATAGGATAGTCATACACTAAGTTTCTTTGCCTTCTTCCTGGCCCTTCTCAGTTGATTTTTGCTTGGTTTGGCCGTAGAAGCTGGCATATCCAAGAGTGACAATCGAGATACGCGCTAGTAAGTTGAGGTAGATTAATGAAGTAAACACTAAGTTCTTGCGGACGACTGTGATGGCCCAAATTAACGCTCTGCGTAGAAATCCGGATTATGGCAAAAGACTATCTACTCCGTAGGAACCAAAGTAATTTCAATATTAAGGTTGTGGAGTCAGTTATATCCACGTGACTTACTTAGGACCAGGCTGGAGCATAATTTTGTTGTCTACGACACAGAGAACAGAGTATTACATATAACAATATAAGGAGTATTGAAAGCCAGCAAGCAAGAATAAATACAATTTCGTCGCTACAAGCCCCTGAGACCCTCGTCTATCGCCATCAGGCTTTAGGTACCATTCATTCTTAAGTCACGTGAGCATATTATCATTTGTTCTTTTTCGCGGATCTTGATTCTGTACGAAGGTTAGACACCCAAAACAAAGGCAGTACTGCAAGAGGGATCTTTACCTGCTGCTGTTCTCTTCTTTTTCGGTCGTCCCTTTCCGCGTAGCTTGGCTCTGCGCGAAAAATTAGCAATTACCCACCAAAGTGAAATGTAGGTTACTTACATTTGAATACTCTCTTCTCTGTCGTCTTCCGCTTCATCAAACGTGGTTAATCCCAGAGGCTCATATGTGTTCTGAAGGTCTCGAAAAGACACCGTTTTCTTTGGGTACCAAGTCGCTAGGATGGGTCCTCGTAACCGTTGTCGCAGAACCTTGTTGCCTAAACGGAGCCTTTCAGGATTGAAGTTGTGCGAGAATATGCGGCATTGGACCTGGTTAAATACTTAGGTCAGCATTGGATTTGCCGGGAATATATATTCGGTGGAATAATACCCTTGCGAGGTCTAAGACTCTAAGGTATGAGGTTGCCATTATAGAATGGAGATTTGCAATGGTGACCTTGCTGTTAACAGACAGGCATTATCTTCGCGATATGATCACGTGGTTTATTTATGTGGCAAATGAGTTTCTGCTACCTCATTGGCAATAGTATTAAAGAAAGTTCTACATCGCAGAATATGGGATCTCGAAAGAAGCCACACAGTCCTGATATCGATTATTCACTACAGCATCCCAACAAAAGGGTGAAGGTAAGAGTGCATCACTTCATAAGCAAGCGTATGTTGGTCAGCGTGAATAATAAACATCAAGGCCCATTATTCACATGAGTCTTCCAATGAGTCCCATCCAAACGAAGATAGAAGGAACGAAAATGCTGTTCCATCTCGCCTTGTCATGCTAGAGAATTTGACACGAGAAGTACTAAATAATACGGATACCTCTCAGGAGTGCGCGACCGCCGGAGCCGATCTCCTCAAAGCAGTCGCTGAGTTGGACAGGGCGTTTCGTCAAGCGAAGAAACCATCACTAGCTACAACCCCGTCTGAAGATATCGGCGGCAAGTCTATGCTTGCTAATGACCACAGTGGCTTGGGAAACCGCGAAGGGGCACAAGTACCTGTGCTACCTCCAATCCTGGACAAGTCGCTCGAAGAAGCTGTTTTCACTCACCCTGGCATGAGCAATGATTTTAACACTACCTACGATCGACTTGAAATTCTTGGAGATGCTTACATTGAATTGGTTGCTACCAAACTTGTCTGGCATACATTTCCAGGTCTCCCTTCGGGTCGAATATCGCAAATAAGGGAAACCCTGGTGAAAAACGAGACACTTGCCGGGTATGCGACTATGTATGGCTTTGATTGCAGGGCATCTGTTCCGAAGGATTATCTGAAGCAGCCAAAGAGATGGATGAAGACCAAAGGGGACATCTTCGAAGCTTACGTGGCTGCTGTTGTACTTTCTGATGCAGTTAATGGCTATAGTGCTGTGGAAACATGGCTGACCCAGCTCTGGGCACCGAAACTTAAATGCTTGGATCATCCTCCGGTGACCTTACAGGCAAAAGAGGCTCTTGCTAAGAGGATTATGGGGAAGGGGGTCAAACTTAAGTATGTTGATGAGCGCGGCCCTGTTCAACTGGAAGGTGGTATGCAAATATTTAATGTCGGGGTATATCTTACTGGTTGGGGGTGGACAAACAAGCATTTGGGATCTGGGCAAGGCCTTAGTAAGTCAATAGCGGGCGATCAGGCTGCAAGGGCAGCATTGCAGAATATGTCATTGATAGATGAAATCGCGGCAGTCAAGAAGTCGGGGAATGCAGGAAAAAGCTGAGTCTATCGTCTTCTGGTCTGTATTATTTATTTTCTAGTTTTGTTTTTAAAATACCTAGATATTTCTTTTCTTATGATATACTCCTTATGGAAAAAAGGGAAATATGGAAATATCTTAAAAAGTTGATAATAGGATATTGTTACGATGTCTGTCCTACCCTGCCCTGCCTGATATATATATGAGAGAGCAGTGTAGAGCCCGAGGCTCCACATCCTAGTCTTTTGCTAGTGCAGCGGTTAAACTTCCGAATGCTCCCCGGGGTCGCGCCATGACAAACATTACCCTAAAAAAAGGATATGATAAAAATAAAAAACAAGAAATCTATCAAGATCTTATTTAGAGAGAATCCCTTCATTCTAAATATTAGCTAGTAAGGTTGCTGATATCAAGAAGAACTTCAAAATAAAATTTGAAAAAAAAAGGTCATGATGATAACTTCCATTTTAGAGACCATTTTCGGTCCAAGACTATGCATGGTCTACCCCCTTCTGAAGGGGGATTTGGATCAGCTAGCTAAAGACATAAATAGGCTTTGCTATATAAGAGTCAGATAATAGGGGTCACAGAGACATAGAATAAAGATAAATAATAAAGAATATAAAATAAGGATAAGAATAGAGTAGAGAAATATTATAAATATTTAAATTAGCAGCCCTAGGCCTACTAACTTAATTATATATATTTAAAATATTTAGTAAGGGCTTATATCACTAAATATAAATCTTAATAATTAATTTTACAAATAAAGGCATCTTATATCCTATTAATTATTATTATATATTAATTAGTTTACCTATATTTATTATCTTAATATAGTATTATGCATTATTTACTTATAATTAATATTAATAGTTAAAATAGATTTTAGTATTATAATTTAATAATTAAATTAAATAAGACTTAAAATATCTATATTTAGTTTTAATTATATAAAAGAGGATTAGAGTTATTTAAAAAATCTTAAAAAACTTAATTTTTATTTAAACTAATTTTTAAACTAAAATAATATTTATTAGCTTAAGTCTTAACTAAATTTTATATTATTTATTAATTATTATCTAGTATCTTAACTTTAAGATCTCTTTTTATAAAACTTTATTAAGATAAAAATTTTTAAAATAAGATCTAGCTAATTAGCTTTATATTTAGCTATTTTATTAATTTTTTATTATTATAAATTTTTTAATAATTAAAGATCTAGTAAAGATAAAAAAATAAATATCTAATAGATCTAAAATAGACCTAAAAATAATTATTATTTTAATTAAATAATTTCTAATCTTTTAAAGTCTTTAAATAATTATCTAATTATTTAAAAAGACTTATATTTTTCTAATAATAAATATATAAACTTATTTAATTATATAACTTATAATAAAGTTATCTTTAACTCCTTATCTTAATCTTATTTATAGCCTTTTAAGCTATATCTTATTTATTAAGCTTATTTATATTAATTTATTTATAATTTAAAATTAATAAATAAAGAGAAGCAATCTAATAGGCAGCTAGCTATTGCAGAAGGGCCAGCTATTCAAGAGGGCCTAGAGCAATTTCAGCATAAGAATAAGGTCTATGAAGCTTAAGATGCACTTTATATAGATCCAACACTTTCTACAGTTGGGCCATATGTATGAGCCCACCCACAGTGTTCTAATTGTCATGTTCAGGGACATACTAGAGTTAGATGTCCTAAACCACCTAGTAATTAGTTTTTATATAGAAATGCAATGTAATTGTTTTGTTGATATAGACCCTAGCCTAGAATCTCACCTAGAGGTGGGATTGGAGTGTAGGTGGCCGCTCGCTTACTAGATACATTATATATATATATTTCTTACTAATAATTAAAATAATAGTTGAACCTCACTTTGATAACAAGACATTGGCTATCTCTTAAATATAAGATAGTTATGGAGGTGCTCCACATTAATCCGTAGGGTCTATTGTGCAAAAAATTCCTTTTTGTTTAAAGTTAGTTTATGACTATTGGTGCATGTTTTACAGTGATATAGTGTGATATAGACTGCTATTAAGTTGGCAGCATAAGATGGTATGGGAAGATATTAAAATATATGTATAGCTTCACAAGTAGAGCCTATCTCTTTATTTCCAACAGCTGAGATTGCAAGTAAGACTATCCCTTCAACTGAATTATTCAAGTCCATACATGTTTTGGTGGCATGGTTAGGTGGTTGAAATGCCTCAAGATTTTGAGTATGCCCAAAACGCATGAAGTGGAACGCTCGCTTACCGACTACATTAGCTAAGTATTAGCCTTTAATGAAATTTATTTAGATACTTATAGTCCTAGAAACCTTTAAGTAAAGACATAGTAGGGTACTGAAGGGTTCATTCTAGCTATATACCAGGTGGTTTTAAGAAGCTCCCTTAAATAACCATAGATAGTAGAGGTATGGATATATCTAGAAGCTAAGCATAGGGCTAACTTTTCCTAGGTAGGGTGCTGTGCAGGGACTGGATGATAAGTCGATTCAGGCAGAAATTGGTGCCTGAGGCAGTCACAGCTGTGGTACAGCTGCGTTGTATGGTTGGGTGGTGAGAGATAGCAGAATTACCTGGGAATATGAAAATGTTCAGATGGTGGAAGCCTATTTAGATTTTAATTATAAAATTATACATTTCTCTATGATACCATTTGATCGATAAAACAATTTTTTATATATCATCTTCATCAGATATTTAGTTAAGAATTATTATTAGACTTATATTAATAAAATCAATGTGTCTAATATATGTAGCTACCTCTTCTCAAATCTTAAGAACTCCGTTAAGTAAAAGGTTATAGGAAAAGAATTCCTTAAATTATAAAAATTAAATAGCTAATTACTTACCAATGGGATTTTAAAAAAGTATTTAATTTAATACCTTCAGATCTGAAAATCATTTAAAAAAGCTGTAGAGGTAGCTAAAAAAGTTGAATTTTTTTTACCTACTACCTATAGGATATTATAAAGAAGTCTTAAAAATAAATATCTAAAAGAATAAAACAACTAAAACTAATTATTAAACCTCCTTTTAGAAAAGGTTTAGGAACAAATAAATGTTTTTAATTATATTTATTAAGTAAAAGGAAAATTCAAAAAGTCTTCATTTTTAAATATATAAAATATTCCTAGGAAGCTACTATAATTTTATCTTCTACCTTATTCTAGAGCTTTTTCATATTAGATCTAGTCTATAGAGTAGTCTATTTATTAAATCAAGGATTAGACATAGCTTAAAACAATAAAAAGAAATTAAATGAGCTATTTAATTTTTATTTATAAAATACTAAGATAGTTTAGATGTATGTAAATCGATTTAATAGACTAATAAGCTATAAATTTCTCATAAATAAATGTATTATTCTAACTAATTATTAGAAATTAGTTAGAGACTATATTAAGAAAATCTATATTAGTTAAAAGTGATTAGACTAAATAAAGGTGTATAGAAACTATTTTTTAATAAACTGCCTAGGAGAGATCTTTACAAAGATTTTAATCAAAAGACTTATATCTAATTAAATTTTTAGGATTTAAGCTTCTATATTATAATTAAATAAAATGTAAGATTTGGAAATCTATTATAGATTCTGTCCTATCCTTAGTTTATGATATTTAAATTATAAAAGGAAGAAAAAGCTTGTCTTTACCTTATCTATTAATATAAAAATAATCTTTAATTGCATATCGAAGTTTAATATTTTTGTTTAATAGGAGCATTCAACTAATATTTAATGAAAATTTAACACTCTTGATTTTCTCTATTTTATTCTTATACAGCAGATATGTATTTAAATATAAAAAGAAAAATAAAGAATTGAACGAGATTTTAATTTAAATTAAATTCTTTTGATTATATTAATAATATAGTCTTTATTAGCGTAATCCACCACTGAAGTGTCTGGCTATCTCACTGTCACCCCTATCACTATTAATTACTATTTTGCTACATAATAATAATAATAACACCATAGATCCTCAACCAAAGCAGACACATACATATACAGCTAGTATTTGATACCTATAAAAAGTACTTTTTCCTTCAATTATAAAAATAGCTCTTATATTTGATATTATTTTTTTCAATATTAAAAAATCTTAAAGCTACTCTCTATAACCTAAAAGATTATTAACAGTGGAAAATTGACTGACATTAAAAAATTCACTCTTTTAATATAGATTCTGGATATAAAGTAATATAGACTTTCTCTTTAATTATTTATTATATACTATCTTATTTACCTACTAATATCATAAATTTCCTCCCTGGGCCTATTAGTGTGAACTAAGTGATTTATTATATATGATATTATCTTAAACTGAAATATAAATATAGCTAGAAGTATGACTATTTAATATACTAAATATAAAGACTTAAAGCTCATTAATGGCCGCCTTTTCAACATTTTAATGATATTATTAAGAAATATAGGATCTTCTCAGAAGATATGTATAATATATTCAGAATGGACTAACTTTTAAATAAGTATTATCTCTAAGCTAAGATAGTCTATAATTTTAAAAAATGTTTGGGCTTATTAAAGTTTTATATGTGGTTAAATAGTATTAATTTCTTATTTTAAATAAGTATAGCAGTCATGCTGTAGCTTTATTTAATAAATTTTATATTAAAGGATAATAATTCTTTTATATCTATTATTATCTTATTCCTTATATCTTTTGTAACCACTGCACATTAGCTATTTTAAGTTAATAAAACATTTATAATCAGAAAGTCCAGAAATTAATATAGTAAGAGATATATTTAATTATTTAAAAGAATTTGTTGTATTTTTATCTAATAGGGTATCAGCATACTTTATTAATTTTCTTTATAGTAGCTGGGCTAATCTTTTTATTATTTAAATAAGTCCTTTCTAAGCTTTATCTTTAGTTTAAGATGCTAACACTATTATCCACTACAAATAGCGCCAATTTAAAATAATATAAGAAATATATTAGCTAATATATATAAGCTAAAGAAATAAAAGATTTAAATTCAGCATTTTTAAAAGAAATAAATAATATAAAGACTTTACTATTATGAATTAAGTAATTAACAAAATAATTAAAAATACTAAGATAATTATCAGAATATTATCTTACTACAGAAAAAACTTTATAGTTTATATTAAATATTCTTATTAAAAAAAAAACAGTAAAGATCTAGGTGCTTTATTTAAAAATATGGCAGCTTAGTAGCTGCTAAAAGACCATAAAAGACTTAAAAGAGTGGTAAATGTAATAACCATTATTAAGAAGGTCCCAGACCTTCAGCATACAGTGATTACCTTTAAATTGGTCAT